AGGAAGGCCTTTGCGTCAGGTTCGGAGCCAAGACGAGCTGGTGGCTCCATGGTGATTGCGAGGAGCAACACACCATCCTGGCGGCCGGAGGCCAAGCCCCAGCGAGACTCGAGGTACTTCCGTGCTGCTGTAGCGTTGAAACCACCAGGCATCTTGGAAGAAATCAGACGAGCAATGAGGGCTTGTGTCTGCTTGCCCAGATTTCCGTCGAAGGTGGCCTGCATAGACGCACCAAGCTCGTCCAGAGGTGTGTCTTCCGGCTTCTCTGGTGTTGAGCCGAACTCCTTGCCCAGGTCGCCCAGGATTTCGTTTTGTAGGGTAGACTTGCCTGCAGTGAGCACCAACATTAGCTTCCCGATCTCTCTGTGATTATAGCAGGCTACGTAGACTTACCGCCAACAAGATCCTTGATAGCCTTGCTCAGAGGGATCTCTGAGAATGGCTTCTTCAGCTTCTGAGCAATGAGCGCCCGCACAATGTCCATAGCAGCAACAGGCGCGTCTGGGACCTGAGCCGCAGGGCCAGCGCTGGGTGCCGGGGCGGCAGCCGCCGCGGGAGCAGCAGCGGCGGCCGCAGGCGCAGGTGCTGACCCGCTACTCGAGCTGGCTGCTGGTGTAGGCTCTGGCTCCTCCTCAATTGGATCAACATCGTAGTAAATCTCCTTCGCGTCTTTGTTGTAGCACAGAATCTGTCGTTGCACTGATTTCGCAGCGTCGAAGGCTTCGTACTTGGATGCGAGGGTCCTCTTGGCCATCACGCCGAGAGTATCAGCAGGACCGACCTCGACGATCCGCTCGGCCGTCTTTTCGGCGAGGAAGACATCTTGAGTTTCGATCCATCTCACGGGCGAGGCGAACTGGTATGCAAGGAGCTCCACGAGGAGCGTGTGGGCGAGCTCTTGCTCAACTTCGGGCCTCATTTTGCTGGCAATGGTCTATATGCGGCGGAAAAAAAGGACGTGTCGCGTGAAGAAAGAATGCTCAAGAATCGATTGCGGGTATCTTCGAAGGATTAGGTTGGCGGTAAGTGAGGCAGGGCCAGGGGGGCTGTTGACCGCTCTCGAAGAGGCCCGGAAGAGAATTCTTCGAGGCTGGCTCTAGTGGTGTTGTATGGGAGAAGAGGGATCTGAACTCTGCCACCTGGAAGTCAGAAAAAGAGGTGATAGAGAGAAGCTTGGGCGAGCCAGGCGTGGGAGGGTGTTCAGGGACGGGAAGTTGTGGCCGTCGTGGGGGGTGGGTAATGAGGGAGGAGAATCCAAGATCTAAAGGAAGAAATCGGCCCTCTTGGTGTGGTGTTTAGTGATGGAAGGGGTCCGTTGGACGGCGGCGACGGGTCAATTAACCCTTGTTGTCAACAACTTACGGATTTCATGCAACCCAAATTTCCTCCTTCTGCCCGTCTTGACTTTCAGGTCACCGGATAAGATCCCTCCAAGCAAAAAGTTGGTGGACGAGTATACGTTGTTGGGCCTAGGAAGGAACAATCCTTGAAAGCGTTGGGGGTAGCCACACGGGGAGCAAAGTTCACCAGTCTCACAGCAATTACCAGCCGGCGGGCGCTTGTACCCGGTACATACCCAAAGTAGTGCCATTTTCCTGGGGTGGGAGGGGGGTCATGCACCCCTGTCAGCCTTGCTTAGGACGGCCGTGCTCTCTCTGCCTAGCAGAGATCCAGCACTGGGAGGTGGCCCCCACAGTTTCTGCCCATGCACTACAACCCCATCCGTTCCAATGCTCGCGACGACACAACAGCTCGCCAAACAACCGAACAGCGACCAGGCCACCGACCACTGGCCACTGGCGACGCCGCATTGCTTCACCACCCCGAGCTAGGACCGCAACGGCTACATATCTTGCAGGCGATAAGCTCGGCCAAGCCTGTCTGAGGCGACCCTTGCGTTTTGCTGAGGATCCCCAGGCACGTCAGAGCAACACTCGGCCGGCCACTCGCTGTCAACGCGTTTCCCATCCCCATCAAGATGCTCGACTCTATGCCAGCCTGCGGGTGAGACCTCGAGATCTCGGTCCGAGGTGCTCGTATCTCCTGGACGGAGCTATGGAGCCTTCGGAGGTCTCCCTGCTGAACATGCAGAGACTGTGGTGCCATTGACTGGACACTCGTGGGCATCCACTACCAAGCCCCTGCCTGCTTTCACGCGTCGCAGGAGCTAGGTCCATCTTAAGAGCTTGAGCTTTATCGATACTCGCTCTATCGTTATCGACCTGCAGCAAAGCTCATAGCTTCTGCCGTCGCCAATGTGTCCGTTCGCCCGGGGTCGATTCGGCTTGAGATGCGAAACTTCCCGTTCGGCTGTCTGCGCAATCCCATGAGGATATGCGTCTATCATGGGGATCACTTATACTGGCTTGCTGGGAGGTGCCATACCTCGGTTGGATCCATGATTAGTTCAAGCGGCAGTGGACTCGACGCGGAGAGATTGCTTCTCGGGTCAGCCAGGCGGCCGCTCTCGGAATACATACCCACGTACTCGGTACATTATCATCCGCCTGTTCGCCAACCGGTTGTCCTGTACGATATACTTCATCACACCACAACTGTCACTTCTCAGCCTGCCCTGGAAATACTCTTTAGGCCATGGTTCCCATGCACTGGGGCGGGTTTCGCTATAAGCTTAATTTCACCCGATGGCCTTGGTGGGCCCCGTCTTCCTCCTGGATTCAGGGTCTTTCTTCTGACACTTATGTATTGGTACTGCTTGGCTTGGTCTCCCAGCTGTCCCATGTTTTGGCGGGCACATCATTGCTCCCAGTTGTTACATATGCTGAGCTTTTGATAGATTATCTTGGACGAAAACACCTCGTGTGAGAATTGTGGTACGAGCCGTTCACCAAGCCGAAGCACTTTGTACAGACTTGGCGAGATCATTCAAAAGTGTACGGCATAGTTGACGAGCACCAAACACATGATCTTTTCATCCGGAACGAGTCCCTTCACATTTATCATACGGGACCAGGAGTCGCGAAATTTGAAGTCTTGCCCCACGCTGTACTTACCATGATGGGCTCTGGAGCTGTCACTCACCAGTCGCGACAGTGGCTCGAGTGGGTGACTATACTGGGACAAATACTCACCATTCGAGATGGAGCTGCTGAGTTAGCCAATATGGTGTTACCAATGACCGGTATTTCTGGAATGGGCTGGCATTGTAGATCCTGGCATGCCTTGGTCCGTGTCATGCGGCGCCCAGGGAGCTGCTTTGGAGCACATGTAGGCAGTGGAACAGCTCGGCGATTGTGACGTGCAGAAGTGCTGATGTGCATGTTTGGGCTACTGCGGTCTCGCCTTACCATGGAATGGGTAGAGCCTTGCTAGACACTCCAGTGACCAGGACGGCTGGGCCCCGCCAAGGCACGGTGCCACGGTATTTGCAGAGAACAAAGCCATTGAAGCCAGTGGAGATAGCCAACGAGAGCCGCTGATCATGTCTAATCAATACCAGGGCAGTGGATACAAGAATGGGAGCAATGGTCTAGTCTCTCGCGGGATTCCTGGCGTAGCTAAGGCATAGCTCCCGACGGGACTCTAGGTTTTGGCGGGTGTGGATGGTTGTGGCTTCGTTCTAACTATGTACTATGTGCTGCTTTCCAGGGATGATAGATGGGGAAACAAGAAACTCAATGCTGCGAGAATTGCACGAGAATTGCAGCACTGGCCTTGTAGCCACGCGTCTGAAGATATTCGAGACTCTGCTCGGCAATCAACTCGTCGAAACATTGATGCTATGTAAAGGTGATGGCGGGCGCCGTCGATGCATCGATGCATCGGTTGCCCAATCTGCTAGCGCCCCTGCTCAAGGTTGCGTTGCAGCCCGTGGCCACATCGGTCGAGCCGGGGATTTATTTTGGATGGGGTTCACCAAGCGTTTGGACCGTTGTCGATTAAGCCATTGACGCATGTACCAGTACCTGCGATGGATGACGCGTGTGTGGAGCCTTCCCCCAGTCAGCTTAGGAGCGCCAAACTGTTCCTACCTTGTCCCTGGGGGGAAGGCGGTGACTGCACCTTCCAGGGCACATCAGCAGAAGGAATCGGTATTTGCATGAGTTATTAAGCCCCTGGCAGGCTAGATTCAGGTAGGAGGTCTTCACTATGTAAATAGATTCAGTCTCAAGACAAAGGGAAGAAAAGCAATGACATGTCTCCCATGCTGCGTCTTCCAGATGCCCAGACAGCCAGGAAGGAGGGGCCCTGGTGTTCTTTGGGTGCAAGTGCAGGAAACTTGGGAAAAAGTTCGCGTGGGGCGTGGGGCTAGGTTCCCCCGCGGCCAGTCGACCCTTGGCAAAAATGCGAACATCCCTGCAGGCTGGCAGAACGGGAGGACGAGTTTGTTGGGAATCGAAATTGAATTCGGTGGATTGGTTCAACATCCCATACAGCCGGACTTTGATTTGATGTGCTGTGTTCTGGCTGCGAGGCTAGCAAGGACCAAAGGAACTTCTCTGCACGGCCGGCATTACTGATCATCTTCCGCTTGCCCAGGTGTTGTTGGTTGAAGCCTTGCTCCAGGGCCCAAAAAATAGAGAGAGAAGTTGACGAACAAGAACACCAACGGCTTCGCGCACCCGCTCGCCTGCCTCTTCTCTCCTTCCCTCCCCCCGAATCAATAACTTTGGACCCAGTCCCCTTTGGCCCAAAGTTGTAAACACCCTGCCTACTCACTAGATCTATCCATCTTCTCTACCTTTGCAAGCTCCTCCTCTTCCTCCCACCATCATCCTCTTCGGCCCCAGTCCAGTGCCAAACATCTTCGCTTCGTGTGGCCTCCAGCCTTCTTCCCCCCCTGTGTTCACCGCGATAGAGTTTTGCACTCGCTGCTCTTGACTGAGTATTTCGAGTATCCTCGAGACGAAGAGAAGAGATATCATAAATTGTAAGTCGCTGCATTCGCATGCTTCCTTCCCCTCAGCCGTGGGACAGCCTGCTGACTTTTCCCCAGAAGACTTCCATAGATCCCATAGACGATACCCCCTTTTTCCACCATGTACGGCACCGGTACTGGCGCTCAGACGGGCGTGTCGACCCCTCGGTCTTCCGCCTCTCTCCGACCTTTGACCCTCTCCCACGGCTCTCTCGAGACCTCTTTCCTCATCCCTACAAGCCTCCACTTCCACGCCATCCAACTAAAAGACCGCTTTGTTGCGAGTCTGCCCCCACCAACCGACGAGCTTGCACAAGATGACGAGCCATCTTCCACTCCTGAGCTGGTGGCCAGATACATGGGCTACATTGCCCAAGAGGTCGAGAAGGGCGAGGATGACTCCCAGGGCTCCTACGAGGATGTGCTCAAGCTGATTCTTAACGAGTTTGAGCGGGCCTTCCTCCATGGCAATGATGCCCACGCCTTGGCCGCAACCCTGCCAGGTATCGACGCAAAGAAATCCGAGGTCCTTCGCAGCTACTATGCCGCAAGGTCAGTTTTGAACAGGGCTGTCCGCCCCCACCAGTCTGCTCTTTTCCGGGCGGCTGAGGAAGGAGATGCCTCCATCTACAACATTTTCGGTGGCCAGGGCAACATCGAGGAATACTTCGAGGAGCTGCGCGAGTTGTGGCAAACTTACCCTGCCTTCATCGGTGACCTCGTTTTGACCGCTGCTGAGCAGCTGCAGACTCTGGCCAACAACCCCTCGGCCGAGAAGCTATTCACCAAAGGTCTGGACATCATGAACTGGCTGCAAAATCCAGAAGCTACCCCAGATGTCGACTACCTGATCACGGCTCCTGTGAGCTTCCCACTTATCGGTCTCGTTCAGTTGGCGCATTACGAGGTTACCTGCAAGGCCCTCGGAATCCACCCAGGCACGCTGAGGGAACGCATCAGCGGTACCACTGGTCATTCCCAAGGTGTTGTGATGGCTGCTGCCACTGCTGCAGCAGACTCCTGGGAGACTTGGCCAGAAATTGTCAAGTCATCCCTCTCAATCCTTTTCTGGATTGGAGCTCGCAGCCAGCAGACATTCCCTCGGACTTCCATGACTCCCTCGGTGCTGCAGGACTCGATTGAGAACGGCGAGGGAACGCCCACGCCCATGCTGAGCATTCGCGACCTCTCGCAAGATCAGGTCCAGACGCACATCGATGCAACCAACAAGTACCTCCCTGCCGACCGACACATTGCCATTTCACTCATCAACAGCCCGCGAAACATGGTCGTGACGGGACCACCCATGTCCCTGTACGGTCTGAACCTGCAGCTTCGAAAAGTCAAGGCACCCACAGGTCTCGACCAAACACGGGTTCCGCATACCCAGCGGAAGGTCCGATTTGTGAACCGATTCCTTCCTATTACCGCCCCGTTCCACAGCAAGTACCTCGCTGAGGCAACCTCCCTCATCGACGAAGACCTGAAGAACATCAAAATCGATGCCAAGTCGCTGGCCATCCCTGTTTACGACACCAACACTGGAAAGGACATTCGTGAGGAGGTCAAGGGCAATGTCGTTCCAACTTTGATCCGCCTCATCACTCGGGACACCGTGAACTGGGAGAAGGCGACAGTCTTCGAAAATGCGACCCACGTGCTGGATTTCGGCCCGGGTGGTGTTTCCGGTCTCGGCATCCTCACCAGCCGTAACAAGGAGGGTACTGGTGTTCGCGTCATTCTCGCTGGCACTATCAGCGGATCAGTAAATGATGTTGGTTACAAGCCCGAGATCTTTGACCGCGACGAGGAGCATGCTGTCAAGTATGCCATCGACTGGGTGAAGGAGTACGGGCCAAGGTTGATCAAGAACTCCAGCGGCAAGACGTTTGTGGACACCAAGATGAGCAGGCTTCTTGGTATCCCTCCCGTCATGGTTGCCGGTATGACTCCTTGCACAGTGGAATGGGACTTCGTCGCTGCCACAATGCAAGCTGGATATCACATTGAGCTTGCAGGTGGTGGTTATTTCGATCCTGGGATGATGACTGCAGCGCTCAAGAAGATCGAGAAGGCAATTCCTGCTGGGCGAGGTATCGGCGTGAACCTCATCTACGTGAACCCAAGGGCCATGGCCTGGCAAATTCCTATGCTCGGCCGACTCAGGGCCGAAGGTGTGCCGATTGAGGGTCTCACTATTGGAGCTGGCGTGCCTTCTATCGAGGTTGCTCAAGAGTACATCGAGACACTGGGCTTGAAGCACATTTCCTTCAAGCCTGGCTCCTCTGAGGCCATCCAGGCCGTCATCAACATCGCCAAGGCAAACCCTACATTCCCTGTCATGCTCCAGTGGACTGGTGGTCGTGGCGGTGGTCACCACTCTTTCGAGGACTTCCACCACCCCATCTTGAACATGTACGGCAGGATCCGTCGACAGGAGAACCTCATCCTCGTTGCCGGCAGTGGTTTCGGCGGTGCAGAAGACACTTATCCATACATCACCGGAGAGTGGTCAAAGAAGTTTGGTTACCCCCCGATGCCTTACGATGGGTGCCTCTTCGGCAGCCGAATGATGGTCGCCAAAGAGGCGCACACCAGCAAGGACGCCAAGAAGGCCATCGTCGAAGCTCCCGGTGTTGACGACAGCGAGTGGGAGAAGACATATCAGGGACCCACTGGTGGTGTTCTCACGGTTCGCTCTGAGATGGGCGAGCCCATTCACAAGCTTGCCACTCGTGGTGTTAGGTTTTGGGCTGAGATGGACCAAAAGATCTTCACTCTGCCAAAGGAGAAGCGCATCGCTGAACTCAAGAAGAACAAAGCCTACATCATCAAGAAGCTCAACGAAGACTTCCAGAAGGTGTGGTTTGGCAAGAACAAGGCTGGCGAGTCCGTCGATCTCGAGGATATGACTTACGGCGAGGTCGTGCGCAGGCTAGTCGAGCTTCTTTACGTGAAGCACCAGTCCCGCTGGATTGATCCTACCTTCACCAAGATGACCGGAGACTTCATCCACCGTGTGGAGGAGCGCTTCACGTCCACCACGGGCAAGCCCTCGCTTCTGCAGAGCTACTCCGAACTTGCTGAGCCATACTCTGCCGTGGAGAAGATCTTGTCGCAGTACCCCGACGCCGACAAGCAGATCATCAACGCTCAGGATGTTCAGTATTTCTTGATGCTGTGCATGAACCCGTTCCAAAAGCCAGTGACCTTCGTGCCTGCCTTAGACGATAACTTCGAGTTCTACTTCAAGAAGGATTCGCTCTGGCAGTCTGAGGATCTGGACGCTGTCATCGGACAGGACGTCGGTCGAACTTGTATCCTGCAAGGACCAACGGCCGTCAGATACTCCACAATTGCCGACGAGCCTATCAAGCAGATTCTTGATGGCATTCACAATGGTCATATCAACTACCTAACACGCGACATGTACAACAACGACCCAACTAAGATTCCTGCCATTGAGTACTTTGGCGGTAAGCTCGTTGACTCCGAGATTCCTCTCGACTCTGAGGGTGTCACTGTTTCGTATGACAACAACAAGAACATATACCGCATCGCGAACACCCCCTCAGCAACGCTGCCCACTGTTGATGATTGGCGCACACTCCTTGCCGGACCAAAGCGTTCATGGCGACATGCTCTCCTCATGTCGGAGGTTGTTGTCCAAGGTCAGAAGTACCAGACCAACCCTATGAAGCGGATCTTCGCACCTGCTCGTGGATTGTATGTGGAGATACTCTACCCCAACACTCCGGAGAAGACAACCATTGTCGTCAAAGAGCAACCCCGCCACAATCAATACGTTGATGTCATTGAGGTGAAGATGACCGGGGACAACAAGATTGTGGTCAACATGATCAAGGACACAACGGCCCTTGGCAAGCCTGTTTCGCTGCCTCTCGAGTTCATCTACCACCCTGAGGCTGGTTATGCTCCAATTCACGAAGTCATGGATGGGCGCAATGACCGCATCAAAGAGTTCTACTGGCGAGCCTGGTTCGGTGACGAGAAACTGGACCTCGATGCCATTGTGACTGGCAGGTTCGATGGCGGCAAAGCAACAGTCACCAGTGAGGCCATCAACGACTTCGCACACGCTGTTGGCAACCACGGCGAAGCATTCATTGACCGACCGGGCAAAATCATGTATGCGCCAATGGACTTCGCAATCGTCGTTGGGTGGAAGGCTATCACCAAGCCTATCTTCCCTCGTACCATCGACGGCGACTTGTTGAAGCTCGTGCATCTGTCAAACGAGTTCCGCATGATGCCCGGTGCTGAGCCCCTCAAGAAGGGCGACCAACTAACGACCACCGCTCGCGTCAACGCTGTCGTCAACCAGGACTCTGGCAAGATGGTCGAAGTGTGTGGCACCATTGAACGTGATGGCGAGGATGTGATGGAGGTGACATCTCAATTCCTCTACCGGGGCGTTTACACCGACTATGAGAACACCTTCCAGCGCAAGATTGAGACGCCTATGCAGATTCACCTGGAGACGGCCAAGGATGTTGCCGTGCTCAAGTCAAAGGAGTGGTTCCAGGTCGATGATAAGGCCCTCAACTTGGACTTGCTCGGCAAGATCTTGACATTCCGTCTGGAGTCACTTGTTCGCTTCAAGACGAAGACTGTTTACAGCAACGTCGAGACTCGCGGTCAGGTCCTCCTCGAGCTTCCAACCAAGGAAATCGTCCAGGTTGCATCTGTTGACTACTCGTCGGGCGAGTCCCACGGCAACCCTGTCATCGACTACCTCCAGCGCAACGGAGCATCCATCGAGCAGCCAGTGATGTTCGAGAACCCGATCCCTCTGAGCGGAAAGACACCTCTGCAGCTGAGAGCCCCGGCGTCCAACGAAGGATACGCACGCGTCTCGGGCGACTACAACCCTATCCACGTTTCTCGAGTCTTCGCCAACTACGCCAACTTGCCCGGAACTATCACACACGGCATGTTCTCTAGTGCAGCTGTGCGAAGTCTGGTGGAGACCTGGGCGGCCGAGAATAATGTAGGACGTGTCCGAAGTTTCCACGCTTCCCTCGTGGGTATGGTGCTGCCCAATGATGAAATCCAGGTCAAGATGCAACACGTGGGAATGGTTGCTGGACGCAAGATCATCAAGGTCGAAGCCAGCAACAAAGAGACCGAAGAGAAGGTGCTCCTTGGAGAGGCCGAAGTCGAGCAGCCCGTGACAGCCTACGTCTTCACCGGACAAGGCTCTCAGGAGCAAGGTATGGGTATGGACTTGTATGACAGCAGTCCTGTGGCCAAGGAGGTCTGGGACCGCGCAGACAAGTATCTCATGGACACCTACGGTATGTAATCACTCCTTTGCCTCATTTGCTTTACCACATGCTAACGGTCCTAGGCTTCGCCATTACGAACATTGTGAGGAACAACCCCAAGGAACTCACGATTCACTTTGGTGGCCCCCGTGGCAAGGCTATCCGGGCGAACTACATGGCAATGACTTTCGAGACGGTGGCCGCAGATGGTTCCATCAAGTCGGAGCGTATCTTCAACGAGATCAGCGAGAGCACCCCGTCTTACACGTACAAGTCGCCCAGCGGTCTGCTGTCGGCCACTCAGTTCACACAGCCTGCCTTGACCTTGATGGAGAAGGCAAGCTTTGAGGACATGAAGGCGAAGGGCCTCGTTCCCCGCGACAACACATTTGCTGGACATTCTCTTGGCGAGTACAGTGCTCTTGCTGCGCTGGCTGAAGTCATGCCCATCGAATCCTTGGTCTCGGTCGTTTTCTACCGTGGTCTGACGATGCAAGTTGCTGTGGAGCGAGATGCTTCTGGACGCTCCAACTACTCCATGTGTGCTGTCAACCCAAGCCGAATCTCCAAGACTTTCAACGAGGAGGCTCTTCGGTTCGTCGTTGCCAATGTTGCCGAGGCTACAGGGTGGCTGCTCGAGATTGTCAACTTCAACATTGCCAACATGCAGTATGTGTGTGCTGGTGACCTCCGCGCCCTGGACACCCTGGGCTTTGTCTGCAACTACCTGAAGGTGCAAAAGATCAACATCGAGAAGATGATGGGGGAGATGTCGATTGAGGAGGTGAAGGGCCATTTGGTGCAAATCATTCAGGAGGGCGCGTCGCAGACGGAGAAGAAGCCAAAGCCTCTCGAGCTCGAGAGGGGATTCGCCACGATCCCTCTCAAGGGCATCGATGTGCCATTCCACTCGACGTTCTTGCGCAGCGGTGTCAAGCCGTTCCGATCTTTCCTACTCAAGAAGATCAACAAGACCACCATCGACCCGTCCAAGCTGGTGGGCAAGTACATCCCCAACGTCACGGCCAAGCCTTTTGCCCTGACCAAGGAGTACTTTGAGGATGTGTACAAGCTTACCAACTCGCCTCGCATTGCCAATGTGCTGGCGAACTGGGACTCGTACCAAGGAGATGGTACTGGCCCAGCCGAAGGTATCAACGGCACCACCGTCGTTAACGGCACCACCAATGGCGTGCACTCTGACTAGACTGTTGAAGGGCTAGCATAGAGCGCGACAAATTCATTTTTCCCTGGGGCATGATATGGAAATGTGGTGGGAAAGGCTATACAATGCATGACTGGCTCACGATGGGTGTGCCCAATGAATGAGGGATGAGTGGTTAAATGGTGATGAAATAGTAATGGCTCTTGTTGATTGTGTGGGTCCGACATTGATAAGGCAGGCATGGGACAAGCCGTCTTCCGTTTGGGCATGGTGGCGGGCGCCGGCGTTGGCCGTGTTTTTGCTGAGGTTCTGGTTTGGTGCAGATGTATTTATTAGACATAGGTATGACTGATTGACTGACCGTGGTCCTGAATGAGATCGGAAATAAAATAGAGAGGTCTTAGACATTCGAATGTCCCCAGGCTGTCACATTGTTGCAGAGCCTTGAACATCGCGTCCTGACGTGCATCTTGTGTTCCCAGAGCAAACCCCCCGACTGGCGAGCCTTTGTCCCCCTCAAGAGGACGAGCACGACAGCCATCGACTGCCCCAACAGCTCTGCAGCAAGCAATTTGACGGGCGATAAGATAGCGCGCACTGTCAGCTTGGCTCGAGAGTCGAGACGAAACCCAGACCAGACCAGCCGCTGCGAACCGAAATCCAACGGCAACGGCAACAGCATCACTGCAATCAAATCAAATCCCCGCAGCTGCGTGCGCATGCAAGTCAATCCAATCCAATCCCAATCCCACACTGCACCGTGCCGAGCCAAAGAAACCACGCCTCCCACCTCCATTTGGCCTTTACCTAACTACCTAGACTAGGAGGTGTACACATACATATACACATACATACACACGCACACGACATGAGTGCAAATCCCTCACCCTCTCCCCCTCCCAATCAGGTTTTCATAGGGACGTTCATCCACTCCAGGGCCCTCGATGAGCTAGAGTACCTGCACAACACTGCTGTCTTTGTGGAGGGGGCCACAGGGACGATTATTGCCATCGAGAGGGAATGTGACCACACCCGCACGCTGGATGAGACGTTCAACAGGCTGGGATGGAGTGCTGCCGAGTGCAAGATATACGACACCACATCCCCCACCAGGAGCAACAACACGAGCAGCACCAGCATCCAAAATGAGAGCGGCAGCTCACTACCAACACAACCACCACCACCACCACCACCACCTGTGAGGTTCTTCTTCCCGGGCTTCATAGACACGCACATCCACGCCTCGCAGTACCCCAACGCCGGCATCTTCGGCAAGTCGACGCTGCTGGACTGGCTCAACACATACACCTTCCCGCTCGAGGCATCGCTGGGCCGCGACCACGCCAAAGCCCGCCGCGTCTACGCCCGCTGCGTAGGCCGCACCCTCGCCCACGGCACCACCTGCGCCGCCTACTTCGCCACCGTCGACGTCGCCGCCACCAACCTGCTGGTGGACCTGTGCCTGGCGCGGGGCCAGCGCGCCCTCGTGGGGCGCGTGTGCATGGACGAGCCCTCGACCTGCCCGCCCTGGTACCGCGACGAGGACGCCGCGCAGGGCCTGGCGCGCACGCGCGAGTGCGTCGCCCACGCGCGCCGCGCCGACCCGGCCGGGAACCTGGTGCGCCCCATCGTCACCCCGCGCTTCGCGCCCAGCTGCACGGCGCAGAGCATGCGCGCGCTGGGCGACCTGGCGCGCGAGGAGCGCCTGCCCGTCCAGACGCACGTCAGCGAGAACAGGGGCGAGATCGAGCTGGTCTCGGACCTGTTCCCGGCCGAGGCGGGCGGGGGCAGGGGGTACGCGGGCGTGTACGACGCCTTTGGCCTGCTGACGGAGCAGACCATCCTCGCGCACGCCGTGCACCTCTCCGAGGGCGAGGCGAAGCTGCTTGCCGACCGGGGCACTAAGGTCAGCCACTGTCCCTGCAGCAACAGCGCCATCACGTCCGGGGCGGCGCGGGTCCGCTGGCTGCTCGAGCAGGGGGTCGACGTCGGGCTCGGCACGGACGTTAGTGGGGGGTACAGCCCGAGTGTGCTGGACGCCGCGAGGCAGGCCGCGCTGGTGTCGCGGCATGTTGCCATGGGCGGCGACGAGAAGGCCAAGCTCAGCGTCGAGGAGGTGCTGCACCTCGCCACGCGGGGCGGCGCCAGGTGCGTCGGGCTCGAGGGCGTGGTTGGTGGGTTTGAGGTCGGGATGCAGTGGGATGCGCAGCTTGTTGCGCTTGGGGTTGTCGGGGAGGACGGGGAGGGGGCGGAGGGGAATGTGGATGTGTTTGGGTGGGAGAGCTGGGAGGAGATGGTGGCTAAGTGGTTGTTTAATGGGGATGACCGGAATACGACTAAGGTCTGGGTCAAGGGGAGGTTGGTGCATGAGAGGAGGTCATAGGATGTGCAGGTAGTTATGAGGACTTGATTGTGAGGCAGGCTTCTGGAACTAGGCGCTCTGGTATTGGATAGAAGGCATCTAGATCTGAATGTTGGTCGCCGGAGATGCATGCCTTGTTGCCTTATCTCTTCAGGTAACGCTGGCATGTTGAACGAGGATAGATACAGCAAGACAATCAAGCTGCAAAGCAATTTCCACAATATCTGCCATAGACCTTGACACAATTCTGCTTCAAAGCCTTTTCCTCCAAAATGTATACTGCATATGAGTATTCATTTCATTATCGAGTGGGAATTACCACGACTCATCTGTCTGTGACTGACAGGCTGCTCTGTACGAGATTTATTTCTGCTTTCAACACCAGGACCTAGACAATGGTCAAATTCAGTCAAGGAGTTTGGCAATATAAACCAACCACCCATTCAAAATATCTTGTGCAACCTTCTGATATAGTCGGTCTCTCAATGATGGTAGCGCTCTATTGTTTGGAACATACGATGTCGAGAAGCCGTGAGAGCTATCCACGTACATTGATACATCATCTGAGGCTTTCTACACTCATCAAATTACATGCGATCAACTTCAGGAAACACCATGGCCAAAATTCTATCATATTGAGGAGAGCAAACCGACAATCTCTGATACTAGCTGCACCTCCATCCGACCCCCACCGGCGCTCTATCTTTTTTTGTGTTTTCTGTTTTTCGACAACGAAATGCATCGCAAATTGGTATCACCCGGTCCAAAGCGCCTGTAATGCTCTGAATGTGCTGAGGAATGAAGCCTGCGTGTCATGACAACAGACCATATGCGCCTCGCCTATCTAATAGCACCACACCAACTCCCCCTATGCGGTGTTGAGTCATTTTTCCAAGCGCCATGCTCCGTCAGGAGAGGCTGTCTCGATACCATTTCGACCCAAAAAGCAAACCTCAATACAGCACAAGCAACTTATCGAATTCATCGTCTCAACTTCGCGAGGGCTGTCCGTATCGAAAGCGCTGGACCCATCGTCCAAACAGCACCGCCGAACCATCCCTGAAATTTCTTCTTGTTTCCCAAGCCCGAAGGGGCCACAAGCGATTATGTTCAGAATCCACCCATGAAAGCGTCGTGGCCTGTACCGTGGGTCTTGGAGTCTCTGCCGAAGCCCATGGGCTGGTTGAAGTCGAACTCAGGCTGAGCAGCCGTGGCAGCAGATTCTCCACCTCGCGCCGCATCTTGTCCCTGGCGTCCTCCACTTCGACCAGTCTGTGGCTGGCCCTGACCACTCTGTGCCTGTCCCTGAGACCTTGATCCACCTTGACCACCCTGACCCTGACCCTGGACTCGACCCTGCGCCTGAGGCTGGGGAACAGTCGCCGCAGCGGGGGCACTCGGGCTACCGGGCGAGCCCTCATCTCCGTCCCAGATGAATTCGTGGTCAGGAGCGCCGTACTCGAGGGCCTTCGCCTTCCAGTAGCGCGTCTCGGCGTCCTTGCGGGCACGAGAGCGGCGCGCGGCCTGGTTGTTGCGCACCTGGCCGCGGCGGCGGACATAGGCGTCGCAGTGCCGCCAGACGGCCTGGGCGTCGGCAGTGGTGTAGGCCGTGTTGGTGATGGGCTGCGGGGCATCCCCCACGCCGGCCGCCTTGGCCAGCTCGTAGCAGTGCTCGCGGATGTCCTTGATCTCGGTGCTCGACAGGTACTTGAGCGTCGTGGGCTCCGTCAGGAACACGTGCCAGTGGTTCACCCCGTACGGCCGCCACTCCGGGTCCGGGTGCCTCAGCGGGCCGGCCTCCAGGATCCGGTTCGGCGGCACGTGCGCCGTGTGACTCGCCGCCGGCGCCTGCTGGTCTCCTCCACCCGCCAGGGAGCTGGCTGCCGGGCTGCTGGTGTTTACTGCCGGGCTGCTGGTGATCGCGGCCGGTGCGGTGCCCGTGGAGCCTACGGACGTACGTGGGCGCTTCCGGACTGGAGTTCTTGGAGTGTCCTCCGTGGCGATGGAGCGGAGATCGGGCTTGGTCTCCTCTTCCTCTTGCATGAAGCTCTCGTACTTGGTCGGGAATGGAGGGAAGGCAGAGTGATCTGGGTCGAATTTAGGCACGGGGCTCATCGTGTTGTATCCGAGGCGCTGCTGCGCGTTCTGCTGCATGCCTCCACTGACGCCAAGAGAAGTATTATAGCCACCCATCATGAATAGACTGGGATCCAGAGAGGAGTTCAGAGTGCTGTCAAAGAGTCCTGTCATATCGGAACTGCTCGCGGTATCGTCCAACCTTGTCAAGTCGACTTGAAAGCCTGGGCGCTGGTTCTGGCCAGGGTTGGCTGCTGGACTGGGAGCTGCGCGTGACGTGTTCGGGTTAACCCCACGAGTAGCCTGACGACTCTGGCGGTTGAATTTGTTACCCGTACCATTACCAGTGCCACCTTGGTTACTGGCGTTGCCAGAAGGCATGCTGTTGCGAGGCATAGTGTTCATGGGGATATTTCCCGTCAGAGACAACGGGATAAAGAGGCTTGGATTCGAAGGAGCGCTCGGGATATTGGGAATGCCCGTGTTGTCGGTGCAGAACAACTGGTTAGGGTCGAGTCCGTGGCCAGCTTCCTCCAGGCTGGGAAATTGGGAATTGATATACGAACCGCCGGTCTCGTGAATCACCGGGAGGGGGTGACTCGGCGAGACGGTTGGGGCTCCGACATCTGAGATGGGACATCAGGTCAGCATTTCTGTTAGCTGGTAGGGGGCAGAAGAGATGACAGTAGGGATGAAAAGCATGGGAACTAATACGCTGGCCGGCAAAAGGGTGGAAGGTAGGGGGGAATAGTCCGGAAAAGTGACGCACGGAGATCCTTGCGGCTTTGAGCCATATTGGCTCGATGTGATAAATATGTAATGGCCTCTGTGATAATATGACAGCAATGAAGTTTCAGTGTTCAATAGGGGTGGGGGGGGGGGGGGGCTCAAGGAACCTTGAGCATAACCTTGCTTCCTATCAGGTATGAGCAAATAATACCTCCAGGTAGAAGACAATGGGTCTCGTGGTCTTTGTGAGAACCACAGTGCTTTTTGGGAAGACACTGATGAGTAGATTTTGATAGCCGAGAGGCTTGTAATTTGGATATTGAAGTTGAACAGTGAGGCGGAGAACTTACTAGTATCGGTGTTGTTGTCAGAGGCAACAGTGTCGGCGGTGTTGCCAGACCAAGGCTGGATTGCTGAAAGGCCAGGAGAGTCTTGGCCCTCAACTGCAGGGTCAGATTTGACCTTTCTTGGAGGCATCTTGGTTGCATCCAACAACTGGGTGTTTTGGATGTTGTGAGGAGCGCTGAGAAATGCTTGGTTATGTATGATGGCAACACAGATGAAGTGTTATCCAGTTATTGCAGATCTAGCGTTAAGAATCCTGGTTAACAAACATTTCAAATTGTAGATCAAATGGTGCTAGTTCACTTGATATATATGTAAATTGCGCCGCGCAGTGAAGAGGACCTTGAAACACCATTCACTTTATAATGCTTGCCGTGGCAACAAAGTGACGGCAGTGGACAAGAGTCTTGGTGGTTAGGTGCTTGATTAACTGAATTTGGGTCGCCGACCGGAGATCGAGGAGTGCTTCAAATTTGGGTTCAGTTCAGGCTTACCTTGATCGCCTCTCCAAATCAAACGTGGTGTAGGGCCAGATTGTCCTCGAGTCACTATTCATGACAGCCGAGGTCAGCCTTCGGAGGCGACTTCGAGACTGCACCTTGTTTAGTGTGCCGTGAGGCTAGGGAGAGAAAACAGACTGGAACGGTATACCAGTCTCGTCAGACCCACTGAGGTGTATCAATGTGCAGCGAGGTTCCACCCGAAGCATGGAATGCGTCCAAGCTATCCTGGTTCTTGAGGCAATGTGGCGCTCATCAGTCCCTGACGGTGTTGAAAGAGCTCGGGGTTGTGTATCTTTGTTTACTTAGGCTGTAGGGCAAACTAGCGTCATTGTTGAATCCAACTTGAAGATAAGCGCTGCTGGAATGGACTGCCTCTCAGTGTTGTAGGAGAATTTGCACTTTTTCGATTGGTATTGAAAAGCCCTGAAAGCGAAGTTGCGGATACCGATCCAAAGCTTGGCCAATTGTCAATAGCTTAACAGTCCTCAATGTAGTGGTCATGAAAGCCAATCTCCAGAATGTCCCTCAAAAGTGTCCTCAGAATGACTGGGCGACCTCAGGATTACGATGAGAAGTTCTCCTCAGGTTCGGGACTTGTATTGGATTTCGTAGAGGGAATGAGCTAGAAGCTGAGTCCGTACGAATAACGGTTGCCTTTATACCTCTGTCGTTATGGTGAGGGTCACGGCAGAAGCCGAGCTTGTACAGAAGGGTACTAATATATTCAGGGAACAAATTGACCCGGCAGACCCACCCAGATTAGCATACTATTGTTGTATCAGACGATCAGTCCAATTGACTGTCTTTCCCCTATCTCAATCGAAGGAGACAGAACAGCAAGCGCTTCGATGTTAATGGCTAGAATAGCCGGGCTGTTCGAGAAGCTCCACGGGGTTATCCCAAATGCCGATGCTACAAGGAGCAAACGGACTGGAATCGTAGTGTATCTCGAAACACTACAAACGGGAGGATTGGTTCAGAGGCCACTTTTGCTTGTAGGAAGTGGTGAGAAGGTGATATCGAGTGTAGTGGGCGACCACAGCCAAATGAGGAGCCGGAGTATCGAACTTATCATCGATACCGAGCTAAATGATGAATGTGAGATGATAAGTGTACAACACCGGAAGTTCCAAGGGCTGTCTCCAGAGTTGACTGATCTTGGTGGTGTTTAGGCGAGAGCGAGCCTGTATGGGCATTGGAAGGAGGGAATCGAGGTGGTTAAATGGACTGATTCAGGGCTACTTGCCAGGTGTCAGAGATATTGGACAAATCTACCCAGGTATCTGTCTGTCCAGAGGGTATCAAGTGTGCTTGTCAGGTGTCATTATGGATCATCCCGTCAAAGAAGGTGCAAGTTATTTGAATTTAGGCAAGTCCTCAACGAAGACGGAGACCGGCAGGCAGGTCGCAGCTCGACCAAAAAGTGGGCAAAGATTCAAGAATAATGGTCCTGGCAGAAGTCAAGATGCTGCTACGCTTGAGTATATAAGCAGTGGGACATGGAAAATTGGGTCCGTGGAAAAGACACAGATAAGCACTGGTGGCAATGGGACCGTCGGACATATGGTGGAGTACAATGGATTATTATGTAAACGACTCTAAAGATATCTATCCTCCTCTTCACATGAGAAACATGGCGGCATTGAAACCAAGGCCGACCAAAGCAGCGACAGTGAGGCCAGATCGTGACGCCGCGTTGGTGGGAGACGGTGTTGCGCCACCTGTGGTCGGTGTTCCTGTCGAGCCAGAATCGCCAGATTCAGTTCCATTCTGTGTTGCATTTGGCCTCAGTGTTCCCTCACTAAAAGTATCCGGTCGAATGCAATTCAAGTAGGTCTCAGATTGCGCCGACGAGTCGTTGTAAACATTGATTGTTGTGGTGATCACCGGCCAGATGTGAGTTGCAGCGGCCAGCCACGCTGCTTCGTCTCCTTTGGTCGCATGCACAGTGCCGTACTGGTAGAGGATTTGCTCAGATCCATTTCCAAATGCTATGTCTAATTAGCTGCAATGTACTTTTTGGGGTAGTATGCGTTGGTCGGGTGACTCACATGAACCAACTCCTGATAAGTCGGAAAATTGAGATTCACAGCTAGCTGGAACGCTCGGTAGGAAGTTGCTGCAGTCGCTGTTAAGGCCTTGAGAGGCAGCAGAGTAAAAGTCCGAGATGCACTCTTCCGACAGCATCTTGCTACAACCAAAGCCATCTTGCGCATCGAGGTCTGCCGATGCCGCTGTCACATTTGCCGACAGACCTGAGTAGATGGCGACACAGGTAGTCAGGTTGCGCTGGGCCGATTCCACTCCGAGAGAGAGAACAGAAGTAGAGGCGAAGTTGTCTGAATCTGGAATGGGTACGTCGGCGCTCACCGCAATGCTCAACGAGTACGCGACATTCGACCGATCGAAGGTTATGATTCCCGTGGCATTAGCCTTGTCTGGATCAGAGTATTCTGAGGTGGGAATTCCGAATAGCCCTTCATCGCCAGCCCCAAAGATACTCTCGTCCCCAGTTTGACAAGAGGCCAGAGGGGTCAAGGCCAGGGCGAGTAGCGAAAGAGAAAGACGAGATGCCATCGGCGCTGCTTTCGATTCCTCAGTCAAGTGTGGCGGTAATACTCCGAGATATACTCTTGCGCTTGAAAATATTTTCGATCTTCGAGAATTGGAAGTGGATGCCTCTCTAGACAAGACAGATGTATCAATGAGCGGGTTATGTCTGTTATAAATCTAATCACCGCGCGATCGTACATGTAGGTACCTAGAGGGAGCGGCCGCCTCCTCGGACCCAAGGCTACATCATCGGATTGTATGCTGCCACAGTCTTTATCCAGAGTGGCTGCAGCGAATCCTTTGTATGATGTGAGATTTAGGAGCAAGATCGTGGCGTCGGCTTCTTGGCAAGGAGGCTACCGACTGTGCCTCATAGGGCGATCCATCAGCTTGCGCCACAGATGTAGAGCATTTCCCCATCTGAGCCAACGCGATATCTTCGACTCCACGTTGTTGTGGCCCCAGGACAGGATGATGCATGCAATATCTCGAAAAGCTGACCTACGCGGATTTGGTCACAGCATTCTCAGCAGCCGTCCGTGACCATGTGACCACGCATACAGCATCTCCATTTTCCACATACAGCATCCCACTCAGCCGAGGTGAGAAATTTGCTGGAAATGTAAATGATGTCCAGTGATGAAGTTGGTGGGACTCTTTGGAGAAGATAGATGCGTGAGTACCCACAACAGTTGTCGTCAGTAGGGTTAGGGGGGAGCAGGAGAGCCAGCATGATGGGGGGGGGGGGGGTTCCCTGTGGGGCCGGTCACTCCCAGTGTAAACTAGGCCTGGTGGGTCGCGTCTCCAACATTTTGGGGTCTGTCGACGCGTCTGCTGTAAGTGCTTCCCTGACGCGTCTTTCCACACCAGATTAACCTTCAAACTACCGCAGTTCTGGTTACCCACGAACACAATTGGTGCCAGTCAAGTCTCCTACGCCAATTCGACAACCTCAAATACGTACAAATAGCTGGAGGCGTCTGCCATCATGGCTGCTCCTTCCTCTCCAATCACGTACCCCCCGAGCTCGTCGCCTGCGATTCCTCCGAAGCGTCCTTTCCGAGATGGCTACCAACAACCAACCAGGCCCAAGGCGAGAGGCGGTTTTCTTATGGAGGATTCTGATGAAGAGGAATTGAATGAAGAGCCAAGCCCGAAACGGATCATGACCAAGGACCCAAGGGCGACTGCAGGCTTGACAGCAAGCAACACGGCAGAAGCTATTACCCAGGAAACAGAGAACAACTCTAGTGCTGGAGATAAGGAGGTCAGAACCGAGGAAGAGCCCACAGAAATACCAGACGCGCAGCCAAGAGACGCAACTGTCGTCGATGAAGAGGAGGAAGCTCGCTATGCGCGCCTTTTCAGCAGACACGACGCGCCGACCGAGACGCCCACACAAACACGGATTGGGCGGGACGGCTACGCTTTCGTCACATGCTCGGGCAAGTCTGATGGTGTTCTGAAACGCACGAAGACCACCACCACCAACTACAAAGATATGGTTGCTGAGCGATCGAGAACCAAGGAGGGCCGGGCGAAGCGCGCTTACTTTGGCATTGATATCCATAAACTCATGGGTGATGCCACCAACGAAATGGTAGCTTCAAAGACCAAGTCAAAACCGGCACCTAGCCACACAATACCGGTTATGCCGTCTGTGGAAGACCGAGCTGCGAATCCCAGAAAGCCAAAGAGGACCATGCTTTGGACAGAGAAATACCGCGCCAGGAGCTTCATAGACCTTGTGGGCGACGACTTCACAAATAGGCAGGTTTTACGATGGCTGAAGCGCTGGGACACCATCGTTTTCCCTAACTCGGCCCGGACCAAGCCTGCCGGGGCGAGGAAACAGGCAGCTCAGCAGCAAGAAGAGGAAGATAAGCCACACAAGAAGATCCTGATGCTGACAGGGCCGCCTGGTCTTGGAAAGACAACACTTGCACACGTTTGCGCACGACAAGCAGGATACGAGGTGATCGAGATCAATGCAAGCGACGATCGAAGCCGGGACGTTGTTAAGGGGCGGATCAGAACTAGTCTGGGCACAGAGAGCGTCAAGACGGTTGAGCATGCCAAGCCGAAACCCGGGGCCAAAGCCAAGGTTGCCCGCCCAGCGTGTGTCGTGGTTGACGAAGTCGATGGTGTCACAACCGGCTCCGGCGCATCGGGAGAGGGTGGCTTTGTCAAGGCCTTGATTGACCTAGTGATAACTGACCAGAGGAACAGCTCTGGGGAAGCATCGGCGGCGAGGAAAAAGAAGAGGGGGGATGACTTTCGCCAAATGAGGCCACTGATCCTTATTTGCAACGATGTGTACCATCCATCCCTTCGTCCGCTCCGACAGTCTGGCCACGCAGAAATCATTCGTATCGGGAAGCCGTCTGTCGATGCTGTCGTGGGCCGACTGAAGGCAATCTTTGAGAAAGAAGGAATATCCTGCGAGAAGGATGCTGCACGAAAGCTTTGCGAATCGGCGTGGGGTATGTCGAATGCACTCGATGCCAAGAAAGGTGCCGAGAGTGCCGCAGAAGGTGATCTCAGAGGCGTAATGGTAGTAGGAGAATGGGTCGCCGGCAGGTTGAGAGCACAAGATTCGAAAGGCCCGATGCAGCTCACACGCCAGTGGATTGACAAAAACATCGTCCAAGATTTGCAACATGGTGGTGGCGGCGCTCGTGGACTTGGCCGGGGAGGCGTCAAGGAGATTGTCAGTCGCGTTTTTCAAGAGGGTGCTGGATTTCCCCGGCAAGCCGACATGAGCGTGAACAAGAAGACAAGGCACGAACAGCCACAGGCCCAGCTGGGCTTCACGGAGCATTTGAAGAAGCACGCCATCGAACGACTGCGCGAAATGGTAGACACGAGCGGCGAAGTGGATCGAATCCTGACCGACATCTTCTCCGAATACCCCAATCGCGAGTTCAACGACGATTCTTACTTATCTAAACCGAATGAAGCATACGAATGGCTTAGTTTTCATGACGACTGTTCATCACGTCTTTACGCCAGTCAGGAGTGGGAACTTGCACCTTACCTCAGCCAACCTGTGCTGGCGTGCCACCACCTCTTCGCAAGCCCACATCGACCACAGGCCAACGCGGGTTTCGACAAACAGTGGCGAGCCGCAGAAGGCGATGCCGGGGCCACGGAAGTGCCACTGCCCTTTACCGGGCCTCGTGCTGACTACACTGCATACGAGACGAGCAAGCAGAATCGGGCGTTGCTGCAAGGACTCCAGGGCCAACTACCGCCCACGTTGATGCGGGCTTTCAGAAGCCCAGAGGACATTGCGACCGACTTTTTGCCATATTTGATCCGATTGGTCTCACCAGATGTCAAACCCGTGGTCGTGGGTGGGAGCAGCGACAAAGGCGCTGTTGCAAGCGTACGGCGAGAAACCGAGAAGAACATGGTCAGGAGAGGTACCGAGGTGCTGGCCGAGGTCGGCATCGCTCTGCTGAAGGGCAAGATCGAGGACTCTAACCCGTCCATGGCGGGGAGGACGCAGTGGGTGTACCGCATGGATCCGTAAGTTGAAGTGTTTCTACGTCCTTTTAGTCTCATGCTGATCATCCTGCAGTGACCTCGATATGCTTTCCACCTTCGAGACAGCAGGCGAACACGTCCTAGCCACGCAGATCCCGGTGCGCTACGCTGTCCGGCAAGTCCTTGACCAGGAGCTGCAGAAGACGATCGCGCAGCGCGAAGCGGCCGCCCGCCAAGCGCGCTTCAAGGCCGGCATGGGTACCGTCGAGCTGGCCCAGCACGACATGCTACTGCACGATGACAAAGAGAACGCCTCCTCTGGGCAGAAGGCCCTCCCCATCATGCCTACCGTTGTCAAGAAGGATTTCTTTGGACGTGTCGTCCTGGAGAAGCCGCTGCAGGAGATTGATGGGAACAGTGGTGGTTCGAAGAAGGGCCAGGTGGCTGAGAAGGGGGAGAATAAAGTCTGGGTTACCTATCATGAGGGCTTGAATAATGCTGTGAGGAAGCCGATCACATTGGATGACTTCCTGAGGGGACTTTAAATCGTTATTGAGAGATGAGGCTGGGACGCTTGTTCTTGGACAAATAATGCATTATTTGGTGTTATGAGGTCTTCCAGCGGATATCATTCAAGAGGCATTCTGGCACTTTTGCTTATCGCCCAATCCCAATGTTTAGACAGTCCAAGGCCATATGTGTGACATGGCGGGGCGTGGTGCATGCTGTGCTAAGCTGCCTTGGGCTACCTGCAGTGGCACTGCACGTCAGACAATCCCCAAGGCTGCGAGCCATCTGAGCGAGTGGCGGTCCTGAAAGCCCCGCCGTGGAAGCCAATATTCGTATGGTCAACTTCTGTCAAGCAACAGATGCAAGAGAACTACACCAGAGACGGCCCTCCGTCGCGATGGCTGTGACGACCCGTCAAGATCACGGTCTCGCAACGCCGTCTCCATTCCTGGGACTCTCGCCAGGTTCGCCGGCTCTACAGCTTGGTGACCTGATAGGGACAGTCAACGGCGAATTGTACGCCGGGTGGTATCTAGCCAGCCCACACCAACCGTCAGTGTCCCGACACAAATACTCGAGACCAGCATCGCAGACTGTTGCTTGCTAATCTAGTGCATGCTACCAGGCTATCCGATCCAGCCAAGTCCGCATACGAAAGTGCCCTCGACATCCTTGAAAAGACACTCACAATCGACGAATACCAGACACCATGGCTGCAACGCCAAAGCTCGATGCAAGATGTCCGGGAAGCGGTGGTGCAGGCTCTCAAGGAATACAGAACAAAGGCGAAGGGCAACAAGGTTCAAGAATGGCTGTCAAGTTGTTCTGAAAGAGTAATGTACTATGGAGGTAGGCGAAAGAGCCGTCCGTATTTATGGGAAGCAATGGCTGATCCTTGTCTGTGCAGCAATCTTCGACACTTTCGCTCAACACCACCCGGAGTACGTCTCGTTGGCCTGGGGAGCCATGAAATTTCTGTTTATCTCAGTTCTGAATCACGAAGAATTGCTCAGCGAAATTTCCAAGGCAATCGCCAACCTCGCAGATGTGTTGCCGCGAACGGAGCTCCATTCGATTCTCTATCCCACGGCTCGGATGCAAGAGGCAGTCTCGCTGCTATATGCCAAGATAATTGAATTTGTTGTCAAGGCTATCAAGTGGTGCAAAAAGGGCAAGGCGAGACATGCCATCGCGGCCATCGCGCATCCGTTTGAGCTCAAGTTCAAAGCCATCATTGACGAGATCACGAAACGCTCTAGAGCAGTAGACGAGTTGGCTAACGCGGCCTCGAAGGCTGAAATTCGAGACCTACATTTCACAGTACATCAGATGAGTACATCGATTGCACAACTCACCGAGACGATGGCCTGTAAGTGAGAGCATTACTGATGTCTAGCCAGGCCATGTAAGATGGACCGAGACTGACTAACACTTCTGGAAAGTCCACCAGCAGCAGCAGACCATACATAACCAGTCTTTGCTGAGCCTTCGAGCAGAACAACAGCATATGTTCCGAATGGCTCAAATTGAAGAATTTCGCAGAACAGTATTATTACTCGACGATACGCCGGATGCATCACAGAATTTTGCATTTTGCAAATCAATGCGAACTCGGCGCAGGCAGAGACTACCAACACAGCTGCCCATGACTGCACTATCCAAACTGAGAGCCTGGGTATCGGACCCTTCCTCTTCCATGATCCTCGCCCAGGGACAGGGCATCAAAACGAGTTCACTAGACTTTGCCGTTGACTTTTCGGATGCTGTTCTCGACCGCGACTACCCAGTTATTTGGGCACTACCTGGGGACATTGACAGTTCTCAGCCAACCCCATCAGTCATCGGTATCCTAAGATCTCTAATTTCACAGCTGCTTGAATTAGAATATGGCCAACCCCAGAATGGAGCAAGCTCGGTCGCCCTCAAACATTTCAAAGGGAAGACAAACACTCGGCATTGGTTTGAGATCCTCGAGCGCTGTATTTCTAACTTTTCTCGCTTGTTCGTCATCATCGATACGAGCCTAGTGCAAAACTCTCTTCAGGAGGAAGTGAGAGGTGACGAAGACTTCGCTCTCAGTGACTTCACACAGAGCTTCTCAGACATTGTTACTCGTTCAGATAAAGAGGGGCTCAAAGTTGTCGTCATATCTTGGAGGTTTGACACAGCTACCTCGATGGAATCCGGGGGAATATTCGATGAAATGCAATTTGCTACAGACATGGGCAGTAGAGTACAAAGAATGATGCGGCAACCGAGATATCGAGCCATGTTCAGAAGGAGGGATCAGAGCTTGGCGAAGAATCTCAACTTCCCAGTTAACGGAATACCCTAGAGCATGGAATATAATTTACTCGGCAAGTGGAACTATCTGTAGATTCGCGCTTACGCAGCCAACTACCATGACATAGTCTATGTTGTGCAACCACATAGACCGTTTGGTTATAGCGCCATGCGTTGATGCCTTAAAAAAAGTCATCCAGTCCTCAATCAGAAACCCAGAGCCTCATAAACAGCGATGACCACGCATTCCCATGACGGCCGCACCCCAATTACTCTGCTGAACCAGCGCCATCCAACAGGTGACCCAGAGAAATCGAGGCATACCGCTCTTTGAGATGCCAAGATGGAGCGAGAGCACGGATCCTCCCCGGAACTTCCTCTGAGGCCACCTCAGTTCAAGGCAGTCAATGAAAACGGCATGTTCATGAGTTCTACGATCTCCAAAGATGACACAGAGGGAGATTTCTCCACGAAAAGCAACTTGCTTTTGCAGTTCAACAACAGGACTGGAAAAGGTCGGTCAAGGGAGATTCGAGAAGAGGGGCCTGAGTACTCATCGCAACTCGGGTGTGGTTCGACGTGCTAATTGCGCAAAAGGAAAACGACTGCGCGTCCATTCATTCGTACCGTTGGGTAGTGGCAGTCCTTCCGAAGAAACAGATGAGGACCGCGGTGTTACAGACCAACAGCGTGAGATCGCGTGGCCCAAGGAACGGGCCGACGAACAGGCTCATTGGCGTCGCAAAGCTACGGCAAGACCAGAACTTCTTCATGGTGTGGCTGGGCGAAACGATTCTTCTTCGACAAATGATTTGGGTTTGCAAAAAAAGGGTAAACATCGTCAAGGCTTCCATGAATCCGAAGGGTCTTCCGACGATTCCGCGGCGCCGTCAGCCAGGAAGGTGAAACCGGATTCAAATACCAGTTCAAGCTTGAATTTTAAAGATGTCCTCGGATTCACAGACGATAACAAGAATAGTCGTGTGTCGAATGAAGGAATTGGTGAAAAAGCTTCACCTAGAGCGGGTACAGTTTCCAATCCTTCGAAGGTGGTCGAAAATACACCAGTTGCTTCATCGTCGTTCTCATTGCCTTCTACAAAGACGAGCGAGTGGTCGAAGCGTGTTGCTGCGGACCAGTGCCAACAACAGCCCAATCGAGCTTTGAGTGAGCCCCAACCAACCTTGTCGGAGTCACTGAATGCAATCACTGAGAGATTTCTCAACATCGATGCCTTGGATCAGAAGCAAGACATTTCCAGGTTCATAGCGTATCTTCTAGATACCATTGAGCTTCTTGACAGCAAAGTCAAATTCCTCGAGGCGCGAGAGTCCGTGCAAAGTTTCAGCAGTCACAACCAATCTCTGTTGTCGGGATGTCAGAAACCACATCCTGTCGCCAGTGCATTCTTACACAGAATCCTTTGCAACAATCAGAGCCACCATCACAATAATTCACTCTCTGAGGATGAGCCGACTTATCGAGATACTCACACCAGCGGCGACGCAAAGCTGATGGGCCACAAAATGGTTCACAACCTCGACAACTATCTTGATATGCAACCAAATATGTCTTTCCTTGTCATTACAGATCATCATTGCACTCATAATGACAGGAACAATGATGAACAGAGCGGCCAAGGTAGCAAGCGCACTTTTGGGAAAAGGGCAGAAAGTCTTCGGGTAGTATCACCTTTGTTGCATAAAGCACTGACTCAAGTTGCGGAGTACCACCCGTTTCCGATGAGCAGAGATGGGAACCTTCCACAGGATCTGGAGATGAAAGCCCCCTACCTGTTTTTGTTCCATCACCACGACAGGCTAGTTGAGCTAGCCCGGGACAAGGGTTATGAAGCCGTGTTATGCCCACTACTAGAGTTCTTGGCTACAAAATATGGCAAAGAGTACGACGAGGCTAGAGTTCTTCTCAAGGAAGGAATCATTACTGCTGAACACGTCTCAAAATTGTTCAAACCCAATCAGATGGTTATCGGCCGACAAAAAGCAGGTGTTCTGGAAGCGCACATACTGAACGGACATGTTACTATCGCAAAAGACAAAATCCTTTTCGAAGGTTGGTCGTGGACGTATGATGGGAATGAGCTGCGAAGGCAGCCTTGGTCGCAATATATTGAAAGTGTCCCGGACGAGCGGACGCGGATCGTCGACCTCAAAATTCACCCAGTGGAGTTTGCGCCGGATGAAGACATAATGGCTCTTGAGAAAAGAGGAAGAAAGTTTTGGAACATGAGGAACCAAACATATATCTGCTACACCGGCTGGGACGCAGCCCGGGATCATCAATACGTATGTAGACACCTCTCCTTCCCGTCTGTGAGAATTTTGGAGTTTTTCTTTGTCTTTCTGACCATAATTCAGATAGAAGAGAGATTCATGGTCGATATGGCGACTTATACATTGATGCATCAAGACTTTTTCGTCGGCGCTCGTCGCTTGGGTCAAGACGAAGCTTACGACGGGCTTTCGAGGCTCGACCCTTGGCCTCTCACTGTCAGCAAGATAGAGGAGGACCTGTCACGTAAAGCATTGATGCTTCTTCCGAACTCGATTTATGGATTCAAGCTTCGAGCAAAGAAGTGGAGTGAGTGCAACACCTCCCGAATCAACGCTAGCAACTCGCATCAGATATGTAAACTGATTGATGTTAGTCAACCTGCTCGTTGACAACTTTCACAGTATGAAATGGAACACGAAAGCCTTCAAACGTCTGGTCCTTGATGAAGCTGCGAAGAAGATGATTTATGCACTGATTGATGTGCAGAAGTCAGCTGGCAAGATGGACGATATCATTTCTGGTAAGGGCAACGGCTTGATCATTCTGTTGCATGGTAGTCCAGGCACTGGAAAAACATTGACAGCAGAGAGGTTCGTGTTCTATAGTTTTGTTCTTCATAATCATGAGAATATCTAACCACGGAAGTCGTGCAGCGTGGCAGAGATCGCAGAGAAGCCTCTGTACCGCGTCACATGTGGTGATATCGGCACTGATGCCAAAGAGGTCGAGAAGTATTTGGAGACTGTTTTGCATTTGGGCAAAATCTGGGATTGCGGTATATGCATTCCTGATCTGTCTTTTTTGAGAAAACAAAAGGCATTGACGGGATCACAGTCCTCCTTTTGGATGAAGCAGACGTATTCCTTGAGGAACGCACTATGGCAGATCTCCAAAGAAACAGCCTGGTATCTGGTGAGAAGCCTTCAATGGGTCGAGTGAATATTGCAAGGCTGACATATTTGAATTGTTCTAGTATTTCTCCGCACGCTCGAGTATTACGAAGGCATACTCATACTGACCTCGAACCGCGTCGGCATCTTTGATGAGGCGTTCAAATCACGGATCCAGGTTGCCATCCACTACGATAACCTGACAAAGAGATCTCGAAAGGAAATATGGAGCAATCTGTTTGAAATGATTGAGGAGTCGGAGGACGAGGATGCAAACATCGCGGAGCTTGAAAGGAGACTCGACGAACTAGCAGCCCATGAAATGAATGGAAGGCAGATCCGCAACGCGCTGCTTACTGCTAGGCAGCTTGCCAAACACGAAGGGGAGAGGCTGGACTGGGAACACTTAAGACGGGTCATGAAGATCTCGGCGGACTTCAACAAGTATCTTAAGACAGTCAAGGGGCACAGTGATGATCAGTGGGCGCGGCAGGAGAACCTGAGATAGCAGATGTTGGGCTTGGCTGACTACTTCTTCCGGTTCATTCAAGCTATCTCCTCTGTCTTCTTCGACTTGTCTCTTAAATGCGTATGAATGTGTTCGTCAATTTTCATTCACTTTGGGGAACTCAAAGAATACTTAGGGATATTATAGGAAAATTTGGATTGAAGTCTCTTAGATATCAGCTGCTTTAAAATGATTTTCAATAAAATGATACTGCGGCCATCCTCTTAAAATACTTTATGGCACCTAGCAGATGTCTCAAGTGCTAGGACTTTGAGGCTGACAGGACTTCGCTCTCCTGCTTTTCCTCCGCCGCCTTCTCCTTCTCATCTTGTGCACCTCCGGCCCCTGGGGCAGTCTTGTATTGATCATCCTGATTATCCTCGGTCACCTCCGGCTTCCCTCCTCTTGCCTCTTCCGACTCCGAAGCCTCGTCATCCCTCTCCAGCTCATCCAGAATATCCATAGCTCTAGCGGGTGAGACCCCCCTAACGGGACCACCCCACCTGGCTTCATTTTGAAAATCATGATTAATCGGAAGTTCTAGGGCTATACATTTGGGGAAATTTCAATTGCCAGGATTCTTACCTCTGAGCTCCTCTGGGGATAGAGCCCTAACTTTTGCCTTGCTCTCGGCAACCAAGGCCAGTAACTGGTCGTGTGAACGTAAATTGTCAGAATTTGTATGCAGGGGCTGGTCGTCCGGGCCAGCTTGAGGTCCCTTCTGCTCAACTGGCTGCGCATTAGCCGCTTCACCGTTCTTCGACATGGTTATGTTCGAGGGTTGAGTAAGGACTGATGCAAAGATTTTGTTGGGATTCGGAAAAGTGTGCTATGTGTGGTGAGGGACGAAAGGAGAAGACAGATGATTTTGCTGTGTGCTAATTGGATGGGGTGATGGAGGTGCTATGTAGCTCTAGCGGGGAATTCAACGTGCAGAGAACCCAGACTCTTTTATATTCCAATTTGTGGCGGGGAGAGCACAACACATGACAAAAATAGGCAGATGCGCCGTGGGACCCTCAAACTGGGTCTGCAAGCCTGCAGCCCTGCCATCCCATGCTACGCCGCCTGCTACGCCGCCTGTGGTCGGTCGGCCAGTGGGGGGGAGCTGCCTAAGCACCCCTGCTGGTCGCCTGGTGCCCACCTGGGCATTCACTGTGCAGGAAACAAAGGAAGCAACCGCGTCAAGTAAACCAACTACATGAATGCGGTTTTTCTGCATGCTTCAAGGTACCTAGGCAGCCAGTTGCATCTATTGAGTAGGTATACATAGCAATTCGTAACGCTGCTGTCCATGCCAGTAGAGTGACTTTAAATTATCAGCTCACACCACGTAGTTAAAGCGACATCGTTCCTTCGAAAGAGGTACTGGGCACGGGTCATATTTGATATAATGCCGAAAGCAATGATCTGCTCTTGACTCTCCTTTAAAATCTTACTTTACATCATCACAGAAAGTTGGCTAAAGTATGAATATTGAGAAATAGGGATCGGGCACCTGGCCCGAACGTTGTATTGATCAGGACAGAGTAAGAGCTTTTCGGCCCAGATGCCAGCTGTACTATTCCTAAAACCTCACTGCACTGCATCATTTGACCTGCATTCTCTTACTACACCAAAGAACTTGGATTCCTCCACCTGAAGTCCAGGCTGTCTCACCAGGGGGCCCAGCTAAGGTTTCTTGGCTGGTTTCCCTGCAGCACCTGGGGCCGTCAGGGCGGGTTTGGCTTGTTCCTTCTTACTCGCCGAGGGGAGCCGGGCTTTCTCCGGGGAGGGAACTCTGGATGGAGTTGTGCTGCCAGGAGCGGGCCTGGTCTTTGCCAAAGGATTTCCAGTGTGCTTCGCAGGCCTCGCGGGCAGCTTTGCAGTTGCGGGACCACCAGCCATAGAAGCAACTGGAAGTGCGTTGCTTTTCCCCTCAAGTTTGTCGAGTATGGCCATAGCCACATCGGGAGTGCAACCCCCTTTAGAAGGGCCTAGTTGCTCTGTGTTCACAGCATTGTTAGTACGAGGCTGCAGTTGTAGGATTTCATATCTTGATGCAACGGATGTTAAGCAATATAGTAACATACTAAGAAATTGCTTTCGCTTGTCGTTGTCAGGACTTTTCTTGGCCCCAGCCACCAGGGCCATAAGCTGCGCCTTGGTCAACGTCATATTGTCGGTGGTGTAAATTGAAGTCAGGATATCGGGATTGCGAGAAAGATGTCTATGTTTGGTGCGTGAAATAGGTGAGTGATGATTGATGGTTGTACTGTGATTCAACTTTTCTTTCAAACAATTCTTTGTGGAGGATAACTGTTACTTATTAGAAAAAGGCTTCTATGTCCATTGCATGAGAAGACTGAGACAGGCTTTGCTAATTAATCCAGCCTAGGATATTATTGGTAGTCCACTTTTGGTCATACGCATGGCCACGATGAGTCCTTATTAAGTAACTTTCCCCACCTCAAGCTGGCGGTTGATATTTGTGGCTCGTTGTCGTGTTCAGATGGTCACCTCTGTGGCCGTTTCAGGCTCTATGATTGTCTTGCAGGATTTCAGACCAACAGATTTCAATTCTGGTTTCCAATTCGGATTTTGTCCGACCCAGGTTTCTCAAGGAGCCAACGGTTCCTAGACGTGGGAAGGGGACCAGCCAACAGCATTCGGCAAGACTGTGCCTCACAAAACAAACCCACTATTTGCTTTCTGAGGCAATTTGGCACTCTCCTGCTTCAAAGACAAGAAAATAGGTCTAGCTAATCTAATAAGGACGAAAATAGAAACGGGCAATGCCGGAAGGCGCAAAATGGCCTGGTCACTGAGAACCTGCGAAGCCTCATCACAGTCCAAGCGACCTGCCAGTGTGGCCTGTTATCAGGACGTCTTCAGTAGATTGCGCTGCATTGAGCAGAAGGAATGGCTAGTGTTCTACTTACCTCGACCTTTCAGATTTTTAGATGGGCTTGTGGGGCTGGATCCATTCGTTCTATTATCGTACGTACTGAGGTCGCCGACCAAATTGAGGTCACGAGACCACGGTGCAAGCCTCCTTCCTCAACATCCCAGACTGAACGTATCGATCATGCAGTCTCACACATTGGAAGATAGATTCGGAGAATGGTCATTCAGAACAGGCCCAGACAGAGACAGAGATAGAGCCAATGACATTGAGAATGGGGCGGGAGTGGCACTTTTTCTTTCGTCTCTTCTCAAGTGTCTCTAACGTGCTGGAGTAAGGAAAATATAAGTATACTTGTGTCTCGGCGTTGATGAAGCTTCTCATAACTCCATTGAACACCATACCGACTTCCTTTACATTCTACAATTTCAATCTACATCAGACTTTGCTCAACCTTTCTAGCTCACTTAGCATTGGCTCCTCTTTGTCACTGAAACATTTCTTGTCATCATTTTACCACGGCGACACAGCCCATACAATCAACCCCATTGACAGTTCAACTCTGTGCTTCATATCAAATTTCATTTGACTAATTCGAAAATGGCACCAGGCCAAGGCAGTCGCAGCTCTTCGGGCTCATCCAACAGCTCCAACGATGCGGAGCATTATGTGAAGCTCAATGCCAGGGCAGACCAGGTCTGGAAGCAGGTCTTTGCAGAGGACGCCTTTACAAGCCTGACTATAGCAGACTTCGTGCTGAAGAAGACTGGTATGTCTTTGAATGATTATCTCAAGGCGCCAAAGACATTAAAGAGCAAAGTCGACATCAAGGTGATCCCAACGTGGTCCAATCTTGAAGTCCTTGCTAACGGCCCTGGACGCTGCGCGTCATTTGCCGTCAAGGTTTGTTGGAGACTGGCTAAAAATCACGCCGGTCAATATGAGTTCAAGTACTACAACATCGGCGCACACCGCATCGCACGATGCGAGAAGACTAGAGTTGTGATTGATTCCAGCTCGAACCTTGGAGCTTTTGAACTTTCCACCGACAAAATATGGATGTGGTGGAAAGGTGAAAAGAAACAATGGAAGTATGTTCCAGAAGAGATAACTATGTATTTCCGGAACACGTCTGATGCAAAGGAAGTGAGTGACTCTGGAGACCGCACAATGGATATGATGCAGGAACTGATTGATGGATAACGCAGGTCTTCGGCAAGCAAATCACGTGGAATGAGGCTATTGCACTGAGTGCGAACGGAATGGCGATGAAACCAGTTCTGGCGACTCTGTTTCGGTATGCACCCCTCAAACATAGCGTCGCATGTTGTGTTCAGCTCCTCGGCATATATTCACTTATCGTTCGGGTCGTGGACTCGTGCTACGTCACTTGACTAACTTTGCTTGTGACAAAGTGATATACAAGACTTCGCAACGGAGGAGAACCAGGCAATGAAAACCATCTTTCGGTACGTTCATAAAACCCTTAAAGTCTTCAACGACTTCGATCTAGGAGTGTTGCATCTACAGCGATCTTGTTCAAGCCTTTAAAACAAAGTCAAGCTGATCGCTATCTAGCATCGACGACGGGCAAAACCATGGCAAATCAATTTACAAAGCTATGATCCGTTGGGATCTCGGAAAGAAGTGTCTGGAATGTTGGAAAACGCTGGAAGAGCCTGAGAGTGTTGCCGTCTTTTCATGGAAGAGCAATGGAACGGATGCCCAGGCAGCTGACTGTGTAGAGACCTTCCAATCTTTCGTGGAGACTTATGGTGTGCAAGCTCAATGGGAGAGAAAGAATGCAGCTGCGGACCCACAGCAAATGATTTCCTTGGAGGATATTCACTGGAAGGTGTGGGGGGCGGCGACCGAGTTGTGGGGCAACCCCACTTGGGGAATTGTTGATCTCTCAAAGAAGAAATGATTTTGCGCCTGTATACAGGATATCTACTTGAATTCGAAGAGTCTTGCGGGCAGGAAGCCATATCTAGCCCACTAACTAGCGACGTTAACGTAGAGCCAGAGGAAAAGAAGTAGTAAACACATTTTAATTAGTGTCTTCCTCTTTATTATTCAAGCCTGCACCCGGGCTCGTGCATGAAATTTGCGCTTTCTAGATTGGTCATCGTGTAAGACATCTTATACTGTAGTCATGGGTCTACGCGGCCCTACAGACCGGCAGATACACATGCGGAATTATGAAATCAGAGAGGACCAAGGCCCAAGACGCAAGATACTAAGACATACCTACTAGCAACAAATGATTTGACTTGAGTGGATATTGCACGATACAAAACTCTACTTCGGCCCAGATAAAAGCCGTTGGTGGATGAATATGGGCCCAGTCAGCTCCTTAGATAGTCGCCGGCCACTGAGCTTCTTTGCGACGCAGAGCCAGCAGCCATCCACCAACGTTGTGGCAGAGACGATGCGGGAGCTGTCCCGGTCGAGTTAGCCGACCATGTCCATTGGGAGAGGTTGAGATCCCTGCATCATATATAATCTGCGTGTCCGCTTGTTGCAGTGTGAGCTGGATGATCAAGTTGACGACTCGAGAAACGGTCAGTGATGTTAGGGATGGAAGCTTCAATAACACGTTAAAACAACTGTTCTGACACCTCGTGGTTGTACCACCTCTCCAGAGGTCCAGTTTGCGTTCGCGATTTGATAGATTTGGCATGCCCAAACAATAGCAGTCAACCATGAATTTTCTCCTTGTCGTCCTCAGAGCGAAATTTGGCGCAGAATTTTCTCAAAATGTCCCAGTCCCTCCTCGTGAAAAGGATCCAAAGGGTGTGATCGGGTCATTGGCCATCATCCTACCCAATATCGAATAGAGTCGCAAAGTGCCCGCTCCCAGCGAGTTGGGACGGCCTCAACTCCCTAGATAACCAGTCCGAACGAATAATTGTGGGATGCTGAATCGGCCTCTGCCTGGCGTGGCCTGGGGTGGAGTGATTGTGTATGTGAAGGCCAGAGAAGACCTCAGTATTTGGCGCGACGGAAAGATACCCAGCCTAGGGATCATAATGTAGACGGCTTTCATAGCATGGTCGAGGCTGGCGATGTGGTCGAAGGAGAAGGGTGCATTCTGGTGTAACGACAAAACACTGCCCAGGTGGAGACCTCAGACGCAGTGCAGTTCGGGTGCCCAGGGGACGTAGGAGTGGCAGGTGCAGGCGACCCCCTGTGGCCACTTGTTTCCAGGACGACTTGACCGTAGCTGAATGACCAACTAAGTCGCAACTGCAATCCCAATGCGCCTGCAGTATTGGATTGCTATCGCATCAGCCCCGCCACTTGCCAATAATCCTTCAAGACGCGCCGCCTCTTGGCTAGCCAAGTCAGGCTCGTCCAGCCGATCAGCAACATCACGAGCTTTGCGAATTGAGGAGCCAAGAAAGGCAGCCCAGATGGTGGCAGCCGTTGGCGAGTTGGAAGGTATACCGCGAGCAGTGAGCACGGTTGTGACTGTTGTTTTTATACGTTGCAATGCATTGGCCATGGCAATAGCCGACTCCGGGTTCTCAGCTAGTGCGCGTGCAGTAATGGCCGCAGAGGACAAGGTACATGCGAGGGTTGCGCCGCCTATAATAGCATCCTGATGAGGAGCAATACGCGAAATGGTGATTGGGTCTGTGAGTAGTAGTACTGGATCGGTCGGCGGCAATGGATTTATGAGTGGGACTGGGTCTTGGTTTTGGGCTTTAACATATGGCGGCGGAGTGTTTTTCATGTCTGCAGACACATTGCCGCGGCGTTTGGACGTGCGCCTGAACCAGGGGCAGTACTTTCGTAGCATTTTCATGTACTTTGAAATTGGCGACAGAACAGTAAAAATGAGAAGAGAAATGTGAAGAGATTTGCAAAATTTGCAGCTTTCTTTTTATAGCGGTGCAAAGACAGCGCTTTCCATCATCATGGACGGTCCCAGGCGGGTTCCCGACGGTCTGTTGCACTTCTTTTCCTCAGCCAGTTATGTCCAAAGGAACACAGACTTACTGACTTTAGTGGTGTCTTTTCCACCGACATGGTTACCCGCAAATAGGCTTAAATTCTCGCTAATGCAGTTTATTGCGCTCGATAGCACTGAAGGGTATCTAGTGTGCTCACCGGACTGGCGTAGTTATCTTTATAAGCGCCTCTACTTCCACCTCATCTTTAGTCCTAAAAATAAAAAGACATTTAAATTGTCACTGTCAGAGGATCAATGATTGAGAGACTTCAGAGAACAGTCAGCACAGTGCGTTACTGGTCGCTTTTTGTACGAATAGTGCAGTGGCATTATTCGTGACAGGTACCGCGAGGCTCACCGACCAGGTACCGCTCAGGACCTACGAGGCTGCCAGTACGGCGCGGCTGACATGGCCAATCACAAAAGCGGCAGCGCGGACCACATCACAGGTCTTAAAGTTGGATGCTGCTCTGACCGACTTGCGAAGGCCTTAAAAATTGATAATGTTTCTGCTCCTCAAACGCCTATAGCCTGGTAGAATCCCAAGCTCCCTGAAACCCAACGTCAGGTGCTATTGACAAGAGGTGTTGACAAAAGCAGCCGTAGTATACCGGCAAATCAATTATTTGGGCAGTGAAGAGAATCGTCTTGGCAGCCAAAGTTAGACTTGTCGGCTATTGTTGCCAAACTTTGCAATATTCGCTTGCCAACAAGCCGTCTGTTTTGCACTTCGCATCCATATCCCCCTCGTCTTACGCCCCGAGCGTCGCAATTAGCAGCGCAGCTCCATCTTTCCAACCGCTCAGTCTCTAACCCATCATAAGCGGCTAGAAAATATGTCGACATTCTAGTCTGTATGCTTCTCAAGCTCCCGCCACATCCGAGCAGCAGCGTGAGATCGAATTGTGACCATTCGCCGGGGCCGGGCTTCAACAGTCTTGGGCGGAGCTGACGCTTGATCATTCTGGGGCACCAGGAATCTGACCGTGCTTTGAGGGCGCTTGGGAATGTCCGCAGGCTCGGCACCCATGAAGACCTCGTCCTGGTTCTCAGGCTCTGTACGGTCTCCTCGATGTTGACTCCGACTGCGCTTCCGGGGAAGGTTGCGTATTCTCGGGCGGGAAAAGATGCCTCGAGGTGGAGAAAGTACACTTGTGGTCTGCTGGACGGCATTGTGGGCTTGTAGAACGCGAGCTTGAGCATCTCGATTGCCAGCGCTTGGCATCATTGTAGGACTGTTGGACTCTGCAGGTTCATCATATGGCTCCGGACTCACGTTCAGGTAATCGGCCAGGTGGATCTGGACGAGTGTCAGTATCTGCCTTGTCCTGTGGGAGGGAATTCCAGGGGATAGCTCACTGCAGGCTGTCCGCCGAGCGGCATGGACGCAAATCCATAGTGGGCCTCAAAGGAACCGAATGGTGGATGAATTGGCTCCATTGCGTTAGTCCAGCGATCCTAGTAAGAGGGCAGAGCTCATCTCACTAATGTTGGTATTGACTGCGGGATATGAGGGACTTCAAGGGGCAGTGTGCAGAACGGGTCGTTTAAAAGCACTCCTTCGGGTCTGTCAACACGTCGAAGTGGGATGGACGCGTTGTGATAGACGGGTCTGGGTACGCCTGTAGTCAGAGGCAGCTCAAGGAAGTCAAGGGCCTCGCGGGTTGGGCGTGTGAAAGGCCAGCCTAGAGGAAGACCGTTGTCTTGGCTGCCTTGGCTGCCACCCTTCGCACCGTTGCCTCCGTTTCCTCCGTTGTTATTGTTGCCATCGTTGTTGCTGCCTTCATCGTCGACCGTGTTAGCACCAGCAGGGACGGAAGGGAGCCCAGAAGGATCCATGCTGGGAGTAGAACGAAAATGAATGTTGTATTGAGAGCAACAAGAAAACCAGCGAGGTTTGGTCATGTGAAAATTGAGAGGATCGTGATAGACTGTTTCGACTTGTGATTCACAGAGCCGATGAGGTTGCCGAGGCGATGGCCCACAGCACTGGCAACATCACGACGAGGTGGCATGCAAGCACCCCTCGCGCAGCAAAGTCAAGAATCGCATTGAAAGACCAACAGTCATATTCTTCCACTGTGAAAGGCAACCAGGATCCGAACTAGGCCAAGGATGAGAAAAGTTCACCTCCAGATAGGACACAAAGAGGAACAGCCTATATCGTGATGAGATTCTATAAAGTTGAACATCATTGTGTGATATTTTGACATGAACCATGACTTTGATTTTGCAGGCACACATGGTGAAAGGCCTTTGTGTCCTGGAAAAGTGATGATCAATTTGCCATTGAACTATAAGAATCCTTATGAATCGTATGGCAGTTTGAGCAAAAATATGTGCCCAGGTGTTTATAGACTTGTGTTGCGACCAAGACAAGCACTTTTCGTGAGCACTTGAGGACAAAGCACTCCCATAGAAGTATTAGAAGCAGTAGCGTCACTTTGAGACAACATAACAAGTATTTTTCCGTCGATACTGTGCATCGAATCTAATGGCAGCAATAGAGCAAAGCTAATTATCAAACCTCTAGACGCTGTTAAAACATAGTGCTGCATGTTCTATTCAGTTCCGTTCGCAGACAGCGTTCGTTCCTTCTCCTACGGGATACAAAGTAGGTCAAGAGCATGGAAAAAGTATCTGAAGCTAGGATTCCAGAAACGGGCACAAAACATGTTGAATTGGACCTGGCGCCTTTATGTGACGTACCAAATTTGCAGAGAAATATGTGCATGAATTAAATGCCGTATTTAGGGAATCTATAGCAATACCAACTGTGTCTATATCCTCATGGGCTGCCGCCTGGCCAGCTCACCACCATTCTCATTCTTCCATGTGCCTGCATAGTGATGAGAGACCAAAGTCGGGCCAACTGGCCCATCTTCCTCGTCGAATTTATTCGTCAAGTTGGCGAACGCATACCCGGGTAGAATGGTAACGTCAAGCACGCGCACAGGGTCTCGGATGTTCTCAATCATCTCGCGCCCGATGGGCTTTCCCAGAGCTCGCTCGAGGCTCTTCAGGATGCTCCGTGTCATCCTCCTTGGGCCGGTGTAGTCGACAATGTCCCCAACGATCTCCATCGTTAGCTCAGCGATGGTGACGTTTGCCTCTGCTGTGCTCTGATGGATCGAGTCGATGATGTCGTCGATCACCATCAGCATGTGCGGAACCCCAGGTTTGGACAAAATGGTCCAGCTGGCGAACTCATGCGTGTACTCCCAGTTCCATCCTGCGTCAAATTCCCAGCCGACCAGCAGGTTCGTCTCACTCCTGTGCTCTTCGGGGATCCATTCGTCGATGGGAATGCCCTCGCAGGAAACATCCAGGTCCGACCACACGCCGCCCTCAACATATAACAGCAGGTATCTCAGAAGGTCTGCCTTAAGGATAGGAACTGTTAGGCTGAGATACGCCTCGACGATGTCAGGGCGCGATGCTGAGAACGTCTTTTCCACCCAGTAATCGGCCGACGGGTCTGAGAAGAACTCATATCTGTAGGTCGGGTTTTGTTTGATGCAGCTCTGCGTCCACTCTTCAATCTGTTGGCTTTTGCCTTTCGGCCCGAGCTTGTACCATATCCGTTTGGGAATTCCCTCGTCCGCCAGTACTGTCTCGTCTTCAGCTGCAACAGCTGGCGGCTCCCCTAGGCCGTACCCCGTGGGTAATCGGAGGTGCTCAGCTAATTCATCGGCGATCCGGTCCTGGTGATTCCACGCCTGGTAGAGTAGAAAGCATACTGCAACTGAGGCAGCTAGTAATGTAGTTTTGAAGGTTTTGGACCTCGGCGTGACCTGTTGTGATTGTAATAACATGGCGTGTGCTGTTGATCTAGCGTCAATCAAAAAAAGACGACGAACTGTTTAAGGTGCCACAGAGGTCAGGATAGTCTGCTGTTTCTTCGCATGGGCTCAAAGCAATTGTTATTTAGTCGGCGAGCGCTGCCAAGCCTATCTGAAACCCATTTATATGACTTGGATTGACTCGACGCCTGAAACGATTTTGACTTCCTGCACGCAAATAGACCTCGAGCCGTGAGACGGGTAGCAGAACCTACTCGTGCGCATGTGTTCTAAATTGGCGTGATCTAAGCCCAGCTCCTTGGAGGCTGATCAAATCAATCCGCAGCTTGAAATGACTCGCAAAGTAGAAGTGACCCCCAGATACTTCCTGGCCATCCGGCGACGGGGCTTCGCAGTCTTTGAGACATCTAGGATGATCTTCGTTGAGGTTTCATCATTCTCATTTATCTGACAAAACTCCAACTGATGGATGATTATGAACTTTAAATACACGAGGTCGTAAGTCTACCGTTGAATCTTTACGTTCCTGCGGCACGGGTCGCTGTAACGCCAGTGTCGCATTGACGGTTGACGCGCCGCCAAAGCTTATTGTAACATCCTTGATGCTGGATAGAGTTCGTGCTTCATTTAGCTTGCGTGGCATCACATCCCAACCAAGAGACTTGGTTCTGCCTAATCCAGCCGGCGGCCGCACCAAGCATGTCTTCTTAGGAGGATAAAATGTGTGTAGAAAAGCCCAATCAGGGCACAATGAAAATGTTGCGCTTAGACGAATACGTTTCCACCGTGTACCTTGTCGGCTCCGTCGGTATGGACCGGACGAATTTCTGGATGTCATGTATGGGGCACCACATGGGACGAGGATGCGGAGAAGTTGAAACATAAGGAGATGGCCGTTGAGACGCTCATCAGCTGGCGTTTCTCGGTAAACCCGGCGGCGGGCTCAAGATATAATCCGGCCTCATTTGTAACCCTGAAAGTTGTAGGAAGCAGCATCTTGGTGCAAAGACAACCAGAGCACGACGGTGCTAGGAAAGAAAATCGAAGCATAGAATCTGATGAGAACAGAGTGAAAGGACCTTCCAGGATAACACAACCAGCAGGCTGGCTTGTATACCATTTCAATGACCAGAATTATGGCACAGCGCTCACAGTTCACTATGCTGCACTTGACATTACCAGCAAGCAGGACCAGCATATCGGATCCATGTATAGCTGGCAAGGGAGGGTTCCTTTGCAACCGCGGTAGCGGTGCTTCAGGCCAGTTCTGGGGCCGGTCGGGAATGCTGAAAATCGCAGGCCCAGCAAGCCCGGGTAGTGGACACAGGAAGGCCTCGGCAGGTGGTACTCGACGACTCCGTACTTGACGGTTTATATGACGCCACAGCACGAAGGCTTGATTGGGCAGTATCAATAGGTTGGCTTTCGTTGGGGGTTGCATATTGCATTGAAAGGAAGAGGCAGCGTGGGTGCGCGCCCTCTCGAAGCTATTTACAAGCAGCCAGCGGGCTGATAAGATAGGCCTATCGATAAGGCCCTACCTGCAGGGCCCCTCACACGTCCGCTCGCGGGGCCTCGGTAAACCATCGGCTTGTTGAATAACATCTTGCAAGTATTATTCTTTCAGGAAGGCTCTCATCAGTGCCCGTCTCAAAAAGCTTCACGATGAGCAACACCGAATTAGTGAACGTCGCGGTACCTCAGCCCGCCACATTGCCTACTGTCGTTGAAGACCATGAAGAAACTCACCAGCGACCGCAGGATGAAGAGGGTGATCCATCGACTGGCAGACGAAGGGAACAGCAGCTCGCGCCCGTAGATGGTGGATCTGCTGCTTGGACGCTGCTCTGCGCTGCCTTCATCTTTGAGTCATTGCTATGGGGTAAATTCACATCCCTGATCAAACTCAGTAGACGATGCTGACGGCAACTAAATATAGGCTTCCCCCTCTCCTTTGGCGTCTTTCAAGAATACTACTCTAAAATTCCAGAATTTGCTGACAATCGCTATGTTTCCGTTGTGGGCACCATAGCATCCGGCTTCGGTTATCTCGGAGCACCGGTCATCATGCCTATTATCCAGCGCTATCAGCGGTGGCAGCGGCACATGATTTGGGTCGGGTGTACGTCACTTAACTTCCTAAGACTTCGGAACACAATTTTCTAACCTGTCTGTCAGGGTCAATCTGCATTGCTGGACTCGTCCTAGGCTCCTTTGCATCCACTTTAGAGGGCCTTATCCTTACGCAAGGCGTCGCTTACGGCGTCGGATTCCTCATATTCTACTACCCCATCATCAGTATGGTAAATGAATACTGGATCGCTCGTCGTGGCATGGCTTACGGCGTTCTTTGCGGTGCCTCTGGTGTCTCAGGGTCCGTCATGCCATTCGTGCTGCAAGCACTTTTGGCAAAGTACGGGTACAGAACTACTCTGCGCGCTGTGGCCGTGGCTCTTGCGTTGCTCACTGGACCGTTTATTCCTCTCCTGAAGGGTCGTTTGCCGCCATCAGAACGAGCCAGTATCCGCAAAATCAATTGGACGTTCTTCCGAAGTCCTCTATTCTGGGTATACTCTGTCTCCAATCTACTGCAAGGACTTGGGTACTTCTTCCCTTCTCTGTACTTGCCCTCTTATGCATCATCATTAAGACTCGGCGACCGGAGTGGCGCACTTCTGCTTGCGTTGATGAGTGTTTGTCAAGTCTGCGGTCAATTTGTCTTTGGTCTACTATCTGACCACAAAGTACCATTGAACATTTTGGCATGTTTATCAACCATAGTTGCGGCAATTGCTTGTTTTACCATGTGGAGACTAGCTCAGTCGCTCCCAGTCTTGATTTTCTTTGCTATCGTTTACGGGCTTTTCGGGGCAGGATTTACTGCCATCTGGGCGAGGATGAGCACCGCCATCACCGACGACGTGACATCAGGGCCAATTGTCTACACCTTACTCAACTTTGGTAAGGGTATTGGAAATGTGCTCGCGGGACCTGTCGGAGGGCTTTTGGTTTCCAAACCAAACTCGACCGGAGCTCCATCATCGGTGTCTTATCGTGGAATCATTATCTTTACCGGGACTTGCATGCTCGCGAGCACTTGCATAATTTGCTTGCGATTTACAAAGCACCTCAGCATTTCGCTTGCTCGGTAAGATCGGGGAAGTCACGAGCAGCATGGAATTCGACAATCGCGCTGTTTCTCTACAGGTTCAATGTTTTGGTTATGGTTCGGGGCGCATCAAAATTTCCAATTTACCTCTAGGATGAGACTGGAAGACGTGTGGCTCACAGTAGTGTACTGGGTTTTGCTGAGACTGGCTAGGTGTTAATCATCTCGAATTACAAGGAAAGTGACGAGCGCGACCATGAATAATTCGAGAGTGACGGTACTTGCATCGAGCAAGTCTCAGGTTAAAGAGAGCATCACCATTCAGCACCGGGGCAAACCCACTGAGGGAACACACATCTGTCAAAATTGCTCTGGGCCTCGCTGGCATTATTATGCGGCGCGTCGACATTTCCGTGGTCGGGATTGTTGTCGCGGATACAATGAAAGTCCCCTTCCAAGCATCTAATCATTATCTGGGCATGGGAAAAGGACTCTAGAGATGACCAAGCGTTGCACTAAGCCTCAGTGATACTGATTTCGTCTTTTCTCCAGTGTTTGTGATACTGAGTTAGGTTTGCATCTGTTTGGTCGGGACCTTGCTGACAACAACTTCGGAGGCAGGTAGCGGCGACTGACCGGTTGGATACGGGTTTCTGAGAAGTCGTGCACATGTGGTATGCTGCAAGGGGTATATGTGCGTCAATAACTTGCAAAATCGTAACATAGAAGAAGTCAGGAGTCAGCCACCCCGGGTAGACACAGGCTTTCACGGGTAAACGCATGGAACAGTCCCTAGGAGCGATTCGGTCCAAAGATTGTTCCACCGATCATTTAAAGCCCCCTTACATGACGGCACAGCTCATCCCTCTCTTCTCGAGCGCCTGGATCCTGTCCGTAAGCGAGCGCACCGCCTCCTCGTTCATGCGCCTCTCGTCGCGCAGCGTCCTCTCCAGCTCGCCCAGCCGCCCCTGGTAGTGCTCCTGCAGCGCCTCGATGACCGACTTGCTCTCCTCGGCCGACGACTTGATGATGCTCTCCATCTCGGCCAGCTCGCGCTGGTGCTCCTCCTTGATGCGCACCAGCTCCAGCATCACCTCCCTGCCGGCCGCCGTGTCGCGCAGCGCCTTGTTGTCCTTGCCCATCTCCTCCTGCAGCTGGAGGTAGAACGGCTTGTTGCTAAGTAGTGTTGAGGAGATGTGCCGGGCCGACTCGGGCGTGTCGCTGTGCCGCGCTGTCTTGGCGCCCATGGCCACGAGTAGTTTCCAGAACTTGCCCTTTAGCTCGTCTTCGCGTTTTAGGCCCTCCTCCTCGGTGACCTTGTCCCACATAGTCGTTGCGAGGGTCACGTTCTTAAGGTTCTTCTCCCCAGTGAGTTTGCGGAACATCTCGAGGTTCTTTGTCGTGTGGTGCGTCACCCGGTTGTCGGAGATAGGGTGCAGGTAGATGATGCCAGAAAGCTTCATTTCTTGCTTGTAAGCCACAGCCAGGTAGTCTGCGATCATCTGCAGTACTTCTGTGTCGGAGAGGTTTGTATCAGAGAATCCAGGAGTGTCGACGAAGCGCACTGTCTGCCCATCCAGCTTTGTCTCGATGACCTGTATGTCTCGAGTACCTGGGAAAGTCTGTCAGTATGGTCGCTTCGGGATGTATTGGTGGGACTGGTGGACTGGGTGCGTACAGGATGTCAGGTCGTGACCGATCTGGAGATCGGTCCGGCCGGTGACCCTCGATATGAACGTGGTCTTTCCAGAGCCAGTCATCCTAGCTGATTGTCAGCATAAAGGCCTGATGAGAAGTGCCAAAAGCTGACTTACCCCATGACGGCAATGAGAGCATCCTTGCTCATGAACTTGTTGTACACAGACTTGGTGTACTTCAGGCCATCGTTGACAAAGTTGCCGCTCTGTTCGCCCTTGGCACCGCCCGATGCGCGGTAAAAGTCCTCGATCGATTCCTCCGGCAGCTGCTGGGTAGTCGGGGCAGCAGCCGGATGAACAGCTTGGGCTTGTGGTATTTGAGGCACTTCATGTGGCCCTGCGAGCCGTCCTGAGCCAAGGTTGTAGCTTGAAGGGGAGCTCTCATGCATCTCGCCACTCCCATCACTGACGTCACTCACTGCATCGACGTCGTAGATGACATCGAACCCGTCGTCCGAGTGAGTCGGAGTAGTTATTCTGACCATAGTGGGTTAAAGGTGAAATTGTGGCGAGAGTCACTCGTTGGAGTCAAGTTATTTGGCAGGTGGTTTAGGTGATGGTAATGGGCCGCGTCTGCAGGGAGGAAGGGGTGATGACTTGAGCGCCCTAATCTTGGTGGCAAACACGCTGCGTTGTCCAAGGGTCTTGTGGTTCGTGTGGCCAACTGACTGGCGGGGATCCTCAGGCTGCGCCGTTTGAAGTCGATTGTTGTGTTTCGGAAACCTGCGTGGAAGTCAGGCAGAAACTTTATTTCACTGCCTACTTCTGTGTAATTATTCTTGAAGCGGCGGCGCCGGTAAGCAAGGAACGATGTTTCGCCCGAATGTGTCAATGTAACTTTCGATTCGTATTGCTACGTAGGCACACACGGTATTGTTGACATGCAACCTCCCACGCTCAGTATGGGCTGGTTGGATCCAGCATGGAATGAAACATACGTACGCTTCGAAAAGTACGAGTACTTGAGCTGATTTGCCACTCCTGCAAGGGCTCCTTCGATGCTTACACCCAGCATCACACCAGGCTCAAACGTCCAGCTATTTAAGACTTTTTCTGGAAGCTGTTATCATTTTCTTTAAGGCAAGTTTAGGCATCTTACACCTTGAAAAGGGTTTCTTTGACCGACTACGGACCTAATCACCTTGTGCAGTCTTAATAGCCCAAGCAAGGTTCGATGAGGCGAAGCAATAGACGTAAAATCATAAATAAGTATATTTGTTACGTCAAGGCACTAATTCTGGTCTAAGCACGACAAAGACGGCCATTCTGTGTTGGCAGGCCCGGCCGCTGATCCGTGATGTGCCAATTCTCACTGCCCACCGCGTTGTGGGCATAGAACAGGCCAGTCGGGTCAATCTTTTGCTTGAATTTGTAAAGACGCTCATACGTGCTTCCATAGAATGACTGTTGCCAATCGGGCTCCAAGATGTCTGCCTCGCTGGCGTACGCCCCTTCAGTGATGTCCCGCAAGGGCTTGAGCCACTCGTTGGTGAAGTCGAGACTCAGATCCGAGACGGCGGACAATGACAGGTCGCTTGTCCAAGAGCGGGCGGAAATGAGATGTATCCCAGAAGTGCGCCATGCAGGGTTGACGGAGTTGTCTGGGTATCCATCCGGGTGTGCGCTGATGCCGTAGCCGACGAAGCTCACAGAGCCACGGTTGAAAAGATCCTGAATCACCGCGTGCGTCTCGTCAAGCTTGGCAGAATCCAGCAGATTTTCCTCTGGAACGAGACGGCTTCCACTGCGGGAGGTCGTCCAGCCAACGGCTTCAGCGTCTGTTAGGGACTCCCAAGCCGGGAGATAACTGTCGAACTGCTTCCACCTTGCGTTCACTTCGATACCGAGCTTGGCCCATGCGTGGAATAGTGGTGCAACCAGAGCCTGGTGTGCTACTCTGGTAGTGTTCGGTGCAAACCAACCGCTCATGATGAAGGATACATCGTCTCCGGATGGGGCGATAATGAAGTATTCGTAGTTACCAGCGGCGTTATAAGTGGGGATGCTGCCCAGGTACAGCTTGATCGCCTCCCAGATGGTGGCGCTGGTAACATTACCAGCAGGCGCGAGAACAAAGCTTAGAACAGAGGCCGAAGATAATTTGGGAGCTACCTTGACAGTCCAAGACGTGGTCACACCGAAAGTACTCGCACCGCCACCGCGTAGAGCCCAGAACAGTTCACTGTTCTGCTTCTCATTCGCAGTAACAAACCGGCCATCGGGTGTGACAACATCGATGCTCAGGACCTGTATCCTATTAGCGTCGTTCAAAGATCTTGAAAACCCATGCTTTTTTTGCCTACCTGATCAGCACCAAGCCCTAGAGAGGACGCCATCGGTCCATGCCCTCCACCTGCCAGGAAGCCACCGCCGGCAGCAACAGTGGTGCACAAGCCGCCGACGCCAGTCACTCCGTATTTCTCTGCGGCAGCAAAAAACTCCCTGTTCTCAAGTCCCGCTCCGATCTTCAAGGCTGGACCGGAATAGGTAGGGGTCTTGTAATTCTTGTAGAACTGCACGTCCTTCCACGACTTCATCCAGATGGACAGCGCACCGGCGCCGGCAGAGCGGCCGTTGAAATCATGACCGGTGTTCTTGACGACCAGACGCAGGTTGAGGTTCCGGGCGAGGTTGACGGCAAGCTGTATCTGTGCAACATTCGTGGCGTTGACGACATACGAGGGATATCCGCCAAGAGTACAATTCCCATTTGGGTCGTTGGTGTCGATACCTGGGGGAATACAGGTTGTTCCCTCCCACATAGGAAACATCAGATCCGATGGGTTCTCAATGTGTAGATCGACATTCGTCCATTGTTTTGTGATGCGGGTACACTCGGTGGCATCGTAGTTGCCCCATGAGTTGTAGCACACAGATGAAAGTGGGACGTTCTGTATTATTGCGCCTCCCGTCAAGAGGTCGAGGAGGCCCCATATAGCTTTACCCGGCCATAGAAAGTCGCCTGGGGCAGTCTTGCATTGTCCTAATGCAGCCCGCTTCTGTGATGGGCTGCCGCTCGAGAACTCAAACAACGAAACGTTTGAGACCCCTTGAGTCTCGAGGTTGGCTAGGACGGAGTCTGTGAGAACAAATTCTCCGTCGACGATCTTCCCCGCTGGCGCGATGGTGGACTGTGCTAGATTCGCGGCTGTGAGAGTCGCGTCAGCAAGGATGTCTCGGAGCGGTATCATGCGAAGGTGCAATCCAAATTTATTCTTGATTGACGCCAAGAAAACTCACCACTGGTTGCGCTGCCATCAACTCTCGTTTGCGCCGTTGCCAGAGAACACAGCTGGAAAGAGGCAGTCAAAGTGAAAGCCTTGAAGAAGTTCGTCATTGTTTCCACACCCGACGCACAGCCAAAACCAGGACAAACGAACAGAAGAGTGGCTAGCAGGACAAGGATACTGATCATAGTGCGGTGGGAACTTGCAAAGCTCGCGGCCTTATGAAGGATCAATGGGATAGATGCCAGGAGGAGTAACATTCTGAGCTTTTCTCGAGTCGACCTAGCTCAGGCGATGGAAACAAATTTGTGAGTGCCTTGATACGGTGATCTCCGAGAACCCGAGTCCTGATGCACTTGTGCCAGGAGGGACAGGGTGATACATAACTACGAAAGACCGAGGCAGCTCTGGCAGTGTGGATCCTGTTTATCCTTAGGCGGAGATAATGGACTTTGAAATTGATGCGTCTTCCATCGTAAAAGGACCTGACCCCGGGCCGAGGCCTGTATTTGCCCCCGGCTGCGCCGCCCAACATGTGGTGAGATGTGATGTGATCGAACCTTCAAATAAGTACATGAAAATTCACCTCGACGGACCGGCACTCATCGAGTGACCAGGCAACCTGGCATAGTCAATTTATGAAAGATTTTGCCATCCGACGGACAGTGAATTGTTCCAAACTCTTCCTGGCCTCTCCTACTCTCTCAAAACATGGCAAGAGCTGTAACCTGTGTTCACCTGCATTAGCGAGCAGGTGAGAGGGCGACCAACGGGATGATCTTCCACCACCAACCCTTGCCTGCATTAGAGCAGTGGGTTGATCCTTACGACAGTCACACCAACATGATACGCTGAAACGTTTATTTTGATTGGTTAATTGTTGTGCAGCTGAGTAGGCTGATAAGGTATCAGTGTGTCAAGTACATTCTGGGAACACTCGCAGTGGTTCTGATAGCCGGGACCCCAAACTGCTGCTCCGGTCCCGATGGCGCACAGCAGCATCGGGATACATCCAGGGACATCTAACGTCCGTGGGTAAATCCTGCCAAACATTCGCTTAGATGCAAGGATAATCAAAAACTGGGGAAGCCTTACATGTGGGGAGGGGCACGATGCCCTCCCATTGGATCGCGGCGCATCATTTCTAGCTGGTTACGGGTCGCCCCGGTCGCCACCTCTGCTGTAACTCCTTAGATGTGCAGCGCGGCCCGAGTTGGAACACAAGGACGGCAAAGAAATTGTTCATTTAGAATGACTAGTCACACAATAGCCGCTAAGTGGGCAATACGCCAGACACATACGGAGATGCGGGTAGATTTTCCGTCGGCGCAGAGCATTCTACACGGCGGAAGTTGGAAAGTAGCATGGTCTCGACTTTGTATTTACAACGTTGCGGAGGCCATCCTGGTGCAAGATGCTGTAATCCCGTGAGACCCACTCACTGTGCATATTCTCCATTCTATTCTGCGGTCCAGTTGCTCCGGATATGACGGATCCTAATGCAGGAGCAAGCAAGTACTCCTCTGGATGGTCTCGCACCACAGTACCATGGTACCATCGATCGATCCAGACGCACGGAATGGTTAAGGGATGTGGGTGAAAGATTGGAGAACGCGCTCGGGTATCTAAGCGGATTCGGGAAGGTCCATTTGGCTTGTTCGATCCAACATCAAAGGTCATACGACAACGGTGATAGTCCGTAGGAGTCGCATGAAGGGACCCATATCTACTGGCTTTCAGAGGTTTCTTTCTGCCCTGTCAAGTCTGTTTCATCGGCTTTGACGAGCAAAATGATAGTTTGTAGTGCATATATGCCATATATGTGCATATCTCGGACGATAAAGCAGATGACACGGAGACGGTCTAAAGACCCTGGCGAGCATTTTGATGTCGGAGAATGCAGGGTGAAGGTCTTCAAGAACAAGGGCAACAGAATGACGAATACACCGGTGAGCACACCCATGTCGAACAAGCCTCTCATTTCATCCTTGTCGAAGATCTACGGATGCAAGTAATTCATCCGGGCTCAGTCGATTGGTCGTCCAACATGGTACAGCTTGGGAGCAGAGGATTGAACTTTTCATGACACAACTACAGATTAGACATGATGAAGTGCCCAGAAGGACCATTAGGCGATATGAATGGAATGGATATTTATGTTAACGAATTTCGTCTATGAAAAAGTATTCCAGGATCAGAAGCGTCGGCCTCGGAGCATTTTGAATTGCCCCCAACTGTCAAATCCGCCTGTGCCGCGGGACGCCCTGACATGCAAGCAGCTGCTCTTGCCGTCTAGGACCTGCAGGGTGGAAGGGTTGCGCTACTGAAGTGAATATCTGCGTACGAATTGCGGTTGAAATCGAATTTCCGCAATTGAGAAATGCATGTCATTTGTCGTGAGAATCAAGTCCCAGCCATCGCCCCTTTGACCAGGGTCTGTCGAAGGTTTCCAAGCCCACAGGGTTTTAAGAATTCGACTCCGAGTCATCGTTCCCTCCTTATCAGACTGCGTGGCCCTTAATCCTCCGGCTCGGACCAATTTTCCCTTTGCTCTCACAAAGACGCCCACAAAGATCGTCGTTCTCATTCAAACGACCCAGGGAATATGGCGGGTTCAGTCAATCTCCCGTTCCTCCAGCCCCGCTGGGAAGACATCCGCCAGATCCCCACGACACAGTTCCAGCAGGCGATGCTGGTTGTGATTTATCTGGTCGCAGCCGTTGCATACATCACATACGGACTTCGGATGTACAGCAGGATTAGTTCCAAGCAAACAGGTCTTGGTAAGAACGACGGCGCACAATACCCTAGTGCCCTTTCTCATGTCACGGTGCTGACCATGTGAACATTGTTTAGAGGACTGGTTGATGACTGCCGCCACTGTCAGCTGACCCCTCTCAAAAATGGCTTGTATCTTGTCCACAACAATTGCTAAATGTGCTGACAGATTCTGTCCCTGGCATTCATGCCTGTCACGTACTTTTGTACGTCCCTCCTAACCACATAATCATGTGCAGGATCTGACGAGGCTGACATTTCCTAGACTTCAAGTACACATACGCTGGTTTCCCTGCCTCCGACTTACCGAAGACGTTCGATCCAACGCCAGCACTGTTTTGGACATGGGTAGTCGGCCTGCTATACAATCCCATTCTAGCGTTGGTCAAATCGTCGGCTCTTGTTTTCATGTTGAGGATTGCAGGACACAAGACTGGTATCAGATGGGCGATATATGTGAGTCCAAGCAGCCATGGCTTCTTGTTCATTCAATATCAATTGCCTCTTTCCACGCGGAAATACGAGGGCTCCGGGACGACATAAGGGTCCGAAAATCAAAGTGTATTGCGAAGCTGATCCATATTTATAGGTGATAAATACCATCAATGTCTGCCTTATGATAGCAACATTCCTTGTAGTCATCTTCCAGACCATTCCGATCGCGGCATATTGGGACAAGACATTACCAGTTCAGCGCAGTATAGATGCCGCAGCTTTCGGCATGTCGACGTTTATCATGACGATAGTGACAGACGTCCTCGTCTTAGCTATACCTGTCTGGGCATTCATAGGCATTAAGGTCAACCTGGGAACAAAAATTGGAGTCATCATGATCTTCATGACCGGCGGCTTGTCAGTGCACACTTGCAGCTCAATTGGCAAACCTAGTCATAACTGACATCGTTATTTCCATCTTCAGAGTCACAATCATCGGAATCATTAGAGTCGTGGCGTTTTCTAAATTCTTCTGGAGTCCCGACTATGATTTCGCGAATACATGGGGGCCAAGCTACAGTGCTATCGAGATCAACCTGGCCATCACCGCGGCTTGCATACCGGCACTGCGTCCATTGCTACGGACATGGTTCCCGCGTCTATTCCGCACCTCTCACAGCAAGCAATCTGGGCCGTACCCAAAATCACGCTACTATGCGGAGGGAAGGAGTGACAATGACAGAAGCATCAAGATGCAGAGCATGGGACACACGCGCGCCGACGTCCGCAGCGGGCGTGACACTCCCACTGATAGCCGGGAGGAGATCTTCAAATCCTCTGGCATAATGAAAACCACCAACGTGAGCCAGCTTCCGCAGTAATCTCTTCTTTCGCTTCTGACGAGTCACAGGTCAACGTCTCATATGATGACAGGACGATCTCGGCACGAGATTCCATCGAGGCTGGCAGGGCAGACAGAGCACGAACATCGGAGCCGGGCTTGGCACTATGAGGCAGGAACGAGGTCTAAGCTATGAAACATGCGAGAGTACCTTCGGTGATTTGAAGACAATTTCCCGCGTTCAAGTAACACAAATTTGAAGATTTTTGATAACTGAATCAACTACTCAAGCTCTTGACTTTTCTTCTGAAGTGAGGCTGTGTAACCTCACCCCCTTGCACCAACAACCCATTCTAGCCCTCCAGTGACGTGTTGGATGAAATATTCCTCGCTGTAGGTCTCGACAGTATGACCTTGGCCTGTGTACCACGCTCTGGCCTTCCCTTCGAATACGTGGTACCACGAGATTGGATGAGTAGGTTTCATGCTTAGATAGGCGGGGGTGATGTCGTCAATGTAAGTTTCGTTCAAGGTAGCGAGAACGGTGTAGTTTGATGACAGGCCAACGTTGTCCCTGTAGGAGTACCACTCGTCTGTTCGGTTGTGACTCGTGGGAAGACCGACAGTAGAAGGATGATTGGGGTCTTGGATGGTTATAATATCATTTCGAATGTTTCCGCCTATATCAAGGTAGACAAGGTCAGCTATGTTGAAAGACATCAATTGATAGATCGCACAAACTTACCTGGAGGATAGCGCTCTTTCTGCGCTTCAGTGCACGTCCAATCCGGAGAGCAAGGATGGAACTCAAACTGTGTCAAACATGTCAGGATCTGGAGCGCATTTTCTCGATCAAATAGATCCTTACCTGAGATCCGACCAAAGTCGTATACCAGGGAGGCGTAGCATTCCAAAAGTCCGCCGCTATTGTAGTTTGATTAGCAGTAGAACCCCTGCATGAACAGCAAGAGAGGGAAACCGCACCTGAGTGGATACCCAGCCAAGAGCCACCGTTGACTAGGAATTGGTACAGGCCATCAAACTCGGCCTCTACTAAAAAGTCTCCTGTAGTGTGGAGGAATGCCAAAGTGGTGTAATTGCTTAGTCCTCCAGGAGTAGTGAAGATTGAGGAGTCCTCTGTTGCCGTAACGGGCCATCCGTTCTTATCGGCGATCGAGGTGACAAGCTCGATGGCATTAGGAATGCTACATATAGCGTAAGATTACTTGAAAAGGGAAGGTAAGAAGGGGACCTTACCTGTCGTGGCGATACCCAGCGGTTTTAGTGAAGATCAAAATGCTCGGCGAAGGTGAGGTAGCTATAAGCAAGTAAGAAAACGGCTAGAGATATGTCGAAGCAGTGATGTCGACTCACGGGCACATTGAACTTGTGTCGCTGCCGCAGCAATAGCTGCCAATGTATGCTTGAGCTTCATCGTAAGAAAACTTGGGGCATAAGGTATATAAGCAAAGACCAGGCCGAGTAGAGAGTTGATATTGGGTTCAAGATATTGGGTTCAAGGCATTGACAGAAAATTCACAGTTTTGCTTCTTATAATATCACCGCCCAACTTCGGGTGAACATTGCACGAATACACCCCACTAGTATTTGGAATTTCAGCTGGGCCTTCAAATATCCTGTTTTTGCTATGAGACTGGATTGGATAGGCAACCTCTCTGGCCCTCTGTTAATACCTCTTATTTTTATACGCGGAGGGTAAGTAGCAGGACTTCACCCTCCACAAAATCCGGGTGCTAGTAAAGGTTCTCTACATGCCAACGTGCACCTCCACAAAGCTCCGACCTAACAAATTGAATGTCCGCAGAGTCATGTTCCATTCCTTGTAACCCTGCGTATATGCCGACAGCGTAAACTTGGCATGAGGTCACGTCTTGGTAAGGTGTCGGCAAAACGACGGGTAATGGTTCCTGTGGAGCCTAATGGTAGGTGTGTGCCTAAGTCTGAACCGGACACTATGCCGTCGTCGGCATATCGCACAGCTACCCCGCGAACGTTCTGAGCGAGTTTGTGGTTCACTGTCCATGTGATCTTTCGCCTGGGTCCACCTTCGCGGGGAACGAGTGGGGGACCAGATGCACGAGAAAGAGATGTGTCTTGGCGGACGGTGAGTCCTTCACAGAAGACCTAAAGTGGGTTCGCGGTTCCTGGGTAACGAGACCTTGATTATTACTCCACCTGCAAAAAAAATTGTTGCATCCTCCCTGATTTAGGTATAACAGGCCTCCCTCATATGAGGGCCTCAGAAAGCACATGCAGCTTTTCAATCCCTAGAAGAGGCTTCTAACTTCAATTGACTTTCAGGTGAATAAATGAATCTCCCATCGAAGACCCTTGGAGTTTTGCAATAGTGCACTCAAAGCTCTGTGAATGAAATGTGCCTTTTGACAAGGCCAATGTATTGCATGGCCTGGTAGCTGTTGCAGCTGTACTGGTGCTTGGCCATTCTTACAACCGTCCTCTGGCTTTCATGCCAAACCACACAAAGACGATTTGAATATCCCTAATCTGCAGTTGGAAAATACAGGTTGCATCTACCTGAAACGACAATGTCTCGACTCACGTTCTGTTCTAAGATCTACAGTGTTGGCCATTCTCTTGCAATCATCACCGTAGTCCCGAGAGACACATGAACCCCTCTTGTGGCCGGGAAGAGGTAAAGAGGGCAGTATTTAGCTCTGAACCCGAGAAAGAAATGATCATGTACGGAGATCTGGAGTCACTTAGTCGCATTGGAGCCGACAAACTATCCAACCGATATGCTTGCACAGGCATGCGATTGACGAAGATGAGTAGTTGAATATGGTGAATTACGTCCGACACTTAAGTAGGACTCTGCCGCACACGTACGGCGAGTAGCGAGTTTGAAATATGCAGACTTTTGCTGGGAGCTAGACTGTAGTTGAGAAGAAAAGAGCTAGAGTCTTCACAAGAGCTTACATTGTAAAAGCGAATCGGTGTCCACCATGTGCAGTGGCATAATGCTTAGATAGAGTGCTCGCGTACTTGTGTGTACTTCAAGTTTGGGCCGGGATTGGAGGTGTCTACCAAAGTCGTTGCCCTTGCAGATATAATAGAGCCTCATTGTGTCTTGAGTCTGAGTGAAGATCACTCAAAGTTATAAGTTGCGGTATTTTCATTTTAGATGCACGCCGTTCGCTCGCAAAATCAATGAAAATGCTGCCTGTCCGCACACCTGGGCAAGACTGGCGATCTATATGGAAAATGTAGACTGTCTGGTTCTTACATTCGAAGAGCGTCCGGGATTGTTAAAGATGGCCATGATATACTTTTCTACCCACGCATGAAAAGGCTTGTCGGATGGCGGTGGTGCATGACGTTTAGTCGGAAGAGCCCCGGATTGACGTACGCGGTTAAATGTGGGCCGCAACGAATGCTAATTGGCGCAGTCTGGGGCTGAGCGCAGGGCGGGAGGGTTTAGGCTCAGCCTCACTCATCCAGGGGAAAAGAGGGAGAGAGAGGCTTAGTTGCGCGAACTTTTCTTCTCAGGAGGAATACGACACGGACATCAACACTCACACGCGGACTTCGTATACTGTGAAAGCTTGAAGAAGGGTACACCGAGATATTTACACACCTGCTGCACATGAACAGAAAATAATACGCGAACAAAATAGACAAACCACTCACAAGATCCTGTCATGGCCACTGCTTTTTCCCCTGACCAACTCCGACTGGGCACACCTGGAATTGCTTGTTCAAGAGTGAAAGAAACGCGTGATTGAATACAAAGCTAGCTTGCGTGTCTCCAGTATCATCACATGTGAAGAGGACAGCCTGACTCAACTCTGTTCTGACTTGCATTCCGGATATAGGGATGTTGAACCGCGGGAGCACGTTTAGTGCCCGGGAAAATGGCCCACATTCGACTGGTAACGCAGATACCGCTGTTCATTTCGGCTCCATATCCAGGACTTAGGCACGCATGGAAGGTCCAAACGTTAGCGATCGCAATCTCACGCCATGCAATCGACATCTTGACTGACGAAGCCTTGGGTGATATTCAAGAAGAGAGTCCGCGAACGGACGTTGACTGGCGCAGTGATGTCAATAACTTGCTCTGTCACAATGTTAAGGCTCATCTGTGTATATTGCTGCAATTTCGTCCACTGATCGACATAATACCCGTCGTAACATTAATCATCGCGTGTCCTATCATGGTAATCTAGTGAAAAACTGGTCCGCTTCGGACTTTTGACGGAGAGATGCGCAGTGCTCCGCAATATTTTCCTACCTGATTCCTGGCGGGGCCAGAACAGACCACATTCATCGTCCTTCTCGCTGGAAGGGCGAAACAATTATTTTGGCAGTCTACGAATGCCTTGAGAATGTCCATCAATTCGATACAGTTATAGAGCCAGGATTCCCCAACCCCAATGGTTCTTTGGTACTTTAGTTCCCGTGTTACGTCTAGAACAGCAATAGCTATGGCTTCTATAAGCCGGGCCTAAATATTACCAACGTGGTTGAACGCTGCATATAAACTTATTGCAAACGCTGACGCAGGTAGCTCCAGTGTAGATTACAATCCATGCCGTCGTCAACGTATAGCTCCGATCTGCTATATGTCTCCCGACACAGTAGTATTGATGCTAAATAAACTTTGAAAATCCTATGGGGCTGTATGTGTAATTTTCCGCCGCGGTCGGCTATGGCAAACATGGGTTAGAAGTGACAGCGTCCCACTCGTGCACGGGAATCTGAGCAAGCCTTGCCAAATTGAAACAAACTAGGGAAACATTTGGTACGTGTGCGGCCCGCAATATTGCGAAGCTAGGGCCTCCGTGACCGGATTTAGAATCACTCGGGTGAGCCTCACCAGGTGAACAGGTCACCTCAGCCGCAAGACGGCGATGCTGTTCATGCTTACTGGGTGGCAGAAGCTGCCGCGTAATGGCTGCAGACGCGCCCCCACAACCCTTCGCTCGGTTGGCCCAGGAAGCCAGCCACATCCCGGCTGGCCAAAGCTGAACCCCTGGACCACCACTCAACTTGTTTCGACTATCAGCCAGTCTTTTCATCGAGCCTACGAGCGATCGTCGAAACATACGCACCACACAAAGAGCACTGAACCGCTCTTTGTTGAAACAGCCCTGACCCTGGGGATCTCGTTGACCCACTTTCTTCCGGGAATATGAGACAGGAGACAGCTTACGTCTGCCCTGGCGGCTGGACCATACCCAGCTGCCAACGACATCCTAGCCGACGCGGCTACGCCATCATGCCTGTTGTCTTGCCGCCTTTCTCGGAATCTCATGACTAACAATTCACTTTGGTGCGGCCTCCAGCAGCTGCTTTCAAGGGTTGTCTGTCGTCGACGATGCTGGAGCCGGCTGTGTCCATGGCGGCCCGTGGAAGGTCCACTATGTCTCAAACAGGGAGCTTCGTTGGCCACGCAAACTCGCCATGTTCTGTGGATCTAGGTGGCGGCGAATGATGGAAACGAGGAAGGATATTCTGTGATCAAAGGCAACTCATGGAATCGATCTCAGGTATAAGATGGCGAGATGGGAACCGCAAGAGAGGATTCAGATTTCTCTCATCCTCATCCTCATCACCAAACAACTTCCTTACTTCGCACATTCAACCTCAACTCCGAGTTTCTATTCGCCTCTTTGTCTCCTTTTTGACAAAGCCTTTTCAACAACACCATCACCATGAAGCTGGTCGCTTACTTCGTTCTTGCCCAGGCGCTGGCCGCCGTCGCCGCGCCGGCAGACAGCACTCTCCCAGCTCCCCCGAGCGGCACTGAGAGTTTGCCTCCACCGAGCGGAACTCCCCAAGGACCTCCTCCCTCTGGAGCTCCATTCTCTGGCCCTCCTCCTTCCGGAACTCTTTTCTCCGGTCCTCCTCCCTCCGGCACCCCTCCAGCCTTGCCTTCCGATGCAAACAACAAGAGGGCCGAGGAGAGCAGCCTTCCCGCTCCGCCAAGCGGAACACCTTCTGGACCTCCTCCATCTGGAGTGTTCTCTGGCCCACCCCCGTCTGGCACTCCTCCTTCTGGGCCGCCTCCAACTGGAGCGTTCTCTGGTCCACCTCCCTCTGGCACACCGCCATCTGGTGCGCCTCCTTCCGGAGAGCCACCAGCTGCCACAGACGCTGCCGTGAACAAGCGAGCGGATGAGTCCAGCGCCCCTCCTCCTCCATCGGACACCCCATCCGGACCTCCTCCGTCAGGAACACAGCCTGCCGGCCCTCCTCCTTCGGGTGCGCCCCCATCAGGAGCGCCTCCATCAGGCACCCCTCCATCAGGAACACCACCCTCGGGAACACCCCCAGCTCAGACTGACGGCGCTGCCAACGAGAAGCGCGCTGATGCCACCAGCGAGCCACCAGCGCCACCCTCGGGCACTCCTCCCTCGGGCACTCCCCCATCCGGTACTCCCCCGTCTGGCACTCCTCCCGCTGGTCCACCACCATCCGGCGCTCCCCCTTCAGGAGCTCCCCCTTCAGGAACGCCGCCTTCGGGAACCCCTCCAACTGAGACCGGTGCCGCTGAGAACCAGAAGCGTGCTGATGCCACCAGCGAGCCACCATCGCCTCCTTCCGGCACACCCCCAGCTGGCACACCTCCTTCCGGCACCCCTCCCTCTGGAACTCCTCCCTCCGGTACTCCCCCATCTGGTGCTCCTCCCTCTGGCACTCCCCCGTCCGGCCCTGAGCAGTCTGGTGCCCCTGCTGCCAACAACAAGCTCGCCGCCGCTGACGCCACCACCGTCCTCCCGCCATCTGGAACTCCTCCCTCTGGAGCTCCTCCCTCTGGCACCCCTCCTTCCGGTCCTAAGCCCAGCGGCCCTCCCCCGAGCGGCGCTGCTCCCAGCGGCACCCCTCCTGCGCTGCCCACCGACGTCCCGACCACCCTGCAGAAGGTTCGCCGCGCCGACGAGACCAACCCTCCCCCTCCCCCTACTAGCACCGACTCTGTCCCACCTCCCAAGGAGACTCAGCCCCAGGGCACCGATGGGGATCAGTCTGGATCTGGATCTGGATCTGGGGCTCCTGCTTCTTAAAGCATCCTCGGGGAACTTTTGAGGATTGTCTGTAGTGGAAAGGTTAGGGTTTGAGTGAGATGGATGGATTTCTTTTTGTAGGATATAGGTTGCATTTCTTCTGGGTCACGATTTGGTGCGAGCATTGAATGCATTTCTTGGGGAAAATAGAGTGGATATAAAGAATACATCTTGCATGTGTCTCAACAAATCAGTCCTGCATATTCGCTTTTACTCTGTGCTTCGTGCCAACTATAACACAACAGCGGCTCGTAGTATACCCGAAGTTCTGACTTCGAAAGGGAATCAAATCTTCGCCACCGTGACGTGATCCATAATGATGGACTGATTCTCAGCCTGGACCTGACATGGATTTAAACGATGCATATACCTGCAAGGCCCCTTCGACACTCTGTATGAAGCCGAACAGAACTGTCAGGGCCAAGACTAACACTGCCACCCAGAATGTGTACCACTGCACGCCGTTTCTCCGATCATTCCACCACTGGGACAGTGTTTTGGGCTGAGCCTCGTCGAAGACCTGCTTCAGTGTCACCAAACGGTCTCTCCAGAATCTGAACTTCTCAATCTGCCGTCGGTCGCTCCTCAATCTTCCGCACTGGATTACTCGACCATCCAACTGTGCTGTCGCTGCCACCTTTAAAAACCATCTTCTCATCTCGGTATCCGCGGTTGGGAAAAGGAGTGCCAGAGTCTGCAGGGTCTCGGAAGCAACGCCCTCCGGTAGAAGCGACTTCTGACTTTGTCGTTGGCACTCGAGGAAAGAGGCATGATGGAAGATGTGGACTTTGGTATCATCGTCCGACATGCGCAGGTGGTCGATCAGGTTGTCGGTCCACACAATCTCTAGCCCGGCAATCCGGCTTAAGTTCGGAGCTGTGAAGTTCTTCTCCAACTTGACTCTCTCATGGCTAAGCACTGGAGGCTCTGCAAAATATTGCGCCAGATGCTGCCGTAACGACCCTCGCGCCCATAGCAGTTCTGTTCGACCCGAGAAGCCCTGGGAAAATGTTCCGCAGTTTATCATGAGAAGCAGACTCGAAACGAGATTGATCGAGTTGTCGAGGATCTCTTCTTCGTTGCTATGTGATGAAGTCAGCTTCGTGCGCAAGCTGTTCTTGATCTCGGCCCTCGTGCAGTCAGCTTCCAGCTGCCCAGCAACTTCCACGACATCGGCATGTGTCCTGATTGCAATGTGTCTTCCGCCATCATGGAGCGCGTGAGCACATTCTTCGGCATAGAAACTCCAGTATGGATTCAAATTGGCATTGGAAGTGTTAAGTTTCTCCAGGTGCTTCGAAGCCTCACCCCAGAAGATATACGTTATCGCTCTCTGTACCTGAGACTCAATATCCAAGAGGCTTGAACTGAGCATAGAATGGTTAGTACTCGGAAGGTTCATCTTGGTTCTTGCATAAATGAACGCTACAGAGAACTGTCGGTAGTCAGAGGCAATGAATTGACATTTTGTCACTCGAACTTTCGCTTCAAGTTGTTTCTGACATGGCGCAGCCTGCTCGTAGATAGGTTGCAGCGAGCACTGCCACGGACATATTTCCTTGGCTGTGTGCAGTTTAGCGAGCGAATGTTATACGTCTTTCACAATCCGCTTCTGTGCCCCGCACACTGCAGGTGCATGTCACTAATGCACTTTCGTAGTTTGTCCCGCTATCTGCCACATCACAAATGCATTAGTTAGTAAGCAGAGCTTGGGAGAGGAGAGGTTTCACGATCGGTCAGCTTCTGTTCCATTCTTTTCCTATCTCCTGGTGCTCATCTGTCCGAGTTGATGCTTTCTAGCCAGGTCCAATCTTAATCAAATGAACACACAAACCTTTGCCGCTCGCTTATCAACTCTTCCACCATCCCGAAGGGACGTCTTGACTGCAGTTTTCCGCAAAGCGCAGGATATAGTTCTACCAACAGGTAGTCGCTGGCCAGACCCAGAGAATTCAATCGGACGCTACATCGGCAAAACCAAATGGTACCACATCTGGGAAGCAACTGGACCTGCGCGAGATGTCTTCAACAAAATCGCTCCAAGTATCAAAGCATATCTTGAGGATGCGGTGGAGCCGATCTCAAGCAGAGTTACTTGGTCAATGTACATGATCGGGAGGGTGCCGAGCCTGACATCTCCGTCCATAATCTTCTGCTGCGGGGTACTAGAACACCGCCGACATGTACGAAACACCATTAAATACAGCGGCATTTTGAGCGGCTATTCAGGCATCAAGACTGGGCACTTGCCCAGGCCTCCTGATTTTAATCAGTTGGTACCTCTCGCAGACGAAGAAGCATCGCAGTATTGGGATGGTAACATTATGTTGCTGACCTCACGGTTCAAAAGCCCGTGCGGCTCCCAACTCTTTGTCAATGCACATGGACCTGACTCGGAAGGGCTCTCCGCCAAAGCAACGATTGGTGGTGTGATTCAACTTGGAGACCACTGTTATTATACGACCGCAGCACATGCTTTATTGCCAACTCCGTATTCAGCTTCTGGTCATGAGGCATTGCTTCCCAATCAAGACTACAAAGAAGGAGATGATGCTCTCAGCCTCGACAGCAGCGTGGGAGTAGACAGCGCAACAACTCACCCGCTCAGAGAGAAGAGTACTGCAGCTTTCAGTCCTGAGCACTCCCAAATTTCTGAAAAGGTGCTTGGGAAGTCAAAAGACACTCAAATTGGGAAGGGAGATATACCGAGCCCTGGTGATTCAAAGAGTCATCATTTGACAGACAATTCTCCTTCATTCATCGCCAACCCTGAAGAGATGTTGCTGAAGCCGACGGGCAGACCTTTCATTACCTCGATGGGACCTCAAGGCCAATCAACTGGACTCGATTACGTGTTGATAAATATGTCATCAAGGGAACGTATTGTGGAGAATATGATCAGCCTCGGACACTATGATCCATCCATTCTCAAAGTCCAATCTGTCAGCAGATCAAACCCGCGGGATATGGAAGTTTTCGCAGTCACACGCAGGGGCGCTATCAAGGGTTACGTTTCGGGAACTCCGACTTATTCATCTGCCCCAGGCAAACGCACCTTTAGTAAGATGTTTAAGGTCAATTTGGATGGACCATTATATAGGGGTGATTGCGGTACATGGGTTATCGACGCCACAGATGGAGACCTGTTCGGCCATATAGTTATCGGATCTCCGGGAGACCGCACTGCTTTGCTCACTCCATTTGCTGATATCTTCGACGACATTTTCTTGAGACTGGGCGAGACACCAACCTTTCCTACCGCAACAAATGATATTGTCGACAAGAGAGCAATTCTAGCATCGGCTGGTGGAGGGATACAAGTTGAAGGGTCCACTGATCTTCCCTATATCAAAAGCCTTTCGGAGGTTTCCACAGCCACCAAACATTCATCAATGCCATCAGAGCTAGGTGTCGGTATGAAGGTGCCGAATATTTCCCGGAAAAGATCGCAACCAAATATCTCCCGGAAAAGATCACAGCCGAATATCTCGAGGAAACGATCACAGCCACCCTGGCTACAGAGCGAAATCACAGAGACACCTGAACTTGTATTACGGAAAGCCCCCAGCTTGCCTAAAGATCCTGGGGGAAATGAGCTTCGCAAGCCTCGCTCATGGATCTCGAGTCCAAGGCAGCTTCGGAGTCAAGAAACTCTCCTGCCATCAACCTGACCGAAGACACAGCTGCCACGTGGTCTGAGTGATACACTAGTTGGAGGGTGGTATTCTGATATGATGTCTGCGATGTTGGTGACACCTGAACAGCTGTCAAGATATGTAATAAATCTTTTGTAATACTTTTTAGATATTTCGATTGATTGGGACGGAGGCTTGAATGAATATGCATGGTGACTCAATTTAGATAGCACGATAGACAAGAGGCCTGTATGGTCCAAATATTTGGCTGACAGGAAGACACCACGGTCGTCTGTGTCATAGAATTTCCAGCTACGAAAATCAACAATTTTCCGATTAGTTCAAAATCGACAAATCCAGAATAGACACCTGTTGTAAAGTACATCCAAAGCTCCTTCTACGCCACTGCGGTAGGACGCAAAACCTCCCTTGCCTCACTTGCTTCATCTAGATCCTGCTGCGCATATTCCACATGGCTAATGTGCTCAGCCTTCCTCTTCCGAGTACTTGTCTCACCTTCTACACTGTCCCAGTACCGCACATCAAAACCCTCCCAGTTCTCCAACTTTTCCTGAATTTCTTTCTCATAGACAGACAAGCCCTTGAGATACGTCAACATCTGTGGCTTCTTCCCGGGGATATTTGCGCCAGTCCACCAGCTTTCCGTGAGCGGCATCAGGGTCGGCGCATTCTGGGCATCCACGTATGCCTCCCACTCGTCCTCGGCCTCCGGCACTGGCTCGATAGACTTGATTCTTCGGCCTTGTTTCTCCGAGTCCAAGATTTTCTTGATGGCTGCCACGGCAAAGTCGCATTGTACTTCGATGATACTGGTGCCATTGGAAAGAGCGGTCGGAGCGAGCGGCGAGTAGGTCATGAAGGCGTTGGGAAATTCTGACGTTGTGGTACCCAGGTACGAGCGGATGCCGGCACTCCAGTAGTCGCGCAAGTCTGTACCTTTGCGGCTCTTGAGGCCCATGTTGGTTAACCTGTAGACTGGTCAGCATTGAAACTACAAATGCCCTGATCCACGGAGTACACACGAGCCACTGAATGCATCAAAGCCTGTAGCCAAGATCAAGACGTCGAAATCAATCTGCGTGCCGTCGTCCATCTCGATTCCTGTCTCGTTGAACTCCTTCGAAGGCGTCTCTTTGGTATTGATGACATCGACCCACGGCTTGTCTACCATTTCGTAGTAGTCAATTTCCAATGGCGGCCGCTTTGTGAAGATCCAGTAGGGCATCTTCTCCACTGGCAGAGGGGCCATGTGTTGCATCTTTTTCTCGTCTGTCATCCTAGCGCGGACTTTCCGTGCCCAGAACTCGTCTGCACAAAGTTAGGTATTAGCGTATGCTAAATCCTTGCTTCCGGCGGCTTTCAGCCGATAGCATGGTTCTGCAGTCACCAGAAAAGTCTTGACACGACGTACAGTGTAGCTTATTTGCCTCTTTGGATACCATGAGGTCAGCATAACTCTGATTCCAGAAGGAAAAGGCGCCACGGGTCCAGAGCTCATCCCAGAGCTTGTGACGCTCCGCTTCGGGCACATCTTCGGTCCTGGCCGTAGGCTGCGTGGTAGGCAGGAAGCCATTCTTGGATGTCCGGCTAAGCTTGAAGATCGAGCCAAGGTAAGGATGCCAGCCACGATTCTCCACATCAGTAACCTGCCTCTGACCGGCTGGAAGGCAGTTCGAAGGTCGACGCATGAAGATGGTCAGATGGTCGGCTTGTTTGGCGACATCTTGGGTGATTTGAACAGCAGTGGCGCCGGTTCCTACAAGTGCGACCCGCTTCCCTTTGAGGTCGAGGTCTTCTGGGTAAAATGAAGAGTGAAAGAGGTCGCCTTTGTAGTTCTTCAACCCAGGGAGATCGGGGATGTGTTTTTGATGGAGCAGACCGGAGCAGAGGAGCAGAAACCTTGTCTTAGCAGTATGACCTTGCTGCGTCTTGACTGTCCACTCGCCAGCATTGTCATCCCACGAGCAATCTATTACTCGAGCATTGAACTGGGTGTCCTTTCGGAGGTCTAGCACCTTGTCGCAGTGCTCGAAGTAGGCGCGCAATTCATGATGATCTGGAAACCGTTCTTTGAAGGTCCACGTCTCATACACCTCGGGGATGGTTAGTTGATAGAAGGGAAACTCGGAATCAACCCTCGCCCCCGGATAGCGATTCCAGTGCCAGGTGCCACCAAAACCGTCCCCCGCTTCAAATATCTTGGCATTTAGTCCCAGCTTGCGAAGGCGATAAAGCATGGAAACGCCTGAAAACCCGGCCCCAACGACGAGGGCATCGCAGTGAGTGATGGGGTAATTCGTGTGCTCCATTGTATTGTTATGAGAACAAGGATGTGGGAGTTTGCAAATCTTGTCGGAGTGAGTGGTGAGTCGTGGGACGATATATTGCAATCTATATCGTCTCGGTACGACTTGACCTCGGTTGAATCTCAAACCGGATGTGATGTCTTAAATAGAGCATGACGTGTGGGACGTCACCAGACTACTCTGGCACACCTCTTCCCCAATCTTTAGCTGCAAGCCAAAGAGGCGGCTTCCCTAGTATATAATCGGACTACCACGCTTGGGAAACCGGAAATAATTGGAGGGAATAGCCCATAGCCGTCTTCTAGTTTGACGGTTGCCCTGTGGGGTTGACTTCTCCTCAATTCCCCCTCTTCGCGGTTCCGCACTCTTGCAGCAGCGTGCCACCTTGCTTCATGATACGCTTGGTGATCTTCAATATGAGCCTCGGCTCATGCAGAGTTGCCTTTACCGTCATTGAATGGGAACTAAAATGCGATGTTCAAAGAGTCCGGGGTCCGAGACACGGAATCGTGCCACGGTATCGTGACCATTATACATGTGCAGCGCTTGTTATAACCATTTGTCCTCCAGATGATTTAACCACGACGACGTTTTCCTCCTCATTGTAGAGTAAGCCACGCCGATCCAAAATGCTGCGACACTGCGCAATATAGCCAAGTTTGAACACGTTTGAATTCATTTTAGAGCTAGCCACTTTATTTACCAGATCTCTCAAACTGTCAGTCATGGCCCTCATATCTAAAATTTGATACATGCGCAAGCGGCAGCATCTTGATTGGGGGCCGATTAGCCGACGGCTGTCTCCGAAGACGTACAGTAGTGTCCTACTAGGAGAGTTCGGCGACGTCGATCAAGGCGTGGCATGCAGATGTGGAGATCCCACGGCCACCCTGTCCACCGGCTCTGGATCTGCGAACGTTCACAAATCAGCCTGCGTCTCACTATCAATGAGTATATGGACAAATCAAACCGTATTGGTCGGTATGGAAAGCGCAGATTGGTAATTGAAACCATGAGCCACCAGGAGACAGGACCGTCTCAAATTTGGAACTTCTTTGTGCTTTCGAGACTCGTTAGCTTGAATATCCTGAGAAATGACATTGAGCTCAACCTTGAAGGACTGGCTAGGCCCAGTATATTAGTATGCTGCGTTGTAGCGGACATCATTCGTGTTCCCTTGAAGATTCGTTCCTGCGGTGAAGCGAGCTTACTGTGGTATGCTGTGAAAGTCTAAAATTAAGCTCGCAGAGCCGCTTCTAGGCGAGCAGCTCTACCGCCATAATGAACCACGCTGCCGTAAGCACTAGATATAAGATGCTTACTATACTAGGGTGTCACAATCAGAAACAGCATCTGATCGTCATTCATCGGGGGTTTTCAGCACCCAAGGATGTCATTGAAGCAGCAGGATACCAGCCAGTTGCTGGCCACATGTGACAAATGGCTCAGGGGTAGACCCCCAATCATTCAATGACGCAGTGTCGCCATCTATTCTTGTGCCAACTGCTTATTATCACCAGATTTGATAGAGCAGGCAGCTGCATCTCCTGTGACGTCGGAATTCAGGATCGACAGCGGAAAAAGGCTTCAATTATTGCAGGAAACGGCGCCAGTGCTGTGTAGCATCAAGTCTTGAGTTACACACCTGGGAACCGACGCTATTCTTTGGTGTCGGTTACGGTCTGAGGGCTTTTTAAGGCAGAAATATGGTTCCTCGTGGTTTCGGATTACCAAGTTCAAAAGTTGAACCCAAGTTTGCGTTGCATGTTTTCTTGGTATGAGCGCACTTGCGACGCGACACCATTTGTGGAGGGCAAGCGTGAAGGATAACTGAGACCACGGTGCCGAGTCATTGGAGAGAGCGGTCAAAGAACGTCTTTCGTAAGCCGGATCATCCGGAACATACGGATAGTCGAACAAGACCTTGTGAACACCCTCGAGGCTCTTAAGAGAGACTCCCGAAAGGGCGTGACTGCAACCGGCCGAAGCCACAACTAAGCTGGTTTAAACGACGTCCACGACCTAAAAGACGGGAGCCGCGGCCTCTCTGCGGATGGCTTCGAGCATGACTCGCGAAACGATCCTTCGGCAGCCGGTGACGCCCGCAATCTCCGCAACGCGATGGGTACTGACACCCCCGGAGAGACGGGAGCCCCTGAGATCATCGTTGATAGCATTTTACGAAGCGGACGTCTGTCTTCTGACACATATACCAACGGTGCAGATGCACACAGACTTTGGATGGGACACACGGATTTAGGGAAGCTACGCCTGGTGCTGGATTCAGCTCCATTGACAATGCACACCAAAAGCTTACTAGTTTGCTGATAGAAAGTAGAACTCGAAGAAGAATGGCGTTGGGATGGAAAGACAGAAACATGGACTAAATCTCTTCTTATGACCATATTATTGTAGAATGTATTGACAGTTTTGGACAAAGAAAACCTAAATTCCTAATTCAGAACATGTCACACATAGATGGCGGTGATCAGCGTGTAACATATTTGCTTGACGGTGTCCGCATGAGAAAAGATGAATATCTGTGAGTATTCTGACCACGGCTGACATGAGGATTCGAAACGTGAAAATTACAGGCTTACCGCACGCAGATCACACACGTATAGAGTGGATGGCACGTCAAGGATGATCCGCAATCCTGAGTTGGCAAGACCAATCTATTGCGTGGACATTGTGAGTCTGCTCAGGCTGCGGATGTGGCCCGGAATTATTATTCCTCGGATGTCGGTCGAAGGGGAATCCGTGGGCCCAGTCTGTTCGATCCAATCAAGCAAGACTACCCCGGCCGAACTTCAGTTTCTGCTTTGTTCACCAAAAGAGAGAAGATAATCATGCCTCCAGTTTTCCATGGTTATCTGAGCATGAATCCATAACTACTGCAGCATACAGAAGAAGCGACGATGAACAGCCTCGACAGATGCGTAAATCAATCCAGTTCAATCAGTGACTGAGTTGCGTAATCTATGTAGACGTTTGAGGTCGAGACAGACCTGGACTGAAATAATGTGACTACATCTCGGCTAGACGATCTACAATGTAGACGTGACATCGTGGGTAGGGCTGAACTGCAAGGGACTTCCGCCGGCATTTCTGATAAAACGCGGAGACATAAACCATTTCGACTTGGACGAGTCTTTCATTCTATCGTGACCTACAAGTGTCAAGACAATGATTCCAGCATCCTTGCGTTACAATGCCTGACGTGTCTGTGACCCATCATGACTGCTAGGGCCATCCTTGTGCCTGCAAGAACCCGGAAGAGGGCTTCAGCGACGCACTCGGCCACACTGGCAACGAGGTTTCGGAGGAAGTCAGTCATAAGTGAAAAAGCAATTGCGGGATAGAGGTCTTAAGGTAGGTGCGGGTAGTGCCGATCCCGTCCCACCAAATAAATGTCCCCCCCTGAGCCGGCAGTTGGGCCAGATCGCGGCGCCAATCTAAATGGGACCGTGGCGGTTACGACGGCCCACTAAGGACCTCACTGGGCTGACTTTGTTTCGCGGGAACCCACAGCCCCAATTTAAACGGCACAGGAAACTTGTTCCGTGGAGTCATGGAATAGGGAGGACTTCACACAGCCTTGCTCTTGCTCCCCCTGAACTCATCTTAGCGATATGACCGTACGTAATCCTGATTCTCATCACATGGGAGTACGGCACAACATCCAGATGTCCAGCAGGATAGAGTAGATATAAAGCGATCTTCTTCGCCTTAAGTCGAATCAAGTTCAACCAAACCAATCTAATCCAACTACGACTTACGAGACTGACGAGTTCAACATCCGCCAAAATGCATTTCACCAGCTTCTTCTCCCTACTGGCTGCTCCAGCCATGGTCCTCGCGACCCTCGACCCTGCGACCTCCAACACAAAGGGGAAAAAACCGTCATCTACCAACTGCTCCGGTGAGTGATGTGCAGCGACCTAGGCATCAATGCCATTTATTCCAAGATTGTGCTCGGGCAGAACGGCTGATTTGCGTAACAGCTACCAAGGTCTCCAAGGCCATCCAGGCGGCTGAGTGTTCCCACAACACCCGCGTGTCCGGAACGCAGACCTTCGCCGTCTTCGTCACGGACCACCAGTACGACAGCAGCCACGGCGCACCCTATGGAACCTGCAGCGCCTACACTTGCGAGTCGCCCACGGACTCGGAAATGGAGGCGGATGAGGACAGCTGGACTTTCTTCTGGAGGTAAGTTTACCGGTTTATTTGAGCGGGAGTCCCGTTTCGCTGCTATATCCCTCAGTCTAGTATCAGAGACTAATTAACTTTTGAAACAGTGGTGAGGGAGAGTCCAGCGGAGAGGGTGCTGGCTGCATCAAGTCTCCTGATGATGGTACCTGCGGATGTGAGAACTCTGACGGCACCTTCGTTTATGGCAGCGACAGCTGCACATAAATATGCTCGGCTGGGCGCTGGTAAAAACAGCGCGAGAATTCTTGTGTAAATATCACTTAGAATGTATAAAAGCGGAAAACATCCCTACGCAAATACAGCGGCGACAGTCTCCAACGGCTCATTTGACATCCTTCCATTCTACGGGTACTCAAGCAAGTGATTTTCATGTTTATTCTCTGGTTACGCAAGTTTTCCGAAGCCAATAGAAGAGAAGGGGAGCTGTATGATAGCAAGCTGGCACTATAAAGAGGCCGAGCGTTGAATGATGTTGGAGCGCGATGTCTATGTTGAGATCTTCAATTGGCACTGGGCATGGAAGCTATACGTACATATGTCTCGGCATGAGTGAGAGGTGAGAGACCATCCATGCACTATTTAAGACGGTACAAAGTCATGCTGTCACAATCTCTATTATTCCACATGAGACGAATATCACGGACAGAATAGCCGAGAAAGTCATTGGCGCTGCCATTCCCACTCTTCTCATCAACTATGTAGCACGATCGAGATTGGTCTTTGATGGCCTCTTCTGCATCGCAATCGAAACTCTCAACAGCTCAGTCTCAACCTCGCCGGCGACACCTTCTCTCTTGTATGACCACAGATTTCGTGATCAAGTGTAGCTGGCGAGTAGCCATTTCAGTGTGCCATTGTAGGTAGGATGATTTCACTCTCAAAGACCATGGGATTGTAAATTGATAGCCTGAGACTCGGATGTTTTGTGATGCTGGATTTGTTGAGCACCAGTTTTCGTAGTGTTTCTTCGGGGAGACAAGGCTCTGTGGCCTTCTCTTGGGCCGAAATCATCGGGATAGAACCATTGACCACGACAAGGATATGCCTAACCATTCGTATGTGCTTTGGATGTGCTTTGTAGAGTAGGCCAGCCGGTAGATATGATCGAAAATACTTTTGTGGGGTCCCCAGTCTCTGGCCAACAGAACATTTCATAATGCCTTTGACAATCTGAGTCACAAGTACGAACGAGGTGCACGCTGACTGGCAAGTCAGTAGACCACGCCTCTCCTTATTGCCGCTGTGCCATATTTGGGCCGCCCCAGAACAAGTATATGGACCGAGAGCCGTGCCTCGCGTCCATGTGCAGGCAGTCGCCTCCGATGCACCACCAAGAATGCCTCCTGGGATGATAACCCCTGCATATTGAATGATCAAGTGATTTTCTCGTCAGCTCATTCTTCAATGCTACAAGGGAAACTACGGGTCGAGCTCCCATTAGTGTTTGATACAGGCCATAATTGGAAACTGGGCCCTAGCATCGCATTGGTTCGCCTTAGTTCCATCCTCTCCGACGTCTAGTACACATGAAGGAGGAGATCGAGGATTTCGCTGATGCTGTCAGGGATTGGTGCCCACTTTCTGACCAACCGCCACGAGGGCGGAGGGGGGTCGAGGGGGAGGCGTTAGCTGATGGGCGACATCACCATATCTTCGAGGCTGATGAGACGGTGGTAGCGCTACAAATGAGAAGTTCCCGAGCGTATGTGATTTGTCGAGGTGTCTACCAGTCAAATTGCTTGCAAGTGGTTCACTCTTCATTATTGTTTTCGTTCTTTTTGCCCTCAGACCAAGCATAGAGAGGCCACGTCCAGTCGACAGTCATCTAGCTATCTGGATAATGGGGACCGAATTACTCGTCCAGCTGAACAGCAGAGCGTTGGAAATATCTCGTACTGGTGTTGGTGTTACAGCTGTGTTTATTTGGCTGGGGTTGACGAAGGATGGACCAGGGTTGTTGGCGTGTGGGGTTTGTGAGGGGGTACCAGTTGAGCGGTCGCCACTACGGGCTGAGCGGTCGTCAGGGGTTAACTAATTTAGGACTAGCATTTTATGCACGGACTCTAACAACCGCTCAACCCGTAAAAGTGTATACTGAGTTTAAACTCAAGCTGGCAATTGAATTTTAAAAAGGGCCGGATAGGGCGAAAGGACAAGCGCAAAGCGAGAGGCCGGTAGGCCGGGCCTGAGCACTACTTGAGGCCCAACACGGTACTCTTTATATTCCTCTAAATAGTAAAATGCGAGTGTAAATCTGGTGTAAACTTAATATGAACTCTATATAAACTCTGTGTATACTTGGCGAGATTTTAGCGCTAGCTTAATTCAGCTAGGGTTAGGGTTCTCTTGGCAGGGTTAGGGGTAGTGCACGGGCCCTGACGACCGCTCAGCCCGTAGTGGCGACCGCTCAGCCCGTAGTGGCGACCGCTCAACTGGTACCCCCGTTTGTGAGCTGAGAGTCAATTTCCGCTCCCCCGCGCTCCTCCTCGGGCTGGCCTCAACGCCATCGTCAACAAGCTCTTGCTCCTCATTGACGGAAATTTCTACCACACCAACTTAAGCAGGGGTGCCTTCCAGACCAAGTTAGCCGCAACCTTCATGTCCTTGCAGCTCTCACGATGGCACGCCAATGGAGATCTGGCCGGGCCACACAGGAGGTGACCCAAGCTGCCGGTACCCGAATGGAAGGGTCACAGACTGCCGCGTCTGCTGTCACTTGTCAATCCAGCTGTGCGGAATGGCGAAACGATCTTTTCCTCGTGGCATCGCCTCTGCATGTACCGTGCCCCATCTGCGACCTGATCTATCAAGCTGCCTCGGCCTGTTGGTGTGGAGACGAACGGTGGGTGGAATCCAGTATCCTCTCACAGAGTCGCTTCACGAGTCGGGCTAACAATAGCCAGGGCCTCCATGCCAACGCCAAGATTGCAGAGGGCCAGGAGGGTTCGCCTCAGGCGTTGGCGAGAGCGCTGCCCAGAGCCTATGGCTGCCAGCGCCCTTTGAAGGTCGGGCCAAGCTGCTCGTTAACAATGTCAAGCTCACCAAGCTCACCAAGCAATGCCACACTGACTCGTGGGGGTCCTCCCGCCGCACCGCCTGAGGCTCAACCGAACTTTGGTTCCTTTTGGCGGTCTCTTGGCTGGCTTGGAACGCACTGCAACGTTCTTCAGGGTCACACACGAAAAGCCAAAGGTCTAGTGATTCGATCTTGACAAGATCAGAAAAAGGAAACAGTCTAGTCTCGCAGGATCTAGATCTCCACTGTAGGAGCTAGACCGCTGAATCACATGTCCCCAATCCCCGGATTCCTATGAACAATGGTCCCCATTGTTTCCCCAGCAATTCTAGGCCTGGATGCAAGCGCCCCAGGGCCATCCAGGGCCCACCTCCCCTCCAGATTGCAGACATCTCAGATCCTGGGGCAGAGACCAACCTCAAGCCATATTCGCACCATCAACTTTAGCCTCTTTATCATTCTTGTGCTGAGCCTTGCTGTAGTTGATCCACGGTCATCGGAAGAAAGTCATGATCTTTTCGACAGGCACGCGGAATAACTGAACAACGCCCCAGGTTCCACGATATACCCGTACTTTGCAGTTCCCGGGTGTCACCTCCTGGAGGCAAACAACGGACTGAAGTTGCAGAGGGTTGCGTTCCGTTCGAGCTGCCGGTTTCCCGGTCACACTGGAAATAAATACAAATTTGGGACTGCGTAGCTGTGGTTGCAGCCGCATGCAGAAGATCTCTTTTTCCTCCGGTGCGTCGCGCCTCGTGGCAGAAACGCTTGAATTCTCGGAATTCAGCACGAAAGTATGTCCTGCAGAGAGGCAGGTTCTTTACCACACCCATCCTAGTGTCCCGGTATGGACACGATTGGTGGAAACCAACCCCAGACAATTTCTCCGCATCGACCCCAGACGGTAGGTGAAAAGGACGGGCAGGAAACATGGGGAACATAAGCGTTCTTTTTGAAATCATGGGGATAAGGACAAATCTGACAAGACTAGGCTAAGATGCAGGGTCGGCAAGGTTGAAGATCCATCTTTCCTCGTCTTCTCTTGTGCCTCGTGAACAGGTTGGTCAAGCTTTGGCTAGTTCCCCGGCTCAACTGGGGATAGCTCCATGTTCATTGCCCGAGTATGCCTGCGAGGGGGATCCTTGTGAGTGGCCATCTGGCCCTGGAAAAATGGGGACTACACTTATCACCATGTTGCACTGCTCGGCCCTTTCCCTTCGCGAGCACTGGACAGGCTCGCCAGTGGGTACAAGCGAATGTCCCCATGGGGAGAGATATTCTTACCTCTAATGTCCGTCTCCCGTAGATACATAAATCCGTACACCCCTCCAAGATTTGCATTATTCCATTCTGCCTTCTTCAGTCCTCGCTTCTCCTGATACCCATAGCGTCGACGATTTGCATCACTCGGGTCGTTGCCAACAGTTGCCTTTCTCCCCGACAACACCCAGCAGGCCGGTTCACCGCCTGCAGAGACAGCCAAGATGCCGTCCTCAAAGCTGGTGTACAACTGGTAGGTCAATCTCTTCTGCTCATATATCGAGCGAAAAACTGACCGATGTCTTCCCAACACAGGTACATCTCCATTGTGGCAGCCATGTGCATGGTGCTCTATGGATACGATGCCTCGACCTTCAACTCGATCCAGGCCTCAGATAACTGGCTGAAGTGGTTCGGCCTTACTTCAGACAGTACATATATGCTCGGCTTGATTAATACCGTGTACTCTATCGGTGCGATTGTGTCTGGTTGGTTTCTTGGAGGTCCTATCGTAAGTCGTATTCAGGAGGATGTCAACACGGATTTTTATTGACAAATTCATCAGGCCGACACTCTGGGACGTCGATGGGGTATGGCGCTCGGTTGCTTCGTCACTATCTGCGCCACTATGTTGCAGACCTTTGCTCCCAAAGGCAGCCTGGGCTGCTTCATGGCAGGCCGTGTCATCGTAGGCGTCGGTCAAGGAATGGCTCTGAGTTAGTTTCCCCCCATCTCCTTTTCCTTGTGTCGTACCATCAAGCTGACCAAAACCAAACAGCCGCCGGTCCTGTCTACATTGGTGAGATGGCGCCTCCCGAGATCCGAGGCTACATCATGGCCTTCTGGCAGACCTTCTACTCCGTCGGCTCCTTCATTGCTTACTGGATCAACTATGCCTGCTCGCTCCACCGCGAGAAGCTCGGAGAGTGGGACTGGAAGATGGTTGTGATCTTCCAGATCCTCGTCCCCACCATCATCATCATTCTCCTGCCCTTCCAGCCCGAGTCTCCCAGATGGTACATCAAGAAGTCAGGAAATATCGAGGCTGCCCGTGCTTCCCTGCGCAGGATCCGTGACACCGACGCTCAGGTCGAGGAAGAGCTGATGGTCATTCGGGAGGCCATCGAGTATGAGAAGGAAGCCATCTCCTCTGGCTACTCCGCCCTGTTCAAGGATCCATCAATCCGCAAGCGCATGTACATCGCCTTCGTCCTCAACGCTGGCCAGCAGCTCACGGGCCAGGGCACGCTCAACTCGTACTCGACCGCCATCTACAAGAAGGTCTGGAAGTCCACCGCCAAGATCAACCTCATCAATGCGCTCAACAGCACCTTCGGCATCCTCTTCACACTCAACGCCGTCTGGACAGTCGACCGCTTCGGCCGCCGCTGGCTGCTCATCGTTGGTGCGCTGGGTATGGCACTCTGCACCATGCTCGTTGGCATCGTTGGCCTGACCACTCCTGGCACATCGTCCAAGTCTGAGCCAGTGGGCATTAGCATTGTCTTCCTGCTGTTCTTCTTCATCTTTTTCTACAAGCCATCGTGGGGAGCCACCGTGTGGATCTGGACGTCCGAGGTCTTCTCGATGAATGTGCGTGCACAGGCTGTGGGCATGTGCTCGCAGACGCAGAACGTCGCCCAGGCCATCTTCAACCAGTTCTTCCCGCTCTTCCTCAAGAACGAAGGGCTCAAGTGCATGTTCTTCTTCATGTCTATTAATATTGTCCTCGCCGCCTTTGTCTGGTGGATCGTCCCCGAGACGAAGCAGGTACCGCTCGAGGAGATCGACGTGCTCTTTGGCGGCGCCAACCACGTCGACAAGGGCGCCCAGATGCTCGGTGTCCCCGAGGCGGAGAGCGGTGCGCACCATGTCGCGGAGAAGGATGGAAGGGCGGTTGTTCAGGAGGAGGATGCTCATATTCATCATGCTTAAGGCTTCGCTCGGTCGTTGGGTACGAAATTCCGCTGCATATGAGATTAGCAAGCGCACGTATCTGCTTGGCGGTTGATAGTTGATATACCACTTTTATGATACCTATTTCTCCCCTTTCCACGTCTACATGCACGCACTCAAGTTGCATTTGGTTTCACATGCACAATCGAAGGCAACATAAGGGAGGCAGCACAAGGCGATCAAGCCAGCCTAGATACCATGGGTGGTGATATGAGTACTGAAGGTTTATATGGAGCTCTTTTTTCCCCAAATTTCCAGAAGTCTCCTTTCTTGATACCTCTCCAGTTGAGACTAAGTTTGTCTGGCCCATCGCATGTTGTTCCTTTCCAGTCAATCCATCAGGGCTTTGGAGAGACACATCAGCCAATCGGTAGATGCAGGAGGCCTGTTCGTGCTAACCACACGGCGGCAGCACCTCGTTCAGACGGACCACGAGTTGACAAGTCTTTTCAGAGGTCGAGTTCCGATCTTTTCGACGGACAGATGCCTGCGCGAATACGCAGACTTCGCCAGGGATAGTTCGCGAGGGCATGTCCTCCTCTTATATGTGTCCCTCCAGATCCTTACTTCGCCAAGGTGATGAGCGGGCCATCCTGCTTTCCCGCATTCATTGGGGGAATATTTCGCGGCTCACGTGCCTTGAACGGGGTGGTGTACCTGACCTCATTGAACTCGACGAAGCCCTGGTCCTCTGAAACTGTTAGTTAACCACACGGCACCGAAGAGAAAGTCTCAGACGAGGCTGGAGTGCAGTAGAGCACCATCTTCCTATAAACAAATTCGAAAGCTGCGGCCTCATAGACGGCTTCAGGGCAAACAACAAAACAGGCCACGAACACGGCAGTTGTACTCAAGTATTCCACCAGGAATGTCAATGTCGGGCCTGGACGACACTTACCCCAATCAATCCTGATATTTCTGCGCAGGCTATGGAATAGCGGCCACAAAAACCCATCCACCACCGCAACGCCGAGGAACTCAGCCCGGTCCCGCACAAGGCTACGCTTCCATCCGCCCGGCATCCGCAGAACCACGCGGCCGTCGCCATCGTCGAACATGAATTGGTTGTACTCGACCGTGCCGTCCGCACGTGTGACAGAGAGAGGAACAGCTGGCTGCATGTACGGCTGGCCGCCGCGGACCCAGCGAGCACCTCCGGGGGCGACGCCTATCTTGTGCGCGAGCCGGTAGATGCGCATGCGGCGTGCCAAGTATTTAAACCTCTCATGGGTGGTGTTGTTGCGGAGGTGGAACAGGCGGACGGATGTGCCTCGGAAGCCGTTGGCAGCCTCGTCTGCGTCGATGAGGGCGTTGATATCCTTGGGCTTGAACGCTGCGAGTCGTCGTTTGTTTTCTTCGCCGCGAGTTGCACTCTCGATGTCGGTTGCCTGGGCTGGAGGCGGATCATGCCCTGTGGCAGGCAGGGGAGGACAGCCGTGCTGCGCAACCTCTGTGGTGCTCTTGTTGGCTGTCATGGGAGCGCTCTTCCGGAATTTCTCGATCTCTCGCGAGATGAGGCGGTCAAGGTATTGGCTCTCAGCGGTGGCCATTTTTCTTTTTCGTGAGTGTCGCGTGCTGCAAGTATTGCCGAGTGTAAAGAGACGTCAATTGCCAGAATCTCTTTGTATGCGGCATACAATATGGCTTCGCATCGTGAGACGACGAACTTGAGGATGGGGTCGACACTTGCGACGAGTGGAAAGGCAAAGAAGCCGTCCCAATATGCGGCTTGGTGATGCCGTAGGTGGATGATAGGTTTTAAAAGAAAGGTAGGGAGAGGCAGAGGCAGTCTTGAACAATTGTGGTGGTCTGAAAAGTGATGCTATCACAAACGCCGAGTCACAAAAGTGAATAGAATATGACTGTCGAATTCCGTCTCATCATTCTGCGCATCCGGTATGTTTGAAAAGTAAAGGTCTTCTTCCTGCAACATTACTGATTGTTTTGATAAGTCCGCCTCCTATTCTCGTGTTGTATTCATCTCATTCTGCACATCGAACCCCCCCCCCCCCCCGGATGGCTAACTATACTAGATGAGGCTCTCTTTACTTACTACGTAGTCAAATCCGGGGCCTCTCAGTGGCTGTCTACGCCTAAAGACAGCTGGTGAGAATAAGCGGGCTTATATGGCCATGTTTGTACGGAATTGTCCCATGAAGATGTGTTCAGTGCTCAGCTGGCACATCGAAAGTCTGCTTGGACGAATGGTTCTCTTGAATGCAACTTGAATGATGCCTCTTCATGGAGTTCTAAATTCTGTATTTCAGGTTCTCAAAAACACCGAGTGCTTTTGAATTGCAGGTTTTATTCTCAGACAATTCTGACTCCGACTCCAATATCGATCGCCTATTCCCAGTCATCGGCAGCAACCTTCATCCAGTTCACTCCAACGAGTTCCAGACCATGCTTCTTGGCAAATTCGACGGGCTTGAAGGACCGCCTCTGGGTGAACTCCTCACCGCCGACATCCTCGGGCCTGAGGTCCAGACCATTGAGGACTGGCTCCCGGAACAACACGAACAGGTACCTGTGAGGCTTGGATCTAAGGCGCAAAAGTCAGCGTAGGCTCCACGGTGTACAGATCGAGACGGGGGCTTGATGGATAGGCTGTTTGGTATGCTTCAGCAAGAGAATGGACAGGAGGGACTTACTCTTTAGTAGGGCCTGGTGGGTGGTAGGCCGTCGCAGGTGGCTTCGTCGCGGCCACAATACTTCCGTCGCCGCTCAGGGGCTCCAGGCCCGTGATGATCCAGTGCCTCCAGAAGGCAAACTTGGGGTCATCGGGCGTAGGCGCATCGGGGTCGACGAGCATCAGAGTGTATGATGTCTTCTGGTCCACATCGGCCTGTGCTACTATTAGAAACTAGGCGCTCTCATTGGCTTAGCTTGGAGACTTGAAGGTAGATAACGTACCTCGCGCTGGAACGAGATGACGGGCTGGACTTTTGTCTCGCGCACGCGGAACAGGTTGCCCAGGTCGACGGCCTTGCCATCGTAGGACACCTCGAGCTTGGTGGTCGGCCGGAAGCTCTCTGGGATGAGCTCGGCTGCCGGGCCGGGGACGAGCTTGGCGTCGCTGAGGGTCTGGGACAGGCGCCCGCCGTGGGTCTGGAGGGCTGCCTTGACCTGCTCGACCGCTGCTGCGACTGTCTCCTTTGCGGCCTCCATCTTGAGCTCTGTGTTGTCTAGGGGATCACGGTGTTGGGTGTGGTTTGTTTAGTGTCTGTCCGTCCTGAGGGAAAGATGAAGCCGTAGATAAATATTTGAGGAGTGTTGTTGCCCAGCTGTTGATTGCCGGCGAGTGGTGGGAAAACCAAAGGCCATCTTGGCGACAGCTGCAAGTGGGTACATCGCAAGAGGGAGCTCCAAAGAGGGTGCTGCCCCACTGCGAGGGCACCACCAACAGTCTGACATCATCATGATCTGCACCTTTCTCCCGTCTTCAACCCCAAATCAATGAGAACTCCTATCGATATCTAGATACTTATCGGCTAGGCAGAGTAAGTAAACAGGGGAACCAGTTTTACCAGACCTGATCTACAACGTCTAAGGTCTCGATCCTAAGACCCGATAGAACATTCAACGGGAAGTCAACCTACAAAGAACCATCCCAGTCAACGTTGCCCTGCCGCACATAAAGTACTTCCTGAGGACAGTTGCGCGGGGGCCGGACTTTTCGAGATGATTCAACAGAATAAACGAAGTTATGTCACGGAGAACAAGTTGGTCATAGCTTCACTCGCACATAATTGGGATTCGAAGACTACCGGTCTATGTGAGGCATTGCTATTGGGGCTACGGTATTAGTGTAATGTAATTCAGTGCTGCGTGACATTCTGGTTGACTGAGAGCCGTGATCAGATCTCATCTTCTCCCTTCAATTCTTCCTCTCTTCCTACTCCCGTTGGCCCTCAGTCCGCTGCTTCGCCTGGATGGCATACATCTTCCGGGTCTTGCGGCGCGGCTTCTTCTTCTCTGCCCACTCCTCGCGGGCTAGCTTGCGACCTAAGAAGTCGCCTAGCAGACGGCCCTGACCTGCATCCTCTTCATTGTTGTGGTCGTCGTCCGCGGGCATACCGGTTTCGCGGCCGGTAGCACCCAGCGCGCTTGATCCAGATTGGGGAGCGAGACTCGATCTGCTAGCAGTGGAATCCTGAGTTTCGGTGTTGTTGATATTGTTGTTGCCGCCGATAGATTGTGTGCCAGCACCAGGGTGGAAGGTTGCACTGTTGACTGGCTCGAGAGGGGCGCCACCTGCGCCATCATCAGGAGCTGTGGCTCTCAATTCGAAGAAAGACTCGCCTTGGTGGCTCGCATCGTCACCGTCGGCACATTTCGCGAGCGAGGTGAGGGAGGTCGTGTCAGCAGGAGTGGTGATGTTGGTGGGCTTGGTGGTGTTGGTGACGTTGGTGATGTTCGTGCGCATGGTGTTGTTGGAGTCGATGTCGGTATCGACGGTCTCGGTAGCAGCAGTGGTGAAAGCCTCTGCGTCCATGGGCTGCGGGAATGCCGCGCCTCTGAGCTGCTTGATCTCCTCACGGAGTGTCAGTATCTCCTGGGATTGGCCTTGCTGATAGTGCATCTTTATCTGTCCGGCTTCCTCAGTCAGCTTTCTGATGCCCTCTAGGTCTTGACGAAGCTGCTGCACCTCCTCAGCATTTCGAGCCTCGGCCGTTAGAGTAGTCTTCAGCATGCCAACCTCGGTCTCGAACCACTGCTTCAATCCGTCGACCTCTGCCTTGCCCAAGAGTTCCGCCTTCATCGAATTCTGCTCCCCCTTCAGAAGCGAAGCCTTCTGTTCCATTCCCTCCAGCTTTGTGTAGATCGCTTCAATCTTCTCATCGTGTCGGTCTCTGAACGTGTGGGCAAACTTCTGCACGTTTTCGACCATCTTGCGGGATGCTAGGCCTAGCTCGGGCTCCTTGATGAGCTTCTCGTGCTCCTGGGCGAGCTTTCGTGTCTCTTCGGCAAGCTTCTGGGCGGCTGCGATCAGTCGAGCATGATCCTCAAGAATCTTCGAGACAGAAGTCTCGTGAGCCAACGTGAGCTTCCGGTTGGCTGCAATCAACATTATTTGTCCGTCGAGAGCCTTCCGGTTTTCTGCGACCAATGTTATATGGTCTGCCATGATCTTGTCGATACGAGCGCCGTATCCTTGGGTGATTTTTATGTTGCCTTCAATCAGCTCCTTGAAGCTGTTGAGTGTCTCCCGGGTGTAGGCTTTCTCTTCGTCGGCGAGCTTCCGATTCTCTACGATCGCCTCTCCATGCATCCTGAGGGTCTCGTTGGTGGCGGTTTTGTGTTCCTGAGCAATCTTTCGGTCATCTGCGATTACCTCTCCAATCTTCCTAACAATATCGCATATCGAACCGGTATGCTCGTTGGCGACCGTGCGATTCTCTGCGATTGCCTTTGTGTGGTCCTCGAGTATGTTTATTATGGACCCAGTTTGCTCATGGGACTGTTCCTGGTAGCCTTCAAACAGCTTCTCGTGATCTTTCTGTGCCTTCTGGAGATGGGTGAAGGACTCTCCGTAAGCATTCGTGCCCTCTGATATCAACCACCCATAGCCTTGGAGGATTACCTCGATTGTGTCCATTTGCTCCCTTGCTAGAGCAAGCTCCCTCTTCAGATGATCACATTCCGAAGAGGTGTTGTCATCGAAGTCGAGTTGGAATGCATAGGCCGTGGTGAGCATGACGACGACGAGGCTGGGGACGTAGAAAGGCAGAAAGATTTGGGTCAAGGGTATGGCAACGTATGCTGAAAAGATTGCCAGCGCCAGGCGAATGACTAGAAGAGCGAAGGAAAGCATTTTGAAAATTTGTCGGCGAGCGGGCGGGCGGACAGAAGTGCGTGTATTGTGATTGCGATGGCCGAGTAGACGGTCGATGTACGGAGTCGGTTGAATGATGACCGTCTGGTAAGCAGTGGAGATCAAGGAAGGTTGTAGAGTATGAGCTTTGGGGTGATTTGTGCTAAGTATCAGATGAGCGAACAGAAACGGCAATGGGCATGCATCTGCGAGGAGATGGGAGGAAGAGAATATGTTGTGATTGAAGTGCAGGGAGAGGAGGATGATTTGGTTATGTTAGCAGGTAAACACACCAAAGGCTATTGACAGCTTCCAAAATGTATGGCTCGTGGGGGACCGGAGGGTGTGTCCATCGCTGGGCCTTCAGTAAGGCGATAAATCATGGATTTGTTGACTGTACCATGGCAAATAAACGACAAGTATAGGTATCAGTCTGTCTACAGAAAGGAAGCCAGGGGTCTCTCTGCAGTTCTGTTGATGTCTCCATAAAGAGGACCGGTGGGGCAGAGGGTAGTGAATGGGACAAGCTTTGCGGAACCCAAACAAATATAGTCGGTCTCAACCATTAAGTGAATGCGCCTAGTTTATCACATACCTAGCTCGAGTCTCGCAAATTTTGAGAGACCCCACTATTGCAACACTTCAATCAAGTACCTTTCAACATTGGACAACATTGCGGTCACATGGGATGGCTCGGTGACAGTTCTTTACAGTGAAAATTAGTGCATTGTAGGTTCTATGGCGACGCGCATTGCCTGAGCTCTGCGCAGAGACCCCTCTTACTGCTTTATGCAGGCGTATGGATGGCTTTAATTCTCCAACGATCTACGCCGGCCTAGGCTCGTAGTCCCGTTTGTTGATGCTTGATCCGCGCCCTGGATTTTATCTGCTGGCGCTTTGTAGCACCACTCGTCGAAGCAAGCATCACATCCATCTGGCAAGTTCGCACCCTCCTCCTTCATCATTATGGCGCATGCCAAACACAGTCCCCAGCCCTCTGCGCCGTTCTGTGTCGCAGTCTCCAAGCCATTCGCAATCATGCCCTCGGTCACCTCCGGGTCGTACTGGAATTTCGAAGTGGACAGATTGCTCTGATATGTGTAGTTGACGTTGGGCAGATACACAATGGTCACCGCCTCTGGTTCATTACACCCGAAGAAGACGGCCCGCTTGTTGAAGCCCTTTTCGATGAACACCGACTCGTCCGGGATCGTAGGCATGCGGTCTGCAATGCGAGAAATGTTCTTCGTGTACCACGATGCGTCGATGAGACAGGCTCCAGTAGGGAAGTTGTTCTCGTCGGCAGAAGAATCACTTAGGATGATGACGGAGACGTTGCGCGCAGGCTCCAGCAGCGGTGCAATCGGGTCGTTGTGCAGGCCGATACCACCATCAACCATATATAATTCATCGACCAGGAACACCTCCTTCGCCTCGTCGCCAGTGCCGTTGAAGCCCTTGAACGGATTCGGAACCCGCCCAAAGTCAAGTTCCTCGTCCACATTATGAAGCACCTCCACGAGCTTCTCAAGGACACTCTGCATATCACTGAACGGATTCGACTCGACGCAGACTTCATTGCCGAAGAGATTGGAGCCTGTGCCAAGAATGAAGCCGAGATTGTCGAAGCCAACGGTGCATTCGGTGTCGCCGGCAGCGGTGCCCAGATACTCGATGGGGATCCAGGCTGATATATCGTCGTTCCAACTGCCAAAGTCGAACGGCGTAAACTCCCATACGGTGCCATTATCCGTAGGCCCGCAGAGGCCAACTTTAGTATTGATACCATTAGCATTGATAATGGGCAACGGCACATTATAATCGACGATATTAGAAAACCCTGCCACGTCCGACAATCGGGTAGCGACACCGCCTCTGTCACCCTCGATCATCTGGTACGACAGAAGTCGTGACCAGGGATCGTTCAACGAGATTGGGTAGCCCGCCGCCTTCTTCTCGACGACGTCGGCCGTGATGTCTGCGTACGCCGCAAGGGCCTTCCAGCCGTCCGGTGCCTCGATGCCATGTTTGAAGGCCGATTTCCACAGATCATCCGCGAGCTGTGACACAGTGGGGAAATTGTTGCCTGCCCAGGATGAGACCAACCAGCCGCCTCCGGATACTCCGATGTGATAGGTCAAGGCCTGAAGGAGACCGCTCGTAACGACGTCGCTGTCCCGATCGTCCATGCCTTGCATCACTCCAGCGCCGATTAGAAACGACCGCCATCCGCCGCCGGATATTGAGAGGCTGAGGGTGGGCAGGTTGCCTGATCCGAGCCCAGGACTTTGCTTCTCCAGCCATGCTGCAAGTGATTCGTCTGCTTTGGCTTTGCGCCCGACCCGATACGCCTCCTCTCGGTCGCTGAGTTCGGTATTTCCGTCGCGGATTAATGGGCCGCTTGGGCAGGATGTGGTTGAAGGAGCGTAAGGCGAGGCGGCGGCTGCCACGCCGAGGAAAAGGGAAATCAATGAGAGTGAGTGCATTTTGCAAAAAGCAATGACTAGTGTAATGAATGAATAAAACAATGAAAGAATGTCTGCTGATGGCCCAAAAACCCTGTCAGGGCATAGAGAGAAAAGAAAGACAAAGTCGGCTAAAATTCAGAAATGAATGAAAATGATTGGAAACCAGACATCACTGCCACGAAGCGTGGAGGTAGGCAGCCTAGACATAATAAGACACTGCATAGAAATCCGGGTCTTCGCTGGAATGAGCAACAGTTGAAAGCACATGTCAAAGGAGATTTTCTGTCCCAGATCAAAGGGTCATCGACGGATTCTATTTTGGAACCACCTCAGGCCCGCTGGTTGCCATTCTCAGCCCTATAGCCGATGAAAAAAGGGTGGGCTACCCTTCTTCTCGTGCGAAAGCTGCGCCGTACTGACTCGCGGCTCACCGTTGGGACGAGATTGGATGGCACACTCGGGTCTATCCGACCGTACGAGTCGCGATGCCCTGGCTTTTGAAACCCTGCCGACATGCGCACCGCCTCAATGTCAGTCGTGGTGATAGGGGTGAGCTACGGACGATTGCCGTTTAACCGGGTGAGGGTATCATGAAGAAAGGCATAAAAAAAGTGTTGTCGATGCCATTGTATTTCTACTGATCGGGCCGGATGACTTATTACATTCTCACCTTCGATACACGTTGATCTCACTCCACTCATAGCGGCAGATCAACGCTGGTGGATCTGCCGCTGGGATCAACCGCGATGCTTTAGAGGAGATAGACTACATGTCAATGACACTCAAGGACCCAAATTCATGCTGGCTGATCATTGGATCCTTCTCTATCCACCAATGACAAAAATCAACTCGCCTGGTATTGGAAGATGCATAGAGGGCAGTACACTGCCGAGGTCTAGCAAGTCTTTATTCTTCCGCAGAAGAATATCCTTTCTTGGCAGATGTATCGAGTACAGTGGGCATATCAGGGTCAAGAATGATACATATCATAGTATTGAAAAGGATAATACTGGTACATGATCATCTCAAGGTATCACTTTCAAGTAGCAGACAATTCAGGTGACTGTATCAATTTCTATTACTCAGTCCTAAAGCCTTACCCCTTTCCAGGTCGAGGAGCGGCTTCGAATCTCCATGCCTGGCACCTCTCAAAATAATAAGTATGCTCGAATCAATCAACCCCTGGCTCATCGCCTTTTCGTATCAGAATAATAAGTATGCTTGAATCAATCAATCCCTCAATCATCGTCCCTTCTCGTCAAAAACACCAGTTCCACCATCACAAAGTCCTACACAAACCACCACATCAACAATTCAGCGAATCCAAATGAAGAGGATCAGGTAGAAAGAAAAGGCGTCCGGGTCCTGCAACTGAAGCTCATCCCCAGGGGAGATCAATTAAGATCAGGCCACGTTGTGACTTACGTGACCGAGTCAAAGAGGGTTGCAGGTTGTCCGGAGCCACCAACGCCCAATACCCTGCCATCAATACAGCCAGGCTGTAGAAATCAATGAAGATGCATCTGCGATAGCTCAACAGACATCGATTCATTGGGCATGTCGAATAAATTCGCTGGGCATTGCCGGGTGCTCTGTCAGCACCTTGACCGCTAGAGGAGAAGGGCTGAGAGTGCGCCGGCGGATCGAGGGTCGTTGGCTTGAAAGAAGAGTTGTGAAAGCCGCATAATTAGCTGGTTGGATACGCTGTGTTGGTTGGTAGGTTGGTGGTTGAGTGGATGAGCGATTTTATCGCAATTGGATGGAGTGGGCCGAAGTGCGCAGCGGAAGGTGTCCGGATGATCAGTGCGAGGCTCGAGCCTGCTAGTTGTACAAGTAAAATTGACAGTAGGCGGCAGAACGCTCAAAAGGCGTCAGGCGAGTGGTCCAGGAGCCATTGCTGGTAGTATTTGGTAAAGAGCTCGTGGAACTCATTCCAGTCCTCGGATCCCAAAGATTGGTGCTGTATTGCCCCGACGAAGATTTCCTCGCGATACAGCGCCATGCATTCTTCCAGCTCGAATATGGTGAGCTTTTGAGTGTTGATCGCTATGCCGGCGCCCTTGAGAATTTCCTGGGTGCTCATCGAGCGGTCCCATTTCATGATAATTTCCAGGATGACCTTGATGTCTTCTGGATTGCGGATGTCCATCTTTGCAGCAAACTCGGTCACGAATGGAATCGACACGACGTGAGCTCTCCAACCCTTGAGGAAGTTGATAGTATACTTGGTATGCTTTGGCGAGGCCTTAGAAGGTCCCATAACCGTGGTGCGGTTGTCCTGGTCATTGACGTCGTTCGGGTCGCCGTAGTCCACTTCATCTTCAGAGGAATCTGCATCCTGAGAAGCCTTCAACTTGGACAATTGATCGAAGGCTTGCTCAACATTGTCCTTCAGGCGGAGTTTCTTGACTTCCTCGGTCAAGTTCTTTGTGCGGGATCGGACCGTCGCGATTCGGCGGTCGGCGATATTCTTGGGCGGCTTGAGGAATAGCTCGGGACCCGCCCTGTCGGGCTGCGTGTCCATAGGCGTAGTTCCTGGTGCAGCAACGGGCATCTGATTAGCAGAGTGGTTCAGAGGCTTTCCTGGCTCCGCAATCTCTGTCGTCATGTCATTCTCGGACATCTGAATGTCAGAGTTGTTCATGAACTTCTGCGACTCTACAACGCTAGCCTCGGCCACGTCGAGTGCATCGTTCGCCGCATCGCTGCTGCGCTCTGAAGACTGATCTGAAGGTTGCTCGAAGATATTAACCCGTGATCCTGACTCAATCACACCAGAGGTGGCAGCGTGGTTGGCTAGTGACCCCTCAAGAGGCTTGGAAGCATGCGGTGTTGCCAATGCCCGGTACGGGGACGTATCTGGTGCTCCTGCGAGTCCTGGAATGTGGAACCTCTGCTTGCCTCCAGTTGAAGATGGATTTTGGGAAGCACCAGTAGGGGTGGCATTCGCAGGTTGAGGTGTGCTGAACTTGGCAGCAAAGTCTGCTTGTTGCTGCTTAGCAATCGAGGAAGCCTTGGTCTGGGTTGCCGGAGATTTGGATGGAGTCACCGGTGGTTTGCGCTGGTTGAAGATGTTGACTGGCTTCTTCTTTCCAGATTTTGGCGCCGGGCCCTTCTTCGGCGTCGCGGGTGCGGATGATACATTGCCGGTGGCAGAGGATGAGCCAGTTGTATTGGCTGCCGAGGACGTAGGATCACTTGTGCTCGAGGCACCAGTGTGTACAGGACCCTCGTTCTTGCTCGCAGCAGAGGCATCAGGCCTGCCCTCGGCGGACTTCGTGTTGCCTGAAGCTGTGTTGCGATTGTTCGAGGCTGCATTGCCGTTCGTCAAGTCAGAGCTGCCGGCGACAGAGGCTGGGCCAGTGTTGCTCGAAGTTGACTCCTTGGCAGCAGCTTCACCGGCAGCAGGAATGGCCGGAGCAGGCTTGGCCGGTGACAGATTAGCCTTGGACGAAGATGGCTTCTCATCGCTGTCGTCAAGCTCAGGTGGAGGTGCAAAGTCATATCTTGCTCGAGACGTGCTGACCAGTCGACCAGAGGCTTCTTGATAGGAGGAAGAGGAGCATTAAAGTCGAATTTGAGTGCAGAGGGTGCCTTGGTAGGGTTGGCGCCGGGGGTTTTCACCGATGGCTGACCCTGGGGCTTCTTGACAGGAGAGATAGGACCCTTGAAGTCAAACTTGGGCGCAGCAGGAGCCTTGATTGGGCTGGCGGTGGGTATCGGTGCTGACGGCTGCCCAGGAGGGATGGTGTAGGAATGAGCGCCCCCTGAAAAGATGGACTTTTGGAAGAGGGTTGGCTCTCGAGAAGGTGTCGCAGGGCCCGAAGTAGATGGCTGTGATGGTCCGCTGCCAGCGACAGGCGGGGTTCCGACTGAATTCTGGTGGCCTTGTCGAGGAGCTGAAACAGTGGGCGCGGCGCCAGGTGGTTTTGCAGAACCATTGCTCAGGCAGGGCTTGCCTCCTCCTGTCACTTGTGGCTTGTGCTCAGGACCCGATGTCTGAACCTGCTGAGATTTTATCGGTCCAGCACTTGGAGACATCTCAGTGTCCTTTGGTACCGTGGTCGTCTGTGCGACGGGCTCGCGTGAGGGATGCTGAGGGGCTTGCTGAGAAGGCTGTTGAGAGGGCTTCTGTGGAGGTTGCGGTATCTTTGGCTGTATACTTGGCAAGGGGACATCCTCCATCTCGCAATCATCATCAGAGTCGCATTCCATCGGCGTATCGTCTTCCTGGACAGAACTCCCCTTGCTCGTTGGGCTTGGAGTGACGCCCTGGAATCCACCTGCCCGTGGCGGCGTCGGTGGTTGCGGCTCGGGAGGGCTCGGGGGTACTTGGCGACCAGTATTCATATTGTTCATGAGATCTCTCAGAGCTGCGACCTGGCTCTCCAGGCCGTTATAGCGCTCGTCCTGGACCTTGGTCTCTGCCTCAGCCTTTGCGCGGTAGTCGGCGAACTCTTTATCTACTGAGGCTTTGTGGCTCTCGAACTCTTTCTGGACGGAAGCCTTGTAGAGTCGCATCTCTTCCTCGACAGACTCCTTGTAGTCGCTGAGCTCTTTGTCGGCGGCGTCCTTTTGCTGCCTTAGCGCTTGGTCCGCTGCCTCCTGCTGCTTTCTCATCGCCTCATCCACCGAATCCTTGTGAGCCTTGAGATCGCTCTGGTTGGCGACTTTCATCTCATTGAATTCCTTCACAATGTCTTTGAAGTATCCGTCGTATTGCTGAAACTTCTCTTCCGTGATGTGGAAGGCTCCCTTGATCTCGTCAATGTTGAGTCCGCCCATGCTTGTCTCAAGGCTCTGGATTCTCTTCTCGTGGGCCTGGGCCTTCGTAGTCAGGGCTCCCACTTCCTTGGGCTGGCAGCCACCAGTTTCTCCCTGGTGCTGTCCTGCGTTGGCGGCGGCGCTCGAGATGCGGCCCAGGTTTGAGACCGCAACGTGCCTGACTAGGAGGGGGTTCTCCAGGGCATTGAAGCGGCGGCGAAACTCGTTCTCAGTTTCCTTGCGGGCGGCCTCGGCTGCCTTCCAAGCTTCTTGGTTGCGCTCGATCGTTTGGACCTTGTCGGAAAATTCCACGTGCTTGAGCTCCAAATCGAGAATTTCGCTCGCGCGCTGCGTGCTCTCGGTCTGCTGGGCAGCCTCCACTTTGGTCAGGCGCCGGCCGAAAGCCGCGTGCTGGCTATCCAGCTTCTTCAACTCAGCCTTCTCGGCCTTGTTGGGCATCTTTTCCTCCAGCCTCTTGAGGCTCTCGTCCCGCCTCTTGGCCTTGATTTCCAGCCACGGGTCGACGCGCTGGGCTTCTTCGACGCGATTGTCGAGCATTGTTCTCATTCGGGCCATTCCATCGGCCTCCAGTTGCTCCCACTTCTTGTCAAGCAACTCGTCGATGTCGACCATCTTGTCTTGCACCCTGATATGCATTAGTATCTTACCACAGAGCCCGAAGTGACGCATTCTGGAAATCTCTGATGAAAGACGGATGGCAGCTCTGGGGGCAAAGGTTTGTACTCACTTGGTCTCGACCTCTTGTCTCGCATCCGTCAAGATTGCGTCGTGCCACCTTGAGGTGACCATGTTGACGTCTTTCTGTAGACGTTGGACTTTCTCCTCGGTCGCATCTTGCTGTTTGTTGTACTTGGCGATGACCTTGGCGACATTGTCGATGGTTTTGGTTGCGCACTTCAGAGTGTCTGCAATGAATGGGTTAGCGAACATTTACTTCCAATTGTGTCAAGGTAGCTTGAGCATGTCTTACCATTGCAATCAAGCACAGACTGAACCACGTCTCCTGCTTGCGCAAACACCGGCTCGAGGTAGCGCTGATAGACGTAGTCGACGCCAAACATCGTGTCTGACTGGCGCGAAAGCGCTTGTCTGGCTACGTATCGAGTTGAGCAATGCTCAGGGTGACTAAGTAGTCGATGGCAATTGGTAAGTGATTGATGGAAATGGGTAGGGGAATTATCGCAGTGGATAATTGAAAGATTGATGGTGGTCGACGGGTAAGTGGTGGGATGGTGGGGTAGTAAGGGATTGATGGCAGTGTGTAGGTACACAGGTGGTTGATGGTATTGGGTATGATGGTTGATGTTGACAAAGAGCGAGATGAAGCTTCTTGATCAAATTGATTTTCTCCAGCTTCTCGCAGGTGTAGAAAGACGATTGGGAAAAGTCCGACCGATCGAAGTGTTGGGTGGGTTTAAATAGAAAGGGAGGTTGCGTTCAGTTGAGGTGCTGGTGGCAGTGAATTGTCAGGTCCATTCAGATTGAGGGGAACAATAGCAAGAGGTATTCACTTTCTGTTACCCAGTTACCTAGTCTGTTGCCAGGGCCCACTGCAGCCATAACACGGCCACGCGTGAATCTTCAGTCGAGTCACTGGAGGGGCGGGGTCCCAAATTGAAGCTCGTTTGTGTCTTTTGCTTGACGAAGCTAACGGGAGCAAACGCAGCTGTGCTCTTTCGCGTTTTAGTTGAAGATTTATTTGCATCAGTAATGCAGTACCAATCGTGCTTGAGGACTGAGTATTTCACAAGCAATTACGGGAACCTTGAAGGAGGCGAACGAGCTTGTTCATCCTGTAGCATCGCGCAAGACAATGTATTGTCAGACAGGGAGCAATCAATGATTTTTTAGGCTCTACTCGCACTTTTCTTATTTTATTTGGGGTAGTGTGTTTCTATGCTGGCATTGAGAAATTGCTCAGGTTGTCTAGCAACTGCGCTGTGCTGGATGACGTCGAGGCTGACAGCTTCCCTAATCGGACCCCGCGCCTGATCGTGTAGGTGGGTCCGTGCTCACAGCCTCGTCGCCCCTCAACATTATGGTCAACATTGGAAGTCATCTAAGCACGCCCGGACAAATTGCAATGTAGAGTGAATTTGTGGCTATTGATAAAATAAATGATAGCTATTCTACAATTCTGATACATTGTGCTCAATTGGCACGGGAAGTAAAAGGGTAAAAGTTTAAGACGGCCCACCTCCAGCATGCTGTGCATTCGCCAAGTTGTGGTCGGCAGTCCATGCAAAGGAAGTCAATCCCGACAGTCTTCTCCAACATTGGAACCGCTTTGTTGTGGTGTTTAACCACCGTCCGCTGCACGAGAACTGAGATATCGAACCTGTTGGCTTTGAAATGAAAGGGCCACGACTATAAGCTGCCAACTGTCGTCCACCATTCACGAGTCGAGCATTTTAGCTCGTCTCGGAAGATACCCTTTCGGGCAATCGGGACACAAAATTATGAATTGTGTCCGGTTTAGACTGAGTAAGGCTGCTGCTTCGAGCATCTCAGCTGCTGCTTTGCTTGTAATGAGAGCAAGCTCAGTCGAACTCTTGATAAAGAGGAGATTCAAGATTTCGCCAAACGATGACGGACATCAGAGACCGTGAAATCGAAGACTCTGAGGTTGAAGAAGGGGATTCAAAACTTGAATCCTGAAAGGAGGTTCGATACAGGTAAAGGTTCGAATGACAGTGCCACCATTGTCTTGATGCATGTGCCGGTCCAAACTGCGTCAAAAATAGCCGCCAATGGGGTATTCGCTGTACCAGTTGCCGCGCTCCGAGAAATGGTGTCTTACAGAGGTAATGCTCATCCTAGCGACTGATAGTTGTCGCGAGGAGAATAGACGTATTCAGGTTCTCAAAAAAGAACCGTTCGACCTTGCCGTGGAGGACTTACTTGGTCGCTCATCTTAACAGCACGATGGTTGTGCTGCAAGAGAACAGTCGTTTCAGGTTTCAATGGAAATATGCAACCGAGCGCCTCTTGAGTATTCGGAAGTATAGCATTGGAAGCGTAGTCGGCATTATGTGGCGCTTGGACGTGATTAGGCGGCGGGCAACTCGCGTCGGCAGGCGAAGATCACTCAGAAAGTGATCGGAGCTGCAAGTATATTTACTCAGCTCAATTTTAGGGTGGTTGAACAACGAGCAGCTGGTTTATGAAAGACCTGGTGTGTTATCTGGTGTGTTCAGGTTGCTTGTTCGCATGTGTCTCGAGTTTTCCAAGACAATTCTTTTGTACAGTGTTTCGACATAAATAATCGGTTTCGTAGTATCGTTCGGCCTACTCAGAAGCAGGCGCATGCGGAAAGTTCTCTGGGTGGTCTTTCTTCAGATGCGAGGGCAGCAGATTGAGGTTCGATCTCCTCGCCCAATCGATGGTCAGATCGGACTTTCTGCCACGATCTTTGATCACTGCTTGGTAGGAGGTCTGTTAGCATTTGTTGGTACAAAAAGGTGACAAACGAGCACAGAGAGGTCTCGGACGGCCTACCTTGACGGGCGTACTGCTTGACAATGTCTCTCTCATCCAACAAGGGCTGGTTGCAGTCAGAGATGTGATCTTGCGCACGACCTTGTCTGAGGGGATGGCTCGAGAAGTGGTGCTTGCAGCCCGAGGCTGGACACTCCACGAACGCGTAGATGCCGTAGCCCTCGGCGGTCGAATATCCGAACAGCCAAGGCCTCCTCTTCCCCATCTTCGCGATCTTGCTCATGGTGACTGTGTTCCTGCTGAATCCCAAGGGCTGTGAGGACGGCTCTACAGATGGAGATGAAAGTCCGCGAGCACGTGGACTAGATGGACCGGCGGCGGGTGATAAATTCTGCTCGCTGTCCAATATAGGGCTGACAGCCTTTGGAACCCTAGATGCAGGAACTACAGGCTCAGGATCGGCGGCTTGAGGACTCGAGGTGGCCATGCGCGCCGAAGGCCTACTCTTCTCCAGCCGCTGCCGCTTCGGAGCCGTAGGCCCATATCCCTCACCAGCCTCTAAGCCATCGTTGTCGTCGCTTTCATCGTCCTCAGGTATCTTGGCACGCTTTTGCCTACCTCTGGAACTGTCCGGCGCGTTGCCAGCCGAACCACTGGGACCCGCTTCGACTTGGCCCATCGATACGGGCTGCTTGCGCGCATTTCGCTGGAGAGGAACAGCATTTGAAGTGATGGGATCAGAGGTGCCACCAGCAGTCAACCGTCGGCGTTTATCTCCGTTCTTGCGGCAGTCCCCAGTGGCCTCGGTATCCTCGTCGCGAGGTCGCTTCAGACTTCCTCCCTTGGGCTGCGTTCTACCTTCAACTACCCGCTCTTCCGTGCTCGTTCTTGTGCCGGAACTCTTTGTACCCAGAAGGTATTGCAACTGTAATATCCGCGCCTGGCAGCGTTCGACCTCCTCCTTTAACAGAGCATCGCGGCCGATGTCAGGAACTCCGCGATCAATTCCCGGAAGATGCCGTTTGAAGCCTGGTTGTCGAGAGGACCAGCCAGGGTCTGGCCAGTCTTCCGGGCCGATATGAACGATTGCATTGTATTGTGTCTAGATGCTCAGTCAGTCCAAAATTACCAAGAAATCCGTGGTAGAATAATGAGGCCGGCCTACCAAAAGCTGCATGCCAATACCTTCTATCTCGCGTAGTAACTTCTTCATGAGCCTCTCTAATTTGTCTGCATACTTGGTGTATTGGGAGTCTGGTCCATTGTACATTCGACAGTTGTGAAATACCAGAAGCATATCGTTGAAGAACGCAGTGGCTCCATAGCCGTACCAATTTTCTGTTCTCAGCTTTTGCTCAATGAATTTGAAGTGGCGGGGCCTCTTTATGATTGTGAAGTAATCCTCAGCAATTGTCTCGTCAACGCGATTCATGAATGGCCACGCATCTTTGTGGTTCATCAGCCGGTGGATGATTCTCAAAAGAGGAAGCTTAAGATCGAGATTGTCTTCGTCGTTCGCATTGTTGTGGTGGGGCTCAGTGATTTCCGGCTCGAGAATATGCACATTGAACGGAGGCTTGGGATGAGCCTGCTCGTCTTCAATCGCTTTGGCTCGGTCTGATTGCCTCGTGCCCTTGCGATGATTGTTCTTCGAGTCCGGCTCAATGTCGTATTCTATGTATGATCGATTGTCGTAAAGGAAGCTCTGCTTGCGTGCTCTCAATGAGGGCGTCCCGTAGCGACAATTCATCATTTCAATAAGCTTATAATCACCTCGGTCGGTGGTGCGGGCCTCCATCTCGTCGTAATCCTCTGCCAGACGCGTTTTGATGCCGTCAGAGCCATTGTACTTGAGGAAGACCGCCATGAAATCCTCTTTCTCTTTCTGTTCGATTCCGGCCCAACGGTGCCAGAACGGTATGATCTCGGCCTTCAAGTGATCAAGACGGCGAAGTCTCTCTTCCGCGGAGAGTTCAGGATGCTCACGGACGTCTGTGAGAATGCCCTTGTACTCACCGTACTTGCCATTGTCTGGGTCATAGTCGGGTCCATCGACATCGGGCAGATTGCGCCATTCCATGATGGAGTAAACTACCACCTGAGGGTAGAAAGCTTTGCGAATGGTAGACAGAAATTACTGGCAAACAAGAAATTTCGGGATCTGCAGTGGCCTTGGCTCTACCAAATCAAATGCTAGGTTGTTCGGCAGTTTTTCTGCTTGCGCAAACGTCTGGCACTGGATAGATGGAATATAGGTCTTGAAGACGCAGGCTCTCTATGTGATTGGCAGTGAAACGCGATGGATGAAGAAAGTGGGTGGGGGAAGTCGATTCCCTTCAGGTTGTTGGGGCAGTACTCGCAGATATCAATTGCTGTCAGTTTGCCGTGGTTGTAGAGTGATTGAGCAGAGGTCAAGAGGGGCAGCAAGACCAGACAGTGAATGTCAGTCTCCCGAATTCTTGGGTTGCCAGTATGCAGACAATTACGCACCGATCTGAATCTTAGCTCTTGTCGTCCAAGATTACTGTACTGACCAACCCAGTGGCCCCACACTGATCTTTTCTGGACGGTGAATTTGAATTTGTAAACGAGGTTTGCTTATCTAAAACCACTGTGATTTATTGGCGTATGTCTGACAGACATCTGATCCCCTCCAACCTACGCTCGCAGACGCCACGATCGTTTGGTACATCACGGGACTTGCCACGTCGTTGCACTGTTTGTGAGCATCCATCAATCCTGAGAGCTTTTCCCCCGCTATTAATCAATACTAACACTGCGAGCCACAGCAGCTGAAGTTCTTCCATCAAGACCAACGCCCCCTGGCCGCAACGGTGATCAACATGGAGCAACGACCCAGGTACCTCCGTGCGCGTCCTCAGCGCGAGTACTCCTACCAAATGTAAGCATTAGGCAATACAGCTATCTTCTCTTCTTCTGATACCCATGTCAAAGCCGCGAGTGTACCTCAAAGCCACTCTCACTAATCTTTCCAACTCTCAGGATCTTGGGTATTGACTGGGGAAGCGAGGCCGTTCGAGCGAGTGTCTATCAGACGCTCGACAATGGAATGCCCGTCGAGTCTCTCGTAATGCATCGCTCAATCATAGAGGAATTGCAACTCGACCGTGAAGAAGTTGAGCGCCAGTTCAGCTCTCACATTTATCCTTTTGACCACCACAGTCGAAATAATTCTAGTGAGATGGTCTACCAAGGAAACAACCGAGTCCCCGGTCGTCGATCCATCTCCTCTAAGCTTGCAATGTACGCAGTCGTGGGGATCTCGGACGAGATCGCCAGGCAATCTCCCCAACTACAGGAGTTACTTGAATTGGTCCAGCAGACCCCGCAGCTCAAGCGAGTTCTTCGCCTTGGTATTGAGCAGATGTTTCGCGTTGTCTTGCAAAACGTTTGCCTTTATCTCGAAGGTCAGAATCGCAGAATTGGCGCCATCGCATTGACCATCCCTGCTCAGTGGACCATCGACTTCGAAGAGGAGTACGGCGAACGCTTCGTCACAGCTTGGGCTCAAGCCTTTCATTATGCTGCTCCAGAGATCATCTTCCTCACTGAGGGGCAAACTAATGTGCACTTCGCCTTCTACACAGAAACACCGAATGCCCGATTCGATAGACACATCCTGCGCAACGAGGGATTTCTCGATAGCGGCAGGATTAGCAACGGCCTCTTGCTCTTTGACGCAGGTGGACATAGCACCGTAAGTCCAGCAGCGAACTTTTAAATGCCGATGCTCTTTTCGTTGCTGACAATCCTTCGGTGCAGAACTGTTCCTTGGTCACCATCTGCCAAGACAACAATCAGTTGGAGGTTCTCCCCGATCGAGGTATTTCAGAAGTAACTCACTTATACATCTGCAATGCTAATGCGGACCGTTTAGGTGTCATCGGTGGAACAGCTCTTTGGGCATGGTACGTACTACGACTAGCAAAGACAAAGTGGCCATTGTCGCGCAACTATGGACCCATGCCCGTGGAGATGGAGAACGAGATCCTCAAGACATTCTACACCAACTGTCGTTACTACAGGGGAGGCAAGGGGACAGCATTCTACATTTCAGACTGCGGTCCCAATCACAGCTCCTTTCGTTTCGCGATCACTGCCGAAGAGCTCATGAAGACTTTTGACGATGCCAATGCGCACACTTTTGCTCTCATCGAAGATGGCATCCTTCAACTCAAAGGCCTTGAGCCTCTATGCGAGAAGCTGACCATCATGGTCGGCGGCGGTTCAGCCCAGGGAGCAATGTGGGTAGCACGTATGAGCAGCATTTGTGAGAAGCATCAGATGAAAGAGCCTTTCTACCTTTGGCAAATTCAACACCAGTATGAGTCAGTATATTATCAAAGGCCAGAGGAAATGAACTGCCAACTAAATCCCTTTAGGTATGCGAGACTCGCAGCCGGTGCGAACTACGCGCTGTTGAAGGCAAAGACTGTAGCTCAGTTCGCTGACAAGGCCGCCTTTGGCCTCGCTATCAAGAAACGCTATAGGGACGGGGAAGGCTGGGCGGAGGACTGGTACTATCAGGCCAATCTTTTATGGGCACGTGTAAGTGGAAACCACCCTCGAGGCGCCAGTTGAGATGAGCGTCGCGATTCATCTGCTAATGCATATGGATGCCGACAGGGAAACAAGTGGGCTAGATTTGTGACGACGGATGGAACCGAAGAGTTTAAAATCATCTGTCAGCCCGAATACAACAGCCCTCGATCCAAATCTACTATTGAGCCCAATTACAAAGCCTACGATCTTCTTCCGATCCCCTGCCGCGAGAGAGGCATTCTCCAATTCGAACTTGACCTCAACACGGAGACCGACACACTCAGCCTGACTGTCAAGCATCGGGCCCAGACTGAGTCTGGGAAGACTCAACGATCGACCCAACTCGGACATGTAGAGTTTGATCTCTGGGTTCCACCTGGCAGTCGCTGCCTCCAGATATGGGATTGTGTGGAGGACATCAAGAGCAAAGTGACCGCAGCCTTCGCGGGGCAGCAAGAGCCCGCGGGTAACAACGCCTTGGATGGAACTAGAACCGGTGAGATGGAAGTCGAGCTAGGACATGCCGAGGAGCCTGCCCAGTCAGCTCGCAGCCTTCGTCGCAGCCTTCGCAACCGGCCTCCACAGCCCCCACGAGCTGAGACTGATATGGATGTGGACATCATGGCCCTTGATGAAGATCAAGATGTCGACGTTAGCATGCTGGGTACGGCACTGCCACCTCAGGCTGAGGCGCCTCAACCGTCCAGTGGAGACGTAGAGATGGGTGGCACACAAGACGCCGAAGAGTTTGCTGGCAGCATCAATGTGGCCTCGCCTATGCAGCTTTCTCAGCCTACCCGCGAAGTCCAGAGTGAGCGCCACCGCCGCCGACGTGGCTCTCGCGTCCCCACCGGAATCTTTGCCCTGTGATGGATGGGTAAGATGTAAGCATCTTGCACAACACGGTGGCCAAAAATGAAAAAAGAGGAACAGAAAAAGAAATACGAAGACCATACGGAGGAGCTGAAACTTCCGGTAATCCAAAAAAAGACGGTGGATTGCCTCATTGGCTATCAATCTAATTATCATTGGGGAAAGCCTCATGGTGAAGCGTGAACAGCTCAGACGAAGATGTCTCATAGGATTACCATATCCTGTGAGGCACTTGAGCCGGTACAGACAGCCAGGTTTGGCTTCCACAGCCACCCAGGTAGTAGACTATGAGAAGAGGAAGCTGCAGCATAGTATTGATAGCAGTGCAGTAGCCTGTGTCCTAATCGAAAGAGAAATTTGTAAATATCTACATTTTGCGAAGTGTTCTGGTAGAAGAATTCTAGTCATGCTATACTAAGCGTTGCCACTTGTAAATGACCGAGGAACATTCATACTGGTACGAGAACCATCTACTCGCATGGATCAAAATCACAGTCCGAGAAGATGATCATCTAGTGCACCGACAGCTATTTCTGGACTACTAAATCGGTGACTACGGTGCCAGAAAATGCTTGAGACAACTATCATGACGTCCACAAGGCAGTGTGGTGACACGCGGCTGTTCCGGCTGGTTACGAGGCTGCTCCGTAGGGCTTATGGGCCGATACAGCCGCCTCATTGTAAGCAATAAGCTCTCTAACACATCTGCCAAGGATACGTTGCAACTTCTGGCGCTCTGCAATAGGAGCAGCCAACGATCAGCTATCACTAGGTAAGCGACATGCGGCAAATCAAACTCTAGCATCGTGAGTAGGGATGCTGTGGAAAGCCTATGATATTTTGAGCGACTGGCCTTGGTCTTGGCCCTGTATCGGACGTAGTCAATAGACTTTTGCACGAGATAGACTCGCTCGTGCCAAGCCAGATCAGCGGCACGGTACAATCTCAGGAAATGGACACCCGATAAGGGAACTGTAGGCGCAGGCCACTCCCGTGGCTTCCGAGCGTACGTCTGAGAAGCAGCAGCCAAGGCTATGCTTATCATTTTGATCAGAGGTCCAGACCTCCCGCAATCCTGGGCCTCGTGGCCCATATTGGGCTTCTCTTAAGTCGGCACGTCACAGCGGAAGGCTGGGTGGGGGAGGCAGAGGTTTCGTTACGTAGCATTGGGCGAGCTTGGGCCTCGGCGCCGACGTGGGGCTCCGAATCATGTAAATGAGGCAAAACGACCGGTGAGGCGGCCATCGTCGCTGAGAGTCAGGCATTTTGGTGCTTCGGTGATGGCGGGGTCCGGATTTATAAGCCCTGAATAGCACGTCGGGATTAATAGTCGAGAAGATGGTATATGAATTTGCTGCCAAGATGCATCACGCATCGCAATCACTGTCAAATGTCACAATCTGTTGGAGGCATTGAGCTCGGAAAGTGAACGTCAATGATCGAATTACAAGTCTATTTCAAAGATACATAAGCAATCGCTGTAGTGCCTTGCGGGGGCTCTCAGGAGTCCCTTCTATATTGCCGCAAAGACCTTCTGGGTATCATAAAAGAAATGTGAAGGATTAAATTCATTCACCTCTGCCAACTCTTGTAAATGCGAAGGTCGTCGTGCTCGTGTTGAAAGTTCACGCAAGCTCCCCAGGTGCCCGATCCGCCTCCCTTGACGGCAGGCTCCTTGAAGCTGACCCTCCTACCTTCTGGTAATCTACCTTGTTGAAATCGCCGAATGGTATCCGCCCTGCTCCATATTCCCTCCGGAATGTGTAGTCAGAAACCTGTGATGTAACAGAGTCATCGGAGCCAATGCGCTTCATCCGGGGCCGAGGAGCGCTGAGCCCCTCGTTCGCAATCGTATCAATAGAGCTATAGCGGGCTCGTGGAACTAAGGGAGGTTGCGTGCCTCCTGCGACGCGGATCGGGAAGTTGCTGCCGAGGGCTTCATGTATCATGGCATTCGGCGGCTGGGTGACGACAATCTCATCTAGTATGCTTTGGACAGATGGACGTCGACGCTCGGGCGGCTGGAAGGCATTGCTGACCGACCTTCTGGACGGCGACCTGGTCATCTTCCTTTCGGGTTGTGGGCTTTCCATCAGCTCGTACCCGTAATGTTCGCAGTGGTCGCACTGAGACTGTGTCCGCGAAGGGAGGGACCTTGATTTGTCGAAATATGTCTCGGCGGTTGGCTTCAGACTGATGCTCTGGGTAAATTTCTCCACGTCTTTGCTCTCATAGGAAAATGAGGGGGGTATATGAGCGGTGATAGCCTCCTCTGGCGTTCGCAAGTCTCGCGCGGGCTCCCTGTAGTACTGCCTCTTCCGCCGCCTACAGCTGGAACGTACACAATCCGCAAACCTCTCCCTGGCCGCGCGCACATACAGCGGCCTCAATGTCGGAAGGCAAGCGCAAATGATGGCGAGGCAGACCTCTGCTATCGACCAGGAGACGGCGTCGAGGTTCTCGTATGTTACATCCGGGTTCGAGCTAACAATCGGTAGGTATTTGATCCTTATCCCGGAGATGGCGCAGTTGCTTCAAGCGTTTGTCAGCTTGGTTAAGACAGTCACCGTCTAAGCCGGTATCCCACTTACAATAGACCCAACGAGAACATGAAGATGAGGAGCAGCCGCTGTCCTAATGAAACTCGCATGCTCCATAATGCCGGTATCGGTAACGTGAATATTACGACGTCGCTCAGTATGTTTCCGGCAGAATGGATGTACCATTGGAAAGTTGGAACGCATGTGGCCTTGGTGTACTTTTCCCAGTACCCCTGTATTGGATGGCAAGTGAAAATGGATATCAGGACCAGTCCGATACTCCATGGGCCGATGATGATCAATGCAAGATTGATTGCTCTTCGAAGCTTCGAAGCGAAGACTCGTCGATACTGTAGCAGCAGAGCAACCTTGATCGAGCCAAGTCCGCTGTAGTAAAGAATGATGGCGAAGTAAAAGCCCTGTTGACAGTCATTAGCAGGTGTACCAGGCTTTCGCTCGCGTCCGGAGGCTTGCCTTGAAGTACTGCTCGATTTGTTCCTCACCCAGATTCCAGATATGTTGTCCAAGCCCTACCTGGGCCATAAGGCAGACTGTGATGCCCTTGGCCACGACAAAAGCCTGTAGAGCAAATGTTAGCGCTCAGATTCTATGCACCAGTTCAGACAGTGCCTGCGTCTTACAAGCGCTGCCAAGACCACCCAATCGTCCAATCCAATCCGGTTGTCGAGGTGTTGTCGAGAGTAGAAGCGCATGGCGACCACAAGGCCAGTCAACGGCACCAAGGTAGAGACAACAGCCACCACGACTCCCGCCCTGTTGTCCGCCGGCAGCCCTACCACACCCGAGGCTTGAACATCCGCTTCCATCTTGGTCGAGAGCTAGCCCATTAGTAAATATGCGGGGCGAGCGTGGACTCAGTTGGTCAGTTGGCTAGGACCGAAGAGAAGGTCGACCTGTGGAAGACGTCACTTGGAGGGCAGATATGGTCTAGAAGTGTTGGCAGCCATTGGCACCCACAGATATAACAACATTCCTGGGATTAACTCCCCGCCACTTGTCCCGATGGTGTCAACAGTCGTCTGGAACAGATAAGTGGCCCTGACCATAAGGTGTGGGCCCACAAGAAAAACTCCGAGCGCAAGTACAGGTATGTGTGAGTGCCTGAGTTGAGGCGCCTTCGCGACATGCACATGCGACTCGCGAGGTCGCGAATCGCTGACAGGGTGCGAACTTTAATCCTGCATTGCTTGCAGACCGCGAGTATGTCGCCTACAGATCTTGGCACGGTCCCAACATTGAGAGCAGTCGCAAAGTAATCTGAAAGTATTCGTGAAATAGACCAGTCCAGACGGCCGTTCCGAGGCTCTTCCGCCGGCTGCACAGGGTCTGAACTGGCCTCTCGCGGCCCAAGCCTTGTTCGCTGGGCTCCAATTGTTGCAGCTCCAACGGCTGCTTGCTTATTTCGAGTTCAGATGGCAGCAGCCGCTGGAACGCGCGCTGTCGTACGCTTTGAGGTGTGTCGCATCTTGGCCCGGAGGGGGCCGAATCGTAGGCGCATGCATCGGCAACTCTAATTGAAAGCCTAATTAAACTTCGCACCAGGAAGAAGGGGGTGCTACTGGTGAAACCCGCTGTTCTGAACCCACTTGAGTCGACAAACCCAAAATCCTCTCGGCGACTCGTGAGAGCCTACACTTGCCCAACAAGTCGACCTCTTCCGGCCGAGAGTGATGCGACGTTGTTGATTGTTCGTTTTTCTTCGTCAGACTTTGGATCGCTCCGACCACTTGAGCCGTGCCTCTGCTCCAGTGCGACGGTTCTCGAATGTCAGATCAAGTCAATCTCTTCTCCTTGGTATCACGTAGACTCCTCAGCTTGGCCTCTGTGCGTTCAGCTGATCATCGAGGCACGAGGTTCAAATTATTTCCGAACTGTCCGCTGCGGGTCCGTGGATGTCAACTGACTCGAAGCCCACTTATGTATATGACACAGCCGAGGCCAGAGTCCACCCGGATCGCCAATGGTTTCTTGTCAATTCGTTCATAAACTACCCGACGTTTGGACCCCACTCTTCCGGATTAAAACGAACTCGTGGAGCCTGTCAACAACGGGCCCGCCCATGACAAGCTCCATCCCCACCAGACGCTACTATCCCGCGGTGCATAATTGCTTGACGTCTCGACAGAATCAGGGCCCTGACAATACTAGTCTGTGTTTACCGGACGATATTGTTTCACCTCGTCGTTATAAGACCACAATCGTGATGTCGGCCTAGACATCGGCCTGGCGCGCTACTAGCAACCACCCACGAGGCAACTGTCAAGTTAAAGCGATGATCGGTCCGACTCGTATACCAGCGGCACTTCTTTTCATGGCTCGAAGTCTATTGCCTAGCTTCAGTAGCATTCAGTGACAATCGGCAGCCATCCGCACTGGCGACGACTAGGGTCAAGGTCTGTCTTTCTTGGCCGACCTCGACGTGAGGCTCGGAATCCGGAACCACGATGTGAGGGAAGGTCTGGATAATGCGGCATATTGTGTACGAGACTTCCAGCAGCGCGAAGTCTTGTCCCAAGCATAGCCTAGGTCCACCGTTGAATGGTAGGTACGCCCAGCCCACATCTTTTAAGCCGTCTTCCTCCCACCGCTCAGGCCGGAACGCCTCCGCGTCCTCGCCGTATATGTCCTTCCTGCGGTGCATTGCATAGACACAGTAGCCCACTGCCTGGCCGGGGCGGACAAGGATGGGTGCTTTGCCGTCAGGTCCGCCACCGACAGGAAGTGTGGTCATGCGGATCGCCTCTCGCGAGTTCACGGGGACGGAGGGGTATAGTCGCAGTACTTCAAGCAAATTAGACCTGGGCTACTGAAGGGTGGAAGCTCGGTAAAAGAGTGACACTTACCTTCTTTGACTACCAGACTAAGGTACGGCATTCTGGTGGGCTTCAAGTCATCTCGGGACGGCGGCTGCGATCCAGGCCCTATGCTGCAGACACTGGCGATTTCCTCTCGCAGACGTTGAAGAACTTGTGGATGACGGGCCAGTAGCCTGAATGACCAAGAGAGACAGCAGCCCGTGGTGTCGCGACCAGCGAGCAGCACGTTGAAGCATTGATCCCGCAAAACCTTTCTATCCTGAGTCTGCTCCGCCAGAGCATCAATGAATGAGTAATTGCTGTGCAAGTCCGTGTCCTTCTCTTGTACCTTCGAAGTTGGTTGTAGCGCCTTGTCAACCGCCTCATCCACAAATTGGTGACATCTTTTGCAGGCATCACGGAAGGCCTTGTCATTCAGCAACCAGTGGAACTGGCCGAGGCGTCCTCGGTGAGCGAGGTAGTCCTGCGCCAGATTGAAGGCTTGTGCGAATGACGACTCCTGGCCCGCAACCTTCCCCCAGTCGAGATCCAGTACCGAGTCGCCGAAGAGGAGGAACATTGTGGTGTCGAAGGTGAGCTTGAAAAAGAGGGGTTGGAGGTCAACCGTGCTGCCATCAGTGGGAATAACGTCAATGAGGTTCTGTACGCAATTCTTGATTTGTTCAAAGTTTTGGGACCTATTCGAAGCAAACTGTGGCCTAAGTAAAGCCCTCGAGTGCTTCCAAAGGGCACCATCCTGAGTGAAGATGCCGCTCCCCAGGAGAGGCCGGAAGTGGAGAGCTCGAAGACCGAGACTATAATCTAAACGTAGTCGCCAAACGTCAGGTTGACTGTGCTTCTGCTTTGATTGCATTCGACTTACCCTCAAAATTTGTCGATAGGACTGCCTCAATGTTTTCAGGATCTACCGTGTCGATGCCCGTAGCACCCAGCAGCTCCTGGACGAACGTGGTGCCGTTGTCGTCTACAACATCGAGGAAGAACTGCAGGATCTGCATTGTTCTGGCGTACTTGATAGCCTTGGCTAGCATATCTAGGCCAAGCGGCCACCTCGAGTTCCATGTCTTAGGAGGCAGACATCCTTTCTCGGCGGCGAAGCGACTCTCAGTCTGTTTACATGTTAGCGAGTCGTCAATAATGGGAGGAAATTGGCCTTCGCTCACACGACGACGCTGGCTGCGACCCAGTAGGAGCCATGCCAGAGCCACAGACAGCACGACGCTAAGGATAATGCGAAAAGCCCGTGGCTCATAAAGCCCTTGTCCCGCTTTCAGGTCCATTGCTCTCGATGCGCCAGGGACGAGGTCTACTTTGGGTTGGTTCGTGACAAGCTCAGGCCATTCTGCGTGGTGTTGAGCCCCGCTACTCGAAGGAAAAGGTGATTCGTAATAGCCAGGTAGAATGTCAAGAATGGCCTGATAGACGTTGCTGTGTGCCTAGCAATTTTCATCCTCCAGTGCAACCTCAGATTGCCCCCTGTGAATTGGAGTTTGACGATCCGAAAACGGGCTAGTGCTGACAATGCACGTGACGCCGTTTGTACCTAGAGAACGTCAAGCTTCCTCTTCGATTCTGGCCTGGCGCTGTCGACTCTTATGTCCTCTGGGATTTGAACCTGGTCTTTTGAAGACCAACTGAACGATTGGTTACATTATGGTGTTTATGCCTCCTCAAATACTGCCTTTGCGGTCTAATCCAGCCAGTCTCTTCTGCTTCGCAGTCTGTCTCATCCGTGGGCATACTCGACCAGGTCACAACATCAATTTTGGGGCGCAAGATTGGATAGAAAGGCATTACAAAACGCTCGGGAGCCTCAAAAAGCCTCGGTCCCATCTCTTCAAGTTCAGATCTCGGGTATAGCCTTCGGGATGTAGACTGAAAGTTGCGGCTTCATCTTGTCCATTATTCCAAGGTTTGCTCAGAAGGCTCGGGGCTCAAAGGTTCTGAATTTTTCAGGTGATTCCGATTCCTTAATACCCATCAAAGCCTTGCCATCCATGTTTTTGTTAACCTTGCTTCTATCTCTCAAAGTAAATCCAAGTCGCTATTTGGCAAGGCGTTTTTCTTCCAGATGTTGATCTTCAATGCTGGCTCGCAAGCCGCTTATGTGATATGGCGGAGAGTATGCTGTCTAACTACGTATTCATACAATTGAAATTAGAACCAAGTCTCTCATTTCTCGCATTCTAGAACTGCCTCCTGAATTACCATAAAGCACCGCAGCCATCTGTCAATTCATTGATGACTGGGTAGTTGGGAATTACGACGCCTGTGCAAGGTCTTTACTTGCAGACCAGTCAACTTGTGTCAGTAGTCAAATAGTGTCACAAACGTATACTTGACGCAGGCGCAGCGCTAGACGTCTTCTTAGTCGACCAGCTGCTACGGCGACTGGCAAGTGAAGGTTGTCCCCTATCTTGCAGCAACCCAAGGCAGGTCAGCTCCGTCCAGATTTCGGGGGAGGAAGACAAACGGGATTCAAGAATCAATCAGATATCAGTGACCACGGTGACTCGCCTATCCAATTCAATGGTTCCAAGTGAATAAATAAATTCACTGCCTTAGGCTGCCTTGCTGCCCCCCACCGTCCACAGTCGCCCAAATTATAAAAGGCCTCCTGATCTGACTGTCCCAACTCTTCCCTCTTCCCTTCCGACCTCCCCTCAACCCAGTCTGATTCGACCCTTGAATTGTCATCGTCAGTCTTTGACAGATCCAAGCACCCATATCAGACCTGATCAACAATCTCGAGCAAAGGGAACTTGTTTCTCGCCTCCAAGTTGTTGATACCCCTCACCTCAAGGAAGCATCCTTCCTACAAACACCAGCACTGCCAATCTCGAGCAAAGGGAACTCGTTTCTCTCCTCCAGATTGACGCGAATGCACCACACCTCGACAAATAGTCGAAGCAGTTGAATTGAGATTCATTCAGGTGAGCTCCTAGTCAATCGTGTTCAAAACTGCCCCACCACCTATCATCCAACCCCTCCATCAGCAAGTGCTTTTCGACTGTTGACTATCAATCCCACTTCAATCCCCCTGGCTTTGTTTTTCTAATCGTCAACTGTCAATCGCACCCCATTCTAATCGATTCCTTACCGCAGAATTTGGTCGACCGAAGCTGCCCTAGTCGCAGCACACCTCACCATGTCTGTGGTCGAGGTCGTACAGCGCGCCTTCTGGGCGTTGTGCCTCCTCTTCCCCTACCTCCTTGGGCCCGCCAGTGCCCGCATCCTCATGCATGGCCAGCCCGGCCCCTTCGTTGATGTCTCCCCAGTCTCCAGTCTTTTGGTTATCGCCGCCTATCTGTTCGTCTCCTCGGGTGTGGCCGTCTTTCTCCTCGACGGCTTGATACAAGTCAGCCGCAGGGCCACCATCAGTCTGGCTATCATGCTGGGCGTAATAAGCGCGTGGTATACTTGGCAATCGGAACACCTTGTCGGCGTACTTATCGTCATTTTGGGCTTCCTAGTAAGCCGACACCGCCAACAAGTCAAAGACCTTGAAGCACCCGACGACCAGCCGCTCTATATCTTCGCCATCGACGAAGAGACGGATCTGTTCGGCGAGAAGCTCGAGCCCGACAAAGCTTCTCAAGAGCCAACGCCTCCAGCCCGCGGTTGGATCTCAAGGGTTGCGCGGTTCCTGTGGAGCGCCATCTGCTTCATAGGTTCGCCAGCTCTGCTGCAGTTCTCTCTCTACGTTGTGACCCTGCTCTGGATGGAATGGGTGATGTCTTTCGACGCCACCGTATTCCAGCCCACAGCTACCATCGTCACATTTGAAACTCCTACCACCACCACCACCAAGTACAGCGGCTCTTCTTATTCCTCTCCAATCGCTACGCCAGTTGGCAAGTCAACATGGATGCAATCGGCGACGTCAACAACCATGCCGACAGCCCTTCCAAGCGCCATGCCAAGCACGATGCCAACGGCCATGCCAGCACCAGCAGCCATGGAGGGCGCCCTCCACGATTGGCTGTCCGCCGTCGGCACTCCTCCCAGAGTTCCCTGGATCTTGCTGTACTACTTCCGTCTTCCCAGCTCAATTGCGTATGGCGTCACTATGCTCGCCCTCCAATTGTTTCGATTCAGGTCAGCAATTTACGCTTCATTATCAGTCGCCTTCGCAATCTTGATCGCTTCCGACTTCGCCGCAACGTCTTTAATGAACTGGATGAATCGCAATGGTATCAGCCCATTCGTCGGCCTCATCATTGTCATCGCAGTTTTCATGACTTCGTTGCAATTTCTCAATCGCTGCACCGCCCCGCTATGGAACGCCTATCTGCTGGAGAACTTTGCCACAAAGACTGCTGAGTACGACTTCAAATGCCTCGTAGCCAAGCTGTTCAACGAATGGGAAGAGGCCTACAAAGCACTGTGCAAACTAATTAAGGACTCTGACAAGCTCACCGGAAAGGTCGGCGAGCAGAGCCGAAGGATTGACAATCAAACTACTAAGATCCGGTCTCTCCGCGAGAGCAAGGCCGACAAAGATGCCCTTGAGACGACAAGTCAGTCACTTGAACAATTGGATACCAGAGTCAGCAGTCTGAGCAGTGAGAAGGCCGATGCGACGCTACTTGACAAGGCCATAGACGGATTCCAAAGGCTGAGCGTTGGCTTTTTCAATTTGAGCGAGACGAAGGCCAACACGACAGATCTTGACATTACGAATGGGACACTTGAAGAACTCAGTGGTACGGTTGGCGTGCTGCAGACATCGAAGGCCAATGCTACAGAGGTTGCCACGTTAAGGGACGACCTTGATGCAGCAAAGGAAGAGGCCGCCGAGAACACTTCGACACTTGCAGAGCTACAGAACACAAAGGCTAATACCACAGACGTCATTGCGTCGAATCTAGACATTCTCAAAGTGAAGAAAGACACCTCCACGAACACTACGTCTCTTGAAGAGCTACGAAGCACGAAGGCTGATGCCAAGGACCTTGAGAACATCACAAGCCGCATCGATGGCATGGGCACACAACACGGACATCTCACCAACCGCGTGTACAACTTGGAGACAGACAAAAACAAGATGAAAGAGCGGCTGAGTGCTGAAGAAGATGCCACCAAGACCTTTAAGGCTGGCCTGGGAGCCGCTCAGTCGAGCCTCGGAGACCTGCGCCAGGCCGACGTCTGGCACAGCCAGGCGATCAGCAAGCTCCAGGATCAGAAGGCTTCGGTCAAGGAGTACAATGCGCTCAAATCCCACTTCGACGAGTATAAGAAGAAGACCGACGCAAAGTCTCGCCAGGATGCCAAGGACAAAGCCGGCATGATGGAGCAGATTGCAAACCTCACAGAGCTTGCCGAGGATTTGCAGGACAAGATTGACGCACTTCAGGCCAGCTTCGTCAAGCGCGAGGATTTGCAGCAGCTCAAGATCGACACCATCTCGCGCAACAATCAGACTCTGCAGGCTCACAAGGAGCTGGAGACCAGTGTCGAGACTCGCTTCACCGCTGCGACCGAGAGTGTCGATGAGCTCCGATCTGAGACCAACTCTCAGCATGACGAGCTGGTGCAGGCTCACGAGGCGCTGGAAACCAACATCGACTCGCGTTTCACTGCTGCGGCTGAGGAGACGCAAGCCGTTCAGGCTGACCTCGATGAGCACAAGGAAGACGTGGACGAGAGGCTTGGTGTTCTTGATGATGTGAACTACAATCAGTTCCAAGCACTTGAGAAGCACTTTCAGGAGCACGTCGAAGCGTCGAAGGAGCAGAAGATCCCGGAGCGAGTAGATGCCATTCAGCAGCGCCTGAATAGCCTTGGCGACCAGCGCATCAACGACGAAACCCTCAGCACCAAAGTTCATGCCATTGTCGACAGAATTCTAAACGGCAAGAAATTGAGGGCCGTTTTCAACGCAGTGGAGGAGGATAACTTCGAGCAAAAGGAATTGTTCGAAGATGTCCAGGCTGTCATTGAAGAGAAGCTCGGCAGCAAGGATTTCCAGGACCGAATTTACGCCACCCTCTTGGATAAGCAGATCGCCAGCAACAACAAGCCTCTCGGTGATCCCCCTGGGGTGAACACCGGAGGACAGGCGACATCCCCGGGCAATTCAAGCCATCAACACACTACTGACAATGCAATCATCCGCAACGGGAGCCTTCTTGGTGATCCCCCTGGGGTGATCACCGGAGGCGACCTCCCCAATTGGTAAGTTATCAGACGCCCTGTCTGCGCCCCTGAAAATCAAACTTCCAGCACAATGTTGCTGACAATTGTTCCGGCAGTGATGGCGATGAGTCTTTCAATGGCTTGCAGACTATCCCTGAGGATTCGAGCTTCCACGATGGCGTTGTTGAGAACGACCTCGGCAGTGGCGATCGCCCTTTCGGTGATCCCTCTGAGGTGAACACCGGAGGGCGGGCGACCTACCCGGACAGCCCTTCGTCGGAAGCTCAGCCTCTTGTCGATGGTTCCAGCTATCAGACTCTGGAAGCCGACCAGCAGGACACGGATGATGGCAGCGACGGCACAGTGCAGCCGAAGCGGTGGAAGGGCAAGGGGCCATGTGAGCCTGACCACCTGACCTATTCCATGCTTTTCGATCGAGACGACGACGAGGAAACGGACGAAGATGATGATGAAGAGCAAGATGAAGATGGCGGTGACGATCATGATGGAGATGACGACGAGTCGGACGATGACAATGGCGGCCCTGGCCCAGGCCCATCTTCAGGAGGCGGCAACTTCCATGGCCACAACGGCGCCAGCGGACATGATGATGATAATCAAGATGGGGACGACGATGGAGCCCCTGGCCCGTCATCTGGAGGCGGCAGCCATCACAGCCCTTCAAGCCAATCTTCTCGAGCTTGCGACTTCCATGCCCACAACGGTCACAACGGAGAGCATGACGGAGTGCACGATTGCGCCCCTGGTCCGTCATCGGCAGGCGGCAACTCCCACAGCTCCTCAGGCTCATCTCCCCGAGGCGGCAGCTTCCATGGCCACAGAAGTGTCAGCACAGATGACAGTGATGACCAGGACGGAGATGATGGAGCTCCCGGTCCATCTTCAGGAAGCAGCAGTACCCACAGCCAGAATGGCGCCAGCGGAGAAGCCGATGGGGAGCCGGAAGCCAGTGGTGAGCAGGCCGGAGACCATAAAGCCGCCAATGAACCGAGAAACCGGGCCTCCAACCAGAAAGCTCGGAGAGACAAGTACCTTGAGAGAAAACATGCCAAGAAGGAGCAGGAACGCCAGGAACGCCAGGAAGCCAAGCAGCGAAAACGCCAGGCCCGCCAGGCCCGCCAGGCTCCTAAGCGACCCGAGGCTCCCGAGTCCCCGGACGCGGACGCGGGACAGAATACCAGGAGACGCAGGCCCAGAGGCAAGGGAGGAAAGGGCCAGGAAGCAAATGGTCAAGCAGCAAATGGTCAGGGAGCAAATGCCCAGGGAGGTAGAGGCCAGGGAGGTAGAGGCCAGGGACGGAGGCTAAACCGGCGGAGGGCTCAGCCGACGGCTTAGGGCGGACGAGAGAAAACCCAGAAAACACCACAAAAAAAGAAAGAAGAGGTGAGGAAAGGGGTGTCACAGAGGCGCAAGAACTACGACTTATGCAAATGGTGCCTGAAGGTCTGCACTGTACGGAAGGAAATGGTACGAAAGGCTCCTCGGAGAGCTGAACCTGCCAGGACATGGTGGAAGATTTGACAGAGAACGCACGGGAATACAGCGTGCGCAAAATTGGCGATGGAGGTTGTAATATTATTTGAGACAAGGGCGTAAGAGAGCTCAACAAGCTCCCCCTATTATTGATGACGAAAGGGTTCAAGAGAGCCTCAGACGCTCCACCCGTTAATGACATAGAAAAATGAGTACTTTTTGGTAGAAATCGCGGTGCCATTTGTGATCCTCTGTGGTATGTTGAGACTCCTGTACAATCCATATGCAGTGAGAAGGTGTTATAGGGGGTTTTTAAATACTTTGACGGGTTGGCACCCTACGGCAGCAGAGCGAACCGTCAACCCTGAGCGCAGCCAATTCGATCTTCTTCGCAACATAGGGCCGCTCCCACTTCCATCAGTGTCGTAATCTTGAAACTGATCAGGGACTGAGAATGATGTGATTGGCAAGTATATCATCAGGGACTCCAACATCATGAAGCTGCAGTAGTAAACATAGCTAATATCAGGCCTAGCGTTAGGCAGACTCTAGTGCTGTGCTGCGTTGAAGACGGATGTGAGGCGTAAAAGGATGGGTATACCTGGAGAGGGTTCAGCCAAGCTTTTGCCAAGCCAACCCAGCAGGTAGTATGATCTCTGCCGGCGTCTCTTGGCACGGGATCTAATCCGCTTTCAACGTCGGACCTAAGTAAGCAAAGTTTGGGAACAGATCTCGGAACAGATGGCATCGTTAAAGGCTCCATAAGTCTGGATTGATATGGACAGATGAGACTGTTGCTGTGAGTCGGTGAGCTGATTCAGGTTCCGAGTCAAGTCTGCATTACCCGTGAGAACTTTGGAGTCGTGATTACAGATGCCGTGCTTCTCTCCAAGAAGCACCTCACAACGGAGAAAGGGGCATTGCCACCCAGACTTTGGTATTGGTGAATTACCTGCAAACGATGATTTGTGAAGATGCGCACAGGAGACAATTTCAAATACCCTGTTAGCTGATCGGCCGGAGTGTGGCCGCCGCCACTCGTGCAATATATCCCAATCCAGCCATGGCCCCCATGTGAGGAGGAGAGCAGGGCCATCCTAGCTAGCCGCGTGGCATCCATAGTTCGCATTATCCACATCTCGGCTCTCCATGGTCTTTGTGGAGATGATTGTTGGTTCTCCTGTTATCTTTGGACGGGCAAATGGGGCGCGCTGATAACGCAATCGTCCGCGTGCAACGTTGGGTTGTACGACCTTCCATCTTCGGAATCTTGGAACCAAGTCTGTGGCTTCATCCTGTCCTGTCATGTCTTGCTGTCATGTCTACACGTGTAATTGTGCTCACGAGGTCGAATGCATTCTCTGTGATTATTCTAGGCAAGGCCAATCACTCTTCTGAATGCAGAAGGGCTTCGTGCTGCAATGTCCCTGATCTTCAGTTCTCACATGCAGCTCTACTTCACGACTCGCACCTGGATAACGGCTAAATCAATCCATTGGGCTCCCGACCCCTCCACCCGGCGGAGAACTACCTACCACTACATTCGTAGTAGTGACCCACTTGGTTCACCAAGTCCGTTTCGTTTCATGCAGGCGCAACACCGCATTGTCTTCGTCGTTCGAGCCACGCGAGCACATCATCGTAGGCGGAAAGGAAGCCTCGTCAGTCCAGGAAATGCAAGCTTTTGCCCAGCCGGGTGGATAGTGTGTCGGCCGTAGGAGTAGGCGAGGGTCAAGCCATGGCAAAGCTTGACCTCGGCTGGGCAGAAGCTTAATCTTGCCTGGTATCTGTGGGGCGAACTGTCAAGACGATTTACTTCGAAACCGAGCCTGCGGTTCCCATTTTTCATTGGTATCCATCCATCAAGAGAACTTTCCATCTGGCCTTCCATATTGCTTCTAGGGCGGCATTTTCCTGATCTAACGGAAGAAGCGAAGCCAATCAACGATCAGAAGGCACAATTTCCTTCACTGACGAGATTTGTCCTGTCGATTGGGCGTTCCGTTGGTTCGACGCCAGGTTATAATTGAGCACCATGTCCGGACGACTTAGGGTCCAGACTGGCCTTCACACCAGGTACAGATAAAAACAGTGCGCTTGACATGGGACCTGACATGGTATAGACTGATAACTAGCCGACATGTCGCGAAACTACCTCACGGAGTGTGGGTCTGATAGGTTACGACGACCCGGGATCATGGTGGGAGCCATCTGGACTCCCCGGTATTGGGAGGTGGTATCACTGCATGCAATGCCACGGACGGTTTGGTTGCTTGCCCTGTGATTATAACTCCCCCATGTCCCGCTTGTGATCGTCTTTGAAACTTTATCCCCTCGTTTCTGGCCTTCCTTAGATTGGCAGTCTTCGTTATAACTCCAAGTCTCTTGATCACGACTTGCAAGAGCCGTGGTACCACGAGTCAAGATGTGTAGGTCCTCTACCTCGCCCTCCTCATATACTCACCCCTCTGACATTTTGACAGCAAAATTCTCCACTGACCGTGGCGAGGCCATCATCATCCCGCCAGTGTCTCATGAACCTCCAGCTGTGCACCCAGAGGTCGGCACAGTGCCCGACGAGAAGGCCAACATCGACCCAGAGATAGCCACCAGGTCGTCCACAAACGCCGAGGTACACGACAATGAGCAATATCCTCTTCCCACGGATGAGGAGCGAAGTACCCTGCGCAAGGTACCCGATAAGATTCCCGCCATCGCCTACATCCTCTGCGTCGCTGAGCTAGCCGAGCGTGCTTCATACTATGCCACCACCGGTGTGTTCAACAACTTCATGGAGTATCCTCTCCCTGAGGGTGGCAATGGCGCTGGTGCCGTAGCCAAGTCAGATGTCAATGGCGTGCCTGGTGCACTTGGCAAGGGTGTCCAATTCGCCTCTGCCCTAGTTCTCTTGTTCACTTTCCTCGCTTATGTGTTCCCCATCCTGGGAGCCTGGATCGCAGACACGAAGCTGGGCCGGTACAAGACTATCATCTGGGGAGCAAGCATTGGTGCCGTGGCTCACGTTATCATGGTCGGTGGCGCTGCCCCATCCATACTGCAAGCTGGCAACGGCATTGCTCCTTTCATGATCTCCTTCTTCATGCTTGCCATTGGCGCTGGCATCTTCAAGCCCAACGTCGCGCCCACGGTGATCGACCAGTATCAGCACCAGCGCGAGTATACCAAGGTGCTGAAGACAGGCGAGAAGGTCCTCGTTGACCCTGAGACCACTATTCAGCGAATTATGGTGATCTACTACGGTTTCATTAATATTGGTGCCTTTTTTGCTCTGGCTTCGACCTACGCTGAGCGTTACGTTGGTTTCTGGTTGGCCTTCCTCCTACCTACCATCATCTATGTGCTCGTTATTGTCATCTTCGTCGGCGTAAACAAGAAGATTATTAAAAAGCCACCCATGGGGTCTGAACTCAACGATTTCTTCAAAATCACATGGATCTGCTGCAAGGAGAACAAGTTCATGGTGTGGAAGAAGGGTTTCTGGGATGCCGCACGTCCGGCTGTCTTGGCAGAGAAGGGTCACACGGTGAAGTGGAACAACCATCTTGTTACAGATGTGGGCCGCACCTGGGCAGCGTGCCAAGTCTTCCTTTACATCCCTATCTACCAACTGAACGACGGCGGCATCGGCGCAGCCGCATCAAACCTGGCTGGCTCGATGACGCTCAACGGCGCTCCGAACGACCTGCTGACCAACTTCAACTCGCTGACCATCATCATCTTTACGCCCATTATGGCCTACGGACTCTACCCCTTCTTGGCGAAAAGAAACATCCGGTTTGGTCGCATCAAGCGTATGACATTCGGCTTCATCCTTGCCGCAATCTCAGGCATTTGCGGTGGACTCGCGCAGCTGTATGTCTACCGGACCTCGCCTTGTGGGTATCAGGCTTCGACGTGCGATAACGTGTCGCCAATCTCGGTCTGGTGGGAGCTGCCCATGATCATCCTGGGTGCCATCTCAGAAATCTTCGTCAACGTCACCTCCTATGAGATAGCATACTCTCGCGCTCCAGGCAACATGAAGTCGGTCGTCTTTTCGATCTGTCTCTTCATGACGGCGCTGTATGCCGCTGCTGGCGAGGTGTTGACACCTGTCATCCAGGACCCGTATCTTGTCGTAAGTAGTCTCGTACCAACGACTGTTCTTTCTATCCCTTCGATGGGATCTTGCTAATACAGCCATCACAGTGGATCTGGTTCGGCCCCGCCATCGTACTCTTCGCCCAGACTGTAATCTTCTGGTTCCGCCACAAAAATATTGACGAGGATGCGTACATGACCTATGACACCGACTCGGATTTAGAAGTTGAGCCTGTGCACAGCAACGACGCCAAGGATGCGGCGGTTGTGGACGAGAAGACGTCGCCTGTAGAGAAGAGCTGAGATTGTAGTAATGTTTAGCTTAGTTCACCAGGCTTGGGCTGAAGAAAGTATGAGCACGTTGCATGATGTTCCTTGGAGTACTCCCTCATAATTGTCATGAGATAGACAAATTTCACCCTTCACATCGCCGGCCGGAATGGACTGGATTAGTCCACTTGATTTGATCATGGAGAAATCATTCTGTAAGACGTCGCCATACGAGGAGTCATCTAGAAGGGGTGATCCTGACGAGATGTGATCCCTAGGTGCTGCACTGGTCGTCGGAGGAATCACTAACGCGAAGGACATGTCCCTAACCCCTCTCATTGTGTAGGTTCTGACTTGATGGGTTTCTGATAATGAACAATTACGGTACAGATTAAATACCGAGCTCGATTTGCCTCAGTCGCTCGAGTCCTGCCCCAGCATCTTTGTAGCAGCCAATTGCATCTGCCTTTCCGACATGATGACCAGGCCTTTGTCTTCGGGAAAACTGTAAAATGTTTCCAGACCTATTGATTGCGCGGACTGCTGGCCGTCGGACTCGACTTTGTTAGAATCGTTGTCATCCAAAGTGTCGTCATCGAACATCTCCCTCACAAATCGTGCCTCAGCCCCCATCCAAGGAAGCCATGCAGCCAAAATCCTCCGTCTCTCGTCGGTATTGAATCCTTTAAACGTGATGCGAGCCTTTCCCGAACTCTCGAGACTTGCATTCAGCTCTCGCGCGATCCAAAAATACTTGTTCTTAGAATCTGCTGCTTCTTCCACGATACCAGCATGGAAATATTTGAGAACCGGCATGGCCATGGCCGCCCTGCCCGCTGCAATGAGCACTTCGGCTGGTGTCAACTTAAGCCGGCCCGGTTCCAGGTAGGGGGCAAAATTTGCAAATATCAACTCAAGTGTCTCGAGTTTTGGCCATCGCCATTCCGACATTGCCGCGTTGATCCCGAACTCGTCCGAAAACGGCTGGAAGAACGCTTGGTGCAAGGGCAAATCAGAGACATCCAGACGCTCAAGACTTTGACTGTAGTCACGTAAGACAGCGGAGAACTTTTTCAATGTCGATGTGAAGGTTTCAAAAAAGACATATGAGCCTGAGATTCGAAGGCAGCGGAGAGAAGGTGCCAACGTGGGCAATGAAATGACGAAATCTATCGTTCAGTTGGCAAATGCTTCGTGTTTGTCTTGAGACCAAGGAGGCACGGAACTTACCACTCAAATTCCTCCATCCTAGTTGCGAAGCGTTGACTTTTATCTCAAAATCGCAAGACTTCAAATTTTGCATCCTTTGTATCATTGCCTGTGCAGCAGGCAAAGGAACGCAATCGAGAGGGAAGGTGAGGTGCGTTACCATGTCGAGAGTAGATGGAAATTCGGACTTGATGGCCCACAATGCCACATTGGTAGGAATCTGGCCCGAGCCTGTGACCATGTCCAAATCAGAGCCTTCCCAAAGCGAGCTTGTGTGAATGGAAGAACACAATCTTGTTGTTAAGGAAGGATCTAGAGTGTTAGACATAGACACAAAGATGATTTCGATGGACCGTGGTTGCTCTTCATCCCTGTGAACTTCCCAACTCTGAAGGTACTGTAGCAGGTGTCCGATTTTCTCCATTACCTGGCTGATCTGCACAATGCCCATGTCCCTATGCCAAGGACCCGTCCAGCGGTCGTCAATGGTGATCTCAAGTTGGCTGAGAAACCTTCTTCGCTCGTTAGTAAAGAATTCCCTGAACCTTAGAACATGCCTCTCTTTTGACGGATTGATTCGGATTCGGCTGAAAAGGCGCATTTCAACATCATTCTTCCATTCTTTTGATACCGAAGCCAGTGGACCGCCTTTGAATGGTCTTCCAATTGCATTCCGTAGGGCTTGATCGATCGCTTCAGTACGAATCATTGATTGAAGCTCAGGAGGAAGTTGGATGAAGTAGTGAAAAGTCATGTTGTCTCGCATCTGGCTGGTTGTGTTGGCTGCCCCGTTCGCCGCTGTCGCAAGGTTTTTGAGATCTTCGTCCGGCGAGCTGGTGCTCTCAGGGCTGTTAGAAGGGGCCATGGTACCTGCGCAGTAGCTGGCGCCACTTGTCGGTCGGTGGGAACAAATTTCTGTGACTGGAAAGCCTGTTGAGCTTGTTTTGAAGGATGGAGAATTTGATGGGGTCATATGTCGCCACGTGGATTAATGGGAAGATTGAACGTGATGAGCGGCCTTGGAATGGAAGGCGACGTAAGTTGGTCAGGTTTTGCGACTTGTGTTTGAAAGGGGAGCTGCAACAAGGTGTCTATTTCAGAACACAGCAGTGAATAAAATCAGGCATTGAAAGTTGGAAGGTAGACCCACCAGCAAGTACGCAGTGAAAGGAATAAAAGTCCAAAGCGAAAGTTGGAAATGCCTTGGGCAATCAACGACTTCCAGGGGAGACGCGCGCGTGCGACACTCTCAAAAGTCTTTCATGCTTGAGATACAGCTTGCTGGAAACTTAATTGCTGGCGTTAACATTTCTGGTGTTTATATCTCCATCGAACGAGGTTGCATTTCCACCTTTACTCGAAGCTCCTTTGGTAATAACACGTGGAAAGCCTTTCTATCTATGTATTTCAAGAATCTCAAGGCTTGAAAAGCTAAACATGAGCGGGAAACCTCGTCCACTGCTCGCCCATTTGGCCCTCCTTGTAGCAGTATGAAAGCATGTCGATTCAAGCGTATTTGTTGACAGGCGAGCCAGTGCCTCCAACTGGTAAGGCAAGCCATACCACGAGGAAACTGCCTCACGATAACGTATTCTTCACCTTCCCAGTCCTTTGTTTGGTCTCTTACTCCTCCTTCCGAGCTTCCCACCGGCGATCCTTCTCCCATTCAACCGCGTCCATGACGATATTTGCGTGCCACTCTTTTCCAGACAACGGCGCGTACCCCAAGACTCTTCTCGCCTTTCGAATATCATATGTGTGGTCTTCGGTGCACCACTCGTATCCCTCCCGACTGAACGCTGGCGGCGGCTCCATGTACCCCAATGTGAAGATCAATAGCACCCACCACACAACCCATACAGCGATCCACATCACCCACGCCGGCACGATCCTGACCCTAGCCTTACCAGGACCGCCGGCACCGCCGACGTCCTGGTCACGGATCGCAGCGCAAGTAACGCTCGTATGCCACCACAGCGGCACGTCGTCCCCGTCCGACGCGTTGAACGCCTCGCCCGCCACGCCGGGCCGGCCCTCGATCATGGCCTTGGCGGCGAGGACGTGGGCGGAGGCGCAGTTGCCCACCTCGACGAAGCTGGCCATGTTGCCGCCCCTGCCGACCTGGAAGATGGGCCTACTCAGATCCTGGAACAGGTCGAACATGAGCGACAGGGCCTGGCCGTCGCGGACGCCGTAGATGTTGGCCGGCACGATCACCGCCGTCTTGAGGCCGCCCTTGCGCCAGCTCTCGTTCGAGTCGAGTACTAGCTGATGCGCCGTGCCCTTGGTCCATGCGTACTCGAGGATGCCCTTCCACGGCGCCGGTCGGCCGGTCCAGATGGGCTCCGACTCCCGGATGTTGGCGTGTTTGGCGGTGGCGTAGACGGAGTTTGAGGAGGTGTACACCAGCGCCTTGACGAACGGCCTCTCCTTGGCCAGGCCGAGCAGCGTCTCCGTCCCGGTAACGTTGGTCCTGTAGAAGTCGCCGCGGCGCCCGTAGGTCGCATTGGGGCTTGCAGTGTGGAAGATGACCTCTGGGCGGACGTGGTCCAGGATTTTCGCCACCTCGGTAGCATCAGTGATGCTGCAGCTGGTGTACTCGGCTTTGGGGCTGTCATGAACGTTGCGCGAGATGTCTCGATCGATAATCCACACAGGCCCGCATTCCGGGTCTGCGAGGAGCTGCCCAACCAGATGGAAGCCCAGGAAGCCACAGCCGCCCGTCACAAGCACCGATCCGAGGCGCTGAGACGGTGGCGGGGTGGGTGGCGTTGCTGAGGGTTTCGCCATCCTAGAAGCCATGTCATATCATTGGGTCTGAGGGCAGGAGGCGCTCCAACTTTTTGAGGGTGGGTGGGATGTGTCGGGAGTTATGGAGTTGCTCAGGGAGAGGGACGCGGACGCAGATAGTGACCGAGATCTAGGCCGAGACACGTTCGCTCCTCGTGCTTGCTATGCAGCATTCCGCATTGCGACATGCAGTGTGACGCTCGGAAAGGGCGAGCCGTTATACTCGGCGTATAGCCAGGCCGTCCTATCTCTCGCGGCTTCTTCCGAGTTTAGGGATGGCCACCTTCTTATCTTGTAATGATGCAACCGTGTTTAGTAGGTTTCTGAGAAGTTATGACTTGAGACTGGTACACAGCTCCTGCCACTACAATGACCAATTCGAGCCCTTGGGAGAGGCGAGCGCTGAAGCTTATCTATAATTGGGAGAACGCACCACGGCAGAGCGGGGTCGTCTTAAGCTCCCGTCCAGCCGGCCTAGTTGACGACGACGGTGCGCCAAGACAGAACTCCGTGAATATTAGTCGTCAATTGCCAACTTGGATATAAGCATGTTTAAATGAAAATTAGAGGGCGGATTATTTGGAGTGATGTCATATTGCTCTGTAGAGACCCTTCTTACTAGGTCTAGCGGTACCTTTCCCAATTCCTCGATCCTTGATATCGATGACTAGCTTCGTGAGCTACAGAAAATTCCAATTTGATGGAGTAAAGGGTAAAAGGGGGCAGACCATCTGGACTGGAAACGGAATCGTCGAATATTTGAAAGATATTCATACTTGTCTCTTTAATCTTTGGGCTCCTGAAGGATGCTGATGGGACCAAGCCAAACCAAATGAATGTAATCTGTTACAAAACGACTAAAAGATGCGCACGGGGAAAAAGTGAAAGGAAAGGAAAAGACTCCTATGATATACCATAACTGCTAAGAGATGATCGATTTCGGCTACAAGAACAAAAGTAGAGCGTAGTTTTGGGAGACCTCAACTTGCGACTCCGTTATTCGCCATATGTATTTATGATGTGAATTTTGATGGAAAGAAAGGAAGAGAGCAATAGACTTCAAGTCCATTCGTAGTCTTATCATATCGAGCTGATAGAGGTTGGAGGCAGTCCCAACTATGGTTGTGGCATCACTGAGGCCGAGGGAGAAAGGAGGGGTCGTGGGATAAGTACTATATGACGACGATCCTAGGGATCAACCCAAGTTTTTGGATATACCTAAGATCAACACCTAGCATTACGCTATTGGTGACTTGTGCTCTCTCAGAAAAGCAGCGGACGGATTTAGATGGCACCACCTACCCCGGTACCTCGACAGGTTACTGTTGTACACGTGTGGTTTCTTAAGGCAGAAGACCAATTAATCCATTAATGCTAAATTTTCTATAATATTTCGAGTTCGCCTCTCCTCAGTGGGAATCTGATCGTTCTGACCGACCACTTGCTATATCCGAATTTGGCTTCTTCCAATGTTGTGTGGGAGCAGATCCCAAGGCAGACGGGATCGACAGCTCTAGATCCTTCCACATATCCTACTGTGTTAGAAGGCTTGAATGCTTATCTCTCATTTGCAAGCTCCAATCTCTGCAGTCTATGCAGCTGCCCGACTGAGCACAGCCTCACGGCTGCCTACCTCGTCGCTCTCTCTCGGGCCGCCAGATCATGCTCGTCTTACGTGACGGTAGGAGAGACTTGTATCGCCACTTTACTCAGCAGGTCTAGCATTGCTTGGCAGCGTCAACATGACTCTGTGGCCCAACAGAAGCGGTGTATCACCACAATCGAGTTCAGCCACTTCACCGCCGAGTGGTGCCCTCCCTTGCTGGCATGCTTGATTATAAGCCTAACACTTAGGCTTACAGCTGACACGGGGGCCTGCTACTGCTTGGCGTGCTGACACAAGGTGTAGGCTCGCGATGGCCCCATGTCCTTCTCCGGTCATTATAATTGCCGCAATATGGAAACGACACGAGCGGAGGAGTGCGATGTACGATGCCATGTATGAAAGCTGCACGTCACGCTTCTCATCCACCATCCCGGTGCTGCCCCGTCCTCAGCGGCGCCACATCCTGCAGCCGGAACTTCTGCTCTGCACTCTGCTGGTCCGATCGCTGGTGCCTCAGCACCTCGCCGGCGGGCAGTTCTGCCTGAGGCCCGAAGCCACGATGACTCTCCGCCGCTGGCAGCTCACTTACAACGGCGTTCATATTGCGTGAGCTGGGTTGTGATGCGAGCTCTTGCGGGACCTGCTGCTGCTGCAGCTGCGGCGGGAACTCGTTCGCCGTGCGAATGTGTGCGGAGTGAGGTGGCGGCGGAGTCCGCGGCGTGGGTGGGCCGTATATGTCGTCGGGGTCATCATTCTCGTTCCCGCCTATTGGCGAGGCGTAGTCGGGGAGAAGCGCAAAGTCGGCGCCGGTGCTGGCATCGAGGCGCCCTGTGGGCCCGTAGTTCACCGACGAGACCCGCGCGGGTGGGATATCCCTGTCTGCCGATACTGGAGAGACTGGCTCGTTGAACTCGGAGGGGTATAAGCTGCTGCTGAGGTCCTGCACGTCTCGGATGGCCGCTGCGTCGGGCACGTGGTCAGGCCTGGGGGTGCTGAAGCCGCGGACGACTGAGGCCGGCGCCGGGGCTGATGCGCTTGCTGTCGCGACCGAGATTGCTGCCACGCTTTCTGCCGGGTAACGATGGCTTGCTGCTACGTGATGACTGGAGCCCACTGGGTCGTAATACTGGTAAGGGGCGTTGACAGTGACCTCGCTCGGGCACCAGTTCGTGCTGAGACCCGACGACGCATAGTAGGCCGAGCCTGCGGCAGACGAGCCCGGCTGAGGTGTGTTGCCGTACCTCCAAGGCTCGAGATGCTCATCCGGGGGCTTGTGTCCGTCCTGCCCTGTCGCGCGTCCTTGTTCGCCGACTATCCTCCTGTAGACCTCCCGGTGATGCTCCTTTTTCTTGATGTGGCGATAGTACAGCCAGAAAACACCCGCGCAGATCAGCGCAGTCCCAAGCCCAACGCCAATTCCAAGCCCAGCCTTCGCTCCCGAACTGAAGCCATCATTGCTACTCGCTCTCGCCACGGTGGAAGTCGCTGTTCGAGACAAGCTGGAAGTCGGCGAGGGCGTCGTCGTGGCGGATGGGACTGGTGCACCAGTGGTAATTGGCCCGGATTGTCGTCTGATCTCCGTCAGAGACCACTTCTCACTGTTTGATCCTTTATTCTCCTTTGTGTTCTCGCGCAGGTTAAACCAGCAAGGTGTAGAGCTCGTGAAGTTGATTGGTATCAGGACAAAGGCATCGTAGGGCTCGGCTTCTTGCATGCGGACTATTCAGGGGCTGTCAGCTCACAGGCATCCAAGTTTGGGGGTTCCAGTCCCAGTGGGTGTGACCGTACTTTGCCTCACGCTATTGGCTGTCTCATTCTGGTAACAGAAAGTATAGAGCCATGGGTCAGGATAGGGAGACCGGTACGAGACATTGACTGTGTCCAGATAGCGGAAGACCTCTCCTCCTTGCGGGTAGATCCATGTAACGGAGAGCTGATCGTCGGAGGCGTCTGCGGCACAGAGACCAAAATGACTCGCCAGTATCGCGAGAACAAAGACAAGCGCGGAGATCGGGAACGGTCGAAGACGACACGGAGACGATCTAGGTGGGCAGATCACCGGCTGCCATGGGTCGGCCCGTGATGGCGCCATGTTGCGCTGCCGAAGTCGATACAATGAAACGACATACTATTCGCAGGGATGAGACATGGCATAAGTAAAGACAGACGGGCAAAGAAACACTTCTCAGTGGTAGGACATGAGCAAGAGGCTGGAAAATGACAAGGAAACGAAATGATGGAGCCGAACGTGGGGAGACGTCGTCGTTCACGAACGAGTAAATGGGCAGATGTGGGGAGGTTCGGGTCACAGATGCAGGGGAGCTCTGAAAGATGGAGTCAATCTTCCAAAGGCGTACAACGCTGCAATCCCGGTTCACTCCAGCCAGGCTTGGCGAAGACAGGGGGCCAATTTTAGAAGCTGAATGAGCCTGTGCGCCTGGGAATGACCGCGGTCTTGAATCCTTCGGCCCCCAACCGCCAGCATCGCCCATGTGCGTACGTGCAGCTCAGGCGAAGCGGCTCCCTTAGGCCGCTTCTACATGCTTTTATCCCGTAGATGCAGGACCAGTCCGGGTGTGCAACTGGCCGCGGCGTCCGGGCCAGTCTCTGCGCCATGGTTGAGCCACGCTGCTCTTCGGATCTCATCCATGTGCCGCTGTCATATACTGGGTTGGAACATGTAGGCAGACCTTAAAGTCGAATCTTGGGGTATTCTCATTCTTCCCTGGATTTTTCTCAAACAGTTCGGAATTATGCGAGCCGCTCAAAAATCAAACGGTTCTCCGGATAGAAAACGTCAGCTTTTCCGTGACTGGTGCCATCATCTTCGAATCCCGCATCGGCTTCCCCCATTGGCGTCTCACTCCAGTTCCCGTCTGTCGGGGCGAAAGGTATGCATCGGTCAACCACGGTGATTATCATCCTGCGAGCGAGCGGCGCGTGCAGCAAAGCAGCACACCGTAAGCACCACGTGGCCGTGCGCCTCAATTCTCGCCCTCGACCTCCTCCTCGTCATCATCATCGCCCGCATCCTGAGCCTCAGGCAGCTTGAACTGCGCCTGGAGCTTCTCCACGAGCGCCAGGATCTCCTGCTCGAAGGCCTTGTCGAGCGCCTTCTTGTCCCTGCCCGCACCCTCCCACTCGGCCCTCGCAACGCGGATCAACGCCACGGCGAGGTTCTGCAGGCCCTCGCCCGTGATCTCCCCGCCCGATTCGACAATGATGCGCGTGTAGTCCTCGAGGAACTCGGGCAGCGTCTCTCGGATGCGCAGCCACGGGTCTGCGTCCTCGCGCCAGCAGGGCTCGCCCGTTGTCGTGGGCACGAACGCCTGGTCCACGTCGTACTCGTGGTAGTTGTCGAAGATGCTCTTCGCCTTCAGGTACTTGGCCGTCAGGATGCTGTTGACCACGCGTGCGCGCTGGATCATGGGCCCGTTGACCTTGGCGTCCACTTCGCGCTGCTCGAAGGTGCGGTCTGCGAACTTGGGCGCATTGGACATTGATCGTTGGCGTGCGTCGGCCATTTTGACTAAGATCCAAGGGCTGAGTAAGGTTCCGGTTTTGGTGCGCGTCGGCTTACTACAAGTTTGAAGGCTTGTGGGTTGGTCGTCATGAGTCTCTCTCTCCCTCTCTCTCTCTCTCTTAATGGACACTCGCATGAAATTGGTTACCCCTGATGATCCATGCTTGAAAGAGGAGTCGACCCTAACCCAGTAACAGCGGTGAGCCTACATGTGTAGGTACCTAGGTACCTAAACACCTACCTACCATCAAGATCCAAGAAGTTTGAGCTTCCACTGCAAATTCTCAAAAATTGAGAGTCAAATAGAGACCTTTTTGAGCTAGTAGTTTCCAAAGCTTTCATTTCAGGTCATGTCTGCGATGCTCATGCTTTGTGCAGTTGATCTGTTCTCGTACTGGTATTCGTCCTCTATTCTCTTGGGATTCAACTGAACCAAACATTCAGAATGCTTTCTAGCCACATATTGCTATTTTCTGGTTGGTAGGAAGATTTTTCGGGGGCAGAAAGGTTTCCCACATGTGTACGATACGATTGAGCTGGATACGCTTTACCAACGCCGCCTTCAATCTCTTGAAATAGCGTCTTGCTGAAACTTCTCTGTTCCACCTGCACATTACGCATGCTTTCCCATCCTTATGCGTGGCAAAGAATGAGTTCTTGGTTAACTGACTGCGCTGTGTGTGGAGTGGAAATTCATTCGCTAGTCCGGGCAAGCCTTCATCTAAGGGTACTGCCATACTTTCACATGAAGTTTTAGACCCCATAACGCTATCGCGTCGCTCAGGAAAGCCTATTGAGCATACCTTAGACATGACATCCCCGAGGAGTTCTAATAAACGTCCTGGTTGTGGATAGAGTTGTTTGGCTTACAACCTATAGGCTTGGTTTGAAAGTTCGAGAATTCCGCCGTCATTTCCATCTACTGCCGAAAATTGCTTGCGAGGTCTTGCTGAAAACCTTCTCCGTGAAGACCGTGACCGTCATCGTAAAGAATTGAAGGTCGCGCAACACAAATGCTGGATCTCGGCTGGACAGCTGGAGGCGCGACCAAAGACCAGCACCAGGCTGGCGGATCGGAGTTACGCATGTAGCTTTGGTTGACCCATTGAGCGGGCTGGAAGTCACACGCACTTGGAATCATTGTCTCAAAGTCTGGTTCCTGGTTTTTTTGAGTGGGAAGAGGTTCCGTTGGGTGGTCGGGAAGCACTCCCGAAATCGTTTGTGTTGTACCGTGGCCCACATCAGCTTCTCGCGGTCCAGTTTTGATTTACACGAGACTGCGCACTTCTTATCCTGCGCAGATTCGATGGACCGAGTCTGTGCCACGTGTTTACTGAGCTACTGTACTGCTTTATAATCAGCCCATTACAGGAGTTCTTCCAGCGAGGCAGTTCCATACGCAGCCTGCTCTCCACCAATCTTCGATCACCACACCGTCAGCAATTGCTCGTAGAACGCGCCCAGCTGCTCTTCTTGATCTCGAAGGTGTATCTCCAGTATCCAATGTCGCTTATTCCCATCTTTTCCCAACGTAGTCATCGGAACATCGTTATCTCTGACGATGTACAGAGTTGTCTTATCTTTGGGGATGCGTTCGTGTGGGAATGAGCCCACGAGATGCCCAGCTAGATCAGCACCGAATTTCCACCCATCCGCCTCGGCGTGCTGGGCCGCAATTTGATACAGCTGCTTCCCAGTCATGTCCGGGTTTTCCTTGAACTTGGATTGCACGGCCTTCCAGATAGGCTCCAGAGCATCTCGGATCCTGAGCTTTGCCGGGTCATTTCCGAGCACATATGTGCGGCCAAAGTCGGCTTCCCATTTCTCGAACACCGGGCCTAGGTCAACGACAATTATGTCATCCTCCTGGATGATCCGATCAGGTGGGTTCTCGGCGAAAGGACATAGGCAATTCGGTCCACTCCTGACAACTCTTTTGTGCCAGTGGGACTGAAGACCGTAGCGACTGGTTCCGAGTTGATGTATCTGATCGTTCAGATCCTTCTCCCCGATTCCTGGGCGGATCAACGTCTTCTCGACCTCGTCGAAGAGTGCGAGGGCTTTGTTCTGAGCATCTAGGAGGTTCTTGGCTCGATCTGAGTCATCATATGTCTCGAGAGGCTGCCCTTGGGAGGCGGATCCGGAGAACAGGCTGGACATGTTCCTATGCACGGTGCGAGTTTGATAGGAATTGGGCGGGCTAGTGTTGAGAACGGTTCATGGAGAAAAATAGACGGTGTGTGTGTAAGCAAAGCGGCAGAGCCTTGATTTCGGCAACTTTCCCCGCACTGGCAGCAGATTACAAAAACTAAGTTCTAACTAAGTGTCTTCGGGGGTATCTAGAGATATATTCCGGCACGCTCGGCCTACGACAAATCTCCCGGCGTCGCGTCCGGCTTATTGTGTGTTCATAGGAATATGCGTCCTGCACCGTTCTGGGATACAAACGCGACAGTAATTCAGGATGCCTTCTGGCTACATGTGGCTTGACATAATCTGGATCCTTGAAAGGCTGATGGCATTCGGGGCAAGTGTACTTGTGTTCGACAAGATCGCGGTGGGCATGCTTTCTTAGCGCTGCTTTCAATTTGTTGATGTTGCGTCTTTTGGGAGAATCAGGTCTCCACTCACACACAGTGCATTCCATCCCTTCTATCTGCGTGGAAGAACTTGAGGCCTCCGTGAGGAGGCTGCGGAGCGTTTGCATACCGACTTCACTCGTTGGGACGGGTGCCATCGAGACTGGATGTATGGCCCCAGGACTTGTAAGGCTGTCTCTTAGCTGATAGTCTGTTTGGCACATCTTGGATGCGATCTCGCCTGTGAGTTCCGAAATGGGTTGACAGCTGATACTGTTAAAAGCCTTCAGTAAAGTGGGCTCGGGGGAAAAGGTCGAGAACTCCGCCCTCATTTCCATCTGCCGCTTGAGATCCGCCATCATCTCCATTTCTGGCCTATAACCATCATCTTCACCGGCCTCAGGGCAATGTGGGGGTGAGAGGTCACCAGGGCTTGTGTCCAGTTCAACACATCCTTTCAGCCAAGGCATTTTTTCCGGTAGTGTCACCTTAATTTGCCCTTCTCGACCACCTGGTGGTCTTTCGGAACTTCTAGGGACGCTTTCCGGGGCGCAAAGCCAGGGCGACCTTTCTTGTAGGGTTCCTCGAGCAATAGCAAGATGTTCAGCAGCCGACACCCCTTGAGATGTATTTGATAGTTTCTCAGGCTCTGTCTCCTCCAACATTGTATGTTCAAGCCCGCATCGATTCATGCCCGAGAAGGCTTGGCTACCCAGTGAGCTTCCGACCATGCTTATGCAGTTTTGATCACCCAATATGAACGGTGATGGTGACACATCCCATGTTAACTCAGGCATGATTTCCAATGGCGCGAAGGGCGAATTCGGATATATAACACCCCTGGGTCCGGATCGTGCTTCAAATTCTTCGAGTATTGTTGTGTTTATTATTGGACCACCGTCCAGTTCCGCAACCGCCGGACCTGATCCAGTGAAGCTCGATATGTCGAGGGAGCAATCCGCATCATCAGAAAATCTGTCAGCTGCTGGTGTCATCTCGGTGACAGCTACTTGCCCCTCCATCCAAGCGATTATATCACGGCCCGGCGCGGTTCTATTCACATTAGGGGCACATCGTTGCCACTGCAAAAGCTGGAAGCTCGGGTGCGAACGATTCCTGAACGCAAGATGCTTCAACGATGTGGACAGTGGAGTATATCTTTTGCGGAATGGCGAATTCGAGTCTTTGTGTTCGTTTGGGACCTCCTGCGTGGAGTCGCAATCGAAGATTTTCCGTTGCCCGGCTTGTTCCATTCGGAGGGCACTGCCACGTCCGTCTTCATCATCAATTTCCGATGTTGCGAACCGAGTCGTGAAGACTGACGCTGCGTCATGGCGCTCCTGAAGCGGTGTCACCCTCTTTGCGATTGGTAGTCTCTGAACTTGATTGACGAAGTTTGATGGCGTTGTACAAGACTCCGCGTCACCCAGAAATTCAAGCAGGAGGTCTTCGCTTCCAAGGATGAAATCCAGAGGGCTCGGCAAGCATTGATCCTCGTCAATGTCTGAAACTTGTGCTAATAAAGCGTCGGCTGCCATCCAGTCCTGTGACTGCCGGTAGCAAGTTACCAAGAGTTTGAATATGTCATTCCGTGACGGATTGTCAGAAGCCATAGTGCCAGCAATGCAACGAATTTGGCACAGATGCTCGCAGGTTGTGCGGGCTTGCTCGAATTCCAGTTCATGCGCGAGCGAGAGAGCTAGCACAAAGACGAGCTGAGAGGTCGTAGCGAATTCCTCTCGAGTGTGCTCTGCCAGATCCAGGACCAGCTCTTTTGCTTCTTTATCTCGGCCTTGGAAGAATAGGGACAACGAGAGTTGCTTCCGTAGTCGTCTGTGTTGGACGTCATCGAGGCCCGTGTCTCTGTGGTGCTCCATGGCTCGCCGGAGGAACGTTTCAGCTCCCAGAAAATCCAGGTCTTGGATCGCTTTGTGAGCCAGTTTACTGAAGCCGTCAGAAAAAACCGACGTAAGGTTGAAATTAGGGAGAATCTGTGGCCTTCCCGCCGGAGAATTCGTCGCGCCATCTCCTGGATAATTTGTGGCCTCATACCCATTGATTCGCACTGCGGAAGGTAATACAGACGCTTGATTTTGCCTTTCATTCCGTCGTAGAATGCTTAAGATCTCGTTACGTTTGAAGGTAGGCATTCTAGATACCATGGAAGAGCTCGCATCGCGACCTATCATTTGAGTGTTGCTATTATCCTGTCCACCCTCGCCCCTTAATGTGCCAGCGGCAGTACTTGCAGCTTTCTGGAAGGCTCCGATCGCAAGGAGAAAATCTTCCATGTTGTGGAGGAAGCGACGCTCGGATATAGAGTTGGATCTGTCCAAACAGAGGGAGACTTTTGTCCGGTCCTGAATGCGTTGATTGAGCAGATGCAACTGAGACGATATCACGGCTTGAGAGTCTCTGCTTGCCAATGCCAAAGAACTAACTTGCATGTCAAACTCGGCCGCATTTCTGTTTTATTTGAACGTCATGAATAAATGTTGAACATACACATCGATGACCTGTAGCAAAGTCTGCAATTTCCAATTGGACATCCGAATTTGACCTCGATAGGAAGCAACATCTCTTGTGTGTTGCTGAAGTCTTTTTGCAACCCTTGCTCGGTATAGAAGGCTGGGTACAAGGGCCGAGTGCTTGATTCGTATGCGATTTGCCAGTTCAGAAAGTCCAGTTAAAGTTTCCTGACAGTCTGACAAGGTAATGTCGATTCGACGCCAAAGGTTTTGGTCGATGGAAGCCAGGTTGAGGGAGTTGCCTCCGCATTTCTTCAAAGCGGCTTGGACGGACAACAGAACGCTTTCCAGACCACTGACTTCCACGCAGAGAGAATTGGCTTCTTCATCTGCATGGCAAATGAGTTGTAAGAATTCATAAGTCTTGCTGGCTGCGCCTATCAGAGTTAGTATTGATGCGGTGACTGATAGCGGATCCATGACAGCGACATGTCTTTCGGCCCGGATGAGGATTATCCCAGTGCTCGATGTTGTACGCGGTTTTGTACGAGGCCCTTCTAAAAAAAATTATATGCTTTAAGTGAAGGCTTTTTGTTTTCTCCTTTTTTCGAAAACAAAAAGAAGAAGAAGAAGAGGGCGGAGCACGCCCGACCTGACCGCTAAAGCAGTAGAATGGGGGCAGTCGGTGTCGTCTGGGGCCTTATTTAGAATCGCTGAGATTATTACTTTGAGGCTCGGAAGCAGGGCGATGGTTGAAGTGACAGCATAAACCCGGGCATGAGTTTCCCAGTACTGTAACTGATCCATCAGATTGTGGCTTATGCATGCTGCGCTGGCCAGGCAGTTTTCAACCTACGGGCAACTCAACCTGCAGAAATGCCTGAAGCTCTGGGGTGTGACAGCATTTGAGTCGCATATCCTTGTGCAAGCTAGCGAATAGTGACAGCTCTAGAGTCAAATGGAACAACGAAGCTGGCCGTGTTCTTTTTACACAAGTATGCAAAGCCACAAAAACGGTAGGATTGGCGATTATATGGAGCATCGCAGCCCCAAATTTAGATATCCAGCATGAAAAAGGCCCCAGAGGGATTTGGGCTCACGAACTGTGAGAGCTTCTATTTTCGTTCAGTGAGACATTGGCCATCTCGGCAATCAGGCTGTCTGCCCCTTCACCAGATCCACGGGTATCACTCAGAGCGGCGGGGTCAGCTTTCTGCTCCAACTGCCCAAGCCCTCGCAAGACCGCCTTCGCCGTCTTTCGGTCAGCGTATGATTTTTGGGTGGCATTCCTACAACCGTAAACATGTGCCTTCACATCGCTGTATTTCTTGTCAGTTCAGGAACAGACATCCCAGACATTGCAAGCAGTCACACCTGTAGCTGCCAAATATGGCAGCACCTCGTCCTCCAGTAGCTAAATAACACTCCGGCTGCCCACTGTCCTCGCTGGACTTCGATTTAGGGCCATCCATGGGTCCTTGCCAAAAGTGGAATGTGCTATGACCATTCATGGAAAGCCATTCAAGAGCAGCGCTGAAAGTTTCGAACCCTTTGTGTCTGTTATCGGGAAAACCAGTTACCATCGGTGCTGCATCGTGCCTGTTACAATCCTCGCCGTCAGTGCCAAATATGTGAAGCCGTATTCTGGGGGGTTGCTTAGCGTAGATATCTACGTACCAGGAGGAAATGATCGATGGCGCGCAGCGCCCACGACTAATAGCATAGAAGTGCTTGCGTTGCTTTTTGCCCCCTGACATCTTGGAGCCGAGGAATGTGTAGGCAAAGATTTGTGTTCACGTAGATTGCCAGCTTTAGTCCAAGCCGCTCAAGTATAGCTTGATGTGAAAAGCTATGATGCCAACCTACGTAGGTGATGATTTCGAGAGTATGCGATTTCCCTCAGAAAGCGCGAGAAAGAGGGGTGAGAGGGGGCTCGGGCTAAATCGAATCACCTTAGCTGAAGAAACAGTTCCCTATGGGTTGCGCGAGCAACTTGAAATCTGATTTGGTGGTCATGCCAAGTCGTGTGACAGGCTGCAGTTGGTTGAGCCCAGGTGCCTGCGATGTTGGTACATGCGGCACTCGAAACACGGCAGCACCAGCGTAGATCATGCAAGCTTGAACTGAAATGATTATTCCGAACGCAGAATCCCATAGTGATATAATTCCATAGTTGCATGTATGAGATTTTATGGGTATAGAAACCTTGGAGCGTTTGAGGGTGAGAGCCCAGTCATTGAAAGCATTCCACACACATGTCAACATGTATTCTTCAGCATCCTGGGACCGGCTGTGCTTTTGATGTAACAAGCAGGCCAAATATGGGTGAGAAATCCAGATCGTAACTCTAATTTGGCGAGAGTCGTGGTTCTATAGATAAAGTCTATAGCGATCAAGGAACCTGGTACTATAATTCAGGATAATACGCGTAGGCTACATAAACGTTGACAGTGCATTTAGTCAGCGAATAACATGAGTTCAGACGAGTTTGAAAACTGCATTGGGACGGGATTGGTCGGTCCCTCAACATACCACAAATCGCTAAATTATACTCCTTTCCCATCCTCGGGCCTATTCAGTCGCGCAAAAGGATAGTCCGACTCGCGACTCCTGGCTGACGTCATTGGGGATGTCTTGAAGTGAAATGAGGGTCTCGTGGACAAGGGCAGTCTAGCCCTCCCAGCTCCTCGAGTCGCCTGCTCATAACTATTGAAAGCGAAGAACGCATGACATCGAACAACAAGCCGGGAGGGACGGCTGGCAAGGATCTCTTGGGTCGCCGTGAGGGTGGGTAAGTTCCAGCAGTCAAATGTCCTTTGTTTGTCATGTTTGTCATGGCGGCGCAGAAACAAGGATCGACTCTATGCCCAACGCGGGCAAAGCGCGATGCAGCCTCAAATGTCCCGGGCCAAATAATACCCACCCGGGCTGAGAGTCAGCTCCGAGCCCGCCGGGTGGAGAATGGGTGTGTGTGTGTGTGTGTGTGTGTCGCCAACATGTGCATGCGATAATTACCGAGTCCGATCCTGCGGCACAGCATCTTATTATTCCCCATCTCACGTCTTGAAAGCTGTTGTTGTTGCTGTTGTCATCGTCGTCGTCGTCGTTGCTGTCGCTGTCCACAGTCCACCAAAAGGAGCTGCCCTCTGTCTTCCTGCCCCTCCATCTGATTCGGCCAGCTCGGCAGCAGCCTCAAACTCTAAACTCCGCACAGCGCAGCGCAGCAGAGCATCTATCCCACCGCAGGGTGCTGTCCCAGGCACAGCACAGCACGGCCCATGTCGCCCAGTGCAACCACCGGGCCGGCCACCAAGGTCAAGTCCAACGCCTCGAGGGCATCACATGCGTCCAAGGCCGCGCTCGAGAACGGCTACCCGCATGGCCATCTCGGGCATCTGACGCCGGATGAGGAGGCCGCCCTCAAGGGCTTCAAGGCATACCTGGAGGAGAAGAAGTTATACCAGCATGGCCCTCCACCCTCGCACGACGACCCGACGCTGCTGCGCTTCCTGCGCGCGCGCAAATGGTCCGTACCCGACGCCTACGGCCAGTTCAAGGACACCGAAGAATGGAGGAAGGCTATCCAGCTGGACGTGCTGTACGATACTATCGATGTCGAGGCCTACGAGCAGAGCAGGAAGCTTTACCCACAATGGACGGGGAGGAGGGATAGACGGTTGGTAGCCCCTTGAGTTGGACATCATGCCGCCGAAACAGACGATATGGGATCGGGTCATGCTAATCCTCACTTTTTCTCCCACAGCGGCATCCCTCTCTACCTCTTCGAGATCCGCCACCTCGACTCCAAGACCATCTCCGCCTACGAGAAGTCGGTCGACAAGACCTACTCCAAGGCCGCCGCGCCTCCAGCCTCGATGCACACGCCGCCCAAGCTGATCCGCCTCTTCGCCCTCTACGAGAACCTGACGCGCTTCGCCCAGCCGCTGTGCACCCAGCTGACGGATCGCGAGCACCCCCGCACCCCGATCACCCTCTCGACCAACATCGTCGACGTCGGCGGCGTCAGCCTCAAGCAGTTCTGGAACCTCAAGGGCCACATGCAGGCCGCCAGCCAGCTGGCCACGGCGCACTACCCGGAGACGCTGGACAGGATATTCGTGAGCTCTCAGCCTTCCCCCTTCCATTCTTCTCCACATCAATCGCAGGTCTTCATCATGTCCGCCGATCGTCGCTAATCATCCAAATAACAGATCATCGGCGCCCCCGCCTTCTTCTCCACCGTCTGGGCATGGGTGAAGCGCTGGTTCGACCCCGTCACCGTGTCCAAGATCTTCATCCTCTCGCACTCCGAGGTCCTCCCCGTGCTGTCCTCCTTCATCGACCCGGCCAACATCCCCCGCAAGTACGGCGGCACCCTCGACTTCGCCTGGGGCGACGCCCCCAACCTCGACCCCGTCATCGTCAAGGCGGCCGACTGGGAGGGCCCCGCCAAGGACAGCCCCGCGTTCCCCAAGGGCCCGGCGTACTGGAGGCCCATCGACGGCGGCAAGAGGGTCGAGTGCGTCGCTGTCGGCAGCGTGGACAAGGTCGAGCGGTGCGTCAGGGTGTGTACCCTGCCTGTGGCGTTCCCCGAGGGCGAGGGAGAGAGTGCGGCGAACGGGGCGGCTGTTCCTGCTGTCGTTGCTAGCGAGGCGAAAGAAGCGCCAGTGGCAGCGGAACCAACAGCAGCGGAACCAGCAGCGCCAGAAACCTCGGCCCTGAGCCCCGCAGCGGCGGCCACGACGACCACTGGCCCCGCGAGCCCCGGGTTGGAGGAGGGCGAGGACGAGTTCAAGACGCCGCTGGGTTCCCCGCTCGTATCTGCTACCCAGGAGCTGTCGCTGCAAGACCCCGGTGCGATAGAGGAGAAGAAGATGAACGGCGACGCGGCCGTTTCTGAGAAAGTAGGCGAGACAGAAGCAGTGCCCAACGGCAAGCCGGTAGTAGCGGCTTAATCAGGATGCTATATGCGGTAGTGGCATGGTGACGGAGTTATTAGACAAGATATTTGGACATACAACAGATCCGAAGGCACTTGGAAATAGGCCGAAGAGGGCGCATATGGAACGGCCCTTCGATATAGACGCAGGCGGGATTTGCAGATATCATGTTCCGACCAGGCACGAGAGTAGAGATTCGATGCGCGATGGCCGCACAGGGGAAGCGTTACAAACATTGATACACATGGCCCGCTTGGATGGAAAAGGTAGCCACCAGCGGCTTGTTGGAAATTTGAACCTCTTTCTATTGGAAATTATATGGATTCTAGACTTCTACCTCTTTATCTATTTTTATCTGCTCATCTATATGTTTATCGCGTGTTCGATGAGGCCATCCCGACCGCGGTGGGCCGACTCAGCCTCCCGCGTATGTTACGGGAGGGGTTTGGTTGCTTGGGAGCCTGATGACTTTCAAAAAGGCCCTCACCATTCTTCACCAGCCTCGGTGTAGCTTGAATGAATGCCTCTGGAAAGGCCGTTCAATCTCCCAGACCCGCCTATTGCAGCCTGGGCAGTCAACATGCCTGGCCGCAGTTGGACTGGCTGCTGGGCTCGGTCAGGGCTGCTTCCTCCTCGGTCCAGCCATGGCCTTTAGCCACATCTTCTACCGTTCCTCAACAGTGTACCACCATCATGCGAAAAGACAGGGCGCCTGATTGATTAGTAACTTACACAATTCCTGCGAACAGGACCCTCACTCAGCCTGACCATCCGCCGAGGCTGCCCTCCGGCGGCGCCACTCGGCGACACCCCTCGCAACCTCAGCCCATGTGACGCCGTCGCGCACAAGGCACATAGTCACGCCCAAGCTCTCGGTATCACGGTTGCGGCTCTCGTCGTCGAAGAAGAGGAACTCCTCGTACGGAAGACCAGTGCGCTTGTGCAGAGCCTCCATATGGCGTAGCTTGGAGCTGGGGTAGATCTCAAGTCCAGCGTCGAAGAGGTCAATGGCCTTGCGGGTCTTGCCAGCCGAGGACTTCTTCTTGCCACTGCCCTCATCCTGCGGTGGCGGCGGCGGCGGGTGCACGTACAGCAGCTTGAGCATCTCGCGGGCCAGGTCGGGCGCGCAGGTGCGGCTCGCGACGCCGACGCGGATGCCCAGCTGCGGCAGGGCGTACAGGACCGAGGGGACCTCGCCGTAGAAGGAGTAGTGCTCGCCCACCTTGTCTGCGACTGCGGTGTTGTTGGACCCCGGCACGGGCTTGAGGCTGCTGCCGCTCACGTGCGTGTCGACCCAGAAGGGCCACAGGGTGTAGTCGAGGTCGAAGACGAAGAGCTTGGGCAGAGGGCCGCCGTCGGTGAGGATCGAGGGGAGGTTGGGGATGGTCGAGGCTGTAGACAGGTCGGAGGCGGAGGAGGCTATCGTGGAGAAGGTGGAGGACTTGGCGAGCTTCTTGGGCATTTTGTCGCGGCTGGCCAATGGGCCCGGAGGAGAAGGTCGGCGACACGGAGGTGAGGTTGTGTTTAGAGAAGGGCGGCCAAGAGGAGCGGGCAGCAGAAGTAGGGTCCGGTCTGGAGGTGCGATTAGGTTTGAGGTGCCTGCAGTGTAACTGGAGCTGTGTAGCTTGAACAGACAGGGACAAGGAGAAAAGGTGGAGTAGATGAGCTTGGTGATGACCGGATGTTGCGGGTTGTATTGTTGTTGTCTTGACTGATGTGTGATTCAAGAACATCGGCGTCTTTGCCTTGGCCTCTCGATTTGCCCCTCGGCAGGAGGATGATGATGTCTGTCTGTTTCTTATCGGGCGATAAGAAACATAGTGTACTTAGGTACCTACACCTAGGGAACAACCCCCCACCCTAAACTTGATCCCCCCTGAACTCAATAGGCACTTGTGCACCTGTGGAAGAGTTACGGATGTCCGGCTGCAGGATGCCACCCAAAGCAAATCCGATAGTGAGGCCTGGTCGATCTATCCGAGCTGGCGATCGCTGCAATCCGGATTACCAGAATTATAGTTGCTGGTTATGCCCTTGTTGATTCTGGTGGATTAATAAAGCTACATGGGAGCCTATTGATGCAGACCGCCGTCGCCAAAATGTTTTCCCACGACCTCACATAGAGACAGGCATATGCTCGGCTTGTCACCCAACTGCCGCGAGACCACCAGCACTACCACCACCTTACTGTGGTACCCTCCTCTGCCTATGATCCGGCACGATGGAGCTTCCCCACCACTGGACCCCGCGGGGTTGGCTGTATGGGTGGGCTAAGAGGACTAGCATGCTGAGGGCAGACGTCACGGCCCGACAAAGGGGTCCTGTCTCAGCTCAGTGCTTGTCTCGTCTCGTCGCACACATATAGACGCCGATGTTTTGCCTTCGCTACCAGTCTTCCTTACCCGTCCATGACCAATACGGAATTACGGAATTGTTACCCTGGTATAAGACATTATCTCCATATCTCACACCTTCGTCTCAACTTGTCTACTCCCAGCTTAGAGCATAATCAACCTGTCCTATCTTCAGCATCTCTAGACAGCAACAGCCGTCCAATCACCCCGGTATATTGTAAGCTCCTCATCGAAATCAAGTCTATCATACGTCCCACACATATCCGTCCAGCATGGCAAGCTCCGACAGCATAGACAAGATCAAGCTCCACCACATTGCACATGTCTACTACAAGTACAGCACAGAAGAGGTAGATGCCGCCCGCTTCTTCATGACCGACTTCGGCTTCTTCGAGACCAAGCGCGTCGGCCCAAGGACATATTACCGCGGTTACGGGTCCGAGCCCTTTGTGCTCTGCGTCGAGGCGTCCACCAAGACAGAGTTCGCCGGCACAGCATTCGCCGTCGACTCCCTAGATGAGCTGCACAAGGCCGCCAAAATCCTACCGCCCGAGACGAAACCGACCGACATCTACGATTTGGTTGACGCTCCTGGTGGTGGAAAGGGCATCACGTTCTTTGACCCCGTCGATGGATTCCCAATGCACCTGGTCTATGGCCAGGAGCAGGTCGAGGAGCTGGACCCGAAGTTCCCAGAGCTGAAGCTCAACTTTGTGAGTGCCCATCGTCACAGGCTCTGTTGGGAGTGGTTTTGGTAGTGACCGCTGTGGTAAGCTGAGGAGCTGTATGGGAGCTGAGCTGACACATCATGATACAGCCCGAGAAGCAGAACCGCGATACCAACCAATTCCAACGCTTTGAGAAGCGCCCGACACCCGTGCACAAATTGGGTCACTACGGCATGTGTGTGACGAATTTCAAGAAATGCTACGAGTTCTATTCGAAATACTTCAACTTCTATCCCAGCGAGGTAAATCAACCGTAACCCCCGATTCAGCTCTTTGTATGCAATCAGACTGACACTTTCGGACAGCTCAACTACAACGACGACAACGAGGACATCACAGTCTTCTTCCGGCTGGACCGCGGCGACGAGAAGGTGGACCACCACTGCTTCTTCTTCTTCGAGGGGCCCAAGTGCCACGTGCACCACTCGTCCTTCGAGACGCACGACTTCGACGCCCAGGTCCTGGGCCACGACTGGCTGCGCCACAAGGGCTACGAGAACTGCTGGGGCGTGGGCCGCCACATCATGGGCTCCCAGATCTTCGACTACTGGTTCGACCCGTCCCGCTTCATCCTCGAGCACTACGTCGACGGCGACCTGCTCGACCGCCGCTACCCCACCCAGCGGTCCAAGGCCAGCCCCGATGGCTTGCATGTCTGGGGTGAGTGGCTTTTTAGTTTTAATTAACACCTTTTGGTGCGCTTCTTGCTGACTGATTGTAGGGCCTGACCTGCCGCCTACTTTCTTGACGTAATAATGTGAGATTCTTGGTTTGGCTTGGGGGGGGGGGGGGAGTAAGGATAGTGGCTGGCAATGCCGGTACTCAGTCTGATCAGGTGACATGCGCTCATTTACAAGACCATTCATGATGTGCTCGGAGGGCCTTTCTAAGTGGGAGGAGGAGTTGTATGCTGGATAGGGTCAGAATGAGTCATGCCCGTGTGCATTAGGCACGTTGTTGATAGCAACGTCTTGCGACATGTTCAAATTGTTCAACCGGCTTCTCGTGCAAAGTCGTCGGCATTTCATCGGAGGATGATTTCAGATCTCAAAGCTCTGCAGATCGACTTGATTGCACACAAATATGTGTATGGAGCTCAGCGGTCGATACATGAGGACTTAGGTGACACGTCTGAGTCGCAGACGTCTTTCTGGAGGGAGCCTTGCCTATGTTATGTGGACGATTAGCTCTGAAGCGGGAGAGTACAGATCAATGAGACCTGAACAGACCAGGCACTATGAACTCGCAAACTCTGTGGAGCGAGCTTTGTACACAATGCCGTGTAAGATTCGGGGTTCAGTCGATGTGAAAGGTTAGACTCCTGTCATTTATCAACAAAGTGTGTCATGATAGGATCAACAATCGGCCTCGATCTATAGTCTAGTTAAACCCCTGTCGCTCAAATGATCTTACAGAATGGCATTCTAGCTCTAATTCTGATAAAATGTGGATGGATCCATGAAGGCTGCGGCAGTGCTAGTAAGAACTCGCTTAGCATTCCTATCTCTCACTGCTACATGGCAGATTTTATTTTTGAAGAGTGATACTGAGTTTGGGTTTAGAAAAGCGGTCATTGATACTGAGGGCACGACGACTTGATGACTCCGTTCTCGCATCCCCGGTACAGGGCGTTACCCCTGCCCGGTCTTGACTCGGTCTAACATTCAGGAACATCAACCAGCAACACACTATTATCACCGTAGAGCCCACGGCCCGTAATAGGACTATTTATTCGCAAATGGGAAATATTATGTCTGACTTTCTCAACTTATGAAGCCACAATGCCTCAAGCCCGGAGCCCTTCGTCTTCAGGAGGGCATGACCTTGAGGCTAGCACAATATGTTATCTTGAAGCCTTCCGTAGTCTTCTTCTGAATCAAATATGAGAATTGATTTAACGACCACAAACCCGGTCTCCATATATAGTATAGTATCTAGAAGAAGGTTTTCCGTCAAGACCACAGCTTGTTCAGGATAAGTGCCCCTGGTACACCACCATGCTGGCCTAATTTGACGTTCACGAAGAGCATCACTTCCTTTCTGAACTCTGGTACATACAGTAATCGACTGGTTTTTATGTATATCTTGTCATTCGCGTAAATACCGCCCTGGAAATAAGAGCGTTGCGAGTCCTTGTGCCTTCGCTAATCTCGTCATGGATCCTTTTCCACTGTCAAGCCCAGTATAGGTCCTATTGCTTTGCCCACCATGGCCCCTTTCTTTCTAGTCAATTGTTGCTGACTTTCCTAGGTATTATATTGTTGCGTAGCCATATGATTACATGCCATCGAACATTGAAGTATCTCATGTGCTGATATCCAAGCGGAAGCGGAACGTAGCGGGTCTCTGGCTTTTTGTGACGCAAGATTCTGCATCAATTCGTATGAAATATACATGTTAGAAACATTGCTAGGCTTAAGTAGTGCCAATTACAGTGATCGGAGCATTGGTGCTTCATGATGGAGAGAAAGGCTGGAGCACCAACATTAAAACGCAATATACTGCGCCATGGTCCATGATGCTGCCCAATTGATTTTGTGCATATGCGCTCATGGACACGAATGGCAATAAAGAAACTACTGATGCTAAGTGGCAAGAAAGGAGTCCTATCCTAACATATTTGATGCTATATTACTTTTGTGCCTTACCATGTATGACTTCATTCCTCGCATGCGAATGAAACTCCTCATAGTGTTCATTGCCGCAAAAATTTGGAACGATGATGTCTTTCCAAATACACAAGTTCAAAAACTGCCCAAAGAAGCCAATTATTGAAATTCTGAGGTATCGAGATCATCTTGGCTGCACTTCCTTGTTTGACATTCCGAGCAATCACAAGCTTGCTCGAGCAATCAACTCTGTTTTCCCACTGCGGCCACATGCAAATGATATCATACTCCTACACTTCAGCGCAGGGCTGAAAGCCTTGGCCTCGGGTTTCACATGAAAAGGTGCCACCATCGGCCTCGCATTGATATTCCCGAGAAGGCAGGGCGCCACCTTGGACCTGGGGTGCGACGACGCTAATAACACCGGATGGCAGAACTGCGACTACGCCACCACCTAGGTAAGCAATTCGCATCGGGAGAGTTTTCAGCATGGCATCAGAGCTGTTAACATAGTACCGCTGCGTCATTTGTTTATTTTGGACGAAGGGGATATTGGGGCACACGGTGGGTAAGCTGAGACATAGAGTCAGCGAACCAAGAAAAGTATAAAAACATGCTGTCAATCGTTCCTGATGCATTGGTTTTTGTGCTTGATGGTGAAGCGTACAACAGATCCTTCAATTAGAAACATTTCTACACTACTCAAGCTCCTTCATTTACTTTCCTTGGCTCACACGACCTAGCCTCGCACCTATCACCCAACTCCACCATGGCAGACCAACCTCCTCCAAGGTAATTATATCTTAAGATAGCTCATGTTTCTTCTTTTATCACTCTCTCGCAAGAATAACTACGTGTACTATTTGCTAACCGAGCTCGTTACTTGGCGACAGCCATCCTAGCACGACAACCCACCAAGGTCACAACCCCAAGCGGGGCGTCGGCCTGGCCGGGGACATCGTTGGCTCTGTATCTAAGGGCTTGGAGGTTGGTGGACATCGGAATCCCGTTAGCGAGATCGTTGGGACTGTATCAGATGGGCTGAAGCACGGTGCTGGGGAGCAGCCTAGCCGGCACGCGGAATTGAAGAAATAGGCTAAGGCTATGAGAAATTGTTTGGTTGGCATCGTTCTGTTGGTGATGCAAATTTCTAGTCCTTAGATTTGTCACAGAATTGAATCGCTCTTTACTTTTCTTCACTCAAGCAAGCAAGGATTTGAAAATGGTCCAAAATGTGTTGTTTGTCTTGACTACTGCTGCTGCTGGTGGCATTGCGATGTTGACGCAAGTCCAGAGTCGTCGGAGGGACCAGACATGGGATCATGTATGCTGTTGAGCGGCGCATCCAAGCAAACCGAAAGACCTTCTCAAACCTCGATTACGGACCTTGCGACCGGCCAGAATCACCATCATGAGGTGAGAGACAGTCGAGTGACTGGCTCTACCGCATCCCTCCCGTCCCTTAGATCCTTCTGCCTAGTCACCACCGTCCTTTGCGTCGGCAAAGTTGTGATCTACGATCTTCTCGAAAGTCATCTCATCGAAGATGTCTGTCCCCTGCAGCCCCCTCATCAGACTCAAGGTGCATGAAGAGCCGGTGGTGTAGTTTCTATAAGTCACCTGCAATAAATCGAAGTTAGCAACGATATATCAGCTTTGCTTCCAATACAAATGTCGCCTCGAACCAGAAACATCCGAGGCTTGCGAAGGGAGGAAGAGGGCGTTGCCAACTACATACCACGTATGCCAAAAGACCATGATAGTACAACCAGTGACCCTGCTCGTCCAGCTGAGGTTCGGCGTGTTTGGTGAAAAATTGGGCCTTGGGGCGCTTGGCTTTGGCCTCTTCCATCATGCCAACGCAGTACCATCGGTTGAGTTGGCCCTTCCGGTCTCTGATCGAGAGGGTCTTAAGATTCGTGAAGGGGTCCAAGGCCGCGGCGAAAGACAGAGGGTCTCTAACCCACTCTCCTCGGAGCTTTCTAAGGTTGGGGTTGGTCTCGATGGGGACGTCTCGGAGGTGCTGGATGTGGCGCTTCGCGATGTCGGGGATGCGGTTCAGGAAGTAGCCGCGGCTGAAGTGGCCGTCGCAGCCATTGCGAACAATGGTCTGGGACCAGTAGATGACGATAGCCTCGAGGTATGCCTGGACACAGGTGAGGAGGAATTGGTGCTGGGCGATTCCGGCAGTGAAGATGCTGCGTCGGCCGCCGACGGGGACGACCTGGACGTCGACGGGAGGGTCAATGACGAGAGCGATCTCAGAGCCAGCAAAGGTCTCCTCGTAGATCTTGTTGCGAACCTCTCCGGGGAGCCTGAACAACGCCGACTTGACGTGGCCGGTGCGCCGGTCCTTCTTGTCATTGGCGTCCATGATGCTCGAAGTGGTGGATGGCTTTGGGCTGGTGGGTGGTATCGTATCCTCGCCGAGATTTTTGCGCGAAGCTCGCCAGGGCTCTTATATTGAATACTAGAAGCTTCTGTGTATCTTATCGTTCCAACTTTCAAAGTGAATTGCGCGGAGTGCATTGCGCACGTGGATTCGCGAGTGAATACATAGTGGTGACAGCGTGCAAAGGCACAACGTAGTGACTGGATACTCGAGCACCCCCTATAGATAAGTGCTTAGTGGAAGTGTCACTGCTCTATGGGAATTAACTCTGCTAAAAAGACAAAGTTTCTGTCTGTAAAACTAGAATAATTCCAGCGCTGGTTGCTACATTTGTGAATGAGAACCGGCTTCTGACGCATGGATCTGGGAACGACTTTAGAGGCAAGCCCCAATGCCGCTCAAATAGCCATTTATTACGACTTCGATTTTATGCTGTTGTAGATAGGTGGATTTAAAATTGCTATGACAGAGTGGAAGACTTGTATTGGTCGACCTTTGTTTGTTTCTTAATCATGGCTCCGAAGCCATCATCAAGTCGCCTATGCTGCCGTTCCATTTCTTGGCGGCCGATTTCTCGCTGGGGGAGGCTGTTTTTGGGGGGAGGGGCAAGTAGGGTTAGGACAAGGCGTCATGAGATCAATTGGTGCTCAGGCTTCTCTGACGCTGGATAAAGCAGCAGCAGCTCAACGAAGTTCCTTGTTGGCAGCTGTTTTCCCGCTTCCAGGGTTTCCTATACCAAGCCTTGGTTGATTCATCAAGACCAGACAACGCGGCAGACGAGACGGAAATACGAGTATGGCCGACCCAGTCCTGTACGCAGGCATCATCCTCTTTTTGAATTGTTGTCGCTCTACGCGCCGTTGTTGATGTGGCTGCCCTCCCTCCCACGACTGATGCGACGGCCGTGACGCGTCTCTCCCCGACCACCGCCTTGGATCGACTGTCAACCTGCCTTGTGAAGCGGCTTCCCCCACAACATTCTCCCGCTAGTCTACCGCTTTTCGTTGCAGATCTGGAGATGCCGTGGTGTGGACGACCCGAACGCCTGCAGAATAAGCAATCGAGGCGCTATTTGGAACCAAGATTGCTCGCTCTCGTCAACTCTTTGGGAAGACGGCCTCGAGGTGGACCTGGACACGGACTTGGACCCGGATCTGGACCTTTTCCAGCGGAACAACCCAACGGACGTGCTGTTGCACTCCGTTACCTAAGACTCTCGGCCAAACAAGCTTCTCCTTGGGGATCCACAGAGAAGGGAGACTGGAGCTTGGCCTCAGTCTCAACTTCAGCTGCCGAGTCGAATGGCCTGCCAACCGGCTGGGGTTGGCAAGGGGCCACCAAGAATTTGATTGTGATCGGATTTGCCGGCCTCTAACAGTGTGACAGAATGGATGGCGAGCCGTTGCACAATTTCCCTACCAGGGCGGCCGAGTGTGATGGTACTCCGTGTTACAGACTAGCGGTCCTGGCCTTCTCAGTCACACCCGTTCGTGTTTCTACCGTCGGGGGCTTCAAACACCAGCCTGGCTGCCTCCACCCCGAATCGCCCGCCGAAACCCTGGGAACGGCTCTCGAAGGGGCTTATTCAGTGGGGGTCGTCCCCGGCCCTGCCCTGCACTATAGTGGATTTGGCGGACTAGCGACTTGGCTTCTGGGGCCTGCTGCAACGGAGAGGGGTTGCTTGGCTTGTGTCGTTCGCTGCCAATGGTGGGACAGTGCCAAGCGGCACGCGAGCCCGAAGCTTCTTTCGTCCTCTTCCTGGCTCGTCTGCACCGCGCAGTGGGCAGGCTGTCCGGGGATGTGCGCTGCCAGCCTGCTGATCGGGTAGGGGATCACCCAGACTCTGAAACATGACGTTGGGCGAACTCGCTGCTGAAACGACATGACTTGCCGCCTCCATCCCGGTTCAGTGCAGCATTCGTGCTTCCAGCTGCAGCCAGAATCGCTCTCGACGCATGATGGTTTGCTCACTCGCAATCTTGGTTGCATGGCACCACCATGTTTGCTGGCTGCGCAGCGATCGCCAATGCATGAGAGGCCCCCGATCTGCTCAAAATCAGTGATGTCCCCTTGTCCCCTTGCTTCTGCTCTGGCCTCTCCCAAGCCCTTGCTGGTCTTGTTTTGTTTTCGACCACTTCGCTTGCTTTGCTGCGAACCTGGTTGCTCGTCCCAACTTATTGAGCTGTTCAGTCCCATGTTCTGATACATACGGTTGCGTCAACCTGTGTCGTCCGGACGATCACCTCTCCCACTTCTCTTCTCCCCAGTGCCCAGGCGGCGCTTTCTGTTGTTTCTTTCCAGTACCATCCGAGGGCTGTGCCCATTGTCTGCTCGCATGCCGGTTTCGAAATACTTCGAATGACGCCGAGGAATCCTCTGATCTGCCCGTGACTTGGCTATCGAATCCGGAGTTGGGATTGTGGGTTGTCAGATGCGCGGACGCTGCTGGGCATTGTTCTCCCATGTTGCCTGACAGCTCGTTTTCTTCCAACTTTATTTCCTCACATTGCATTTATCATCGCGCCCGGTCCTGCGCGCGCTCCTGCCAGACCTGACTCGAAAGGTTGCTTCATGCCTGGGCTGCAGCTCTACGGCGGTTGGTGAAGAAATGGTGTCTCTCCGGTTCGATTCGTTGCTGTAAGTGCGGCACTTGGGCCAAGATCGTCGCTCAGTTGTTACAATTTTGAGGATCCGGGATGCTGATCTTCTCTATCTAGGGCACGGCGAAGCAGTGCACAACGGACAACCGTCTATGTATCTACCAGACAGCAGGATGATGACGACGCTCTCAAGGGTCGCCAGGCGCCCGCTCCTGGTGAGGCTGGTTTCCTGTGGACAAGGGACGACGACGACGACAAGTTCCAAGCAGTAGATGACGATGATGAAGACGACGACGATTTCCCGACGTCATTGCCACCTCCACCACCACCGGCCTTCACGCCACCACCGACTCTAACATCAAGTTCATCAAGCACAAAGTCAAGCAAATCATCTGAGACGGACACGGATACCGACTCGGATTCTAGCACCTCTACCACATCAACATCGCAAACCACGACACTGTCCATCCCGCCGATCTTGACTTCAACCCTAACAACCCCGACCAGCTCTCCCCAAGTAACCAGTCAGCCACAAACAAACCTACCATTACTTACCAGCTCAGCACTGCCAAGCACAACCAGCAGTGGTGCGATCTTTGTAGGGACGCCAGGTGGCCAGGAGACAGGAAAACAGCAGAGCGACCGTGGAGGCGACGATGGACGGCCACGGGGGCCGAGCACCTCTTGCAAAGTCGCCATAGCCTTCGGTGTCATTGGTATGTCTTGTCACCACTTGAAATCTCGTCCGCTCTGGCTAACACTATATTGTAGCCGCTGTAGGACTGATTGTCGGATTATTCTGGGCGGCGATTCTCATCCGCCGACGCCGGCGTCGCCACGGCCAAGACGAAGTGAACCCTCGCGACTATGCCTCTCGTATTGGTCGGCGAAGCCGTTTCAATTTCAACCTGCCATCGATACCACCATTGCCATTCTCCTTCACATCTCCTCTCGAGCGATTCTACAAGCCCAAGCCTGAGGCCATCCCGAAACGTCAGGTCTCCAACCCATTCAACGCAGTGCACGTCAGCGGCCACAGGAACGCTCGCTCTGACTCGTCTATTCTCAACGAGGCCATCCAGGCCGCCTATCAAATGAACGGCGGTAGCAATGACGCGGTGCCACAAGGCTTTTTAGATGAGAAGCGACGAGATCCGAATCATCTTTTGCCACTGCTTGACCCGGAACCAATCGAGCAGGCGAGTATCAGGAAAAGTGTGGTCAGCTGGTTTAAGAGGTCCAGCAGACATCATCCACTCAAGCTAAACCCATCGAGTGGAAACGCGAGTCTCCGCAGCTCCACAGGGAGCACCTTGACTGGCGGAAGGAGAAGCAGACCAGGAAGTCAGGCCACGCTGAGGACCGCCAGTTACCACTCCTCCTCAGGTGATAGCGCTCTGGCGGAGAGCAGTGGCCCCAGGGGGATGCAGGACGTTCCTCCTTTGCCAGACTTGGGACTGCAGAAGGCATACACCAACAACACTGCGCCACCTGCGCCCTCACCAACCGAGTCGTCCAGCGAATCTGTCACAGCACCACTACCGGTCTTTACCAGGGATGACGCACAGGCGTACTACAAGTCGATGTGGGCCGGCTCCTCCGTGTCGGGCGAGACCGAGCGCATGTCAGCGATGAGCTCGTGGACTGACGTGACGCGGACAACTATGGCAGGTGGGCGTTCTAGCGCAATGAACACCCCGGGCTTGTCACCACCGCCAAGCTTCCATATCAATTCGAACAGAGGTAGCGCGTACCCAGAGACGCCCATCACTCCTGGGTTTACGAGCACGACGGGTAGCGGCTCGGCTGAGGGCACGAGGACGAAGGAGGACCTGTATGCGCTGTATGCGCCGACGAGGGGCAGCGTAGCAGGGAGCGCAGTCGGCTTGGGGCTTCAACAGCAGCTGCAGCAGCAGCAGCAGTCACAATCCAAGCCTGCGGATAGTTGAGGACATAGTAGAGTAATGTGACGGTGTGGTAATGCTTTTTGTTTTAGCGATCGATACCTCTAACTTGGCAAACTCAGTAAATACAGCCGCTATACAAACCTTGAAAGACTGTTCGTACGGTGATCTGTCATAGCTTCTCCGGACTTCAAACACGGACTCCAAACACTGTTCTCCAACTTCCAACAAGTAATTAAATATTGTCTTGCTTGCCTCCCAAGCTGCATAAATGGATTGTGCGCGCTGACTTGTTCAAGCTCCAAGCTTCCCATTGATCACGCTGCAGGCGCAATACTGCGCTATTGAGACGTGCATATAACTATACGAGATTGCTTCTGCTATAGACGCAGCTGAATGTGTTCGTCTCTTATTTACGCTTTGCAGGATCTCAATGGCTGAACTCAAATTATTATACTTCCGCACTGACTGGTTCATCACATCTTGCTGTTGGACGGGGTCAGACCTTTTTGCTCTTGTATAGTAATAGACAGGGCGCATTATAGGCATACAGTCATGTCTCACGCGTCCAGCAGCTGAAGACCCTCGATGATGTTTACGCATAGCACACATTCGTTGGGCCAGATGGTCGTTTGAACCCACGCACTCGTTGAAAATGCTTGCTTTCCTATCACCAACATGCCTAGCTATCATAGCACTGTTCTCCCAAGCCGCAAGCCCACAGGGTCTCCTCCAACCGCTACCACCCCAGGGCTTCGGCGCCCTCGAATGCCTGCCCATCACAGCGAGCAACTCCAGCGTAGAGGTATACCCAGTCGGAGACCCGGTCTCCCTAGAGTACACAGGCGTCTACCCGCGCGCATCCGGCTCCGTTGACGAGGGGCTATATCTCGGGTACGCAATTCGCCAGGGCTTCACCAAGATCCTGCGAGCGTACCGATCTTTAGACGGGGGCAGCTCGTGGCAGAAGCTAGGCGACGTCGAGCGCGGCGACAACCGCACCCGCGAGCTCGACAACGCGTTCCCGCTCGTGCTCCCGCGCGGCTTTCCCGGCACGGGGGACGGCACCAACACGGGCGTCCCGGCATCGAACACATCTTTTTCCAACAGCACGAGCGACAGCCAGCACCACCCAGAGAGGATCCTCTACGCGTACCGGAACCACGACCGGTCCCTCAACAATACCCTCGGCGTGCCGGACAACTACACCTTCTACCGGCTCTCGGTCTCCGCGTCCGACGACGGCGGCGCGTCCTGGAGCTTCCTCAGCAACATCGACACGCGCGCCGCCAACAACGGCTCCGCCAACCTCAACGGCCTGTGGGAGCCGTTCCTGCGCGTCGCGGCCGACGGCGCCACGCTGCAGGCGTACTACTCTGCCGAGAACGACGCGGGCGACCAGGACAGCCTGATGCGCGAGTCGACTGACGGCGGGCGGACGTGGAGCCGCGTGGCGAGGGTTGTCTCCGGTGCGAACAGGGTGCGTAGCCGCGATGGGATGACTGGTGTTGCTCGGCTGGGGGATGGGTGGCCTGGGGGTGATGATGAGGAGAAGAGGCTGGTTCTTTTCTTTGAGACGACTGAGTCGGGTCGTTTCGATGTGCGCCGTGTCATGTCGCCGGACGATGGGCAGACGTGGCCGCTGGAGACGCGCGCGAGGGTGTATGACCCGCTGGACGAGGAGAAGCAGTCGTCGGCGCCGGCGGGGGTGGTTAATGTCGGGGGCACGCTGGTGGCTGGGTTCATGACGAACGAAGGGACGAATTCATCAGGAACTGTGCCTGGGGACTTCAAGATTGTTGCGAGCGTAGATGATGGCGAGACTTGGAGTAAGAGCATTTTAATTGCCCGCGAGGCAATTTGGCCCGGGCTGTATTCACTTGGGAGGGACCGATTTATGGCGCTGTACAGTTTTGATTCGCACGAGGGCGAGTATGTTGCTGCCACTAGAGTGTTCGAGGTGCAACGAGGATAATGATGGGTGGTCAGCGAGCGGTTGAGCACCTCGAAACATCCAAAGGCTGTATTTGTGAGCAAGGCTGTTTGTCGCCTAGAGAGAGAGAGAGAGTATGTCTTTGTGCTGTTTTGGTCATCCCCGAAGTATTAGATGCAAGCTTAAGACATCTTGGTGATACGGTTCATAAGATAATTAGAGGTCTCAATATACATTCTGACGGTTCAGTATATACAGTGTTTCATCTGACTCGACCTATTTACGAATCGTTAATTAGACCTTGAAACTGCCTGTCATCGATAATACAGTGCTTTCCAGACTGTGACGAATGAGTTCACTGATTCGGAGAGCATGGAGCAAATGCTTGGAAATATTTTCCCAATTATGCTAATGGCTCTGAGGAAAATGGCCTTGTGTGCTCATGTACTTCAGGTTCTGTGCATACATACGATGTCCCTCCCACGTGAATCCACGCTTGATCAAACATAGGTCGTAATACAATGAACAACCGTGTAAAATCAAACATTGCGGAGAATGTCAATTTGTATTCGTAATGGTTGGACAAGCTACTGTATCAGATCCTTCTTACATGGAGTTATGTCGGGACCTCAACGCCACTGATCTCCGCCAACCTCTTCAAAAGCCCATCCTGCGCCGCCTCATCATCTGCAGTCTTCAAATATGTGGCCTCCTTCAAGTTGTAGAAATACTTCCCGGTCTTCCCTTTCGCTTCACCCTCACCCAGCGCCAACATGGCAAACGTTTTGATACTTCCCTCAATATCCCCCGTCGCACCTGAACCACCCATCTTAGTCGGCACCCAGCCCGGGTCGACAGAATTGCTCTCGACGCCCGGAAACCTCCTCGCGAACGCCTTGGCGAGCATGATGTCGTGCAGCTTCGAGTCGGCGTACACAGACCCCTCGAGCGAGTCGAGCCGCGGCTTGCCGCCCTGGTGCAGGCCGGAGCTGACGTAGACGAGCCTCTTGGGGCGGTCCATCAGGCCCGTCAGGATGTACGGCGCTAGCACATTGACGGTGAAGAGGCTCGGCAGCCCGGACTTGCCCGTGACCTTTTCGAAGCCTGTAAAGAGGCCCGCGTTGTGCAGCACCGCGTCAAAGGGCCCCAGCTTGTTCGCCTCCGCCGCGAGCGCCTTGGTCTCGTCGATGCTGGTCAGGTCTGCCACGAGGACGGCGTCCGATCCCGGGCATGCCTTTTGTGCATCGGCTGCACGCTGGGAGTTGCGTGCGTGCAGGACGACCGAGTGGCCTTGCTTGATGAGGCGCTGTGCTGTGAGGGAGCCGAGGCCGTCGGAAGAGCCGGTTATGAAGATGCGGGCCATAGTGGAATTGGGTTGTTGGTAACAATGATGAGGGATGTGATCGTGGAGTATGACCAACGCACTGAGTTGAGTTGAGGGCGAAATTTTGTAATGGTTGTAGGATTCAGAGCGACTACGGAGACAGGGGTTAAGTCCGGTGTCTCCATATCGCGAAAGTTCGCGAGGTCATCGTCAATGACGCAGTTCGGGTTTGGATTAAGTAATCTAAGTCCGAGTCGGCATTCCTGTTTGGGCCGCGCTAACCATCAATATCGCGTCTTAGACGAGGCTGATGCCGGTGCTCGTAACTCCCAGGTTTTCCAGACTTTGGGCCTCTTCCTGCGTCCTGCTTGCTTCGTCGTCCAGTATTCTGAGCCAGGCGCTCCGTGCTGTGGTCTTGGGTCTCAACAGCACATCGAGAAACTGTACCGTCAAGGACCCAAACCGTACCCTTAAGAGCCTGCTTGTGAATTTTTTGAGACTCACTTCATGTCTGTCATTGCGATCGTTGGAATTATCAGGCGGCCAATTCTCAGCAAGCTTTCCTCTGCCCCATGTCCATCTAAAGGTGCAGGCCATGCCCAAAATTTGGGCATAAGGGGGGATATGTACATCCACGCGAAGCTATATCACAAAGGAACCCAGCGCAACGAGGAAAGAAAAAATGATTGTCGATAGTAGCACGGATGTGTCGCTCTGTTGGGAGTTCCTTCGGGTCCACTTCTTTGAATTGACTCGCCGTTCGCAGCCACGAGAAGGTCTGCAGTCGGGGCAACTCACTTAACAAACGTTCCCATGGAGGCGTACTTGAGTAGTCAGGCCCCCGATCAAACATGAAGTAAACTCGCAGTGGTGGCATTCCCAGCTTATGGAGGCCCTTGCATTGGTATAGTACGTCCCAGAATGATAGTGCAAGGTTGCGCCTCATCGGCCTCCCGACCCAGTCCGAGTGAATGCTGACCTGGCTGATGATCCGTCGATATCCGGGCCGCAGGGTCGTACCGACGAAGTGGATGAAAGATTCGAAGTCATCGAAGGAGAAGTGGTTCCCGGCCCAGAAGATTGAAGCAGCCTCGGTGTTGATTTGGCTGTTGGTCAAGAGGAGGCTGGCTCCTCCTCCTCGGGGCTGGCAGAACCTACAACGCGATTGTCCAGGGCGGGGTGTAAGACCTTGGACGTATCTGCAGTTGTACTTGTGCTTCTGGATCAGCCGAGTGGGATTGGTGGTGAGGGTGAACCGGTAGATCATGTTGCGCAGCTCGGCGGGCAGCTCTAAAAACATGAAGCGACAGGCAGCAGCTGGCTTATCTTCTTGTTTCGTTTGGTCGAAATGTCGAGGAGTCTCCATCGTTGAATTCAAATTGATTATAAAAGGGTTGTCTTGAGTGATTTGGAGGAAGTCGACCATGGTAAAAAAAAAGAAGAATGGACTTCTCTGTGGGTGTATGGAATCGCAACTTTCGGGCACAGACTACACAGAAATTAGTTCTTTTCTAGGTGATGACTTTATGGGTGTTAGCCTCGCGTAGCGATACTGGTCTACTCAAGTCCATCATGGAAATAACGGACGGCTGGTGTGTTATGACGCCTTGGCGTGATGAATACTAAAACGAACCAATGTGCAGAAGAGGCTCGATGATGGCCCAAGACGGACCTGGATCGACTGGGGACCGCTTCAAGTCCATATGATTTAGATTTTTCATTGCTGAATGCAGATGCGATGTCTGCAAGTTTCATAAACAGAACCTCGACTATGAAATTTAAATCACGGGGCCAGCTCAAATCGTCAAATGTGCACATGAGGGTGAAAAGTACATCAAATTTGAGGAGCTGGAGCGGACGTATTAGTCGCGGGTGGTACACCGGGACTATTCACATCAATAGACCTCACGTTAGAAGAAAGGGACTCAATATGTGATCATGGATCATGCCAAGGTTTCGCGGGGTCCTGAATGATGACCTGAAAAATTTCATTGATATTTAATCCAGGCCTGTCTGCCAGATTCCCTGCAAAATGCTTGATATCTCTCGCTTGTACCCTCCTCAATCGCAGGCATTTTACCATCGCTGCCATTTATCAGCTTCGAACATATGTGTGAGTTTGAATTGAACGATGTTCACTTAGATGCTGTGAACAACTGCCAGTCATACCAGAATTAGGTACCCTTATCCTGCGCAATTTTCTGTGATAGCTCTTTGAGCCCCTGGTTTTGACTAAAGAGGAAATCCTATCGAGAACATGTTAGATTGACTGAGTTGTTCTACAACCACATGCAGCTGTATCCATGAGCGAATCGAACGTGAGGGAAGCTTACTCCAACCCAGGTCGGTGCCCACTGGCTTATGCATCTCAACATAGAAGCATACGGTCCTCGAGTGACCAGCCCTCCCTTCCCAGTCCCGGTGATATCGTCCAACACCAATTCGGCGAACTTCTCCGCCGAGAGACTGTCCTTCGGGAGGAACTCACCGCTAGCGTTACTGGCAATGATGTCCCTAATTCGCGAGTAACGCGAACTCAGTGGGATGTCGAAACCAGCAGCGTCGTTGACGTGGAGCTTGCTGTCGATGACTCCAGGCATAATGGTGGTGACAGTCACACCGAACGGCTCGAGCTCCAGCCGCAGCGTCTCGGAGACAGTGTTCAATGCGGCCTTGGACCCGGCGTATGTCGCTGTTGGGTTTAAATATGGTATTAGCCAGTCATCGGCATACATAATCTATTAAGAGCGCACAGAGATGACGAAGGAGCATTGCAAGTAGGATCTGGCAGATGCCTCAGGCGCTGAGCCCCAAAGATACTGGGCCGGACATACAATACCACGGCGAGTTAATGACGGCAGCCGACGAGCTCACGTTGACAATCCGGCCGCGGCTCGAGATCAGAAGGTCAGCGAAGGCCTGGATCATCCGCAGCGGGCCCCACAGGTTAACCTCAAACAGCCGCTGCGCCGCAGCAATGTCGATGTCGAGCACAGGCCGTACGTATCCGCCGCCGGCGTTGTTGACGAGCACCTGCAGGCCGCGCCCGCTGTCCGCCACGGCCCGGGCGACGGCAGCAATGGAGGACGGGTCTGCGACGTCGAGCGCCATGGTGGTGACGTTGCTGAGGCTACGAAGGGACTCGGGGATCTTGGAGGTATGTCGAGCCGTCGCGAAGACGTGGTGGCCTCGCTTGGCTAACACGAGCGCCATGGCTGCGCCGATGCCGTCGGCCGAGCAGCCCGTGATGAGGATTGATTTTGTTGTAGACATTTGTTTAGCGGGCTGGGTTCCTTGATGCCTGGCGGCTCTCGTCGTCTAAGTTAGTGGTAGCACAGGAGAGCTTAGCGAAGGGAACGGGGACATCTCGGGCGTGTGAAATTGGCTGCTTTATCAATGAGGCGCTTCTGCGTGAGATATTGAAAAAGATGGTGGTATGGCGCCAACAGCTCATGTAAGCCGTCATGCAGAATAGCGGCACAGCGTTACTCATACGCAACAACTCTTGTCAGTATCCATGAGGAAGAACATTCGACTATCAGTACCGGGGTAATACAATCTTTGCGAAAGTTATTTCTCATAGAAGACACTACACTGGGGAGAATCCCTGGAACTTGATCAACACAGGCCAGTCTTGGATTGCTTAGCATCGCCAGCACACTGGTCGGAGCAGCTGTTCAGACAGGCTGAAGAAACGCTTTGTAAATTCTCGGCAATGGCAACAAATTTAAAGGTTCTGCAGAAGAAGTGAGCACAGGCACATGCACAAGGGTGGTAGTATTGGAATGGCAAAGGCCAATCTTGCAGAATTTCGCCATGGTGACCCCGTCTATTGCGTTGGATTGCATTTGTTTTTCATGCTCTTTACTGACGCATTCTACTCCCCCACGCTCAGCTTGACAAGCAGGCGGTGTAGACAGACATCATCATTATTTCCATGTTCAGTCATAGCCGTCTGTCGACAGCCTCAAGGTTTTTTTTTATACCCCATCCCCATCAACCAGCAGGCCGGCTGAGCTTCTTACAGCTTCTGCATGGCGACAACGTCGGAGGACTGAACGTAGTCTTCGAAGCCTTGGATCTCCTCCTCGAGCTCCTCGAGGGAGACCTTGTCGTCCTCGACGACCAGGTTGATCTGCAGCTTCTTGATACCGAAACCAACAGCGACAAACTTGGAGGCACCCCAGACCAGACCGTCCTTCTCGATCGAACGCACAGACGCCTCAAGAGCCTGCAGGTCAGTCTCGTCATCTGCGAGTAATATCACGTTAGCGTTAACGCTCTCTGCCTCTCAAAACGCATCTCGAATTCAACATGATATGGGGGACCAGAGAGGATACATACCCCAAGGCTTAACATCCATCGTCACGACGGACTTGGCGGCAGGCTTCGTCTTGCCCTCCTTCTTCTTGCGGTACTCGGCCAGACGCTCCTCACGGATACGGGCGGCCTCGGCGTCCTCCTCCTCGTCGTCGGAGCCGAACAGGTCAACGTCGTCATCGTCCTCCTCGGCGGCGGGGGCCTTGGCGGGGTTCAGGGTGACCTCAGCGACCTCTGGGCCGTAGGCGGTGTAGGGCTTGGAAGCATCGCCAGAGAGGGTGGGGAACTCGGACTCGTAGGAGGCGATGTGCTTGTACCACCGGGCAGCGTTGGGGTACTTGGAGGCGTCAGGAGCAGAGGAGATGGCCTTGAAGGTGGCGACGTCGGCCTGGGAGGCGGTGTAGCTGTTGAAGGGGGAAGACAGATGTTAGCTAGGGGTGGACTGTGGGGAGGAGTAAGGCAAGTTGGTAAGAAGGGGGGGAGCAGGCAGGGGAAGTAAAGTTTTGGGCAGATGGGTCAGCGGTGCAACAGGAGTGCTGGGTCTGCATTCATGCGCAGGTGTTGAAGCTGCTCAGAAACACGGACCATGGGAAACATCCACGCAATAAAGGGGCAGGCTGTGGTGCTCGATGCAATGCAGGAGGCGACTGGAAGCGGCAACGTACCCGACGATGTATGAGCGGGTGGTCAAGTAGCTGTTGAGCATGGTCAGGCCGGCGTCGCTGACGAGATCGGTGAAACCCATTTTGACGGTTTGTGGGGGTTTGTGATGAGGAGTTGAGCGGGACGGGTATCGAATGTAGATGGATGTTGTGAAGCAACGAAGTCGTCAAGATTGATGTCGATGCCCAAAGAAAACACAACAGCAGAGATAGGGCGAGGTTGGGAAATTTTCTTACCCCGCGCTACCCTGCCAGCCCAGGCCCCTCCATTGGCCTGTGCTGCCTCAGGCACGAATTTGGTGTTGCAGCGAGTGAGTGCAGGTGCTTGGTCTGTTATCTCTTATCTATTATTCTCGCCGCCCAGGGTTAGGTGACGGTTAGGTGACGGCTTATATGCCCCCTTTCTGTGGGGGGAGGACCGAAATCTATGTTCATCTAAGCTTTTGCTCTTTGATCCCCTGAGATGGCCATGACTGTCGTCAGCTTGTCCATCATGTTGTAACGATGGGTTCCGTCGAGCTTATGCATGCTCCCAGTGCAAGGCAGAAATAGCAAGAAATAACTCAGAGTTGCCTCCCATCTCGCATACGAAACACCATCTCTAAACCAGCCATGGGACGACGGGCCGATCCCGACCTCGCTCAACTCTTCGCTTCACCAGACGTGCCCCCTTTCATCGAGCCTTCGAGCTTCGTGGCCGAAATGATCTGCCTCTTGGCAAGCCAGGAAGATGTCCGTCGCCCACATCGGGTGGTCGCTAGACTTGCCAGCTCCAGTGAACTGTTGAGATGTCGTCCCATGGTTGAGACGCCTGTCACAATGCGCCCACCAAGCAGTTGAAACAGACAGCGGAGCCTTCGCCAGTTTTCAACCGCTCTACGTCGTCGTCAGCCGGACATCTGCCGTATCTACGAGCATATTTCCTTTTTTGTTATTACTTCGAAAATGCCTTGCACGCATTGCCATTTAAGAGGGACAGGTGCACTGCCTCGCAGATCTGTCGATGAAAGCTCATCACCCCGACCCTTACCTTCTTTCTCATTGTCACGTTGCTGGATCGACCAAATCAGCTGGGCTGTCTGTTCATCAACGCAGATCACAAGACTACCGAACTATCCGATCGATTTCAATAATTCATCAAGATGCAATTCTCCGCCCTTGTCGTCTCCATCATGGCTTCGTGCACCTTGGCTGCACCTGTTGCCTACCTCCAGATGGGTCGAGAAGCGACTGGGAAGTTGGCTGTCAAGGTATGGTGAACCATGAGACACCAGGCATCGCTTCAGAGAATATCTTGCTGATGATCTGCTTCTAGAGTATTGTCCGTCCTGACGATATCTTGGGGCGCGACACTTTGTCCACCATGCGGCGCAGCCACTTCGACGCAGTCCAGGCCATTTGAGCCTTTGTCCATTGTCGAATCACATTTGGACGCCTACGCCCGGGTCATTTCCGAGGACCACATCCACCATTATCGCTTTCGATGATAATTTCCAACCCCCCGTCTCGAATCGAAGAAGGCTTAAATGCCCTTTCCCAAAGCATCGGGTCTGTTGCAAGGGAGGTGGATAGAGATGTCGGCCAAGGTCCGGGGCTGGAAACAGCGTTGTGGGGCGACCCAAGATAGCAGCGCAGGGCTCTGACACAACCACTTTGCCGCGAGACCTACCTCACAGTTTCACCACGCGCGAATGCACCTGTGAGACTCTCCCCCACAGCGAGGCTGGGCCCAGGCCCATCTACGACCGCTCGATGATCGCTGCAGATGCATCAAAATGGGGTTGATGCCTACGCAGTCCAGGACGGCGATCATACTGCTGTCAGATCGAGCACAAAGAGGGGCTTATACGAGCCATTCAACGCCTTTTGAATAATGAGCCCCATTTAGACAGCTTTTCATAGACTACAACATATATTAATGATATTATATATCTTTTCCCCTGTCTACGTTCCAGGCTCCGGGAGACATGGCGCCATCCATATCGTCTGCGAGTGAAGCCCTAGACTACTCGTCCGGTCCCTCCAGCGGCTCGTTCGACATAGCAATGATTCTTGCCGACAGATCCGGCTCTTTCTCAAAAGCCTTGTCGAACGGCCACATCGGCCTCCTGATCTCCTTATGGCCCAACCTGATCAAATCCTGGTCCACCCCTCCAGGTGTGAGACCTAGCATCCAGTCCTTTGCCATATCATACAGTTCCGGCTCAAGATACCCGATCTTGACAAGGACAATATCAGCCTTGCGTGGCTCTAGGTCGAGATCTGTGAAGTCCTTTTCCTTGTGGTAGGGCTTCCTTTGTTCTGTCAAGATCGCAAACACACTGCCAATCTGCAGAACAACCTCCGTTTTGGCGTCCTTGTCGCCTTGCTTGATACTGTGTATCCGCCCTGTCATCATCAGTGGGGCATCAAGGCCGCCCTCATTCCCCGCGCCTGGTGTCACTGTTATCGTAGCACCAACTCCAGCCCGGACACACTCTGTTGCCCACCCAGCGATTGGCACACTGGCATAGATCACCTGTGGACCGTCAGGCTGCTTAAACTCATCCCTTTCTAGCACCCTAGCCAGGCCCCAAGTCACAAAGCCACTGCCGCCTGCGGTGGGATTATCGCCGGAATCACTGATGAAGAACGGCCGCTTCGTCTCGTCCTTGATCCTCGTGAGGCCTGTATCTAGACACTCCGCCAGACTCCCCGTCGGCGCAACAAAGTGAAACTCCTCCTTTCTATCCCAGAACAGCCGCGCCAGCTTCTCTGCCCCGCTTGCCACCGCGTCCTTGTCCCACCCCGTAACCACAACCGCAGCCCTATTCCGCGGCTCATCAGCCCACGCATAGCCCACCCACACCGCGGCGTCAAGCACGCCGTCCACGGCCTCCACGCCAGGGACAGCAGCATAGATCGACCTAGCCGGCTCGTCGCGCGTGCTGGTCTGCTCCCCAGGCAGCAGGATCGGCAGCGGCACCCACGCCTTGAGGGGCCGGAACGCCTTGTCCCCAGCGCCCCGCCGCCGCAGCACCTCGAGCAGGTTCTCGCACGCGCGCGCCCGCGTCCCCGCGACGTCCACGTGCGGCGCCGTCCGGTAGCACGTCACCAGGTCGCACAGGTGCGCCAGCTCGCGCGACACGTTGCCGTGCAGGTCCATGCTGGCGCTGACGATGCAGTCGGGCCCCACGACGGCGCGGATGCGCCGCAGCAGTGTCGCCTCGGCGTCGTGCACTGGCCCGGACACGCACATCGCGCCGTGGATGTCGAGCCATAGCCCGTCGAGGGGCTGCCCGCCGGTTGACGCGTGGTGCTCGTCTACGATGGCCTGCAGCCGCGCGAGCAGGTCGGACTCGAGCTGCTGGTAGGCTGTGAGGCTCACTTGCCCGCCGGGCAGGGCGTGTCCGATCAGGGCGCCCTTCCAGTTCGCGGCTTGGCTTAGGGGCGTGCCGGGCCCTAAAACCGCGGCGTGGTAGGCTGTTATCTCGGCTGTGCCGCGGCGGGGGTGGAAGTCTTCTGCCTTGGTGCGGCCTGGGTGGAAGGTTGAGGTCTCGATTGCTAGGCCAGCTATTGCTATTGTTGGCTTGCTCGTTGTGGACATGGTGGGCAACGTGGCTTGGTTCTCGTAGGGATCTCGATTTGTGTGTTGAGAGGGAATTGGAGCAACATACGCATCGAGAGGCGATTCGAGATGCCGGAAGGTCGACACCGCGGGCCGCCGAGTCGTGCCGGTTTAGGGAGACCAGGTGCGGCGGGGTTCGTCTTCCGATATTCAAAGTGGTAGCATTCTTCCAATTTCCAATAGAGAACGCGAAACTCGAGGTTTGGCTTGTTTGCAAGCACAAACTAGTGCCAAGCTCTTGGTTCACCTTCGATGCTACAGACAGATCATTTTCGATCGTTCCCCACAACGAAATTAAGCCGCAAACTGCTTGGCAGTCAACTTGCAAACATCGAACAAATTTTATGACTCTGATCGTGGCCTGTGCCCTCTAACTGATTCAATTCGGTCTTGCTCGCCATTGAATGAATATCAAAGATGTCATCAAGCGCCATGGCGGCCATCTGAAGTGATCCTATTCAAGATTATCGCAAGGCATCACAGTCTCCTCAGCGTACAGAGGATGGCAGCACCATGCATTCGACTTTGCTGGCAAAGCTTCTCGCCTTTCTCAGTACATCTAACGCCCGTCAGCGGTTAATCAATGTATGTTATATCATTGGTGTGTCCGGCAGATTTGATGGTCCCTTTCCTTGAGTATAAGGACCTTCTGGTGCTTCACTATGAGAACATACTTCCAAGCAGGCCTCAGCCAGATTAGATAGTGAGTGTCTTTTCTGCCACTTGGAAGCCATTTATGCAGCGGGACTAGAGAGGATAACTCATAACTCCAGGGTTGCTGATGTGAGCCCTCCAATTCAGCCAAATATTGGCTCTGACACGAAAGTTCATGCATTGATTGCCCAGTTTCTGCATGCTCCAGTTCACTCAAGCACTCAATGAGAATATTTGAGGGACTTGTTCTTGTCGAGCAATAACCAATTGATACCTTCGGTGGTCGTTGCAGAAGACTTGGCCAGACAGCTTCGGAAATCAATGCCGTATTGCACCGCAGTAAATAACGTCTGCCTTTATATCAAGAGCGGCATATTCTCCAACGTCTTAAGTCTCTAAATAACATTAGTCGAAATGCTGCACTGAACGAGCAAAACGGGCTGTACAATGCCATTTAATCCGCCCCAGCTAGGAAAGCAGCTAAGCTAGTCAAATGGTCGATAAAGGATGCTGCTGTAAGAATAACACAGACCAGAAACCATGATCCTTGCATGAGAAATGAATAGAGAAGCTGTTTATAGGGATTCCAGACCGGCCCTTGTGCTCAGCTGCTTCCTTGGCGCGAAATGAATGCAACCATAGTGCACCTGCTGGCTACTGATCCTTTGGCCTTGGCACGTGGCAAGTGGCAGACCAGAAAGGACCACATAGTCTAGGTCGGCCAACTTGTTTGCCCAGCCAGGAAACCGTTTCAGAACACCGTCCAGTCCTGAGAGATACTTACGCCGTGCTATGTAATTTGCCTTGCAGATAACAAATAGCGAGACTTACCTCGTACGATCTGTGCTGAGGACATACTAGCAGGTCAGATTGGCTGCTCCTCGCCGAAGGCGGGTGCTCAGCAGCTGGCGTCTGAGTCGAGGAGTCAGTCCTGGCGACTAGCCAACACAGCGACCTCGGTGCGCACTAGACTTGAAGCTGATGGAGGACATATCGACCTCGAAGCTCGTCAGTCCTAAGGATGCTGAAGACAGAGGCCCGGTGGAGCGGTATCAGTACCCTCCCCTGCCCTCAGATGGACATACGCGGCTCGTCAGCCTGCATCCAGGGAGCACAGACGATGAGCATCTAATAGTGGACCTGGACCCGATGCCTATCATTCCCGGCGAACCCCTTCACTACGAGGCGCTTTCATACAGTTGGGACAAAGACCAGACACCCTTCTCGGTGTATGTTGGCAAGGATAAGACTGCCGTGGTCTCAGTGACACGGAATCTCGCTATCGCACTCTTCAACCTGCGATACACAGACAGACCACGACTCCTCTGGATCGATGCGCTATGTATTGATCAGTCGAACGACATCGAGAAGGGCCCGCAGGTCGCCCAGATGGGCACGATTTACAGCTTCGCAACCCACGTCATCGCTTGGCTTGGGCCGGAATACCACGACAGCACCCGTGCGCTGAACTTCATCGCCTGGATGGGCACGCACATCGACGTGGAGTATCCGAAGTGGCTCCAGCATGTGGGCGTCCCAGCCAATCAAGCATCTACGGAACCTGCGTTGAACGACCCAGATGCGACCGTCCCCATCACTGCTGACGACGCGCGCTCAATCTATTACCTCCTCTGCAGGGGGTGGTTCTACCGGCTCTGGATTCGGCAGGAAATTCTAGCTCTCGAGGCAAAGGCAGTCGTCCAGTGCGGACGGTCTCATGTCGCTTGGGCGCTGTTTCGCCGCGGGCTAATGGCGCTCTACAAAAGTAACAGGAGGCGTCCTCCATCCGAGTACGAGGGCAGGTTATATGAACGGCTGCTCCTCCTCCGAGGCTTTATCGGCCAGCCGTCGACAGTGGGCCTTGGATTCATCCGTGTCTGTTTTGGACAGTCCAGTTGCACGGATAGGCGGGACAGGCTTTACGCGGTCCTGAATTTCTTGCCTAAGGCTGAGAGGGAGGTCGTCGGCATCCCTGACTACACGAAAGACTTCGCCACTGTTTTCCGAGACGTTCTCTGGCGGTGGATTATCCGTTTCGATTGCTGCAACCTCCTGAGCCAGTGCGAGCCCGGACCCGATGATGCACCATGGGTGCCCAGCTGGACGCCGGACTGGTCCAAGAAGGACACCATTTTTGGGAGGGTCTACTGGCGAGGCCTTGCTTCGTCGCAGCTGGCAGCAGTCTATTCACGCTCACCAGATCGTCAAGTCCTGAGCCTGTCAGGTATCTCAACTATGAAGATAGCGCGACTGCAGCCTGTGCCAGATATATTGACAGCTAGGCACGTCAGAGATGTCGCGGATGCTATTCGGCACCTCATTCCAGAAAGCGAGCTTTCGGGACAATATGTGACTGGTATCAGCATGAGAGAGGCTTACACAAGGACGGTCCTTGCCAATTCTCTGCAAGAGCATTGTGAGCCATGGGTTGGATACGAGCCTAATCTGGAGGACGCGATGCATACGCTCGAGCAGCTATATCGGCCCGAGGAAGACCGAGATCCCGAAGAAAAATCATTGGGCCCGTCAACCGGCTTCTTTGGCGTATCGCGCGCGATGCTAGGAGGAAAACAGCTGATGCACGCAACCGGCGGGTATCTGGGAATAGCACCTCGTCTGGCTCGAGAAGGAGATGTTGTCTGCATCCTTCTCGGATGCCACACGCCCATGGTCCTCCGACCTCAAGGAGAGACGGAGTTCCGCATTGTGGGCGAGTGCTATATGCTAGGCATCTCTGAAGGGGAGACACTCCTGGGTTCGTTGCCGACGAATATCCGCAGAGTATATGCTTCGAGCCGAGAATGGGGCGTCCACTCGTACTGGGAAGACGCCCAGACAGGAAAACGATCACTGATAGATCCGAGGCTCGAAGCTTTGTTCCCATCTATGTCTTCGGACTTCCACAATGAGTTGCGAGAAGACCCTCACGTCAAATTAAAGCTCCCAATGGATACTCTTCAAAATTTGTGCCCAAAACTGCGGCAGTTCGATATAGTATAAGAATCTCTACTTTTAAGTCTAATGTTTAGAGCGGTATTGTTAAGAGCTTATATAGTATTGATGTGACCATTCAAGAATAAGAACAACAGAAATGTCATTGTTTCGTTAGAGCCTAGACACGTTAACTAACACTGATTTCCTGTGTCTCAAAGTGTGTCATCGATATGAACTCCTTCGGCGATCAACAACATCGAAGCCAACATTCTATTAGCGTGTTCTCCATTGATCACTAAAGTTTCGAATATCAAGGATCATTGAAACAGTGACTTGGCCGAGTCACGACTATCCAAGTCCGGAACAGTAAAGAGGTATTGGGTTTCTTTTGGGAGGGGAGGAGTCTGCCCTGGCAAAAGAGTCGGAGTTCGCCATGCAATATCCTTTTGGGAACATTTGTATCTCCTCTTACGAGCAAAGAAAAGCACAACCCCTAGATTCACGATCTGAGTTAGCTTCCAAATTTCCGTTATCAACATCTGGAGTCCTGATCTGCTACTTTATGGATCCTTCCGTTGATACAGATGACGTTCAGCCGACTGTGATCCTGAAGCACGCTGATATCCGCCAACGGATCCCCGTCAACCAATATGCAATCAGCATAACACCCCCTTTGGACTCTACCCAACTCATCTGCCCTCATCATCAACGCCGCAACACCCGCTGTGGCAGCGATGATAGCTTCATGGGGCGTGAAGCCCAAAAGCTTGACGAAGTGCTCCAAGTCCCGCGCGTATGTCCCATGGGGCGTCCATGCGAATCCGTAGTCCCCTCCAGGCAGGACGACAATGCCGCGGCGGTGCATCTCCCGGAGGCCCGCAATCGCAGTATTGAGCTCTCGAGTGTAGCCTGCTTTGTCGGCCTGGGCGTGTGTGTATCCGAAGGCCTCTGCCTCGTGAAGGGTGGCGATAAGCCAGTTGATGGCTGGTACCACAACGTGTTTTGTCTTGGCTTTCTCGAGCATGTCCATGCCTTGGTCGTCGATGAAAGATGCGTGGTAGATAGCCTCGACGCCGTGCCTGACACCTGTGGAGTGTTTCAGTACGCTTGATGCGGCGCGCATGGATTTCATATGCGGGACTTTTCGGCATTGGTGCACTTACACATTATAACGGAGTCTCTGGCTCTTGCATGAGCACATAGTCGCTTGCCATGCTTGTGCGCTTCATCAACGCATGCGGCCGTCTCCTCGTCCGTGAAGTAGCAATCTTGAGCTGCAAGAGTCTCTGTTATCTGTTGGATCATCAGCTGCGGTCTCCATGCGAAAGGCTGTACAGTCCTGCGACTTACTTCTTCTCCAGACATGCTCAACTTTACGTTATCAACCCCTATATCCACATGATGTCTGATCACCTCACGCATTTCATCAGGTCCATCTGCAGCAGCCGTAATCCCGGCGACAAGTGTCCCATCCCGCCGAGCAAGCTCCATTCCATTAGCGAGATAACGTGGTCCCGGAATGTCTCCAGCATTTATTGCATCTCTGATGACGACATCCAAACGTTCCTTTGCGGAAGCGGCACCGAAGCACCTGTCAATGAAGCTCGTTAGACCTTACCAATGCAGCAGAGGCTAGGCCTGTCATCAGGCTCATTGACTCGGAACCTACATAGTGTACCCGGAGTCCAGAAAACAGCGTGCGCTTTTCACCGTGACCAGGGTATGTTCTTCAACGCCAAGATCTCCCAAATGGTTGAGGTCGCCGCCATTCCATGTCAAGTGTGTGTGACCATCGCCAAGGCCTGACATCAGTGTCCTTCCTCGGCCGTGGAAGACATGTACTTGTGGATCTTGTTTGAGATTATCGACGTCTGGCACTTCGCCTACGGCGGCAAAGCGTTGCCCTATTCTATATTTAAGCTTCATAGAGAATAGGGGCGCGGAAATTGGGACACATAAGCAACTTTATGTCATATAATAACAAGTTTTGCCACTGAAATATTGCTAACCTTGGATCAAGACATCGCCGTTGTAAGGCTCGGCCCCAGTAGAATCAATTATGTTAACGTCCAGAAACAAGATACTTGAATCTGGAGGAGTCCCGAGCATTTCGTAGCGTTTTGGTTTCAACGACAGATCCCAACGGATATTGTTGATGTGTTCGGCATTCCGAGGACTTCCTTCGTACGAGGCTGAAGAAACATCCATGCCCGTTGGCCATGATACTTCTCCTGCGCGAGCTGGAGCCATGATGATGAGTGAATGACGCGGATATGGGCGATGAAGTACAAAAGATTAGGAAATTTTCCACAGCACCATGGGCAAAGGTTATCACCCCACACTTTCAAAATTGCACTATAATTTACTGGCTACATCACCATCCACCCTTAGGCCTGGCGTAGATACTTATGCCTCGGTGGAGAGCACAAATACTGCGGGGTCAGAACCAGTGGGATTTGTTGTGCAGGCGTGGTGCAACCTTGTTCTGACCACCACCTTGACGACGTGTGCCACTTCATCGTTCCCGTCCCGGAGGTTCTACGGGCGATCGCCACAAATACCCCTCCAGTCTGCCCGGTACGCGCAATAACTCTCATCCGATAGATTTGTTACCTCGGTAGGTCCTCTTGTGATCTATCCGTATTGGATATAATTCTTTCACATCTCTGAATGGTCGCCGCCGCCCCGGTCATGGGCACTTAACACCTGATGATCATATCTCTTTGACACCTCGATGCACTGCACCAGCATGCGTTTCCCCAAAAAAGACGACGAATGTTCTATGACATCAATATGCATCGAGCACCCGTAGAAAGCATCAAACAAGGACTCAGAGACTGCATTTCCCGCCGCCGTACGCAAAGACTTGGGCGGAGTGTGATGGCAGAGTGGAGCCGTCAGAGTAACGATCTATTGATATGTGGTCCCACTCATCTTGAGAAGATTCAGTGAGCGTTTCAAGCACCTGAGATGTTTGAGCAGATATAACCGGTTGCCAGCTGAGAGCCCGAATCTGTCGAAGGTGAACAGCGAGGACAGATTTCCGTTTCGATCTCATCAAACAGATATGCCAATCGCAGCTTAGCTACAATCTTCTTCTAGAATCCAAACGAGTTTGGCATCCCTGTGAACTCCGTGTCTTTCTAAAACAGCTGCGTGAAGACGTTGCGTGGCAGTAAGTTCCCTCGCGTCCGCAGATGCTGCTTCTTCAGAGCGTGAATTCCGCTTAATGAGTGACAATATGGCATCCATGTTCTGGGGCTTGGCGTAAGTCACCCAATTTTCAAGCGTGATAATGCCATCGTTCTGACCACAGACTTTGCGCAGATACTCGTTCGTCTTCTCCCCCCAAGACACGCTGCAGACAGCCCCAGGAACTTGTTCAATGTTGCCAAGTTGAATGTCGGCCTGGCCAGGGGCATCAGGCAGAGAAGATGGGATCCTGAACCAGTCTTTCGCTGTGCCAAAGCATAAAACAGACCGACACATGGCTCCAAGCCCCAGAAGGCACTCAACAATGCTAAAAAAGCCTCGCTCAAAATTTGAGGCCTTGTACTCGCTTGAGAACAGTTCATACATCCACATCGCATCAAAAAAAGAAGGCAGCCCTCCAGTATCGCTCTTAAATATCGAAAGCCTTCCACAGCAACTCAGAACCTCTTTATTGACATCTGCGCCCTTCTCGGCAAGAACATCGAGAATTTGCAAAGAATCTTCAATGTGACCCATGTATATTGGATCGATGACATATTGGAGACAATGCCTCATATGATCATCAAGCGGCGCAAATTGTGACGTTTGTGCCAATCTCCAACGTACGTATGCATGGCAATCAGTCCTCGCTGCGGCAACTAATGGTGATGAGGCCAAATGACATAGTGGAGTGAGGCTAAGAGGAGTGGTAGGGGTACAGTCTGAGGTATTCCACGTTCGCGTGTCCTGATGTCCGTCCTTTCTTCCATATGTTGCGGAAAGTGACATGGCTGGTAGTAAAGCACATTCTGCCCGGTTCAGAAGCAGAAATGCTGTTGAATGCTCGGCTTTCAACGTGGTATCTGTCTGCAACATACCTATTGCAGCCCTCGCTATATTAAGTATGTAGACTCGCAGCCAGCGCTGGTCGTCGAATGATGACTGTGACAGGCTAATTGTGGAGTTGAGAAACTCGATCTCCGCCCACAACATCCAGCATGCCGTGGTGTACACATGTAAAGAAGTAAGGCCATGTGTAGTCATTTGTTTTGAGATCCATGTTGCCAGAAATTCGGGAATCGAACGGTGAAGAAATTTGACTCTTTGACCAGTGTACTTTCCAGTGCGTACATAGTGTTCTCCACGTGCTGAGACGGCCTCCAATAATCCCTTGCACCTGAAAAATATTTTTGATTTGATATCTGTGATTGCTTTTGGTGTAAGTTTGAAAGGTTCTGGAGTGTTGTTCACTTGAAAAACGGCGTCAATATCACCGGTTTGGGGCTTTTCAAGTGCATGGAAGAATTGTCCGCACTCGGAAAGAGAAAGATCATAGGAATAGTACCGGTGATTGGAGTCCACGGACCGTGCCATAGCAAGCGCTAGAAGCAGGCAAACCATTTGTGCGTGACAGCTTTCAATCGAGTCAATGAGTGTTTTGAAAAGCACCTCTAGTCTTCTCGGGGTACTCTTCACCCGTTCACGTAAAATGGCTATCGAGTCTGCGTTCGACAGTCCTCTTTCAACTGACCTCACAACAAGGCTGACCCATAGAAACACACCATCGGCACGTTCGACAATCGCGCCGACCAGTTCCCGGCATTCCTTAGTGTTCGCTGTCATGTTGGACCTGAATGTTTGTTGAGATCCTAGGGCATTTCGGACGAAGTTGATAATGTCGTACCTGGTAAGATCCTGGATCCGGATACGATCGTGAACGGGCATGTTCTCGAACACTGGGAAGTGTCTGCTTGATACACATATCTTGACGAATCCGGTCGACGTATTCGCCCATTGTTGGAATATTTTCACAATCTCCGAATGTGTTGTGTCCTTATCCTCGTCAAGCTCATCGAGGCCATCGATGAAGAAACAAAATTTGATTGTTTTCGGTCGGTTAACATCATTGACGATGTTTTTGAATGCCTTTGAAACCTCCGACTTCGTCATTTGCAACTCCGACTGGAGAGAAAGCTGCTCAAAGGAGGACTTGCTGCACATGGGAAATGCCAAGTGGACTAAGCTGGCATCAAAGTGTATCATACTACGCAGAAGCCCACGAACTAAGGCCTCTAAGCTGTTTTCCCCTTGGTCAGGTTTCCAAAAAAAAAATCTCCCTAGGACCAGGCGTTCCGGCTTGGCCCATTCCTCAAGTAAGCGTATCGTTGTCGGGTGCTGTACCAGGTACTTCATGAGCGTGCTTTTGCCGGATCCAGGTTTTCCTGAGACATGGAACAGTCCTTTCCCATTCCGAAGCCAGTTTCTGAGTCGTACATTGACATCTCTCTGGGTGTTTTCGTAGTCGAGTCTCGCTTCAATCTCCCACCGTGATTCGTTCTCTGCATGCTCGTTCTCTGCATCTTCGTGCTCTGCATCTTCGTGCTCTGCATCTTCGTTGTCCAGCGAGCTTTGGCTATCATGTGGACGAATGCTCTTCTCATCTTCATTCCGCATGATCCAACGGAAAGTGTGAGAATCCGCTTCTGTCACATCCCAATATCTTTGGTTTGGATTTCCGAGACGCTCAATGACCGATAACGCGCATAGCTCAGTGTGCACTTCTTTCGAGATCCCTCTGGCCTCTGCAACAATACTTGGCACCTCAGACAAGTCCTTGTCGAGCTTTGTTATTCGAGCATCAAGGCTTGTGAGTCCAGATCGGATTTCGTCTTGGCCTTCATTTAGCTGGTCTGCAATTGAACAAATCTCTCCAATCTGGACACTGTGGCGTGTTAGTAAACAATATGACCGCATGGAGTGAGCATGGCGAGAAAATTGTGTGGGAATGGCGAGGAAAAAAACAGGGAGACCATAAAAATCCATCCACAGAACATTAGGCTTTCGTTCACGACTGGCTCGCCTAAATGTTTACCTGAGAAAGTATTGTGTATTTCGATGTGGCTCGTGGTTGGTGGTCTTGGTCACCGCTATGACCACGTGGCATCTTGTTACTTTGCCGCTTCTTTTCACTTGTATCGCGGTATGTTCGGACCCCTTTGGTTGACACATGGTTGGAAAGCTTGCTTACCTTGTGTTTTGTGCGATCGCAAAGTGGACGTCGTCTCGACATTGCTTTAAGCTCTGCAAAATTCGATCCAGCTTACCCTGTCCTCGCATCACCTTGGCTGTAGCCATGACAGAGGCGAATGCATTGCCAGGCTTGCTGGCCCGAAATCCATCCAATATTTCCTTGACAGCAGCTGACTTGCCTTCGAGGCGATTGAGAGGCCCCAAGATCGGGTCGCACAAATTATCTCTGCTGAGTTTGGACGCTGCAGTCCTTAATCCATTAAGTATCTTCTGAAATTCACCGAGGCATTCAAGGAGCTCTTCATCTTGTGCCCTTTGACCCCTGACATTCTTATAAATTTGTCTGAACGTATTGCACACCTTGACGGCGCGGTCGCAGATATCCATAATGTTGCAAAAGAGACTGAGAGCGGAAAGTGGTTCCATCTTGTACAGCTTGAGAGGACCCCGAACGCTTGCCAAGGGGCTGGTCCGGTGCTCAACGGGCGAGGAAGGAGCCGGTATAGATCACACCTAAACACAGGTATGTGCAAACAACACGGTAAAGCAGCCTATCCTGTCGGGGTTGTGCTGCCGTCTGGGACCCTGTTCTGCGAGAAAAGTGTGTTGCTTGAGTACCATGCAGATAGCAGAAATTACTACGACCTCGAGGTCTGGTCATGAGCTGATTTGACCATTCTGCGAAAATCTCAGTCGATGAGTAGTGAAAGAAAACAGGGGAAAATGGGCAAAACATTTCAAGCAGCAGAGAAAGATAAGCAAGAACCCCGCATTGCTTCGTCCGTCTCCGTCTTTCTGTCAGACCAGTCGCATGTGTGGCTGTGGGCTGGCCTCCCATTAGGCAAATGACCGCCTTTCGGTGTCGTGCAAGTTTCACAGCATCAGGCAGGCGACTAAAAGCTTGCAATCCTGGAACTGTCAGCCGTCTTTGTAAGACATTAACAGAATGGACGCATACTAGTGGCTGTACTAGAGTGCAGCCATGGTCCATTTATTGAAGCCGACAGCTTACGAGAGGTCGTAGTGACAAGGTGACAGCACTTTGAAGGGCCAGCGGTCACCACCCATAAACAACAAATTTCAAGAATTTACCACTTCAATAGCAAGAAATCGCAAAATGGCACTTGATGCAAAACCAATTCGCCATAAGACCCACCGATGACTTCAAATGAAGCTGAGACTACGTATTTCCGAGTGTGTCGGCGCCTTCAAATGTCAAGGTCATCCTTCTACCATATCTTGTCATCACATTCTCAGATGACGAACACAGTCTTTGGATCCTTGCCTCGAAATCTTCGATATACACGTTCAGATGATTCGGAAGGCGGCGGCCTCTTCACTTATCAAATATTTTCCTTGCCTGCGAGCCTCGGTACAAACGTGCTATGCATAAACCTCGTCGCAGGTTTCGCAGTTCGCCTCCCTGTATTTCTTCACAACTTTATACATTTGTATCTTGTTTGAGAAGACCTAAGGTTTGGGCCTTCTGCTAATGGTGAGACCGAGTTTATGCGCTTACGACCCTTGAAGAATGTAAAGTTCATCTTTTGAGGGGCCTTAAAAAAGACTCTCTAGCCATCCATGTCCCCCGACTGATATATCGAAAGATGACCATGGCTGAATAAGAACCAGAGTACAGTCTCTTACTCATCTCCGTGTGCAGCCGCCTTCTGAAACCAGCCTGCGCCATCTTTTCGCCAACACATCCCCAGCGCCTCAAACTCGACATCCATTTCTCCTCATGCGCATCCATCAATGCACCCAAACCTGTTTGCAGAACTGTTCCGGAGATGTCACCGCAGCAGACTGCGAAGTTCTCACTGTAACGGGGGATCGAATGCATAGACATAAACCTCTGGGTCCACCACATGGAAACGAATGCCGTGGGCATCAAGGTCTGAGGAAAGCTCCTGCATTCGACACTTTGAATCGTCCACGTCCACGTAGGGGTTCAAAATTTCAAAGGCCTCACACCTGTCGCATGGGGTGACTTCGTTGCAGCGACACATAGTGCTCGAAATATTGGTTCCGTAACGTAAGGTGACTTCCTCGAGGACACAGAAGTGGTCTGCCACGCGACCGGTAACCATCTCAAAGAAGTCAATGGTAGCATGTCTTGGAAGGTAAGGTGGGGATGCTTCATCCTCATCGTCGAGATGTGGGTAGTCGGGCAAGCTCGCGTAGCCGATTTCATCGGGATCTAGGTGCTTCGTGAAATCCGTATCAGACGACACGGTGAGGTGCTTCAAACTGCAAGGAAGAGTGAGCATCGGATCGACGACGACAGCTTTGGTTCCAGGTTGAATTTCGACCAAGAAATGTAAAGGAAGTTGGAGTTTGATAAGCTTGTTGAGGCTGACAAGATTGAGGACCCTGTTTTGACCTAGTGACTCACTCACGTCGCCATCGTAATGGAGATCTAGAATGAATTCTGTCAGGTTCTTCAACATCGCCAGACCAGCTAGTAGAGAACGAGATTCATCAATGTCCCACCCCCTGACTGGAACCTCAACCTCCGCATGAACTGAGAGGTACTCCAGGCAAGGGAACATTGTACAGATTTGGACAATGTCTTGTGGTTGGCATTGAGTCTCTCGGAGATCAATGCATGTGATGTTCTTACAATTCCAGCTGCTTGTAGCTGTCGCTAAGTCACACTTAGAAAGAAGGTTTGAACCCAGTAATTGCAATAATTACTGATATGTACAGAGGGAAACGTGCACAAGGTATGTTAAGCAGCTACTAACCGGAGCATCTTCCAAACTATGACCGAATAGCTCAGAGGTCGAGTCAAAATGTCTCTGACCGAAAGTTCGGCCGTTCGACCTGAGCCCGGTAGAAAAGATTCCCACAGGTTTCTACTGAACTAAGTGGACAGTACGCTCAACGAGGCGGGAGGTTCCTCTATTAGTCATTGGCACTGGAAGAGAAAGTAAAGTGATGATAGCGGGATGGAGGAGGAGGAAACTTGGACGAGCATGAGAAAGGCGTAGAATTGCCCTCTCCAACCTGTTTATATTTTGTGGAGGCATCTGATGCGGACAAATCAATGTTTTCGTGCGACTTTTTGATATCAAGTGAGCTAGCGGTAATGACGGGTTCTTATCTCTAAGTTGTCCCTAACTCGAGCCCCCCTAAACTAAGACGCCTGCACAGTAACAGTATGATTCAGCTCCAGTGCGTCCATCTGCTCGGAATTGATGCATGAATCCTTGCCCGTCTGCATCTTTATGTCGTCGTTGAACTTCTTCACAAGGCCCAAGTTACCGCGCACCAGATCAATCGAGAGGCCGTCAATGACATCGTTGGCGATGTTATTGAGGTTCTTCTCGTTGTTTGTCAGGCGTATGTTACGGTGGACGATGGCGCTGAGAGTGGCAAGCTCTTCCTCAGTGAGCTTTTCCATCTCCTCAGCATGGTCTCGGGCCCCCTGCACCTTATCAAGAATGGCCCTTTCCTCGGCTTTTCTATCCTTCTTCATCGTCCCAAGGGCAAATTCAACACCCTCTGCGGCTTTCTTTTGAATGCTTGTATTCTCGACCTGTGTATCAGCAGTACCTTGGATCACTAAATTCCCATGGTGTTAGTGATTTGGCAACTGTGCTTGCCTCTGGAGCTCTTGTCACTTACCAGGCTGAATGAAACTAAATGCTTTGTCGTAACCTTCGTCCTTGGAACCCGCGATAATTGCTGCTCCTTTTGCCCTCAACTCCCTCAGAACAGTCATAACGACTAGCAAGAAGCGAGTGTAACCTTCGTTGACCTTGGTAGTATGCCACTTAGCCGCTGTAAGTTCGCTGCACTGGCCTCGTATAGAAGCCTGGATGGTAGCAGCTGCCGAGAGTCCTGATGTGAGGGCAAGGTGGACACCAGATGAGAAGTAGGGGTCGATGAAGCAGCCTGCATCTCCAGCCAAACGGAAATGAGGACCAGCATAAGCCCCGGCGCTGTAAGACCAGTCACTGGCCTGCTTGACATCAGATAGCATCTCGGCACCTGAGATCATGTCGTGTATTTGAGGGGCCATCTTCAGGTACTCCTTGTAAAACTCAGCACCACTGAGTCCAGTTTCCTTCTTTTTTGCGAAGAAGATGTCTTGTCGAGCGACGATACCGCATGACAACGTCCCATTATGCAGTGGAATGGCCCAGACCCAACCGCTGCCATCTGACAGGGCCTCGAAGAACGGCGAGTTCTCGTTCTTCTCGCCAGGGTTGAAACGCTTAGCGCCCTTCCAATAGGTCCAGTTGGCGATGTTCTTCAAGGCCTCATTGAGCCTCCGATTCTCGAGGTATTTGGTCGAGATTATTCCATTGCGCCCGCTGGCGTCAATGATGTAGTCGAAGCTGATGGAACCATTGGTGCCGTCCTTTCGTGACCACTTCGCCGAGACTGGGCGCCCCGGGTTGGCCAGACGAATCTTCCTGTCAAAGCCGTCTTGGTTATACGGCTCAAACGTTATTTCATCAACCTTTGTTCCATCGAATACTTTGGCACCGCATTTCTCGGCGTATCGAAAGATCATCTCGTCCGACTCCGAGCGAATAACATTCCACGAATAACCACCTTGGCCAAGGGAAACAGAGAAGTCGGTAACTGTTGACGGACTTCGCATTAGAAATGCGGAGTAATTTGACAAGAACATGGTTGATGACTTACAGGCCGGCTTCTTGTCAGTGATCTTGAATGTTGCGCCATACTAAACAGCAGTGCGTGGTCAGTACAAGGGGTCACACGTTCGGCTTCTCCTCTACTTGAAACAAGAAGCGAGTAGCAAGACATACCTTCTTCTCAAAACCATGCTTATCAAACTCTTCCTCAAGCTCAATGAAGCGTAGGAAGTAGCGCATTGATGCAAGCATGCTCTCACCAATGTGGTATCTTGAGAGTTTTCGCGGGTTAGTGACTCTCAGTTTTCAGTGCGATTCCAGATACCGACCTTGGGAACACATCGGCCTCAAGAACCACGACATCAACACCCTCCCTGGCTAGCACACAAGCCGCGTATGAGCCTGCTGGGCCGCCTCCGACGACAAGTACAGTAGAATTTGAAGGGACAGACATGTTTAGTTCAGTAGGGTGTGAGTCTGAATAATTGGTAGGTAATGATGAGGATGGTGAGTTGTATACTGATCTGTTTGTTGATGATGCTTCATGAACATTCTACTACAGAGACACGTCCTGTTATATAGATTTTGATAGACCTCAATAACACAAGGCTATCACGTCTTCACACACCTTTCGGACATCGCAGTTGGTCTCGATTTTCACCTTCGCTTCCGGGTCGGGAAAATGCCCATGCCTAGGTGCGGCAAGAGTAGGACAAAGACGTAGTCCATAGATCGTGTATGAAGCATCATCATAGTCACCATTGTCAACTATACACCACCAGTATTCTTGTCTTTCAGTGAAGTTGCCATTTTCACACATCTCATGCGAACTTTAAGGTTGACCAATAGCACTTCTGACAGCTGAGAAGGCGTCGGCGACTTTGCCTCGGCGATGTCCAAACACTCGGGAAGTTAAAACATGTCGTCCTGTAGCTCTGTGATCTCGCCGTCGTGCTGAGGCTGTGCGTAGATGGCGAAATACAGTTTGCCAGGTGCCCGGATTTGCCCCTGTCCTAGGGCATACAATCGATCAACACATGCCTCAACTCTCGCTCACTATAGACTGTTACAAGAATAATATCATGGGAGAACAATGAAATTTCTTCCATAACTTTTGCATGTATTTAGTATATTCAACTGGTGAGATCTCGTGAGCTGCAATAAACTCCGAAGCACGACTCCCCATCATCATTCGCCTCCTTCGTCCTCCGCTTTAGCGGCGTCGATGTTGCTCCCAAAGCTTAGCTGCAACATCGCGAAGATGATGACCTTGAGCGAATGCACCGTTCGATTAATTCTTCCAGATTCAATCGATGCAGAGTCTTGGCGATAAAGTTCAATGATGTTTCATGTCATAGAGTAACTTGGCTGTGGTGGAGGCAGTCAGAGGTGGTGGCTGATTCTCGTCCGTGATCCTCGCCACCAGCCGTTGTCAAAGTGCAGGGGAGTTATACCCCATATTCGGGGAAAGTGCACTCGCCACACGGAACACCGAACCAATGTAATGGTGTCACGGCTCGTGATCGAAGTGAAGGGGTTGTAAAACTGTATTACGATCTACAATCTTCACCTTTGGCCCTGGCTTGAGATCCAGAGGAGATACAATTCATATAAGGCAACGGCTCTCGGCTGCAGCAGAGCGGTGACAGATCCCAAAGGTACCAGAATGTATGCTTCTGGTAATTGATTTCTTTGTTCATTCCTGGTTTACTTCATTAAAAGGTACCCCGTTAGCAACTATTCCGAGAAGAGGCAACCCTTTCCTCCTCGTGGCCCGACTAGCAGTATAGTTACGGTAACGCAGCGTAGGTCTTAGTTAGCCCAGGCGCATTGATGTCCTCGCCAGACCTTGCGGAGGGTTATAGAAATGCGATTTCTATGTGGCGAACCCGGGGGTTCTAGAACGCTGCAAGGCAGATCGGACCATACTAAAACGTGCGAATTCCATTCATCCAAACTCACAGATCTGACGTTCCTTTGCCACGACTTAATTGCCGGTTCTGTTTCAAAACTGACCTGTCTGCTGTGTGTGCTTGACCCCCGTGATGTGTCCACAGACGCATATATATTTACACCGAGAACCTGTGAATGGGACACGGTCTAATACTGAAACCACCCTATATCCTATGCTCGGGGAGGCAATCATCGTTGACACTTGCATCGCACTGGTGGCACCATCCATGCCAATTCTCCTGTATCATTTACGCCAGCAAGCTGGTTCCGTGGGTGATTCCGCGGGAGCGAGCGTGGGGCTTCGAGAAAAAGGGACGGTGCTCAACTTCCGGTAGCAGAGATCGCCCGCCGCGGACAGGACGAAGCATAGATCCCGGAGCGCATAAGGTGATCAGCTTGAGTACTCGGATCCCGAGATGATAGCCTTGTGACTGGACTGAGTTACATGTTTGCTTGTGATGGTGGATGAGGACCACAAGAACAATGGAATAGGAGACAAAACAGATTTCCCGAGCTGGCTGGGGGCTTCCACAGGTCAGGGCAAGCAAATGGGCGGACCGCAGCAACTAGTTTATCAACGCACTTAGGCAGGTAGACAGGACACGAGCTACCCGTTTGCTTGACGAGGCTCATGGATCCGCAGATCGCGGGGGAGGGGGCTGCCCCGAAGAGCTTCCAAAGTGTGGAGGAGCAACAGCTTCCCTCTAGTTGCGGGTGTGCATGTTCCCAGACCTCATCAAACTCAACTCATGGGCCATGTTCCGGCTTTTCATCCTCACAACTGCGCCACGTCCATCATCAGTATCCGTCTTGATAAAATCCATACGCTAAACCGAAAACAATATGAAGGAAGAGCCCCTGGGAAGAAATGACTTCCGACGGACCAGAGATCATCAGCAGTAGCACTGAGAACCTGTCGAGTCGTAATTATATCAGCAAAAGCGTCAAAATGGACGTCTTTCTCCAGGTAGCCTATATGACTCTTTGGACTTTTCGTATGTTAAGGTAACTAGGACGGGTCGGGAGGAGGGGGGTTGGAAGAAGTTAGTGTGGTTCTTTCGGGTAGGGAGAATATGGAGAGTATTAAGAAGGGGGTGAGGGGGAGAGGGGGTTAGCTTGGCCGCATTTATCCTGTATAACACGTATGTTGCCTGAAGAATGGAGCGCAGCTGGCCCTGAAATCAAGTACTCTGCCCATTCCAGGCTGCAATTCAGTCATAGCAGTGTGCTGATCATGCAGGATTGATTCGCGCCACGAATTTGCAGGCCGATCTCTGCAATCAGCAGCCCGTTGGCTCGGATAACCCAATCGAAAGCTGCATATTGACGCAGTCGTTGGCCGTAAAATCACCTGTGGCATCTGAAAACGTCAGAGGGAACCCGCAGTTGTTCCTTGATAGCACCAGGTGAGTCCCACTGCAGCAGCACCTTGCTCCGACAGTGGAAGGGGAACCCGAGCCTTCTCCCACACACACACACACACACACACACACACACACACACCAACACACTCGCCCCACCAGACCTGTGGTATCCCATTTTGCTGTCTTCAATCGTCTCGTCGATGTCAAAAGTTTTTGTTGATCGGGCTTGCATTTCTTCCGAACCCGAGGGACATCTGGAGCATGCCCGACCATTGACGCGAGGCCAAGCTACCCAAGTATTCAATTCGCACTACCGGTGTCACTGCTCAACATCTAATATCATGGATGGAGAAAAGCTAGATGACATGGATGGAGAGAATATTGAACAGCCCGCCGAGCATACCAAAACCACAGAAGAAAACAACAATGCACTTCCCGTGCAGGTCACGGCCTACAAGCCTGGTGCCAGAGCTCCCCTGACCAAGACACGATTTTGGCTGGTGTTACTAAGGTGCTTGCCCACAACTTGCCCGCCCGCTTTGTCAAATTACTGACGCTGCATTCTCCAGCATCGAGACGGGTATGCTCGCCGTTGCCGTCGACTTCTACACAATACCTATTGCCGTTCCCTGGCTTTCCTCGGGCGATCTCGGGTACATGAATTCGGTATGGCTCAGCACCGCGTTTCTCGTGTCATTTGCCCTGGGTCTCCTCATCTGGCCGAGGCTCTTCGCAGGGTTCAGCTATAAGTGCGGATTCTTCATGGCCATGGGAGCCTTCAACATCGCAAACGGTCGGGCTATGGTATCCAAGACCACAGAGAGCATGCTTAGGGCACGTCTTGTCCAGGGTGTTGGCGCTGGTGGGGTTTGTGGGCTCTTCGATGTGAGACCACCATGTTTTCCACTCCGAGATCGATATTTGACAGGTAATTCGGGGTTAACGCACGACTCTTGCAGATAATTTTGAGGGAAATAGTGCCGATGGAAGAATTTGGCAAGTACATGTCTGTTTCTAGAATGATCTGGGCCGCAGCTGCGGTCGCCAGCCCACTCATGGGAGGAGCATTGATCGAGTAAGTGCCAGAGATGGTGAGACTTGGATGCTACTACGTTTTTGTCTGGTCTGATTACTTACGCTTGGATGGATAGATACATCGATGGGCGATTTTGCTTTATGCTCTGCATCCTTCCAGGCCAGATCAGCTACTATTTGGCGTTATTCTGTATGAAGCTGCCCGAACCATCTTGGTCCCAAATGGTATCATCATTCCGCCAATTCGACTACCTTGGCACGCTCTGCCTAAGCGCTGGAACTGTTTGCATGCTGCTTGCGACCGTGTCGAGCAATACTTACTTCCCTTGGGTTCCCGCTCAATTCCCCGCCGTCTTGGTCTCGGGACTTGCATTTTTGACGGCTTTCTTCATCATCGAGCCCCTGGTTCCAGACCCTATACTGCACCCATCACTGATCCACAACTCGGGCCTGCTCATGATTATTGTGGCAGCTTTTTTCTATGGAGCTAATCTGGTCGGCACCATGTATTACGTCCCGCACTTCTTCCAGCTGGCCTTGCAGGGCAATGCTATGATTTCTGGCGTCAGCATCCTGCCGATGATGCTAGGATTGGGCATGAGCAGCACAGCCTCGGCGTTTATATCCTCTAGGTACCGCACCAAATCTAGGATTGCACATGTCGGCGCTGCCCTGCAAGCCCTAGCGAGCGGTCTGATGACTCGATGGAACACCGACACCAGCTGCGCGGAGACTACCGTAATCCTCGCCATCCTAGGCCTGGGCCAGGGAACTACGATGATCGGCCTGCTTCATGCAGCGCAAGCTTCCGTTAACCCACCAGCCGTGGGTACCGCTACGAGGCTCTTCGGATTTGCGCAGGCGTCGGGCCACACCTTCGGCGTTGCATGTTTTGCGACCCTTTACACCAAGAAGCTGAGGTCTTCGCTGGCCGGCTTGTTGCTGCCTGTCGAAGCGAGTCTGGCCGATGTGCAAAAGCTCACAGACGACTCGGGCAATTCCAATTTGATAAACAGATTCCTGGATGCGTATGGGTCAAGCATGCAGCATGGATGGTGGCTCATGTTTGCTTGCGCGGTGTTTGTGCTGGTTCTAAGCTTCTTCGTAGAGCAACGCAAGCTCCATGACGACGTATCTTTACCGACTCTTGACGGAAGGCAAAGCTTGGAAGCAGAAAAGGGACCGTAAATTTTTAAACCTGATTTAATTTCTTTCTTTCCCTTTTTTCCTTTGTTCAATACCTCTCTGATTTTCCCCCTTTCTGGTGTATGTCTCGATCTGAGCATATCGGGTGTTTGGGTAGTGCAAGCAACACATTCATGACAGATGGGACGACGGAAAAGAAAAGGCGCATTCAGGATCCATTTTGCAAAATGCGCTTCCTCAGGAAGGCTCTACGATGACATTCGCGTGTTGATTATTCCTCCGATTTGGCATGCTTCTGTGATGGGCGATTCTGCTCTTCTCTGCTCACGAACACCAATATGACTAGGGCTCAGGGGTAATCCCCATGTCTCCAGCAAAGCACGAGGTCTGTTAATTCTCTGAAATTTCATTCTGCTACCTGGCCTATTAGTGTTTGTGTGGCTATTGTATTCCGTTGCACAGCTGGTATAGGAAGTCTGTCGTCAGCGAGACCAACCGAAAGGACCCATTATTCAACTTTTGACCTCTATCCATCTATGGCCTGCTGTTGTTGTGAATTTTGTGCAGTGTGCCAGTACCAATATGGCTTGAACCAAAGCTCTTGCGTGCAAATTGTTCGAAATCGGATTCCTTTGCTCGCGAACGAGTTTTTGAGGGCCTCAAACTTTACATCATCGCGATCGACGGGATTTGATGCGTGTTCGAGAACCACGTCTACCAGGCCCGGGAAGTGGCTGGGGATCAGCTGATAAACATCCTCTAGAAACCCAATGGTCCAGGAAACAGGCTCAAATTTTTCTCCGGGATTTTCGTCGATCACCTGCCCTACATCTGCTCCTTCGACACCCACATGCCATGGAGCATCGAGTCTTAGATCAGCGTATAGTTCCAGTTTTTTCAGGGACGCTGGAAGCACCAATTCTGGAGAGAACATACACCCTGGCTTTTTCTCGCTGTCCTGGAAGTATCGCAATGGTATCCTGAGGGTCTCCAACATCGGAACCTTGCTTAAGTTGTACGGTAATGACGGTGAAAACCACGTGCAATGGCTCCACCGGTCTCCTGGATTAATTCTGATGTCCAAGTTCTTTAGACATTTCATCGCGCAAATTTTCTGGTATTCTGACTCAATTGGTTCATCCTGACGTTGTGTTTTATGCCATGTGGATAGCGACTCAAGGTGAGGAAAGAGAGCGCCGATCGCACCTATATCCCTCCCTTGCATGATACAAGGGCTTCGCAGAGTAATCTTTTTGACTGTCTTCCGTAGTGATGGGCTTCGTTGATCTAGCGCCGATCTTGCATCAGCCATCACACATCTTATGTAGGTGGCATGTGGGAAACACTTCATCTGTATCGACTCACCAAGAAAGTCGACGTGATTTTCGATTACTCCCGCACCAAAAGCGTCCGGATCTCGTATGACAAAAATGTGTTCCAGATTGGGCAAGTTGAGTAGATCCTTGAAGATTTCATGCTCTCGACGAAGGCTGTCTCCCAAAGTCTCACCACGGGAACGCAAAATCCCTAATATCTTCACCATGGGCAAGAATTCTCGATCGTTGCTAGCGTTTTTTGCAATGCTGATTTCCTGCGCCATAGAGTCCACCAGTTGATCGAATGGGTACGCCTCTTCCAATGACTTCGTACCAAGGACCCGGACCAGAGACAGTGTGATGAGGCGAGGCGTGTTCTTGAGTATGGCCACAAACGTCCGGGAGAATTCGCTCAGCGACATGGCTCGTGTCGGGCGACCGCTGGCTAGCCAACTCGGTTCTTCAGGCTTGGATAGATCGTAATGCCGGAGTACAGCAAGCGAGTTGATATAATTGCCCAGTGTGGGATCCGCTACTAGAGACCGGTGGAGACAGGTGAGTTTGTTCGGAGCAGGAATTACGATAACTCGGTAGAGGTGAGGCCGCGCAATTGCACCCATCCGTTGGGACGTCATGGAGAAGTTTCGCAGTTCACCGAGACTAGCCTGAGCAGAAGCCAAGGTCTTGGAACCTGCAAAGACTTGGTAGACAGTTTCGTGGTCAAGAGTCAGTTTGTCGAGTATCTCTCCGATGACCTCATTGGGAAGTGACTCGAGCGTTGCGCCCATGTCATCTCGTATGACCAATGATTCCATGCTTAACTCGTTGTTCCGGGCTGTTGCCATGTTGTACTTAGACAGGAACTGGATGATATCTGGGCTTCCCGGCCTATTAGATGTTAATATGCTTGCTAGCTTGTCCGCATAGATCGTCAGGGTAGCGGTATTCCTGTTGAACTCAGCACGCACAATGAGGTCAAAGAAACGTTCCGGAGAATGTGGTGCCGGAGCCAGTTGCTTGAGCGAATGTTGTTCTTGTGGAAGGGGGTATTATTTTGATGTCGGATAAATAGCAAAGCTTTCAGAGTCAATGCTCTCAAAATAGGTAGCTGATTGGTGTCGATAGCCTCCTTGGGAGTGGCGGATGGTAAATTCGTCGCCAATTGCCAACTCGGCCTGTTTTTGGACTGCTTTATATATTCTTTGTCAGCCCAGGCTGACTCCCAATCTGGGAACCACTCATTCTCAGTGAGTTAATTCATGGCCTGACTTCAACTACCTGCTTCTCTGACAGCTGTGGATCGCAGCATGTGTGACTTGCCTCCATTCTTGGGCCAGTCATGGGCAGCAGTGGATGTCCCAAGCTCAGGTACAAGCTGCTCAAATTGACTGAAAATGATCAAGTTGAAGTATGGCCAATTAATCTCATTGAGCAGCATGACCGGCCTCTAGTGAGATAATCTAGCCATTCGCATTCTGGACGTCATGCATTTGACCAACTGACCTGGACAAAATCGACACGCCAATTCTTCTGCTTTGGCATATTTCAGAAAGGTATTCCCTCCCACCAGTCATGCAATACGAAAATCAGGTAAAAATGGTGAGAGAGGTTGACTGAGTAACTGACGAAAGGAACAATGCGAACAGTCTCGGGACTCTATCTTCATGTCCCGCAAACAATCCCGCAGAGTAAGACAGTCACGACATGTTTGAGCTTGGCCATCACAGTTGACAGACAAAGTCACGTGGAATTTTTAATCGCTTCCGCAGGACATTCAGTCGTCCCAAAAGAATATCTGAAAGCTGGAGCTGAATGGGTGCCGAAGTCTTGCAAATCCGGCTTGTACTTTCTCAGATTCAGTGAGCAAGGACGTGGCCTTGGCTCAGAGGGTTTTGGAACTTTCCTAGTAAGACCTCAGTCCGAAGTCAATTGCTGAACAATTTAAACTTGTAACCCACTTGCCTGCTAGGCACATCAAGCTCCGTAGTTATCTCGGGCAATGCATACCCAATGAAAGATCCATGCTGCCTAACTCGCTTATCTTCCTTGGCCATATCTGTTCTTTCCCTTCCGTGGGAAGATTTCATGCGATAGAATTCTCATCTTCATCTTCTCTCCCACAGGTGCCAACCAAGACCGTGTACGTCCTAAAGGAGCGGACTTGCGACAGACTTGATTCGTTTAGACACAAGACAGACACTGCGCATGTTCCTGCGAGCTCTTCGGTCAGTGTGAGTTGGGAATTCAATTTCGTGATCCGGAAAGGGTTGCTGGTCGCTTGCGAGATTTGCCTGAAGATTGTGGCAAACACCTCAGTTGGCGTAAGCTCGGGTTTGCTATGGCCTGAGAGATAAGGCAAGTCTCGACTTTGAGTTGACAACTCCATATTTTCACTCATTATTTGTGCTCATGATTACTGATTAGAATTATGTTTGGACGTTTGTAGGAAGATCCTCCGTTGGTGGGCTGGGCAAGGTTGGTGCGATTTTAAGGGGACGCGGTGGCTGTTCTAAGGGCCAAGCCTGGCCTCAACGGCGAAGATTTGGGAGCTAAAAGTGCTTCGATAATCAGTAGCCCTGAAAATCGGTTTCAATGGAAGGGCTAGTGTGGCATTGATGGACGGTCAATAATTGCGAACAATTCTAGAACCCGCATTTATTTCTAATTGTCCCAAAGCTGACATTGGATGGCTGGATGAATTACCTTTTTCCTCCAAAAGCTGGCTTCAACTTTTCTACCTACTTTTGTCTACATTACCAACTCATCGACAGCAGACCTCGCTGTCTCCAACCATCTTACTTGCCAGACGGTGTTTTCTCTTCCTCCTGGCAACTCTGCCTTCGTTTCCCTTGCCTTCTAGTGACGATGGCGAACTTCGTCGATCACTACGCCGTCTTGGGCGTCACTTTCACAGCCGATACAACTGCCATCAAAAAGGCTTATCGCCAGCTCGCCCTCCGACATCATCCTGACAAGGCAGCGCCTGGGAAAGAAAGTGACGCGGCGGACTTCATAAGGGCGCTGGCCGCCTACGAAATCCTCATCGACGATGCCAAACGCGAAACTTACGACAACCAGTACAGAAAGCGATCCAAGGCTACTGCGAGAGGCCACAGTTTTGTACCCCCAAAAACGACACGTGGTTCATACTTTTCGCATCAAGAGACAGAGACAGAGAGAGATGGCAACTACGGCACAGGATCTTGGGCTGAAGATTTGGGCGGCGACGAGGATGACATCGAAGAGGATTACCCATCCGATGCCTCGACCGACCCCATGGAATGTGACGACACTGGAGCCTACGAGGACGGCTATGCAGATCCACACTACGAGTCGGGCGAAGACTCCAACCAAGTGTGCGTCGACGAGGGACTGGATGATGGCGCCATTTTCACAGAGGACTTTGACTCCACCGAGGACAAGCACTATTTTCCGACCGCTTCTGCCGATGATCACCCGTCCATGCAAGGCTGCGGTGGCGAGCGCTGGAAATGGGACCCAGACAATGAACACGACAGAGATAACAACCCGGCTCCGCGCATCAGCCACCCTGAAACCGACGCATTCGACCTCTTCGCAGGAATGAGCAAGTCGCACTATCTGGAGGAGAAGGTCAAGGGCAGGTACTTCAAGGGCACACTCCTCGAGCTGCGGGCGCACAAGAACGAGTGGGACAACATCGATGCGCAGCTGAGAGACATCGCGGCGCGACTGCGATGCAGAGTCGGCGACATGCCCGCTGGCAGCATCCCTTTTGGAGAGTTCGAAGCGTCGTTGTCGGCCAAGATGAAGGCGGCTCACAGGTCGGTGGACTACGTCCGGGGGGTCACTGAGTTCTCGCTCGAGGTGATGCGCCAGCAGCATGATCCGAAGTTCTGGCGTCTTTTGGATAAGAGGACTTGGAGCATCATCGGGTTGCTCGAGAGAAATGCCGGGCGCATGGAGGAGATGAAGAGCCTGTTGTGGGATTTGGACGAGATCGTCAGCAGGTTGGAGACCTTCACCAACTCGGAGCTGAGAGATGTTAAAGGGTACTTGCGGACTTTCATGTCCGAGATGGGTGATTGGCGAAGGTACATTACGTCGAAGCTGAAATAGATGAAATATTGCTGCCGGGCAGCATCAAATCAAAAGCACAAATGTTCAAGCTTCCGCTATCCACATTGCTTGCAGGCCAAGCACAGATGAGCTGCACTTGAGATATGTGCTCGCTTGCAGCGTTGTTTGGGAAGATCCGCCAGCAGGGTGTCGTTTGAGATAAGCTAAAAGGGGCAGAGTGTCTCGACGAACATTTGCACTCTCCCACAACTCGGCTCCCTAGAGTTCCGTGAATATAAAAATTAAGGACACAGGCGGTTGGATTGCTTGAGATAATGTCAGGGTTAGAGTCCTAAAAATTTGAGAATTATTCTGCAAGGCGCTCTGTTCTTCATCATAGAAAGTGACCAGCAAAGATTATTTCAAGGATTGCTTTCTTGCGAGAGTTGCATGCCAGGTTGCATCGCGACGTTTGGGACCCCTGCAAACTGTATCTTAATAAGCTTGCTTGCCCTCGAGCGGCGGGGTCGCCCGCCCAAAAGCAAATTTGCAACAGCTGGCTTCACCTCGCGGCCATTCATCTTCTCTTTCCAGGTGGTGTATTATTGCTAGCCCCAACATGAAGCATGGCGACAGAGACGCGAGAAAGAGGCAACACACTGTACAAGCAGGGAAAGTTGTTGGAGGGTAAGTTTTGAGGCAAATCCTTCTTGCAACTTACTCAGGGACTTGCACACGCTCACGCACGGGTTCATTAGCAATTAAATGCTATGAGAAGGCTGCCTCCCTTTCGCCGGACGACCCTGCTCCATTCTCTAACCTCTCGGCCGCCAAGTTCGAGATTGGCAAATATCTGGAGGCAGCGGAGCACGCTCAAAAAGCCGTATCACTGTCCGCGGACGAGTCGCCATCCAGGAACAAGCTGAACCTTCGCCTGGCCAGATGTCATCTGTATGGCTTGCAGACCCAGAAGGCTCGAGCAGCGCTTGACAACTGCGGCGATTTCCCAGGAAGAGATTCCATTGTAGAGAGTCTTGCGGCCATTGATAACGTGAAAAAGACGGGTACAGATCCCCAGCGACTGAGGCGAGATGTTCTGGATCGTCTGCCCCGATACAAGCCATGTTTGTAAGACGCTTGATAAACTCTGTCTTTGGCAGCTCTGAACTCATCATAATGCCAGGCAAGACGAGCCCGAGTACTATACAATCGGCCATGACGAAGCGGAATCCCAATTCGACTCGGGCCTAGCAGCAAAGACTAATAGCAATAGCTTTCTCTCGTTCCTTTTCTGCGGGATAGGTGACGCGCGCCACTTGCTGTCAACCCTCCCTCAAATCATGCTTCACTCCAGCGGTGGGGCCGAACTCCTCCCCAAGGAGCTTCACTTCACCTTGGTCGACCTCAAACCGGCAGCGCTGGCTCGAATTCTCATTCTGCTGAGACTCCTATCACAGCTGCCCCCACATGAGGAGATGACGAGTCCAGCCGTTGAAGACATGACATGCGTCATTTCCTACCTCTACATTGGGCATGTAATGCCGCCATTTGTCTATAAAGCTGTCACGCGGGTCATCCAGGACCTAATACGGGTCCTGGAGGAGAACCGTGCGAAAGACCCCATGCTGAAATGGACTGTTATGCCAGAAGCCACCCGGATACAGGCTCTTGAGCACTTGCGATGTTGGTCAAAGCCATTGGACAACTTATACCGCCCTGAAAATATAAGGCATTTGGTCAAGACTAACATTCAACGGACCAAAATGAGCCGCATGAGGAATGGACTGAGCGCCGAGGGACCAACCCCTCCCACGTGCGAGGAGGATGAGGCGGCATTCGACGCGTTTACAATCACTCCACCGCCGGCGGCTTTCATCAAACGCCACGAGCCCGAGATTGGGACGCTCCTTGACCTGATGAGGTCTGCAACCCGCAAGACTCAGGAGCGAGCTCGGCACTCGGCTACTCTCGACGAGTACATCAACCGGCATTGGAAAACCAACATGACGCTGATAGATTTCGAATGGGAGGCAAAAAAAGATCGCAATAATGACCAAGAAGCCCAGTTCCTCCCGGAATGGGCACGACTGACTGCAATAGAAGGGGAGCACGTGAGCATGCTCCGGCACATCCTCGGCGACTACAACCCTTCCCCTCTTCCCGGGCAGAAAGGGGTTATTCAAATGCTAGGGACGTACTTTTTCCTGGTCGGCAGGTCTCTGGATCACATACGACGCTTTTCCAATTTGCGGGTGGAGATCATATCTGGGGAGATGACAGACGTCATGGAGAGGCTCCGTTATGGTTGTGTCGAAGATCGAGCTGTGACACGCTTTTCTGCATCATTTCCACAGCGATTCGATCGTATACACATGAGCAATATCCCGTGAGTACCATTGAACACGAGCCGAATGACTTTCAGGCTGTGACTTACTTGGGCCGGGTCCACGCTGCAACGCTGACTCTCATTAGGGACTATATCGGGGGCATTCTCGGCCCTTTGGAGTACGCGCGTCCGCTTCTTAAAGACAGGGACTCCAACTTCCAGTATAGATGCCTTCTAAATCCGCCCAGGTTCAAATCCCAGGAGCACTTTCTGTCTGAATACGTGCTCATGTCGGACGAGCAAGAAATCAGGGACCACTTTTGCGCCGAATTATTTGATCAGTATGACGGCCAAGTATCAAGGCCGTCGGGAAAGGACTTCTACCTGGGCCAGGGTTACTGGGCTTGGAAGCCTTCGGGCGACACCAGTAAGCTCCCTTGGAAGAAGCTTATGCCCCGGCCACGCCTGGAGAGATGGCTCTATGCCCACTTCCTCAAGATCTGCTTGCCTGAAAAACGAGACCCGGAGCACGGAGCTGCGGTGTATGCACCCCTGAACTTAACTGCGTTCATCAGGTTGCTTTTGCACCTGTTCGAAAGGGGTTACCCGGCCCACTGGCTCGGAACTGTCATTGAGAATCTCACTTCTGCAAGCATCAAGACGACAGCAAGGGCGCCGAGAAAGGAGGTCACGGACGTGGGGGATGTTAACACAGTATACCCTCTCAGACAAATATCTGTTGCTCCATGGGTAGCGGAGTTTACGACCCTGGTGGGCATCTGGAGAGGTCTCGTGCCGTTTGGCTTTGTCGTTGCCAACGGCGCTCAGGTCACGTTGTCTGATGTCTTCGAGTACTCTATAAAGTTCTTAGACTTCAGTGGTCACAACCTGCGACTGCGTGTCCCGCACTTCATCCTTGTATTCCACAAAACGGAGCTCGGCAAGATGCCACAGCTTCTGAGGAAGACATTGCTCGACGATGAATTTGGAGACACCTCCGAGCAGGCAAATAAAGCTCGGACGGAGGGACTGCACGTCGTCTCGACTTTTAAATACGTGACAGATACGAGGACGGCATCATTCTGGATGCGGCGGGACGTGGGCGATAAGCTGTGTCAAGGCGGGTGGAATGCTTCGATCTGGAGGACCGATTCGTGGAATAAGCAAGTTGGGGATGTGCCAACCTCCAGTCACATGGTCAAAGGGCAGCAATGGAGGTAGCTTTGTTCCTGTTTTTAAGTGCGGAACCTCCAAATTCGCTTATTGGATAAAATATATAGATACCAAAGTCATGCAAATACGACTGGTACTTTCTCAGATCCGGTGCCCAAGAAGGCGGCCACGGATTCTTCTGGAGTTTTCCTCATCAGATCTCAGTTTGTTTGGCTAGTGATCAGCGCCGGTCAGCACAGCGTCTCGAGAGGAACTTTCAATTGGCCATAATCAACCCCTCACTTCTCTCGGGCGTATGCAGGCTGGATACTGATGACTGAAAAAGGAAAAATGAGGCGAAGAGACAGAGCCTCGGAGAACGACTTGAGCCGATAAACTCAGCTATATAAGAATGCAACTCTTCGCTGCTAAAGATCAGAGGTCTTCAGAATAAACATCACTTCTTCAAAAGCACCCCAAAACATTCTGCAGCACCATGTGTTACAACATAATTTCGTATACTTGCGGTCACACGCGCAAGTCGCAGTCTACCATATGCAGCTGCGATACAAGGAAGGACGATATGAAGTCTTCTTTCAAGTGCAGCGACACTTGTACGAAGTAACGACAAGGGCCAATAGAACGTCAACTACTTGATGGACCAAATGTGCGTTTTGGCTCTTCGAGGGCCACAAGGTGCCTGCATTTGCTGACACTGATGACAGATCGAATTGAAATATACATTGAAGGATTTTTAGGGCAAGGCATCGAAGACTTGAAGCTATGGGTGTGAGATAGCGTTGAAATGTGGTGGAAGTTGCGAGGCTTTGCTTATGCTCTGCCTCGCAGGAATGTATCTTTGTTAATTATTTCATTATCAAAGACAATGGGCACCCTGCTACCCCTAGTACTACACAGTAGTGAATATATGATGTGTAGATTCAAAGCCTCAATGATTAAATCGCAAGGTACTTAGAAAAAGATTTTGTAGCTGTCCTAAGCCCAGACCTCTTTTCATTTAGATATGTTAATACCATTTGGAACGTTACTGATGAAAAGATTCGATTGATTATCATCTCACTCGAGCTGATCCTCATGGTCCTGTTTTTAAGTGCGGCCGCTTCCGAAGTCATTTATTGGATAACAAATCAAATCCTTTTACTTCTTAGCCTCGATGTATAGCTCGTACTCATAGGCCGAGAAAAGGAACGGCGCAACACCTTTGAGGTCGTTCTCGAAGAGTGGCATGCTGGCGTAGTACTGCTCAGATTTTAGTAATTATGCTGGCAATCGCACATAAGACGGTAGAAGAACTCACCTCAAACGTCCCATTCGAGCTTAAACTCCCCGTCTGGACCGTCCAACCCCACCCCAAAGACCCATCAGTATCCCTCTTCTCCGCAAATGTGCCGGTCATGAGCTCGTATCCACTCGTTGCTGCGGCCTCATACTTCTCTCCGGAAATATAACCGAGGCGCAGACCCTTTAATAGCCCGTATACAAACATCGCTGAACCAGAGCTTTCGATGTAGTTGCCTGAGCGGGATTCTAGACCCGGATCCATAATGTTATACCATCCTTTGTACACCTTGTCCTGCGCAGCGACGACGGCGTCTGCGAGGCTTTGCAGATAGGACAGGAGCCTTGCGCGGCCAGGGTGCTCCTGGGGAAAGTAGTCGAGCGTGTCGACAAGTGCCATGATATACCTGTTACGGGGTCATCTCGTAAGCCTTCACCCAAAGACTCTAACGGGGACAGGAGACCAAGAGCCTACCACCCAACAGCTCGACCCCAGACGTGGGGCGATGCGCCAGTGACAGGATCCGCCCATATTTGCGTCTTTGATACATCAAACCCATGGAGCGGGAGCCCATTTGTGCGATCTCGATTCACCGTTGTCCCGGCATCAATGAGGTCGAACTGCAGTGCGATGTCATCCCATGCTGTGGTATTCGAGGGTTCAAATTCATAGGTCCACCGCGCATAGAAAACATCTAGCATGTAAATTCCATCGAGCCACATCTGGTCGATTCCCACTTAGCACAAAACTCATTTCAATTATCCAGTAAATCGGCTCCCACGTACCTGATCAATATAGTCGGGATATCGATGGTAGAAACCGCCATCGGGCGTGCGACGACTGCGATCAATCTGATTCTTCAAGGTCTGCGCAGCGATCTTGTAGATATTCTCTCCACCTGATATGTTGTACATATCGAGGAATGAGTGCCCAAAGCGAATATCATCAATAGAATTGCTGTTGTTGTACATGAGAATATCGCCTGTAAAGCCTGGGTAGAGCTGTAGGTCTACGTGCTTTTGAATGTAGGCAGAATATTTAGCATCTTGGGTGCGCTCATATGCGAGCTTCACGCCCGACAGCAGGGCGGACACGGTATAGGCATGCGTTGGCTCCATACCATGTTTAATTTGACTGTCGGCCATCCAGGTCAGGTAACGAGGCTGCCCATGGAAAGAGCCTGGGGAGATTGTTGCAGCGGGAGGGATCGTGAACCAGCCATTTGGAAGCGAGACGTTGGATGCCGCGAGAGCGGAGCTGGCCAACACCATACTAACAAGAATGGACTTCATCGTGACTCGTATGTCCCAATGAGGATTGCTAAGATGGAGATGGTGATTTTGTGCTTCCTTGTAGCTTTTATGTCAAATATATGGGATCTCTCTCAGTCTCTATACTAAGGGAAATCCACAATATCTGCCCTGCACCGAAGCAAATAACTCCAACATAGTCCATGCCAGACAAGTGCTTCTCCTCTCCATATCTCCACCATAGTAACTCCCTCGGCTCTTGCAGCTCTTGTGTCGCTCGAGGGCATTGCTTGGTACGGCTCCACATGTGCGGAATTGCACGACATGATTGGAAGTCGGTCACTGTACCGGCGAGACTTGGGACAAGGGCGAGAACCTCGCATTTGAGATAGCCCGTTGAATCTCCTCACTGCTACGTGTCTATCGTCGGAATTGGATGTTTGAACCCAGTACGACGGAGCTCGCGATCGTTCACTGGACGGATAAATAACCATAGGCCGCATGTGGTGTTACTTGGCATTTTGCGGGGAAGTGAGGATCGCTAGTGGGGCTTCATGACCAAACCATCACGCACATACAGACGGCCTTTTTAGTTCTGGCAATGCTGAGATGGACTCTACCTCCTTTCCTATCCACCAAGGCTTCCACACATGCATGAATTCAGGACATTGTGAGCGGGAAAACGGTGGTTGAAGTCAAATCCAATGGGCATCCTCACAAAGGACCTTAGCCTCAGTACTCGAATTCAGGTGTCGCACAGGTTATCTTGTAGCATTCAGCACTTATTCCGCAGTGGAGTATGCTATATGGGGTATCCATAGGCATCTGTAAGATGATCCCGTAAGAACTCTCTCGGACTTCTTTCTCGTCTACGTTATTTGATCGTTAAGAGGTGATTAGTTCACTCTGTTGATAGACTGACAGACATCCTTGTCCCTGAACTACCCCAACGCACTCTTACCCAGTCACGGACACATTACCATGGCAGAACCGAGGCAGCTGAGTCTCAGCATCTGCTGCTGCACAGGCCTGCGCCAACGCAAGCTCATACGCAATCCGTGAGACATCATATGACCACTTCGCAAACGCAATTGATAGCCCGCCAAACACAAGACTAAAGATCGTGAATACCGCAACACCGGCTGCGGTCCAGAAGTTCACCGTTTGCATCAAATTGCGCCCATCACGGTCCGGCAGCAGCTGTGAAAAGCCCAGCAGCTCGCCCTTGCTGATTTCAGACAATTGCGCGATGCGTTCGCCCCAGTAGACGTAGCGCCGCAGGTCGAGCGAGCGGCCGCGCCCGCACCAGGCGAGGTCGTAGAAGACAGCCTCTTGGTTCTTTGCTCGAAGGAGCCGGCGAGTGCGGTGATCGTTATAGGGGAAGAGGAGGTTGAGCGTGTCCAGAGCTTCTTCGACGAGGTCCATGGGGAGCTTGGAGCGTCGAGTGCCGCGGAGGTTCTCAGCTATCTCGTTACGGAGGAAGACTTTGTGCCTGTAAATCATGAGGATTGGTTTGCGGTTGTTTTGAGAACCAGCCCATCTGATATCCAAGTGCTCGGAGAGATCGTGTGTGAACAGCCAGTCGAACGAGTGGAAGGTGCAAAGGTATTCCATAGTCAGTTTCGGGTGAAGTATCATGGATTGAACGTTGAGGGACAATGGTGGTGGCGTCTTCGGGAAGGCGTTGCTCAGAAGCTGGGTCAAGGTCATGTTCGGAGCCCATGAATTGACCTTCTTGGTTCCAGAGAGGCCACTCTCTTCGTAGACACCGATTTCGACTGTTGTCCATAGGCTGATTGCAAGGCAGAGAGCGTTTAGGATCGAATTTTCCGCCTGACGACCAAGACCTAGCAGATTCTGTGTCTGGATCTTCTCAACGATCTCCGCCCTCGTCATATTTTCCACGTTGTCAGTCCTCGGATGGGGCCCCCATCGCTGCGCTGTCAAGTCTCGCAGTTGGCCGACTATGTCGAGCGTCACATCAAGACTTGCTGTGGCGCACTCGAACAGAGCCCTGGGCGGATTCCTATCCCGAGACCATTCAAAAATTGCTGAAGATAGAAGATCAAGGTATGAAAGCCAATGGCGGTATTCATCATTGTTGATGTTTTCTATGTCGGGCCATATCTGACGAATTTCCGCCTCTCGTTGAGGATTCACTGCCATTTCATAGCAAGTACAACTATAATGAGCCCAACGGAACGACGCAAATCGAGAACAGGCATGAGAAATTTTCCACGGGAACAGTACCGTTCAAGTACCCTGGTCAAGAGCTGTAGTCCCACTCGCTGAAGATATGCACGCATTTCGATAGCGTAGCAGCTGAAATAAAAGCGCCAATATACAGCTGAAGGGCAAACTGGCGCTGGCAAGTCTAGCCAGAAAAGCCTGACGAATGACATCTTTTTTCCACTTCCCCTAGCGCGTGACACATTTTTGTGGCTTGAGGCTGAAGATTGATCACATCCCCTGTTCTCGCTTTGCTGTTGCTGCTATCTGGAGCAAATCTTCTAAAAAGAAAGCCGCCTCATTCTTTGGACAATCAGATCCATTCCACACTTGATTTTATCCCCTTTCAAAGACGGCATTATCGACATGGCTAGGAACGCTTCGTGCTCAAACGGTATTATTATCCAGCTCAGCAACCCCGTCGAGAAGGACCTAATCGAGCCAGTGCTCGATTTAGGCCTTAGGAAAACACATTTCGGCTTGAGAAAATTCTTCATTGGCAAGAGAGACATCACAACCCACCGGCCACCACCGCCGGGTTGCAATCATGAACACCGCCTTGCCAGAAAGAAACGGTCTCTGGCCCAGAGTCTGAAGCACCCACATTTGCAGGAAATTGAAACAGCTATCGAGCACTTCATACAGGACCACAACCTCGACTATCAAGATGAGTTAAACGTCAGAACCGTTGTCACGGACATCCGTCTCTTAGGGCAGGGGGATAGTCGTCAGGTCAGGCTGCAGCCCAGGGGGTGGGTCATATGCAGGCCAGAAGTTGTAGAGGTTGTGAAGGACATCGTCGCGAAATTCCCATCTACAATCCCACAGAATTTGAATCTCGGGTCCAAGATACAGGCTGGACGTGGCGGTCTATCTTGGACCATGGCTGATGTCACACATATGCCGGAGACGCTCAACATGGGAGCGGGATTTGACTTACCCACTCATGGCTACAAATTCTTCCTGAGCCTCGAAGACCCCATAGACATAAGTCGACCAAGACGTTCCTCTTGCGGTTTATTGTGTTTTGTCGTGGTTGAAAAGGGTGGATCCCGGGAACTTGCTCAAGTTTGCAGGATCGGTGGTGTTGTTGAAATTCCAGACCAAAATGGGTCAAGGAAGCTTGTTGCCGTCACTGTTGCTCATGGTCTCTCTGACTATATATTGGCAGCCACATCAAGAAAGAAGATTAATGGCCCTCTAGGAGGCTCTCAAAAGAAAGGTGAGCTCTTCCAGCTAATCTATATCCTCAGGTTCGCACCAGCTATCTTGCTAATATCTGTGCAGGGACTTTTAAATTACGTACGGGAGAAAAAGATGAAGTACCGACGAAATTGCCCTCTGATAAGCACTGGACACCTGTTATGGGATTTCATGCTATCAACTGGTTGGGCAAGGTCTGGACCCCAACACCCCAGCATCCATCAAGCGTATCCATTGGGAATCTTGGAGATTTGACGAAGGACGCGGATTTTGCTCTGCTGGATGTTCCGTTCAGTCTTCAGAACTCTTTCACGACTGGTGGTGGAGTCCAATCCCTTGACGGTCTAGTGATGGACCATGAGCTGTTCTCACTGGCTGAGATGGACCAAGACCTGGGCGTCATTGTTGAGCTGGAGTGCATCCTTCCAGCAACGTTGCTTAGGGAAACCCCATTCATGTTTGTGCGGGGCAGGCAGTTTGCCACGAGGATGATCCGACTGAAAAACAATAAACCGTTGAGTGAGTGGCCTGCCACTGTAATGAGGTCGGAATATCACGCTAAAATCCAGCAACAGCACGTGGCACCTCAGGATGCTGGGTTGTCCGCGGTAATAAGCTGTGTGGCATGATCGTTGCCAGCCATGACGTTGAGCCCATAGCGCATATAGTATCTGCTGAGAAATTATTCAGCGACATTAACAGAACGTGAGTGGACTCCTTCCCTTCTCCCAACCTCTATATAGTCACTAGACACTCGCTCACTGGGTCTACTGGATGTGCAGGGTTGGACACTGGCCTGATGTAAGTCTATCATTCTGCTGGCATGATGACCGCAACCAATCGTATTGACAATGAGGAGATCCATATAGGTGGAGCCGGACGTGCTTCTCAGCTGCAAGCTGAGATCAGCACAGTGCGTTCAGAAGAGGTCGACAGAATTTATGATCAGCAGCTTCCCTTCAGACAGTCAATCCTCAGCGGCCTGCCCCGTTCTTTCAGCCCCGCTGAAGAGGCTTCGATGGTACGGCAAAGTCAGATTAGCTTTGAAGACCTGTTGCTTTTATCTATGGAGGAGTCAGCCGGAGAAGGCAACGAGCGTCGCTTTCTTCCACATGACGTTCTGGAATCGCTCGTCGATTACCCTTTGGTTTACGATTACCTTGCTAAACCAATGAAAATCGAAAGACAAAAGCTATCAGTGCTAGTGGACTATGTCCTCCGATCGGCTCGCAAACTTTTTGCGATTCTGGTACTCACCGAGGCTTGCGAAATTCTGGAGGATCTGCGTGCGGAGGGACTTAGTGACGATGATCTGCCTTTTCTCTTCGATGGTCGACATTTCTACCGCAGGGACACGGATCTGTCACCGGAAACAGAAGAAGCCCTTCGATTGAACTCATTCAAAAGATTGAATAGGAGCAAAATTGGATTCTTCGACACGGAGCAGTGGTCAATGTTAGCTCCTCGATTTACTCTAGACGACAGCGGTGAAGCACTCTTCTATCGTCTACACCGGAACATTGTCTTGCCATGGGTCGCTTCAGACAGGATGATCGAGACAGGCCGCTCAACAATCAGGCGCGTCAGAATACATCCAGCACACTTCGACTTCTCACGAGTATCTGTAAGTCCCCGTTAGCTGTCAGTAATCACACAGACTGACCGTTGATCTGCAGAACGCCACCGAATTTGCGGTAAAAGAACTTCGTTCCCTGACTGAGGAAGCGTTCAACATGGAAATGTCGGCTTTAATTAAGCTTCCACGCCATAGCCACCTCAACACAATACTTGCGTCGTACCAATGGCGAGAATCCCATTTCCTGGTTTTCCCATGGGCTGATGGGAATCTCGCGGATCTCTGGGTTAAAGAGATGCCTCAGCCATCCTTGACAAAATCTCTGGTTCTCTGGTTACTAGAACAATGCGCAGGCCTTGCTGATGGTTTGACTATTATTCATGGAACATCTGGGCTGCCGTCAAGAGCATATGGGAGGCACGGCGACATCAAACCCCAAAATGTTCTATGGTTTCGCCAAAGTGAGTCCAAAGAGCGATATCGAGGAGATTTTGGGGTTCTGAAGATAAGCGATTTCGGGGAGACCAGATTCCACCAAGCTGAGACACGGATGCGACACCAGCCGTCCACCACGGCAGTGACAATGGCTTATAGCGCCCCTGAATTTGAGCAGGAACCTGACGGACCGGTATCTAGAGCTTATGATGTCTGGTCCTTGGGTTGCGTTTACCTAGAGTTCGCTACTTGGCTCCTACTTGGGGCACAAGGCGTGGAGGACTTCGCCCAGGATCGATTGAAGGAGGGCAGACAGTCTCGAGGAGATATTGGGGTGGACAACTTTTTCCGGATGGTGGCCTCTGACGGATCTTCACCCGGTAACATACGTGCCAACACAAGACTCTCTCCTGTCGTGAAAGAGTGTGTCAAAGAGGTAAAGCAACCCACCTACTTCACTAGGCGCACGTGGGATCGAGACGTTTGGAGCTGACACCCACCAGCGCGTTCGCATCCTCCAGAATATTTCTCAGACTCACCCGGACGTTGATCCAGCCCTGAATGGCTTCCTCAATCTGGTGTTGGAGAGGATGCTGGTGACAGGGGAGCACCGAGCTAAGTCCCTTGAGGTTTTGAATACCCTACAGTTTCTGTTCCGAGAACTCCGAGACAAAAAGCATGAGGGGTCTTTATTTCCAACCTCATCCAAAGTGCCAGAGGAACAGTCCACCGAACAGATGAGGTTCAGCACGAAGCCGCCAGACCTAGAACATGGCACCAAGAATTCTCAGGAGGACGTAAGTGACGCTCAAGGCCACGAGACGATTGAAATGAAGGCCCTCGGGCCGGATCCATTTGAATTAAAGGGCCTTCCGCAGCCTGTGCGTGAACAAAAGAAGACGTCTAGTTCAAATTCTATACCGGCAGTTCAAGTCTTCTCTTTGGAACAAGTAGAAGAAGAGATTGAAGAGGTGGTGAGAGAGACGGATCCCACTGGCGCGATGCGAGAAACGCGGCGCAGGAGCACGAGGCGCACTGCCGGGCTGGGATATGCTAAGCTTCACCAAGGGGCGAAGGCTTCAGCTCCAGGCGGCAGCAAGGTGGTTGATCCTGACTCAACGAACTTTAGCGCGATGTCAGAGCTCCAACTCCTAGAGGCCGAGAGAGCATTGCTTGGGCAGCTCATGGCCATCAAAGATGTGCAGATCCAGCGAGAAGGACAGACTGGACCTAGCATCGCCATGAATCCACAGTCAGGACCTAATCCAAAACATGGTGAAGGGTCCCAAGGACTTGGTAGCGGAAGGAAAACATACTCCGAAATGCTGAAGTGGATCATGCACCCTACTCGGCGTGGGCCCTTCAGTTGAGTGCGGATAGGATGCGACTTGGCAATTTAGATATTGATATTGTATTTGTTGATTTCGTTGATATACACCTGCATTCCTGCCACTGCTTAAGCATTGTTATTGCTCCCGTTGTGCAATAGCCGCGGGAAGTCTATGCTTAGGGGCATCAATGCACAGACGGGCTCCTAGGCTCCAGAGCGGAGAAGTTTATTGGTCGCCGAGCCAACACATGGCTCTGCAGCCCTACCCGCAACGTGCGCCTGCGGCAGGATGAAGGCCCCATGTACCCATATAGGTAGAGCAGCGCACCGGGCATAGCAGTATAACTCAGGAATTCCAACTGTCCGGGTACGACTTGAGCAGTCCATGCTATTCCTTCCAGTGAAAAACCTTCATGTAGGATGCCATTCTGTAGGTAATGGAAACCCGCCTTGTAGAAGAAACCTCGAATGGAGTAACCAGCCATGGAAAAATCGGCCATTGTATACTCTGTCGTACGATAACCTCATATAGGATGACCTCCCCTTTCTACGGACAATGCACGTACTCCGAAGTGGTTGGCCAACCTCTGGGATCCCTACAGGTTGTAGACATTACTGGGCACCAAGACACCCAGTGCGACCGCATGCTTCCCGCCGTCTCCGCACCTCCCTCAGGCATGTACAGCTGCGCAAGCTGCGTTCAGCTTGGGCGAGACCGAAAGAGAACTATGACGCAAGAAAGACCAGATGGAAGGGGACTGACTGCAGCGTGATATACAGACTGTCACGTCTGGTCGAAAGAGGGTGGTCAAGCTTGGCTCCCAAGGGTTCTAAACTTGTCGATCTGTAGACGCACGGCGAATCAGGGGTTGGGGGCGGATGCCGGAGGGCAGGAGTCGGGCACCAACGTGGCCCCCCTTACTCCCCTTTGTGTCTTGAGATATGCGTGCAGGTGACTGCAAACTGCAGCCCATTCTCCACTATTTCTGAAAAGCAAACCAATGCAGACACCATGCGAACTTAGAACGCGAATCAGCCACGGCCCCTCGGCCGTGGATGGTGGCTGGGAAAGCGCCGCAGAAGCAGGGCAAACCCGACATCCATTCGGCGACGAGCCCGGACTGTTGAGCCGAAGTTGGGCGTGTCGCGGCGCCGTCATCTGAGCCGAGGCGAGTCGTACGAGGCAAGCTGTCACCACCAGCGACTGGTGAAAAGAGCAGACAACTCAGCATCAGCTGGCGCGTGCGTGTGTGTGTGCCCAGGGTGCTGACTGGACTGACTGGCATGGCAGTAAGGCTATTGGGAAACAGTCAGAATGCCAGACCAGGTTTTTACGGGATGCTTGTCCAGCCTGTACGTCGCACAAAGAACCCGAATCTAATTTTGCCACCCACAAAACGAATTCTTGGGCTCTCGGGCTCTGCAGCTGGGTCCAATGGAAGCACGCCGGGACATTGCCAGTGCACTCGCATCCCGGAGAAGCAGAACTTGACTCACAGTTGACATCCAGAACGTGGTGGGCCAATGCTGCAAATCAACCGGCAAAGAGGTGTTGCATTCTGGACGCAGCGAAGTGGGCACTGCGAGAGGAGAAGAGGGTTGACGTCCACAGAAAACCATCACATCGACCAAGTCTGGAACCCCTGGAAATCCGGGGCGGGCCACACCCTCCACCAGGACCACCAGTTCTGGCATATCCAGACCCGTCAATCCGTCAACTTATTCCCAGCGTCGTAGCAGGATGTCCAGGTGCCTCTCGGCCCCTAGCGGCGCTTGTTTGATCCAGGCTAGGCCGAACAACTGCAGGGTGGGATGTGGATGTGCAGACGCAGGGCAGAATGCATCGAGCCGTCGGCAGCGTCTCCCCTGTTGGCTGGCAGCTGGGCACCCCCATGTCGTCGGTGCCCAACCAAAGTTTGTATCGCGGGACGGACAGGCGAGGAACAGCCCGTCTTGCCCCTTTGGGACACCTGCCACAACAATTATTGCGTGTAGCACCACTGTTGAGACGCAAATTTATCGACTCTTGCTTGGGTTGGTGGTATTATCCTTTGGGCCTGTGTGACTTTGGTCCGGTCTTGCGGTTTGACGTTGCTCCCTTTAATACTGCGGCTCGCCTTACTCCTTTGGTCGGAGGGTCTCGCTCTGCTCATCAGTCCCGACAAACAAACAGTCACCAACGACTCAGCACACATCCAGTTCTGCCGGGATACCATGAGAACCAAGTCTCTACAACTCCAATATCACAACACGAAGCGTTACCGAGACCGCTGAACTCGTTCATCAAATATCTTCAGGCAGGATCTTCACGCAAAGGCAACGACGACAGAAACTCATCAGTGAGCCAGCAGCCATGACATCTCGACATTCCTGGGCCTTTCCAGGCATGGAGTACTTCCGGCCAGGAGACGGCAAGACTCAGACGAGCAACACCCAACGAGCCGGCAATGAAGCCAGCACAGAATCCTCCACCCCGAGACCCTCCAGGTCGCCATCGACACGGTCGAGCTCACATGACACCAAATCTCGACGGCTGTCACGACACCTGGATTATGACGACGCCTCTGAGACATCCGGTGTCTCGATGAGCTCGACCAAGGCGTCGACTGGAAGTTCTCCACCATCGTCAACCAGCAACGGCTCTTCCAGTCACCAGAATGCCTCGCTCCGTCCCTCGAGGAGCACCAAGTCCGCTAGCAATGCACGGCCAAGTGTGAGCACCGCTGCCGTCCCTGCGCGACCTACATATGGACTCGAGCAGCAGCAGTACAGGCCACAAGTGTCGCACAGCGCCACTGCCCCATCCTATCAACGCCCGACGCCGGCGTACACTAGCAGCTCGCAACAGAGCATCTTCGGCGGCCAGCATGGAATCCGAGAAGCACCGGTGGCACCTCAACCGCCTCCCGTGTCCTCGAGCAGCAGCCGGTCTGTACCTCCGCCGTCGGCCAATCCCTTCTCGAGCAGCACACCAAGCCTGAATCACCTGGGGCTCCCAGGCACTATGGGCCCACAGATCAGTCAGAATCCCATGCAGATGCACATGCCCGGTGCGTTTCCTGGCGAGTCTACCGTCCCATATCGACGGCCGACGGACCTGACAACCCAGTTGTCCATGTCCAACTCCAACATTTCCATGGACCACTTCTCTAGTGACAACATTTGGGATTCTGAAGGGGATAGCGCGTCCTGCTTGTCAACCAGCACAAATGCTACGAGTGTTGCGTCGGACGTAACGGAGAAAGGCGAGACCTACAACATCACGCCAACCCAGACATCATCCTCGTCCAGGACAACAACTCCTACACAGGCGTTGGGACAAGAACAGCCCCAGTCCCGTTCGGTTACCCAGAGTCATCGTCCATCTATCCTTCGCCACACGGCACCAAAGTCCATCTTGTCCAATGGAAGCAAAGAGTCTTCAACTTCATCATCGACCAAGACTATGTCAAGCAACCAATCTGCCAAGACGTACACCGAAACGAGCTCCTCGTCTGCGAGGAACAGCTCCGGAAGTGCACCTCACATCCATATCGAGGTCAATCGGTCTGGGGACTCGCGCGAGCATCGTGAGCACCGTGAGCACCGCGACGACCTCCGGAAGCGCCAGCTGGTCGAGGAGGCACTGGTGGACAAGATCGCCCAGCTCAAGCTCGAGCAGAATCAGGCCAAGGACGCCAAGCCCGCCCCGGCCCCAACGCCCGTGGCCATCAAGCGTGTGCCCTCGGTGAGATTCGCGGAGCCGGAGAAGGTCAAAGTCAGGGTGGAGGAGAAGCCAGCTGCACTTACCCTCTCCCAGCAGGAGAAGAACCTCAGCAAGGAGCTCGTCCAGCAGACCAAGGAGGTCCAGAAGCTGGAGCTGGAGATTCAAAAAAGCAAGCTGCAGGTCAAGGAGAAGGAGAGGGTCGAGCTAGAGAAGAGACTGAAGGAAGAGGCCGCCGAGCTAGAACGCAAGAAGGAACACGAGCGACAGCTGAAGCAGCTCCAGAAGGAGAAGACCGAGCTCGAGAACGCCAGCAAGGAGCGCGAGAGAGCCGAGAAAGAGCGCGAGAAGGCGGCCAAGGAGCGCGAGAAGGCTACCAAGGAACGTGAGAAGGCCGAAAAGGAGCGCGAGAAGGAGCGCGAGAAGACTCGACAGAAAGAGCGGCAGCAGATGGACAAGAAGCTCAGCGACATCGAGAAGGCTCAAAAGGAGCACGACAAGCTCCAGGAGTCGTTCATTGACCAGGGCAAGATTCTGTCGGACCTCAAGACGCGGTTCGACGCACAAGCCAAGACACTGGAGGCGACCGAGGCGGAGCGCGCGGGCCTGCAGAAGATCAAGGACGAGTTCGAGAAGCGCTGCTCCGACCTGTCCAAAACGCTCAGCCACGTCAGTGATAAGGAGCGCTTCGTTGTCGAGCAGGTCGCGTCGCTCCAGATCATCAAGGAGTCGCTGCAGGGCCGTGTGGGTCCGCTTGAGGCGCGCGTTGATGAGCAGGAGAAGGAGATTGGCGCGTTGCATGGTGAGCGCGACGGGCTTTACCAGGACGTCAAGGGCTACCTCCTTCGTATCACCGAGCTTGAGAACGGGATGAAGGGGCTTGTTGAGGAGAAGCACGGGTTCATCGTACAGATCGGTGAGCTAGAGAAGGCTAAGTCCGGCCTCGAGGACAAGGTCAAGGAGCGTGACGGGCAGATCACCAGCTTGACTAGCAACCTCGAAGCACGCGCCAAGGAGACACAGGAACATATTGCTTCCCTGAGAGAGGAGCACAAGAAGCAGGTGGATGGTCTCGAAGCTGCAAAGGACGCCTTGCTTGCTGGCCTCACTGTTAAGCACCAGCTTCAAGTTCAAGACATGGAAGAACAGATTGCCGTCCTCAATGTCCACATCGACGGCGCACACGCAGATGTCGACAAGTTCAAAGACACCATCAAGATCTTGGAGGACAGTCTTACCGAGGAGAAAGCCAAGGTCGACGAAGAAAAGTCAAAGACTGGAGCAGAACAGGCTAGAGCCGACACAATGTCCTCAGAGCGAGACACTCTTCTGACGCAGCTCGACGGCCACAAACTCCTCGCCGTCAACCAGGAGAAGGACCTGCTCGATCTTCGCACCAAGCTTGCAGACTCAGAGGGCGAGGTGTCCAAGCTGCAAGAGAAGAGCAAGACTCTCGAAGCGGAGCACGAGGAGCTCCAGAAGCTGGCCGCATCCCTTGAAGAGAAGAAGGCTGAGTCAGAGCCCACGCCCACCGAGCCGCCGCCGGCGCCTGCGCCTGCGCCCGAGGATCCCGCGCCCGAGCCTACCGGCGTCGAGACCAAGACCGCCGACTCCGAAGCACAAGCAGCAGCCACCAAGACGGAGCTGGAGGGCCTACAGACCCAGAACCAGGAGCTGACAACCAAGACCGCCGACCTAGAAGCCAAGAACGCGGAGCTCGCGACGCAGGTCGAGGCCACGAAAACCGAGCTGGGCGAGCGCATCACCCAGCTCGAAGGCGAGCGCGACACGGCGGCCTCGGCCCTAGTCGTGGCCCAAGTCGAGCTGAGCCACACGAAAGCCATCGCAGACCGCGTCCCGGCGCTCGAGGAGGAGGCATCCAAGGTCCCAACCCTCACGGCCGAGAAGGCCGGCCTCGAGGCACAGGTAGCGGACCTCGAGGCGCACGCGGCCCAAATCCCCGCGCTGCGCGGCGAGTGCGCCCGCCTGGCGGAGCAGCTCGCCGCGGCGAACAAGCTGATCGAGGGCCTCGCGGCGGCGCAGGAGGCTGGGCTCAACAGCGGCGTGAGTGGCTACGCAAACATCCCGCTGCCGCAGTCGCCACCGCCCACCGATGCTCCCAGCCCTCAGCCTGCCGATATTCCCATCCCGCCAAGCCCAGGTCTCGCGGGTCCCATCCCGCCGCCGCCGCCGCCCTCTGAGCGCCGCAAGGTTCGCAGTCGGGCGCCCAGCATGGCGCGGAGCGTGTCGTCGCGTAGCTCCGCTGTCTCCAAGAAGTCTTCGGCTGGAGTGCGGGACGACCTTGCGCTTGTGGTTGTTCGGGACTCCAAGGACCGCGGGAGCGTGACTGTTGTGCGGAAGTGTGACTTGAGGACTCCGCGCAGTCGGAGCCAGGGGCCTGTGAAAGAGTAAGGCAAGGCGGGTGAGTAGGTTCGGAAGTGTGGGAATGAAAAATTGAGTTGTGAGCATGGTAACGGGTAGGGTAATGAGTGATGAGCTATGAGGCATGAGATGATGATGAAGCGGGTGTGCTTTGATGGGATCTCTGATGGTCATCGAGAGATGATTGCTTGCCTGGATGCATGGATGGATGGATAAATGGATGCAAAAGGGTGGATATGGTCAGGTCATTCCATGCCTATCTGTGTGCTTTTCGTTGTTTTCACTTCATTTGGACGGACATTAGAAGGACCTCGCAAGATCTGTATGGGTACATGTATGGGTACGATGGCATGGCATGTAGACAAAACTGTCGCAAGAACCTCATGTATTGCTGGGCTAGATAAAAAGAGGCGATGGTCTGTGAAGGACCGGACATGTACACCGAGATAATCATGTAGAATTGTGTTCGATTCCTTAATCATGTCAAGCACCTTAACTCCCCCCTGTGCCTAGTCCAATCACGACGGTGTGCTGAAAGATGTAAGAGAGTACATTCTTATCCACAGCAGGCCTGGAAATAGTGTGGTAGGAATTCTAAGACGGTTGTCGGGGGTCCGGTGGCGGTCGCTACCATTTTGCTCATGGAGAGGATGCGGCTTTCGTGGAGCGGTTCGGCAAGGGGGAGGACGAGCAGAATGGATCGTGTTCAGGTTTTCTTCCTTGCAAAGTGTTTTTGCTTCTCAATCAATTTCACTACTCTATTTCCGTAAGTCTTGCCTGCGACAACTGATCTAATACCTATCCAGCCATTGGAAAGGGCGAGCGTCACAATTCGGTCCCTGTCAGCGCATCTTTCTTCGTGGGCCAGGACTTCAGGAGGTTCGGACAAATTGTTTCACCGAGCCTCAAGCATCAGTTCGGTACATCCCCAGGATTCACTATTTCGAGCCTTCATCACTCCTGTTGTCTTGAACTTCTTCACCCTAAGTTTCCGATCCTCCTGGTGAGTCTTTCCCTTCTGCTGACCCCTTTGTGACACACATCTAGGCTTCTCCATCCCCAGCTCGTCACACGTACGCACGCAAAGGAACGACCCATCCGTGATGCACATCTCCTTCTTCTACACTAGCAGCCACACTTGTCCGTCAAACCCAAATTCGCCTGCAGACGTTCCATAACTTCTGACAAACAACGGCCACCGGGCCCCTGTATCCACCACTCTCCTTCGTCATCAGATACCAGGCTGGTGCGAGGCCCTTTCAGCTGGCTTTGGCTCCCACCCCCAGGCGACCCTCAACCTGAAAATCAGCTCCCGGCGGCGGCCGGGCTGTAGGGCAAGGAGCATTATGGCGTAGAGGAGGAAGAGGAGTGAGGCGCGGTTTAATAAGGTGCATGTGAGCATGGCTGCTTGGATGGTGTGAGTTCTTCTTCGGCCGTCTCTGTCTTCTTGCTCAAATGTGCTTGTCGCGTCCGTAGGGTGGATTTGTTCAAATTTGTTTTGCTTTCCCGACCTAGATCCAGTAGCCGTTGAGCTGGGGAGAAGGAACATTCCCGCAATAAGGCCTGTCCTACGGGTTACGATGGGACGTTTTATGATTGCTCACCTTTGTGGTATTCGTTTCAGCCCTCGCGGTGGAAGACAATGTTGTTGAACCCGAAATTTCTTGCCTTGCAACCGCAACAGCGGACATCGACTGTTTTAGAATCCTGCTCCGACAAAGCAATAGCTTTTGGAAACCAGATCTATGAAAGACCTCGAGGAAGCCTCGTATGTGCGACGACCAATACATCATCAGGGCATGGCGAACAAATTGCCCTGTCTTTGTTCGAGGGAATTAAATTCTGCAGACACAGACTTGAGAAATTTGCCAATATGGAAATCGGAAAATGGTTGCAAAACACGACATGCTCTGGTATCCTGCAATGATTACAAGATAATGTACTTCTTTCCTTATGCATGCTATGCATACGCTCGTGTGGTGAGGCATGACCATTCACAGTATATGACACACATGGTTTTCGAATACGAAAAACTCCCGTCTTCCGACCATCGTGATCTCTGAAGGAGTACGACTGCTCACAAATTGTCATCATTCACATCGGCCCTGGGCAGACGCTGACTCGCCATGTTATTCTCCACTGGCTTGCCCTGGAGTGCTCCCGGCCCGTTGTCAAGCGTGTTTGACAACTTATTTCACAGATCGCAAAACTCAACTCTGTTTGAAAGAGACTGGGACTCTATCGTCAGCCAAGGCGTATGTGGCATTGCATCCAAGCACAAGGCAGATTCACACAGAATGTTGACTGGAGGGTGGGGCATGGAGCAGCCTCGACGTCTGACCATACTCCTGTGAATAAGCTGCGGGCCGAATCGTCGATAGCATTTAGTTTGGGTGTTGAAATAGCGACACTTCCTGGCAGCGATACCGTCTGATATCAATAGGACGTAAGCCGCTGCTGCGGCCGGGTGGCGTAGTGTGACCCAACCCCGGGTTTCAACCATGGGCGAGTTTTCAACGGTTGCAAGGAGTCCTGTGTTGAAACAATCAACGATTGGTGTGGTGTGGCGGAGGAGGTCGGAGGGCCGGGTAAGTCGTATTCGCTCTTCTTTGGTGCGGTGGGTGGGCTGATGTAGATCAATAGCAACGCCTATACAACACTGGAATTATAGTCTCCGGTGTCAAAACGGCCGGTCTCTCTCTTGTCCCGTGAGGTTTTTGATAGGCCTGAAAATTTCATAGCGAGTGAATATTTGTTTCAATCTCAATGCAGGCCTTTTGAGACCCGTTATCAACTGGTGTGGTTGTAAGAACGCATAACCTCGAGAGCAACATTGGGCTTCTATCGGACGTGAGTCATTGGTTGGGCCCATAACTTTGTCCCTCCCAACAGCTGAACAGGATAGGCCTCGACTGTTGAGCTTCACCTGAAGACGATGATTGGCGAGGATACATGGGAAACTCCATACTGACTCCGAGCCAAGGTCAATGCAAAAAGCCCTTATCAAATTGTGCCATAATCCTTAATGAAGGTATACCTGTGGACCTATCATGTGAAGCCCGCCTTGACTGGCTTGATACACCTACATACGCGCACGACATCGTTGTTGAACACGGTTCACTGGTTCAGAAGCTTGTGGACTAATGAGAAGGCAGTGAGTTGCATCGTCGTAGCGTGGCTCAGTCAACAAGAAGCTCACAAATGTGCATATTATTGGTTTTCTGCGTCGATACCGTATGTCTGCCCATCAAGAACACGTAAGCCGCAGTCCAACTTACTCGTGGAGAGAAACAGATCGGTAACGGTGAACTAAGAAGATCTCAGCAGCTACTTGCAGAAGTTCGTTGTTGGAAAGGATCTCCCGCAAATGGTAGAAAAAATGAGATCCCGTATGAATAGATCTGTAGCCAGACTTTTGCCCGGGATTTCGAGATCCTCTTACTGGAAACCGAACCTCAACTCAGTCCTATCAAAGTGATGCGCATTAGACTCGCCTGAGCGCCGATCTTTCCACGATGTCTCGATATCAACCTCATGGAGTTTCTGCAGGTAATCCTGATACACCATCCAATTGCGGAGCTCCGGAAGGGCTGCAGCAGGGCTGCGCCTCTGGTGAGGATGACCATAACGAGGGCCGTGAGCGCGAGTTTAGAAATCCACCACGATGCAAAAGCTTGCTCATTTCAGCAGACAAGGTGGACTCGGGAGGAGTTCCAAGGGACGACGGGATGCATGAGGATGGTGAAAGCTACGATCTAGTCATTGGACTGTTTCCTTCAGCACATGCTAGCTTAATCAGCTGTTAAGAAACTGCGTGGCATAACCGGGAACCAAACTTTTGGGAGACAAGCGATCCTTTCCAAGGAGTAATGCTGATCGTGTTCAACCTAGTACACGCAAGTTGGAGACATCAGCCAAATCCTCACACTTGTCGCAATATCACAGCCTGAGAGTAGGAGCAGTGAGTCATTCCGAGCTCCTCGCAACGTTGGCTGCGAATTGTTCAGACGTGTCACTTGACGTATCCGTAGCACGGATAGGCCAACGCTCCGAGTTGCTGAAGTCTGCAACCAAAGGCCTTTGATTGATCGACAAGACAATGTTTCTTGCGGCTCGTGGAGCGCCTCCTTCTCCACTACACAAATATTACCCTATCTGGCCAGTGGGCCCATTCATATGCTGTGTCGATGGCGAGGCAGGGCTGGTTTGTTTCAACGTCATCCCTCCTAGTGCCCGATGTCTGGTATTATGATTATCTGACGCCGGCTTGCAGGAAGCTGCATGGAGGCCCAGCCATTCAGGGAGTTTCTCCCGATCCTGAGAGACTGACAGGAGCTTGTGTTCACTGCGCCAAAGCTCTATGCCTCTTTATCTTCGGATTGTCATCCTTGCCGCCTGTGTTCTCTCGCCGAGTTGCTGTCCTATTCGAAGCCCTCTCAGCGAGCCCAAGGCAAGTTAGAATGATGAAGGCAGACGATCGACTGGGTTAGCGTAGATCTTAAGTGCCTTATCCGACACGACGTTGGATTCAGAAGGCTGAATCGAGTCAGTCAGCGAGGGAGGAATTAGGACGGGCACTAACGTCAAATGTGCCTTGCCTTACCTTGCCTGGCTAAGCCCTGCCATGGAAACAAGTTGCTCATCCGTCGTCCGAAGCCAAGTTGAAGACATCGTCTGGCGTCACTCCTCCGAAATCTTCTATAACAGGTTAACTACTCGGGCTATACTCCGAGGTTGCCCCTGGATGGGGATCTAGCGCCATCCGTAGCGCCCGATCTTTGACAGCCGGAGTCTAACTCTGGCGTTTCAGACGACGACACACAGCCGCCGTCAAGCCACCCCATTCGCCAGCGCCTCGCGTGCAGATGCAAGAATTGCGCGGATCGAAACCTGGGACCGGATTGCCCCCGGGGTTTGTTCGCTGGGACTGCAAGGGTCGGATGGGCCCATCATTATGCTCTCTCCCAAGCGCACAACAGATGAACGAATACGGGGCGGACGTCCCACTCAGCTCCTGCACAGGCAAGGGAAACGGAAATGCAGACCACCCACCCCCTGGTCCCAAGACCTGCGCGATCAGGCCCAGATGATCTCGACGCCTTCCATGCAGCGCGGATCTCAGTGGTTGGGACGGACCCCAGCACGACAGTCATCAATCTATGCGACGACCCCAGACTCGACTCAGGGTTGGCCCAAAACCTGAGGTCCGCCCAACCCCCAGGTATTGCGCCTCCTGAGCGACTCAGCCTGTTTGAACCATGGACAGTGATGTTACGAGGTCGTTTCCGCATTGGGCAATTTCTTTCGACCGGTGGACGCCTCCCACAGCAGTCTGCCAACGACCGATGTCGACGATGGACTGGCGTTTTACCAGGTGGCAGGACCCACCTTTGTGTCACCTAGGGTCATTGGAGGGAACATTCTGGTATTGAATGATGATATTCCAGGCTTGTTTATTAGATCACGGCTTCTCCCGCCTGATAGACTGAGTTGTGGGGCCAATTCGTTGCAAGACTTGGCTCTTCAATGATCTTATTATTGTACATTCAATTGTCGCTGGCGATATTTACATACTTAATTTTGATTTTTGGTGGGAGGCCTTAATTGTCTCACCTTACTTTTAAACAGACTTAATGGCAAACCAACCAGTATCAAGACGGTTGACGATAGTCATGTTGCTGCTTTCGAGTCTCGTTACGGCCTTGGGGTTGACAGGACAGGTGGACACGAAAATATCTGGGCGAGATGCGGACGTGACGGAACTCTTCTCTGGTATTGTCTCCCCAGATACAGCCAGGGCAGCAGCTCAAGATCAAGTGCTCAGGAGACATGTCGAGGATGCCGTCGACATAGTAGCCGACCTATCAAAGATGCTCGCAAAAAGATTCCAAGATGTCCCCGAACTTCAACAAGCGAGCCTCAGCCTCGAAAGGTACCGGAATAGCCTCTCGCAGAGCACATCGGGTACAAAGACACGTCGTCAAGATGGAGGCCTCCTTGGAGGATTGGGTGGCCTCTTACCTGGCAGTGGTACAACAACCGCCGCCCCTGGGGCTACTGATCCGGCGGCAGCGGGAGGCGGCGGTCTCCTCTCAGGCCTTACCGGTGGGATCTCATCAGCCCTATCCGGCATCGGGAACTCCCTCCTCCAGGACGCCGGTGGAGCCAGTATGTTCCTCGGCATCGGCCTCGGTGCTGGCGCAGCGCAAGGTCTCAACGTCGCGCCGGCTCCCATGACACAACAAGTCGCTGCCAAGGTCGCTGCTGACAACAATATGAACGCGACGGGCCTCAACCCGGCAATACAGAACGCAGCCATGGGTGCCACTGCTTCCTTGCTAGGCTCTGTTAACGTGTCAAGTCTCATAGGGGGCGCTGGTGGAAGTCTCGACCTTAATGGCCTGGCACTCGGCGCTGCTAACGGCTTAGGGAACGGCGTGTCCTCGGGCCTGAAGCTATCACCACAGGCAATGGCGATGGAGCCGCCTCGTGGCAACAACACAGCAGACATTGCAAACACTTTTACCTTCGCACTGAGCAAGACGCTGGCATCCAACGTGGATACGTCGAAGCTATCTGCTAATAGCATTAACATCTCACAATTCACTGGCGGTGTCCCGACATCGCAGATCGCCATGTCCCTGGCACAGGGCATTGGCAATGGTGCTTCCTCGGGCCTCAAGCTCACCCAGGCGGCTCTCGCTCCTCCGACTGGAAACACTGCCTCTGACGCTTTGGGAGCGTTCGGCTTCGGGTTGACCAACAGCTTGACGAGCAACCTCAATACCACAAGCTTGACGAGTGGCAGCGCCTTGCAAAACATAAACATCAACCAGATAATCCCCAACCTCGGAATGACTGCCATGAGCTTCGGCACCGGCCTCGGTAGTGGTGCGGCGGCGGGTCTGAAATTATCTTCCGCCGTTGTCGATGCACCTAATCCAAATGGCAACGACGCTCCTTCGGTGGCGGGCAACTTTGCTTTCGGCCTGACGAAGAGCGTAACCGAGAACGTTGACTTGAAGCAGCTGACCTCTGGCAACTCGGCGTTGGCAGGTGCGGCGGGTAACATCGATGTCGGCCGGGCTGCTCAGGGTGTCGCCATGGGCCTCGTTCAGGGCGCAGGTGATGCTGTCAACAGCATGGGCGGCCTGCAGGCATTGATCAATGGTACTGCCACGATGCCACCACCAGGTGCCATCCAGCCGAACACGCTCGGGTTCAATGACTCGGTGGGTGGTGCCGCTATGGGCCTTGGAACAGGTCTGGGTGGCCAAGGCACGCTCGTCGGCGTGCAGCTGTTGTCGCAGCTGAACGTGACATCTCTGGTCCAGGGTCTCGTTGGGAACAACACCGGCTCTGGCACTGCTGGGGCAAGTAATGGAACTGCCTTGCCTAGGCGGAGTGTCCATCAGGTGCTCTCTAGTGCGGTCCTGCCCCGCCAAGAGTCTGGCGTGACGACCGTCAGCAATGGCAATAGCTTCAACTTGTCTGTCATCTTCAATGCAGACACCATCTCTTCTGTCTCCCAACGGGTTGTCTCTGCTCTCAGCTGTGAGGGAGTCGGCGGCCTGGTGCTTGTCGCTCTCGGTCTCCTGAATAGTGGGACCATATCGACAAATGGAGTCACGACTGGAGTGAACGTCACTACGCTTCAGCAGGTGGTGCCTAAGGGTCTGATTAAAATCACCAGCGACGGGAACCAGTATGCCATCGACGGCCAGAAAGTGATCGATAATCTTCAGGGCAATCTTCTCTCTGCTGCAGATGGTATCAGTATCAATGGGAACACGGCGATTCGTTTCGGGGCGTTCCTAGCCCTCCACAGTAAGTCTCACTTTCCTCTTTTCTTTGTTGTCATCATGCAACACCAAGACCGAGTTGAGAGCTGACCTGCGTGCCTCGAAACAGTTGTTATTGCCATCTCGGTGTTCTTGAGCGTGATTCCGCTGATACTCAGCCTTGAAGGCACTCGTACCCTTCTCTTGCGGCTGAAGCTTGATCACATCCTTCCTAAGGCTTCGCGTTGGGCAAATATTGGGTGGTTCTGGGTCATGGGTCCTGCGACTTTATTGATACTCATCTTTGGCGCCTTGACTGCTGGCACCGCTGGCCATATGCGGACGACACATGGCGTAAGTACATCTGCAACCCAAAAATGCACTTCTGGAAAATGTATCCCCGGGTTTAATCTCAACCGCTAACATATTCCCCTGAAACAGATCCTCGGCCTTATCACCGTCCTTTTCACCCTCGGAGCCACAGGCTTCCACATTTTCAACAAAATCTTCATCTCGACCAAAGCCCCCTCCAGAGACTACCAAGTTTCTGTCCTGCCTGCACCTTTCACCTTCTTCGACAGACGCACAATTCGCACATTGGTCAATCAGATCCTTCTTGGACTCACGATGCCGACCGTGATCAGCGGCTTTGCGGATCTGGGCTCCGTCACGCTGTGCATCACGCGTGTGGTGCCTTTCGAGGCCGCCTTTGCCGTTGCGTTATCTCTAGGGGCGCTATACATCATTGGAAGCAGTATTTCTCTGCTGAACATATTCCTCGCTCTTTTTGACATAAGACAGGCCAAGAAGGAGGCCAAGGATAGAAGAGACGAGGAGAATTGGGGCAATAAAACGCTCAAGGAGAAAATACAGTATGTCGGGCAGGGGTCTCATGTCAAGATGGAGGGACGGCCTGAAACACTCATGAAGTGAGGAATATCTTACATACATTTGACTGATGAAATAGTTCGACTGTTATATAGCGCTCTGTGGTCAATTCATAAAGGACAAGACTGGCTGGAATGGTCGATGTCCTATTCATGCCAAGCGGAATCAACACTTTGTTACTTGAGTGCACTAAGTCAGTCTCAGCTTCGACTTAGTACCTAAGTGTAGTGGTTCATTCCAAGTAAATTGAGTTCCGGGGAGCAATGTCCTATGCTTTAAGACGATCCATGCTACGAAGGGACAGTGAGGCTCGATACAGGCTAAGATAACCCCCCCGGGGCACCGTACGCGCTTCAAGGCACAGATCGGGAAATTTGATGAATTTGATTAATCGCTTGGTTCACAAGGTCGTACAGAAATTCAGACGTGGAAGGTGGCAAAGTATCCTGCTCTTCCGTAGTTGTCATGTGGAGGGAAAAAATTGGTCAATTGAGAATTTTCTTTAGCTGCTCATAGAGCTCAATCCCTCAATCTGCGCTGATAAAAAAGCATGGCGACGGTCTTATAATCTTCCTCGGTTGTAACACGGTAGAAATAACTGGCCTTTCAGGATGCCAGTTCACAAGATCCTTCATCTAGTCCCCTAGCATCTGCAACCCCACAGGCCGCGGAGAGGGTTGCTATTAACGCATGTGACAGGGCAGTCCGCCTGGCAGACAGCTTGCTGCATAGAGGCACCACCACATCCTCTAATGTAAAGTATTTCATGATCAGCCGCCTGGGATGCATTGAGCCCACCCGGAAACACCGGTGCTTACCTTTTCCCAAGATGAAATTCGGTCTCAGCCATAGGAGTGGCGATGCCAACGCCAACTAACATAGCCAGGACGGCCGACTGGACGATGGAGAACTTCATGGTGATGCTTTGGTTGGGAGGGTTTTGGGGTCTTGTGGTAAAACCAAGGTTGAGGTTAAGACTGTTTTTGGATGGTAGTTCTAAGCTCTAAGCTAATTTGAATTTTTGTCACTTTCGAAGAACTGAACAGACTTTAAATACTCGAGGATCAGGTCTGTCCAGCCAAAAGTTACGTAGCAAAAAGCTCTAGTGTGCAGTTCAGGTGATGATGTCCTTCGTATCGACAGGCCTCGGTGAGGGTCCATTTAGATCAGATAAGATAATCGATTCACACATCACTCCACATAGTTGGATCTGATAAAAGCTTTTACCTCATGACTCCACATGGTGCGATCTGATAAGAAGATCTTTTCCCTTTATGCTGCATCTGGAGAACTATCCCTCGGATCAGGCCGTCTACCCGGAATCAATCCTAGCTAATCTAGGAAGGTCAATATCCTGTCTAGTGGCCAGAATAACGCCTTTTTCAGGAGAAGAACCAATACTCGGAACAATCGGAGTACGCAATAGAACATGTATCCGTAGGTTTCCACTCCGGCTCCATTATCACGATCATGGCCTACTTACCTCATGACACAAACAGATACCCTTTCTGGCGGGTTTGAAAAACCACTCATCGGGCAAGGGCAAGCCCGCAACAGGTTCAGATTAAAGGCTGGTTAAAGAGGGTCGTGCCAGGCAATGTCGGGCGATGCTAGCGTTTAGCATGAATAAGTACCTACTCAGGCACGCAGCTAGGTTACTTCGGGGCATTTCCACCGTGGGCGGTTTCGTAAAAAGTCAAATGTCTCTCGGGTGTGCAAGAGAAAAGAGAAACGTGGAACTCTGGGTGCAACCGACATCGGTCGGCTGTAGGTCTTTCCCCTAGACTCGGGGTATAATGAGTTCATAGCTATGAGGAGAAGAATATTATTGTAATCACGACCACGACTGGCCCTGTCGGCCTGCTTTTGCCCCCCGAGATGTGAACCACTGTCAACGATGGTAGGTTGTGTCTCGTTGCTGCGAAGTCACTGTCCGGGCTGTCGAGTATTGGTGCTACTGTGGATGTGGGGGAGGGAGGCTCTGGGGGAGGGAGCGTGCCTTCAATTGTCGTTGGCGTGAAGGCTGGTTCTGCCGCTCCCGGGAGAGACTCGGAGGGAGGATTATTGTTGGCTTCCTCGGCCTTTGACGTCCTTTGTGTTGCTTTAAGTTGAGGCAGCACATTGGCGTATCATTCTGTTGAACGATCGCTCGAAGGTGTAGGGCGGGAAAGCCTCTCCACAATCTTTTCCAGACCCTGTAAATCGCCTTCTACTGTCCCCTCCTTTTCACGATCCACCCAACCCGGAGTGTGACCGCCTCCGAAGTCGATGACCCAAGGCGTATCGTTCTTGTCCAACAGTACATTGTCCAGTTTTGCGTCTCCCCATACCACACCTTTTTCATGCAGCTCTGTTATAGTCTCCCGAATCTGTGCAGCCCACCGTAGTCTTGCTTGTAGCGAGCGTCTCCAGTATTGGTATTGTAAGGCACCTTTTGGAGCATCAATCCAGGTAAGGAGTAGTCCTAAAAGGCGGTAATCCTCAGTCGCGACGACACCGTGAAGGCGACTTATATGTGCTTCGGCTTTGATATTTGACTTTGCAATCTTTTTAAAAGTCGCCAGCTCACGGTTCAGCTGGTATAGGCTGCCATGCTCAATGAAGGATTTAAAGAAATAACTGCCGTGATTTTTGCCATACTTGTTGCTTAGCTGTACCCGCTGTGGCGGCTTAACTAGGACATCCTCAGATCGATCATAGGACAGGATGACCTGTGACGGGTTGTAAACGTAGGTCCATGATTTCAGGTCGTGCATCTGGTCTGTCGCGATTTCCCGCCCCGGAGGTGACCAGCCATCCCATTTATCGAGTTGTTTGGGGCAAAACTTGTCGTCTACAGCCTCAAGCCGGCATGTGAAGAAATCAGGGAATGCATATTGTGATAACGCAGAAGGCTTTGTCCGGGACACTGGTGGGGCGAGCTTCATGATCAGGGCCTCAAATGGTTTCAAAAGCCACCTGAAAGCATGAGGCTCATCAAAATCAACCTCATCTCCTCTAATTTCTTGAAGGTATTCGAGGTACGTGGCTCGAGTTCTAGGCGATCGAACGAAGTACTCCGTATGATACATCAGGTAGAAAAGACAGCCATTGTGCCGAACGTGAAGGTCGAGTTCATGCTGGTCTTCGTCCTGGTGACATATTGTCTTGGCGATGAAAAATGGGACGGAAGCCATGTTGGCGAGGTGGATGACCTGTGTCTAGGGCTACGGAGGAGAGCCAAGAATCAAATGTAGAACAAATCGAAAACAGTCGGGCGATTGAAAACAAAAAGAAGATTAAGGAAACAAGACAAGAAACAATTTCGAGACCGAAGAGGGCCCGATAATAGCCTAGATATAACTAGCTTTGATGCTGTCGCAATTTGTTGTGGTGATGGTTTTCAGCCTGAGAAGATTAGAAGTTGCGCGGGGTAAGGCAAGTAAATAGCCTTAGAAGCCAAATGTCAGGGACGCAGGCAGCTTCACGATTGGCTCTCAAGTTCAGCGAGCTCTTGGCGTCCTCTGAAACCTGCGCCGTAGCCAATGCTCTTGTTGGTCCGCCGTTGTTGGTCCGCCGAGTGTGTCTGGCGGCGGCGGCTCTGGGGCAGGGGGTCCTGGGGTTGCTGGCAATCAAAGTGGAGGGAACTCGTACAATTACGGACATGGAGGAGGACAAGGCTCCTCTGGAAACGGACAGCAACATTCAGGGGGCCACTAAAACTACTACGGGCATTCACAGGGAGGGCACTCTCAAGGCTACGACTATCGGTCGGCTGGCAATCAAAATCATGCCCTGTCCAAACCGGAGCCAACACATCAAGACGTCAGAACTCCCAGTCGGTCTCACGAGCCTAGAGGAGCCCCATCAACCAGCAAGAGGGCGCCCCAGCCCAAAGTTGAGCCGAAGAAGACCCACAGACACACCTCTTCCACCCCGGCTCACAGGTCAACCCAGGACCGCCATCTTCAGGCGGTTACCGGAAAACTTGCAGATATGAGCATCTCCAGTAGTTCCCGCAAAAATAATAGCTCTTCAGAGCACACAAGCAAAAGGCGCCAGGGTCTTTAAGGCATCACGACCAGCTCAAGCACTCTAAGTCTGTCTTTGGCACACTTTGGATGCGGGTTCTCGTTCCAGCTGGCTGGAACAAATGGTGTGGAACAAGTGAACAGAATTGTTCTGACAGCCTTTACCTCTCATTCGATGAGGTTTTTCTGATTTAAATTTTAGCAAGGCGGCAAAAGTCTGCCCTTTATTCAATCGTTTAGATACTTGCTAGCTTTTTTGGTCCAGGTGGTCTTTAGTTCTTGATATTTTTACGTACGTCGTGGAAGAAAATATACGTTCATCCAGTATTTTCCGCCTATTAGAATCCTGCCTCATGAAGTACGTTATGTCTTGTTGTATCTGGCAAGAGCTGTTTATAACTCTTTACCCCGTCACCTCACCTGGCTTATACGCTGTCGTTGCCATTTTATGATCACGCACACAACACCTGCGTGGCTGCATTGTCAGAGTCAAGAATTTGGATAGACTTTGAGAGCTACCTAGGGAGCACATTCATCGGTTGAGTGCGACTGAGACCCTGTCCCGATGTCTGTACTAAGGGGAGACTGCAAACGCCGTCCTGCGACGTGTGATACGCCGTCCGGGCCGGGAGCGGGGGCGGTGGCGATTCTGCAGCCATAACCATGCAAATGTCCCCAAGCTTAATTGTATCGATTCTGCTATCTAGGCTGGACACCATCTCCGGCTGATTGATGCACTAATCAGCATCCCTCGTCCCTACCGAGATAGGATGATTTAATTAATTGGCGAGGCTCTGCTCAGCGGCCAGCCCGGTTACTTGTTCAGCTTTGTATGCTGTCGGGTGGCAAGTATGCAGGTGTTTTTGTTCAATTCCTGGCCCTCGATAAATCATTGGTGGGGGACCAGAGCGATTGGGGGCGGATTTGACGGCGTGTTCAATGTGGTGTTGTATTCAGCCCCGAGGGAGATTGATGGGACATTGGCTGGGTAACGCGAGGTTCAGCTGGCGGACAGGCTCAAGATTGGCGATGGTTGACTTTTCATGTGATTGTCAATTAGAGTGAACATGAATGCCGGCATAAATGCCAGTATGCCAATATCTTCGTCTGCGTCTCAATCGCTTCATCAGTTTGTTTCGAGTCATGCTGTATACCTACTAGTAATATCTAATGCAGCCTCGCCGTCGTCTGCAAAGCGTCTTTTGCTTCGGTATATTCAGTACCCGACCCGTGGACGCCACCATGGACAACATCTACACCGGGATTTGGACGAACTGGTCTCGTGGTGCTATCTTAGGGTCAACACTTACCACGACCAAACAGTACGGCAACCTTCTTATTGCATTCATGGCCCTGTTCATTGGGTTTGTGGCATCTAGGCTCTGGAAGATTTCCTGCCTTGCCTTGCATCGATGTTACTCGACCGCCGACAAGAGAAGTCCCATCCACCACCAGCGCCAAGTCATACTGCGCAACTCGCGCACTGCAGAATCAGCCCTATTTGAAATCTTGTGTCTTCTGTGGGCATGGCGCAAATCACAATTTCCACGCATTGCTGGCCTCATACCCTTGACCATATTCACATTCTGTTACCTAACAGCTTTTACAGCCGCAGGAGGTTTCTCGTCAAATATTTCTAGCTCCATCGGTGACGAGGTCTTGATCAAGAGCCAGTACTGCGCTACGATAATAACTAATAGTACGATGGAAGGCAGCTCAATAAGGAATCGATGGCAATCGGAGCGATCGAACAGTGCCGCAAACTATGTCCAGCAATGTTATAGCAACATCAGCCAGTCCAGCGCAACAACAGCTTGCAACAAGTTTGTCCTCAGCAGTCTTCCAACATATGAAGTGAACGCAAGCGCCGAGTGTCCTTTCCAGCATCAAATATGTCGCAACCCGCAATCCACGCTTCGATTAGACTCGGGCTACATTGACAGTCACGAAGACCTGGGATTGAACGCTCCCAAGGATAAAAGATTTGCGTATAGATATGTGTTGCATTGTGCTCCACTTGAAACAGACAACTACATCAGCCACGTCAAGAAGGATGGTAGGGGCTGGGACAGGTACCATTATGGAAGTGTTCCTATAGGACCAGCTGACAATCGGACGGGTTCTATTGATTATCTCTACATGATCGACGACTTACACTCCCAGTATAGTCCTGCTATACGTGGCATCAGCATGGCCGGTAGGAATTTCAAACTGGGGTAAGCATACCGCGATGGAAGCAGAAGGATTTAGTTTCTGACTACATTGAAGTTTTGATAGTATCATGATGTTCAGAGGAGAGCCAGATGTCTGGACTCCGATACCTGAGCTAGTACGCCTGGATGGGGACTTGTCAATCGTGTTTTTATCCGGAGCTGGAGTTGTGTTCAATCAACAGATGGACGATGAGTGGTACCGCGCGACCGTGCCTGACAGCCTCAGCTATGTGTCAACAGACTCTGGAGCCCAGCAGACCTGGCGTCCGAATGTTTCAGCATCGCCAATGGGATGTGTTGAGCAATTCCAGGTGTGTAACTTGGCATATCCAAAGCACCGGGGCTGTGGGCCGCTGGCAGGCTATTTTGATGCTGTCTATGGGGCTGCGAAATATTTCAACGTGACAGAGGAAACTTTGGATCCAAACCGGCCGTTTTCATCCAACGCGACTTCTGCTCGCTTCATATGGCCTTTGGTGGCCATGAACAGTGCCCCTACCGTTCTGACAGCCGTGTTAAACTCTCTCGGAACAGCCTCACTCGCGTCTCAATCTGAACTTTTCGCCGGGAACCAGCAGCCCCTTCCGAAGAATCAATGGCAGTTGGACGTGCTCCGATGGTGGCACATTACTTTGGCTGCAATTCAGGCATCACGGTTAGCTCCCGAGGCCCTCTCCAAAAATAATGTTTTCCACTTTCTTGTTGCCCCCCTCCCCCATTAAAACAAGCATTCTCAGTCGAGATTGCAAGATCACCATTTTGCTAACCTCTTGGTACTAGTAAGTCGAATTTCCTGGCGCGTGAGAAACCATGGCAAGCCGCGACACATCAAAGTTGAGCATGTTAGCTTACGCGTGTCAGTTGTTGATACTGCACAAGGCCCGACCGAGCCAGAGCTTCTTCCGTATCGATCGCCGCCACTCAACAAATATGAGCAGAACATTTGCAATAGTCAGGTACCACACACAGAAGCCATCATGGGCTAGATACAATATTCTAACAACATGAAAAGAAGATTCGAAGCTCAGCATACACTTCTTTCAGCTGTTTTGGCCTTTATTTCACCGTCATAACGGGTGCTCTCATTACCATAACATCATACAGCCTAGAACCGATTTTGAATTGGTTGCATAAGCATCGACAGCATAAGTCATACGCAAACCTCGAGTGGATCAGCAATAACAGCCTACAGCTGCATCGTATGATACACGAGCGGCTGATGGGGCAGGACTGGGCTAATTGTACTGATGACGTCCCAATAACAGACCCGGAAACCTCCCTAGTGAATCTCGACATCTCGGATCCAGAACACCCGATAATTCGCAGGCCGCAGGCTCCAGAGAAGAGGACCGTTTCTGTTGAATTTAGTACTGCCCCTGCACTGGCCTCCTCTCCAATCGGTGGATCTTTTCATTCGGCCAGCGCGGCCGACCTGAGTGGACGTACGTCGACGTCGACTATATCGTCTTCATCAGATTGGTCCTGGACGCTCAATGTCCGATCAGCGATAATGAGTGTCAGCGGCCAGCTTAGTGTTGAAGAAAACGAAGACGGCGATGCAAATGAAGACATGATGGGTGCTACAGAGAACAGAGAGCGAGCGTAAGCGTTTGCGTGAAAAGAAAGTGCGCATAATTTCTTTTTGGTACGGTTGATTCACTTGCCCCATGTCATGAGAGGCTGTATAACATTGCGGAGTCCCTGTGAAATACCTCCCCTTTCCTTCAGAAGGGCTATTACATAGGAGGCTGTTCTACAGGAGGTCATTTTTATTGGCGGCTACCCTATAGGCGGTTACCCTAGTAGTAATTATCTGAAAGGATCCCACTGTGTTAAAAGCCGTATGTTGGTGAGCTATTTGAGGGTCAGTACCTATTTACCAAGTAATCAAGTAGTCGGGTACATGCCATGGCCGCGAAGCAGACACCAAAGCAAATCAACAACTATGCCATCTCTGCGTTGGATCAAGCCATTTGCAACACATGCCATGCCCTTCGCGTACGGCACAACTCGCACACCCTTGCTTTGCTACACTGAGCTAGCAGATCCTAGTTCTACTGTTCGATGTCCACGCGGGACGCCCCGCCTCAGTCTTGGAGGATCATTGTGCGCACCTTCAGTGGCTATTCCTGCACGTACCTGGATTCTGCCAGCATATTCTCGAGGTGTCGTGAGTTGCACCTTGCAGCGTGAGGGTTTTGTGAAACATCAATTGATAGTCTCCAGACAAGCCAAACTGCTTTCGGGGTGATCCGGAGCGACCCTGACGACATTATATGCATGAGTGTATCGCCAGCCAAGCTACCAGACATATCACTCTGCTGCAAGCAGACGTTTGATGGTCAGGAGTGGAGTGGTTTAGGCGGATGCTCGCTGAGCTGCATCAGCCTGTACGACTCCAGATGCAGAGTAACGCTGACCGGCGCTCTGCTAAGCTTGAACTCGGTCTCCCCGACATCCATGTTTGCAGCTACAAGCATTTCTTATGTTTGACGGGGAATGGAGAGGTACTAGAAAATGTTGTAATTAGTGAGCCGGGCAGCATCGCATCAGTCGAGTAGGCAACTCCATAGTAAACAAAATAGGGCGCCAGCATGTAACTACATGCCTGAAGAATCAGATGTAATGACAAATACTAAACGTGTTTTACGTATAACAAACTTGGGTATTTATTTATATATCTAATTTATTTTATAGCATTATGTTATAATTATACTTAAATTAAACAATATCAGTTCGTACTGCAGCTTCGAAGCCCAAGTCTTGAATGATTAGGAGTGGACACTCTTTCTTGTATCAACAGGGATGAGGCTCGTACGACAGCTAGGAACAGAGACCAACTTGCTGCCCTCTACAAGGTATCTATTCATAGGCTTAAGCCACGAGCATTTATGTCGTCGAAGCTACTAAGTCCTTTCTCGTGCTTCTCATTCTATATTCTCCCACAACCCTAGGCAAGACCGTACTCTGCTATCACGCTCTTAGGCTCGACATATTTCCCCAGAGGCCGATACTCAATATCATCGTATCCAAATGCCTTTGTGCCGCCAATCTCGAGACCTGCAGGCACCTCTGTCCACCGCGGTGAACAGGTAATGCCAATCACAGTCACGCGGTATCCATACTTGAACTCGGGCACACCGAGTGCCCTGCCGGAGCCATTGTCCAAGATTGCGATGAGGTCTGGCACCGAAGCTATCACTTGCGTGGTGCCGTCCGCAGCGGTGTGTTCTGCGAAGATGTTCTCATTCTTGAAGGGAATCTTGAGAGTGCCTCCAGACGCCAAGGCGGTCGACCTACTCGTTGAGTAACTGCAAGCCTCATCGTCCAAGTCGTTGTCTTCAAAAGCTGCGATGTGAACAGTACCGTACGAGTGTCCCTTAACAAGACGGCGCTCCACCGCCACAATCTTACCCCTGAACAGTACTTTCGCAGCACCTGAGCCACCTGCCTCGTCGATGATCGACTCGGCGACTGTCGAAAGGGTGCTGCTAGCTTCGCACCTTGCAATGCATCTGCCTATCCTCCAAGCTAGGGAGCACGTGTTGAGGACGCCATATTTTCTAACGTATTCCGTTGTGGTCGGCTTCGCAGCCATGCCCACACGGCTGCCCATCTCAGAGCAAGACGCTCTGAGTGCTCTGTCAACGATTTCATCATCGGGAGCCCGCGTCATGACTATACTTTTGCCGTCACCCGAGTCTATGGCGCAGGGACAAAGCTCAAGTGGGACGTGAACGGCCAGAGTCGTCTGCCAGTAGGTCGGGTAGGCCCTGCCCATCCAGTCGCCATCGATGATAGGGCTGTCGAAGAACTTTGAAGAGCCGACCAGCATGGGCTCCATCCCATTCGCGCCACCGATCTCTAGTCCCATTACGGCGTCGAACTTGTCGTGGCCCATGTACTCCATGAGAACCTCGAACGCCTGAACCGTCTCGAGCGCCTGCAGCCTCTCGACTGAGACGGCAGGGGAGCCCATGTGACCGCCCCAGTAGATGAGGGCGTTGTCTCTCAAAGAGGACTGGTCGATTATTCGGATCTTGTGGCCGGCTCTGAGTATGTCGCGAAGTTGAAGGACGCTTGCTGCAGGGCTGCCTCCACCCGCACAGCCAAGCACGTAACAGCCATCTGCAAGCCAAGCCAGATCAGTCTCGCTGAGAAGCCACTCCGGTATGCCCTGCGCATTCTTCTCGATCAGAGGCTTATAAGCAAACGGATCAACCCTTTGGGCGTCAAGGGTCTTAATATGTAGGTTCTTGTGCTCCTCGATCCTGTCGTCGATACCGGACAGATCCTCGTCTGCCGCGTTGTCGAGCATGGGAGCCCTGAAGTCGATGTCTCCGACTGCCTTGGCGATAGTCCGGACCTGATTCGTGACGTACTGCAGCGGCATACTTTCGACTTCCGCAATCAAGATGCTACTCTCGACGGCTCCCGCCGATATTGCGCGCTGCACTGCCAGGTCCTTGGCGCGCTGGATGGCCTGTGCCTCGGTCTGCTGGCTCGTGTTCTGGACGATGTCGACGCTTCCGCAGACCCTCGAGATGGCCGCACCTACCGCATTCGCGACGTCGTGGAAGGGAGGCCGGACAACCTCAGACGCACCGGCAATTTCTTCAGGGGCCAGCACGGCACCTCCACCTACGAGCAGCACGGGAATGGGGTCTGCAGACGTCTTAACCACGTCGATAGCGCCGTCGAGGAGAGTCTTGATGCGGTCTCGCGCAGAATTGATGAAGTCCTCGCTGAGATGCTTCACCGCGGTTGCCTCACCCATTTCCGCTCTTCCCAGCGCCACTGCGATATCTGAGGCTGTGCAGGTCTGGCCACCAAACACCAGTGCTTCCTCAGTAAGGAAGTGTCCCACAGACTCTGGTCCAACTCGCACCCTGCCTTCCACCTCTCGCACGAGAGATCCGCCACCAAGGCCGATAGAATGCAGGTGAGGCATCGAGTAATTCACCCTTACTCCTGCGACAGTGACATAGGCGGAAGCCTGCCGCGGGAGGCCACTGGCGAGGATCACACCCACGTCCGATGTGGTGCCTCCAATATCAACTACAACAGCAGACCTACTGCCGCCCGCATCGAGCCCAGACAGGTACGCAGCGCCGCGCATAGAGTTCGTCGCACCTGAAGAGAACGTCTTGATGGGCATTCTGGCGGCTGAGAAAGAGTCCAATATGGTGCCGTCGTTCTGGGTGATGAACAGGGGGCACAACAGGCCCAGCCTCTTCATGGCCAACCGAAACCGCCCTACCGTCCTCCTCGCGTAGCTGAGGATGGCCGCATTCAAGATACTCGCGTTCTCCCGCTCCAGCAGCCCTATATTTGCCACCTCATGCGAGCAGACGACGTCAATGCCCGGCAGCTCACGAAGGATGATTTCTCTCGCACGGTTCTCCTGCTGGAAGGTCTCGTCTATGGGCGAGAAGACCCCTGCCACCACCACGGCTGTCAATCCCAGCGCCTTGATCTTCTGGCACTCGGCGACAACCTGCGCCTCCTTCAGCGGCGCCTCCTGTGAGCCGTCAATGTGCAGACCCCCGTCCACGATCCCGCAGTAGCCATTCAATATGGCCGCCAAGTCCTCCGGGAAGTCGGCAAATGGTGGAACCTCGCGCAGAAATGAGCGCGAGAGGCGGATGACGGCGACTTTTTGCAGACGGCGCGAGTCCCTCTCCACCACGCTGTTGATGAAGTGGGTAGTACCCACGGTGACGCTGGCGATGCGCTCCGGGTTGATACTGCCTGCTCCTTCGGCCGAGCTCAGTACGGCCCGTACGGCCGTCTCGATGCCGGAGGTGGCATCTGGAGTAGTTGGCGTCTTCTTGAAGGCAAGCACGCCTCGCTCTGGGTGGCCTCGAGAAGCGAGGGCCACATCGATGGCCACTGCATCGGTGTTTGTGCCACCGACGTCTACGCCTATGCGGATTGATTTATCAAGTGTCATGGTTTCTCATGCGGAGGTCTAATGGTAGTACTGCGTGGCGAAGGAGGTTGGGCGTCTACGTTGTTTGTGGTGTTACCCCTGGATGGGTATGAACAGAATTTAGGCTTGGGGCTGATCAGATCAGGAGAAATCAGCTAGGCCTGCAATCAGGGTCCGGAGAAGATTAGATCATCGCAGCCGGAAACTTTCGCTAGTATGACTTGCATCTAGACCAGGTTGCTTTTATGTCTAACAGATGGTAACACTCCGAGATCGTATCATCCACTGCCGACCACATGGTTCTCCACTAGTTCACCCTGCAAAGACACCCGGTGGGCGGGGGACTTTGCCAGGGATATGCCCCCTAACGAGATCGGAGCTGGTCGATCTGAGCATACTAACAGAGTAGGGACGGCTCCGACCCGACGTGCCGAGAGATAGGAAAAGGCCGCCGGCCACCACAAGATGTTGGAGACCTTTTAGTAGGCTTATCAAAGTTTCCAAACATTCTTGGGGTAAGCAGACCAATGATTAATAGCTTGCCCGATGGATGATAAGGTGCCAGTATCTGGATGCTGTTATTAGACTGATTCTCCTCGTTGCAACCTTGATCGCATGTTGACATCCGATGTTTTTCGTTGCTTCTGGTACTACTCGACTCGTTTCCATGCTGTCGGGGACCACTTGGGTGATTTAGATGTAGAAGACATCTTACACAGGCACAGAACCTCTAACATGAGGCTACAAAATCTTCTGAGCTCGATCCGACTGTCCAGCACGGATAAGTCAGTGGCCAACATATGGATCAACGACGACATCCGCCCTTTGCCTCCTTCGCGGAGGACGTGGACGACTTGGACATTCATCTCCTTCTGGCTCACCAACCAGATCGCCAGTAAGCAAACTCACCTCCCACACATGTGTAGCCTGAAATGAAAAGTCTGTCTGACTGGAACCTCTTGATAAGTCTCAAATTGGCAACTTGGTGGGTCTTTGGTCGCGACCGGTCTGAGTGTGTGGCAGGCCGTCCTCGCAACACTCATCGGCAAGATCATAATATCACTGGTGGCCATATTTAACGGCTACGTCGGAGCAACATGGCACATCGGCTTCCCCGTCGTCTCTCGGTACGTCTGGGGGCCCTACGGCGCGTTCCTCCAGATCGTGCAGCGGATCATTCTTAGCCTGGTGTGGTTCTCTGTGCAGAGTTGGACGGGAGGGCTGTGCATTGCCGTGATCCTGTCTGCCATCTTCCCTAGCTTCCACAACTTAGCAAACGTGTTCCCCGAGTCCTCGCACCTCGAGACGAAGCAGTTCGTCGGGTGGATCCTCTTCAACGTGGTCATGGCGCCCGTGCTGTACATACCGCCACACAAGATCAAGCGCCTTCTTCTGGTGTTCAACTTGCTCGCGGCTACGACTCTCGTGGCCATGTTGATCTGGTCGCTGGCTGCAGCCAAGGGTGGTGGACCCTTGCTGTCCCAGGGAGCGAAAGCTATGACTTCGTGGGATCTGGGATGGTCGATCGTGTCGGGTGTGACCACCGTCATCGGAGGCATCGCAGTCGGCCTGACTAATGCCAACGACTACTCGCGCTTTGCGAGGCGGCCTGGAGACCAAGTTTTTGGTCAGTGGTTCTCAATCATGTGAGTAAATCCTTGGAAAGGAGCTTGATAATTACTCCATCGATCTCTTCGCTAACACAGCCGCAGAGTCTTTGGCACGATCTTCCCATTTCTCGGCTGTCTAGCCGCCTCTGCAACGCAGGGTCTTTGGGGCGAGGCAATATGGAATCCACGTAAGTCGCAGAGGAAACAGCAAGCTCCCCTCCTTTCAATCTCTTGTAGCTGACAACCCGCGACACAAGCCGACATGGCCCAAAGGTGGCTCGACAATGACTATAGCTCTTCCTCAAGGGCCGGGGCCTTCTTCGCAGGAGTCGGCCTACTCGCTTGCCAGATCGCCATCAATGTAGTCGACAACGCCTACAGCGCAGGGATGGACCTCGCGGGCCTGTTCTGCTCCTACATAAACATCCGTCGAGGGGCGTACATTGGACTTCTCCTCAGCGTCGCCCTCTGCCCCTGGGAGCTGCTTTCGTCGGCCGCGGTCTTCATCTCGGTCCTGTCGGCCTACAGCGTCTTTCTCGGTCCTATCATCGGTATCCAGATCTGTGACTACTGGCTCATCCGGCGGCAGAGGCTCAAGCTCTCGGACCTGTACCATCCGAGGCGGGATGGCATCTATTATTTCGTCGGCGGGTTCAACCCTCGCAGCTTTGTGGCCTGGGTCCTCGGCTTCGCCACGCAGCTGCCTGGGTTCGCCGCCAACGTCACGCCGGACAAGATCAGCGTCGGGCGCGCCTGGCACGAGCTGTTCTACTTGGCGTTTCCGCTAGGCTTTGCGATCTCCTTCGCGGCTCACTATGTACTAAACAGGATCTGGCCACCCGCCGGGCTGGGCGTGGTTGATGAGGTGGACTACTACGGCAGCTTTACACCCGACGAGGCGCTCAAGCTTGGATTTGTGCCAGAATCAGAGGTTGTTGAAGGTGTCCATTCGGATCCAGAGAGTAGCGGTGGTAAGCCAAGGCAGGTGGATGTCCCTATCGTGGGGAAGGATTTCTAGAGCTTTTCCGGATTACAGTGAATATTTTAGGTTCGTAGATGAGAGACAGAAATTGGCCCAGACACCACAGCAGCCGTGGCATATCTTGTAAATCTTCGTGAGCTTTCTTTTCGAAGAGAGATGACGTCTCCCGTCTTCACTCAATGAATTTCCGATGCTATTGGAAGATGCTTCTGGCTGGCCCTCTTCTTCGCGTTTATCCTTGCCTGCTGCATCTCTAGAATGCTCTCCTCAAGAATCAGGTCTCCCTCGTCTTTCGCTTTCTTCCTGGCTGCTAGTATTTACTCGTGCCATTCATTTGTCCCTAATCATTGTGGCGTGCGTCCATCCTGGATGCCTATTCCATGCCCATACTAGTATTGGACAGCCGTTTTTCGACCCAATCTCATCTTGAAACTGGAATCACACTCGGAAAAGTAGTATCGGCTGCTATTGTAGAGTCACACAAGATTGGAATATCTACTGGAATATTTCTGTGCTCGAATTATACATGTACAATATCCAGATTAGTGGTTCGAAGAGGAAGTTCAATCCAGGGATAGGGTGGACGACGCTTCCTCGGTTGATCAAACACACCTCGAGGACGGCTAAGGCAGTTCTAGTTGGTTAAAAGGGCAGGCCTAGGCACCAGCGTAAGAAGAGTACTAGGAAGAGGCGTGCAGGAAGGGCGAAAGGTGTCAGACCCAATCGTGGCGCAGCCAACTCGTTCAGCTGCAGGGTACTAGAGGCTGACATGCAGAACCCCTCCTGAGCAAGCCAGGTTTCATGATCATCTTTTACCTTGTGGGGCGTCTACTTTTTCACTCGAAACACCTTGTAGATCTGAGTGCCAACGGTTCCTAGGCCCTCTTCATGCGATTTCGATCCTCTATACGGTGTGTTTGACTTCTCGGCAGGGACCTGATGTTCCTTCTGAACTGTCACGATGAGCTTTGGCTTTGGGGTCGGAGACTTCATCGCTGTTATCCAGGTCGCTACGAGAATCCGCAAAAGGTTCTCAGATGCACCGACGCAGTTCCAGGCTATTTCAGATGAAGTGAAGAGTCTGTCAATACTTCTCTCGGATGTTGCAGTTTATGCGGACACGTGGGAGGAGACGCTGAGTCTTTCCCAGACCAAAGAGCTGGAATCAATTGTGAAAGGCTCCAGAGGTGTGCTGGAAGATCTGGAGAGTCTCCTAGCCAGTAAGAAATGTCTCATATGCACTGGCTTCGCAAATTTACTGATAACCGTTTCAAGGACATGATACTTTGAGCTCCGATCATGGGAGACGTGAAAGGTACCGTGTAAAAAGGATCTGGGAACGTCTCATGTTTGATTCGCGGGACGTGACTGAGCTTCGAACGAGACTCATTTCCAATGTTACTCTGCTAGATACCATTCTCAGGAATATTACGGAGCGAAACACACAAAAGAGTATTGCTAGGCTCGACAAACACATCGATGAGCAAGAGCAAGATCAGATACTTGACTGGATCAGCATGGACTGCGAAAGGCATACCGACCGTCTGAACTGGCTTCTTCATCGTCGCGAACCCGGAACTAGGAAATGGCTTTTTGAGTCGCCCGAGTGGCACAAGTGGACTAGTGACGAAGGGAGGGGGACCACGCTCTTCTGTCCAGGGATTCCAGGCGCAGGCAAAACCCACACATCGGCCAGTAAGTAACTCCCGGGGACTCGCGCTCTTTTTTCTTGATGATCTGCTGACTGTCAATGACAAAGTGGTTATAGAGCGGCTCTATTCGACATCCCCTGCTGACGAGGTTGGCATTGCTTTTATATTTTGCGACTATCAGCGATCCACAGACACAGAGCACATCGACCTGGCCCGAAATCTTCTGCGAATGATTCTTGAGCAGCCGCTTGCTTGGCCAGCTGCCCTACGCCCAGCATACGAGTCCGCAAAACGGTCGAGATCAGAGGTCAGTCTTGATGAAGTATTTCGTATTCTCGAGGCTTCCATGCTAGTGCGAAAGAGGAATTATGTGATCATTGACGCGATGGACGAGCTACACACCGACGCACGAGATGTGTTGGTACCGAAGCTTTTTGAGTTGCAAAAGCGCACCGGCTTGAACATATTTGCTACTTCCCGCGACATTGGACATATCAGTGACCTGTTCTCCGGTGCCCGTCAGAAGAGAATCAAAGCCACAGGCGAAGACATTGAGCAATATCTCTCTACTCATATGGCGACGCTGCCAAATTTTGTGTCGAAGAACTCAGATTTACAGACTGAAATCAAGAACTCGGTAATTCACGCCGCTGGAGAAATGTAAGCGATAAGTCATTTGTGAAAGCCACTAGAAAACTAACACGCTACTGGTCAAAAGGTTTCTCCTCGCCGACTTACATCTTCTATCCTTGAAAACAAAGCCATCGCCCAAGGCTCTGCGCAAGGCCCTCCAGGGCTTATCCTCCGGACCAGATTCAGCCAAGGAGGCGCTAGAAAAAGCTATGCAACGTGTCACCAGCCAACCACAGGATACATCTACTATGGCTTTGCAGGCGTTGATGATTTTGACTATGTCTCGCCGTCCCCTCGCGGTCAACGAGCTATGTCACGCCCTTGCCATTGATCTAGACGACCTCGACAGTGGGTTTGATGCCGAAAACATCCCACCCATCGATTACGTTATGTCTTCTTGCGCCGGCATGGTTATCGTTGAAGCACATACCCGGCCAATCCAAGATTCAGAGCCAGAGAACGGAGCCAGCACTGCGTCCCAATCAATGGGGAGTTTGGCTGAAGACAGCCTCATCAAGCTGGCACACAAATCTATACGCGACTACCTATCGTCTACCCAATCTAGGTGGTTCCCACATGCGAAGGCTCAAATGGCAGCAATCTGCAGAATCTTCAAACAAGCGTTCGAAAAGAATGACATTGATGGGGAACTTCCGTTTTTGAACTATGCTCAGGACCACTGGGCAATTCACCACTACGAGATCGACCCCGTCGTCTCAACGACAACTACAGAGGAAGACGTGGGAGGACAAATTGTACGACAGGGGTCTTTTCCACTCGCAGTGAAGCAGGCCGGCGAACAATTTGCGCTCCGACAGCTTGCGCTCGAGCTGCAGGGTATGCGAGACCAACTGTTGTTGTGGGCTTGCCAAGAAAACAGAATCAATCTCGTTGAGATTTTGTTGGCTATGAGTATCGACTCGTTCTTAGAGCCATTCAATAAGGCTCAAGCCGAACATACGATCGAGACAGACAAAGATTGCAGACACACATGGTGCTCGGCTCATTGGGCCAGCCAAGATATCTATCCTAGCAGCAGTGATCACTCTCCGGATATCTGCACCAGATCAACAGAAGAGCCCAGAATTATTGAACAAGCCGTGATTATGGCCTTTCGTTTTTCGAGAAAAAAGATTATGGAAATACTTTTAGCACATGGAGCCTCACTGGCCGGTCGAGATCACGATGGCTTTACTGTGCTGGGCATTGCCGCACGGGATGGACACAGCGACATGCTCGGCTGGCTGTTAGGCCTAGAATCCATGCACGTCAGTCTTTTATTTGCTATTCAGCAAAGGTGGGCAATAACGCAAGCATTTCCCATGTTGATTATGTAGTGCTGATAATCTACGATCCCAGGTTGGAATTCGCTCAGCTAGATTCTGACAAGAAGTGGAGCCTCATAAATGCGCCTAAACCTCCAAGGCCAAAGTCCAACTCTGCTATGAGACTGAGACCAGAGCAGCTGCTCGAAGGCCGAGTCTTCATAACACCACTAGCTGCCGCAGCCCTCAACGGGCACGAGGTGTGCGTCAACATGCTCATCCAATGGATGCAAAACCATCACGGCGAAGCAATCAGGGCCGAATGGAAAGTAATCTGCACAAATGCCATGATCTGTGCCATGCAAAAAGGGCACGCCACAATAATGCGCATATTACTTCCTTTCATCGAAGTCAACTCTACCTCTCCAGGCTTTGGTCGTCATACGCCACTACATTTCGCTGTCATTCTCCAGAATGCTGAAGCCGTCAGATTGATCCTGAGGGAGAAGAATATTGACCTAGAGAAACGAGATGTAAATGGTAGAACTGCACTGACCTTAGCATCAAGATTTGATTCGACAGACATAACTCAGGAGCTCTGGTCTTGCGGCGTGGCGCAAATGGATCCTGCAGTTGTCTTGGAGGCACTGTTCGAAAGCCGCGATACCATCAAATTGATTCTTCCCTTTTTCCGCACAAACTTTTCCAAATGCAGTCCTGACGGCCTATTTGCGAGAGATGATAGCGGATACAGCTGCTTTGACAAGTTCATGTTTAGCTTCCTTGGAGGAATGTCCGATATAGAAGCAGACCAGTCTCAACAGTCACACAACACCAATATTGAGGAAATCGATCCATTCAATTGGAGAGCTCCTCTCTTCGAAACATTCACTGTCAATCTTTGCAACAAAAACCGCCAACTTGCACAGCTCAGCACCGATCTGCTTGACCCGGACAACAGGTTGTTGTTCGCCAGAGCTGGTCACCAAGACAGAGAATGTTTCATCGGGATAAATTCGCTCTACTTTACCCTGGCATCCCGTTCATCTGAGCTACTGCGCAGCTTGCTTCAGCTGTGTCCTGCTTCCGTGCGTGAAGTGGACAGCAAAGGTCGAACAGTACTGACAGCCGCCTTCGTCAGAGGTGACCATGCATCAATTGTTCTTATCCTAGACACACTTAGGCAACAAGAGGATACTTCAGTTGTCAACTCTGTGTCCATATCTGGACTCTCTGCTCTGTCAGCTGCTATTTCGAACTGGGAAATTGAACAGGAACAATTACATTTGCTCCTGACGTTTCCCGGATTTGACCTACGACTCGTTTTCCATGAAAATGGAAACGGAATTTGCCCTCTAATGGCTTTAGTGATGATGACAGCCGGGCACACAATTTCAGAATACGATAATTTGGAACCGTTCTGGGTCCCCGAAGCGGCATTGGCATGTGGGACACTGTACGAAAAGTGCCTGCTAATATTCGAAGCCCTTTCAGCCAGTCATGATCGCCAAGAACTCGCGGACCTCCTCTCTCGATTATCAGAGAAACAACTCGGCCGTACTGGAGTTAGATTCTTAGATTCTTTGTGTCAAATGTCCGGGTGTGGCTGTCTCAAGATCTTTTTGCAATTATGCCCCTCTCTGAGATCACTGCTGCATGCTCCTGATGCCAGCGGTGCGACGGCTCTTATTCGTGCATCAAGAACCTGGAGGCACAATGAAATAATCGAATTTCTTTTGCAGACACCCGAAGTGAATATTGGCCACCGAGATGAACAGGGGCGAACAGCATTGTCCTACATTGCTGAAAACCTCGGGGAGTTCGCTGATGGCGGTATGGCTTCAACGCTGATCGAAGAGCATGGAGAGGATCCGCTCGCGGTAGATGATCATGGATGGTCACCCCTCCTTTATGCGGTTTCGAGTGGCAATGTGTGGGATGGAAGCCCCTATCACCAGCTACTGCAAGACGCAGACTGCTTGGCAGACTGGGTTGACGAACATGGCTCTACTCCGCTTCACCTGGCCGTCAAGGGTGGATCATCACTTGCCATGAGGTTGTTACTGCAGCATGCATGCAGCTCCAATTGGCTAAATTCGGTCGATGCGAAGGGGACGGTTCCACTGGCTCATTTCTTCTCGGTCTTCTGTTATTCCAGTTACAAGCAAAAGTGTCCACACAGTGGTCCCAAACGCTATGTGAGTTCCGCAAAAGACTCGTGCGCCGAAAATACAAATCAATGTGCTGATCGTTGTGCAGGATCGAAGCGTGAAAGATTACGACGAATACCTTCATGTGCTGAATGAGATATTAAAACGAACTGATCTTCTTCCCGACATCCCTGACAAAGAGGGCAAGACACCGTTGTGGCATGCTCTGAACGGACTTCAAAACGAGTACACAGTCCGCTCTTCAGAGGCTGTGGCCCCACAATCTGTCTTTCTTGACAGATTCTTGCAGGGTATCCGGGCTCTCTGTGCTCGTGATGACGTGGACCCCATGAAGTCTTCGGCGCTTGAAAAGACGCCACTCGAACTGGCCATTGAACTTGCCAAGACTTATTGCCACAAAAAGACACGAGCGCCTGAGGTGCAAAATGATGAAGAAATGGACTCTTTGTGTCCCGACATTGCCAGTGGCAAAGTCAAGATGAGAATTATACTCAAAAGACTGAGCAATTGGTATGTTTCTTCAAAAGTGACTGTACCTGACGGACCAAGATCCCCTGCTAGGTAATTTTGGTCCTAAGTCCGACTTTGGAAATATTCTATTCACATTATCGACGCCTAAAGCTCTTCCAACGCATATGTTGCGCAGCCTACTTTCCACGGGGGTTTTTCAACTCCTATCTGGGCAATTATGGTTTCGAAGCCAACGGGTTGATTCGAGGGGCAAAGGACCCAATGATCTTTTTCAGAAATATGAGCACAGTCTAATGGCGGGGCCGTCGTTGCGACGGGTTGAATGCGGAAATGCGGGAGTACTGGGATTTGCTGCGAAGTGTTGAATGCTGTTGCGCTTTATCCAATGATGGAGCCGAATCGTTGCCGATACAAGTGGAGACGGGCAACAAGGCTCGATCCGCCTCTAACAAAGAATATATGATAGCAAGGTCAGGGCCATGAATTGACCGTAGGTGACGCAGATTATTTGCAGATTACACTTCGGCGTCAGCGTCTGGATGAACATTTATTCCCGAAGATGACGTTCTCATGGTCCGCTGTAAAGTTAAGAGGTCGGCGATTGGGAAGAGTTGACGGTGTTGGAGTAGGATACGGGGCACGGGAGAGAGGATCCGGATACCAGGTGAGTTATCCCCACATCATTTGATGTATTCTTCCAAGGATTGCAGTGGGAGCTATGGTGGTGCTCGCTTTCTGTAAAGGCTGACTGATCGTATTCGCGATTTCAGGCACACGTTGGCAGTTCCGGGCTGTAACATTTGCGAAGTAATTATACAGTAGGTTCTGTCCGGGCTGTTTCCTTATCCCGGTAAATTTTGCGCCGGGGATGAGTTCGTGTCAGCCTGTGGTCTACAGTGTCAAATTCAATTGTAATTAAATATGTTCTTGAGTGCATGAGGACTAGAAATAGGCGCATGAAAGATCGTGACGAGAGCGAATCTCGCGGGCTAGATCCCCGGAGACCGGACGGCCCGCAGAGCTCAGCAGTTCATCGAGTTGAGCATGCATGCATGCATGCTGCAGCATTTTAGATCGGGATGGAGCGTGGTTCGTTAGCCGAGGGAGAAAAAAACATGTTTCAATGGGTTCGGGGTCGGATATTCATATAGAACCCGAGCCGGGTCCCCTGAGAGCCGGAGCCAATAACCAGCTTGAGACTGTGAGCTGTCGCCCCACGAGGTCCAGCTGCCCGACCGGGCCGAACCAGAATTCCGCTAGAGGGCGCGAGTGGGTGGGCTGGTTCTGGTTCTAGTCTTGTGCTCCCCTTGTCGTTCTCTGCCCTCTCTGCCCTCTCTGCTTGCTGCTGCTGCTCTGTTTGGCCTGCTGGGCCTGCTGTTTCTGTTTCCGTTTCCTCGATCAAGTGCCTGATTCCCACACCCCCCGGAGGCCAGTCCGTCTTCACCATCACATCATGTCCGGCACACCCTTTTCCTCCGCTGCCTGACATGCCGCTCGCTTTGCATCTGACGCCTGAACACACTGCCTGACAGCCCGAGCCTTAGCGTTCCACGGACAAGGCCACGCGGCGTTGTTAGACGCAGCTCGGAAGAGACAGCGCACAGCAAAGGCGCTTCGCCCCAGAAGCACCGGGCACACAAACGGCGCCGCGGTCCCGATGTCCATGGCCCCTTAGGTGACAGGATAGGATAGGGAAAACAGTCGCGAGCCGCAAGCAGTGCCCAAGCTGTACCCAAGCACCACTCACGCACCGTACTCCCCTTCGCTTCGGACACACCTGCGACGCCGTCACCATGCCAGACTCCACCCCGGCATCGGGCGACCACTCTCGCGCGACGCCCGAGGTCCAGAAATACCGGCCACGGGCATGTCAGTCCTGTGCTCGGTCAAAGATGCGTTGCGTGTGGCCGTCTGAGCCCGGTGCCACGCCCTGCCAGAGGTGAGTTCGACCCACGGTCTTCGCCCTCGTTCACGGCCCCGACCTCCAGTCACCTGAGACCTCGGAGCTGGACGCAATGATCCACCCAAAGGCTGAGCCCGGTCTCGTGGCACTGCGTTTGCTCCGGATACAGCATATGTGGCCATGGCCATGGCCGTGCCATGCTGCCGTGCTCGCTGCCCACGCCACTTGCACATGCTCCCCTCTCATCTACCTGAGTTGGCTTGGTCCATATGGATATTCCGGATTCCGATGCGGGTCATCCGGATGTCAACTTCCGCGGAAGCTTCACACTCAAACCAACCATCTCTACCCCTGGATATGAGTGAGAAGCTCAACCACCGGGAGTCGGTCGATCTCATGCCGATCTCCCGGATCGCGTCCCGCGTCCTGCATGAACTCAATCGCATCCCGATTGCTTTACTATTCTGGCTGCATCCACGAAAGGACATCGGAAGCATTTGCAATAAAGGCCATGCTACTGACATTACTGTCGCAGGTGTTCCAAGATCAAGGCGCCATGTACTCTGCCGGAGATAAACCCGCGAAGAAGGCGAGGCCCATCGACGTACGTATTTACCTGATCTCATCCAGGCTGCATCGTGTCTCATGCTGTGATGCCCTGTGTCGAGCGCTGGGAATGATTGATCCTTCTGCGCGAAGACGGGTCCAAGTAGAGAATGTAGGCAGCTGATTGATGCACGCATGCTGACAAAGAAATTCACATACAGCCGTGTTGGGCAGCTTGAGGAGAAGATCGATGGCATCATGTCCCTGCTGAACGCCAGCCAGCAAATCCAACAAAACAGTCCCAGTTCCAGCGGCCACACACCACCGAGCAGTGCCAGTGTACCAGTTCCGAGCCATGAGCCCGGCCGAAACAGTATACAGCAACTTCTCAACCCAAACATCGAGTCCGCCAGCAGTGCTGTCCCCAGCAACAGGCCGGACTTACCGGAACCCGCCTCATCTCCTCCCTCAACACAAAACTACCACTACAATGCCCGCCCCCTCCCTCCTCCAGGCATGGCCCAGCCTGGATCTATCGCCACTGGGCCAACGACAGAGGGGAACAGCCCTAAGATGCCACCGGATGCAGCTGGACCAGGCTTCAGAGCGCATCAGAGCAGGCCTTCGCCGCCCGGGAATGAGTCCGTCGAGATCATTCCTGGCTTCCGCATGACCTTCTACGAGGCAGAACGGGCCTTGAACATCTACAGATCCTTATATGCCCCCTACTTCCCGTTCATCACCATTCCAGTCATGGCTACCGCCTACGACCTCTACGAAAAGACGCCGTTTCTTTTCCGCACCATCGTCTCGGTGGCTGCGCCGCAGAGTCCGACCACCCAGGCTGACTACAAGGTCTGGTTCCGGCACTACATTGCTGAGCATGTTGTGATCAACAATGAGCGACGGCTAGAAATTCTGCAGGCATTACTCGTTCACATGGCATGGTAAGAACCAATTTGGATGCCCATACAAGCCACGGTCACATCAAAGCTGATTATGCTTCTCAGGGGCGACTTCCACTTCTTCATAGACTCCCAGGCAACAAACTTCATCCAGCTGGCAGTTGCGCTTGTGATCGACCTAGGCCTCAACAGATGGCCACTCGATTTTGGGAAAGCCTCATTCCTCTTGATCAAGGACGCCGCTTCGCAAACGGGCATAAAGAAGTTTTGGAACAAATCCCATACTCTGGACGAGATGCGCGCCGCACTCGGTACTTTCTACGTCACCTCTCTGTAAGAAACGACCTGACTTGTTCAATCCTATGAACTGCTGGGAACTAAGAAACCTTGTGCACAGACTTTCCGCACTCTTCAGGCGCCATAACCCAATGACATACAGCTCGTATCTGACCAAATGCTGCGACGAGATCGAGCAGGCCCGGGAGTACGACTCGGACAGCTTCCTGGTCACGCTGGTGAAAATCCAACAACTTTTGGGTCGTGCCGCCGAGATCATTCCCTATGGCGACGACGAGGCGTCACGGCGTGTGAATTATGCACCGATACACATGGCGCTTACAGTCATACGGAAGGAGTTGGACGCCCTGGTCCGGCAGCAACCGCCTGAAGTAGAGTGCAACTGTACGTTGTCTCCGCAGTTCTCTCCTCTCAACCATTTTGCCTTGACAAGTCACTAACTGGCGATAAAAATAGCTCTGCTATGGACGCACTACCACGGCACGATATGCCGCCTCTACGAGCCGGTCATCTACATCCGGTCAACATCAGCGGCGACAGGCTACGACGCGGGCGACGCGAACGCGCGCACGTCGGCGCTGTGGGCGTGCCTGGGGTCGGCGCGCGACTTCTTCTCGGCCTACATGGCGATCCCGCCGCAGAACCTGGTGTGCATGCCGTTCCAGAGCGCGCACTTCTCCTTCGCCATCGTGACCGCCAGTCGCCTGCTCTTCCTCGGCGACGAGACCGCCTCGGCCAACAACCCGCGCGACCCGGACTGGGTCGTCTCCGTGGCGCGCGACCACCTCAACTTCGACGGCGTGTGCGCGCGCCTGGCTGAGTTCTTCGACGAGGCGGACCGGCTTGCGACGGGGCTGGGTAGGCGCGGCCGATACGTCGATGGAGAGAGGAGCGTACTGGGTATGTTCAAGGACAAGGTGCGGTGGATCCGGAGCTGGTATCTGGGGCGGGCGCGCCCTGGGACGAGCGAAGGGTATCCGGCAAGTTACCCCCACGACCCGCGGTTTAGGAGAGAAGCTGTGGGCGACGTGGCCAAGGACGGGGTCAGTGGTGGTGGCGGTGTTGGCACGACGGAGGCTGGCGCGAGCAATGCCACAGCGCAGGCTGGTGCTGGTGGCGGGCAGGCGATGGATGTGGACTATGGCGCACCAAGCCAGCTCCCCATGCCCGGCGAGCTGGACGAGACCTTCTGGCAGGCCATGTTCGACATGAATGGGAGCGGTGTGGACTGGATGGAAGTCCAGACATAAGCATAGGCGGGTATTTTCCAAAAGTCCGGTGCCACTTGATATGGACTTCGTCAGATGCGGCTTGAAGGAGTCCTTGGAGGAGTCCTCGGGAGGTGAGACTACGCTGATATTTCGTTTCGGCGCTGTCACACGGACAACCTGGGGGCTGTGAAGAGGGAGGCGACTCCGGACTCAATGCGAGGTGGATGGAAGTCCTGGCGTGGACAGAGTGGTGGATAGTATCAGTCGGGTAGGTGGGAGCCAAAAAATGAGAAACTTGATCAGGAGGCTGGATCGAGCATCGAATACCCGGCGAGACAGAAAAGACTAGGTGCGATAATTAGTCAGCAGTAGTCAAGGAAAAAAATGGATAAAGTCAAGTCCTATAGGCAACTATTATTGCATCGTGCTGTGTATCGCGAAGGAACACACGAGATGAAATGTCAGACTTGAAATACTGGTGAGCCTAGAATGGAGCCAGGTAAAAATATGCTTACCTGATACGTGGGATTGGAGTTCTTGGGGATAAAAGGGAGAAAAAGCCACACAGATATGAAGTGGGCCCCCCGACCGAGTTTATGTTGTTGCCTATCGGGCTGAGCCCGCTCCCAGACGGACGGGCTAGAGATGACGGCTCGTTATGAGACCTACTCGGTCTGCTTTTTTCAAGAGTCCGACCCGGTCCGAGGTCATGCGAGGCCGTTCTAGAAACGTGGGTAAGCTGGTAAGCAAGCCAGAAACGAACAGACCCTGGTCACACTCGCTTCCTTGACGTGCAGTAGGGCGGCTGAAAGGATCGTCATCCTAATGGCTGGATTGTACGACGACCCTTAGCGGATCGCAAACGGCGCTGCTCAGCCCTACGGGGAATTGGCTCACCACATCATTTTCTTGGGATCGCGCTGGGAAGGCCCTAGATGCCATGTGGGAATTCTCCGTGTTGCACGAAATTTGAGTTGGGCAAAGGTGCGAGGTAGGATTTTCTGTTGGTCAGCCGCCTGCGGACGAAGGGTCTGGTGCCGTCACTTTGGTACTTGGCAGATGGCACTTGACTACAACATGAACAATCTCCGAGACGGGACTATATGCGTTTGTTGAAGGTATAAAGTCAAGTTGGACCTCCAGCTCGATGGATGAGGTAGTGCTCGAGGTGGATCAAGACATCAGGATTCAGACTGCAACCTCATTCACAATTCTACGCACCAATTAACCAACCATTTTCCGTTCAAAATTCAAGAACCACCAACCAAAAAATTTCAGAACATTTACCACCATCACCAATACCAAAATGTCTCAGCAACAGGGCTCGTCTGGGGGTGGAAGCTCGAAGTCCAACTCGTCGGGTGGCTCCTCGACCAACTGGAACGAGGTCCTACGCTACTCCTCCCCTATCGGAGTTGTCAAGTCAGACGTCGTCTACGGGGTTTACAACCCTTCATCCTCGAACAACGGCCAGGGCTCGTCTTCTTCGTCATCCGGGCATGGCTCCGGCTCCAGCTCCAACAGGCGGTAGAAGCAAGGCCAATACACTTTTTCGCGCGGATCTAGCGCGGGCTTCAACGCCACAGCAGATGGTGATATTTCTGGGATAGAACATTCAAAGAAGTAGAAGGAGTTCTTAGAGGTCTCAAGACGTGCTTCATTTGCGCGCAGCATGAATGGGGGAGGGGAATTGTGTTAGAAGTGTTTCATACGGTCATTTAGCAGGATAGAATTTGATTGATGAGGGAGATGCTTTCGTAACAAAGAAGCAAAGTCGATGATATTATCTAGATATTCACACATTCTTTTAAAACTCTTGCAACAACAGCATATGGACGTATGAGTGTCTTGCACAATCATTTTCTTTCAAAAATGGCCTTGAAATGCAATTCCTGTACTTATAAATTAACCTTCAACATTAATGTCACAATCTACCAATTAACCTAGCGAATATTTACAGGCCCTGTTAGGCTTCTGCAAATTACGTGAGAGCGACACCATGTAACCCTGGTGCGTAATTGACAAGCAGGCAGTGCAGTTACTCTTTCTTTGTGTCGGTAGCCTCTCAGAAACGGACAAGTCAACGCTCCATGTTCAGCATGCCCGAGCTTTCGTTTCAAATTCTGGCCTGACTCCTTAGCTTCTTCACCACAGCCTCTGCACCTCCTCCCTTGCCAAACATTGTCCTCAAATCATCAGCCAGCTTTTCGGGCCTCTCATGCGCGGCGAAATGCCCGCCATCCTCGTGCCTCTTCTCAAATACCACTGGGCCCAGCGTCCGACCCCAGGTGTTCGGCGGTACGACCAGGTCCTTCGGGAAATAGCTCAGCCCGAGTGGCACTTTGTCGTGATAAGGATACCCCGAAGATATGGCCTCCTGCCTCGTAGCCTCATAATAAATCCGGACGCTAGAGTCAGGCCCCGCCGTGCTAAACGCATAAATACTAATCCAAGTAAGGATCTCGTCATCAGTCCAGACATAACTGTCCGTCCAGTCATGCAGCTTCTCGTAGATCCACGCCAGCAGCGCGACGGGCGAGTCGGCCAGCCCGAAGCCAAGGGTGTGCGGGCGCGTCGACTGCTCGAGGTTGTACCCGAAGCCATGCTTGCGGAACCATGCCGTGCGCTCCAGGCCCTCCCGCTCCGACTTGCTGTACGGCAACACCGAGTGCTTGACGAACTGCAGCGGCGTCTGTGACAGCTCCGGCGGCTTGATCACGCGCACGAAGTTGAGATGCGACGCCACCACGTGCTCCGGGTACTGGATGCCCATCCTGCGCGTGATGATGAAGCCCCAGTCGCCGCCCTGCGTGACGTACTTGTCGTAGCCGAGCTGCAGCATCAGCTTGTGGCATGTCTCTGCGTACTGGTTTGGGCCGAAGCCGGGCTTGGTAACTTTGCCTGAGAACCCGTAGTTGGGGAGGGATGGCACGACGACGTGGAAGGACGGCTGGTCTGGGCTGGAGGGGTTGGTGAGGAGCGGCAGGAGCTTGACGGCCTCGTAGAAGCTGCCGGGCCAGCCGTGGCTGAACAGCAGAGGGATGCTGTCTGGGCGACTGGATTTCTGGTGCACGAAGTGGACGTCGATGTCGTGGAAGCCATCGACGAACACAGTCGTTGTGAACTGGGAAAGCTGCTCGTTGAGCTTCGACTCCGCGGCGCGCCAATCGAAGCCGTTCTGCCAGTACGCTGCGAGCCGCTTGATGTCCTTCAATGGCGTTCCATACGACCAGGACTCGGACATGTCGACATCTTGGGGAAACGTTGCCAATGAGAGCTTGGTTTTGAGCTTGTCGATCTCCGCATCCGGTACGGCGATCTTGAACGGCTTGATATTCGCCATGATGGCTCTTGGCTATGCTCAGAGAATAGTATACGAATGTGTATGTGCTTTGAGGTAATGATGCTTTTCTCAATTAGCTTTTCCAATTTCCAGATGTCAATGTCGAGACGGCGACAGGTGAGGCATCAGTTGGGATCTCCCCTTTTTATAAACGAGTACAATATCAATTGCAACCGTGATCAGCCGCCCAAGTTAACTTGATGCTCATGAGATTACAAATTTTCCTTCTGAACATCCGTGCAGCTAAAGCAAGGTGGAGATGGTGAAATCTGGAAAGGCGTGACGCTGTTTGACGTTGGAGATAGGGCGAGAATGGGCCGAGGTGAAGTACGTACTTGATAGACTATTGTCTCATCCATCACGTCACAGGCCATCAAGTCATATTAGGGCGTGCCAAGCCCTTCGGCCATAGCTGTGTAAGCAACCTGTCTTCCCCGCCCTTAAGCCCTTCGAACCTGGCAGCTCGGATGATCGCCTCTTGCCCTTGGAACAGACCAGTCAATTTGATTCGGTACTTGTTAGGTGCCGCATCGACTCGCATCTCATGTGCATCAGGCACATTGAAGCTCAGACCCACCTATTCGCTTTACACCACGTTGGTTCCACAAATCTAGATCTTAAACCTAATTCCCAATAGCCTCCAAGACAAAGTGGTGAAGCAGATGCACTTCGATGTCTTTAGGATTAGGTGATGTAGTTGTTGATATTGTTCATCCAGTCGATTCATTCATTCGATGTGAAAATTCATTTAGGTGGTGCACAACGTCTGCCTTTATCAATTCACCATTATCTCAATAGCCATATGTGGTGACCGCGATCTTGATGGAAACATTTACATTCAGTTCGATGACTGCAAAAGCTGGGTGATTGTGCCCGTTTCGAATAAAAATCACACTGGACAGCACTTCGAAGCCCCATGATTCTCCATCAATGTCTCATTCGGGATCGAAGACAGACAAGAATAATGTGCAAGAGTGACAAGTACAGGTAATTCTACGAGCAATTGAATGGACAATCCCGCACCCATTCTCATACAAATAATGCGCTGATAGCTGCCTCTTCCCTTGTGAATAGAAATGGCTTCCAGCAGTCACTACCGCGCCCAGAAGGCGTGGTTTCCCACGTCCTTTTTAAGCAGGCTTGACACCCTTCCCACAGGTTGAAATAAACACTAACCAACATCATACTTGGCAAAGATAACCTGCGACAGACTGACCCATTTGCCCTGAATACTTCCCAGCAACGAGTGTGTGACCAGCCTCTGAACACTGCAAGAACCACATTCCTCCTGGCTTGTTGACCCAAAGTCATCATGGCAATGTCAGGTGGCTTCGCGAGTATCCCGAAGGAGATACGGGATAAGATCGTCGAATCGCTCTTCTCTAATTGCCGCCAAGATCACTCTCGTACAGCTGCCTACGCATCCGTATGCCGGGAATGGCAGGCTTTCTTCGAGCCAAAGCACTTCGCAGATCTGTTCTTGACGCCATCGCGGGTGGAGGCTTTCGAACGGTTCGTCGTTGGAGAGAAGCGGAAGATGGTAAATCATATCAAGTAAGTTTCCCACCAGAGTTTTCCAACCCAATGTAGCCCTACTTTATCTGCATACTCACAGTCTTTCTCACCATTCACCGATCCTATTCTCACCCGACAGACCATTTGGACCAAGGAGATGAGAGCTGAATTAACCTTTTCTATAGCCTAGATGTTGGACTGTGGTCTCCGAGCTGGGAGCGAGACTCTGCGACAGAAAATGCCGAGGATGACAACTTACTTCATGTCATCGGAACACTGTTCAATTCTCTGAGCACATGGGACAAAGTCAAAGACGTGAATCCACAGCGGCTCTTCTTGGAAGTGTCCGGCCCTTTCCGGCCCTCATTGTATCGCTGCCATCAAAGCACAGACTTAACCAGCTTGCCCAAGATGAATACGATCACGACCTTGGTGCTGCAGCGGAATTTCTGCTTTCAGTCACGCCCAGATCATTTGCGTCTGCTGTTGCGAAGTCTCCCTGCGTTGAAGAAGTTGGTCTACCAACAACCAGAACCGCCTGGGCGCGAAGGCAATGCGGAACATGATCAGTGTGAGTGAGGATAGCTGTACCACATGCTGGCAGGGATTTTAATTCTGATGTCCTTGTGCAGGTTATGAATTCATTTTCGGCCAAGGCTTGCCAGCTTCTCTCACGGAGCTTTCGATTTTCGAAAAGCCGATTGATGGTTTTTCTCCCCTTTCCATTATACAGGGTCCGGGATACGCGCCTCGTGACAACATCTCGTCGCTCGGACTCTCTCTAGCCAAAGCCAGTCGACAGCTGGAGCACCTCTCTGCATCCTTCGCCATCGATGCAAGGCACTTCCTCCGCCCATTCTGGCCACAGGAATCTACCGACAACGCCGAAATCGACGCCTTCTGGACTTGGAATAAGCTAGAGACCCTGGCTCTCACATCGCAGCTGCTGGCATTTCCGAAACGATCCTCAGAAGAAGAAATCAATTGTCTGCTGGAAGCTGCAAGCGTAGCAGTGCGGCGAATGCCCAAACTGCTCACGCTTGAGTTGTGGTGCGGCAATGGCAACGAGCATGGATGTCTGTTCCGCTACACCCATGACCCCATTTCCAGAAGCGCCTCGCTCACCTGGCAGGGAACCTGGACTGTCGACATCACATGGCGTGTTGCCCGCTCTTGGAGCGAGACTGTGTACCAAAAGACCGGATCCGGGGCCGAAATACAGTTCGAGAAGATGGCGTTCGCAGCGCCACGAATCACGGAAGCTGTGTCTGTTTTCCTTCTTTTACGAGATCGCGTTGGCACTCCAATGGTGAGCAAATACCTATATTCAACGAATTTTGGACACATTCATTGGGGTCAATTTGATTCCGTGGGAGCCTTTTCCTTATTCTTTCCCGGAGAAGATCCAAACCGTTCATTGTTTCCTAACGCTGACCTGAATTTTAGTCATCATGGGAGAGATGGAGTCGTCTCGATTAGCTTTCACGAAGATTTCGATACCAAGTGGTAAACTTTTTGGCCAGTAAACCAATAGTCTTGCAGGAATTGCGAGCTGGACGATGAACATGATATCGCTGTCAACGGCAACTACTAAAAGTGATTTTCCAAGTTTTTTTAAGGGCACAAAAGCAGTGGAGTCGAAGCATGGCATTAGGTTTGACCCAGAGTCTCATGTCAGACCACACGAGAGAGAGAATGGTATACCAACAGCAAAAATGGTGTGTCAGAGGCTATGCTCAGTCTATGTTGAGAAGAATTCTTTGCGACGTTATCTCTTCGCAAGCAGGTGACCAAAGAACACTTGCGGGGACTACACAAATCTGAGGTCATTACGCTGAGCCTCGGAACCAAATTCTTGTGTGTTGAATTTCAGAGCCTAGTCCACCCCATCAGAGCCACCCTCTTGTGGAAGATAGCAGACCAAGCTCCTCAAACTTTATCGCAATCGAATTGTTTTATTACTTGATGTTTCATTGGACTACGACAATGCGACAGGCCATTGCATAGATATTGAGCTGTGAATTTCATGCCAGACATCATGTGTGCTATCCGGGTTAGTCACTTCTACAGACGGTGAAGCAAAAAGGAGTGAAGACGCAATCCAAACTCGTTACTTGGTGCGGTCACTTGGTCTTTATAAAGTGAAGTTCTTTTTTGATGCTGATTGATCTCAGGGCCTGGGAGTTAAGTAAAGTCCCCGACTCATTGTATGTAAATGAGATGCGGAGAGCTCTAGCTTGCCCAGGGATCCGCTCCCAAATCCCGACCCGGGCTGCCGAAGTGTGCGGACGCTGCCAGCATGTTGCTCGGGGCCGAGAGTCAGGGGCCGACGCAGTGCCAGACACCAGAAGCATCATGTGCGGTATGGAGTCAACCTTCAAATAGACCATAGTAGACAACGGGTGGAAGGAAAGCATGTGCTGCATCCAAGACAATCTCGACCCACTCTGGTTTCCGTCTGCTCGGTGCTCCGTCGCTTCTCCGAGATGTGTTGCTGCTCCGAGCCGGCAGAGCATTCACCCTGGGCGCCGCATTTGTTTCCGTTAGTTCAAGCTAGCTACAAGTGTCTCCGTTGAACTTGGAGCGGGCACCCGATGTGGGGAACATCGGGTAGCGGAGCGGCAGCGGAAGGGACATTTTATTTCACGATGACGGCGTCGTCATCGTGAGGGGCCAAAAGAATAGCCGACCTTCTTTTGAGCTTCACATTCATTAAGAGAATACCAGGCCGCCAGATCCATTCTCTATGTTTCCGTCAAGTCTGCCTGGGTCTACACACTTCTTCACACCGCAATCTCTCCAATTAACACATCACGCTTCACCATGGGTGTCACTAAAGACCTCCACATCGTCATCATTGGCGCCGGTAAGCTGTTACTTTGGAAGTCGTCTGGCGACCCGTTACATGGGATTCTAACAGCATCACAGGTATGGGCGGCCTGGCCACGGCGCTCGCCTTAGCCAAGGAAGGTTTCACGCATATCGATGTCTACGAAACTGCCTCGGATCTCGGATTTGTAGGGGCAGGAATCCAATTAGCACCCAACATGGCCAGAATATTAGACAGGCTTGGTGTTTGGGAGCCAATAGCAAAAGATGCCACTCCGCTAAAAGGCGCCAGCATTCGAAGTAAGCAAGATATACATCACCTACGTCAACGGATTGGTTGGAGCCTTATACTGACTCGGAACGTGCGCAGAGGGCCCCACGGATGAAGAGCTCGCGTTCTCCGACATGACCTGGATCGAGGATTCGTACAGCTACAAACATTCGGTGGGCCACCGAGCATCGCTTGCTGGTGAGCTCTACGAGGGTTGCAAGAGGGAATCGGCGATCAAGTTCTTCTTCGCCTCTCCTGTCACCGAATTCAAGACCTTCTCACCCAAGCCCACATTTATCGTGACGCCCCGGAAAGATGGCGGTGACCCGTACACAGTCAGCTGCGACGTTCTTTTCGGCGCAGACGGCGTTAAGTCACGAACAAGAGTAGCCATCCTCGAGGACCTTGGTGTGGACGCTAAGGTGGTAGACTCAGGGCAGGCGGCATACAGAATCATGCTAAAAAGAGAGGACATGGAAAAGGACCCGGAACTGTTGGCGCTCATCGACGCAGACCAAAGCACAAGATGGATCGGCGAGAGGAAACACATCATCGCCTATCCCGTATCGTCAAAGACAATCTACAACATCTCCACCGCACACCCCGACAGCAACTTCGCCGCAGCGCCGGACGAGACATATACGACGCTGGGGAGCAAGGAGTCGATGTTGTCGGTGTACTCCGACTTCGCCCCTGTCATCCAGAAAATGCTCAACATGGTGCCCGAGGGAGAGGTGTGTGAGTGGAAGCTCCGTGTCCACCAACCCCTGCCGACCTGGACTCACGGCACCGTAGCACTGGTGGGAGACGCATGCCATCCAACCCTGCCACACCTGAACCAGGGCGCGGCCCAGGCGATCGAAGACGCAGCCGTGATCGCTGTCGCCCTTTCCAGGACGCCGGACTCCAGCCCAGAGAGCATCCACAAGTCGCTCAAGGTGTACGAGAAGCTGAGGAAAGAGAGGGCCGAGGCATTGGTCGCCATGGCTGCTGCCAATGGCAAGGAGATGCAGCTGGGCGATGGTGCTGCGGCAGCCGAGAGGGATGCCGCCTTCAAGGCGTTCAGGGAGAGCGGGCAGGGTAAGGTGCCGGACAAGGCAGCCGATAAGGGAGTGCTGAGCTTTATCTATGAGTGGGATGCGTCCGAGGAGACGGCGACTCAGTTCGAGAGCATTTACAAGAGTTTGTAGATTAGACTGCAGGTTTCATGTATTTATTGGTTGTGACAATCCAAGTCTAATCTTTACCCCAGCTATACCAGCGCCACATTCCCAAATGAATAAGTAGAATAATTCGAGGACTACAGACGTATTCTTGATTATTTTACGGAGGTAAAGTAAAATAGTGGTAAGGCGGTATCCATCCACCAGATATGGTCTATCCTGACTGCTTAGGCCTTTGTGTCTAGGAACACCACCTCAATTGATATCCGAGGAATATATGGCACTGATATATTGCCCTGTGTTAGCTGTTTTCTTGCTCCTCTTTTTAATTCAGAGAACCTTGATTACGTCTTGGTGATGGGATCTCATAACAATTTCATGTCCAAGTCAATAGTATTCCAAGCTGTCAACGTTGTGGCCACATGGCCATAGGTGGTTGGCCTTGACTGGATAGCAAGGTCCATAATGTATGGGCGCGCTCCAAATCTAGTGATATTATCCTATTAACTCCAGCTGAGCTACTCCTTACTTGGTCACGAACTTCAATGATCGTGTACACGTCTCCACAATTATATTCGGTACCTTCGGTACCTTCTGGAGGAGTGTACAGGAGGTAGATGCAGTGTAAGGTTGCGAGGCCAAGTTCACATGATATATAACGGACAGGATAACCATCTATACCAGACACTTTCACGAGAAACTCTCTACAACTTCATTACACTCTAGTTGTGGTTTCAGTCATTTCAAGGGAAATGTTGACATTGGATTTCTCCTGTTCAGCCAAATGAGCCAGTTTAAACATTATAGGAAATATTGTACTTTATGTACTAAGGTTTAAAAGAGTGACTCCGTGGTCTATGTCAACGCATCTGCTGATGTTCGAGCACGCTCCTGGAAATCTCGTATCGAATATCGGCGCTTATGTAGCAAAGGCGAGGGCTTGCAAAGTAAGAATAAAAGAAAGTCTAGCCCAGGATATGGGAAGATCTGAGGTGTGCGCCAATTTTTGTTTCCCAGGCCGCACTCGCATCATTCTTACTAGCATCATGTCTTTTTCTCTAAACAGACCCGTACATCTGATCAATCTCGGCCTGGTATAGGTCCAAAGTCGGTCTACGCTTCACAGTTCCCTTCGGAGTCCGCTTCATCGGCCTTCCCGGCTCGGTGAAGATGATTCTGTCCTTCGTGACGCGCGCCAAGTCGTAGTACTCCTGGTTCCCACGGTCGACGGCCGACCAGATGGAGTCGATCAGAGCTCTGCGATGGTCCTCATCGTCCAGGGTCATGGCCTCCTCAGCCTGGATCTCATCCTCGAGCTCGACCAGCAGCCCCGGCCGCGGCCTTCGCTGGCCCAACATAAGGGCGCCCTTGACTTCCGGGTGCGCACCGACTTTTTCCTCCATCGTCAGCGGGTTAATGTTGGATCCTGTAACCAGCACAAAGCAGTCGTCAGCCCGGCCGCGGTACCGCCACAGCCCGGGAATTGTGGGGTGTGGTGAGAACAGATCACCCGACTCGTACTCGTCCCGGTCAGGGAACACGCTGAAGATGGGTTGAACGTCGCGCGGGTCAGCGTTGCGCACGACCACCGCCTCAAACTTAGGATCTCCGCCGTCCCAGCTGTGGCAGCGGAAGTCGATGCCCGAAACGGGGTGCGGCATGATGTACTTCCAGACGGACCGGTTCCAGGGCCCGCCCGGGCGCAGCGCCGGGAACGAGGCCAGCTCCGTCGACCCGTTGACGTTGAACAGCTTGACGTGTTTGGCTACGGTGTCGCCGTATACGTCCGCGACGTCCCCGCCCGTGTAGAAGATATACTCCAGGTGTTGGGCGGCCGCACGGAGCAGCTGCGGGTCTTTGGCAATGGCGTGGATGAAGCCCGCCGGCACGAGGGCGATGTCAGGTCGTGCCGCCTGCACGCATCCAAGGAAGTGCTCTTGAAAATGGTCAGGGGCCAGAATGCCTCCCGGTAGTGGGAAAATGACGGTTGACTGGTTGTGTACGGCGTCGAACAGCGTGGGCATGAGGTTGCCGCCGTGAAAGGGCGGCATCATCACCAGCACGCGGTTACCTTGGTGCAGCACATCGAGACTCTGCGTGCCCGGAGGCGGCTCTGCGTGTAGTGCCTGCACCCAGCTGCTGACCCAGTCATGGGTAATGATGACTGGTTTGGGAAGGGCAGTTGTCCCTGACGTGTGAAGCACCAGGAGAGGCTCACTCCACGCAGTAGCGAAGCGCTTGTCATAAGGATAGTGCGGATATTCAGTGCTAATGAGCTGAGCGGTCGAGGCAACGGGCAGAAGTCTCAGGTCGTATTCTGACATGAGGGTGTCGACGACGGACACGTATGGGGGACCTGCTGCCAGGATAGTCCTGACGTTCAGAGCATCGAACAGGGCTTTGTACCCAGCCAAAGTATTGCGTGGAGAGCACAACAGAAGCTAAAATGTATGTTAGCCGGTTATCGTCATCTCGGAATCATGACCATCTGCTTACTTTGTAGCCAGCTTTACAAGCTGCCAGTACAAGTGCATTCTGCCGGAAGTCGTTAGGCCCGAAATAGACCAAAGTTTCGAAGCTTGTTCCCGGCCCAAGATTGTCTGTAAGCCACCAGGCCAGCCCGTTCACGGCATTAGCCAGGCCTCCATATGTGAGTTTCGAAAAACCATCTGCGTAACTCTCTGGGTTGGTCGGGTATTCTGCATAGACGGCTTGGGGTCTGCTTGCAGCCATTCCATCAACAATATGGGGCAGTAGCTGTTTCCTGCTATAGGCCGGTTTGGGGACCTTCGAACCCTCCTCGAAAATCAAGGCAACCATGCTGGGCTGGGATTGGAAAATTTAAGGTGAGAAGAGATACTGTAGCTGTGAAAGAGTGAGAGAATGAGGTGAAAGCGTGAGCTACAGGGTGAGAGAATACTTCCACGGAGTTCAACCCAGGAAGAAATGCTATATACGTTCGTGGTCTAAGGAGCTCAACAAGTGACTCTGCAGCGCCTCATCCGAGCTTGGCTGACCAACTTCAGCATGGATCATGAACATTCTTTTCGTGGTGTTCATGTGGGTTGGACGGTTCAACTGTACCGCCCTCAAGAGCGATCCTGCAAATCCCTCGATGATTTCGGAACTGTAGAATCACATTCTTCATCAGTTCTTGGAGCACCTACAGTTTGAAATATTCCGCTGCACTGGTTGATCCTACCACCACCAATCCCTCGGTAACCAGTCACCATGAGGAGGATCCAAGCCCGCAGAAAATCGCCCGATGCTGATCAATCCTGCATTTCAGTCCATCAGTTACCTGAGTACTTCAAAGGTACTCCTTGACTGTACCCAGAAAGAGCCGAGTTGCGCAGAAGTCACAGGTTAATACTGAAAAAGTATATATTAAGCAACCAATGAGAAAATCAATAGTGAAATTCCGAGGGATTATAGCGTAAAGTTTGAAATATTTAAATTTACTTTCTTGGGTTTGTCCTTAAATTTTCTTCTAATATACAATCTTTCTTGTTATATTAAATTGATTTGATATATTCTAACTGGTTTAAAGTTGATTATTTGAGTAATTAAACAATCCTTTTCTTAATTTGAATAAAAAGACTTCTTTTAATTCTTGCCTCAAAATAATATAAGGATTTTCTGAACATAGCAAGGATATTTTTGTATATGACGTAAAACGTGTTATTTATTGCCATTCTTCCATGCTGTAGTTGTCAACCTGACCAACGGTGCTTATAAACATTAACGTTACCTGTAAAGTTGAATGTCTTTCCTTCCTCATGGGGCATTAAAATCACATCAATTGCCCTAATTACGAAATGTAGTATTGTGGTCTCGGACGTCTGCGTCCAACGTGGCACGAATCCCGGCCACGCGTATTGTCTCGCACGTGCAATGCGAAACCAAGCAGCATATTCAGCCTGAATCACTTCGGCCACGGCAATGTCGGCAGAAATCCTTCAGAGTTGATATACAAGGCTGAGGCGTCCTTCGGAAGTCGGAGGAGGTACCGGAAATTTCACGCAGTACATACAGAAGTACTTTACTCACGAGCATGTTGCGCCACGCATGTACAATGCAAAGCCAAAGCAAATCCTGTCCCAACAAATCTTGTCATATCGTGCTCTGCATGCACAATCCTTCTCACGCCCCCAGACTTTGAGTCCATATGTACAATCACTCTATCATTACAGTGTGGCGACTTGCGGCCCGACATCCGCGGACTTGCAGCAAACCAGTCACAAGCACAGGCAGCCTTGCTGAGACCCAGGATCATCCCTTTCCAAGCTATTTTCGCGGAACATGCAGAGATCTCCTGCAATTTTCCTACTGTGATTTGAAAGTATATCGTTTTGTGCCCATGTGGGGGCAGCAGTTGGCTTCTGGTGCTGACGGCATGCAGATCGACCTGCATGGATTCAGCCGAGGCCACGCCAGCATCGATCCTTCGCTCACCGACATGTGGCATATAGTGTGCAGCTTTTGCTTGCAGTGAGGTGTCTTTCGGGAGTCGGCCTCTTGCTTCATACTATGCTGCCGTCAGCTGGGCACAGGTGGTTAATTACGAGTTTGATCATTTTCTAGAGTCGATGTGGACAAGATCGACTTCGAGGTGGGTACGTAGTACCGGCCAGGATTTGCAAGTCTTCCCCTTCGAGCTGCGGAATGGCTGAGGCTGTATTGCTATGATGTCTTGGCTGAGCGGACCATGTGAAGGGAATCTTATGTTGAAGAAGTCTGTAGTCCATGCTGGGTGCTGCCCGGTGTGTACTCTGCGTCCATGGAGACTGATGAAAGTCAGAGACAAAATGTGGGAATAACGACTGAGGCATTCCATCACAGGGACTTTTCCACCGAGTTTACGGTGAACGGATATTTTTTTACTTGCCCACTTTTACCTTCCGCCTTCCTTCATTCCCAAGGAAACCTATGATCACCGCCATGGACTTGAGCAACATTTCAAACCATATGAGCAAGAAGCTCCAAGCCATCCTACCAGCAATAGGTGGTTCTCATCAACTTCCAACAGGGAGTTTAGCACCTGTCAACTTATCCCTTGCTGAAAATGTACTGCTGAGAGAAGAGGTCATGACCCTGGTGAAGGCTTCCATTAGGGACACAATGACTTCGAAGGTTAAAATCACAGCTCCTGAAGCATTCTAGACTATAGGCTGATGAGGCGAATAGGATATGTCCTACCCTACTGGCTTTGGTGGAAGCTCAGAGCTTCTCCAGGCTTTGGCCGGCTTCTTCAATAATTACTTTCATCCCTCCAAAGCTGTTCAACCGAATCAGATCGTCCCTACTTCTGGAGCTGGAAGCGCGCTCGATGCGCTTCTCTGCACCATTTGTGATACAGAGGATTTTGTTCTTGTTCTCGGTCCATGTTGGGGTATGATTCATTTTCCAACGTCAACTTGATTGCTCTCATCGCTGACTACTACTAGAGGGTTTTGGTCCATATTTCCTTATCCATGCCAACGCTAAGCCCATAATCGTCACCGCCTCGACCCTTGAGGGAGCTACGGAAGCTGATATCCTAGACGCTTTGAAAAACACATACGAATCTGCCTCTGAGAAACATCGCATCAAGGCGGTCGTCGTGACCAATCCCAACAACCCCCTGGGAAGATGTTACCCTGCTGACGTCCTCCGCGAGATGATGCTCTTTTGCAATGCGCACGGAATGCATTTCATCAGCGACGAGGTCTACGCCATGTCTTCGTTCACGGTCCTCGACAGCGGCTGTCATCCCTTTGTCTCGGCGCTGTCACTTTTGGACGGTGCGCTGAATATTCCAGACCTCGCCTCACTGGCATCCAGAGTTCATGTTGTATGGAGCATGAGCAAGGACTTTGGATGCAGTGGAATTCGAATGGCAAGTCATGAATACTACTCACCCTCAGGAACTTTGCCTAACACATATGACCCAGGGCTGCATTATTTCCCAGACCAACCCAGCCTTACGCCTCGGGTCTGGACTAGCCAGTTACTGGCAGACTTCCTCGTTGGCTAGCGTCGTGGCTACATCTCTCCTCAATTTTCATCAGCTGCCGGGTCTGCTATATCAGAACTCCGAGCGTCTGGGTGCTGCATACCGTCAGTTGACTGATGGGTTGGCAAGACTACGTATCCGGTACATCCCAGCAGCCTACGGACTGTTTGTCCTGGCCAAGGTGGGTGATCACTGCCACACCAAAGAAGCGGAAACGGCCATGGCCAGAGCGCTTGCCCTGAAGGGATTGATTGTTGCGCCAGGACAGAAGTTCTCCTGCGGCGACAAGGAGTGTGGCTGGTTTCGGATCACCTTTTCAACATCTGCTGAGAATATTGACAGGGCGTTACGGACTATTGAAGCCGTTCTGGGAGGTTCCAATGAGGTTTGAGATGGTCATTCCCAGTCGTAAACACGGAGAGTTGGAAGAGAACCGTGGCTTCGTAATATTATTGAAGTTTCTGTAACAAAACGAATCGACTAAGCACATCTCAAGCAACTGCAGCTCGATGGTTTTATTAGGTACAATACACAGTAAATTCATTCACTTGCTCAATCAGCAATGACAAGAAACATACGATCCTTTCAGAAGATTCATGAATGAGCTTAGATTGTTCCGTTACGTCTCGGCCAAATTTTTGAAGTGCTCATGCTATTTGAGGTTCCTCGGAAGGGAAAGGACTGGGATACAATAAGCCACTGCTGATTATGTGACCTTGTCCACTAGAGCGATGCTCCCGAGGACCAGGGGAAATGAACTAAGCTGTCTTGAACATTAAATACAGCTGAACAGCCTCCAGAAATAAGCTGGAGGCCTTCAGGTATCATGTGATTGAGGATTTGCAGGCAAAATTAAAGTGGAATGTTGACTGCTCATGTTCACAACTGAAGGGTTTCAAAGCTGTACGTAAGCTGCCTTTGCTTTCAGCAGCAGCGGACGCCGCTAGGGCGATCACGGGCCTATATTACAGGCGTTCCAGGCTGCTCCGCGGCCATACTGACCGGTGTGCAGGCTTTGTTTCTAGCCGATGTTTTTAGAAAATCTCCCTAACAATTCACGAGTGCTCCCTTGAGCGGCTGCCCCAGATAAGAATAGTGGTGATGCACGGAGCTCGACATAGGCCAATGTTGGTTCAATGACTAGTTACGGGCCAGGAGGATTCCACTTCTAGATGCGTATCTTTGTTGCCAGACCCAAGATCTTCTCTGCCGTTTCATTAGCTGCTTCCAGCCAAGGCATGTGGCCGTTTGGCAGCTTGTCCGTCACCTCAATTCCTGCCACAGCCACGAACTTGTCCTGCCCTGGAGGGTGAACCATATGATCATCAGAGCACATCAGGTAAGCCATGTGTCCCTTGTATACATGATCTTCGAACGGGGCATACGGAATGAGCCCCTGCATTGGCTTGATTGCCTGTGTTCGCATCTTCCTAGCCCACTCTCTGGCCTCCTGTTCGGGCAGATTGTGGAACAGGAGAGGTATGGGATCGGGTATCGACAAAAGCCCGGTGGTCTCCTATGAAGTACGCTAAAGTCAGATGTTCTGTCATGGCAAATTAGGATGTTAGAGCTGGGGACAACGCATACATCCAAGCTGACCCACGGCAAGAGCTGTGGTCCGATTCCCATTACTTGGAACAAAGACACCCCGCTGGGTACGCACGGAGCCGCCAGGTACACGATAGCGATGACACCGCCGGTCCGTCCAGCTTGGGCGAGCTCAGACTTGCTAAGGCCTTGCACCGCGCTCGCCCCGTAGACTCCAGCGAAGGAATGCAGCAGAACGATAACCTCCTTTCCTTGGCTAACCAGGGGCTGCAAGACCTCGTTGAGCACAAAGTCAATGTCGGCTTGGAGGTCCGTGTCGCCGTGTGGCAGGGAGGTGGAAGGGGGAGAGCGGCAAACGGATTCGTACCCTCGTTCAGCCAGAGCGTGACGGAGGCCGTCATAATTTGCCGGATCCTGCCAGGCACCCGGAATGATAGCAAATGATGGAAGGTGAGGCTCGAGATCAGACATGTTGGGTGCTATGGGATTCGTGATGGTGCTGGTGTGTGCAGAGAGGCAAGGTGGAATTTGCCCAAGAAATAAATAAGCCAGCACGACCAACGACAATACCAGAAGGATTCAAAAAGCCTCGGATAATTTGTGCAATCACGTTGCACAATACGTGCGGGCTGAGCCACACCCAACGCTGCAATGACGACGAGTTCTGGTATGCATGTCGATTCATTTGCAGACATGATCGACGGGAGTGAGGCAATCCTTCAGTGACAGCAAAGCTCCAAGGGCTATCGGGTAACGTTGTGTCAGCCAGCTTACAATTTGATCCGTGGATTCCTTGCTGCAGGAGTAACCTGCATAGACTGCAGTAGTTGCCCCTGAAGGATTCTGTCTCTGCTTTCGTGTAGCACGACCCTTCTTGCGACAAAGAATTCAAGGATCAGAGTGTATGTTGACACTGACCGCGTCCTTTCGACTAATCCTGGCCCAGCTTCCTAGGTGGGTCAGATCATCGCAAAGGATTATACTACACTAGTAGCTCTTGTCTTGTCATAGCTGCTGTAACGAGGTACCTTGATATTGCAGGCAACATCAATAGCAAGATGGTGGTGTGAGCACTTTTATTGCTATCACACTTCAGCATCGATATATATAGTCATCCCTGAGTCCTTGTGTCGGTGCCTATGGCACACCGGTTTCTACAGTGTCGAATCCGGCTGAGGTGTCAGATAACCAAGTACTTACATCTTTGCTTTAGCCTATACTCGCAGCCCCAGAGACCCGACTCCCGGATTCCACCGACCGACACCCAGCCAACATGCATTTCCTTTGTCTACACGGTGTGGGCACCAACAGCAAGGTTGGTAGAATCCCCGAAGATTGACAGAGACCGCATTATCTGATTTGTGACATACCTCTAGATCTTTGAACTTCAAACTGGTGCGCCAACAGGAGCTCATTGGAGCCCGAAGCGGATCCTGCCTAGTGGATGCTAACCATCTGGCAGCCGCTCTTCGGTATGCTCTTGGTCTTGAGCATACCTACGACTTTGTTGAGGGCGGAGAGAACCATCCGATGGAGCCGCGTATGTGTTCCTACCTTCGTGTTTTCCCATGCTCTTGTCGTCACAGCCTTATACGTCATTGGCAACAGCCGAGCTGAATGCGTAAACACACACATAGATGTTGCGAATCTCATCTCTCCTGATGATACCTTCCATGCGTACTTTGACCCCACATCGGGCCACAGCCTTCTAAACGCTCTCGATGATCTCGATGCGCTTGTCCGCGAGGCAGATCCTCCCTACGATGGCGTCGTTGGTTTCAGCCACGGCTCGACCCTGGCCGCAACGCTGCTTACTCGCCCTGATCAGAGCGCCCAGCCCCCATTCAAGGTGGCTGTCTTCTTATCTCCTGGAATGGCGGCTAATCATGCATCTCTGAGTCAAGACAAGATCGAAATCCTTCAACCAAACACAGTGTACCAAAGGATTTGCATTCCCACAGCACTCGTATATGCAGAGAAGGATGAGGTTGCCCCTGAGCAGGGTGTACTGCTTCAAGGGCTTTGTGACGAGAAGGTGATGCATGTGGCGATTCATCAGTTAGGGCATCAAATCCCTGGCATCAAGGAGAAAAGGGACTTGGAGGAAGCTGTGACCGCCATCACGCTAGCTATTGAAGATGTGTCGAGGAAGTCGGAACGCTGAAGCAATCCATTTACTTGTACTTTCCTTGTGGGAGGAACTTGCAGAGGGGCAAGTGAAATTTTACTCAAATCCACCATGCAGTGATGCATATGATACAGAATTCCGTTTTATCAAAACTGGTCCAAACAAGGAGATGGCATTATATGTGGCATGGGAACGATAAACATCGAGCAAGTCGAGAATTGACTAAGCCGATATTGTATAGCATTAAAATTAGCGGAGGAAAATTAAAACATGAAGAGAAATCGCAAAGTGGAGCCATGTGCGTCGCCGGGACGATTGCAGGTCACATTATAGTCTATCTAGATGCTAAGCTCAAATGTGGTAAATATCTGCTTGCCACATTCCAGTACCCCACCGGACTATTTCTCAAGCATGACATGCAATCTAGTGCTCACCACTCCTAACATCGCTACACAGTGCTAGAATTCTGCTTTGAGCGCACCTTTATCATCAACAAAATGGATGGAAACAACGCGGCACTAAACCCAACAACTACCTTCAGCTGCAGACCATAAGCAGCAGCAAACACATTTCTGGTCACTTCTTGCAACTCAGGCGGGAATGTGAGGATTTGCCGGAAGTTTTGAAGGAGCGAAGAAAGCTGGGAGCTTGTCAATACACCCGAAAGCTGGCCTTTAAGGCGACTGTTCAGAAGCGCAGAGCCGATCGATAGTCCAATGGCACCGCCCTACAGATGAGTTGGTTAATGATGCCCGCTCAACATGGAAAAATATCTTTAAAAAAAACAGATTACCCACCATCTGTCGAAATTGGATCATCGCTCCCGTAGCCGTGGCCAGGTCCCGCGGCTCAACGCTGGCTGGGGTGATGGTGACTAAGGTACCAAATGTAATGCCCACCCCAAAACCAGCTAGGATCTCGTAGCCGTACACTCTCGCGGGAATTGACAAGGCGACAGGCTCGCTGACCAAAAAAGCAAGGCCGACGACTTGGAAGACTGCCCCAGCCGCCAGCAGAAGGAGGGGCACCGGGCGCCGCATGAAAATGATATTGCTCACCAGCGAACCGATGGGGGCGAGCATGGCGTATGGGAGGAGACGTAGGCCTGAATCCAGGGCCGACAGGGAGCTGACTGTTTGAAAGCGTTGAGGGAGGTAGATGACCAGCATGACGAAGGGGACGCCGAGGAAAAAGGACTGCAAGAGCATGCCCATCCAGTAGCGGTTCTGGAAAAAGCGGAACGGAAAGACAGGCTCACAAGGGAAAGTCTCCCTGGTCGCAAAATACTCCCAGCAGACGAAGGAGATCCATAGCACTCCCGAAAGCACCAAAAAGACGATGATTATGGCCGAAGACCAGTAGTAATCTGTGGTGGCCTCGAGAAGTCCAGTGACTAGGAATAGGTTGGCGCCAACGAGAAGGAACGCGCCGACGAAGTCAATCCGCCGAATGGAACGTATGTTACTGGGCGGATGTATCCGCTGACCATGGAAGGGAAACTCGTTCGGGAGAAAGAGGCCCAGGCCAACGATTGCGACGGCACCAATGGGAAGACTATAGGTCAGTCAGTCGCTACGGTCCTGACACAGCGGATAAGGGCGACTGCTCACTTGATGAGGAATACCCAGCGCCATGTTGTGTTATCCGAAATTGCACCTCCGATGATAGGGCCTAGTAGCGTTGCGAGAGCAACATCTGCGGAGAGGATGGAGCCGTATTTCGGGTATTTGTCCTTGGGGATGAGCTCGAAGAATACTACCATGGAGATGGAGAAACAGCCAGCTCCGCCGATGCCTTGCAGGGCGCGGAAAACAATTCTAGACAAGAATTTGATTAACAAGATCCACGTTATCCCAGTCAGAATAGGAGGAGTGAATCTCACAGCATCACCATATTCTGGCTAGCGCCGCAAATGGCCGACGCGACGAGGAAGAGAATGAGGGCCCCGATCAGAGACCATTTTCGCGTGGCGATATCGCTCAGCTTCGCCCAAAAAATGATGAACCCTTCAAATTGCATCAGTACGTTCACACTCGTAACCTTTGTCCATCAGTGGCAGTCGGTGGTCTACCTACCAGTATACGTGATGAGGTACGCAATGACAACCCAGCTTGTCTGGCTGAACCCATTCAAATCATTGGCGATCGTCACCAAAGCAGTGCTCACGATAGAAACCTCGAGATTTGGTAGAAAGATGGCAATAGATATACTGTGTTCAGTGTAAGCAGAGGTGAGTTCCGAAGGCTATAGTAGCCATGAGAATATTGACAGCACCCACCTGAGCAGTAAGATTGCTATTCTCCAACCCGTGACATAGTCGCTCGGTGCCTCTTTTTCCTTGGGGATGGGTGACCTCTCTGCTTGTTGGGACATTTTTTTTTTTCGTTTGGAAACCACTGATATGGGGAAGTTGCAAAGAACACCAGCTGTCGAAGAGGCGTGGAAAGATACAACACGGAGCATATAGATAATTGTGTCTTAGTACTGGGAGAAAGTGGCTTGGAAACCTCGAAGGACACGACAGCTGATTACTCTCTCTATCCTTCGGACTGGCTTGAATCACCACAAGCAAGCCTGGAGTAAGTAGAGCGTCGTAGTCTTTGGGAGAATGTAGAGAGATTTGGTATCGACCCACGTTGATGGCCCAAAAGTTTGGTCCATTTTGCTTGTGCCACAGCAATGCCGCTGCCAGGAAGACTATGCCTGCATGCTTTTTGTAAGACACGTTGCCAAAAGTGTATACTTTGCAACGGTACCTTGTACCGTATGTAGATACTTACCTAAATAAGCATTTTCATCAGGATCAGCAATACCAGTCACCTTACGACGTCTCGAGAAGGCAGGTGAGACAGCGCACGCGCAACTATTAGACAAAACACGTAAAATTCCGCTACTGGGGGTTCCTCCAATGGCGACCGAGTGATCCGGAATCCTTTCCGCCACACCCAAATCCTTCGACTAGCGAGCCTGCAGCCTTCCCACGAATCTGCAGTCATTCAGCAGATCTGCAGCCTTACAGTCCCTGTTCCCTCCGTTCCGAACCCATTTATTCGGTTGGTGCCGCTGACGGCCCGAAGATACGGTATGGAGGGCATCTGATAATCTAATGGTCACCCGGGAGCCGGTGGCTTTGGCTGTCGGTTACCGGTGCGGAAATCCTCCGGGCAATGTGTCTTGGCTTTTGAAGGATTCGAGATGCTTTACAGGCACTGTGACATCCTTTGTACCCCATTTATCTGTACTGGTAGGTTTCGGTGTGACTATCAACAAGTGCGACGGCTGTCACATCTGGAATTTTGCCCACCTCCGGCCTGTGGCACATTCGAATGTCGCGGGACTGCCTATTCGGGTTGCGACGATGTTGAAGGGCTGAGATCCAATATGCTTGACGTAGGACTTGTACTCTGTATTTGAAACTGGGCTTGGAGGATTTGAACGCGCGTTTCTTCCAGCGGTAAACTCGGCTAGCAGTGTCCAGAAAGCTGCATGAGGTGTGTCTACTAACTGTAAAGGGCTGACGTCGATATTTTAGAAGGATAGTTCGCTCTCACCAGACTCTTCAAATAATTTGTTATTATAAGAAAATAGTAAATACAACTGAAATTGTTATATTACAAATTAACCTTTTCATGTATTGGATTATATAATCTTTTGTACCTATATAGCTTTTTTTTCTTCTTGAAATAAGACTATGTTGTTATATTTTGAACAACATACTTTGGCGTATAATATAATAAATCTTTTGTTAAAATGGTTTTATTGTTGAATAATATTAATTATTTTACCTTTTGATTTAAGTATAAAATATACGTAATAGAGTAATAAAATTGTTAAAAGAAATTGCGATTACTTGAAATCTGTTAGTCTAATTCGAAATTTATTTGAAAGCCAATCGTCTCGAAGAATACAAGTACTCTAATAGGAATTGCGCAGCACTGTGTCCAATGTTGTTTGGTCTAGCCGAGTCTGTGTGAGGATCTGCGTTCCAAGGAAAGGATTGAAAGCCCAAGGCTACTCTCTAGATGCAGCTTACGAATTCGGTCGATTCCATGCGCCAAATTCAGCCTCAACGCTTTGCAAAGACGTAGATCATCTACCAGCTCACCGGATGGAGGATCAAGATAGGCGGATGGGGGCGACGCACTTGCCAGCTGTCTTTCGCTTGTACAGAGTACGATGAATCTTTTTGTGTTAGCCTTGGGGCTGACCGAGAATTTGAGTGTCTCTGGACTTGGTCAGGATTTGATGTTGGTGAGGACGGTGGCGAGGTGTCGAAGAGTGCTTGCCTAAACGTGCTTGGTTCTAGGAGACAATTACTAAAGAGAGGTATAAAGATGAATAGGTAGATAGCCGCGAAGTTTCCGCAATCTCAAGCCAGTAAGTCACAAGGTTCCACAGCTCATTCTTTCTCGCTTCAACTCAAGAAAATCAACGATCAGTAGCATGTGCATTTGATGATGGCTCCTGGAAAAACTTATACAGGTCCCTTCCCAAGTGACTTGGGGATGTCTGGGCACCTTGATGGGGGAGAGGCTGTTGACGATGGCAATTCAGTGGAACCCATTGCTATTGTCGGCTTGTCCCTTAAGTTCCCTCAAGATGCCACGTCCCCAGAAGCATTCTGGAACATGATTCTTGAGAAGCGATGTGCTATGACTGAGATCCCCTCAGATCGTATGAACGTGGATGCGTTCCAAGGAACAGACCCAAGTCGTAATGACACGGTAAGTATCTTCTATAAGACGAGAGAAAACGAGATATTAACAGACATATGCGTAGATAACACCTCGTGGCGGGCATTTCATCAATGAGGATATCACGCTCTTTGATGCGCCCTTCTTTTCCATCACGTCGGCAGAGGCAGCATCGATGGATGTACAGCAACGGCAGCTGTTGGAATGTGTCTACCGTGCACTCGAGAATGGTAAGAATCTTATCAGCATACCTACTAGCATTGAAGAGGTCGCAGATTTACTGAAATGCCGAGTTCGATAGCCGGCATGCCCATAGAGAATATGAACGGATCGAGGACATCCGTCCACACCGGTTCATTCTCCGACGACTATCGACTGATGACAATGCGAGACCATGAGTGCATGCCAACTCACGCAGCAACTGGATCTTCAATCAGCATCCTCGCCAACCGCATCAGTTGGTTCTACAACCTGCACGGTCCGAGTCTCCAGATTGACACGGCATGTTCAAGCAGTTTGGTGGCCCTGGACATGGCTTGTCAAGGTCTGAGGACAGGGGGATCAGACATGGTAAGATCCCTTCTGCTCGGGTTAACTTCATCCATACTTGCCTGAATGCTCACAGACACAACCAGGGTATCGTCGCGGGCTCTAACGTCCTCTTCAATATGGACACCTACTTGATCCTCTCCAACATGAACTTCCTCTCCCCAGACAGCCGCTGCTACAGCTTTGACCACCGCGGCAACGGCTACGCCCGCGGCGAGGGCTTCGGTGTCCTCGTGCTCAAGCGCCTGTCCGACGCTGTCCGCGACGGCGACGCCATCCGCGCCGTGATCCGCGCTTCGGGCTCCAACTCGGACGGCCGCACTCCGGGTATCGCGCAGCCGAGCGGCGATGCCCAGGAGGCGCTCATCCGCGAGACGTACGCCAAGGCTGGGCTCAGTCTGGACACGACGCGCTTCTTCGAAGCCCATGGGACGGGAACCGCTGTCGGCGACCCCATCGAGGCGCGGGCGATGGGCGCCGTCTTCGGCCGGCACCGCAGCCCGGACGAGCCGCTGTACGTGGGCGCGGTCAAGTCGAATGTGGGTCATCTGGAGGGCACCAGTGGCGTGGCGGGAGTGATCAAGGCGGTTTTGGCGCTGGAAAAGGGCGTCATACCGCCCAACACGAACTTCGAGCTGCTGAACCCTAGCATCGATGCCGCCTCCCTCAACCTGCGCTTCCCGACGGAGGCGGTCCCTTGGCCATCGCGCGGATTGCGTCGGGCTTCAGTCAATTCTTTTGGCTTTGGAGGGTCCAATGCACACATTGTGCTAGATGATGCACACAACTTCCTAAAGGCGAAGCGGCTAGCAGGGTTTCACAACACGGTGAAAATCCCTCCCACCCGGGAGCAGATTGCCCAAGCTTTGTCTGGTCAGCAGAACAGTCGTCTCAACGGAGAATATCGCACGCCTCAGGATGAGGAAGGGTCTGGTCCCGCGCTTCTTGTCTGGTCTGCTGCAGATGAAGGGGGAGTCAAGCGTCTTGCGGACGCGTACAACAACTATTCTCACTCGCTGGCTCTGGACGCTGAAAAACGTCGCACATATCTGTCTGACCTTGCTTATACGCTCGCTCGGCGACGAAGCACATTCCCCTGGCGGTCATATGCAGTCAGCAACTCAGCAGCCAGTTTAACACAAGAAGATGTGTCACTGTCCAGGGCTACACGCTGCTCACGCAACCTCGGCCTTGGATATATCTTCACCGGTCAGGGTGCACAATTCGCGGGCATGGGGCGAGAGTTGCTCGCTTATCCTGTCTTCAGAGCCACGCTACAGCGTGCCCAGCTCTACCTTTATGAGCTAGGATGCAAGTGGTCCTTGATGGAGGAGCTCCTCCTCGACAAAGCGACATCCAGGGTCAACCGACCAGACATGAGCCAGCCCCTTTGCACGGCCCTGCAAATAGCCTTGGTGATGCTTCTACAATCATGGAATCTTGCACCAAAGGCCGTCGTGGGCCACTCTTCGGGCGAAATTGTCGCTGCCTATTGTGTAGGCGGCCTCTCACTGCGCTCAGCATGCAAGGTCGCTTTTCTCCGCGGCAAGCTTGCGGCCGAGCTGGCCACAAGCTCTCCAAGAGCGTGCACAATGATGGCTGTCGGTCTCTCCGAGATGCAAGCCGCGGAGTACATTAAGTGCGTCACTCAACAATTCCCCAACGAGAAATGTGGCATCGTCGTGGCCTGCATCAATAGTGCGACCAGCGTAACTATATCAGGCGATGCCAACCAGATCGAGGCGCTGCGAGTGCTCTTGTTGCAAGACTCGATTTTTGCGCGCCGGCTACAGGTGGACGTTGGATACCACTCGCCTCAGATGGAGCAAATCGCCGCCCAATACCTGCGTGAATTGGACCAGCTGGAACTGGGCGTGCCTTTGCCCGGTTGCACGACCATGATATCCTCCGTTACCAACGCCCCGATCAAGAGCCTTGAGGAGCTGTCTCATGCCAGCTACTGGGTGAAGAACCTAGTAAGTCCCGTGCGATTCTCCGATGCCCTTGCTTCGCTTGTGTCGATGGGTGCCAAGAGTGCCCGTAAGAAGCTTGGGGGTGTCAAAAGCGCGGCCGCCAAGGACGCCATCGCTGTATACGACTTCCTGGAGATCGGTCCTCACGGTGCCTTGGGAGGCCCGGTCAGAGAGATTCTTAAGACTTCGCCGCGAGGGAAGGAGGTCAGCTATGCGTCTTGCCTTACCCGCAATGTGCCAGCCGTGGGCACAACACTAGCAGCTGCCGGGCGCCTGTGGTGTCTCGGATACCCGGTCGACGTGGCCGTGGCCAACCACTTCCAGCCTGGGAAACTGAGGCCGCGGATGCCACTGACTGACCTTCCCGAGTACCCGTTTGACCATTCCCAATCCTACTGGCACGAGAGCCGCGTCAGCAAGGAGTATCGCCTCCGGAAGCATGCGCGCCGTGACTTGCTGGGAACCCGTAGCGTTGACTGGAACCCTCTTGAGGCGCGATGGAGGAAGTTCATCCGCATCTCCGAGACGCCTTGGGTCGATGACCATGTCGTGAATGGGTCCACCATCTACCCAGCTGCGGGGATGTTGGTGATGGCAATCGAAGGGGTCCAACAGCTTGTAGAGGATGCGTCGAGCGCGATGACACGATCGATTAAAGGATATCGAGTCACAGAGGCAACCTTCCAGCGTGCCCTTGGCATCGACTCGACAACGGATAAAGGAACCGAGACACAGCTGTACATGCGACCGATCCAAGATGCCGCAGCCGGAAAGGAGGCCAGCCGCTTTGAGTTTCGCATCTGCACCGTCGAAGGGAATCAGTGGAGCGAGAACTGCCGTGGACAAATCCTGATCGAGTACGAAGAAACTGAGCCCAATGATGTCGACGGTGGATTGGGGATCAGGGCAGCAGATGAGGCCATGTGTGCTCTGTTGGACGCAAGAAGCAAGGCCTGTACTCAGACAGCGGACATACCGGCGGTCTATGACCACTTTCACAAGATGGGCCTCAAATTTGGACCATCGTTCCAGACCTTGGATAGAGTCCATTTCAACAACGATGGACAGGTCGTAGCCAATGTCAAGACGTTTGAGTGGGAGGCCACCGACGGCAAGACCAACCCTCGTCAGCCCCATCTCATCCACCCCACCACCCTCGATGCCTTCATCCAGGTCATCCTGGCGGGTCTGACCAGAGGCGCAACTCGCAAAATTCCCACCACGGTCCCTACTCGGGTCACAGATCTGTGGTTGTCGAACACCGGTTTATCATATCCAGATGTCACTGGCCTCCGAGCCACGTCTTGCCAGCTTTCACGCGGCGCCCGCCAGACCCAGTCGTCCCTGGCAGCATTCGGACCAGATAATCAAATTCGTGCTTCGATAGCAGTGCTTGAGACGACCAACATAGATGCTCAGAACAGTGCCGGGGACTCGGAGAATGAGAGTCGACGAAGACGGCTTTGCTACCATATGGACTGGAAGCCGGACTTTGATTGCCTCTCCTCATCGCAAGGCCCAGAGTATTTTGGCGCAGCCAAGGCAGTCAACCCAGTGACGGCCTTGTTCTACCAGGACCTAGCCTGCTTCCTCTATTCGACCATCGTCAGGACCCTGCAACAGCTCGACCCAAGCCGCATCGATCCCTCGAAGATACAATACATCGAGTGGATGAAGCTGCAGGTCCAGCGCTTCAACAAGAACCAGCTCCTCCACCAGCAGCCGGACTGGGCGGTCAGGGTCGCGGATGTCCGCCACCAAGAGGTCATCTCGCGGCGCCTGGAGAGCTTGAGCACTGAGGGGCGTTTCTACGTCCAGGTGGCGCGCCAGCTTCTCCCAATCCTCCAGGGGGAGGCCGACGCCCTACAGTTGCTGTTCTCCGGCGATCTGGTCAAGGAGTACTACCTCGAGATCAACTCGCGACTGTCCGATGCCTTCGCCCGCGTTGTCGACCTGCTGGCGCACAAGAATCCCGGCCTCAAGGCTCTCGAGATTGGCGCTGGGACGGGCGGCACCACCGCGCATATCCTCAAGCCCCTGTTCAATATGGACGGCGGCGACGACGAGCACGGCAACAATGACAACAACGCCATGCGGAGCCCACGATGTGCTCGCTATGACTTCACCGACGTGTCGCTGTCCTTCTTCGAGCAAGCGCAACGCGACTTTGCCGCGTACGCGCCGCGCATGCGCTATGCGGTGCTCGACATCGAGCAGGACCCGGCCGCGCAGGGGTTCGCCGACGAGGCCGGCACGTACGACCTGGTCGTCGCGGCCAACGTGCTACACGCGACGCGCAACCTCGACACCACTCTGCGCCATGTGCACGCGCTGCTGCGGCCCGGCGGCCGGCTGGTGCTGCTCGAGCAGACGGGCGACTTCGCGCGCGGCGGGTTCGCGTTCGGACTGATGCCGGGCTGGTGGCTGTCCGAGGACGGGTACCGCTGGTGGGGGCCGACCATGTCGCCGGAGAAGTGGGATGGGGTGCTGATTGCCAATGGTTTCAGCGGGACGGATTTGGTGCTTAGTGACTATGGGGACGAGAAGTGTCAGGAGCTGAGCATCATTGTCTCCACGGCACAGAAGGCGGATCGTAACAAGGCAGCTCGAGCGCCTCACATCTCGCTGGTGACAACAAGAGAAGCACCCAAGGCGGAGCAAGTGGCTCGGCAGCTTCAACAGTTGATTGCCGTCCAGTATGGAGTCACTTGTGACATATCATACTTGGAAGAGGAAAGCAGTCTACCGAGTGGCGCTTTTTGTGTCTTTCTGGTGGAATTGGATGCACCTTTGCTTCACAGCATCGGCGAGCAGACCTTCAAGCGGCTTCAGGCGACGCTACTATCCGCGCAAGGGCTCGTCTGGGTGACGGGAGGCGGAGGCGACAAGTGGAGTGCCCCGGAGTACCATGTGGCGGATGGTCTCCTGCGCGGTCTTCGCACAGAAAACGCCATGCTGAAAGCAGCCACTTTGGCCATCGACCCGGACCGACAGACGACAGACATTGCGGAGGTGGTTCTTCAGGTTCTGGACAAGGTCCTCTCCTGTGCAGTCGACGACTTGGAGGTCGAGTACCGAGATCAAGAGGGCCTGCTGCTGACAAACCGCGTAGTTGAAGCCGACCACATGAACGAGCACATCCACAACACCGTCCAGCCCCTGAGGTCCAGGGTCGAGCCATTCGGCGAGCCGAGTCTACCGCCGCTGGCCCTTCAGTTTCAGACGCCTGGCTTGCTGGACTCTCTCCGTTTTGTTGAAGACGAGGCCGCTCGGCGACCCCTACGGCCTAACGAGGTCGAGATCGAAGTTATGGCCGTGGGCGTCAACTTCATGGACCTGCTGACAGCGTTAGGGCGCATTAACCAGGTTGAAATCGGCGGTGAATGCGCGGGTATTGTCTCCCGCGTGGGCGGAAACGCCGCGGTGTCCGGCCTCAAGCCCGGAGACCGCGTGTGCGCCGTCGCCTTTGATTGTTTCAAGACGTATGCGCGCGCGGACGAGCGCACGGTCGTCAAGATCCCATGCGACCTCTCTTTCACCGATGCGGCGGCGCTACCTGTCACGTATACAACAGCCCACTACGCGCTCGTCGTGGCCGGCCGCCTCCGAAAGGGTGACAGGGTCCTCATCCACGCCGCTGCCGGAGGAACGGGCCAGTCGGCCTTGCAGCTCGCCCAGCATCTCGGGGCCGAGGTGTTTGCCACGGTGGGCTCCCTCGGCAAGAAGCGGCTGCTGATGGACCGGTACGGCATCCCAGAAGACCACATATTCTACAGCCGCGACACGTCCTTTGCGCAGGGGATTATGCGGATGACAGGCGACCGTGGCGTCGACGTCGTGCTGAACTCGCTCGCGGGCGACGGGCTCGCGGCGAGTTGGGCGTGCATGGCAAGCTTCGGCCGTTTCATCGAGATCGGCAAGAAGGATATCCACGCCCACTCAAGGCTAGATATGTTCTACTTTGCCAAGAACGTTTCGTTCACGGCGGTGGACGTCTTCGGCATGACCAAGGAGCGCCCGGCTCTTGTGAGGGAGTCGCTTTCGGCGGCGATCGAACTCGTCGCGGCTGGGCTGGCGAAGGCGTCGCACCCGGTGCAGACATATTCTGTCTCGGAGATTGAGACAGCACTGCGGTACATGCAGAGCGGAAAGAGTGCGGGCAAGCTAGTGATCGAGATGAAGAAGGAAGACAAGGTTCTTGTAGGTTCTCTCCCATCCCTCCTCTCCAAGAGTATGGATCCCTCTGACAGCGGCTGACTTGCTACGAATGTGGACAGACTGTGCTGAAGCGCGATTGCCGCTACTCCTTTGACTGCAACGCAACCTATGTGATTGCTGGAGGATTTGGCGGCATCGCCCGCCGCACCGCACGCTGGATGGTAGACCGGGGAGCGCGCCACCTTCTTCTCCTCAGTCGCTCTGGACCCAAATCAGACGCAGCTAAGGAACTCATCCAGGACCTCCGCAGCAAAGGAGTCCAGGTACAGCACCCTCGCTGCGACGTGGCATCTGAGCAGTCAGTGGCCGCTGCACTGGCCGAGTGCGCCATGCCCCCAGTCAGAGGTTGTATCCAGGGAGCAATGGTTCTCCGCGACGCCATGTTCGACAAGATGACCCACGCTGAGTGGACAGCTGCCTTACAGCCCAAGGTCGACGGCTCGCGAGCCCTCGACCGCTGCCTCCCCTCTGGGCTCGACTTCTTCATCATGCTCTCCTCGGTCGTCGGCATCCACGGCTCGGCGGGCCAGTCCAACTACGCGGCGGGGGGTACGTTCCAAGATGCGCTGGCGCGGCACCGCGTGGCCCGCGGCGAGCGCGCTGTGGTGTTGGACCTCGGGTGGATGGTAGACGACGGCATTATCGCTGAGAGCGAGTTCCTGACACGGACATTCGAGGCGGCGGGGCTCATGATGCCGCTCAGCTCGGGCGAGTACCTGGCCCTGCTTGAGTACTACTGCAGCCCGGATGTTCGTGACGCGCAGGATGCCCGCGCCTGCCAGGTCATGATTGGGCTTGAGAGCCCTGCAGCGCTCGTGGCCAAGGGCGCTGATGTGCCCGCGTTGCTGCAGCGGTCGACGTTCCGCTACATGCATACGATGGCGCTTGACAACGGGGAATCAGGGGCCATTGATGAGACGTCTCTGAATGATGGCCAGAAGGCTGCGAGGAACTGGTCCCTTTCCTTCAAGGAGGCGAGCTCGTCGGCGGATGCTGGAGACATTGTTGTGGATGCATTGACGCACAAACTGTCGCGGGCATTGTCCATCCCTCCCGGTGATATCGATACTATGCGCCCGCTACACTCCTACGGCGTGGACTCTCTGCTAGCTGTCGAGCTGCGAAACTGGTTGGCCAAGGAGTTTACGGCTGATGTGGCTGTTTTCGAGATTATTGGTGCAGCTAACTTCGGTGTGCTGGGCGCAACTGTACTGGCAAAGAGTCAGAGTCGCCAGGGAGATCAAGGGACAGCCTAGCTCGGCATAGAATAGAGGATATAGAGTCAAGACAAGGATATTCGAATGCTGTATACCTAGTTTAATATGATGGTTCCACGGTGTATAGATTGTAAATCTAACTGTCGTAGTCAGATACAGTATGCACATATTTGAAGCGCGATGATGTTTATTTTTGGGCTTGGGACTATGGAGGGAAGTTCATCTCCAGCATGGCAGCTGGTGACCAAGTGCAGACCAGCTGGCCGCTCTGAGGGACCCGATGATGAGCCGTAGCACCAACCTGCCTGTGATTGTCTGTCAAATGCCCATTGATCAACATCAACTGACGTCGAAACATTGGACGCTGCCATTGGCAATCTGGTCACGAGGTGCATGAGTTACCGATTCAGAGACCAAGGAGTTGTCTCCATCCTCCATAAGCCTATACGGGAAGCAATCAAACCAACCATCAAATCAGCAATTTCTCCCGCGGAGATGTCAGACGCGCAATGAAGCTCACTTGCATGCTTCACCCATTCCAACCACCTGGCAGTCCTTGATCATGATGGTGAGCATACCTCGGCGGCTCAACAATGAATTTGGACCCCTTTCGAATGTGAAGTCCCATGTAGCCATATCCACCGCAGGTGTCGTCGTAGTCGCCAGAACAAGGGAAGTTGCAGTAGCTGTCCGGCACAGGACGAACGTCTCCGTGGACGCTATTGCCACACCAGCACTCGTGGCCGTATTCAAGACCAGCAAGACAGTATCCCTCGATTTCGCATGCGGCAATGCATTTCTCAGTGGTGGCGCAGCTGGTGTCCCAGTTCACAGCGTGGTGGTTGAGGGCCCGGACGTTGTGCTTGGTATCACTATAAGATGTCGTTTAGTAAAGCCTCGGAGGGGCGAAGTGGGTGGGATGTGACAGACGACCAGCAGTGGCTTTCCACAATAGTCCAATCATGAGACGCCGCGGTGTAAGTGCTATCATGAGAGATGTGGGCCGCGACAGCGGCGACCAATAAAGCTGAGATCACAATGGGAGTAGGACAACGCATTATAAGAACCAGGATAGCTTTTGGATATCAACATCTCGTCGAAAGGCTTCAAGATGGAGCTTGGTCCTCCGGAGTTATGTTAACATGATACGTGAATCGAGGTAAGGTCACCCCGCTGTGCCCGCTTTGTGTCATAGCGACCAATGGCTTCCAGCTTCTACAGAGCCGTCGCAGCCGCGGGTACGTTGTCACCATTCAATGAAGATATCCGAGCGCTCAGGCTTTCCCAGACTTATCAAGACAACCATGTCACTAGCGCTTCGTGTACGCTCAGCATGTTCGTGAACCCCACCCCAAGGGCACAAAAAACAGCAAAGCCACAGGCGAGTAGTCCTGAGCAAGCACATAACGGCTTCCGCAGAGGTGGGCTCTGCGTAGCACGATAATCATCTCGGCTTCTTTTACGGTGAGATAAATGCAAGATCAAATCTGCGGGATACAGCAGCTGGCATTGAGACCTAATTAGGTATGCCACGGCCGTAATGTCCAACCTAGCAAGGCGCAGTTCTGTGGACGATCTATAGGAAGAACATTAGACACACTTAAAACACAAACTCGTATGACCTTAGTTGAAGAGTGGGTTTGAGCTAAGTGGACTATTGGTGACGATTGTCAGGCGCTATTTACACGTCTTGACACCGTCGTGGACTGGCTAGGCTAGTGCTGTTGCCGAGTCTCGCCTGTGACTGGAGCAACATACTCGCCTCACCATCGTCTTTGGCTTCTCTTTCTTCCTCCTCGTGTCTCTTCAACTTCAGCCGCCGGCTTTCAATAAGACGAAGCACAATTCAACGTGTCATGGTGAAAGCCTCAAGTTGAGCAATGATCAGTACACTGCAAAAGCTATCCAATTACGACCTGGACGCCAAGCTACCAAAGCCATTTGAGGCAATTACTGTTATGGCATGAATCGATCTGGTGACCCACCTTATTGGGTGTCCATCACCCTTGTATGGACAGCATGGTTATTTCTCACAAAATGCTTCTTTCAACATATGCCGATGAGCTTTCAAGCTCACCGGCACTCGTTTTAGCCTCATGGATTTTAAGCCCAGCAGGATCTGAAGCGCAATTTCCCGGCTCGCAACCATCCAACGAGAACACGAAGTGATGGTGATGCGCGACAGGGGATATCAGCCGCAATGCTTCCTTCCGCACCGCCACGTCCCCGCGCCCTTCCAAAATCCAGAGAGGAGTGTGAAGTAGGATTTCGTGAGGCAGCAGCTTTCAGTGCATTTCTGACCAGCGGTTTTCGTGACTTGAGCCCTTTTATTTAGCCCAAAGATCTTGCACTCTGCCTTCAACAGCACAATCCGCCTTGAATGTCACCAATTCCTTCCAGACAGGCATCGACTACGGACCTGGCATTTCCAATTCTTCTTCAATTTGGACACCACTACCACAACTATGGTTAGAAGAGGGATTGTACCTCCTGTGAAAGGAATAGGTGCAGGGGCCAAGGGTGGGGCCGCCGACATACCTTCCACCAACGGTGTAACAGGAGGAGGATATCCGAGACCAATTACGCCAGGCTCAGCGACACCAGACTCTGATGTACCGCGGCTAGGACAGGGAGGCGATGATATTGGCACATACAAACCACCCGTCACCGGTGCCGGTGACACGTTGTCATCGCCAAATCAATCCGGCAGCGGCACGGCAAGCTCATCGACGAATCCGTGTGCGCGAAACAAGGACAGCTGCGATGCCATCAAAGACGTCGCGGAAGAACTCGTCGGGCAGATCATAGACGCCATCGGAGACGCGGCCGGGCCAGAGAGCTCGTCTGGGGTTTCGGACGCAGCGACACCGTCAACGAGCCTGAGCGTCGTCACCCCGTCTCCGACACCGATGCCGAACCTCAACACGTCCATGTGGATGGATCTATCCGACTACGAAGCGCTGTTCACAGAAGACGAATACAGCATGCTGAAGGACGACCCGCTCTGCTTCTACGCCAACTTCGGGCGCCTCTACGAAAACTACGCCAACGAATCTACTGCGTCGAAACCAACTGCGTCGGTCACAGGAGCCGCACCGCCAGTCAAGCGCACCGCTAAGGTGAGGCCAAGAGGCGCGGACTCGGACCTAGGATACAACTACGCGGGTGGTGACCCCGGCACGTCGGCGGCAGACGCTAGCCAAGACTCCGACGACGAGGAGGCCGCCAGCACGCTGTACCTCAGCTACCTTCCCGACCAGCTGCGGCTTGTATATACGGCGACACCAACATCCTTGACGGTGACTGCCACGGCGACAACGACTTGTTCGGGGCTCAGCGACCTGGGCATCGAGAGTTTCGCGACGCCGTACGTCGTCTTTGGCTATCGGGAGGAATACTCGGCGATCGAGACCGAGAGCGCGAGCTCGAGCAGCGTGGTGAGCGGTGTCTCAGGGAATGGGGCAGTGCCTTGGTCTGGGATGGTGATGTTGGGTCTATTGTGGTTTGCGAAAATGTTTTGAAAGGGAGAAATGCGATAAAGTATACCATGATACCCAAAATGTAGTGTGTAGTTCTTATCTACGTTTTTCGTATTAATGCTTTGGCCTGAACCTAGATACCGTAGATATAATGCCTGCTTGGAAATCCACCGAGTAAGATAGTGATTCGCCGACTTCCGAAAGAGGGGCTCATTTGTGCAAGCAGGTGGCAGGGCAGCCCCCTCCGGCGTCACCGCGGCTGTTTGCGCCTCCCGTTGGCAATTTAGGCCGCTTCGGTGCAGGCGAGGGAAGGTTGGACGATCTTCCCTGTGAGTGCAACCACACCTGGCCAGGAACTCACAGACAGACAGCTCAGGGCTATCCGCCAGCCCGCCTCCTTTCCTCTTCAGGGCGCAATTTTGATCAACCAATTCCTGCACGTGCTTACCTGCCTAAGAGAGCCTGTACCCCGGAATTCCCCAGCTGCCTATTGCTCAGGCAGTGAAGTCTAAGAGGTCAGGGGGGTGCTCGCAGATAGATAGGGAAGGCCACGTTATCGTGTCATTGGATCCTTTCTGCGTCGATGATTAAACTCTATTCTCCAAAGAACTCAGCGCATTCCGCAAAAAGAGTTCAAAATATAAGCTCGCGAGCGTTCAACACTGTCATTAAGATGCTTGAGGAAGTCATGCTGTTTTTGGTCGACTCTCATGATCCAAGACAGTCAGTCGATCATGGAAAATTTGGTTCTGCCCCTTGACTCGCTGGCGCTCAGTTCTCTTCTGTTCGGCCTTCCGGATGCGGACAAGTGACTCGAGTGGCAACGCCTGGGGAAGCAGGGATTGCTGCAGCACTGCAGGACTAGGACACGCATGCATGTGCTGCGAGACACCTAGCACGACCTAGCTCCTGGGCCGAGACTGGTCTGCACCTGGGAGGGCCCTGTGCAATCACTGGCATCTTCGGGAGAAGCTGAGAGGAACCGCCTTCTAGAAGGATTTCCAGACGTCCAACTGCAACTTGGGACCGCCGCCGACGATTTAGACCCCCCTACTGACGAGATATGGACTGGCCAACCACGGGCGCGAGTCGCCATTGTTGACAGAGCCGCTAACAGCCGTGTAACGTTGAGTCGTACTGTTGGCTTAGAGAGGCCAACAGTCGCCCGAATTCGACACCGAGTGGCCAGCGCCGTTAGAGTGCCACCACGGTGTAAAAAGTTCGTCCCTCGGCAGGCCTTGGATAGTGCTTAGAAGTCTGAAGGATTTGGGACGACTGGGAGTGAAAGATAGAGGAACAGAGATACCAGTCGGGATGCTTGGCGGGCGAAAAAGATCCGAGCCTCTCACAAGACACACGCTTATCTGGATATCCGCCGTCTTCCAGCTGCCATCTTATGGCCCGTGTCGGTTCATCTCAGGGTCTTATCGAGATTCCCAGTCTGGCCTCCTCCACAGCCCGGACCTCAAACTCAATCTGGCATCTTGGCACCGTATGCCTCCCTGCTGGACCCGGGCCAAGCTTTCTGTTTCTGTGACATTGTTTCTCAGTTGGCTGGCGCGGTAGCTGCATGGGGGGTAGGGCGGTGGGGTGTGACCTTGGAGCCGACAACTGGGTTCGATAAAGCTGACAAGGATAACCTACATGCCAGCGGCGATATAGCCCTTGGCGTTGATCTAGAATGCGACCCATCTGCCCACACACCTTGACATGATCAGCAAGACATTATAATAAGAAGATGGGGTCGTCCCTGGGATGGATGCACCTGCGCGTCTGCCCTCCTCCACATGTCGTTGCTCTGCATGCTCTGAACTTACCGTTCCTTTGGATCCGCGCTCGCGCTTCCCCCACACGTCTAGGCAAAAGACCGGCTCGGTATCTAGTACGGTTATCAAGGGTAACCTCAGGGCGGGGCCGACTAGGCGTGTGACCGTCGAGTCGTACAGACCCTTAGTACAGACTTCGGTTCAACCTGAAGATTCTGCTCGACCAATTTCCCTTCTCAACGCCGTCAAGCCTCCTCGATTGCAACCATGGGCTCCCACGACGGATCCGTCGACAGCTCCCACGCAGGCACCCACGACGCGACGATGAGCTCCGGCAGCACCGCGGTCGCCACATCCGGGCCGGGCCAGCACAATCGCTCGGCCCAGCAGGATGTCTATGTCAACCCGGATCCGGTCCTGGACATCTCTCACGAGCACCACCATGCCCACGTCCACCACGGCAAGACAGCGATCCCGGACGAGAAGGACGACATCGTTTTCGCCAAGGCCTCCGACAAGTACACCGGCGACGCGGATGTCCCTGACTACAAGGTTCGCCAGATGTCGTCGTCCGTCGAGGACGAGGAGAGCGGCCGTGTCGGGGACATCGACAACGAGAGCAAGGCGGCCAAGAAGTGGTCGTTCCGGTGGGTGTACCGGAAGTACAAGATATTTTTCCACCTCTTCATCTGGGCGGTGTTCACCGCGTAAGTTTTGCCTGACATAGACACTTGGACGCAAGTGAATTGCTTATGTGCCGTGCGTGATGCTGACCAGTGAATGATGTTGACCAGCTGGTGGATCTTTGGCCTTGTCTTCCACCGCAGCGACAGCAACCTCGGCTGGCTCAAGCCGACGCTGTTTTATATCGCTATCACCATCCGCATCGTCACGCTCTGGGTCCCTGTCTCTGTGGTCATGAACCCAACCAAGACCGTCTGGCGCCACACGGCCTACAGGGGCTACGAGGCCATCCCGGCGAAGCTGCACAAGCCCCTGGCCGCTTTCGTTACCGTTGCTGTCTTCCTCATCGGATCCATGGTCCCGGCTGAGACGGGCCAGAACACGCGCGCCAACCGGGCCGTGTCGCTGTTCGGCCTCGTGGTCATGATTGCCGTGCTGACCGCCACGTCGCGAGACTGGCGGAAGATCCCGTGGCACACGGTCATCGGCGGCATGTTGACGCAGTTCATCATCGCCGTGTTCGTGCTGCGCACACAAGCGGGCTACGACATCTTCGCCTTCATCTCGGAGATGGCGCGCACGCTGCTGGGCTTTGCGGCCGACGGCGTGGAGTTCCTGACCTCGAGCGACGTCACCAAGCTGACGTGGTTCCTGACGGGCGTCGTGCCGCCCATCATCTTCTTCGTCGCGCTGGTCCAGCTACTGTACCACGTCGGGCTGATCCAGTGGTTCGTCGGCAAGTTCGCCACGTTCTTCTTCTGGACGCTGCGCGTGTCGGGTGCCGAGGCCGTCGTCGCCGCCGCCACTCCCTTCATCGGCCAGGGCGAGTCCGCCATGCTTATCCGGCCCTTCGTCCCGCACCTGACCCTCGCCGAGATCCACCAGGTCATGACCTGCGGCTTCGCCACCATTGCCGGTTCCGTGCTGGTCGCCTATATCGGGCTCGGGCTCAACGCCCAGGCGCTCGTGTCGTCGTGCATCATGTCGATCCCGGCCTCGCTCGCCGTCTCCAAGATGCGCTACCCCGAGACGGAGGAGACGCTGACCTCCGGCCGCGTCGTCGTGCCCGAGGACCAGGAGCACAAGGCGTCCAACGCGCTGCACGCATTCGCCAACGGTGCATGGCTGGGCATCAAGATCGCGGGCATGATCATCGCGACCCTGCTGTGCATCATCGCCTTCGTCTCCCTCATCAACGGCTTCCTGTCCTGGTGGGGCCGCTACTGGAGCATCGACAGCCCGCCCCTGACCCTTGAGCTCATTCTCGGCTACCTCCTCTTCCCTGTCGCTTGGCTGCTCGGTGTACCAGGCCCGGACGTCCGCAACGTCGCCCAGCTCATCGGCATGAAGATTATCACCAACGAGTACGTCGCCTTCAACAGCCTGACCACCGAGGAGCCTTTCATCAGCATGGCCGAGCGCTCAAAACTGATCGCAACCTATGCATGCTGTGTAAGTAACATTTTGAATCCCCCCATCCATGTATCCGGTGCTAATTCTGGCGATAGGGCTTCGGCAACATTGGCTCCCTCGGAACACAGATCGGTGTCCTCTCCCAGATCGCTCCTGGCCGTGCAGGCGACGTTTCCAAGGTCGCTCTGTCTGCCCTGTTCTCGGGTGTCCTGGCCACGCTGACTTCAGCCAGCGTCGCTGGCATGTTGTTCACTGACGGCGTTGGTGGCGCTTAGTTGCACTTCCTTCCACGAGGAGAACGTGAAGTGGTGGTAGTAGTTTCGAAAAGTGAAAAAAATCTATAATCTATCTAGAAAAACGAATAATTTGAATGAATATATTTCTGCCTTGCAGCTTCCTTCGTAGCTGCTTGGCATCGCCAAGATGCTAGCTCGCCGGATGAGTCACTACCCATGAAAGCTCCGTGGCGTGACAGTTCACATAAATGATTGATGCTGCCACTCGTGTCTTCTAAGTCTATCAATACCTGCTTTCGCTGGAGACTGATATCCTGTGTCTTTCGTCTGTGGGACGGCAGTCTATAATACAGTATTACGTATTTATTTAGAGTGATGACCCACTCGATCCATGGTCTGTTGCTGTTGCATGAACATAGGTCAGCTCTTTGACAAATGCGGATCATTCTTCCCTGAGCAAACTACCAGTACAAACACATCCCTTTTCGCAGCTCGCCCTGACTTAGTTCGCCTATGCTTCCGTCTGATCCATGTTGTATGTTGAAACACCTGCTGCTGATATACACAAAGTAGCCATGAAATCTGTGAACCTTGATCCCTTATTTTCTAGTCTCTGGCTCTAATACTGTCGATATGGAGAATAAACACCTGAATATTTGCGTATCTTGGTAATTAGTCAGTTGTTTATTGATGGACACCATTAAAATGACAATGTTATTTCAAAGATATTAACCGATATAATGTGTAGATAATTTGGATGTTTTCATCATCAGAACCATCAGCAATCTCAAATATGTGATGAACAAGACCTTGCATAGGTGTATTGCATGATTACGTACTCTACCAACCCATTACATTCGGTTGTATCGTTTGTAATATAACGGAGAAATAGAGTCCGGTACGAGAATAAGTGACACATTGTGACACAAGTTTTGCTCGTGACTTCTTGTACGTGAGGCTATTGGACAACACTCCTCGCTGATGCCTTACTCGGCCCCAATCCCACTGCGACATACAGGAGCCACTCATTCTGCATACTTCGACTGCACCGGTTTCAGGTATTCAACCAATTCGACGCCCAGCTCTGTCCTACGTCCCCCGAACCTAAGTCCTTCTATTACATGTCAAGGTTGCAACGTTGTAGTTTAACGACTTCCCTATCGATAGGCTCCTATCGCCCCGGCTGTCTCGACTCTCTCTGGGCACAAAAGGCGACGTCGAATCACCTGCCTTATGTAGGACCATTGCGTCAAACACCTCAGTTCGAGTCTGACAAGGCGAGTGAACTGCAGCCCCAATGCTGATCCCAGCCAAAATGGTGTGTGAATGCACCATTCCTTCCAAAATTGGGGGCTATGAACCAAGCTTTTGACTAGATCATTCGGGTAGCACGGGTTCAGCCTCGTGGTTCCAACTCCTGGTCATTGATGTGGTGGTCAGCATATACCGTTTTGGGTATGGTCCAAGACCTGTGCAAGCGGCATGAATGGTCCGGGGGCTCACTCTAAAGCTCCTTGCCACTGTCGTGCAACCGACGAGCCTGAAGTTCTCATGCAGCTTATTGTTACCTAGGTAGATAGATATTTATTTCTATTCCGGGACCCAGTCCCATGCTTTTCATCCCGACAATTGAACTTTCCGAATGTTTTAAGAAGCCCGCTCTTCCCTATTCTCGCAATTTTATACTTTTCGGGGTATTTTGACACCACTCGTGAATTCTAACTTTCCAGGGATCTTGATCCACGGGTTCAACATGCCATTCCGAGTCTTTGAAATAGCCGACCAGGGAGCCTGTTTTGTCATATCAATTATCTGCGCCCTGTGCTGTGTTACGGCAATTGTGCTTCGCTTCGTGGCAACTCATCGATCCAACCGCAAGGCTGCTGTAGAAGACTGGCTTGCCCTGGCTGCGGTCCTGGTGTTTCTCGCTCGAATTGGATTTGTGTTAAATTGTAGGACGCCCTTTCTTATTGCCTTCCAATTTCTGACTTAGACATTTGTTATCTCGTGAGCTTACACTTGTCACTAGGTCTCATAATTCTTAATGGCCGCACACTAGATCTGACCCTTGGCGAACAGAGCTTCGAAAAGGTTATGAAGGTGCGTTCGGTAGCTTTGAAAAGCCGTATATCCTGCATAATGCTTTCCTTGCTGACCTTTCTCAACGTCAGATGATATTTCCCGCTACTATCTTCGCCATGCTGGATCAGACCTTTGCCAAGCTAAGCATATGCGCTATTTACCGTCGAACTTTCGGCGTGAACCAGGTGTACAGACGCTGGATATACTTCCTCGCTGCAGCTCAGTGTGCGACCTGGTTTACTTTGCTGTGCATCCAATTTCTTCAATGCCAACCTCTCCACAAATACTGGAACTGGCTGGCTCCCGGACGATGTATGCCTTGGACAAATATTCTTCTGGCTACCGAGCCTCCCAACTCACTCGTCGATCTGGGGCTTGTAGCGCTCGCCATGGCAATGATTCGGCCCCTGCAATTGAAGTCAAGCGCTAAGTGGAAGCTACGTTTCCTTTTCGGCCTTGGGAGCCTGTAAGCTAAATTGCGGAGGCTCCATGGTCCCTCCATCTTGGTCGATAATGTACACCAGGCCTGCCAGCTAACACTCTACCAGTGCTGGAATTTTTGGGTTCATCAAGATCGGCCTCGCCTATAATCCTGATCCAATCTGTATGTAGACTTCTCTCCCGCATCAGGCGCCCGTTAGCCTGATGTTCAAGAAGAATCAGGTGCGTTCTCGAGTTGCTGACGTTGCTGACGACGGGATCTCTAGACCTGACTGCCTCCCTTCTGATATGGTCGACAATACAGTCCTTGATCTGCATTGTCTGCTGTTGTGCGCCTGTCTACAGACCTCTATTTCCCGGAGGACTTTGGAGCCGTGCTACCTCCAAAATCAGCACGTATAGTCCGAGGCTTAAGTCAAAGCGTGGCAAGGGCAGTCTAAACTCACAGACCCGGTCATGGAAAACTGCATCACTTGATCCATACTTCCAGGGAGAAGGCCGCTTCAGCACTGGGTATTACACAGGCAGTACCAGATGCCTTGTCACTAGTGACGCTGGACGTGGTGTACCTCATATCGACAAAAACCACCCAATGGGCTCAATTCAGGTCGACAGACGTGTAGATGTTGACTACCCCACAACATGTCAGACGTCTGACGAAGACGCACCCTACTTCCCCGGGAACTTGCAACCCTCGGGACATAGTATGCCTCATTTTCATACTATCAGAGTGCCACCGGAAGCTTTTCGCGGGAAGCACACAGGCCAAGCCGTGTGAGACAGCTAGACAAAGTTTTCCCGACTCGACCGACCGTTGACCGACTCGAGCATGTTTTCACATATCTTCTGTGCAACAGCTAATGGTATAGCTCTCCGATTTCATAGGCCATTCCTTGTCAATCTCAGGTTCTTAGTCTCGCGATTCTTCTTCCCCGAAGGTTTGGCTTGAAAAGGTGGAGCGATGTAAGCCGGAATAAAGGAAGCTCAAGTTCAGGTGCAATCCGGTCTCGGCGTAGAGTTACTAACATTGCTCTGCCGGGGCCGAGCGGGAAATTGTTAGCAAAGCCTCCAATCCGATTCGAGGCCAAACGGAGTCATCCTCCCTCCTCACATTGATTTTTCCGTTTCAACGAACTGCCAGGACTACATACAAGATGGCACCGAACATTCTCGTATTCGGCGCTGGCAGCATCGGTGGTGTATACACATACATACTGTCTCGCGCGGTCTCAGCCACCAACATCACGGTAACATGCCGCTCCAACTACGAAGCCGTCTCCAACGACGGATTCACCATAAACTCGACACTCTGGGGCAAAGGGCTTAACGTCAAGCCATCGGTTGCCAGGAATGTCACGGAGGCAGTACAAGCCAATGGAGGAGATCCATTTGACTATGTCATCGTGACTAGCAAAGCTCTCAACACTACGCCTTCGACAGCACATCTCATCAAGCCCGCCGTGGCATCCGGCAAGACTACTATAGTGCTCATCCAGAATGGCATAGACACCGAGACTCTATTCGCAAAGCTGTTCCCCGATAACCCGATCCTGACCACGGTGGTCTACCTCCCCGCCACCCAGGTCGAACCTGGAGTCATCGAGCACCAAGAGGTCGAGCTGCTGCATATCGGAACCTACCCAGCTTCTGCGCCCGAGCCACACAAGGCCGCAGCAAAGGCCTTCTCAGACCTCCTAACCTCCGCAAAGGCATCCTCTAAAGTCCACGATGACGTCCAGCCCGAGCGCTGGTCGAAGCTTATCGTCAACGCATCGTGGAACTCAATCTGCGCGCTGACGCGGAGCCGGGACCGACCCCTCCTGGACGTCAGCAACCAGTCCGGCAGCTTCAAAGACTTCGTCAGGGGCGTGATGCTGGAGATTGCAGCGACGGCGCAGGCGTACGGCTACGCGCATATCAACGAGGAGCTCGTCGACTTCCAGCTCCAGCGTGCCTCCGTCCGGCAGCTGCCGGGCATCCAGCCCTCGATGTTGGCTGACGCGCTGGCTGGCAGGAACATGGAGGTCGATGCGATTGTCGGGAACACTGTGAGGCTTGCGAGGGATAAGGGTGTTGCGACGCCGATGCTCCAAACGATTTACTTCCTTGCGTCTGGCCTTGACATGAGCTTCACGCTGGCGCGGTCATGACCAAGGCGCCTTTTGTTTTTGCCGGAACCGGATGGGCCAAGCTAGAGTTCGCGAAACTTTACACTTTCTATAGACATTTGTGTATTAAATGGACGTATTGAACTAGTCATTGGTATGAACTTATTTGTGCTTGCATTTCCAGAGCAGCTCTTATACATACCTAGACTAGGTAGCCAGACTCTGTTCCAACGTTCTGAATTACCAGCTTACTCTGTAGGTTCGAAGTCTGCCGTATCTCGTCCACTCTGATGCGTCACATACTCACACTCAGTCCCATGTATACCACCAAATCATAGCTTTATCACGGTCATCATGCATGATTTGAGGCTGATGATATCAGTGGTTTGTGTATTGCAGGCCGCCAATGGTAGCCACCACCTAGTCTGCTGTGCCGCAGGTTCACACGACAGCCCCTTCCTTCTCGTTTCATAGCACCAACACAATGCATGCGTGCATGTACGAGGCAGATATGTATGTCCGAGCTACGCAGAACCAACAGGCCCAACATAAATGCTGTTCTGCTAACCCCGCACCCTTAGGCAGCAATCAGGCGTGCTATTCTGACTTCCAACGTCGATCTGGTCAACGAACCTTGTAGCAAGCTCGCTATCTCGTCTCGCAATCAAACACAATACTATTGTCGGCGGCAGCTTGCCGAAGATGAAGCGTCAACCAGACCAAAAGAACGGAAAGGTTTTCCAATTCCGCGATTCTTCGGAATGGAACGAAAGTGAGAGAGTGGCTGTCCGAGTGCCAAAGAATGTTCGCAGGCACATGGTCATTGTCCTAGAAAGTTCTCGCAACACTAAAGGCTATGTCAAGATCTTAACTGTCCGTTGCCTGATATTTTTGATTTGAGAACACTATCTGACTCATATCATCTTATATGTAGATAACATCAAGTCAAAACCAACCCAGCATCGATGCGAATCTCTTCATTCCTATTGCCCCGAGCCCCAAGAACCGCATCATCAACATGCAGCTGAAATTTGCAGGACTAGGAGTCCCCTGCGGTGGACTAACACAGCGAGGGTTCCACAACCTGTCGTACGTACGGGTCGAAAAGGTCTATGAGGTTCCTATGAGCGTTCTCGAACCGTTTCAATGGGGAGAAAAGCATGTACGACTTCAAAATAATTCATGGCGAAGTTTGGTGGCACACATGAAAAAGCTTGAACAGAACTCGGCGTAGTCATATGGGGTCAACTTCAAGTACTTATTCGTGCAGAATGAATAAAACTGTTATAAAGCTACATACCCCACTCCCCCCCCCCCCCCCGCGGTCTCGTTGACACACAGGATTTGAGACTCAAGCCGATTCTGCGCCAATGATACAGACTCGTCTCAGCGCAAGAAAAGCTGTCCAGTGTCATGATGGGAGCCTCAGCCTTGAAGGCCGCTGCCTTTAATTTGCGACATCAGACACTTGGTCTAGAGAGAATACGCAATGTCTCTGAGTTTTCATTACAGTCGAGGCATGTGTGCAAGAAATACATTTTCAATATCTGTTGATCAAATATTGCATTAGTGTGACAATTCGCAGCGTCAGGCCACACAGCACTTGAGTAACACAACGCAGCTGTGGCCCACTCGTTTCACACAATCAACGTCATAGTTCGTCCCTTAGGGGCGACCTTCGTCATGTCGCCGTGCGATGAGCACCGTGACAACGACGTAAATGTAGCGTAACTGTATTTTTGATTCAGAGACTTCTCAAGACGTAAGAATGTGGTATCATGACGGAATAAATATCAATCGGCTTCTTCCAGCAGAATTTCACTTCGCCGCACACTTGGCAACAAACATCACCACAACACCACCAACCACGATCATTCCCAACAATAGACAGCACTTGACCTCCAAAATCGAACCCAAAAATCATTCCAAATACCCAAAATGCCGACAGAGTTCAAGCTCAACACCGGTGCCGCCATTCCAGCCATTGGATTCGGCACATGGCAGGACGCCGACAGTCAGGAAGATGCTGTCTATCACGCTTTAAAAGCTGGCTACCATCACATCGACACTGCACGGATGTATGCTCTTCCTTCATTGACAGAAAGACTATTGCAAACAGCTTACTCGTGGTTTCAGATACGGAACTGAAGCCGCCGTGGCCAAGGGCATCAAGAAATCCGGAGTTCCGCGCGAGAGGATATTCCTCACCACCAAGCTTTGGAACAACGCACACCACCCAGATGACGTCGAAAAAGCCCTTGATGCTTCTTTGAAAGACTTAGACACGGACTACGTAGACCTCTTCCTCATCCACTGGCCTGTGGCTTTTGCCCGCGGCGATGAGCCCTTCCCTAAGGACGGCGATAAGCCCAAGACGGAGAACATCGACTACGTCGATACCTACAAGACTCTAGAGAAGGTCTTCAAGAAGGGAAAGGCCAAGGCGATCGGAGTCTCCAACTTCAGCAAAGCCGAAGTGGAGCGGGTACTGAAGGAGTGCGAGGTCGTTCCGGCAGTGCACCAGCTGGAGTCACACCCGTGGCTGCAACAAAAGGAGTTCGCCGATTTCCACAAACAGAAGGGCATCCACATCACCCACTACTCGCCACTGGGCAATCAAAACGATATATACGGCGACAAGGAGGGTAAGCTCATTGATGACCCAGTGCTCGAAGAGATTGGAAAGAAGCACGACAAGACTGGTGCCCAGGCTGCACTGGCGTGGGGCATCGCTCAGGGCCACTCCGTCATCCCAAAGAGCAAGACCCCTGAACGAATCCAGCAGAACTTCAAGGGTGACTTCAAGCTGGATCAGGACGACTTGAAGAAAATTGATGGCATCGACAAGAAGTTGAGGTTCAACGACTCCTCCGATTCCTTCGGCTACGACTTCTTCAAGGATCTGGATGGCAAGCAGTGAACAAACACTGAATAGCTGCAGCACGCACTATGACAACTATTGAAGTTAATGACTCCTTTCTCATTCAACCTTGTACTTCCTTGCAGGCCCCGGAATAGTCTTTCCCTGGGATCATTTGTATTCTAGTCGCTGTGCTGTCCTTATGAATCGAATAGGTCTCCGCCCAAAATAACACTAAATATTCTAGCTTTAGCCAAAACATCGCATCTTGGAAGCAAATTGCAGACAAATCCACATATATGATATCCCCTTGGCACTGAGACCAAATCTATTTCAAGACTTCAATTCTGCTCCGTCCTCCACCTTTTTCACCTCGGAAATGGTGCCTTCCCGACTGCTGGAAGACTCAACAGGAGTGGCTGTCTTGTCCTTCCCAAGTCTCAGGCCCTTGACTACAAGTGAGATCTGTCTCCAGCCATCTATGATGGGGAAGAAGCCGGCCACGAGCATGGTTCCCCACACCCAAATGATGGATATGACCACCCAGGCAGCAAAGAACTGACGGCTAAAAATATACTTGGCCGCGTACATTGGCAATGGCCACAGCACCCAGTGGCCAAAGAAGGTTGCCAGGGCCCAAGCACTAGCAATGACACCCCAGTGCTTGAGATTCGCCCGGTCATCAGTGTAAGATGAGGACGCCTCCACGTGAGACTCGGGAACCCTTTGGTTCTGCCCGTGGGTGGTCTTGTGGTTGTCAAAGAGCAGTCTCTCCTTCCGAAACTCAGCCCAGTCGTAATTAGCCGGTCGTACCAAGGATATCACGACAGAGTATAGTGCAGGGCTCAACGCCGAGGCCGTGGTCCCGTAGACACAAGGCAGGGTCGCACCAGTGGAGGCGATGGAGATCTCGCCGTAGAACGCATGCGCAGAGCCCAGCCAGACAGCGAGCCCAGTGACGAGACCCAGGAGGGGTGAGACGATGGCGGCGACCCTGGACTGCTTCTTCCAGAGGATGGTGAAGGTAGTCGGGAAGATACCTGGGCACGTCAGCACACCAAGCATGTACAGCGTCCAGCCGAGATCGACGCTGCCGTAGTAGAGCGCGGTTGAGAAAGCGGCGGAGAAGACACCGAAGATGACGACGCCAATATGGCTCCAGCGGATGACGTCGCGGTCCGTCGCGCCGCGGTTGAGGTACTGCCGGTAGATGTCGAACGTGATGATGCTAGAGACGGCGATGACCTGGGCCGAGATCGTCGAAGTCACGGCCATGAAGGTGATGAGCAGTACCGCCGCGGCGCCACCTTTTCCTGCGATGGCGACGGCCGCGTACGGGAGGACGAGGCCGTTGGAGATTTCCACTGTGGACATGCGGTCTGGGTATGTGGGGAACCGGGGGGACTGAATTGCTTCGAGGCCAAGGGCGGAGAGCGACATGAGGGTGCCGAGACACCAGGGGATAGCGAAGTATGCGATACCGCCGATGATGTACCCCGGGACTACGGCCTGTGGCGCGGCAGAGAAGGCTTTCGTGAAAAAGCCTGTGTCCATGATGACCAGGCCAAAATTTGCGAGGATGTGGATGATACCGAAAAGGATGGCCTTTGGACAATGCATGTCAGCTGGGCCATGTCATTCGAAGAAGAAAAAAGTCAGGTCTGATGCGTCTTACATCCTTGCTGGCCATTGTCAAGTAAGACCCGTCATGGTTGCCTGCGACAGGATGGGCCTTCCCAGCCGTGACGACCAGGTCGAAGAGATGGCCTGGTGAAGATATCTCAGGCACCGAGAATGTCGCGATGGTGAAGTAGCAGATTATGATGGTAATGATGAAGGTGTGGAAATAATCTGTCAAAAAGGTGGCTTTGATGCCGCCGACAAATGTGTATAGAACCACACTTGCCGGGAGCAAGAAGATGGCGGCTACCACTGGCATTCCAGTACTGCATTCGATGTTAGTCCAGATGCCCAAACGATTATGAACACTGCAGGATGAGAAGATTGACTTACAGAGCTGATATAGCAGCGCTTGCACCGAGCAGCATGTTGGCAACGGCGATGATGTTGTTTATAAGGCAAAGTGCAATCCAGACTATATGGGCAACGTTGCCGTATCTTATGCGGACAATTTCCAAGAGCGTATGAGCCTCCGGAATGCGCATCTTGCATGCAATTCCCAACACCGCAAAAAAGACGATCATGGGAGAACATCTACATGAGGACTGGGTTAAGTAATTCGAAGGACACGTCCTGGACTGGCTCAACTCACCCAGCAGCAAACCAAAAAGGACCCGCAATACCGTAGTTATATCCTACGAGGGTACTTCCTAACATTGCGGTACTCCACAGCCAACTAGATATGACTGCAGAGGCAGTCAGCCCGGTACCAACCTTGCGATTAGCCGTCATGAACATCTCGGTGGTCTTGTTGTCCTCGCCCACCGTCTTCTTGAGGAGATAGGTAACGAATATCATAATGAAGGCGATGAGGAAGCCGATGACCACGACGACCACATATCCAACAGCCTGAGGCAAAGGAGGCTCGATAGAGCCACTCGACGCTGCGGCGCCTGCACGAGAGAATATCGAGGTCATGATGGAATCTGCAGCGATGACACTTGGAGGGTGACAGTGACGATCAACGCAGGCACTGTTGCAACCGAACGGATGTCACGAATATTTAAGGGAACATCAAGCCTCCGATGTTTATCGGGGACTAGAACTGTCCCAATGAGCAGTTATTCTGTAAAACCTGGTCCTGCACGACGTAAGTTTGCGGCCCCACGCTGCCGGTACGCAGAAGCGATTGTGCCATAATGCCTAACATGGCATCTCGACATAGTCGCAGTCCGGTGTTGTGGGTTAGCGAGAAGCGACTAGACGCGATGGAACAGTTTTTCCCAAGTGAAAAAGGATGGCAGATTACCGAGATCTTGGGTCAACGGGCGGGGATAGGTCCGAACGACAGGAGTGAAATCGCTGTGCGGGTTGGGATATCTATTGCGACTCATTAGGCTCGATGACGCGAAAGCGGGTTGCCCTGTTGCCATGCAGCTCCATGCGGCCGATCTCATGGATCAACAACCTTCTCACCACGCAGCGATCGCGCTACTAGCTGCGCATGCGGAGCTCACTAGATGAAGCGCACGTGGGGTAACCGTGGGCCAGAGGTCTATTGAGCTGAATTCGTTGTGATGAAAAAGGCTCGAGTTTCTACCCAAAGCTGAGGCACTTCTGCGCAGCTCTTCGTCTCATTTCGCCCTTATCTCTCACGAAACTCTGGACAATGGCATCATCCACCCCCCAATCGAGCAATGGGCCATCTGGCTCCAGCTCGGGCGCCAAGAAGCAGCTGATCATCAACGCCTTTGTCGAGTCCTGCAGTGGCCATCAGTCCCCTGGCCTTTGGAGGCATCCGCGGGACCGATCCTCGGACTTCAATAATATCAAACACTGGGTTGAGCTAGCCCAGCTGCTGGAGAAGGGTAATTTTCATGGGATGTTTATTGCTGATGTGCTTGTAAGTATTGTGACTCAGTAATGAAAATTCATGATGGTAACTGAATATGAAAGGGCTCCTATGATGTATACAAAGGCCCGCGGAATCCCGACCCGGCGATTGTCTCAGGGGCACAATGGCCGGTCAATGAACCGCTTGCCGTTGTCCCAGCCATGGCAGCGGCGACCAAGAATCTCGGCTTCGGTGTCACCCTGGCCACGACTTATGAGCAGCCTTACCATCTCGCTCGAAGGCTGAGTACAGTCGACCACTTGAGTGGGGGCAGGGTCGGCTGGAACATCGTGACTGGCTACCTGGACTCAGCAGCGAGAAACCTTGGCCACACTGAACAGCCAGATCACGATGAGAGATACGCGATTGCGGAGGAATACGTGGAGGTGATGTACAAGCTATGGTAAGTCAATTAACAATCAGCGAATAATTATTCACATCGAACGCATCATCTGATACCTCACGCAGGCAATCGTCGTGGCGCGACGACGCAGTGAAGCTCGACAAGGAGAAGGGCATATACACAGACCCGAAGCTCGTTCGGACAATTGACCACGTCGGGAAGTACTACACAGTTCCCGGGCCGCACATCTGCCAGCCATCTCCGCAGCGGACTCCAGTCATCATGCAAGCCGGGACCTCAAAGGCAGGCAAGACCTTCGCAGCACGACACGCCGAGGCCATCTTCGTAGCCGGGCACAGCCCGTCGGTGATCGCCAAGAACATCGCCGAGATCCGGGCAATGGCGCGGGACGACTTCGGGCGCGACCCGGCCAGCATCAAGTTCCTGGCGATGCTGTGCCCGATCATCGCGGACACGGCCGAGGAGGCGACGGCCAAGTACCAGGAGTTCGTGGGCTACGGGTCTGAGGACGGCGCGCTGGCGCTGTTTGGCGGCTGGACGGGGATCGACCTGGCCAAGTACGGCGACGACGAGGAGCTGCGCCACGTCGAGTCCAACGCCATCCGGTCCGCTGTCGAGTCGTGGTCCAAGTCCGTTCCGGGCGTCCCCAAGTGGACCAAGCACACGGTCGCGAACCATATCAAGGTCGGTGGCCTCGGGGCCACTGTGGTGGGCACGGCGGAACAAGTCGCGGACGAGATGGAGAGGTGGGTCAGGGAGGCTGACGTGGATGGCTTCAACCTGGCTTATGCGCTGATGCCTGAGACCTTTGAGGAGGTGATCGAGCGCTTGTTGCCTGTACTGCGTCAACGTGGGCTGTTCTGGGACGGGTATGCTGTTGATGGCGGGACTTATAGGGAGAACTTGTATGGAAAGAAGGGACTTGCACGGCCTCCACCAGACCATGTGGCTGCAAAATACCACTGGAAAGCTGGCGACTAGTTTTTTTTTGGTTCAATGAAAGTCAATTAGTTGCTATTTCTGCTTGTGAGTACATTGCATCTTAAGAAACGATATGGATAATTCTCGGGAAATGTTTTTTTCTTTCTTTTTTTTTAAACAAAAAAAATTACTTTCTATCAAAAGCCACTGCGCCCGAACTCCTGCCTAGAATCCAGTCCCAAGATATTGAAAATGTAAAAATACCTACGGAGACCTCGGCCAGCCTACGGAAAGCGTTTAGAAGTCCGCTTGTTAATCTTCCACGCTTGTCGAATTGCCTTCTCGCGAGCATTGGCCGCTACTCGCCAGCGAATTTCAGACTTCTCACACCTCTCAAACATACCATCTCTTGTAGGGCTGCTGCACAGAGCTGCTGCTATCTCATGCAGAAGCATTCTTTTACGGTCAGCGAAGTAGGGGTACTTACCGATGATTTTATCAGCCAGTTGGAATGTATGCATACCCGTCTGCTCTTCCGGGGCATCAAGGAAGGCTTGGATGACAAGTGACTTGAAGCTGTAGGGGGGCCGAGTCTCGAGCACGGGTGCGTCCGTCCAAATGGGTCGACTTTGCTCGGCTTCCTGGGGTGGTACAACGGGACGAACCTCGGTGATCACGCAGTCATCCTCAGTGTCGTCGCCCAAGTCCACATCTTGCTGGCGAGTGTCTACACGAAGCATGCACAAAGCACGAGCCCCTTCCAGGACTTCTGGATCCACAGAGATGTTCATCTTAATACCGAACAGCTCACTTATTCTTCTAGTCTCGACACGATCTGGTGCTTCAAGCTTGTGAAGTGGATATGTCTGCATGCTTGGATGTTAGAGTGGATGGTGGTGAGCAGTTTTGGGCAAGATGAGTCGAAATCGAGAGCTCACAGGCATATATAGAGTGAAGCATTGTGGGCGTGGCCTGGAATTGAACATCAAGAACAATTTTGTTGTCCGGGTCCTCATCAATGACTTTATTTCCCTAAATACCCGTCCGTGAATCCCATTATCCTCAACATAAAGAATGCATAGTAGACTTGTGTCCTTGCCGCGATGTCCCACTTGAAGACTTTATGCTCTTGGAAATCATAGCAGGTCTTGCTTGTGGAAAACAAACGCATTGTTCTATGCCTCGTTGCCACTAAATGCCTTCCATGTCAGCATACAACATCAGAAAGGTGTCTTCACCCTTGATGATCAAAGAAGACATACAGCATAGCCCATTGGATAACCACTGAATAGGCCTCCAAATGCATCTAACACCATGGTTGGAAGAGCGCCTTCCCCACCTCATTCCTCAGACAGTATTGAGCAGGCCTGCGACGGATGATCCTGTACCGTAGTCTGATATCACTGGTCGATGGTGTACACCCTCCCAAGGAGAAGACTTAGTAAGTGCATGTCAGACTACAACCATCCGCGACTTGCATTGCCGATGTGTGTATAAGTGTTCAGTTATAGAAAATATGTTGATCCTCCGATAACGCAACGGTCACTGCAACTCCAGTCTTACACCACATGCAACACTGTTTCCAATATGTCGGGCCGGAATATCGCAGAACTGGGCGACGAGATCTCGAGCCTCACTAAGAAGACTGCAAAAGACTTTCAAACACAGGGCAAAAAAATCCCGTCTAATCATGATATCTCAGCTACCGGGACAGAGCCTATAGTAGATGGAGAGTCAGCATTAAAATTGGCCGAAGCAGCAAGAGAGCTCGAAGCTCTCGTCTTGGGCCCGCATCAAACCTTGGGTCTGATGGGCCTTTCCGTGAGTATCTTGAATCGTGAGCTTCAACCAGAATCTAATGATCCAGGTGCACGATGCCTCAAGCCTCGGCGTCATAGCCGAGTTCGACATCGCCAGCCTTGTGCCCCTCGACGGCTCCGCTACATTCGCAGAGCTCGCAGAGGCGACCGGACTGGATGAGGACAGGCTGAGTGCGTCCTATCAGAACTAGTCTCTCCCAAAAGAATAACTCGCTGACACTTGATACACCTCGCTTCTCAGCCCGCATCCTACGGTACGGAACAACAAATTTCATTTTCCGCGAGAACCCAGCCGGCCACATCCGCCACACCACCCTTTCAGCCCACCTCGCCCGCTCGCCCCCCACCGTCGCCTTCCAGCGCACCCTAGCCAGAGTCTTCAACCCAGCCAACGCGAGCCTCCCCGCCGCGCTACGCGCCCACCCGGCCACGGCGTCCCTGACGCAGACGGCCCACAACATCGCGCGCGGCACGGACGCGCCCTTCTACTCCTGGCTGGACGATGCTGCTGCAGCGGGCGACCTGCGCAAGGTCTTCGACGTTGGTATGGAGGGCATCAGCCGCGGCGGCCAGCGCCTGCAGGACACGGACCTGCGCGCGTATCCGTGGGCGGACCTCGGCGCGGGAGCGGTGGTCGTGGACGTGGGCGGGTCGCGGGGCCACTTCGCGCGGGACCTCGGGGAGCTGAACCCTTCTTTCAAGCTTGTTGTCCAGGACCTGCCGCGGGTGGTGGAGGGGCTGACGGAGGAGTTTGCTAACGGTGGTGATGGCGATGATGGCAATGTGGTGACGTACCAGGCGCACGACTTCTTCGACGTCCAGCCTGTTGGTGGCGCGGATGTGTATTTCCTGCGTCATGTATTCCACAACCACCCAGACGCGGAGTGCGTTGCGATATTAAAGGCGCTGCTCCCTGCGCTCAAGGTGGGGAGTAGAGTGCTTGTCAGTGAGTATGTTGTGCCTCCTTCTGAGGACCTTGATGCGGGGCTTGGTACCAAGGCAATGAGGTAAGTGAACGTTGGCAAAACCTATGCTTTAACAGCGACTTTGTGCTGAAACGCACATGTATAGGCAGATGGACCTGATGACCATGGCGCTCTTCAATGCGAAGGAGCGGACCAGGGATGAGTACGCAGCGCTTTTTGGGAGGGCGAGCGAGAGGCTTGTCTTGGAGGGGACATACCAGGTGCCTGACGACCCGAGGAGTTGTATTTTTGAGGCGATTTATAAGGGCTGAGGCTGAGGCATTCTCCCTGTCTTTCATCCTCATAGAGCCACGACAGTATCCTGTAATTAACGACCGTTGGACCCCAATCTAGCCAACACGTTTGTGCAATCGTAAGTAGGGAATTTGTTTAAGTGCAAGACATAAAAATGGACGGGCACATCTGATTTGTCATTTTTATACAACAATTACCTAGCCAGGCACAGCTGCAAACTCCTCTTTCAATTCGTCGCGCCTGGTCGGGCCGACTCTGACCTGACCGAAACGAACCTTAACTCCACGCAATCCAACAGATAAAGGAAGGAAACCAAGAGGGTATTTTGTGCTGTGTACCATCAATTCCACGTTCTTCCTCCCTATCTTCTGAGATAAGGAAGCCGGGGCATGAGAAAATCAGCAATAGGTAGATACAAGCCGCTCGAAAGGACAAGACAACCACATCAGTCTTTTGCGCGCACGTATTCAATACAGCTACCAAGAGAAGAAGCCTCAATTTATAGCATCGTCCCACCCGTCGTCATCTCCCATCTCAACGTCGAACTCCGTGTCTAGCGCTGCCTGACCCTGCCGGATCAGCGCCTGCAGCTCCCCGTTCAGCCTGTCGAGCCGCGACGAATTGCGCCTCTCGGCCGCCGCCTGCTTGACCGCGAGGTTCTTTGCCTCGTCGTCCAGGCGGGGGCTCAGCTCTGGGTCGAACGGGGCCGGGGGCCGACCCCGGCCCGCCGAGAGGCTCGTGGCGCTGCGCCGGTGGCCAATGCCTGAGGGCGTGCCCGACCTGGGGATGAGTGATGAGGTAAGAGGCGAGTGGTGGATCGAGTGGTGGGTGGAGTGGCGGCTCGTGGGCCGGCTGGGGGAGAGTCGTTGAGTGTTTGATGGAAGTGTTCGTATGTTTGCGAAGGGATTGGGGCCGAGGCCGAGGCCCTTTGGTTGTGGTAGACGCGAGCCGTTGATCGCGACGGTTGGCGTGACTGGCGTTGATCGCGAAGGAGGTGATCGTGGGCTCGCAAAGCTGGCCGCGTCGTTGGGGCCTAATGTTGGTGTTGTCGGGGAGCCGCCCGCGTAAGAGGCGTTGGAGGCCATGGACAACCTGGATGCAGAGCGCGGAGGCTGGATACCGGACTTCTGCTCGAATCCAAATCGCGGTGAAGTTACACTGAATCTTCGAGCAGCGGGATTCATAGGACCGGGTGACTTGGTCGGGGTCGCATAGGACCGCGGCTGTTGCAAACGAGAAGCCATGTTGGCACTTCGGGTCGGGAGTCGAGACGAAGGTATTGATGTCAGTGATGAGCGCTTGGTATTCAACGCGGGCCTGCGCGCCGCTGGAGATTGCTCGTTTTCATCAACCATGACCCAATTCCGCCTCAGCTCGTCCGACTCCCCAATCGTGCCCGTCTGCCTCCTCTTGGCCGAAGGTCGCTCGGGTGTTGTGTCTGGAGACTCTTCTCGCCGAAGGGCTTCCAGCTGTTCCTGCTCCCGCAATTGGCGTTCCTGCTGTTCCTGTTGTTCCTGCAGGACTCGCTGCTGCTCCTGTTGTTCTTGGTCCGGGTATTCACGGTAGATTTCCTCTTGCCTGTGGTCTTGGTAGTCCGGGATACTGTCCGGAAGATAAGAGATCACGTCGGAGGCCACGGGGAAAGCGCCTGGTGGGCTGAGTGGGTTGTCTTGTTCGTAAGAATAGGACGGTACGTCCGTAGAAAGACGAAGTGGTGGCGGGTTGTTGATGGGTTGGCCATTCGTTTCATAGGCCTTTCCACCTCCTGCTTGGAAGCCTTGGAATGCACCAGCGCCGCCCTTGCAGAACTCCCAGACTTTTCCCACAACACCTCCTATCGCTTGAAAGGCAAAAGTGGTCCAGCCTGCTGTCCTGGGAGTGATTGGTGTCGTCGTATCGGCCTGGGCTAGGTTCGATAGACCGAGTGACGGTGTTGTCGGGTCTTCATGCGGTCTTTTTGATCCCAGCTCCAAGCGGCGTCGGTAGTCAATGTCAGAGTACAGGCTGTCGTCCAGTCCGCCATTCCCCGGTGTGACTTGTGTGCCGGGCGTCTCTATTTGACCTGCCAATGTGTACCTATCCTGGCCCTGCGCACTGTCCTCCATTCCTGAAACCTTATCAAAATACGAGTTGGAGCCTCTGCTTTCATCGTATGTGCGTTTCCTCCCTAATTTCGGCACAGGTGTTGTGTTGTTGGCGGAGGTGTTATCCGAGAGCATCGAGCCGGTGGACTTTGACAGGTTGTAGGTGGAGGAGGATGGTGAGACTGGAGGGCGGAACATGTTGGCGTTGAGGGCGGTGGAGGAGGTGGTCGGCTCGGAGAAGTGGAAGGCGCCTGGCATGTGAAATGGCGACGCAGACGCCATCTCGAGGGAAGAGGTCCCGAGGACAGCCACGCGGAGGCAGGCTGGTTGTGAGAATGGGTTGGATCAAAGTGGACGACCTCCAGGCGGGATCGCGTAATTCGTGACTGGAGCTCTGAAGCTCAGTAGTTGCGACGTTGAGCCTCTGACCTCTGGTCTGCAGGGAGGCACCCTCGTGAGAGTGGCAGGGAGGTGTATCGTAACAGGACGGAGCTGTAGTTGTGTGCTCCCCGTCGTTGTTGTTGAAGCTGGAGCTCTCAAGGTCTAGGTTCACGCACGCTCTGCCCCGGCTTGGCGCGAGTCGTGAAGCAGCATTTCTGGCTGGAGTTGGCCCCCCTTGCTGTGTCCCCCAAGATTACCCTCAAATTTCCGTCAAAGCCGTCGAGTCGGGGTCTGGCGAGGCGGTCGAGGCTCGGGGTGAGCTGTGTGTCCGGTAGTGGAGCAGCGATGAGGCTGTGGGAGGGGTGGCAGAAGCGAAGCGAAAGGGAAGGGTACACTGGGCCAGACTGGACTGGATCATTCACGGTAAATAAAACAGGAACAGGCAGACGACGTCAATGGCTGCAGGGATCGTCGTGATCGATCTAAGTCGTCCGGGGTCCAGCTCCTTGCTCTTGGGTCGCGCTACTCGGTCGAGAAACGAAGGAGATGCTGCAAAGATACTGGTGATGATCAGACGATGCTTTCTAGAAGCTATTAAACAAATTTGACGTGTTTCGAAATTGATGAGCGCGTGGCCGGTGCAGGTGGATCTCGTCGAAGTGGCGGTCGAGAGGCGTGCAGATTACAGGTGCTGGGCTTCCAGTTGGGGACCTCGGGAGTGGAGCTGTTGGTGCTTTGCAGTGGGAGGGAGCCAGGGAGTGGGTGGGAACTGAGCAGCTCAAGTGCTGGGGAGCCGGGGGTTTAGAGCTTTTGGAGCTGGGCATGCGGGTCGAACCGAGCGAGCGGTCAGACGAACAGGACACACCCCTTCGCTTGTGCTTGTGCTTGTGATCAGTCATTCCCGTTGCTGTGGAGAAGGCCGAGCTACATCAACAAATCCCCAAACCTCCAACAAATAGAGGGGGAGATGGTAATCTACGCGATGGAAACAAAACACGTGCCGGTGCGACACCACCAGAACATCACGAATCTACCACGTGCCTCTGCTCTTGACGCTATCTTTAGCCTGGTCTCTGTCACTGTCAGTCACAGCCTTATCTGATCTTGCCTGCTCAGTCGACATTCCAATGCTGCACACGAGGCACCATCCTTCATGGACGGTCATTATCTCTGATGTACAGCGCGAGTAGATGTGGATAAGCGACAGCAACTTAGCCTTTTCAGACAGTGAAATAGAGGCTATTACTCGAATCCTGCAAATGGTTACACTAGAGGGCTGCACCCTGATAGAAATTCTGTTTGTGATGCTCCTCTTCCTTGCTAGCTTTGCACCAGAGATATGGTGATGAAGTCTCAATAAATGCACACGTGGACATGCTGCAGCCATGATGGAACACATCCTCGAGGGAGGCGAGCATTAACGGTTGAAACCCGACTGGTTTCTTCAACTTTCTGCTCCCTGATACGGCCCCAACTTGCCCATGCAGTGCAAACTCCAAGCCTTGAAGCAACTGTCGTCAAATGCATAATCAAAAACTGGCCCAGAAAGCACCGTTTGTTTCCCAGACCGTAGGCCAGTTTTGTGACGACTCCAAGAAGCTGTGCCTGAAGAGCTGCGGTGCGCTAAAAGTCCTGACCTCGTCGATGGTCGAGAGGAAGCAACATTGCCAATATCTTGGCATGCAGACGTGCAATTTAGTATGCAATGCAACACAGCCGTCTGCTGCCGTGGAACAAATAATGCAACAACGGGATATGCTACAAGGAATAGACACGGCTTACCAGCACCGTTGAGCGTGTGGATGATCTTGTACAAGTCGTAAATTTATCATGTCTCTATGCTGCTGCCGCCGCTTCTGTTCCATCTATCGTCCCTGACCAAAGAGAAAGCCAACCCGCCGCTTTGTATGTGATCTTCGTGAAGCATCGAAACGCCGCAAGCCAAGTTATCCACCCCAACCTTGTAGGTGTCCCCCCAACATTAATTCTTTGTCTGAAATCCCATACACGTGTAGTCTTCAATCAGGGCGCACCGCCCGCACCCTTGTAGTACTCATCCACCGCCTGGAGGTGGTCCTGCGGCACACCGCCCTCGACGCCAGCATCACCATGGACATGGCCCTTGCCAGCCCAGTAGGCCTCCCGCTCTTTGATGATCTCACGCGCCCACTCCTTGGTCTCGTCCAGCGCCAGCCGCGTGGCGACGTACGCGAACTCGCCGAGGTCAAGCTTCCGCTCGCCGCGCTTCTCGTACTCGACCATCTGCAGCAGCAGCTCGACCTTGTCGATGTCGTGGACGAAGTGGCTGTCGAGCGTCTCGCTGTCCTCGTACTCCTGCCACAGCGCGCGGATCTCGTCGCCCGCCTCCTTGCCCGCCTTGCCGCCGCCCCAGATCCCCGAGAGCAGCCCGCGCGTCAGGTAGTCCATGGTGTCGGCCTCGCGGCGCGATTTCTCGGGCTTCGGCACGCCGTCCACGGGCGTGATGTCGCCGACCAGGCTCTCGGCCATGTCGTGCACGAGGCACATGCGCGTGCACTTGTCGCGGTCGATGCGGGCGAGTAGGGAAGGGGGCGCCAGCATGCTGATCATTGCCATGCGGTACATGTGGTCTGCGATGGACTCGCCGCGCGCAATGCCAAATCGCCGCCATCCCTCGCGCTTGGTTGTCTTGAGCCGCTCCAGCATGTGGAAGTAGGGAATGGGTGAGGGCGAGTTCTCCTGCGGCGCGCCCGTGGGGATTGTCGCGAGGACTTTGGCGACGGTCCAGTCTCCGGTTACCTTGGGGGTGAAGACGACGGAGGGATCTGTGGGGATCATCATGTGGTCAGTATATAAGGCGTGGAGAAGGGGCATACGGAGGGGACTGGTGGACGTACCTGGGTCTGCGGGCGTGATCTGATCGCTGAGGCCGTCGAGCGGCTCGTTGTTGACTGCGCTTGGTGACATGATGCCGGCGTTGTGTGTCTACTGGTCTGTGAATCTATGCGTGTCCTGGTAGAGCCGAGCGAGTGTGTGTTATGCGATAGAAAGACGGCGGAAAGAAAAGAGCGCGCCCGCGGATTTATGTTGTCGGCGCAGTGGAGGAGGATGCCAAAGACAGACCCAGAAGCCCGTTTCGTCAAGATGCAGCAGAATTGCGGGCAAACCAGAGCAAGAACAAGGAGCGAAACGAAGTGAAGTGAAGTGTCAGGCGAACAGGCCAAGTCAGGGCGCACAGCTGGTGTTGTATTGGGCAAAGAAAGTCCGCAATCAGATGAAGCAAGATGGGGTCTTTCTCTACACCGGTCCAGGCCCGCAAACGAATTGTTGTTTGGGGTTTGCGGTCGCTGGGTGATCGACAAACAGTGGGCAGGCGGGGGCGGGGATCCCCTGTCGGACTCTTATCGCACTGCACCTGAGCCGCGATAGCTGACAACTGACAATTGACCCGTCCTGACTGGACTGGCCCAGAACTGCAACCTCCCTCCCCCTGAACGTCAATCCTCACCAGGAACCTCGACTAGACAGACCGCCGATTTCCAAATCTGATGTCTCAGCCCCTTCCATCGAGGTCTTTCTATGTATACGTATGCCCTTCAAATCTTATGAGACATGCTCGTGCTCATGTGGAAATGTCATAACTCAGCAGCTCCATCCTAAAACAACAATTATTGTTAGTTGATCCTGGAGCCAGTCGATGGGCTCAGGGGAGGAGCCACAATTGCGCAGCGACAGCGCATATAGTGCGCAAGCAAGAGGATACGTCGGGAGAATCTTGCTTTAGCTTGACGCTAGCTGATTTTACCTGCGCGGCCGAGTCGCCCAGAGTTGGCTGACATATGACTTTCTCATGACGCCGTCTCAAGTGAGGCGGTTGCCAGCGATCTAGCTGGACAAAACAGTCAGCTCTGTATCAGCACAGTAACGATGAACCATCACTGTACTGAGGCACAGTCACGCGTTTTATATTTCTTCTTCGCTTCACGGGATCAACCCACGAGAGCAATGAAAAAAAAGAATACATTGTCAAGCCGCAGCCTGAAGAGTTTGTTCAAAAAATAAGATTCTGGCCAGTGGCCTCATGAAACAGAGTCCCATGGATGATCAACCCAGCCAAAGCTGGGGAGGAAACAAAAGATTCAATTAAAGAGAAGCAAGCAACTCCAAACTCCACCCGAAGGCGTGTTCGTGCTGTTGTTCTGGTGGTGTGTTGTAAACCCTGAGCACTCAAAACTTCCTTGCTCTTTCTGTGCCCGGCCTAGCTGGCATTCCAATTCCAGCCGTTAGCACACGGAACACTTTTCCCAGGTCCACCTCTTTCTGTGCTCATTACCCAATCCGGTCGAGTTGGTCGGTGGGGACGAGGTTAGGACGGTCGGTCGGCCGGGAGTATACGGTCGGGAGCGGTCGTATGCGTATGCGGTCGTTCGTTCGGGCATGCGGTCGAGCGGTCGGGGGGTTGCAGAGGGTTTGTCGAGATGAGACACTCCCAATTTTCCTCCTCTTTCTGTGCCCGGCCTAGCTGACATTCTGATTCCAGCATTGTTAGCTCACGGAACACGGTCCCAATTCCTCCTCTTCCTGTGTCTCTGCCTGTCTGTGGTCGAGGGTGGTCGAGGGTGGTCGAGGGTGGTTGAAGGTGATCAGCTGTGAGGTAGTCAGCGCGTGAAATTGAAGTTGGGATGGAAGTAAGTGTGAGGGCGTCAGTGAGATGAGAAGTATTGTGAGTATAGTTGATGACGCAGTAGCTGGTGTAGGCTCGTGGAAGGCAAGGAGAATGAATGATGCAATTGAGTTTGGTCGAGTTTGGATGAGGATGAAAGTTGATGATGGAGTTGGGGAGAAGGTAGGCTGTTTGTTGATGTGCAAAATGAAAGACGCGAAGCCCGCAAAAAGTTGCGGCCGATGAAAATTTTCGAGGCAGCTTTGCCCCAGGAGCTGTGCTATCGAAAAGGCAACTTGAAGGGGAGAGTAGAGGAAGATCGGCGAAAGCTTTCAAAGGCTTGAGACTGAGAGGGTGATGATCTGCTTCAGTTTGGTACTGGGTGTGATGAGCGACGTAAAAATTGAAAGGGGGGAGAAAAACGAGGTAGGTGAATTATGATCTGTGCTTGCAAAGTGAGGAAAGGCGACGAAGCTGCAAGGAGGGCGCGGGCATTGTTTTTCTTGTCACTATTGCCAAGTTGCGACGCGAACGCAAAGTGAGGGGGATACATTAAACAGAGAAAAGAAGAGCAAGTGACGATGTGAGAGTATGCTGCCAGGAAGAGGATGTGGTAGGAAGAGGGATTGTCAACACTTGCATGTTGTCGTGATGTTGAGCTAGGGGCAGAGTCGTTTGTTGACAGCCTCGTAAATACTAATTTTGGGGAGGTCTCACCGGGTCCCCTAGCTCGGGATTCTGCTGCGTCGTAGGTCGGCGGAGGAGCGTCACTTGATGGCCACTACTATCACTCCTGAGGCAGTAGGCCTAGATACAGGAACTTAGGTGCTGCCCATGCCCTTGAAGCTATATAATAGCCCAATGCGCTGCCGCGCCTGAGGTGAGGACTCGGCCACAGTGGATCGATCACTGGCTGGGCTCGAGGTGGGATTTCATGATGGAAGGACACCATAGGTGTCTTCGTCCTGGCAGGGGGTTACTGGATGGGAGTTACTCAAGTCCGTAAAAGGCCCAGCATGCCTCCTACTACCATTTCTGAAAGACTTAGTATATTTCGGTCTGAATCCATGGAGAAGCTTCGTAGCTGTGCAAGGTTCAAGGGCTACCGCCACTCCTGCCAGCTTGGAATGGAAAGAGGCACACATGTATCATTACAAGAACTGTTTTAAGTCTTGATGCGTAACTTCCTTGCGAATGATGTCCACAAATCAAATTGGATGTAAGTCTGTAGCAGAAAAGCCTCCTATGCAATGTCGTCTATCGAAAAGCCCTCTAGTCTTCTCTGGACCAACCTCACCTAAACGCCTATGTTCCGCCCATGAGACGCCCATGGGATAAATCCTCAGGACTTCCTTTGCAATACGCCCTTGTACCAAGATTTCATGGTCCTCGTCGCACCGCCAACCCGATTTAGCTGACCCTCCAGCAGGATGAAGTCATGCGCGTCCCGAGGCCTCACGTCGAGCACCACGTTGGCCCCAGGGTTTCGTGCCCGGATGGTCTCAGCGAAAGAGATCACCTCCTCCCTCAACACCTCGTTCTTGCCCGCCGTCACCAGGACATCGCGTACAACCTCATCCAACCCGTCCCACCATCGGTTGTCTTCCACATCCCCAGGCATCGCCCAAACTAGCGCCTTCACCGCACCAGAGCTCTGAATCCCGCCGAGCCCTGCTGTCGTAAGAGCTGTGGCTTGTTTTACCACCTCGGATGAGACCATATCAAGATACCCGTTCTCCCGGAACGCAGGCCCATCGTCCACACTGCTCAGCCAAGGTGACACCAAGAATGCCCCTGCAAACCTCTGGCCGTCCTTCAGCTCGATTTTCCGCGCATCGGGTAAGGGATGCACCAGGTGCGCTAGCAAGCCAGCAGTCAAGTGACCACCACACGAGTCCCCGCCAAAGACAACATCCGCGGGCGACACCCGGCCCCCGTCCAGGATCACGGCGAGCGCCTCGGCGGCCTGAGACAGCTGCACAGGGTAGGCGGCGCCGGGGCACAGGCTGTACTGCAGTACGGCAACGGCAACCTCCTCGCCTGTCTCCTCAGCCGCAGCTAGGTAGACATTGCGGCACCAGTTGAGATGACCCATGTCCAGCGGGAGGACGTAGCCGCCCCCGTGGAGGAAGAGGACGAATTTGGTTGCCTTGGTGCGATCGCCCAGCCAGAGGATGGAACTACGCCCGTCGGAGAGCGGCTGGATGTCGCGTTTGAGCCTGGAGGAGAGGTAGGGTTTGTTTTCCCTCAGAATGGCGTTGGACAGTGTCGCGGCTAGCCAGACGAGGTAGACTGTGCCCGTCGGCGGCATTATGAATTGCAGCTGTGATGGGGTGAGCGTGTTCATGAGGGTTCGGATCAGGTTGCAATATATGTAGGGCAGAACTGGAAGGCCGCGGAGGAAGCATAGAGGCACTGCATGGAGGAGGTTGAAAATGAAGGTTGGCGGCGCTGAAGCTTGTTAGTCTGCGTTGCTTTTAGGAGATGGTACATGGACTCTTCTTCACAGATGATGAATAGCTTGAAAGCCAGGTCGAGCAGCTCCAACCATGATAGGCGAGCTCGCTGGTAGAGCTCCTTGGGCTCCATGATCGTTGGATATGATTTGGTTGACTTTGATATCGAAGGCATTGGTTGGTATTGCAGTCGGTTGATCTCCCGCGTGGGGGTAAGAAAATGTTTACCACCAAAAACTGGCAAGCCGCTTTTATTGAACCAAAAATCCGTGGTATGAGACTTTGCGCCAAAAATCATCTATCCCTTGCAAGTGAATCCTTTGGAGGCAGCCGCTTTTTGAGCCTAGCTGTGGATCGTCAGCACTACTTCAGCGGCTCGTGCAACTCGTAAGCTGACGACTCCGGTGTGCAGGACCGAAACATCAATCAGCACTTAGGATTTGCACCTGAAAATGGTCCCACTGTCTCGTGAAACCCCTGCCTTTGAGCTCTTCAAGCGTCTACTGGTCGCCAGCTACCTATGTAGCGCAATTATCAGCAAACCATGGCGGGCGCCGGCTCGGTGTATTTCAGTATACTTCCAGTGCTGATATCTCCCGTGGATATAAGAGCATCGAACCCGTTGGCTTGTAACTCTGCGAGGCTCCCAACACTCATTTCTTCACACTTTAAGTGTTTCCTCTTCAACAAGCGCATATCAAGCAACCAACACTAATTCCACGACCTAATTTCAAAACCTGTTACGTACAGAGGACGACCTGATCTGGAACGTCGGAACGGTTAAGAGAAGCTGTTTGCAGGTTTTTTACGATTTACTAACATATAAATTCCTCGTTGGCCCTACTGCTCGAAGGCGGCGATCTTTACGATTTTTATGCTTGAGTAGCTACGATATCCATCTGGCATAGTATTTATTGGTCCAGGAAACCTAGAGGACAAAACAAAAAGGAGGGGGTGAGGAGATCGGCTAGAGATTAAATTGGGGGTTGTTTATTCTTGCTGTTTCGAGACAGATTTTAGAGTGCTATAAACGTAGCGAATATTTATTCGTCGGCTGTATACCAGACAATGCATGTTGAAAATGTTACATGCGCAGGCAGCAGTGCACATGTAAAGCCAGAAAGGTGTGGAATCGCTCCACCTTGAAGAGGCATGGATTCGCTCACATGTGCTACCCAACATGCATAAACTATGGAGTGCTGGCGACTTCTAGTTATAAAATACCCTATCGTCGATGCTGGTCCATCTGAGCCAACAGTTTGTCAACCGATCCACCACAGCTTTCTTTCAACAAGGATTGGAACCCTCGCCAACCAGCAGGATGTTCCTGCAGCGGTTTTACTGGCAATTCAACTCTATCAGGGATAGTGGAGCTGTGTTACATATATTCAGGTCTCTGACACACAAAAACACACGCAGTTCGACAGAAATCAAAGTCGACAAGCGGTCTTCTTCAAAATAGATCTCGTCGATCGTTGATCTTCAGAACACCTGCCTGTTGGGAGGGTGCTTAGTGTTGGAAAGCAGAGGTTCAGTTGGTATCAAGGAGAAATTGCCCTGTAGCTAAGCACTTTCAAATTTTATTGGTGCACAGAATGCGATCTTACACTCACTTTGTTACTCTCGGCCCTCATCTAGAAGCTCGAAGCCTGGGCTAAATCACCTAACGATTGAGTTTTTGACCCCGTAATTGTTGATATCTGTGGATCCAAGCACTCTCCAGATACGAGCCTAGGTGCGTGCTCAGCTACCCGGGGCCATAGGTCGAGAGGATTACCAAGAGCCTGGGGCATGGCCTCCAAGTATATCGATAAAAACCGTGGGATGAGGTACGAGGTGACTCTGGAGGCGTCGAGTTTAGGAGCATGAGGGAGGGAGTTGTCGAGGAACAGGGCGGGCGGGCGATCCCGACTATGGGATAGCTGCGGGCGCTACATGTTGGATGAATTCCAACTTAGCTACCTATCGAGTTACTACTTGTGGCTGCTATAGGAAGGCATCCAAGTTGGCAGGTTGAGAGTCGTCGAAAAGCACAATGGTGGATAGACGTCCGCTTGCGGGCGAGAACATAGACAAGAGCTGGGCGCGGTTGACATTCATCCTCTTCGATTTTCTTGCGAGTGAGCAAGGTTCCCACACCTAGGCTTGACTGAAATCAAATTTTCGCGTTTGTCTGACCATTCACTGCGTATGCAAACGACCAGTGGCTGTCAAAAAGTCTTCGAGCATTGGGAATGTCCGGTCTAGCATGGCGATGATCAGCAAGACCGTGTCATTGATTTCATGCTGGACTGGCGGACGACCGATCAGAGCACATCGGCGGCAATGAGGACCTTTGCCCAACCGCCACCAACAACCAAAAGCAAAGCCTTATTGCTGCCCAAGGTACTCAGGTGCCCCGTGGAAAAAGGAAGCTGTTTAGCTGCAGAATGCTGATCTTCCCTAACCCTTTGGCTGGCTTCTCACTGAGACCAAACGACCTTGTGACCGCAATATGAGCTAAAGCAACACCAATGTGCTTTAGAAGCTTGCTTTCCAAGATTTGATCGCAGCGCATTCGCCACCTCCGTCATGCCCCCACCAGCCACACAAGACTGAAGCCACATCCTTTCTGTTGACATCGACGCACCCTCACAACGATATTCCATGTCTGTCATCCCATATCACTTTTATTATTGACCACACCTGAGATTTGGTAAATCAATAATGTCGGAACAGCCGCAGACACAAGGAGGTGCTGCACCTCCCGCAAGTGGAGGCGGGGCCGGAGGAGTACTGCCCATGGCCGAGATTACCCAGGCAGCAGAAGCAGCGAAAGCCGCCGCGCGCTTTCAAGACGCCGCCGACGCTCTCAAGAAGCAGGCTGCTCTTGTCAGGGACCCTGCTGAGCGGGAGCGGTTATGGCAGGCTGCGTATGCGAAGGAGAAGGAAGCACATGGGGAGAGCAAAAAGGCAAGATGTAAGCTAATCCTGCGGTCTTTTTCCATATCAGAATAATTACAGACAGGTGCTGACTTCCAAACTCATCCAGTAATGGCATCAGGATGGGGCCAAGGCACCGGTTTTGGGATCGGGATATCGAGCGCAGTAGGGATGGGTCTGGGCAATCTCGTCGGGGCACTGCTCAGCGGCGTCGTCGCCGTCCCAGGCAGCCTGATCGGCGCGGGTGTCGGCGCCATTCACGGACCATGGTACAGATTTCAGGACGCAGTGACCGGAAACGGTGGTGGTAAGACGAAAGCTGATGAGAATACTGGTCACGACAGGCTTGGAAAGGACATCAAGAAATCGGATGGCTTTGAGACGGACGATTCGGAGCAGGACGAGGAGAGCCACAAGGCAATTGTCGAGGCTGCCAGGAAGCTGGAGGAGGAGGAGAAGGCTAAGACAGAGAGCGAGAAGACGGAACAGAAGTGAGATGGCGAGATAGGCATGCCAAGCGGCGTGACAACAGCCCAAGAGGATTATTTTCCTATTCTCAGGTCGGTGAAACTAGGCATCAGAAAGGCTGCATACAGCGAGCGGGCACAGCGATGAGATTGATGTTTTCTTTTCTTTCCAATAAAGTCATACAATTACATTCGCAAGCTTATTATTACCGGATGGACTAGCGGAAGAAAGATAATACTGAGCATTCGCTAACAGTGAGTGGAAGGTAAATTATCAAGACATGCGATTTCTACATGATAGTAGTGGTTCACAAGACGCTTATGGACTAGCTCAAGAATATGAATGAGTTCTCTCATGATATTGACGTCGAGCATATGTACTCTCTAGAAGGACATAGTACTTCCGGCCCTGAGCCAGAAAGCGCGAATAGGTGATGGGATCACAAGAGAATAGGGAACGCTGGAGAGCGTCTATTAGGTAGTCTGCCGCTTCTCATCGTTGGCCTTGGGAAGCTCAATCGGCAATATTCAGGAGAGAGGCTCAAGAGTAGACCAAGGCCGCCGTCTGATGAAAACCAAGTCTCGTTACAGCTAGACAGCTCGGAAGCAAAGCTCTGTTCGCTGTGGATCCTGCAATCCCAGTGCCAGGAGTCTGTTTGCGTCCGCTTCATCTCATTTCATCTGAAGTGAATATCAAGCTCCAGCTCCCCAGCATAATATCAGCCGCGCAGCTCCAGATCCCTCCCTCTTCCTACCTCTCCTTACCAGGACAACGGCAACGACAGCGACGCCGCATAGTTCAGGTCAATTAAGCATTGGCCTGGCAGTCGACAGTCCTAGCTGTCAACCTACACTCCGTTGCCTTTTGTCCCCCGCCCCCCTTCTGTTGACCAAAACACACCCACAAACACTCCATTCCCAGCAACCTCACTCACCGCCTCACCCACAGCCTCACCCACCACCTCACATCTCGCCCCTCCCCTCTTCTTCATCACCGCAAAGATGAAGTTTGTCACCAAGGGACGCTCGCATCTCGCGAGCCGCGCCAAGACGTTCACCAGCAACGTCTTCTCTTTTGCCAGGAACGCCTACGAGCGTTTGAAGGCCAAGCCGACGCCCTCGGGCCGCCGCAAGAAGGCCGCCCGAGCTTCTCTCCAAGCTCGTCTGCAGGCAAGATACTTAACCTCCACTATGCAGTCGTCTTGATCTCGACTAATTGAACTGATTAGTCCAACCTCTACGGTGGCGTTCCGTCGCTCTATCCGAGCGGAGTCTAGCAAACTCCGCAGGAGACCGACGAGCAGCGCTACCATGGTGCGCTGGCAGAGCATTACGGCGTCGAAATGGATGTCGACGTCGACGACGAGTCCATTTATTCCTCCGAGATGGACATCGACACCGACACCAACACCGAAATTTCCTCCGTTTTCTCGACACCGCCATCCTCTTCTTCCACCATCTACTCGACTCCCCAGAGCTCGAGCCCCTCCTTCTCCGTGGCTCAGAGTTTCGCTGACACCCCTTGCCCCGTCCGCAACGTTTTGGCCCCACTGCCTCAAGGCTTGGGTGATGAGATGGAAGGTGTCATTATCACTCCATCCAAGCAAACGGCCACGAGCCAAGCTGCCGCCTCTCAGGCCCCCAAGAGGAACGGTGTTGTGTCATTCAACATGCAGCCTGCTGCAATTCAGCCTGCCACTGCCGAGCCTGCCTCGTCTCAGAGCCCCAAGAGTACCGGTCTCTCGATGTTCCACGTGAAGCCCGCTGCTGTACAGCATACTACTGCGCAACTTCCTGCGTCCGAGGCCCCTAAGAAGAACGGGGTCCTGGCCTTCAGCATGCAGCCCGCCACCCTGCCGCCTACGGCCGCTCAGCCTGCTCAGCAGCCTGCTCAGCAGCCTTCTCAGCAGTCCCCAACTCCTCATGCTCCCACGACTCAGCCTCCCAAGAGGAACGGTGTTGTGTCTTTCCATATGCAGCCAGCTGCCCAGCCCACCTCTACTCAGACTGCTACGACTCAGCCTCCCAAGCAAAATGGTGTTGTGTCATTCACTATGCAGCCCGCGCTTGCCCAGTCTACACCTCCTCAGCAGCATCAAGCTCAGCCTGCACTCGCTCAAGTGCCTGATGTCCAGACCACGTGGACCCAGAGCGCCACTCAACAGCTCCCTACAGCTCAGGGCCACGCGGGTCAAGCGACGGCACCTCATCCGCCAGCTGTTCCTGTCGTCAAAGACACTCCAGCTTCCGCCGATACTTGGCTGACCAATGATCCCGCGGAAGTCTTCAAGGAAACGTGGGCGAGCATGGCTTCGAAGATGCTAGATCTCCGAGCGTTCGAATTTGCCTCTCGTCGATTCAAGGCGCTAGACACAGCGAACGCCTCAGACGTCGCTCAGCTTTCTTCAAGCAACGAGGAACAGCAAGTCCCCAACGCTCAATCGACTTCGTCTATTCCACCTCTGGATTCTCAACCCGCAGGTTCTGATGCCCCAGCCGCCGCGGACCTCGTCCAAGGATTTACTTACGATGATTACATGCAGATTGTATTGGACAAGTTGGCTTCTTTCCATATTTCAGAGCCGAAAACTTGCAACGGGTCAAATCCAAGTCTTTTCGGCCCTTTCATGGACAGGGACAAGGAGGACAATTTCGAAGCACAGCTTACCGTGGCTGCGAACACGCAGCTGCCAGGTGGTGACCATGATGGCGATCTGGTTGAGATCAAGCCCATCCAGGTAACCCAGAAGGCAGCCGGTAAACTTCCCACCACTGAGCTCAATACTGCTGCTTTTGTGGCTCCAGAGGCTGATGCCCAGGACAAAGCCTTGCTGGCGCAGCTGGCCATCGCGGCTAATACACAACTGCCAGGCGGCGATAGCGATGACGATCTGAACGAAATCAGGGCAGACCAGGGTGCCCAGAACACTGCTGTCACACAAAGTGTCGATAGGTTTGGCCCTGCCGAGGTCAACAATGTTGCTTCTGTCGTACCAGACTCTGCTGACCAAGAGCAGCGCGCTGGGGTGGTGGCTTCCCAGGAGAAGTCTGCTGAGACTCAATCCGTCAATCAGACTGATGTCTCAGTCCCCAGCACGCAACCAATTGCCATGGTCACGAGTGGTTCCATCCAGAGCCACGATTCAAGCGAGGCCATGGGAACGGAGGGGGCGCAGCCCTCAGAGATGAGCAAGAGTGCCACTGGACAGGGCCAGTTCGACTTCCAGGTCCAATCATTCCAATTCGGCCATGCGGCGCCATATCTCTTTTCCCAGGTCAACAATCCCCTTGTCAATGCACCCATTTTCGAACCCAGCACGGCGAAGGAGGCTCAGGCTCCCTCAGCCCACAAAACTCCGACCATTGAGTTGTCGAAGGAGCAGGAGTACGAGGTTGGCAGCGATCAAGATCCGAATGTCGACCTGGAATACGACTTCAAGAGAGCTTTCAGACCCCGCAAGTTTACCGCGCTTGTTGGTGCGTCTCCTGGTCCAGCTGCTCCGGCCGATGCCACTGCAGCCACTGATGCTCCACAGGAGCAAAAGGACAAGGGTAGCAGTGACGAAGACTTGAATGTCGATCGGGACTATGACTTGAAGAAAGCTTTCAGACCACACAAATTCTTCGCTCGTGTTGCTGCGTCCCCTGGTCCGGCCCGTTTGCTGGCCCCACCGGTCACTGGTGGCTTCGATATTTCTGCTTCCACTTCTCAAACTGAGTTTGTCGGCCAAAAGAGAAAGAGAGACGAAGAAAGCGACTTCGAACACGATGCAGACGACGCCCACAACAACAAGACAAAGCTTTACGGGACGCGGCCCGAGCGCATGCAGCAGCGAGGGTTTAAGTGTGTGACGATGAAGCAACTCAAATTGGAGGGCCGCACCTACAACGAAGAGTACGGTCTGGAGATGATGAACGAGATTTTCTACCACACATTCCCGCGCCTCGTGTCCCAATTGCAGTTTCCCGAGGGAGAGTGGACGAAGGCCGAACAAGAAGACGAAGCAGAAGTCTTTGTTGAGTCAATGCTTGAGGAGGAGCTCAATGAGAGGAGCTTCCAAGCGGTCCAGGAAGCGTTCATGCCAGAATTCGGAACCAACTTTCCGAAGAGCCGCAACACCCTCTTTGATGTCTTCTCCGAGTGGTATGTGAAGTTCATGCATTACGAATTGGCCTTCCTCTGTCCCAACATGAACCGAAAAGAGATCATGAACATAGGCGATGCCCTCGAGGACGCCTTCTGGAAATACATGGACGAGCATCCTCCCAAGGATGATGCTTAGGCAGTCCGCAGACGACTGCATCAAACTTGTCTGAGTATCTTTTCTACAACACTGTACGAATAATTGCCGCATCTCCATCGAGATGCCAACAACAGCGCCTGGCTGAACGAACAGGGCGGCGGAAGGCTTTGTTCCTTTTTCTCCATTAATCGACAACGCCGCAATTTCATTTACAGCTCCAGTGCGGCCTAATTCTAAGACCGCAGTGAGACCACTGTCCAGCCGCTCAACCAAAACGAGCATAATATTCGCTTCCCCTGACTGCCCTTTATTGGGCGCGATGCGGCGAAGTAGTCTTTCTCGCTTGCGAATCGAACACTTCGCAGATTTGCCATTCAGTTGGGGAGTCGCAGGTACATTTCTTCGCCAAAGATGAGACGACGAGGCTGGAAAAGCAAAGCCCAAAACGAAAGAGCAGCATGCATTCATGAGCAATTTCATCTGTCCCTGAACTTCATCACCGAGTCAGCTCCCAATTCCGCTATCGACCTATCCGTCGACGCCACCAAGTTCCGACACAAAATCCTCAAATTGCCGACGTCACCATCAATCCATCTATCTTCACCATCCCGGACCCGAAGCTTCTGCAGCCCAGCCACAGCAGCAGAATCTTCTTTCAAAGCCCCTTTCTTGACGTACGGATACATGCTCCCTCTGTCTGGTCGAGCTGTTGAAGTACACGCCGAGGAAGGGCAATTGATATTAAAAGACAGGCGTTTCGAATCAGCACTGAAACGTGGTGCTCCTGCCTAGTAACCTTCATCTAGCATGGGTGAAGACGCAGTCGATGCTCGCTCTCGCCGCCCCATCTAGTCAGCTATGATGGGCCCGAGTTGATCTGTCTTCCGGGATGGAAGAATCGATATGGAACCACTACCGATACAAGAAAAACAACGATAGGCGTTTCGAATCCTCATCGAAATGTGACTGTGCTTCTGCCTCAGTAACCACCTCCCTCATCCAGGTGAACAGGCAGTAAGTTCTCTTCATCGCGGCTTGGCATCGTTACATCTTGTGCGATGCTCGCCCCGATGAATCTGTCTTACTCTTCTCAGTCGGCAACAGGAACTCATCATGGTGATCCGAAACCGGGAAAGATCTCGAGTGGAGGAACGAAGGGCAAGGAAAAGGCTCAGTTTGGGACCGCAGGGAAGGAGAAGTCTGCAAAGGGCGGCATATCAAAAATCGGGGAGTTTGTCACACTGTCTGCTGATTACAAGACGAGGTTGTGATTTCATTACTATTATTATGCTGTTGAAGGATTCAGCAGCTCGTCATGGTAAATTGTCCTGAAGGTCTTGAAAAGAGGACTTGATGAGGACTGGGAGACATGAGTACTCCATAATTTGAGGGAATGAAAATGAAAAAGTCACAAATGATTCATTGCTTCTCATAAATCGTGCTGATTTTAACGCCTCCATGCGAGCTTTTACACCCTCACTTTGTGGTCTCTAAGCATCCTGCTCCCGGACTCGAAGCACTCTGGCCCTGCGCAAGCCCTGCGCGCTAAGCGCAGATCCAGCTGACAATGTTCGCAGTCAGATGCTTGCGACATGTCAGATCAGTGGAGCCGACCTCAGTGGCGTCCCATGACTGATCCGGTGTGACAGTGCAGTTCGTGGTCCTGTGAAATCGTCATCGTCAGTCCTGGCTCACCCTTCCTTTTACAAACGCGGCTTGGATATGGACTCACTTGTACAGATTGCAGCCAGTGATGGAGCCTCCATCAGGGATTGAGATGTAGTTCACATTTCCTATCAGCGCCGCTGGAGCCTCCGGGAAGGCGTCAAATGTGTCTGTTTTGGAATTCCGGGTATCAGTCTGACCGTACTTTCTGGGCAGTCTCAGAAACTGGGGATCTCAAGTCTTACAGCAGATGTTCGCCTCCACCTTCAACGTGCCGCATGTTCCTGCGCCGGCCGTTGGTTGGGCGTAGGGGCAAGCCCCTGTGGCGTATGTGGACGCTGTGCAAAACTCAATGTCCGTCGTCGTCCGCGGAAGGACTGCGGCGCTCACTAGACTGGCTAGTATTGTCAGGCTGATAGGGCCGGATAGCTGCATGTTTCCTTGATGCTAGAATATCTGACTCGGGCTAAGCTGAGGCTGGGAAGAAGACTGGATGGTTTGGTTGGCTTGTGAGGTATTTGGTATTTGATTCTTAAATGCTGTTGCGAGATGCCACTCCAGAACAAGCCTTTCCCTACAGCCACGAGCTGAAGCTTATATAGTCCTCATGTCGTATCACCACCTGCAATATATTCCACGTGCGGTACCACGATACCTCTTAGCCGGAGGCATCCAGAGCCCAGGCCAAGCCCATGACGTGAGATTCTCTCAATTCCTTCACCGGTTCCGTCCCAGCTGAAAACATGAGATCCGCGCAGCGCGATTTCCAACACAAACTTGGAAATCTCTCTTCCTGTTTACTCACCGGCATCCGAACTTGCAGAGACGGCGCGAATTTTGTTTATCGTAGCGGGATCCGCTCTAATGGTCCTGCGCAGTGCAGGTGCATAAGGCCGTGCTGGGCGGCACCCGACTGGTCTAGTCGGTCAGGGCCGCAGGTGGGAACGCGACTATTACATGCAGCTCGGAAGACGCTTCGACATAATCGCTGCAGAATAGCATGGGATGTCCCGAGGAGGCAGCCGTTGAGGGATCTATTTAATGTGGGAGCACAACTGCACAACGTGTGCATACTTCAGCCGCTTTCCTCGCTACATCTATCCTCTCTCTGGTTGGCCAAGTCATGTTAGTCATTACGTGCACGAAAACGAGCCTCTCGTATTATGTCTCTCGATGCTTTCGGAAAATCGATGACTGCGCCTCTCCCGCCTCTCCCGCCGCTTTCTTCCTCCCCCACGCCAGGATCTGGCTTTTTCAGCTGTGGCGGGTGCATCTCCGGAGCGATAACCGCTAACAGCTAGAGACGACATGCTATCTGACGCTTGTTCACGGAGTCCTCGGACAAGTCTTACCCAGTTGAGCAGGCAGAAAGGATAATGCGAGCGGATTGCCCGGCCTGCTGCGTGCGATGTGACAATATTGACTGATCAGAATTTGTGGGCTGAGATAAACTATTTTGATGCTCGCTGTCTAAGCGAGTCCACTCACTGATGGAGATTTCGGAGATACCAGCGACGAAATTCCCTTCACCCTTTTCTCTCCCACCTCGGCCCTCGGCTCCGGTTCGATGCACGACATGCGTCAGAGCCTGTACGCTGTGCACAAATACATAGGACATGACTCTCCGGTTCGACAGATCTGGTCTTGAATCAGTATTCTCCGAGGGGATCCTCCAGTATCCGCCGCGAATCCGAGGCTCCTGAATCATTAAACAAGGCTTGTCGCAACAACGAGAATCGCATCAATTATCACCCAGCTGCCAAGACCTTCATGGCTCGATTGGCCCTCCCTTGCCAAAATTACACCTTTCTATACCTCATCGTGCAGAGGGGTGCGACAAACCTTGGGAAACGTTATTTGCTCACAAGGTTCCGCTTAGACTGTGATGTAATTTTAGAGTTCCCCGGGGCGCCCAAGCTTCGGAACGAACCTAGTGGTGGGTAAGTTATAACCAATCTGTGTGACAGACAGCCTTACCGAATGCGCAGCGCTGAGCAGAGCAGCGAATGACAGCCCCGGCCCGTCCGCTCGCTCGCCCGCTTTGCTCGAGTAATGGGATCACAGGATGAGAACTACGTACGGCATGGACTACAGGACCTGGCCTTGTCCTACTTGCCGACATGTCTGGGGGGCTTGGCACTGCTCCACGTAACCCCAATGCCCAGACGTGTCGCCAATGCCTGCTTGGCACCCACACGCCGTGGATCACGATGATTGATAAGCCAGCAAGCCAGCGAGCCAGCCGGTGAGTCTCTCAGTCTGTCACCCAGTCGACTAATACAACACGCGATGCACATCCCTCAGCTCAGCCAGGGATGCAGCGAGAATGCCGGCTATAACCGTCCGTCCGTTCTATATAAAGTTTCCAGTTGGGCCCACATGACAGGGAGCTTGTGGGCCAAGGAGTCAAGGGATCAAGGGGTTTTGAGTCCCGGGGAAGAAAAAAACGTCTGACGCGGGGAAGGATGGATGTACGGTGTCTCAACTTTTTGAGTTTCCTTTCTCTCTCAATTTGGTTCATTTTCCCACGGCCCACTTGCCGCGAACGAGCTGCGTGCGGTTTGTCGGGTAGATATCAGGCTCCCGGGAGAGGCCATCCGGGGGAACCAGAGCAAAGCCAAAACCCCTGGCTAGCTGGGGGTCTATTGCTTTTTTACTCGGGGCTAGCATACACGTACACGTACAGAGTTGAGGTTCGCATCGTTTGAAGCTCAAGGTTGGGCCGTAAAACGGCTGTCAGGATCTAGAATTGTACGCAGCACATCGGGCGGGAACCATTAGCGTTCGCGCGTATTTGTGCTTGTGTGTGTGTGTGTGTGTGTGCATGTGCGCGCAACACAGAGAGCGGATGGCAGAGCGAAGTTTCGCCCAACAAGCTTCTGACTGGCTTCGGACCGAACTACGTTTCGATGAATCCCACTTTAAGCTTTTGTGAGACGTGTGCGCCTCGACGCATGCAGCAAGCCCGCAAGCGCACGCAAAAGCAAAGCACCGGAGTGGGCCCTTTGCTTGCTGGTTGCAGCTCGCCTGTCCGCTTGAGCCTCAACCTTAAATCCTACTGCGCGGACGACTGCTGGACCGAGGGAAAAGGCCGGTCAACGGCACGGCATCCGCAAGGCTGGAGATCCACGGGGCGATGGCGAGGATTCGCGTGGGTTTGCGATCGACGTCGTGCCCCAGGGAACCAGAAACCTTGGGCGCGCGTGCGTCTGTCTGTCTGCATGCGTGCGCGTGTGTGTGTGTGTGTGCGCCGCGTAGATGTGTTACAGGCATCAGATCAACAATGGGACGTGCAATAATTGACGGCCCGCGCGGGTGGGTGCGGGCTGTTCTCTGGCCTCGCGTAGCAGAGGGCAGGGAGGGTGCGGGAGTGCAACTCAAGCTTAATTGTATTTATAGGGTCCGAGATATCCTTCGCTTGCGGGCGCGAAAATACCTTCCAGCTCCGAGATGAGGTGAGGCGACAGGGAACGGGTGGGAAAAGTGAAAACTCTCACCGAGGGTTCCGGGCACCTGACCGCCCTCGGACAAGGCGGAGCGACACTTCCGACATGCAATGGACGGACTTTCAAGAATACACCGAGGTCTCGTCGATAGCTGGCCGAAGTCTCTCCGACTCCGGGCGAGACGGTGTGCCGCTGGATCGCTCATCCCCGATGAGATGGGATGATACATGGCCTCATCAGGGACACAAAAAAGAGATATGCAAGGCCGGAGGGTGGGTGGCAGGGACACGGAGAAAATCGAAGCATTGATCACCCGCTGCCGGTAGAGGAGGCATGCTATTGTTGTCGCAGTGACCCTATATCAGCCCTAGGAGCGGGAAAGCCGAGGCTTGGAAAACCTGCAATGCGGCTTTTCCAGCCAGACAAACCTGGTCGATCAACATGCCGGCACCGAGGCTGCTCTTCTACCATGTAAAATGTGGCTTGCGAATGTGCATGAACCACACTAGCTGCCCAACTGCAGGAGTTACATTAGGCATATGGGCTAGTAAGCGGTGTCGTACCAGAGGAAATAAACACCAAGAGGTTTGCTCCAGGTATTGCCCGCCAGCTAAAACAAGGCTATGGGCTAGCCGCATTTCCATCGAAGCTTCAATGCGCGCGCCGTCCCGCCGCTTCGACCTGCCTGGGGAGTGGAAACTGGAGAAAAACGTTCGCCTCGTTCCTACGTAATACGCGCTCCCCCTTCTCCAACAACGGCGCTGCGAGCAACGCATTGACCCGGGGAGGGGGGCCTAGATCGATGCTATCTATATACCGTTTAGTGGAGGCGACAAGACCCGCGCGGCTTACAATTATCCCACAGACAAAGCCACAAAGACTGACGCAGCACCTCGTCTCGCTAACTGACTTGGGTCGCTGGCAAGATCATCATCTCGCCTCGGCTTGGCACTGAACGGGCGTCGCGGATGAGAATGGGCAGACTGGCCCTGGGCAGGCTGTGTACCTCTCTGGCCATCGCGGGGTTTAATCGCAGCATCGCCGGGTGAGCTGGGCGTTCTGCTTGCGCGGCATCTTGGCGCCCAAGACAGCCGGGCAGCCAGCACCAGCCAGGGCAGCTTGGCCATTGTGGCGGCATTAAACTCAAATCCCGCCCATGGTGTGGGGGAGAGGGAGGTGACGAGACGAGACGAGACGAGTCGGCGGGACGAGCTGTGGACGGCCAAGCCTCAGAGTCAACAGATCAGATCAGGTGCTATGCTCATGCCTCATGCCTCATGTCTCATGCTCTGGTGCTAGTGCTTCAGGACCCTCCTCTTGGCACATCAAACTCCGCTTGTTTTGATGATGATCTTGGGAGTTCGTGAATAGAATCGTGATGTTTGTGTGACACCTACACTTGGCCTTGGCTTGGCCCTCTGCCTTGGCATGGTTCTCTGGTTTGGGTGCTCTTTGAGGGGATTGATCGTCGGAGAAGGCCATGCCGAGCATTGCCGCTCCCCCTGCGCCTCACTGACCCCAACAGCCCATCAATCCCCTCCATGGAATGACCTGAGATGGAGGGCGGCGCCTTCGGTGACTGGGCCGGATGGGTACACTACGGGTCTGCCCAGTACAAAGATAGTAAGGATGGGTGGGGGAGGCGGCGGTGGGATCGATCTGCTGGGGCCCACATGGGAGACGGGCAGTTGGGTCAGGGTCGCAAGAACCGCAACCTTGATCGGAATCGGAGCGCAGAACTCACTGATCACAACTCGACTGCAGCTCACGTGGCGGCGGTCCAGGTACCGGTGGGATACACAAGTAGCCTCCCCCTGGGCCACAGTTTTGGCCGAGACCCAAGACGGGCTGGCAGGCTGGACGGGGACGGGCCTCTGAAGGTCTGCCAGTCTGCTTGGGCAGCCACCGCACCCGCCGTCAGGCATGCCAGAAGTAGGAGCCCGAACGGCCGTACCGGAGTTTGTTTCGAAACAGAATACCCAGGAAGGCTAGAGTGAACCAGCCCCGGCACAGCTGCGACGACGCAATCACCGCAATCTATTCCAATCCCGACGTTGCAGAGGTCCCTGCATGGCAAGGCAGAGAGAGGAGCCAGGGAGCCAAGCGCTGTCAGGGATCCAAGCTTGATGCCACCCCTGCCCAGCGTCGGCGGGGTCCTTTGCTGGGCAGGAAAAAAAGGCAGAATGGCGATGGCCGTCGGGGATGGAGGGGTTCTCCCCGTAACATCGTTCCAGGAGCCCAGGAGGTGAATCCGCGCGCTCGATATCGATGTCCCTGGACCGGAACTCTGGATCGCAACAAGGTTTGGGTAGCCGCTCTCTTGTGTCTTGTAGTGGGCTCCGGATAGGCATTATCCAGTGCTGTAGACATCTGTGCAAGCAATAGCAGTCAAAGCTGCATATGCTGCGACAGAAGGGCTTGCACAGAGCTCTTATGTGTGATCCGACCCGCCTGAAAGTTCAGCCCGCCTGGCGGACCGCAGGCGACCAACCATAAACCACTGAATATCGATGCTTGCTAGACGTTCACCCACTCGGTTAGTTTGTTAGTCAATCTGCCAGTTAGTCAGGTTCTCAAATCAATCAGTCAACCTGCAACCTGCAACTCCCTGCCTCGTGCTCGCCGGATCCCTCCCTACAACCCCCGCCCTTTCCGCCGCGAGTTCTGATGCTCCTCATGGCACAATGTCGGGCTGTGAAGGTCTTGGCGGCCTTCTCACCTTCATTTCACCACTCCTTTCCCTCGGCTTGGCACGTAATCGGCGAAAAGCATCTGCTCTGGCCGTGAGTCTCGCCGAGCTCTGCTCTGTCTGGACCTGCTCTGGTCGTCTCCTGCCCCCTCCCACCCCTGGCGATCCGAGCAAAGCCACAGCCGCCAAACATCAGATCGGGCAGCCTCGGGGAAACCTTGGCGTAACTATTGCAACCCGAGTGACTGTTTCAACATGCTGCACAACATGTTCAGCGTGACAAGACACCCGTCACGTCGTGTCCTCGAGCAGCAGTGATCACCGCCCCCGAGGATTCCGCCGCTGCCACACACGTGGCAGGGCCCGGGATGGTGGGACCAGGCCACTCCCACCCCCCTCCCCCCTTCGCCGAGCGCGGGCGGCCGGGGTGGGCAGGGTGGTAGTGGTAGTGGTGGTGGGAGGAAAGCCCGGAGCGAGCTGTGACAACCTTGTTCTTGGAAACCTTGTTTCTCTGTCTGCCCGCTACGGCCAGGGAGGCAGGGCAAGGACAGAGCAAAAAAAAAGTCTTGGTCCCCTTGGGAGCTCTCAGCTCGAGCCTGAAGTATCGCTCGTGTGAAGGGCTCCACCTTGCGGGATATGCTTCAAGCATCCCAACCTAATCGGAAATGATCTTCATTCGTCCTCTTGGGCCATTAAGAGCCATGGCTCACATGCGATAAAAGAGCTCCCCGCCCCCGCCGCCATCCCAGAGCAATATGGGTGTGAGTCTCGATATAAGTCAGACAGACAGACACACTGGACTCTTTGGAGAGTCTACTTCATGCGAGAAATCTTGTTAGCACGAATACCAAGGTGTCGTTAAAACCAGCGGCATCTCCTCGCCTCGATGGTGGTTCGAGCATGTCAAAAGCATCCGGACATCTACAGCAGTTACTCTCCCCCCGCCATCCTCACCACCACCCCTCCTCCAACACGCCCAAGGCCCTCACGCAACGCCCGCCAGATCCCTTTCGAGCTGGCCGGCCACCCTGAGCCACCGATGCCAGACTCAGCCATTGCCGCAACATATCGGGGTCACGTTGCCTCTACCCAGGACGCCTTGATCATCGTCGAAGCTTGCCTCCGGGGCGTACTCTACCATACCTGCCGCAGGCCGCGGGCATCTGAGGAGTCTTCACTTGCAAAGAGCGGAAACATCTTCGTGTACGAGAGCCGGTCTTCGGGGATCAGGACTTGGGAGGACGGGATAACTTGGTCCACGCCGCAGAGGGTTGGGAACTTTGAGCTTTGCCGACAGCTGTCGGCCACCTCAGGCCGCAGCAGGTCGAACGGTACGTGCTGCTCATATCCTCCCGCCTCCCCTACACCATGCGCATGGCAGATGGGCTGACATTGTTACTGCCTCACAGGGAATCACAGTAGTGCCGGGAGATTGTGCAGGAAAACCATCAGCGTGACCGTGCAAGGCTTCACACACCACCTTGTCGCGTACTTCAGCACCCGAGACTTCACATCCAACATCCTTTTGTCGCCGTCCGCAGACCTCGGGCTAGCGGACATCATCCCGCGTGCAGAGCTGTACAGCCAGGGTTTCCACGCCCCCATTGATGAAGATGACCGCGACGAGGTGATGCTCGCCCTGAGGTAACAAGAGACGTCAGGCGGTCGCCCACGCGGGGCGACTTGCGCCATGGCCGCGTGCAGGAGCGCAACCCTGAAACTCCAGGGTCGTTGGGCCGGGATAGTTTGCCGCCGGTTGAGAGCCGAGGACCAAAGCGCTTGATGTGCACACCGTTCGATTTTGAGGAATTGGGTCGGCAAAACAGCACGACTGGAATGGCCACCATCATCGCCACCACCGCCACCACTACCACCATCCGCCTTCAACACCACCTCCGCCACAACAACTCGGAATGATATCAAAACCGGCTGGGGAGCAACGCTGCAACTCCTCGGAACCGGACGACTGCCAACCCAAAAAAGAAGGAAAAACACTTTTACCAAAAAAAGATTTAATCAACAACAAGGTCGGGTCTGGGAGGTTTGCGATAGACTTCCTTTCTGTCTTGGGTAGTACAGGCACACCACAAATACAAGCCGCCTGCTGAATTATGATCATCCCCATGCAATCTGTGACTAGGCGTGGATCTGGACTGTAGTGGGATCAAAATTTCGGAGTTGGTCAAGATGTGAATGCCCCCAGTGCTCGTCTCTTCCGCCGGCGCGTGGTCGTCTGTCTGATTCTTTCTGTGCTAGTAATCCTCCCACAGGTCCTTGACGTACGCCTCCGTCAGACGCTCGTCGGGACCATGGGACTCCTGCCACCTCTGGAATCCACCCCTGAGCACGCAGACCTTCTGCGCCACAGGAGGAGCCTTCGCTGCGCCCTCTCCTTGCTGCTGCTGACCGGCTCCTAGCGCCGCTGATGCCTCCTGGCCCGGGGTGCCGGAACCCTCTGGCGCAGCGACAGAATCCTCGCCGAACTTCGCCTCGCGCTCTCGTATGTACCGCAGCGCGGCACTAGGCCCACGCTGCTTCGACAGAGCACAGTGGAAGACGACTGTCTTGGTGTCCTCGAGCTGCCGCAGCAGGGTAGGCAGCCACTCTTCGAACTGGTGCGAGGGCACCCAGCGCGAGCCCTTGATGTGCCCGCCTATGTGATCTACAGGAGGGACTACAGGTTAGCGAGATGTCAATACAACACGAGGCGGATGGGCCAGGTTCCGATAGCGCACCTCCATCGCGGACGTCGATCACGGCGACTGAGTTGTCCGGGGACTTGAGCGCGAGCAGCTCCTGCGACAGCGCCGCCACCTCCATGCGCGGGAGATTGGCAATTGTAAATCTCGACATGGTTCTTTTGAAAATCGTGTTCATGTGATTGGGGAGGAACTAGCAGCGCATACGGTCTGGTGCAGCGGGTTGGCATGCTGATGTCGACAATCTGCAGCTTGTTGAAGCTTTCAGGAGTGACGTACTTACCCCAACCCTTGGCATACTTAAGGGAGGAGGAGGGGGGATGCACAGTCTGCTTAACCCTGCCTCCTCTCTCCATCAAATGCTTCTCACCAACACCGCCTTCTCAAGAGGGCAAATGCTTCAAATGTTTACTGAATTTCAAATAAGATTTACATCAATCTTTAGAAATGGTCATAGTACTACTCATACTCTCTAAGTAGGCCACTGCACGTTCTCTACTTCTTCGCGGTGAGCTCACCAGAACCCATCTTCCCTAGCAACTCGCGGTAGCTCATACCACCCTCAGGCACATTGCTCAAATCAGGCAGGCCAAAGTCTTTCATCAGCCGATACTCCCTATCCACATACGCCCTGTTTCTCACGTAGCGGCCAGTCTCGCCTTTGGCAGCGTCGCCCTTGACGAAAGTCCAGCACCAGTGGCTCTGGCCCTCGACCTCGTGCGCCAGCTTCCAGAACTCGAGCGCGTGCGACTCACCGTCGATGTCCATCATGCAGCTCTCGCCGTTCTCGAGCCGCTCGTCGACGTAGTAGAACTTGTAGTCTTTGCCGGCCCTCTTGTACGCCTCGGCCGCCGTCTCGATGAAGTACGCCGTTGCGTTCTTGGCCATGCCCAGGATGTGCGTCTCCGGGAGGACCTGCGTGTTCATCATGTTGCCCACAAACAGGAACGCCTTGGCGGCCGAAGCAGGCAGCGTCGCCCACCCCTTTATAGCTAGCCGTGCCGCCGCGTATGGCGAGATGGTGCTCACCGTCAGAGTCTCTGTCAGGCGGGCGGTGGAGACGGTGATAGGGTTCGCGCCCGAGACCATCTGCCCATCAGCAGCTGTGATAAATGTTAGTCTCAGGATGTCAGGTTCATGGCATCAAGTGCTTTGCTAGGGTTTCCCAGAGTCACCCACCGCTGAATACGACCACGTGCGGTACGCCCAGCTCCTTGGTGACCTTCTCAAAGACCGTCTCTACTGTCTTGGGGTCCGTCAGGTCGGCGGGAACGATGAGGTCTGTGGCCGCCTTGAGCTCCGTCGACGGATTGCGCGAGACCGCCGCGACCTTGTAGCCCTCCTTGGCGAACTTCTTGGCGGTCGCCAGGCCAGTGTTGGCGCCGGCGCCGAAGATCAGGATGACCGGTGTTGAAGACATGGCAGGCTAGTTAGATAGGGCGCTTGTGCGAGGGTAATGGTTCAGAGTTTTATTTTTGAAAAGAGTACCTGATGTATTAAGCTTCAAAATAGATGATGTTTGATGATTGAATCATAGGTTCCGGTGCAGCGGTTTCATTTTTCTTTTATTCCACATTCCAACTCTTGCTCGGAGACATTTAGTAGTTAGTATCTCCACTTAGAACACCAAACGGAGACACGCATTGTCCCGTTTGCCCTCGTGGCTGACCCCTCGGCGAGTTTGATCACGTTTTGTAAGCGATCTGGACATAATAGGGAGCGTATTCGTATTTGTTGACAGCGGATTTGCATCCTCAAATCCGCTTGTGGTGACGATGACAATTAATTTAGGTTTGGGGTCAAAGACGACGGTCGACGCGGACGAGTTCGGCCGAACGGGTATCTCCGCAACCTTGAAAGGTGCGCCATATGCTTTGAGAGGCGGTGACATCGTAACGCAACAACAGTCGAACGCGAATTAGACTCACGCAACTTCATTGACTGCTTCCGATGGAAATGGCCGGCCTTTCTCTTTTGAGAGTAAGATTTTGAGGCCTGTGATGGATGGTATCAACTCGGCAATTGCTTCCACCAACTTGGGGAAAATACACAAAATAGCGCGGAAGATCGACGTGAGCGAGGCTGAGAACATTTTGGACGAATCTCGTTGTGATGAGGACCAGAAACGTGCAAGATTGGTACGAGCAATGTGCCTTGGGGCCCGGGAGGGTTGGAGGTCTAAGCCTCCAGAGGCTTACCTTGTGGACGAGGCAAGGACTTACATTGCTGTAGAGTGCCTAGACAGGGTCGTATGTCAGATAGGCCAAACAAATCCCCAGATGAAGTATACGCCGGGGCTCTCACGGGTCCCTTGAGTGACTAGGCCATTCATACGTTTCCTCCAAAGGTGTTCGAGTCGTTCAACCGAGCAGTCTTGAGCGGGCACTGCAGACTGGATACATCCCACCTTGATGATCTTGCTGGACTTGGGCATGAGTAGCACCCGAAGCCACATCTACGCATATAACGGCATGTGCTCCTTCAAAAGAGGGATTCTCGGGATAGCGGCAATCACCGAGACGTGAATTAATGTTCTTGAGTATGTCGGACACGTTGTTTGGGCCGAGTTTCTCGAACCGCAGGCCCAGATGGACACATCACAACCGTATTATTGGACCGCCTGGCTTAGCTTCTGAAAAGCATGACTTGAAGCCGCTCAATTCTATAAACAGCCATCTGGAAAGTTGCAGACAAATTAGATACTTGGCCCAGATCCTGCCGACCGTCTGACTGACTGACTGTCTGTCAAGTGCAGTCAGTCACGAATCCGGACTGCGGTCCCCTGGAGATTCCAGTATACCATAAACTTGTCCTATAGGGAGGCTGAGATTGAATTTATTAAGCTCAATCCAATCCCCCGGGTCCTTTGCCCGACACTAGCTGCGGCTGAAGCGGAGACTACAGTGCACGGCGCTCAGCTAGGAGAAGTGACAGATGATGTGTTTCTCCTCGTGGAGATGTTTCAAGCAATAAGTCGATAATTTCGTCAGCGTTCGAGTCTTGGCAGCTGCTGTGGCTCCAATCAGCACGTTGCGAAGCCATGCAGCTCGCCGCCACCGCATGTCTGGCCCGCCTACTGACTCTGCTTGATCGGGAACATGAACCAGCAGATGCGTGGCTGATCGCGTCCTTTCACCGCATATCAATACAATCCTGTGCAAATGTCCCAAAACCAGGCCTGGTGCAGTGGCCCACAACTACCGTTAGTTCCATCAAAGGCGTCGGACTAGAGGCCGCCATGGTTGAGAAGGGCTTATGCCAAGACCTGTTCAGCCCCGATGAGAGACAAATGAAGGTCTTTCGGGGAGGCCATTTTTTGAGCCGCAGCTGTCTTTGGTTCTTCAGCTGTCGAATTGGGGTATATGCATGAGCTTGTTTTGACGGACTCCGGTGTACTCGTGTCCGGACGCGGTGGATTTAGCCGACATCGAACTGCATAAGAGGGGAGGGAAGTCCGGGCCAATACCAGAAACCCGAGTTGACAGGACTGTGCTTTGCCATTGTTTACACATTGCTCAATATCAGGAATGGGGAGATCGCTCTTGCACGGGGCCTTCGCGCTCGCGGCTCTCACCACACTGGCTGATGCATCTGCACAACCAAGTCCCAGGAGAACACAAGTCGGCCCGCCAATTCTCCGGTCCCAAGTAACAACGCACCGTGGTGATGATGTCTCAGGCTGGGGCAAGTTTCGGCGGGCGAATTTCAAAAGGCAAGACTCGACGCCCCTAGAGAACCAGCAGACCGGCACGTCGTATACAATCGACATCGAGATCGGCACGCCGCCCCAGGCCATCACCCTCATCATCGATACCGGGTCTACGGAGCTCTGGGTGAACCCAACCTGCGAGACATCAGGGCAGTCAGACTATTGCGAGTCGTTCTCACAGTTTGACTACACCTCGAGTTCGACAATCAGCGATACGGGTTACTCCAACCTGCTGGCTTATGGCAAGGGCAACGTTACGATCGAGTATGTGACGGATGTCGTTAGCATCGGATGTAAGTCTAGTGACCGGACATGTGTTCAAGAAACATGGGGAGTTATGTGCTTACCAAAAATGTATAGCCGCCAGCATCACAGATCAAATTTTTGGTGTCGGTTTCGAGTCCTATGATATACCACTGGGCATCCTCGGCCTCGCGCCACCCACCGGTTCCGAGGAACTGTACACGTACGTCCTGGACAACATGGTAGAACAGGGCCTGATCGACAGTCGAGCCTTCAGTCTTGACCTTCGAGATGTCGACAGCCCAGATGGCTCTGTCATTTTCGGCGGTGTGGACGCGGGCAAGTTCGTCGGCGAGCTGCAGAAGTGCCCCATCCTCGACCCCTCGGACACACCCAGCGGTGCAGATCGCTACTGGATCTACCTCACTGGACTTGGGATGACGATCCCGAGCGGCGAGTCGGGGCTGATTGCCGAAGGACAGCTACCGGTGTTCCTGGACAGCGGCGGCACGATGACTCGGCTTCCCACTGAGGTTTTTGAAGCCGTCGGGTCTGCGTTCCCAGGCGCACAGTATGACTCTGACTCTGGGTATTTCATTGTTGATTGCGATGTTGGCGACGACTCTGGCAGCGTGGACTTTGTCTTTGATGAAAAGGTCATTAGTGTTGCGTTCGACGACTTCATCTGGCGCGTACCTAGCCTGGATGACACTTGCGTTCTAGGGGTCCTTGCAGACGATGGTAAGATTCTACCGCAATGATCGACGGCAAGGAAAAGCAAACTGACAGTATCCATCAGACGAGCCCGTCCTGGGTGATACATTCCTGCGCGCAGCATACGTAGTCTACGACCAAGACAATCGTAACCTCCACCTAGCACAGGCTGCAAACTGCGGGACAAGCTTGGTCGCTATCTCCACCGGCGTAGACGCAGTTCCATCTGTGACTGGAGAGTGCACAGCTACAGCGGCCGCAGCTGTGCTTACTGGCTCGCTGACTGCAACGGAGGCCCCTTCGACCATCACGAAAGGCCCTGGTGGGCTCTCTTCCGCTATTGCGCCGGGCCCTGGGGCTACGCAAACCGGGGAGAGAGTGGCGAGCAGCCTGTGCTTGACGTGTAAGAACGCCGCGACAGGGACGGCAAGCCCTTCTAGGACAAGGAATGCCAATGCCGGTGCGAGGGAAACGGGCAGTCCGCTGGCTGCCGTTGGAGTGATGGCTGTGGCTGCTTTGCTTGTTTAATGAGTGAGACTTGAATCGCATGGAGGAGGACAGAGTCATGGCGAAATTGGTTTAAGATCATAATTCATGATAAGGTTATGTATATATTAGATGAACTTGAGCCAGATCCCTCTTTCCGAGATTTACCAAAACGCCTGAGCTAATGCTGAATGTCAATCTGCAATCCGAAATACCAAATCCGCTGTGCTGAACTCAAAATAGTCAGATGTCTGCCGCGCAAGGACCCAGAAAAATGTATATCCGAAGATTGACCCTCGAATTCCCGAGACACTCAACTTTCATGAGCGTCGAGAATGTTCCGACTCAGCAACTTCCCCTTCGGAAACAATTCAGGGGACTTTGTCCGCGCTCTGCCCGGCACTCTGATTTGACTTTTTCATCTTCTTCTCCTCAGCCTTCACTCGTTTGCGTTCCTCCTTCGCTCGTATTTTTCCTCTCCAGTGAATGCCATTCTTCATAATAAGTAGCAAGAGAGGTGCCCCAGCCATATACAAGAAGCCGATAATCATAAATGTCCAGCCAACGCCTATAGCGTCGATCATTGGTGCGACAGAGCCAGTAGCCGCAGCGCCGACCAAGCATCGGGTGAGATTATTGGCAGCAGTGGCGGCTCCCGCCTTCATTGGGTACATATCGACGATGAGAACACTTGACGCATTGGTATAACCGACCATACCGACACCCATCAGGAACAGCAATATGCACGGCACGGCGATGGGAGCCCCGTACTGCAGTGCCCAACCCCAAGCAAAAAGGACCACAGTTGCGAGTGCTAAGAGCGGCAGACCGACCTCGATGCGAGCGCGCTCTACGGGGAAGTTGGTTAGGTCATCCTGGCGGCCCTTTGTCAATTCCATGCCGAGCTTTTTGGCGTGGCGACGGTAGTTCCAGTTGATTAGCGGGCCAACGACGAAAGCCGAGGCGACAGACCCTCCAGCCATCGGGAGGTACATCAGGCCGATTTTGACGTCATCGAAACCGTACAGGCGCGCGAACTGGGAGGGCATTACTGTCGCGATGGCATAGAACCCGGCGAAGACGATGGCGCTGTAGCCAAGTAGCACGCCGAGGAGCGGCTCGAAAAGCATCGTCAGAGAATCGAAGGGATTGCCGAAGTTGATTTTGAGCTTAGGCCGGGACTCTTTCGACGTAGCGAGTTGGATGGCCCGGAGTGCCTCTTCATCGCCGGACCTCTTTGCGTCGCGTTTTCGCCGTTTGTCGTTTATCACCTGCCACAACGTCCTGTATATAGGGTGCGGACGAATGCTGCCATCGCCTACCAGTTTCCGGCACGTCTCCGGGAAGAAGAACAGCATCAGTATGAGCGTGATGCCGGCGATGATCGTCAGGAACCAGAATATTGACCTCCACCCAAGATACTGCGCGAGCAGGCCGCCCGCCACTGGGCCCAGACTCGGAGCTAAAACGATAGGCAGCACGGTGAGACCGACATAGTTCCCTCTCTCAGCGCTGGTGACGATGTCGGCAATCACAGCATTGCTGAGCGCGACAGTGGCCGCGATCCCAGCGCTCTGGAAGCACCGCAGGACCAGTAACTCCGAATACTTCGTGCACACCGCGACACCCACGTTGGCAAGGATGTAGATGACGAAGGAGATGACGAACGCGGGCCTGCGGCCTGCGGTGTCTGCGAAGCCGCCGAAGAACATGGGGGTGATGCCTTGAAAGACCATGTAAGTTGTCACCGTGAGGTTGATCTGGGTGGCCGTCACGTTGAAGTCCTGGGCGATGACATTGAGCGCTGGGAAGTAAATTTGACCGGTCAGCGGCGAGAAGAAGGCCGCCATCGATGCAGCAAAGACTATCATTCGCTTCTCCCATGCACTGAAGGTGGAATATGGTGGTGGCACGGCCTGTGATGGCTCCCCGTCGATACCGGACGAGACGACCGGTTTTTCGCTTGGAGGTTCACCATCGCGACTGCTCGGCCCTTCGCCTCCATTGGATTCTGTGGTGATGATCCAGTCTTTCTCGTCGTCAAATTTGATGTCTGCTGGGGCTTGGCCCTCAGTCCCCTTCGATTCTGAGCCTAGGTCTCCGGCCTTTTCGCGGAGGATTTGTGTCTCTTGGGCCATCTCGTTGCTTGACGGACTTGTCATCTTGTATGACACACATCGCCTAAATGTGCCAAGCGGGGCCCTATATAAATGATGAAAGAAGGGAGGAGGAAAATCACCGATGGGTAAGCGCCCTGTACCTATCGGCCTCGTCGGTGCCGATGAGAGCGCCCTCGGCGCGCTAGTCATTGTTTCTGACCATGAGACTCGGCACGCAATTCATCATTATAACTCCTGACAGGGTGGGGACTTATCGCTGCCCTCTGAGCGCCGAATCGGTACCGTTGCTGACCACCCCAACTTGCTTCCAGAAGTTCTGTCGACCAGTGGCCCTCCGGACGCCCTATGCATGTATTGTTATGCTTGCCCCATCGTTTGCATGGTTTCAGTGAGGCAGCTTACCCGTTCCAGCGAAGGGTTTCGCAAACTTCTCTGTTCTATAGGGGATACGGTTGGGTTCAGTCCACGTAAAACGTTCCAAATATCAATGGCGTAAACTCAATATTTATGAAATTTCGCCCTGTACCCGAAGAGCCCGGGACCTGGTTCAATGGGACTAGTGCCGACGTTGCATCGCCACACGGTACATTTAGACTTAAACGAGCCCAAGGGCGCAAATCTCAACCGAATCGGCACCGACCTTCGATGTCCCTGCGCATAAGCTTGCACTAGGCAGCGAGTGTCTGGTTGAAGGCTTGTTATTAGACAACTTTTGCGAATTGTGAATAGCGAAGTAGCTACATAATAAAACAATTACCTTGCCCAGGTCGTCTGAAACCCCATCAAACTACCGCATCATTGTCAGCTCGCTCAAGCATGAGATTGACGCTTCGCTTTTGCGCCTCGTACTGCAATCGGCGTTCGCCGAGGAGCCTGGAGCTGCTCTCGCCATAGATTGGAAACGGTACTCTTTTTGGCTCAACGGCATAGTTGCCTAGATAATGCTGACAGAAATATGCACGTCCATACTTCCCTTGTTTCTGATGCCGTGGCAATTCATTGCCTCCGAGTTCGAGGCTCGTCTTTGTACTGGGATTTTATTGTAGATCCCGGCTGCCTTTTAATGATGTATAACATCAATAACTGCTCTGGTGGGAGGCGTATCGGAGCATGAGAACTTATTCACAGCTCCCTTCAATGACTCGTGTTTCTCCAAATAGTATTCATGGAACGCAGGTTTCACAGAATACAAGGGACTGCAAAATTAGGAGGTCTCCCACGGTCTGGCCAGCCACTCACCTAGGGCATCCCAGCGAACTCAAAAAATCATAATTTCAGGTACGGGTCCAATCATAATCTACTCAGCTACCATTTACCTTTCCACGAGTCCATATGTTCAATCCAATCTTGGACCCTTTCAATACCGGCTGCCCTCCGTGTGCCGTCTCGCGATGCCCGGTCCCATCCTTCTTGAAGTTGACCCAGAACAACGCATTCCCGGGGATCGGGCGCACTGCCAGTCCTCTCTGGTAAGAGCAGTCCAGCCACTTACACCAAGGCCCCTTATCCTTCCACGCCGGCTGGAGCACCATAGGGAACCAAGTTGAGCCCCCTTCAATGTCCTCTGAGGCCTCCAGAGTCGCGAAGAAGCTGGTGATGCGGTCGACCGCTCGCGGAGTTGCATAGTGCCAGTCGTAATGCGTCTCAAACGAACCACCTGCGGTGTACTTGAGCACCGCGAGCTGCTCCATCGTGGCGTTAGGTGCGAAGCCCTGGAATACTGCTGCTCGGGATTTGACGCAGTCTACTACTGGATCGCCGTCTCTGAGCCACGCGGTCTCGCTCTTCCTTGAGCTGGAATCCACGAAGACCTTCTTGTCTGCAGCTCCATCATCGTAGTTCTGTACGACCGAAGGCTCATATTCTGCTAGACTGTGGTTCGGACGCGTTAGACTAATTATACTCCGGTCACTTCAGTAATGATATGAGACTTACGCAAGCTGTTTGAGATGCTCCGTCTCGTAAGGCGAAATGAAGTTCTCTATGTATACCATGATTGGATCATATGATAAGAATTTGGGCTTCATCTCCGAGTGCGTGCATGTGTAGTTGTTTCCCTTGACAGCTGCGTCACCAGCTGACGGCACTGATTCCACACCCATACTTTGAACCATGCCCACGAGCTGTTGTGGTGCGCCATGGTTGCTGTCGATTACCACCCGCACGCCACCGAGGTAGAGCAAGATGGCTCCGACGGCCGCGGCCGCGTTGAAGCCAATTAGTGCCTTCGATGCCATTTCGACGTTTACTGAGTAAAGAACATGTATTCATTCGCAAATAAACAACGATTGGATGAGTATTCTAAAGAAGCCATCTCAAGCCTGGCATCGTTGAAATAGCTGACAAGAAACGAGTCTGCACACGGATGATTGCTCGAGCAGTTGAAACAGCACCGAATCCGAACTTGAAACGAACCCGTATTGGCACTCCCCATTTACTAGCACTCTGCCGGTATTTGAAACAACCATGCAACCGCCATCTTATTTAACAGAACATCAGACGAAGGACTACAATTTGATATACAAGAAAGCAGATGGATCTAAAATCTAAAATGACTATGTTCGTGCACGTTCCTACACGGTCACGACGAGTTGTATGTTGAAGTACTTAAGAAAAAGAAATGGAAAACAAAAAGACTTCCACACTTAGGAGTACAGCTGGATCCATCACGCGCATCCTCTTGTGTGAATGTATCATTTCGAAATGATCCACGGCATTTGATAGGGCGCCGACCAGATGCCCGTGATCAATCGACTGAGTAAATGAGGGGCTTGCCATATTGTTTTGTCGACCAGTTCTCAAGCCCCTCCAACAAACTATTGGCAAGATGAGGGTCGAATCGATGCCCGCTCTTGAAATTGGCAAGACAGCCCCTCCAAGTCACCCACTTCTCAGCGAGGACTCCCTCAGGTGCTCTCAGGACACCAGCAGGCACGCTGATAATCTGCTGTTCGGGGGTCGGTGTTCTGCTATCGCACGAGAAGATCATTGTCGCACCGCAGTCGCCACAAAAGCCTCGCAGCGTCCCCTCGGACGACACGTACGTCTTCAGTGTGCCGTATGGAGCCAGCCCGACTGGCATGGGCGGTTGGATGAGCGCCCGCGGCACGGGGACCCAGGCCACGACGTGCACGCCGGCGTTGATGCGGCAGTCGTCACAGACGTCCAGGAAGGCCTTCCACTTCCGTTCCTCAGTCGGCGAGACGTATCGTGATAAGAACGGGTCGTGCTTGACAGCGGGCACGGTCGGCCTGGGGATCGTGAACGAGACACCGCCGCAGTGGCACCCTGCTCGCAGGACCTCGTTCCCATTGGCGTCAAACTCTTGCTTTGGGGGCTTATCCTTTATGCCAGACGACCACCAACCACTATCCGGCCCGGGGTTGAAGGTCTTTATCTCGCGATTGCCCATCTTGGGTAGGAATTGGAAAAGTCCTGTGCCGCCTGTCGAGCCTTCCGTGAAGCAGTGAGTCCTAATCTGGAACACGTCCTCGCCCTGTTCCGAGAATAAACTGATAGAGACTCTCCACTCCTTCGCTGCATCGGGACCTTCACCCTCCGGAGCCTCGAGGTCTTCATCTCCAACGTGGCTACCGCATGTGGTGCAGAAGAATCGCTCGGCTTGGGCATGGGCATGCTTGTAGCCCGTCAGATTGGACTTTGAGGACGGGGCGATGAACTTGGGCACGATGCCCGAGGGCAGCTCTGTGTGGAATATGCACAGTGTGCCATGGGTGTAGCGACAGATGCTGCAGTGGCAGAGATGGACGGGCAGAGGGAGCTTGGATGTTGGGACGTCGACGCTGAATTGCACAGCCTTGCAGTAACAGCTGGCCGTCAGCGTCTTGGTCTCAATATCCGAGTCTGCCATGTCTGCGTTGTAAACGGAGAATGCAGAGGCTTTAAAGGAAAGATGCTGGAACATACAACTGAGACGATGAATCGTTTTGGAAAAGTAGATAGTTGGTTCACTAGGCTAGGCAGCGGAAGTCGTTGTGGCGCTTACTGAGCGGGGTTTTTCGATTGTAAGCCCCGGTGCCTCAGCCGCGCTAATCCATCATTAGGGGCCCGTAAGCTGATTGACATTTTGTTTCCATGGCATCTGCTCGTCCTGGTGAGTGAATGTCACGATAAGATGTGCATTGCTTAGCAGATAAGAGTAGCTTGGCTTTGGAAGGGTTATCTCACTACAATGGCTGCGCTGTGATTGGAGAAGCGCTGGAATTTTGTTTTGCATCTAAATAAATTATAGCCACCACGGAAATTCCACTTAACACACGTTACGCCCGGAAAATGGCGTCGATCTTGCGACCACTGCTGAGGGCTCAGGCTGGAATTGACAAAGGCCTGACCACTGCAGTCGACGAGTCGTCGCTGGCCAGGCCCATCACGCCGACTCTCGTTGCAGCTCATCAGACGACACCAGCACAGTCACCCAGCATGGCCTCGAACAGCTCCCAGTCGCGCCCGTCTTCCCCGGCCAGGGTGTTCCCAACCTCAGGCTTTCATGAGATTCCAAAGTCTCAGAAGGTTGATGAGGAAAACTTCTCATGGTACTCGCCCGAGGACTCCTACCGATCCGCATCGGTGAGGTGATCCAGGACCGATACCAAGTCATCATGAAGCTCGGCTATGGCGCCGCCTCGACGTCATGGCTTTGTCGGGACCTCAGCGGCCACTGATATCTCGCCATGAAGGTGTATGCCAGCAACTAGGAACAGGCCCAGCGGGAGATTGCCGCTTTCAAGCACCTCCGTAAAGTCTTGAGGGATGGATCCGCTGCAGACGAGCTCGGCGGCGCCAATTACATCAGCTGGCTGCGCAAGACCTTCGAGCTAGACCACCCCAAAGTCTTCTAAGAAGAATCTTTTCCTTGTTTACGAGCAGATGAAAATGACCCTGGAGGATCTTCGGAAGATTGCCTGTGAGGGCTAGGTGCCACTTGAGCTGCTTAAGCCCATGTTACCGTTTATCCTCGCGGCGCTCGACTTCATGCACTCAAGGTAGACCATCCGACTGACAAGTTTACTTCCGAGTCCCAGATTTGGACTGCCGTCAAAGGAAAGAACTTGTTCACTGACAACAATGGGCTCGGTGGAAGTCGGCCTCGGCACACATGGCGCGTATTATTAGTTTGCTTGGGCAACTACCCCAGAGTCTCTTGGATGGAAACGAGGCGACGAGGGAGCTCTTTGACAAGATTGGTACGTATTTATCGCGCGACAGAACTTGATGTCTTGACTGCATACTCGAGCTAGGGCAAGGGCTCTTTGGATACCTGAATTGGTATTGAGTTTCACATACAAACTAAATGAGGGCCAGAAGCTAGTAAATTCCACGCTAGAAGAGGAAGTGGATGCAGACGATCAAGAATGAGACATGGAATTCAGAGCTTACTTGGGGGGGGGGGGGTTTATTATTATTATATCTCCTACATCACCTAATGCTTAATCCACACAGGCAACATGAAGACGGAGAGCACGAGTTCTTCGACTGTGCTACTTATAACCACAGTCAATACATATGAAGATGATAGGCGCCTTTTACGCCGCTGATGTGTCGATACACCTTGGCAGATTAGATCAGGCGCAGGAGGCAGCCACAGTGAGCCCAACCAGCTCCAGCTCCCCACCCCCCACCCCCCGATACTTCTCTTCTCAACATGGATTCCATAGATTCCACTATACTTTTTGACTTACTAAACAGAAAATCTATGTTCTATCAAAACTACTTAAAATTTTCCTATTTAGCCTATATAGAGTGGTAATTTTTTAATTTTTCTACTCTATCATTTAGTTGGCTTTGCCAGTCAGAAGGTCTCGCAAACCAGAAAGTGCTTCACCGGCCAGATTGGTTGGCCAGTCAGAGGGCTTCACGAATGGCTCAGTTATAGCCAGGGAGCTCCAAAATAGCCGAAGAGCCTAAAAGGCCCAGAGAGCTGTACTCTTGCAAGAAGTTGAAAATTTGGAGGAAAAAGGCTGCCTTTTCTACCAATACTTTGTAAGGAAAGTCTTGTACTGGATGGGCCGACTCTGGCTATGCAGGATGGAGTGTGCGAGATGGAATGATGTCTGGCCCTCGCATGAGTGAGCGAGCTCTTTGCTCCCCGGGGATGAACTGTGCCCTGGTGTGCCGGGAACGACCACTGTAACGCGCATTGTATTCCCTTTGATGGCGTACGACGTTCGAGGCCGCAGCAATGTCTCCCACTGGCTGCAATCACTGCTGCACTACTGGAAAGCGTCCGGCTTTATGATCTGCATATGCAGCGTACATATAAATTAATACGAGAAGGTTTGAATGCGGATTACTGCAGCTTGCATCGGTGATGCAACCCGGGCGCCGTCCCGAAAGCGTAAAGAGATTGCGAGCTTGTTAGTCAATGAGGAGGGAAACCCAATACATCAGCCACGTTCAGCAACACGACCATTTTCCAATGTGCTTGGCCGTCAAGGTCCGGCTTTTCCAACGACATCTTCATTCTACGCCTATGCCTGTTGGAACAACCGACCTGACAATGCGCTCGCTACATGTATCTCATCTCATGTTGCTGGTGTTTCTGTTGACTTCGGTCGCGAGGTCAGCCACTGTGTTGGGTCGGAATGTAGACTCAAACAATACAAGCGTGCAAGATCTCGATATAGAGCGGGCAGCAGAGATCCGAGATGCCTTCAAATTCGCCATGGATGGGTATTTTGAATACGCATTCCCCAACGATGAGCTCCGCCCTGTCAACAACACTGGCGACAGCAATCGGGTCTATGGTTGTGGATGGGGCCTGAGTGTCGTCGATGCTCTTGACACAGCTATAATCATGGAGCTCGATGAAATCGTGGACCGGTCGTTGAAATTCATAGACACGATAGACTTTACTCGGACGCCTACCGACAACGCCTGCAGGCTCTTCGAGGTCAACGTAAGTATCTGCCAACCCCACCTCTCCCGCTTGGTCCATTCGAAATACATGACAGCTGATGACAAATCCAGATCCGCTACCTCGGAGGACTGCTCTCGGCATACGACTTGCTTCAAGGTCCATTCTCTCATCTGAATAAGAATGTGAGCTGATGGTGGCTGCGCGAGGCTGGCCGTGCCAGTACGGTGCCAGCTGCAAACAGAGTCACGGCCGCTGACACGATTACAGGCCAGCAGGCTTCTCGAGCAGGCCCAGTCTCTTGCGGACACATTCAGTTACGCCTTCAGCACGCCGACAGGTCTGCCCAGGAGAAATCTATATCTCAACAATCAATCGTATGAAGTCACCGATGACAGTGACCTGACCAACCCTGCAGAGGCGGGAACATTGATTTTGGAATGGACGAGGCTGTCAGACCTCACGGGATTGCCTCAGTATGAGAGCTTGGCGAGGAGGGCAGAAGGTAAACTCATGCAGCCGCGCAATCCGAGCGTGGGTGAACCGTTCCCAGGACTCATTGGAATCTCTATTAATGTTTTGAACGCGACATTTACCAGCAGTTTCGGGGGCTGGATAGGAGCCTTGGACAGTTACTATGAGTATTTGATCAAGATGTACTCCTACGCCCCTGATAGATTTGATTCATATAAGCAGGAGTGAGTATCGTGAAGCCTATGAGACCGGAATACTTCTTTATCCGACCCGCTAACACCCACCAGATGGGTCAAGGCTGCCGAGTCCACCATCAGATATCTGGATTCACATCCAACAACAGCCCCAGAAGTCACCTGGCTAACCGAGTACAACATCACGGGAACCAATGGTTCAAGATATTTGATCCCACAAAGCCAGCATTTGACCTGCTTCTCAGGTGGAAACTTCATTCTCGGCGGCGTTGCATTGGAAGAGCCACGTTATGTGGACTACGGGCTGGAACTGTCCCAGGGATGCCAGCAGATCTACAAGACCGCCACCAAGCTGGGCCCCAACGATTGGGCATGGCTTGACTCGAAGATCGACAATTCCTCAAGCCAGGTGCGCCCTGTTCCTGAGGACCAGACCGATTTTTACGAGCAGACTGGATTCTTCATCACAGGCCAGACATCGGCCATCGGTGCAGAGGCGCTCGAGAGTTGGTACTACGCATACCTAGCCACAGATGACAGACAATGGCTCGACTACATATGGGATTACTTCGTCTCGATACAGACGTACTTGAAGATCGGGTCAGGATACTCACCTATCCTGGATGTAAACAACGCTACACTGCCGCCTGAGAGCATTCCACCATCGGCCAACGCTACAGGGTTGTTGAGTCGATATGAGAATCTACAGCCGAGCTTCTTTTTGGCTGAGACCCTCAAGTATCAGTACTTGGCACATCGCCCTGATATCTCTGTGGGATTTACCAATAAGTCCGGGCCAGATGGCCAATCTTGGGTATTTAATACAGAGGCGCACCCGGTTCGAACCACAGTTTGAGGCCTATGATGAGATTATTGGGAAAATATCCATTGTGGGATTATCAGGCTCATGACTGCAAATATTCGTTTCGGCCGCATATACAACACTTCAGCATTCCGACCTTGTGAAATAGAAATGCCAAAATTAAATCAATTGCCCTAAGCTTTGAAGCACGAAAATGAAAGCCTCGAATTCGCTAAATGGCCGATGCCAAGTTGAAAGAAAGATAAACACCTTTCTCTCGAACTTGCAGTGACTCAGGCATGTCATGGGTCTTAATCTCGTGATTTCTGAGCCTTGAGGGTTGCCTTCGAGGCCTGGCTCTTGACAGAAAACGTCGAAGGCTTTCTCGAGACCGTCAAACCAGAGTTCTTTCGTTTCAGGGAGAACACCGAGCTCTTCTTCTTTATTATTCTCTTGCCCGCTGCTTCGGCCCTGGCCTGATCCAGCTTCTCCTTCTCCTTCTTGACAATCACCCCCATAGGGTCCACCCCTCGATCAGCCAACTTACACGGTCGACTAGGGGCCCCCACCCCCTCCAGACTGACCCACTCCTTACCGAACAACACCATGGTCCCCATGTACAGTTCTGGCGCAGTACCTTTGATTCGGCGCTTCCCGAACATGGGCCACTCGACGGGCAAATTGTCCCACTCTTGCATCGCAAAGTCGCTGGGCCGCAGGGTCTCGGGGTTATGAGGGAAGTTTTTCAGGTCCTCTCCGTTCAGAATCCCGTGCCGCATGCGGTCTTGGACTGAGGTGTTCCCGAGGTCCATGAAATAAATCGGCTTCGGCATGGAAGGAGGGCTTGCCATGTCAAGCACCACGGCGGCCAAGACGGTGATAGCCTTGACTCTTGGGAAGTTGCGCAGAATGAAGCGCAGCTTCTTGCACCATATCTCATCTTTCTCCTCCGACTGCGAGAGGGAACTGGCGTCGATGGCGACCTTTTCGACCAAGTCCAGGGTATCGGGTAGACCGCCGTCGACATCGAAGCCGATATTCACGTCGGGACGTTCGCAGTGCTTGAAAACGTAGTTGTCTATGAAGATCATGTCGAGTGGAGGGAAGAAATGCCTCTGGCTAGGCACGGGCGCCTTGGTGTCTTCTGCTGCCCGCCTCTCAGCTACAGTTCCTAAGTGTACTCCACTGAAGCTAGCTGGGTAGACTGTGTTATCGTCAAACTTGATCTGCCATTTTGGCCAGAACAGACGGTCGGTCGGTAGGGTCTCTGTTAGTTCTTTTTCCATCGTTGATGCTCACTTGCTGTTCTGCCTGGCTTGGGGTTCGGGTCCATTTAATTTCGCCGCTCCTCAGTGCTTGTCTTGAATTGATTCCCATCACTTCTGCGTCGCTTAAATAGGAGGAGCAGCATCTGTGATTCACATGGGGGCAACTCAACAGCTGCGTCTTGTCACTGCCCTTGATTTCGCCCTCATCTGATGTTGTATTAAACCATGACAGGAGCGAAATTCATAGATAGCTTTGTTGATTGACATTGGACGAAGAAAGGACGGCTTGAAAAACTGATTCCTTCATCTCTCCAAGACCATTTTGGTCAGTGAATTACTGAAAATTCCTGATGGGCATCACTGCAGGCAGCACTGGCATAGGCAGTACAAGAAGCATTGCTTTGAGGTTGCTCTAGTTCTGACCATCGTCTTTCCTCGCCAAAATACTCATCACATCTTATCATCTTGATTCTGTCAGTGCGATACTCGAGATTTGTTGGCCTCGAGTCGTAGTCCTCGGCCGGAGGAGAGCTGAATGAAGGCAGCATTGCACAGGTTCAAGAAACATATCTCCCCAGCCTGCTCAACAGCATTGAAGGTGACCTGAAAACTAATCAGAACGTGATTTACTGCAAACAATTATTCGAGCAATTTTTCACTTGTGCAAGCATCGTGTTCAGTTAGCAGCTATGAGGGCTGTAATTGAGGGTCGATGCTTGAGAAGTCTCTTGTGCATACACAAGCTAACCTAAACTGCTTGTTGGTCTGATTGCAATTGATTGTCTGTCCCGTCTCTGACTCAAGATATCATGCCAAGATCACATACCCTCCTCTTTCCAATTGAAACGGAAAAGATTTGTAATCAAACTTCTTATACGGCTTCGGAAGCCCAAGCATCTGAAAAGCACACTAAACATGTTGCCATGAGCAAACACTTTATGAAAATCTAAGCATCACAGCCTCATGTATTCCATGAGTCGGACTTGTCCGGGTCATTTGTTCAGTGCGGAAGACCGACTGCAGGTACAAGGAGACTAGTGCGGCGGCAGCCAAGTGCAAATCCAAAACACTGGCCTATGTAAATGGCCTGGAGTCCCATGTTGGCACACGGCACAACAGCCAATTAGAGGTGTACAAGTAGCACCGTCCATTCCGAAGTGAAGTCGCATAATAGCGGTGTCCAAATTGACTTTTCAGAGCCTCGTTCAGGCACCCATATCTATGCTCATCCAAGCAGGCACATCAGGAGCCACAGCCTCGGGTAGAAATGTGGGAAGCCTTGAGAGGATGAACCTTGGTACTGACCCAGACTGATTCAAAATATGAGCTCCAATCCCAATCTGGAGCTTCATGACCAGCAACGCGCATGAAATGTCGCGCGGCTCAACGTCATCAATGCAATTTTGTGTGCCGTGCATCTGGAATCGTGAATTCCCATATGCTCTGTAAAGCAAGCTGTCATGCACCACTCACGTGCGGCTCACCGACCTTATGCGTCCCAGACCAGGATCGAGATTCAGGAGGCGCATTGCGAGGATGAGCTTAGTGAAAGATAATATTAAAAGTAAACATGCCCCTCAATTTTCGTCGGCGATCGCAAACGTTGAATCGACGTCAGACACAAGCACATTGTTCGCGATACCCTCCACTTGGTGATCGATAACACAGCCCATAATGGCCACCGCAACGCAGACACAGACAACCGAGACTCTCGGCCAGACTCATGAGAATCCCGGTGCAGGCGCTCTGGTTCACCATTCGAACCAGAGCCAGGAGCTCATTCAGTCTTCTCAACGCCGAGAGGTGGGAGCTTTGAGCCAGCAACCACGCCCGCAGAGTGCTGTTGTCTACCAGCCGCCAACTCATGAGGACAAGCCTGGGGAGAAAAGAGAAGCTCAATTCCTGCCGTGGTACACGCGCTGGGGCTATTCTATCTCGCTCGGTGCTGCCCAGGGATTCCTCAAGCCAGCCAGTTTGGTCCGCGATATGCAGGATTCCATTCGTTCGCCATTGCATCAACCAAACTTGATGAAAACTTATCAATGTCGTCCGAAGCTTCCTGTCAGGTAAGAAAATGGTTATCATCTTCTTGAGCTTTGGAAATTGAACTGAAGAATGTTAGGGTCTTTTTCCCTAAGCCCTACGACAAGGAGAAGCCCCGACAGATGCCTCTGATCTTCACAATCCATGGAGGTGGTTTTATCATGGGAACTCCGCAAGACAATGATGCATGGAACGCCAAGTTTGCAAGCCGGTATGCGTCAACGGTCGTCGCGCTGAACTACAACAAGGCGCCTAAGACGACTTTTCCGATGTCGATCCACGTACGTACACCATACCAGTGCATGCTGACTTCTGCGAGAGCGAGCGAAGCTAAACTGCCCACCAAATACTAACACTGGTTCATTCAGGATGTGGAAGCACTGATTCTGGCTACACTTGGCGACTCAGAGATTGCTCCACACATCGACCGTTCCCGTATTGCCGTCGGCGGCTGGGACGCGGGTGGAAACCTCGCACGTGAGTGACACTGCTCGATCATTCGAAGTCGACTACGGCACCCTCATGCTAATGACTTTATTTCAAGTGACTGTCTCTCAGCTGCCAGCCATCAGACCCATCGTCAGCTCAGTTTTCGCCTTCTACCCACCTTGCGACTTCACCGTGACACATCATCAAAAGAGTCGCCTCCGGCGGTACAAGGCCGGAGTAGGCGGCTTCCGCGCACGCGAGACCGATTACATGCTGTCTATGTCACCCATGATTGACTGGTCATATATCCCACACGGGACCGACCTGCGCAATCCACTCCTCAGCCCGTACTTCGCGGAACATGACATGCTCCCTCGGCGCGTCATGATCGTTGGCTGCGAGCTGGACATGTACGCGCACGAGGCTTGGCGCACTATCAGCAAGCTCGCTGGCCGGGATATTCCCCCAATGGAACAGACTGTTGGCCGTGAGGGCCAGTCTGAGCATGGGCAGATGCTGTTCGACGATGAGCGCTTCCACTTTGAGCAAAGCTACAACGATGGGTCGAGCTACAAGTGGTTGCTTGTCCCAGACACGAGTAAGTGATGAGATATTAGTAGAACCTGGGCCATGTCTGACAGCAAACGTGCAGTTCACAACTTCGACCAGCGCATTGGCGGCGTCGTGCGCGAGCCGGACTTCCGGGCTGATGCGGAGCAGAAGAGCGAGGCCTGTCTGAAGGAGATTGGTGAATGGCTGCTCGGCCCTTTCCATTCAGGCCGACAGAATGGAACTATCAACGAGCACAGTGGGACTACCAATGGTACGACCGAAGCCCATCATCAGATCGAGCAGTGAGGCTCACAAGTGGCAGACATCTGGGCAAGTATGAGAATCTTGGATCCTTAATGAGGCTGCGGCTATGGCTAACAACAACAATGCGAAGTGGCTATGAAAGTGTTGGGATCAGATATATTCAGTTTAATGTGACCAGAATCAATAAATTGTTGACATTGTGCGTGTCGTCCACTCAGCATTCTTGCCTCACAAGTTATCGAGCTTCTCAAATTCAAATGATCAGTGACTCCATGAAAAATTGCCCGGATTCGGGACCATCAATCTGATCTTTATGTTGTTCATCTCCAAGATCTATACGCCACCTCTGGATGTTCCACTTCAATCTGTAAAGTTGAGTGTTCTTATTCTCGCCAATTTCAATTTCCAGGAGGGAATCTCTGCATAGAAACTACAGCCCTGAGGTTAGGAATAAGCGTGGCTGGTGTCCGAGCAGTGCTGGTAAACGGATTAGTTTAGACTGCGGCCTGCAAAGCATTTTCAGGCCTCGTGGCTGCATTAGTTGAATAGGAGGGCCGTTTTCATGTTTTGAGCCCATGCTAGAATTCATACAAGCTTATGCAAGCGTAATTTGCTTTCTAGAGTTTCAGTGAGCAGTGCCGTTTGTGATTAAATTGATAGTAATTGTGCAATTATTGCCCTCCTGAGTTGGGCGATCAAGCCTAGGTAAGCAGAGCGAACAGAGCAAGCTCCAAGATGAGCTTGAGTTGCGACGAAACTAACGATTCAAGCCCAGTAGAATTGAAGTACGGAGCACAAATTGAGCCCAACTACGCATAGCCATGCGGCAGACCCAAAGTGGAATCCATTCAATATCATGGTCATCTATTGACTAGAATGGTATTGTTCCACGTCGTTGGACTAGCTTGAGAGCTTGGGCTGTCATGAATATCCTCAATCAAAGGGCTTTGAAAGAGACGTAGCTTTTCAAATCAGCGTACCATACGTAATTAATTCACCACGTTCTTTCGACATTTCTCATAATCACATAGACATATCTTTTACAATTTTGAAAAGGAATCCATTTCTTCAACAACCTCATTCTCGGAATCATTCCTCGAATCTCGTTACTGCCTTCATTGACCAGCTTCCCTACACCGAGTTCTTCGAAATTATCAAATGCTGATCATGCCGATGATCTAATCAATCCATCAGATATCATGTCCTTCATGGGTGCCTATACTACTCTGACCTGACCAGTTTGAATGCCTCACGGATGAAGTGATGGCGGCTGGGCATTATGGATAATTCTTTTATTCTTCGTTGCTCGTAGCGAATTCGCCGGTATCAATTAATTCAGAAAGAACTGTGTTGGCGGCAATGTAATCTTCCAGGTCGGGACGATTGTCGAGTAAGAGGTCGCTTACCATGCGCGAAAAGACTTTCGCGCCGGCCGAGTTTAGATGAGTGCCATTAGTGCCTTCTTCGCCATAGTTTTAATATTGTGAATTCTCTTCACCAACGGCCTTGATGTACGTAGTGCTCGCTGTAGTCAGATCTAGGAAGTCGCAGTCGGTATGATGGGCTGCGAGCTTGGCGGCCTTACGCCACTCGACAAAGTCTTCGCTGAGGACACCGTCAACCCAGTTTCGGCGCGTCAGAGGGGAGATGACAATCCACACCAGATATCAGCCTCTTAGTTCTCATTTCCGTTGTTTTCATCTAGCTGGTACTGGTCATGGGACATACGTACCGGAGTGGCACCAGCGTCCTTGAGCTGAGTCGTCATATCCTCAAGAGTCACTCTGTACTCATCTGTCGTACGAACTTCGTAGATGTCGCGCCCGAATTAGGAGAGAACAACACCTACTTCGTGCGCGCAGTCGTCGACGGCAATGAAGGCAGCGATAGCGGCTCTTACACCCTCGCTGCTGACAACGACGCCGAGCCAGTGGTCAGAATTGCCCTAAAATCTGGTGGCACGATCAAGTCCGTGTGGGTCGGTGATCTCGACGGCGATGGCGAATACGACTATGTGATTGACCGACAGACCTCGTCTCAGTCGATCGAGGCTTACAAGAGTGATGGGACGTTCCTCTGGGAGGTCAACTTAGGACCTAATAGCGAAAATCAAAACAACATCGAACCTGGCTCTTCAACCATCGACGTTGGACACTGGGATGGTGTTACTGTTTATGACCTGGACAGCGACGGTAAAGCGGAGGTTGCAGTCCGAATCGCTAATGGTGTTGTCTTTGGCGACGGCGAGGAGTTTACGGCAGGTGAGGACGACAACCATCAGTTTATCGCCATCCTTGATGGTGAGACTGGTGTTTTGCGAGCCACATCCGAGGTACCTGATGACTACATCTCCGATGGACCCCTTGATGCTCGCTTTGGCGTCGGTTATCTCGATGGTGAGACACCGCACTTGGTGGCTTTCTTGAAGAACCGACAGGATGGAGGAGCATTCAACTTGATTGAAGCGGCCTGGACTTTTGACGGCGTCAAGGCCGAATTGGCCTGGAAGTGGCTACGCGGCGACACGGACGAAGCGGATGGACATAATACCCGCATTATCGATGTCGACGGTGACGGCGTGGACGAAGTCGCCGAAATTGGCTTCCTCCTCGAAGGCAACGGGACCCTGCGATACTCGCTAGCTGACTCGGGAATATATCACGGTGACCGATGGTATATTGCCAAGATGGATCCCGGCCGTGATGGCCTCCAGGGTTACGGCATTCAGCAGGACAACGAAGATTTGCTTTACGAGTACTACTACGACGCCACTGACGGCAGCGTACTCTGGAAGCACTACGGCGACGAGGTGGGCGACGTTGGCCGTGGCATCGCCGGTGACATTGATCCCAACTACGAGGGGATGGAAGTTTGGTCCTTTCCGGGCATCTACAATGCACCGAGTAACAAGCGCACCGACAATGACACCGACAGCGCGCCGTGGCCAGGTCAGACCCTCTGGTGGAATGGTGACATCCTCTCAGAACAGTACAATGACGGCAAGATCGAAGAATGGGACTACGAAACGGGCTCCGTGGTGCGCATTGAGTCCGCCTGGCACTACGGTGCCAGCACTTCTAACAAATACCCTCTGCTGATAGCCGACATCTTTGGCGATTGGCGCGAGGAGATGGTTCTAACAAACAGCGATAACGATGAACTACTTATCTTCACAACCAATATCCCAAGCGATATACGCCTGTACACTTTGGCGCACAATCCTGCGTACCGTAATGATATGACTGTCAAGGGGTATATCCAGTCACATCATGTGGATTATTTTCTCGGAGAGGGCATGGAAGCACCTCCGAAGCCTGAAATATACTATGTAGGTGCCTAGTGAGAACTGCAGGCTAGGTGTTATGATTCTAGGGTCTCGGGATGTGAATGTAATTACTAGGAAATGTCGATTGAAAATTATATATCCCACCTTGTCCCGATCGAGACTAGGGCTGGTCTCATTGTGTACAATTGGGCCGCGTGGCAGTTTTGACTCCTTGTCAGAACCGAAGGCACTTCAGTGCCACAGCCCCTTCGCCAAGTCGAAACCTGTCTCTTCTATTTCTCTCGGGCGCTGCTCAAGGAGCGTTCTTGTAATAAGGCGACCAGTTAGCGATTGAGCAAATTGTGTTGCGATGGCACGGAATTGTAGCTGAATGCAGGAGCAAACAATCAGAGCTAATTTGGTACTGTTACATCATTTAATGTTATCAATATCTTGTAATATCGAGAACAATAACCAAAATTTCATTCACTGAAAGAAAGTCACTCGAATAATGAAAGTGCCTGGCACTCTCAACGCCACCGACACCAAAGCAAAGGCTCGACAAGAAAGCCATTAGAATGAAAGCAAGTCAGCTGCAGGAATGCCTCAAGAGATGAAATGAAGAAGAATAAAATCGCTAATGGGGAAGACCGCACGTGCCGAAAAGCAATTGGTTCGTAGGGGCTGTAGGGAAGGCGCGGCTGATAGTCGCTTACAGTCACCGCCGCTCCTTCCTTTTCTCCCTTGAAACGCCTTCGTTGATTCAACGACTTAATCGTCCGATGACATGTCCTCGTCCTCGCTGCTCGACGACCATTCCTCATCAGAAACTTCTAGAAGCTCAGGTTTCGGAATGCCTAGTTCCTCGATATATTCCTCGAAGCTGCTCCTGGGCAAACTCTCGATGACAGACGCCCAGTCTGCGGGCAATATACTGCCATTATACATGCATGCCTGAGGATTTGCCTGCAGCCACTTTCTCTCCGCTTCTAATGGATCTTCACAGAGAGAGTCAGCATGTTCCTGTAGCAGATCAGCAATGGCGAAGTGCCTGTCACTAGTCGCAATTGCGATAGCGCCGTCGAAGCCTGTCAATCCAGGCTGCCGACTTCTCGCACCTGCTGAGATCAGGAAATGGACCATGTCCAATCTGGAAAGTCCTATGGCAAGATCAATTGCACGGCAGAAGTCTTCCAAGGTTGAATATCCGCTTAGCGCGTTTGCGTCGGCTCCGTGATCCAGCAGCAGTCCTACCACGTTCATCGATCCACGCATTGCCGCACACTGAAGCGCGGTCTCTCCCTCCACTGGAGCGGGAGGAGCATTCACATCTGCTCCCTTCTCAATGAGGAAACTGATGCACGAAAGTGGTGCGCCAAGAAGACAGGCGGCTTGAAGTGCGGTATACCCGTTATTTGGTGCCGGGGGGGCATTCACGTCTGCTCCCTTGTCAACCAAAAACTCGATGAACCACAGCGGGGCGACCCTCTGGCAGGCCGCTTGGAGTGCGGTGCGTCCAGAACGCCTTCCTGGGGGAGCATTGACCTGGGCACCCCTCTCGATTAGCGCGACTGCCAGATTTAGCCGACGAAGCTCAATTGATCGCTGTAGAGCAGTCCATCCGTCATCTACTCCGTTCACATTTGCCCCTCTTCCAATCATTTCCAGGATGAAGCTATCACTGGCGTGTGGAATGAGCTTGGCAAGGAAAGAATCGTGCTCGGGGTAGCTGAAGGAAGCTCCTAGACCCAAAAACCACTTCACTGCAACCACGGCGTCACAGTCGTTTGCCCATTGCTTTATAGCATTGCCACGTTCCAGCGAACAGTACCTTCCCTTAATAGAGGATGTGAGAAGAGATGGGCCGTTCGCTTGAACATATGACCGAAAATCATCTTCAACATTTTGGGCGAGGAATACCAGTATCTCGAGACCTCTGTCATAGACACGCTCTAGGGCGGCCTTCACAAGCGCTCCAATCCTCCTGGCGGATAGCGCAGTGGGGAACTCCACGTTCCGTTCTCGAAGGTAATCCAATGTCCTTGCCCTGCAACCGTTCGCTACTGCGCGCAGTATGAAGTGTTGAATTTTCCCATCATATCGTTTTCCGCAATCCAAGCATGCCAACTTGAGCTGAAGAAGCCGGTTGACGAGTTGAAAGTCTGGACCTTTATGCCCGCATACCCCAGAATACCGGGGTCTGGCACAAGGCTCTTTTATCGCTTGCAGGAGGATTTCGCAGCGAGTAGCACTGTGAAGGTCCAGCGTTGAGAGGACTTGCAGGACTTGGTCGCACTGGGAATCCCCCATGTTGCGCAACGCACAAAAGTCAAGCCCTAGGACCACACGTTCGTTCACCATGGCAGCATCGATGGTCGATGCAGCTACAAGTATCTGCAACGTCTCTGTTTGTCCCGCATTCGCTGCCCGAACGATAGGATGCCAGACGTGATTCTCGCACATTCTATTGTCACAGATCCGTGGCAACGTGCAGACATTCGGGTCGACACCGAATTGCACCAGACCTTGAACCACTTGGGCGTATCCTCTCTCTGAAGCCTCCGATAGAGCGACCTCGAGGATGTGCTTTCTATGTTGACCGTCGCTGGGCTCCAACCGTGCATCAAGGTATGAACGCAGGTGCTCTTGTCCGCCTTGTGCAGCCAGAAAGATGCCAGGTACCGTAACAGTGGTTTGTTGGTAATCGCTGTGTTGATACACAAGCGACCAGAGGCTATTACATGCAGGTTGATGTTCGCTCAGAAGTATGCAATCCGTAGCGTGGGTTCGGGAATCTGGATGCGCCCAGAGTAGGGAAGAGGCAGGTTCATCGACCACTGCACCAGCCTCCAAAAGAACTTGCAAAAAAGTGTGCTCGGTTGGGCCACATGTTTTGGATTGGTCCGGGGAACATAATATTCCTATGATGTCCCGATTAGCGATGTTTGTGAGGGACGCGCCAGCGCTGATCAGCTGCTTCACCAATTCAACCGAGCTCTTCCTGATTACAGCGAATCGCAATGCCCTGTCCAATTCACTTTGGTCGTATGGATGAGCGTGAAACATGGTCGCCACAGGACTTCGGGCCGTGTCGATATAATCTGCAATGCCATCAACCGGTCTTTGCATGGTCCAGGGTGCTTGATTCATAATTGACAGGCGAACAGATACAAGGACGTTAAACGCGGCCATATGTATCCAATCGCGAGCCATGTAATCCAAATTCTCCCATGCGGCTTGAATTGTTAATGCTTTCTGACCAAAGAAAGCCTTCAAGGCTGCAATGTCGACCGAGAATCCGATCCAATCAAGCATTGATCTTATCTCACGTATAGACATTGTCTCTTCCAGGTAGCCGTTGGAAAGATAGAAGCACATCTTTCCTAGTATGCTGATAGTGGTATTAGGCCCGAAAAGCCTCAGGTCCGCTTGGTTGAAGCTGCGTTCTGCCATATTGTTCTCTGATTAATACCACTGTAAATGCATGAAACCCAATGAGGCCACGCTCTCGTAACTTACGGTATTCATCCAACATCGTAAGAAATCTATTAATAGGACAGCCCTCTCTCAGAAACTGGGCTGACAACACTACCGTTGCCATGGAACCAGCATGCGAGAGAGGGACAGCGGCGGTCAAGATACGGAACCAATCCGATCCAGCCGGAGTGTCTGCAAGAGACTCCATAGGTGGTTGGTGTGTCTCGTGTCCTTCGATCTCGTTGGCCCGGAGCTTCCTGACCGACATAGATGAAACCACAAGTGTTGAAGGTTGCGGCGATGGGGTCCTGATAACCAACCCATAAGGCAATGCCGCAGTATGGACTAGAGCGCGTCAGTACTGGAACGTATGTAGCATTTCTTGTGAGCAAGTGGTTGTTTCTGACCTTTGGCACGTTGATGTGAACTTTTGCTCCTGAATGATCTTTTGATTCTCCTATTCACATTCTGAACCTCGGACCCGTTGAGAAGCACCTTACTGCGCTTGCCTTCTGCCTTTCGCTTCGCGATTTGTGGACCGATAGAACGGCGCCAATCGTCGGCACTGAGGTTTTTCCTGAACTTGAATTCTTCTCGGAGTATGCGCTCGTATTCAGAGAGCCTTGTGAGTCTGTGTGAGTTCATCAGGTAGAGCGCTTGTGCATGATTTTGCACTTACTTCAACGTTTTGGAAAATCCATGGTCACTTTCCATGGTCATCTTGACATCATCCAATGTTTTGTTCTGGCAGATGTAAAGGTCATAGAAAGTATCCCTCTTTCTATTCCATAGGCTGAGGTCTTTCGGAGTCTCCGCTGACCTGATATCGGATGGGAGACCTGGTACGCGTGGTGCAGACATGACGGGTCTGTAAATAGTGCTAGAAGAAGAACAATGATAAGACCGAGAACAGTGGCAATAATTTCTCAACGCTCAGGTGGGTCGGTGCATTCCTGACCAAGTCAACGCATACACGAGTGTGAAAGCAGAGATGGAAAAAGGACCATGGGGATGGGACAATAAGCGGTCTTATGGACTTCGGTAAGAAGCTGAGGGTGCGCAAAGGATAGGATCCCGCATTCACACCAACACCAATTCTGCATGGCCAAAATCTGGCCAACCAGACAAGCCTTGCCTTGGATGCAGCTGCGAGACGTGGGCATCTCACCCCCACCTAGCCAGATTCGGGCCACCTAGAACACACATCGGGCATGCGAGCAACCCAAGACTGCTGTGGCACTTGTGTGTAGATAATACGCCACACTGATTCTCGAGTGAGACAAGCCAAAATCTGACCTATCGGATCCAGGTAACAACCATATGGCATGAGCAATCGAGATGACGTGTTCCATTTTCTGACATGTGGCCAAGCAGTTCTCCAGCGTTTCTGCCTCCACGATGATTACCCTGCAGGACAAGTCACTGCCTCACAGCCTGCTTCCACCCCTGCACGGTAGTTGCGAAGTCCCTAAGAGCCAAAATCTGGCCAATTAAATCCATTCCAAGCCTCGCGAATTCGCGCGCAGGCGGGACGGACAACGTAAGGCGTTTTGGAGGCGACAGAGTGAAGTGTGTTTCACGAGGTCCAGCTGGAGACGGGGACCCACTCGGCGGGCCGAACAGAATGATGGTGGTACAAGGAGATCATGATGCGGGATGGCGGTGTCACTTTATAGGCTAGATTTTGGCTGAGGCCTCGTCGCATTTTCAATTGAGACCTCACTTTGATATCACTGGTTAGATTTTGGCTGATAGTTCGGCGGATCGACAATGTAGGCACCATGTTGATATCACTGGCTAGATTTTGGCTACGCAGGGAGATTCTGTCAGACTCACGATCTCGTGTTGGTATTCCTGACCACATCTTGGCTTTCATCCTGTCGCTATGGACCTGTGTAGCAGAATGAGCCTCAGAACTCTGAGCGTTGGGTGGCATAATTGCTGTTTCGCCTTCAATCCTCTGACTATATAAAAGGGTAAGAGGACCGCTCAACTCTGTTCGTTCATCTGGTCATTCAATCCAAGCAGAACTCCTTGGATTTACTATCAAGACAAACCACATACAATCATTCAAATATGTTCGTGCAAAGATCTTCCCCAGATCTTTCAACAAGGGAATGGTTCTAACAAGTGGAACACAGGCCGTACTCATCCAACACCTCGGTGCATGGAACAAAAGGCTCGAGCTCGCGAGCTAGCAAGGGCCGAAGCAAGAGCAACCCGTCGGGTTCTACTACAGACAATAAGCCTAGCTCCAGCGACAAGTCGCAGCAGGATGAGCTTTTGCTGGGAGTTGGAGGACAGTTCTCGGGGTGAGTCTGCTACGAACTTCCTCGCAGGGTTGTTTGCTCTACATAAAGGAAGATTTGCTAACCTCATATAGCAACGATTACAACTCTAATGGCTCAAAGGGATGGGGAGGGCAGAAGTAGATTCATATCCGACTGATCGCAGCAATGGAGTAGCAGAAGGAAGTCACAGGGAAGAGTCTGTGCTGAGCGGGTGCATGAGATAGGTCATGGCGAAAATGGGGCACAGAGGGTAGAAACCAATAGCCGAAATGTGAGAATGCTTGAATTACACACAATATTCCCTCTTTTGGATGAGGCCTAGAATTGCCAGGACTTGCAGGACAAGCTATAATTATTTTGAACATGAGTTGAAGTGCTACAGGTCCTGAAGTGGTCATTCGTCATTTGTAGTCAAATGCAGTCAGCCAAAACAAACCAGAAACGACATTCCATACGTTCTTTCACCTTCATTTATTTGGTCTTCTGCTGTAGAAACTTCCGAAGCCGTAATTGAGCTCATAAGTCGGGGATATACAGCCACATGGCATAGAATGCGCAAGGAATCATTACTTCGTCTCCTTCTTCGCCTTCTTTGGCGCCGGCTCCTCCGTATCGTCTCCTTTCGGCCTGTCTGCCTTCTTCTTTGGGCCCCTTTCTGCGTTCTTTGCCTCCCTCAACTTCTTAAAAGGCTCCCAGACGTATTCCAACATAGCGATCCCTCCCTCCTTATATGCCTTGTACAATTTGTGCTCATCGTCAGACCAGTCGTTCGCGTTCTTCAGGTGCAGCTTCTCGGCCCTTTCGATTTCCTCTTCCCGGCGTCGTCCAATTGTTATGCAGCTTTTTCGCACTGCCTCTTTATTGGTCAGGACCAGAGAATGTCTGATGCCCCCATAGCTGGAGATTAGGTGGTGCAGGCCCTCTCCTCGCAGGTGGCAGTTTGATCCGCTCGGGAAAGCAATGCGAACTCCGAGCTCTTTGAGGACCAGGTCGCCTTCTATATTATTGGTCAGTGAATTTGCTTACTGGCGAAGAAGCGTTGGTACTTGCCAGTGAATTCGCCAAAGCACGTTAATGCCGCCATGCCCTTTTGCCAGTCCGTCGAATCGGTATGGCCTTCCGTCAGCGGATCTACGAGCTGTGCCATGTACCCGTATGGGTTGTCGCCTATCTTTATTGTTAGCCTTGTCTAGAATTGGCGCAGCCGAGAAATTCTTTGAAATACCTGTCTTCGCCAGTCTCATACGATGTGACTCAGGCAGAAGCTCTTGAGTTGCCAAATAATCTTTGTGCAACAGGGGATCCCATGCTTTCAGAGACAGGCGCGATACCTTCTCCGCCACACCATAGACGCCTCCCCTCAGTTTAGGAAACTCTTCTTTCCATGCGGAGGATTCGGTCAGGTTCCCGAACTTGACCGAGGAGAACTTCTGGAAGCTGAGGCCGTCAGGCCCATTCATGTGGCCGGCCTCCGGATGTAGCCCGTAATGCTCGACTCCGCAGACAGCGTAATGCGGTTCCTGGCATTCCTGGGAGCGTACATCCTTTTCCGGGTGCCCTTTCAGGTGTACCACCTGGCTCGTAGGATGCCGAAGGTCGTCAGGCTTCGCGTATGGGCAGCGCCAGGCAAATGCTTCCGCCGCGGTGCGCATCTTGTCCATTGTTCCAGCGGGGAGTAGATTCTGCACCGCCGCCGTGAAGACACCACAAATCAATTCGTGCTTCTCGTCCCTTAGTATGACAATGTCGAAGCCTTCGACGCGTTCGCACTCTTTGGTTGCTGCTTCATCGAGTAGGTACTGGTGGAAGTTGCTCTTTCTTTTTGGCAAATTCTTCGTAACTAATTCGACTAATTCGCCGGTCTGATTCTCCGGTATCTCCGCGTCGCCATTCAGCTCGGCCTTGAGTCTCGACTTGAACGCGTCGTCGTTGCGCTTGACGAAGAGCTCGGAATGGGCTTGGTTGAGCAGTATCTGCCATTTGTTGGTTTTAGGAAGCTCATCCTTCTTTTCTGCCATTATTCGACACGCAATGTGATGCACTTCCTCATCAGATGGCGCGGGTCCCACGCTTGCCTCGGCGGCCTTGCTGATTGTTCTGGTGATTTCTGATCCCGAATACTGGGAGTTCGGCTTGTTGCGGACATCTATGTAGTCATACGTTTTGCGGCAAACGCGCCAGTTGCCTAGAGAGCTAGGAATGGTGAACTCTTCTGTGAGGACTCCCTCAATACCGCCCTCGGGACTGAAATAGGCAATCGTCTCTGTTCCGTCGCATTTGAGAGTCTTCGAAAGGATCTTGGCTATTTCTTGTGCGAGCCCACTATCGATATCTCGATCGGAGAGGTCCTCGACCTTGACCTCGTTATCCTCTAGATGACAAACATTTGAAGCCCATTTGTACAGATATCCTTCGATTAGTTTCCCTTGGGTTCTAGTGCTACCTTGTGCGTTGGCCTCGTCTTCGTTCTGGTCTTCAATCTGGTCCTCCTCTTCTTTCTTGGAGACCTTGCGGTAGAAATTGGCTTTCCCACAGTCTATGGTGAGAGGCTCAGATTTGGCGGGCACACCGCCGACATGGATTCGTTCGGGGGTTGACATTGCGAGAGATGAAAGAGGTTTTAGGTATTTGCCACTTCAATACAGTGTGGTGTTCACAGAAGGGATTTAGTTCGTTGTTGTGTGGATTGCGGTGGTGATGTTGTGTGGATGGATCGCGTAGGTGTTTTGGTACACTGTGGATCGCGGGATGGTGATGCCACAAAAGCTTTGCGTGCCACGAAGGAGATGGGACGAAGATTCACCCATCTAGCGCCATGGCCCCCTCCCTTCTGTCTCCATAGTTATCGATAATAGATGTTGGAAAAGCGCTCAGAGCACTGGAGTGCTCGCAATCGTTCAGAAGTCAGCCAGATACATGAGAGCCCTGCCACTCTCCCGCGTTTCACAGCGCTTCAAGCTTGTATCAAGAATTGCTATATACTGATTTAAATCATGAGTGGAGTAGATGCCTGTAGAATGTCTGAGTATACGACGACGATGATAACAAATGAAATGGGAGGTATTTTCCAGCTCCTCAGTTATTTTAACATTTGTGCAATTCTCCGAGATATAAGGAAAACAGCAGGACATCGGTCTACCTTAAAATAGCAGAATCATCAATATAATATCCTATTATGGTGATATATGTTTCTATTTCTACCCAGGTCTTCTAAACAGCCAGGAGTTTATGGGACATGGTTGGTTGTCATTGCATAACGATGTCTTGGAAAATCCAGCCATTGGGTTTCTTTTTATCGAAGAATCTTCTGCTGATCATATGAGGTAGCAGGACGGCTGAGGTGGATACCCGGTTTTGAGTTCTTTGACATCTTGCAGTACTAGAACCAGGGCGGATGTGCGTCGCTGATTTTGTTTGGAACCCTTGCTGATATGTGCAAGATCTTCAACAATAAGAAATGCCAATGGCATGAAGGTGCACAAAATTGTACACTTCAGACCAGCCACAGCCGGCCATCACACCCAGTGAATGTGGCTATGTCTTCACCATGATGAGCTGTCTGGTTTGGCCTGTTGTTGAATCCGCAATGCAGTAGAAGGTTTGACTAGCGACAGGTCTCAAAATTGCTCCAGCTGTAGTAGGAGAATGGAGCCACGACAGGGGCTTGCAGGTGCATGGCTAAGCCTAGCTGAGCTTTGCATTGAGGCGGACAAACACAACCACACCCTGTTAGCTTGGAATACAATGAACCTGTGATCTATTCACTCTATCGGCCCGGCACACCGATAAGGGTTTAGCACCAAGTTCATGTCAACAAGATAGATGACCCAAGCCGTTGTTAGTAGACCGGTGAAATTACATGTGGTGTTGGAAAGACTTGCTTTGTAGAGAGAGATGCCCAGAACCGCAGCTAACATGAAGGCCCTTTTTATAATATCCCGACTCACATATTGTTGCATAGTGAGATGTGCTCTATATGTGTGCAATTGATTATTACTCAAATATGAGTGAGCAAATTACCCACTCAGTCTGAAAGATCAACAACCACGTTCGTATACAACCCCGAACAAATTGGCTCTGGCGAGCTATGAAGAGTCATGCTCACCACGGGCCGACAAACAAATCTCCTGTTGGCTCTATGGCTCTTGGGTTTCTCACCCAATTTGTGTGACCCCACGTAGATAGTTCACACCTTGGGGGCGCTGTTGTCCAAACACCATTGTCAACGATAATGTATGGCGGAGTTCAGAATTAATTGTGCCATTGATAGTCTTGGGGGCCTCCCCACCTGCCAAGGGGCTGAGCATGACGAATATGGCCGTGAAGGTTCCGGGAATGCTCGCGCTATCAGTTGTCGGGTAGTATATTCTTCACAGGCCAGATGTGACGGCTTGCAAACGGGTCCGAAACCGAGGGCACAAAGACAAGAAGGCGGCGTTACGAATGCGCGCGTCTGCACAGCCCAGATGAGTCGAAGATCTCTTGGCCACCCTAGCAAGCTTAACACGCGGCCTAGCGGCTGGCGTGGGAGCTTGATAGGTGACTAGGTAGCAATCTTGAATTAGGATTTCAGCCAAGCCGGTTTGCTTAGTGCGTCATGCCTCCGTGGCGGGCCTCACGACTGGCTGGACTGGCTGATCTGGCTGAGTCCAGGAGTCAGGGCCAAGCAGCCAAGAGACACACAACACCCCTTCACAGCCGGCTTGCGCCTCTGCGCCCGCAACTCATCAAACTATCTGCCGCCCGCTTCATTTTCCCGAACCCCGTCCTTTCCTTGACAATTACGATCATGACGTCTATTTGTTGCTTTTGCGCCATTTCCACAACATTCGTTCCAGATTGATGCCTCGCGTCAGCCGTTGTTTTCTTTCTGGGGCTTGACCCTTCGCCCGGTGTCAAAAGACGTGTGACCGTGTGTTCCCAATTTGGGTAGGAGGGCGAGAAGCCAACAACGGGGGCTTCCTCAGCATGACCGATCAAAGAAAAGAAGGTCGCGATGGCTCAAGCGAGTGGCTCGAATTGTCCGCCCTCGAGGGCTCGGTCACTCGCCCCAGCGCGCGACAGACACTCCTTGACGAAGGTGTCAGCCAGACGCGCAGCGCCGGAAAGGCATCATCTGTGGGTGGAAAAATACTCGAACTACTTCGATTGAGACGAACATCACGAGCTGCCCCAGATGGCCGCAGAATACCCTTGCGTGTTGGGGAGGAACCGCTCATCGATGAGCGAACAGGGCGCCCATATATTTCTAATCGAATCAGAACCTCTCGCTATACAATTTGGAACTTTGTCCCAAGGCAATTAGTCTACCAGTTCTCGAGGCTGGCCAATATGTATTTCCTAATCATCGCAATTCTGCAGATGATTCCAGGATTCAGTACGACCGGTCGATTCACAACTCTGATCCCGCTGTTGATCTTCGTGGCCCTCACCATCGCAAAAGAAGGATATGATGACTGGAAGAGATATACACTCGACAAAGCAGAGAACGCTAGCGAGGTGACTATTCTACGAACTGAACACGACGCTACAACAAGCAGACAGCATGGAAAACGACCATCGGCGGCAGACTCGGAACTGGCTTTGAGCCCATCATCGGATCAAAGGGGCTTTATTGCGCCATGGAATACAACACGATGGGGCGACCTGAAAGTTGGGGATATTGTACGACTATTGGGAGATGAACAAGTGCCAGCAGACATTGTTCTTCTCCATGCCGACGAGAGTGTCGCATATGTGGATACTAGGGCCCTGGACGGGGAGACTAATCTGAAGAGCAAAGTAGTGCCAGCGGGTTTGAAGAAGTTGGATTTGGTTTCCGTGCAGAACATCTCGGATTCCGATGTATACTTTACCATCGAGCACCCCAACCAGGACTTGTATAATTTTGACGGGACAGCTATTGTTGATGACAGCCAACAACTCCCGTTGAATGTGGACAACATTATTTACCGTGGCTGTGAGGTCAAAAACACACGATTCATCATTGGCATGGTGATAAACACTGGCGAGGACACCAAGATTCGTATGAATGCGAATCAAAACCCGGAAGCGAAGAGGCCGTTAGTATAACCCTTCTCCCGCTACGAGTGTCTATCCGTCTTTTACCAGACCTTTCCAGAATCTATCGCTGCTCCATAGTAGGTGACTAACTTATATCAGGGCGCTCGAGAAATTCGTCAACTTAATCGTTATCTTTCTTGCGCTGTACATGCTTATCACCTCGGTCTTGCTGTACATGGGCTTCAAGCTCTACTGGCAAGGCACAGATGTGCCGTGGTATCTCATGCTGTCAGTTGTGTCTGATCAAGAGGTCATCATCGGCTTTATCATCCAGTTCTCAAATGTCGTTCCAATGTCGCTCATCATGGCGATAGAGGCGGTCAAACTCAACCTGGCGGTATTGGTTGCTTCGGATGTCGAGATGCACCACGAGGAAACAGATACGCCAGCAGGCTGCAACACGAATATCATTTTGGATGATCTTGGACAGATTGGGTACATCTTTTCTGACAAAACTGGAACGCTTACCGACAACATTATGAAGTTCCGCAGGATCAGCGTGGCGGGAACCAGTTGGTGGCATGAAGATAGAGGACTCACAGCGGGCGAAGCTCCTGCATCACTAGAAGCACATGGAAGGACAACCGACGATCTCGTCGCTCAAATTCGCCACGACCCGAAGTCTGCCCTCTCTCAAGCAGCTTATGAATACATACTAGCACTGGCAGTTTGTCATACCTGCCTCCCTGAAATGGACCGTCAGACCGGCGAGATTACAGATTTCCAGGCATCTTCCCCGGATGAGCTGGCTCTGGTAAGAGCAGCACAGGAGCTCGGGATCCTAGTCGTCGAGCGCACAACGCAGTCTCTCACACTCGAGATCTCCAGCGGCTTGGGTCAAGGAGGCAGGCGTGAGACTTACGAGGTACTGGATGTCATCGAATTCAGCAGCAAGAGAAAGAGGATGTCCATTGTAGTCCGCCGCCCGGATGGGAGTCTCTGGGTCATCTGCAAAGGAGCCGACACGATTGTGTTGCCGCGCCTAAGAAAGGCACAAATGGACGCAAGGAGGCAATCGCTCAGACAACATAAGAGGGGGTCGACGAATTTGTCTTTCCCCAGGCGCTCGCTGGAGTCCCCGACGAGTCCAGTTTCTGTACACTCGTGGATTCCTGGAAGCCAAGGATTCTTTAATACGAATCCCTATGCCGGACGCTCGAGTCCATACCCAGAATTACGCATGAGTGATGATGACACATTGAGCAGATGCTTGGACCACATAGACGAGTATGCGAGAGAAGGTCTTCGTACGCTCGTCTATGCACATCGGCATCTCTCTGAACAAGAGTATAGATCATGGAAGAGAGAGTATCACGACGCTCAGATCAGCCTGACAGACCGTCAGAGGAAATTGGAGGAAGTGGGAGAGAAAATCGAGCATTCCTTTGACCTGATCGGTGCATCGGGCGTCGAGGATAAATTGCAGAAAGGCGTGCCTGAGACGATTGATCGGCTGCGCAGAGCACGCATTAAGATCTGGATGCTGACCGGAGACAAACGGGAGACAGCGATCAACATTGTGAGTACTGGCATCTCCATTCATTTTGAAACACTCAACAAGGCGAAGATTATGGTTCCGAGAAGCACTGGAAATTAACATCGGAATCCCCCAGGCACACTCGTCTCACATCTGCACACCGCAAACAGCACTCTTCCAGCTGGACGTCGAAGATGGCGACTTGGAGTGGCAGATCTCAGACATCCTCAATTCACCCGACCGCCAAGAGGCACCCCACAGCGCCATCGTGATCGACGGCCAGACGCTCACCGCCCTAGAGCAGCCGAACGCAGCACACCTGCGCAAGATCTTCTTCACTCAGCTAATCCCCACCGTGGACTCGGTGATCTGCTGCCGAGCCTCCCCCTCGCAAAAGGCCCTGCTGGTGCAGGCAGTGCGCGACGAGCCCGCGCCACCGCCAGGCACAAGCATCGCGGGCAAGGCGTGGTGGTGGGTGCGCAGCAGCTTCACGAGCCACCGGCGGCCGCTGACGCTGGCGGTGGGCGACGGGGCCAACGACCTGGCGATGATCACGGCGGCGAGCGTGGGCGTGGGCATCTCGGGGCGCGAGGGCCAGCAGGCGGCGCGCGTCGCTGATATCAGCATTGCCCAGTTCCGCTTCCTGTCGCGCCTGCTGCTCGTCCACGGCCGCTGGAACTACCACCGTATCACGCGCTTCGTGCTCGGCAGCTTCTGGAAGGAGACGTTGTTCTGGTTCCCTGCTGCTCTGTACCAGATCGCCGCTGGCTTCACGGGCACTAGCTTGTACGAGTCTACCGCCCTGACGGTTTATGGGTTTGCATTTACGACCGCGTGCACCATGACCATCGGCGCGTGGGAGAAGGACCTCAAAGCCCGCACGCTCATGGCTGTGCCCGAGCTGTACGCGTATGGCCAGCGCGCACAGGGCCTCAATTGGGGCGTGTTCCTCTCCTGGATCGCGAATGCGGTCCTGGCTGGCACGGCCATCTCGTTTCTTACGTGGCTGGGTTACGGTGGCGCGTACACGACTACGCCTGATGACAATGGATTATATGCCATTGGCTCACTGGTGTTCATAGCGTGCATGATTTGGACGAATGTGAAGATCTTGTAAGTGAAATAACATGAATTGTGCAGTCGAGCACAAGGGATGCTGAACAAGACATACTGATGCATTATGAGCAGGATCCTGGAGATGCAGTACAAGACGATCCTCGTCCTCCTCATCTTCTGCGCCGAGATCGTCCTGATATGGCTCTTCCACATCGTGGTGGGCTACGTCTTTACCTCGCTCGTGATCAGCCCCTATTCCGTGGTCGACGGGTTCGTCCGCAACTTTGGCGGGGACGCCGCCTGGTGGGCCACGCTGGCCCTCGTATTGGGCGGGCTCTTTACTGTGGAACTGTCGGTCGCTGCGCTGAGGCAGCGGCTCGCAGGCACCCTCAGCCAGGCGTGGAGGACCGACAGGGGGAGGAAGGACGCCAGCTCGTGGGACACAAGGCTCTGGAAGGAGATTGAGCGTGATCGCGGGTGCAAGGCTCGGCTTGAGGAAATGGCTCGAGAGTGAGTAGTTTCGAATGGGGCAGTATGCATCGTTCTGCGAGGTATCTAACTAAATACAAACATGCTCATAATATATACATGAAAAGAGTACGCTTCGTGAAGGCCCCAAGTTCTTTCCTATGTGTTTGTGGATTTTGTTTTATTTTTATGATTTTTTTGGGCTTATTTTGCCTTGCTTTTCAGCACCATGATAAACCATCATTATTATCACTTGACGTCAAAACGGTCCGCATCCATGACCTTGTTCCAGGCAGCAACAAAGTCAGTGACGAACTTCTCGCCCGCGTCGGCCATAGCGTACACCTCAGCAATGGCGCGCAGCTCAGACTGCGAGCCAAAGACGAGGTCGGCGCGAGTGGCGGTCCACCTGTCAGCGCCCGTCGTCCGGTCGGTGCCCTGCCAGATCTCGCCCGAGTCGGCGTCGGCCCACTTGGTCTGGATGTCGAGCAGGTTGACGAAGTAGTCGTTGGTGAGCTTGCCGGGTGTCGCGGTCAGCACACCGTGCGACGAGCCGTCCGCGTTGGTGTTGAGCACGCGCAGCCCGCCGACGAGCACTGTCAGCTCGGGCGCGGTCAGACCCAGCAGGTTCGCGCGGTCGACCAGGATCTCCTCGGTTCGCGCACGCGCGTTGCCCCGTCCGAAGTTGCGGAATCCGTCGGCCTTGGGCTCCAGGTAGCCGAAGTTGGCGACATCGGTCTGGTCCTGCGTCGCGTCGACACGGCCGGGAGTGAAGGGCACCGAGGCGTTGGCAAAGCCGGCGTCCTGAGCTGCCTTCTCGACGGCGGCGGAACCGCCCAGCACGATCAGGTCAGCCAGGGAGACGGGCTTGGAGTATGCGGACTGGATGCCCTCGAGGGCGCTGAGGACGTCGGAAAGGTTCGTGCCTGCGCCGGTGTTGACGGCCCAGCTGATCTGGGGCTCGAGCCGGATGCGGGCTCCGTTGGCGCCGCCTCGCTTGTCGGTGTGGCGGAAGGTGCTGGCTGCGGCCCAAGCCGTGGAGATGAGAGCTGAGGCGCTGACGCCCGAGTCAAGGATCTGCTGCTTCAGGGTCGTGACATCGGAGTCGGCGATGGTGGTTCCGTTCGAGTCGGGGAGAGGATCTTGCCAGATGAGCTTCTCAGCGGGGACCTCAGGGCCGAGGTAGCGAGCGAGGGGGCCCATATCACGGTGGGTGAGTTTGTACCCTGGACATACATCGTCAGCTATGGCTTCATCAGGTGTGTATGGTGGTTAGCTTACAAGCACGGGAGAAGTCATCAGTCAGCTTGGTGAAGTTGGCGAGGTAGCCCTGGGAGATGTTGGCGTAGATGGGGTCATGACGGAGAGCCAGATCGCTGGTCAGCATCCTTGGCCTCTGGAAGCTGCTGTTGGAGAAGGGTAGCGGGTAGTTGGCGGTGGCGTTGAGGGCCTCCCACTGGTGGGCGCCGCCGGGGCTCTCGACGAGCGACCACTCATTGTGGAAGAGAGACTCGAGGAAGTTGTTAGTCCACTTGGTGGGCGTCTTGCTCCAGGTGACCTCGAGGCCCGAGGTGAAGGAGCCAGTGCCCTCCTTGAAGCTGCCAGCCCAACCCAGCTGTTGCTCGCCAAGGTCAGCAACCTCGGGTGCACCTCCTATTTCACTGCCGTCGAAGGCACCGTGTGTCTTGCCTGCAAACGAGAGTCAGTGGTTTGTTCAGAGTCAAGTCACTAGTCGGAGGTGAAGCGGAGAGACGTACCGAAAGCGTGACCACCGGCGATCAGAGCAACAGTCTCCTCATCGTTCATGCCCATTCTTCCAAATGCTGTTCGGATATCAAGAGCCGACGCAACAGGGTCAGAGCTGGCGTCTGGGCCCTCGGGGTTCACGTAGATGAGGCCCATGTGCGTGGCCGCGAGGGGGATTTCGAGGTTCTCCGCGCGGGCGGAGAAGTCGGTGCTACCGTTATAGCGGTCCTCGTTGCCCTTAGGGAACCAGGTCTCCTCAGAGCCCCAGTAGATGGCCTCGTCGGCTTGCCACGTGTCGACGCGGCCAGCGCCATAGCCAAAGGTTGGAAAGCCCATATCCTCCAGCGCCACATTGCCGGCCAGGATGATCAGATCGGCCCACGAGATGTTGCGGCCATACTTCTGCTTGATAGGCCACACCAACCGCCGCGCCTTGTCCAGGCTGGCGTTGTCTGGCCAGCTGTTGAGCGGCGAGAACCGCTGCTGGCCCATGCCGGAACCACCACGGCCGTCAAAGGCCCGGTATGTGCCTGCACTGTGCCATGCCATGCGGATGAACAGACCGCCGTAGTGGCCAAAGTCTGCCGGCCAGAACTCCTGAGAATCCCTCAGCAGAGTCTTTAAATCGGCCTTGACAGCATCGACTGGGGCAGGGTCAGTGACAGGTCTACAATAGTTTGGTTGAGGTATGGGTGACTCACAGTCCAGGGAGTTGAAAGCCTCAGCATAGTCGAAGTCAGCGCCGTATGGGTTGGACTCGGCAGCGTTCTGGCGGAGCACATCGAGTCGTAGTTGACAGGGGAACCAGTCTCTGCTACGGGTACCACCGCCGGCGACGTTAGCCTTCTCGGCACACGTGCCGAAGGGGACGGCGGCCGAGTCCTGGCGGCGGTTGAGGAATTCAGACGAGGAGTCCCGCTTTTGTTGTTGTTGTGCAAAGGGGCAGGAAGCCGCCGAGACCAGGGGCGAGGCCAGGAGGAGAGCCCGGAGGATATCCGGTACAGATGGTGAACCAGACATGTTGGCAGGTAGAAACGATTGTAACACAACTCGAGAGGTTGATGCCGGAAGAAAGATTTAGGACGAACGGACGCTGGACCCGGCTCCAGGTATATATATACTAGTGGATCATCCAGGCCGACAACGATGTGTATTACTCAAGCTAGTGGAACACAGGGTACAAGCTGGTGGCACGTAATACAACGTGAACTTTAAGGTTGGCTTGACACATTTGGAATTCGCACGAAATAGGCGAGCGTGTGCTCCATCGCGAAGAGAGTGGTAGTCTAGTAGCATTGGGAGGCACTGTACCTTTGTCATGTTGCCCTTCCTTACAAATTGACCCTCAATCTCCGACGCTAGAATCCTATTCCTTGACTTGTTCTGGATTTCCCCTGGGACAAGTGACCAGGGAGTCACTGTCGATGACGATCATAACCCGGACCATAATGTGGTGGATACCGTCGATAGAAACCACCTGATAATGAAGCTCGCCATGCTGGCTTTCGAGGTCTATTGCCTTGGCACGGTCCAGGTGGACGAACTCAAACGAGTCAAAGACGCAATAAGCGGAAGCTGATTCGTTCCAAGCAGGGGCGTGGTCAGGATCTCCAGTGGCACGGGGAATAAGGAGGGGGGACGTTGTACAGTATGCACAAAAGCGCCGGTCGACCATCAATGGCAGGATGATCAGAAACTTCTGGACGCTTACAATCGTGACGTCCCCAACAGGCAGGCTCAAGGGCCGGCAAACAGCGTGGACCGGGGATGACTGCACGTTGTCCGGCTCGCAGGGAGCCGACACCACGCTGCATGCATGTCCAAGACCTAACCTCAAATTAGGCCAATCAGGGGTAACACTTTCCATGTGACAAGGAGACGCTGGGGTCCCCGGTGGCGCCCGCGGTTACAATCCGGCTGGGTGTTGATCCCCCTCAAGTGCCGAGGTGTGTTTCTCTTTTTCTCTAAGTGCTCTCTACCCTGTTGGGTTTTCTGATCTAGCCGTGCCGCTAAAGATATTCCGACAAAAATGCTATCTGGACGTTGGTGGTCGCATTATTTTGGACAACATATGATCTCCCTTCATATATGTGTCTGAATTATGCTCGAGCTGTCGATGTCTGTCTCAAAGCGCACAGCATGTCTCTTGCTCCGGGGTCGGTTCTCGGGATCCGTGGCGAGACCTTGGCATTTCTATATTGGATTTCGTGCAGGATTCTCCACAGGTGTGACATGACTGCTGAGTATTTCCGGTGGTGCGGTAACGAGGCTCACCAATCACACATCGGATTATTTCGCTGGTCTTTGTGTCGCTCACCGTCTACCGATTGCTGCCCGCCTAAGCTTGCCATAAACAAACCTCCGATTTTTCTTATTCTTTTTTTTCCAATGGCCAACTCTACAGCATGAGGCAGAACATGAATGCCCAATAGCCTGACCATGCAATTTTGATGACCTAGAAATTTTTGGTGGACTTCGACCTCTCGCCCAGACGGACGTCCTGACTCACATTTGTTTCCTTACGTCACGGTATCTCCGGCCGGGAGAATCTGATAACTCGCTGGACGGGAAACATCTGAACCCACCCGGTGGATCTGGAGGAAAGGACTAGGAGGGCGGGCGACGTCACTTGGCTCCCTAAAAGTGCACTAGGAAGATAACTTCTGGATCGGTTGGGGGCAGCAGGACCACGATCGGCGAACTCTCCGACAGCGCCTCCCGGTGATTGTTTCCGTGAGGAACGGTGAGTAAACACGACGCTGACGACGTCGGCCGGCCCCTTTCCGCTTTTCAGAAGGATGCCGTTGGAGTATTAGAAATCCCATGCATGCTATTAAGCAGGACATTTTCCTTTTTCTCGCTCGCAATGCCAAATCCGTACCGACGGGATATTACACTGTGAGCCTGCATGCGTGTATGAGTATAGACGGCCCTTCCGCACGCCACGAATCACGAAGCTCCATCCTCGGCCACCGAGAGGAGGCGGTGCGTTCAGCGTGATCGGTCGCTCACCTTCCCATTGCCTGCCTGACTACCCACCAGCCCACCTGCCCTGGGCTGGGCTGGCCTGCTCGTTGGCCCGAGACTTGGCGCATGGTGCTTGCATGGTGGTAGAGGTGGCACACTGCAGTGCAGTGCAGTGCAGTGCGGCAGCAGTGCGGGTGCGGAAAGGCAAGATCTCTTCCCACACACGAGCCCCCGTTGTACCGTGGTAACCGTCCAGTCTGTGCCCCAAGGGTTATGCTTATTTCGCTACCAGGATCTGCTCCTACTGCGACGGTGTCACGACTCGCGGCAAGAGGCTGAGAGAGGGGCAGATCTGGAGTCTGTCCATTTATGCTTGCTTTCTTACTTGCATGCCCTGCCTGATCTTTACTCCGTCGAACTCTCTGTAAAATTCTGTGTCAAAACAACGGCGGAGAGGGCGTCATAGTTTTGGCTACTTACTAGCCACGGCTGTCTTCTTCTTTAGGCAGGTCTCTCGCCGGGCGACATGGATTTAAGCACCCCCTGTGTACCCACTGTCGTCGGGCTTTGAAGACCCACACAGGCTTGGTAATACAACGTAGTCTATGAATGCACTCAGGCACTGTACTCCCGAGGTGGGCTGCATGTGACGCATGTTGGGCTAGTGTTGGGATGAAGTCGGTGTAGGTCTGTCTGCAGCGAGCAAAAGGGGACCCAAGAGAGGGTGTGAGTGATATTCCAGACTCTAATTATGGAGCGATTTAGTCGCCCATGCTGCCACGCTGTGACGTGACTGCTGTCAGATGGCATTTCTGAGGTCTTGAAAATAGGATCGAGAGATGTGACGGCGCTGTCATCCAGTAATTGACGGGACCATCGATCTCGGCGCACAGCATTAGGAAGCTGGGCGGGCAATTATGGTTCCTGCATGGCAAGCGACATCAGCCCATCCGGGAATCAGCAGCTCATTTGGCAATCTGGCATTTGAGCAAGCAGGCAAGGTTGGTGAGCGGCCGCGTTTGGTCGAATGCAACGCACACCGGTGGTTGTTGGCTGCATTGCGTGTGTATGTACTGTATATGTGGTGTGTGCATGTGCGTCCCCGAGAGCGAATCGGCTCCTCACCTTTGGTTCTCGTCAACAACTGGACCCTCACCTTTTCCCGACGCCACCAGACCCCACGCTTGCTGCCCTGTCCCCTGGCTCCCGAACAACCATGGCTGACTAGGTATAGTTATGGGAGAGACGGATGACCAGCCTCAAGGAGAAGGTTTCCTTCGCTCATGTTCAGGGGCGTGCCATCGCTCATTTTAGGAACATAGAGCAATGCCCTCAGGTCGTGCCAGACAGAGTTTGATGCAGGACTGTATGCATGGCGCACTACATTCATCTACTTGCCGCCGAGTGAGGGCTCAACCCAGGAGGTCGGAAAATAGGAGGTAATCTGGGTCTGACAGCGCCCAGTCAGCCAGTGCATGTGCAGCGCCGTTTGGACTCCGTTTCCGAATCTCCATGCCGCGCCGCGCGCGCATTACAACCTCTCTCCAGCGTGTGCAGCATGTTTCTGCAATAAACAATCATTAAGATCCCGCGCCCAGGGCCGTTTCAAAACAGAACCCCCCTCCTCTCCAGCCCTGTTCGTTGGGCCCCCTGCCCCTGCCCCTGGACCGCTCGCGGGAAAATAGAGGAAGCGGCGCACTGGACACCGGATTGGGGCGGAAAAAGGACCACCATGAGATGAACCTTGACAGGCCCATATCAGACCATTACAAGCCGTCCCGTCTGCCGTCCCCAGGGCGCAATAAAACTATGCCGAAAATCGACAGCATACCCCGGCCGACGTCGCAGGAATGACAATAGCTGTTGTATGCTGGCATGACTGGCGGTTTCAACTCGGCCTAGCAGCAAACGTGCGGTTGTATTGGGGGCTGGCTAGCGAACTCTACCATTCTTTTTCCCCCTTCCTTCAGTGCCTCCTCCCCTCAACGCCGTGGCTAATCCCGAGTGCCGGCACATGTCCAACGGCCGGCGGGTGGGCTGTTGATCGCCGGAACGGAACGGCCGGCGCAAACATTGCGCCGACCACACCTGCCACAGCGGGAATAGCTCGGCGTCTGTGTCACTGTGCGATCCTCGGTGATTCTGTGATCTTCTGTGATCTAGACCCGAATCTCGTGGCTCTTGCAATCGTGTTGGGTCGACGTCGTTGCCAAAGGATCCTCAATCACAGTATCAACCAGTCAACTTGCAGTGTTGTAAAAATAGCATCCTCATCACATCGTGCAGCTGTCTGCATCTGCTAGCGAGGGCCAAGACAGAGAAATTCTCTTGGAGTGCAAGTGTGTGCAGCATGCGGCAACTCAACCTCACACCACAAATCGCGTGCACTAGCCGTGGCCGGTCCAGTGTGCATCTGAGGTAGGACACATAGTTTTCACCGTTTGTATGTGTAGCCCATGCTTTATCACGACCCTGCTGCGTGTAGGGTCCGATCTGCAGCACGATTCTCCTTCACCATCGGCGATTTTTCCCGTGCCACACACACACATGGTGCCAGTGGGGGGTCCCTTGTTGCGAACGCCGGCTCTCATTGCACCTTCAATGCACTCCCCTATCCCCGCCAAGGGTTGTAAGCGCCAGCTGGCCCCGGCGCTGAGCTCTATACCTGTCATTTCTCGCCAGGGGCTTTCTGGAGACGAGCGCACAATGCAGGCTACAAGCACAGGATGCAACGAGATCCATGGAGGTTTTCCTCCTGCCCTGTTCAGTCTCGTCGAAGATTTCTAAATCGAGCGCGCGGTGCCTGACGCGGGATGTGGAGAGAAAGCGGGTGCCGCGTCCGATATCGAAATTTAGATCGGCCCATGATCGAGGTAGCATCATCCCCGCTGTCAGGGAGACGAGAGCCCTATGGCCAGCTGAGGCGGCCCGCCAAGAACGTTGGAGATGCTACTTGCTTGTTATGCCTGTCTGCCTAGACTTTTGCCCCCCTTTCTCCTATGGAAGATATTCCCAATGGCGATGGCGGCCGGTCGTGAGGAACGCGCGTACTGCGGTGAATCGCAAAGTGTACTGCGCAGATGGTCTGTCGTAGGCTTCTTGGCGGACACAGTGGTGCACGGCGCCCACTTTTCCCTCTGCGCCAGAGGGGTCAGAGGGGCCGGAGGCGTCCTGTCTCTGAGTGTGGCGCGCTGCACTGGTGGCGCGAGATTGATAGTGATAGTCTGTTATACATCAGGCCAACAGACTGCCCTACGCCTATTGCGGGAGACGATGTGATCGAGGGCACAGATGGCGATGCGACGCCACGCGGGAGGCCCACACTGGTTCGCAGCTGAACCAACAGTCGCTCAGAACAAGTAACCGACCGTAGCTAAGTACCAGAATCACCTCTTCGTCCAACTTCCAGCTACTTAGCTGTCACAACCTCAGATTCCATCCAAAAGAAATTCAGTTATAGAAATAGCAGCCTCTTCAGATTATATCTGTGTATTAAAAATTTTACACACTCTTTGTAGTTGCTGAGATATCTGTGGTCTAAAGTTGAAGGTTTTGGTGGTGTACAGAGATCCGGTCGGTTTCTTGTTCTGAGCGACTGACCAACTGAATCGCCTTGTGGGCTGCTGTCATGATGAAACTTCATGTTTAATGGGCCTTGCGCACAGTGGAGAAGTCGGACGAACACCTCAAATGAGAATCTGCTCGGAGCAATGTCATGTGCTGACAAGGGGCCCTGTTCAGATGGACGTCCGCAGGTTCGATGGGCAGGAACACACACTGTTGTGAAACTAGCTCGACCAACAACGCCTACCAAGGTCAATTGAGTTTCTCTGGCACCGACCATCCTCATGAGCCAGCATAGGTGTAAGACCTAATGTGGTCACTCGAACTTTCAGCTCCGCAGCTTACAACTCAAAACTTTTGGTTGGCCGGAGCCTATTACCTTTAGAGTAGATTCTACCCAAGGTTGTGGTAGATCAGAAACCCAATGGGTCTGCCCACCTGAACTCTATTTCATGTCATGTCCTGGCCTGACAAACAAATTACCAAGTGGCTATGCGTTACTCACGATTCCTTTGCACCACATTGTAACCACCTCTGAAAGTTGTCATATGTCAGCAGGACAAAATACCCTCTTAGTTGTGGGGAGAATAAGATTGCCATCATCACCGTGGCATTGATGGGCTTCCTGAATTCTGGGCACTTGAGTACCAAGGCCATCCATGCTCACGAGCAAGCGCCGTCGGGGCGCTACGATGTTGTTCCCAACGATGGCTTCTTGCACACAGCTTCTCGCGTTAATCATGGCCGCATGCTTTGCGCTCCCGCTTGCCTGAATGTAATCTCTCTCAGATGCCTTCTCATAGAACTGCGTTTCACTTCACGGGGACATCAAAGAGTCCGCGGACATCTAGCCATTTCAGTACGGCAGGCGCCCGTCTAAGATGCCTCAAACTTATCAGAAAGCTACTCGGACATTACTGTATTAGGCTGGAGTATGCCGGTACAACGTGCTCCCGTGGAACTTCCCGTTGCACAATTTCATTCCTTCGTCACGGTAGCTCTATACTCATGCAATTGTTCATGGTAGTTTCTCATTATCTACTCAATAAGGATAGTCACACCGAGGTCTCGTTGATCCAGACAAACGTTCTCGGAGCACCTTGTGAGCATTGTGGAATCATTCTAAATCACAAACTGGAACAACCCTGTAGGCCGCGGCATTCCATCCGCGTCAGATAGACGGATAGGTCTCGACATTTTTGAGCAGTACAATCACCGCAAACTAACCTCGGCGTCTCCACTGTACAGTAATCGACCAAGACTGTGTGGTAGTACGGACAAAGCAGTGGCACAGGCCGACATGTGGCACAACCTACGAGATGGTATAGGCTAAGCGCTGATACAGGTCAAGCGGCAACACAGACTCTTCGGTGACACAGACCGAGAAGTACAGCAGACTACTCATTGATGCATATCTCCTTACCCCTCCTTCATAGTTTGTGGACGACTTCGGTGGCGTGACATGTGTCGGGTAGGAAAACTCACCCGAGGATCTTTGTGCGAGTCTCGAGCTCCCGCCAATCTGTACTGGGTTGAAGTAATAATGGACAGTTCTGGGGTAATTTTGGCATGTACTTGATGGGTGTCGGACCTACCTACACAAATATCAGTCTTGAGCCTCGCTTACATTGGTATACAAGCGAGGTCTGCCAGACTCTTGTGGAAAGCGACTTTTTTAATCGTATCACTGTTCCGCCCAAGGAGTTCTGTCAGCTACTTTGGAGTGCTGTCGTAGTGTGTTGAGGAACGCATCGCAATTTTTGAGCTTTCCTAAGCGGGACATCGACTTTTGTGTGCTCCATGCAATTTTCCCACACTTTTAGAAAGGTGTCACTGCGCAAGAACATGGCCCTTCTTTTAGCAGAGTGCTAGAATCGATACACTGGCGGCGTTTGGATCGGCCATGCCTACATTCAGTATGGCCCTGCTTCCCAAAGCTTCGCTTAGTTGGTGTGAGCTCGTCGTCGACGTCTGAAGGCATAACATAATCGCAGGAGTTTTCTCTAATTCCCTTTCCTAAACCACAGCACTGCAGTGTGCGCCTCAATGACATGGACCCTTTGTCCTTATGAGTTGAGATTGATCACCGGACAAAGCTGCAGCTGGAACTACTCGCTGGTCATGAGCGCCGTGAGTTCTTGCTTCTAAGTATCCCGTCATTCAACTAGATTAAGGCAACTTACTCCTGGAGCCCGCAGAAATTGAAAGTAGAAAACTCCTCTGCCTGACATGCGACATGTACAAGTTTACTCAGGCCATGCACATGAATTTGGTCATACATGTCACATTGTTGGCAAGCGTTAAATGGTCACAGTGGGAGGTATCGTCAGCTTGAAAATCACACAACGCTGCGACTGGGATCCATTGGGATGGCGCTTCTCGATCTCACCTTGGTAAACTGGTGAAGTATGTTCGACAGTAGCACAGGCCCTTACCAGGTCAACACGATGATATCAGATTTGATGGGAAGGGGGGGGGGGGGAATGAGAACGCTACGAGGCTACTGCCCGACGAATGTTGGACAAGCACTGGCCTGGCGAACGTGTTTCCCGGCACGAAGAACCAAACAACGCCATACTCTCCTTCAGTAATTACATCTGTGGCTATTGGTCCAGGCGGCGCACACGCCACAAGGATCGGAGCTATCATTGGTCGTGTAAGCGGGGGTGTTGTGCTCTTTATTCTATCCTATTTCTCAACTGTGGATTCAAGAGGAAACACTTCAGGTGGTGGTGCGGTGTAACAGGCCTCAATAGTCTGGCGAGATTAGAAAAGCCTGAGCTGCAATCAAGCCCCGCACATCAGAGGCCACTTGTAGAATGCAGTGAGGGTCTGAGAACTACGTCGGAGATCACTGGAACTCCTATGTGTGAGCTGATGGGGCACGAGGTGACTGTTTCGTTTGCATGAACGACGAGGGACGGCCGAACTGGGAAATTAACAATAGCTACGGAGACAGTCTGGAAGACAAGCGAATCCTCGAGCTTCGCGGTGATACAAAACGTGCCACGGGCATTAGGTAAAATTAGTTGAGTTGCAAAACATGCAACAAGAATAACTTCAGATGTTAAAAGATTACAAGACACTGGCAGGGAGCAATCGGTGGCAGGCAGGAAAGACTTCAAGGGATTGTTTGAGTCCAGTGCGAGGTGGAAAGAGGCTGGGTCTTAGATGAGGGTGTTCTGGATATCTCAGCTAATGTTCTGGAGACTCGAGATAAGGCGGAGCAGGGTTATCGGATCTCATCTAGCGCTATCAGGTCCACACTGAGTTTTAATCGCGTCTTTGTTAATGCAGGGCAGAACCCACACCGCCCGCCACAAACAGGCGGTGGAGCTCAGACCACCGGCAACTCGACGTATCTCACCTCAACCACACCACTTTAGCAATCCAACTGACCAGTCCCATTCTCACCTCACTGAGATAAACTGGCCAAGCTCAGCAATGGCATCAGATCCATATAATGGCTATAGCCCACAGGCGGCAGAAATACCCAGCAACTGGCCAAATGGCAATATCGCCCAGCTGCAAGATGCTTCCAGCTCGAACCCCGCGATCCGAGACCCAGCCCACGACGACCTTGCCTACAAACCATTGCCCCGTGGTACTAGCTTCAACAACCCACCCCCTGACGGATGGCTCTACCCTCACAAGAAGGGCATTGGCTCGGGTTCCAATCTCGAGCCATTCAGAGCCGAGATTGAGGCTCGCACACAGCGAGGCGAGAACTGCAAAGCCATTGCTGCTGCCTTGAACGCCATGGGTGTCCAGACGAGCGACCGCGCCATCAGCCGTGTGCGCATCAGATGGGGAATGAGGAAGAGAGTTAGTTATCCCTTTAGCCGACCGCATGTTGCGAGTGATCAGGATCCCACTGACAACCTGACAGGCCCAGCGAAAAGTGAAGACGCCTCCACCAGATTCAGACGCTGCGCGCCTCAGTGCCAAGTCAAAGGTCCAGGCAATGAGGAAGGCCGAGCTGATCCGCATGACAAAGGATGGAATGTCGCCCGAGGAGATCTATCAGAGCTTGACCTCCCGCGGCATGGAGCTCAAAAAGGGCGTTGCTACTGTCTTGCGTCTACAGAGCGCCTGGGGTGTTGCGCGCGATGAGAAGCGTTGGCTCGGAAACTTTCGACACCAATGCCACAAAAAGGCAAAAGCACAGCAGTCGGATGCATTCAGAGACATTGCAAGAGAATTGGGGGTGCAGGACATCGATGGATGGGTCCAGGAGAAGATGAGAGAGCACGGTGCCAGGCAGGCAAGACACGAGCTGGCTCTGAAGCTCATGGGGGAGCACGCACCAACGAATCCCGAGCGCAGGAAGTTACAAAAGCCTCGCAGGCCCAAGGGCCCACATATGGACGTCCATGGTACCGACGCGCCCGATGGATCTGAAGACGAAAGCTCTGATGATGAGTCGGAATCGGAGCCCGACGTTTCGGGCGATGTCACTAGTGTGAGGTTTGGGGTCATCGACTCGGCTCGTCAGGGCGACCATGCGGCTAACAACGATGGATCATTGCCTTCCGAAGGTCAGCGTGGTGTGCAGCCACATGCTTCCAAAGACCTATCCTACGTCGATGGAGGCGTCGAAAGCAGTGCGTACCGCGAATTCGCGCCGTTGAACGACTACCCGGAGGATGGCATCGATACTTATGAAGCCGTTGATGATTCCCATGCAGCCGCCAGTATCGCATCACGAGTCTCTGAGCATTTAGGCAACTCATTATCGCAGTCTACATCTGGCTCTCGCATGCAACAATCGCAAACTTCGCAGTCTCACGAGATGCTTGCTTCGACTCCGCCGCCGCCGCATCCTCATGGCTCTTATCCGTGGCCGCAGTCCCCTGAAACCAGAGCCACAGAAACAGCCTCCGCGACCACTCCCGTCTTGCCTCCAAGCCGCAAAAAAGATGATGATGCGAGACAATCTACCACAACCTCATCACCAGCATCAAGCCTGGTGGCGCAATTAGCACCGATGCAAACATATTCGACTGTTGGCCCTCAACCCTACAGCGATCATGCAAGTTCTCTTGCTCAGTTTGCGGGATCAGGTGCGAAACAACCCACTGCGAGTGTGGCGGCGCCCACATCCGCATCGACGGGTGCGCCTGGTTTGGTCCTGCGGCCCGAGGAGGCAGAGGCCAACAAATCGACTCTCAGCACGCTCGACCAGTATAACGCCGCTGCCAAAGTTTACAAGGAGTTGTTGGAGGCCAGGAATAGCAACAAGCCTCTCTCTGGTAGCTTGACTGGCATGCCACCATCCGCCAAAGAAGTCGAGTCTGCGAAGAGCAAGCTTAAAGAGGCCACGCAAGCCATGATGCTCGCGTTGGACTGAGGCCCTGTGTGGCTCCGTGCCGTTACAGTAGGATTATACTGGCCGTCAGCTTGGTACACATGGTAACGAAAAGGATAAACAGAATCATCAGCGACGTGTATTATTGCGATGCTATAGCTAACGCAATCAACCATGCATAAGACAGGCATTTCTACGATTACATGTTGTTCAATTTCAAGGGTATCGTTTGATCCCACGTCCCAATCTCAAGCCGCGTACAGGAACCACCTCATTCTATCCACAATCCCAGAATTCCAGTCCTTTTGTGGTTGTTGCTTCTGCTGCTTCTGCTTCTCCGTCTTGACAGGTTCGTCTGCGCCATTTTCACTCGTCTTTGCTTTCCGGTTTGCGATGCCATCCTTGAAAGCCTTCAGCCTCCCACCGGAAGCGGCGTCCTTGTCCGCGGCAGCAGCGGCCGTGTTTTCATTATCGGCTGCTGCTGTTGTAGATGCTGGCCCTTCCGGCTGCGCCGACGTCTCTTTTTTCTCCCGCTGCCTCCTAGCTTTGAGGCCCTCAATACCGCTGCCGATGCCGCCCTTCATGGACTTGAACCTTCCACCCGAGGCAGCTTGATCCTGCTGGGCAGTGGTAGACTGCGTCGTCGGCTCAACAGTGGAGGGGTCGGCTTCGACGTGTGTCTCAGCACTATCCATTGTCTCTGCTTGTGGTCTCTCAGGCTCCTCGGTGGCAGGGACTTCAGTCTGTCCCGTGCCCCGTCTCCGCGCCTTCAAGTTTGTGATTCCACTCCCGATGCCCCCTTTAACGTTGCCAATCCCATCCCGAATGGACCTGGACCTCACAGCCGCGGCAGGCCTCTCAGGCTGGTCCTCGACGACCTCCGATGCAGCCGCCGCGTTCACGTCACCATCTCTGCTACTAGGTCGGGCATCCGGCTCGGTCCGCATCGCTTGCTGGACAGGGACCTCGCTCTGCCCGTTCTCGGGCGGGCTGAACTGCTCCTGCTCCACGGCGGCGTTCAGCCTCTCGGGCTCGGAGGGCACCAGTCGCACGCTGCCGCCCCGCTGCGACGAAACTGCCGACGCAAACTCCTGCTGGTCTGCCGCGACGGACAAACTGCTGGCCGTGGCGTGCTCCTCCCGCGCCGCGGCCGCGGCACCCTGCACGCTGTCGGCCGCCTTGCCCCTGCGACGCTTATCGCGCGCCTGCTTGACCTTGGCGGCCGGCAGTGCCACGCAGCCGGCGACGAGGCCCGCGATGGCGCCTTGCTTCTTGACGCTGGTTGTGTTGTTGCCGTCTTCTAGCTCGGTTGCTGGCACTGAGTCGTCATCGCTGGAGGTGGTCTTGGCGTTCTTCTTCGTGTTCTTCTTGTTCTTCTTGCTTTCCTGAAAGGCCCTGAGGCGCGCCTTGATCCTGGCAAATCTGGTTTCCTTGTTGACTTTGGTGCGGAGGGCCTTGACGCGCTCCTTTGCGGCAGAGAATTTGCTTGCCTTCTTCTCCTTGGGCGTGGAGTCCTCTTCGGTTGTTTTTGTCGACTTGGCCTTGCTCTGTCGCTTTTTCTTTAGCGCTTCCCTGATCGCCAGAGGGCCGGCGAGCAACGCGGCTGTGAGACGCTGCTTCTTGGACAGCTGCTTCTTGCCGGTAGCGTCGGCAGCATCACCCTGAGGCTCGGCATTGGCAGAAGCCTCAGCTGTGCTGGCGTCTGCGGCGGCGGCGGCGGTTGTTGGCTCATCGGCGCTTGCCTTCTTTGCCTTGCGGTCTGCTAGGCGCTTTTTCATCGCGCCACTCCGGGTGCTCAGGCCCCGTTTCACGCTGCCGCTCCGCTCGTTCAGACGTTGTTTCATAGCGGCGCGCCTGCCGGTCTTGGCCTGCTGCTCCTGCTGCTCCGTGTCCTCGGCTTCATCGCCGGTTTTGGACTTGCGATTCTTGATTTTCTTGAAGCCGCTCGCGATGCCCTTGCCAATCAGGACTGGGATGCCAAGGATGAGGATGACGGGGAAGAAAATGACTCCAGCGGCTTTCTGTGCCTTCTCTTTCTTGCTCTGCTTCTCAGCTGGGTCGGTTTCATCCGGCTGGTCCGGCTGCTCCGGCTGCTCCGTCTTCTTCTTGCTGCGCTTCTCCTTGATTGTGGCCAAGCGCTGTTTGAGAGCTGCGGCCTTGCCCTTCTTCTCCGATGGCTCCGCTTCTGACGTTTCTGGCTGGTCTTCCCTCTTCTTGCCCTTGGCTTCCTTTTGAGGTCGGACTCGGGCCACCAGAATACCAAACCTGCCAGGCTTCTTCTCGCTGTCCAGACGTCCTCCCTTGGATTGTCTAACGTATTTGCGGCACTGCTTCTCCCAAGCTCTGGCTGCTTTTGTGGTCATGAACGCAAGATCTTCCTCCATCTCACGTGCCTGCCACTATTTACGAAGCATGTTAGTGATGAATGGTACAAAGTGTCCAAGCGGGCATTGTACTTACGTTCTCATCTTCCAATTGCTCTTCCGCATCCGTGTAACCCCTCCTCTCAGGCTCCCACCCGATACTCGCCAGGACCCCAGCCGCAGTAGGCGCTGCCGTCGGGCTGGGGAACGCGTGCGCGTTGGCTGTGTGGCAGCTCTGCTGTACGTACCGTGACATTATATCCATGGCCGGCGAGGGGTAGAACGTCAGCTGGAATCGTGAGCCTTTCTTGGCGTGCTCTGAGGCCTGCGAGTCGTTGTTGACGGCCTCGTCGGTGCTGGCGGCTAACACGCCCCCGCCGTTCTGGTTGGCGTTGCTTGGCCCTGCCGTGGTGGGTTCTTCAGCCTCCTCAAAGTGATCGAGAAAGCCTTCTTCTGGGATCTCTCCCAGCTGATGGCCCGTGAAAGGCTCTCCGTCCGCATCGGGAAGTTGTGCCTCTGCAGGGGCTTCTTCCTCTGAGTAGTGTTCGAGCTCGCCCCCTGCGAAGTCGGTCCCTGACTCAGCATTCTCAGCTGTGTCTGCGCTGGGACTTCCATCCCTATGCCTCTTGCGCCCTCGTTGGTGAATCTGGGTTTTGATGGCAGTGACAGGGTTTCGGCGCTTGGCGGAATCGATCGACGCTCTGATCCTCTCTCTTCGGCTCGCCTGTGGCTGTTCATTCTCGACCACGCCAACCACGACCTCCTCATCCTCCTCCGAACTCTCGCTCTCTCGCGGGCCACGGGTCCCATCGATAATGGCCTTCGGACTGATCTGCAGAGTCTTGGGCTCCGGGCCCATCTTCCTCGTGAAGATCTTGACGAACGAACTCGCCTTGGTCGCCGTGATCTGGGCGCGGAACGTCTTCAGGATCTCCTCGGGCGTCTGATCCGCCGACAGCGCCCACGGGTGGATCATGACCAGGTGTGAGACGGTCTTGGGCTGGATGCGGCCCAGGAACACCACGCCGTCGTCGTCGCCCTTGCGCTTCTCCGACGCCCAGATGCACCCCCGGACAGTCGCGCTGTGCAGCGCGCTCAGTGAAACCCGTTTTCCGTTGTGTGCGTTGGCTTTGGCTCTGCGGACGTGCTGTTGCCAGACTCGGTGGGCTTTCCTGGCGTATTTTTCTTTGCCCTTTCTCGGCTTCACCAGGTGCGGTGGCGGTGGCGCGTAGAGGAAGTATTTTGGGGTTATGTCTAAGGTTGAGCCTTGGATGGTCGGCTTGGGGAGAGGAACGAGGAAGGCGATCACCGTCTCTGGGTTGCGGCGGTAGCCGACTGCGTTCATCGTGCTCTCGCCGCGATGGGGCACTGGCCTGATGGCAGCACCGTCTCCCGGCGGCGGGTTGTTGGATGAGGTTTGGCCATTTGATGGACCGGCCTCTGCATCGTCGTCGGCTGCAGCTGCGACCTCCTGGCTCGATATTATGGGTTGAGAAGCCTCATGATGTTCTTCTTCGACCTCAGTCGTCGCATGAGGTGCCTGCTCCGGAGGATTTGATATGCTTGTAGGGGGCACCTCATGCTTTGCAGCGTCCTGAGTCACTTCATCATGCGACAGGTCGATACCGGAGTCCCGCTGATTCTCTGGGACCACGGGCCCCGGCCGCTCCATCTTGATGTCCTTCAAATGAGCCGATCCATCGCGGTCGATAGCCTCCGGAACAGCGCTGGGCGAGGCGACGTGAGTATCTGTCATGACAACGGGCGGCTTCGGCTTCGGCTTCGGTGGAGGTCTCTTCTCGGTGGCCTGAGTGAGACGAGCAGGCGCGATGGAGTGAAAGCTTAGCATGGTCGCGAATTATATGACCACTCAAGGTGGCCAAGCGGACATCACCAGACTGGGTCTTCCGGGACTAAGCTTGGTAAAGTTGTGCGCTTGCACTATCCAACAATGCCAACGCATAAATCTTTTGCGAGCGGAGTATGAAAAAAAGTTGGTGGATTGGGCAGAAGTTCGCCGTGTCACATGGAAAGATCGGGGTGCGCGCCTGGAGGTTCAGCGCCCAGTTGTTTCACTATGCCTATCCCTTGGTCTTAGCCAACGTAATGCATGAATGTACGTACCACACGCTTGCTAGTCATGCCGACACTTGTCGCCTCGAATTCATTCAAAATAGGGCGTGCAAGCACTTTTCCTTAAAGGCAATTTCCTTGTTGCTTTCTGCGGAGAAGGAGGCATAGTTGACGCTAGATTCATCGACAATACTCTACCGACAGCTTTTCCATGTATATGCTCAACCAGCATCATTGGGTCGTAATTGCTGCAATGGCATTGATGGTGCCACGTGTAGACCCAGGCGATCAGATCTATTATCTACCCCTTTCTCGCAAGTCCCGACGTCGCAAAACCAGATGGGATGTGTCCAGCCGCCTAGCCGACGACGAAGCGCAATTGTCGCCATGGCGTTGCGACCTGATGGGGTTGTAGCCCGTTTCAACGCATCTCGCCTGGAGATTCAGCACTCGCTGGTCTCAATTGGCTTTCTATGCCATGTCGGAGTCCCCGAAGCAGGCGCAATCGTCATTCAAAATAACGAGAGAAAAGACGCTGCTAGAGACACACAATCTGCACTAGAACTATTCAATCTCGCATGCATATGCAGTACATGATTCAACGATAAAGACTGCCTACAAGCTATGTCATCGAGACATTGCATCAATCCATATGATACCGCATTAAGGCCCTTTTTGACTGACCGCAAGTTCCAAAGTCAATGTCGATGCGCCCGCGCCAATGAACAAAGGAAAAGTAAGGATTTACCACAACGTTTGTTACAGCGAGGTTCAGAAATCTCCGTTTAAAGAGGGCGATACTAGGCCGCTTCCCTCATCATGGCATGGAAGAGGCGCATGATTAAGTACGTAGTGCACGTGACAACTCCTTCCACAACCCATCCAGATCAGCCTATCTGGTACGCATCCGCGTGTAGGCGCTGGGTCGATTTTCAGGTACCCACTCCTCGTCGCCTTCATCAGCACGAACTCTTTTCTGTGCTCGTGCAGCAGCTCGAGGCTGTGCTGCGTTTTCCTCCTCCCGCTTCTGCTGTTCAGCAAGTCGGTCAGCATCGGCATACTTAGCCTCTGTTCCTGATGCCTCGCTGCTCTGGTACTCTTCCGAGTCAGGCCCATCCGGATCGTACGCGTCCGACTCATCCACAGAGTTAGCGGTCACGAACTCATTCTTGTAGAAAGCTCGATCATAGTCTTCAAGCTCAGTGACTAATTTAGCTTTATTGGAGGAGAGCTTCGCAAATGGGCAATTTTCCTTGACAACTTGCCGTAATCTTTTCTCGTGGTAGATGCTGTAGTCCTTCTCGAGCTCGAAGTGTTTCAGGAACTTGGCTCGGTACTTGCCAATATCGTTGCTCAGCCCTCGCCCTTCAATGCCCTCGATTCGCAAAGCCTCCCTGAATTGTGGGATCGTCCAGGTCTGGCAAGCCGTGATCCTCCTGTCTGCTGGGTCGTAGGGGATCGCCAAGAGCTCATGAACCTGTTTTTCCCGTGCCTCACGATGATTGCTGTGCGCGAGTGGGGAAGCAGCAAAAGCTTCCTGAACTTCACTGAATGTACGACCGTCGAAAGGCCCGCCGTATGGAGAGCCACCGCCAGGTGGCTGGTTGGGCTTCCAACCATCGCCAAATCCAGACTCAGCGTCGAGCTTGTCGCCGGCGCCAAGTGGAGGACCAGTATCAAAATTAAACAGAGCTTTATGATACAAGAAGCACGACAAGTGACCGCCTAGACGACGAGCCCTTTCGTTGAACTCGGGTGTGGGCGGCTTGGGCGTACCCTCAACTTGACCCATCTCCAAGACAAAACGCCCCAGAGCACTAACCCTCTGTTTTGCGGCAGTCAAAGCGTCGCCCGAGAAAAGGCGTTCGAGTGAGCCCGGTTCTATGTTAGCAAGCTCTAACAGCGTAGAACCTATCTTGTTGGCCTCGGAATTGTATTCGGGATCGTAAGAGGCGTCAGAGTCGTCTTCATTGCCAGGATCCTTTTGATTGTCGTTGCTAGTTTCTTTGCCAGGTCCGGGAGTGCTGCCATTGTTGCTGAGGGTGACGGAAGGGGTCTGAGAACTGGACAGAGGCGGGCACGCAATCAGATGCTCAGGGTCAGGTCCAGCCTTATCGCCTCGGTCTTTGGACGCGGGTGTGGTTGTATGTTTGCCAGCAGTCACCGCAGGCGTACTGCCGTGCTCAGACGAGTGTTGAGATTCGTTGTCATTGCCTTCTTTATCGAGAATGTGTCGCAAAACGTTACAAGCCTCGGTGAGCGGACCATCTTCCTTCGCTTCATTCAGCCATCTTATGACTGCATATAGTGTCTCCCGATGGTACTCCACAGAAAACTTTTCGCGTACTTCTTCGAAAGCCATAAGCTCTGAAGAGTCACAGATGAGTCTGAACAATGTCACGGAGGCGAGAAACTTGTTACTGTCAACCTCGCTGCCAAAGACCTTGTTCAGGTCATCTTTGCTGCAGACCAATACTGCATACAGGAGTCCCTTGTAGCGGGATTTCAACTGGGTATGGGCCCAGTATGCTCTTGCCTCACCGAGACTCTTGATGGTATAATGCTGGTCGGTCTGGGTCGAGCTTAGGCCGTCGACTTGGGGGAATATGTGCCACATCCAGTTGCCGATCTTTTTTCCTCTCTGCAACTCACGCTCTGCATCAATGTAGACTGGATTTTTACCGGTCCCGAAACGCTGGTTTTGGGCGTTGAGAAACTTTTCCAAATGGTAGGGGTCTGAGTCTCCGCCGTCGCGGCTCGTGACGACTAGGCCATCCGGCTTGCCTTTAGCCGGGGCTTTGCGTTCACGCACGTATACGAGCAAGTTCGGCTTGTCATCTGAGTTTTTGATGCCTTCGAATGTCGAATAGTCGATGTTGCCCTTGGGGCTAGGACGATCATCAAGCGATAGCCATTTGTTCTCATCGATGCGCAGAAAAGATTTGTAATGTGTGTGAGCATTGAGTGACGCATCGCTGGCAGCGACAATCGACTCGAGTTTGTAGACGCAGTTGCTGTCATCGCCCGGTCGTCTCGGATCGTCCCTCAGTTCGGACAGATCCAGTCTCTCAGGATAATTGAGCTCCGCGTTGCGTGAAAGCCATACCTTTCCATACTCATTCCTCATGGTGAAAGTGGTGAAGATTTGGAGAACCTCTGGGAGATATGCAAATCTGAGAAATTCGTGTACCTGCACATCTTTTCTGCACACGGGGCAGGTTCTCTTCTCCTTTCGATCGACCCACATAGATTCCGATATTGCCTCGGCCAAAGTCATTTTGTCCCTGATCTCGACGGGGAAAACATAGCCTGCTTTACCTATACCTATGTTCTTTTGCCGTCGTAGTACCGGACGTTGGCAGTTGCAGAACATAGGCGCGTAAGGAATAGTGTAGAACTTGAAGAGCTGCTTGAATCTCGTCGGCAGATTGCTACAATATCACAACATTGGGTCAGTGTCTCTTCACTCCAATGGCTTGATTCCTCGTACTTACACCTCGGCATGATCAACGTGGCCGATCTGCAACTTAGCCCACTCAATCCTATCTAGGACGAAATCGACAACCTCACCCACACTGGCTTGGCCGCTGTAATGAGTCGCCTGATCGACATGGGCCATCAAAGTCCAGACGGTGTCCACCCTACTCTTGATTGCAAGCCGTCGTTCGTCATCACTCTTCTCGTTTGACCCTGAGCCGCGGAATTCTTGATGCAAGGAGTGCAGCTCTTCGAGGATCGGGTCTTTGAATTGCTTCCTGGCGACGGCCTCTTCAAGGAAATTTATGAAAGGCGAGATATGGAACAAGGCCATGAGGGTCGCATTGAAGAATGACATATCCGGAGGGACGCTATCGCTGACCACAGGCCAGAGCGACCTGTTCTGGTCAACCCTTCCTGTGGCCAGTGGAAGACACCTGGCATACTCGTGACTAGTCTCCTTTACCAAGCCATGGTTGCGATCCAGAGGCTGTGCCACTAGGATCGGCTGAAGTTGATAGTGGGCTTCAGGCCCGTCGGCGACGGTATGGAGATCATGACCTTGCTCCTTGACCAGGAGCGGAGTCTGAATTTTCGTGCTGGCGTTTAACGAGTTTGCCATATCGAGTGCTTGAAGATGATGACCCGAGCACGACTTTGGTAGAGATGGATGGGCCTGTCGGTGTTGAGAAAAGAAAGAGCCTTCATGCGTCTGAAGCCCCAGCGTAGTGGCATGCTCGGGCTACCGCTCTTTCTGAAGAGATGTAGTTTAATGTTCCTTTGTTGAGCGCATGCAAGGATACAGCGCTGTTTTCGGCTATGGCTGAGGGAAGATGCATTCGTGGAAAGCAAGTGGAAACTGGCTACACCAGCCTTTGTTGATTGGACCCAGTTGAATGCCATGGTCGACAAAGCTTTGTGCGTATCCTCGATGCCTGAACAATCGTGATCACCTGTGGTATGGGGGAAAAGGGGAGACTCGTTCCTCCATTATTTTCGTGCACACGCACACTCACACACACACACTTTGTCTCTCATTTCGGCGAATGTAGAATGAGACACACATGCAAACGCCCGCACACCAATCCAAACGGTGTGTCGGTCTCAGCACGGAAGCCTCGTCTGCCTTGCTATGTGATGAATGCTACACTGTGTATTGAAAATGACAAAAGGCCTACCCATCATGGCCTTTTGTAAATGCCTTAGTGCAAGGACAACCATCTGCAGGTACCAGGCACTAGGCTCACTGAACAATGAAATCATCTGGAATGTTCCTTCGTGGCGTCGACTGGCATTGGTTTTCACGACATTGTCTACCACTGCGAATCAAGGAGACCATTCAGTAATCCATTATTCCAATACTCACTTGTTGCAACTGAGTCCAAAATGGGACATGTCTGTAATTACCTAAGACCCAGTCAACACCAGAACAAAACATTGTCGGTGGAGGGATGCCGCGCTGAGGCTGCCACGTGGTTACTGACAGTATTCGAGCGCACGAAAACAGGGATTCTTCCTTGGTTCCAAATACAGTTCGTGCGTGAATGCATTTGTCCTTACGGCAGTGGGGAATGACCCGTGACTGTCCTCTCCTGGAGCGTGATATTTCTGTGTAAGCATGTCTAAATTGGGACCTTCGCGATACGCCCTGACCTCTCATGAACATCTCTGTGATGGACTGTTCGAAGTTAAGGATCACTCCATACAATCCGACGGTCTGCCGCAATGCGTATTATCAACCCCGTCTCTTCTGACTTGATTAGGTGCGGTTCACCACATTGCTTTTGCACTTCGGTCGGGTTGCGACTGCAGGATCCACCTGTCCCCAACTGTGAGGGCTCATATATCTCCGCCACTTGCCGCGCCACAACGAATACAAGTTCAAGACAGTTCAGAGCTCCTTGAAACCGACTGGGCGCAGCTGTCTGCATGTCTTGACTAAGGGGCGGGCACCCCCCGGCTTCGACAGCTTCAAACACTATCATCCCGTTCCGGTCTCTTTGGTGTGTAGTTTCAATTTGGAATAAGCTGAGGTCGTGCAATGTCGTCCCAAGTCGATTCATGTTGATAGCCACTGGAAGAACAAGAGCTATAAATAATCTGAGTCGAGAGACAGCGGAGACTTAAGCTGCCGTGTACGTGCACATTGATATACAGAATGTCTAATCGGAACATCGCCCCTGTCTGCATACGTATGTCTCGGGGACTCGCACTTTTTCTTCGCCCGTGAACCGCTATTCTTTTGTCAATAATCTGGTTCTGAGGTCAAACCGGTCCACGCGTTTGTTTGATACAATAACCTTAATTCCCCGTTAACAGACATTCGACGAAAGAGGAATTCGTCTGACCCAATTTATCTCAAAGACCAAGATCGAGGACCCACGCACGGCGCGACTCCATCCCGACCTCTCACAGCCGGCCCAAAATGCCGGAAAGTGGAGGGCCGACCGCCCATCTGGGCACGAGGGCACAAGAGTAACCCCAAGATTCAACAAGCCTGTTTCGGCTCAGCCAGCCTAAGCCCGATGTTGGCTCCAGGCCTATGCACCCGTGTTAGCTCCACACCACCTCCACCGGTAGGGCTGTTTCAGGCCCGGGTACCGCCAACCCCTGAGCATGTGTGATAGGTGGGTGGGCCACAGGTGCTTTCACCAGATGGAAAACGCGCCGACACGAGTCTCATCTGAAGTGTCATGCAGTGTTCTTGGAGTTCGCGGTCGTATTCGTTCATGACATGATCACAGACAGGGTCACCTTGACGGGCTGTTCAATGTCCCCGCCACTCTACAAAGGCCCTCGTTTTCCCAAATAAGATGCACTAGCTGATCATAATGGGATCGCCATCTGGACATCAGATGCATCGCCATGGCTGCTCGAGGCGCCAAGTTCCATTCATACTTGTCGTTTTATTGATCGTTTTTTGAGTTTTCCTTCATAACAACTGCTCAGCCGTGCTGGGCCACGGCGACAATCATTCATTATGGACAAAATCAGAAAGAGGGGGCAGAACATCAAGCTCTTCTTCAAGACCGACTGGAACATCGTCCGGTTGAGGCGATATACTCGGCGAGGCGTGAGGGAAATACGATATGGTGCCGGACGCTACTTCACGAACAAATTTCCCATCGTTCAATGGATTGTAGGATACAGTCCGAAATGGTTGTTTGGTGATGTGCTTTCTGGGGTGACTGTTGGGGTTGTTTTGGCACTTCAGGCTGTGAATCTGCCGTCGACGGCCGGCGGGGCGATATCAACTCAACAGACACTCATCGCGAGTTGGCTTCCTGGATTCATTTATGCCTTGACGGGTTCATCAAAACGTGAGAGCATTTGTCTACTATGATGAGTTTGATATTGGATGTAAACTCGGTGACTAACTCTGGATCTCTGTGGTAGATATCAGCATCGGTCCGACCTCAGCAGGCACGCTACTGTCTCTTCAGATCATCGGGCCATTCGCCGCAGCAGCTCGGATTCCCCCATTCATTATCTTGCCAGCGTTGACATTTTGCGTCGGGATTTGGTTCTTGGTTTTTGGCGTGTTGGGACTCGGGTTTCTGTTCGATTTAATCCCGATCTCCATCAGTCTGGCCGTGGTCACGACCCTCGCCATCAACGTCGTCCTCGTACAGATTCCCACGTTGCTTGGTCTGAACGGCATACCTCCTATTGTGCCCGCAATCCCACCAGCGATAATCCAAAACTTCAGCAACATCAGTTTGAGGACACTGGCGATCAGTATTTCTGCAATCGTTTTCTTAGCGGCGTTACGTTTCGTTGCCCAGAGATGGGGGAAGAAAAAGACTATCCCAGGCATGGCTGCTCGGGTAGGATTTAGATCGGGCAGTCTGTTGGTTGTCCTTATTTTCACCATTGTCAGCTTTTTCTTTATTCGGAATATTCCCATCACTCAGCAATTTGTACCAGCCCTCCCGCCAAATATTCAAGGAGCAGCAGCTGCTGGTGCCGCGGGTCCGCCATCCGCTGCTGTGCCACAAGCGTCAGTCAACAACGCCAGCACCGGTGCGACGCAGATAGTTATTCCAGCCAGGCGGGCCGTGCCTCAATTCGTCCCAGGAGTTGAGTTCCCCTCTGGAAACTTCGGCTCAGGTGTTCAGCGCCGAAGCGAACTGCTCCCGACGGGCCAGCCTACGAACATCTCCGTGGCCGCAGCGTCTGGCGCTGCTGCGGCCGGTGCCTCACCATCGCTGCCAAAGCTGCCCTTCTGGGCAGTGTTCCCCCCATTCACCGCCATGATTGTCTCGCCGCTTCCGCCGATCTTGAACCTTGTCAAGGCGCTACTTCTTCCCAGCCTTCTCGTCTTCATCGTGCTCAACATCGAACACATCGTGGTCGCCAAGACCTTCGGCCACTACCATACGTACACAATCTCGAAGAACTCTGAGATGTTTGCTGCCGGCCTTTCGAACTTGGCTGGATCATTCTTTGGTGGAGTCCCAGTGGGAGGCGGAGACATGGCTCGGTCGTCACTGCTCGCCGTAGCAGGGGCCAAGAGCCCACTCAGCCAAATCTTCACATCTGTTACCGTCCTGGTGGTGATGATGCCCCTGAGCGGTGCTCTGCGGTTCCTGCCCCAGGCTGCCCTCTCTGCCATCATCGTGGTTGCAGTGATCGACCAGCAGCCACCTCAAAAGCTACTAGGCGACTACTTCCGGCTGTCATTCACTGATTTCCTCGCCTTCTTTCTGGCCTTCAACATTGCAATCGTTGTCCCCGCCATTGGGGTTGCGATCGGCACAGCAGTGGGTGTGGGGATTTTGGTGCTGTACACCCTGTTCAGGGGCATGTTCTCCCGACCCAAGGCCATCTCGGGCCCCGACCTCGAGAGCATGTACACGGAGAGGTTGGTAAGACCGTGGCAGCAGGGCGAGACGATCCCACCGGGGACCCAGGTGCTTAAGCTGGAGACGGACATGATCTGGACCAATGCGGACCGCATCCGCAGGCACATCGTCGACACCTGCATGGTGCACGACGCGGGAGTGGCCGCCGACAGCATCAACACACCTGAGCGACCGTGGAATTTCCGGATCCACAAGCACGTTGCGGCCTTGAGAAGGAAATACAGGGTCTCCGACGACGACTCGGACTTTCTCATCCAGCACCGCCCTCGTCTGCGCGTTGTGGTGCTGGACATGACGTCGACGTCGTTCATTGACTCATCAGCCATCCTGAACCTTGAGATGATGAAGAGGCAATTGCGCGAGTGGGCGGGGGAGAACGTTGAGTTCCGCTTTGTTGGGCTGAACAAGCACTTGCTAAAGCGATTCGAGCGGGCCAAGTGGCATATTATTGACCCTATGGGACCCCGTGTGGTTGAAGAAGGGGAGGAGTACATGACCAGGGACTTGAGATTTGATCATTTGCCTCACGCGATACACTTCATGAACCCGGAAATGACATTGAATGGGATGTGGGAGGAGGTGGCAGTTGTCATGGGAGATAACATTGACAAGATCGACAAGGCCTATGTCTAGGTGCAGCTACAGAACATTCTGTCTATAGTGATGCAGTCTTGGTCTGATCTGGCGCCGCTCAATGCGGCTTGGGTGAGTTAACGAAGGACTCGATCTAAGTCGAGCCAGGAGGTAATGGTATGTGTATATAGTTTTGTTCCAGATACCGCTTGAATTTCAGCACTCACTTTGCGATGCGTTTAGTTGACACCTATGTCACATCAAATTCTCCGCGATTCTTCAAACACTGCACATCAACTCGAGAAGCTTGATTCGTAGGTAACAGCCACTAAGCAAGTGAATCGATATCCAGGGCTAGACTGCTAAAGTGGCTCAAACAATTGAAGGTGAGTGGTATCTAACAAGCTACATACAAAGTCATGAAACACCACATCTACAAACATATCTACATACTAGTAAAATAGCAATGGAATATGTTATGTCGAATCCGTGACAGAGGCTTACCAGTCGGGAATAGGCTTGAATCGCAGATACATACCCCCTTCAGGCTTCATCGTGATCACACCCTGTACCCTAGGCTCCTCCTTGGTATGCAACTCAATCTCAAACTTGCCAATTACACCAGCAACAGCACACCTCAACTCAGCCTTGGCAAAGTCCCGTCCGATACAAGCACGGGGCCCATGGAGGAACGTCAGCTCGGCAAAGTTAGTGGACGTGCCACCCGTCTTATTCGGCCGCAGCGTGCCGTCTTCGGCCTTGTCGATCCATCGCTCCGGTACGATCATGTGCGGATTAGTCCAGTAGTTGGAGTGCCTGTTGATGGCATACGGGACGAGCAGGAAGTCGGTGCCCTTGGGAACATGGTAGCCGGCGACGGTGGTGTCTCTAATGGCCTCGCGGACTGTGGCCGGCACGGTAGGGTAGAGGCGGAGGGTCTCCTCGCACACGCCGTTGAGGTAGGGCATGCCCTCCAGCAGTTCCGAGGTGATGTCCGTGTCGTGGGCTGGTATCGCCTCATGGATCTCGGCTCGTAGCTTCTTCTGGATCTCAGGGTATTTGGCGCAAAGGTAGCAGGTCCACGTCAGGGCACTGGCGGTTGTTTCATGCTGGTGCGAGATGTCAGTAATCCGATCGTTTCTTCCCATCGGGTTTGTGACCTACCCCGGCAGCCAGGAATGTAAGCATCTGGTCGCCAACCTCTGGGTCGGTGAAGTCACCGGTCTGGATAATCCTGGACAAGATATCGTGCTCGGACAGGTCACCGCCTTCTTGCAGTTCAAACTTCTTCTCCTTGATGATATCTCTGCATACGCTGCGAAGAAACGTGCCAATTTCGTTCAGTGTCTTGTTCTCTTTGAATGGTAGTATTCGAATGAGCCATTCAGGCATCATGAAATGCATGCCCAAAAAGACGAGACGGCTGAACTCGGGTCGAAGAAGTTCGATGAAGGCATCTGAGACATCGTTTGATTCCGAAGTCATTGACTTGAAGTCGCGTCCCATGGCAGTAGGACCGATGATATCCAATGTCAATTTACTGATTCTCACGTGTTAGTCTGTCGTTATACTCTTTCAAATCAATGACTTGGCCTACCTTGCCCACTCGCTGAGCTCGATAATCCCAAAACCATCGTCCCCGTCGGGATTCTTCGCGATGTCTTTCTCAAGCTCTTCTAGTAGGATTTGTGTTTTCTCCCACATCAGGTTGTACAGTTCTCGTATCCTGCGAACATGGAAAGCGGGCGTCAAGACCCTTTTCTGATGCTTGTGCGCGGGTCCCTCGCTCATGATGAGACCCCATCCAATCGCTCGTCCTAGAAACGCACGAACGCCCCATGGCTTCTCAAAATCATAAGAGTTGGTATTCAGCATGTCGCGAAGGGCTTCGGGTCCGGTAACCAGAATAGGCGAGAGCCCGATCAGTCCGGGCATCTTGAGGAGCTGTGCATCGGGCTCTTTCTCCATCCATCGTAATGCAGACTTCCCACGGGGGGACTCATAGAGTATTTGGCCGCGATTTCGTTCCTTGAGATCCACTACGTCAGTTATATGCCCGACTCCAGGCTGTAAATGCCGGATGAGACTTACTCCTGTGATAGTAGGAACATTTCTAAGGGGATCCCGAAAGCTTGGGTATATTATGAATCTATCAAGAAGAAGAATAAAGAAAGATGCAACGAGGGAACTTGCGTATGGTCGATACAGTACAAATTCTGGTGCTATCGAGGGTTGGAACACTGATAAGAGGTAGCCAAAAACACCTCCGAATGCTAACACCTTGAGCAGTAGTAGCTCGAGAGCACGTGCGGGATTCATTTTTGCGATCCGTCAAAAAGACTATCATATGGCCGTTACATGGTGGTGCACAGGACGACGTAAAGGGCACTCAGAGAGATCTTTATTCCATCGCAGACTGAAGTGCAGCCTGAAACCATGCGAGCTTGATGCCATCACAAGTTGTTGAGTTGGAGTCACTGTGCCTCGGCAGATCGCTGAAACATCTGAATGGACGCTCAGAGTGCTGGCCGCCCAGCCTACAGCAAGGAGTACCCTTGGCGATGCCAATCGACAACGCAAGCTCGTGTGGAATTACCACATGCGGTTTCTGACCTACGGCAATTCATCTGATTCACCTAGCAACAAAATTTCTGGAGCGCATGTGAAAATCAACCTTACGGACTGCCCAGGCTGCAGTGCATTGCAGAAAAGGGTATAACAACACGTCAATATGGCTCCGAGGCTGTGGCTGTGACGCGTGTCCACTCGACCAAATGAAGACACTGTTGTTTGCCGTTGTTCAATTGATTCTTGGCTGTTGTTCAAATTATCTTGTGATGAGCAGGGTTTCTGCGAGAAGGAGTCTGCGTCGGCTCATCTGCATGTACCTCATTGCAGCTGCAAATCAGTCTGCCAAGTATAGACGTGTTTTGCAAGGCATACTCTACGAGGCATTATGGTCATGTCTTTAAAGGGTTCCAGGCCTGGGTAGTCAGCCCAATCCGACTCGCAGCTCTGGAACGATGGGTGGGCACCGACATAACAAGTGCCATGTGTCAGTGAGAATGGAACTCTTCCTCGATGGAGCCGGTCCGGGCCGCACCATCTGCGCTCCAGTGGCTAATGCACGGGACACTATGTAGCCATCATACCACGGCGCACTCGAACCAAATAGTACATTCGCCCGTCAGGTCGAACTAGCTATGATATTTGATCCAGAGCGTAGTAAGCTGTGCGACCGGGCGTACCTTTGCCCTGTTTTTTTCGCACCTTTTGGCTGCAAGAACTTGCAAAGATGTCAGGACTAGATTCCCGGCAAAGACAAGATTTCGTCTGACCGGGTAGCACTCAATTCATGTATATGACAGATGAAAGGGCCACACGGTCCTTCGTATATTGGATTGAAGGCCTGTATGCTGGACTCTATCACAACCAGAACATTATGTGTCACATTAGGGCATAAGCACAAGATATTGTTATTGATTGAGCACATTATCAGACACAATCGTAGAAGGAGGGAGACTCAACGTGAATGCAAGCAGTAGAGCCAGAATGTCAAGTTTTATATGTGATTCTCTCGCAAGTTTTCCTGATTATAGATGTTCGAGCCATAGAGAAATGCTCTAAGTGTGGATTTTCCAAGACAATGAGCCTCTGCTGAAATGAAAAGATCACGTATGCTCTCACGGGGAACAAATTAGTACCCAAACTTCTTTGCAATTCCTACAGCTGAAATCTTTGACAGAGCTTAGAATTGGACGGAGCACGTGTAAAATGAAAAGATACTCATCATGATGAATCATATTGTATGAAAGGAGCGCCCATCGCTCATTACGAATGGCGATAGAAAACCGGGTCTCGATAGTCTATTTGCTCTATTAGATGCAACAACATATTCGTGACAGCATGGTCACAGCGGGGCCATAAATGGCTACTATGAGATGAATATCTACAGTTAGGACCATTTTTGCTTCCTGCAGCGCATGAGCAACCATATTACTTGTGAGCAGCAACCACATGTCAATGTCCCTAGTTACTTTCAATTGCTTATCAGCTTCGTCAGCAGTGGATTCAGAGTTTCAAAATAGGTGGAACATAGTAATTGATTGAGGGCGAGCAATAACGCTCATTCCATTCGTTCAATAGTACTCCAAAATGTGCTCCACCATCCGGATGAATGTGTTGGTGGCTTTAGCAAGGCCGTGGAACGTGAACGTTTGTTGGCCACTCAGGGTGGGCTTGTCGCTCAGCCGCAGCCGGCTTCATCGAGTTATTCCAATGGGTGGTCAAAAGCCATGAGTAAGCAAAATAACATTTCATGGAACCTCGCTTGGAATCCACTCTAGTGACCCAGTCTGCAAAAGCCACATCATTATTGGTATGGCTGGTGCGATCCTCCGATTCCTACAGAGGAGCGCTAGACTGCACCCGAGCAGCCGGAAACAAGCCACAAGTTTGTAGGAAGGAATCCACCGATAGGTTCCAGATGTCTCCGGCACGCTCATGCACTGGCCAAAGAAGAGGGAAAGGATGAGACTAAATTGACCTGACAGTAGCAGGAGGAACGGAGCTGTAGCATTCGCCCGCGGGCCGTCGCGAGTTTGACTCGGCGATCACACCCTTACACTTTCGGCGCGGGCAAACCCCACAGAAGGATTACTATACATTAGCAGGAACGTATTTGCACGTTTCTCGTCTCCACAGGATGCGTATGCCCGCCAATTCAAGTGAAAGAACTCGGTGGCCGCGGCCTGCGAGAGATGCTTGACGCAGACAGCTTCTGGGCAAGATGCGGCCGAACGGGTCCTTTGATACCGGGCCTGAGCTTGATGATTCCGGGCCCGCGTCCTGACTCTCGTTTGCTAAGGAAGCTTGCACTACTTTGGAACACGAACGATGATCGTGCTTTGTCTGTCGGTGCGCCGCGGGAATGTGCAGTTATGCAAGCCGCAGAGATTCAGCTATCGCTAGCTGGTTGGTTGACGAGCACTTGGGAGGCACAATTACCCTTACCCAGTGCACACGTTGTCCGACCTGAGCGTTCTGTGTGACGTATACGTGTTGTGTGATTTGCTGGCTAGGACTCGGCTTCGGAGCTGCGCGGGCTGGGGTTACTTTGGCTGAACTGGGGCTTGGTTCGCGGCACCGTTCCTTGGCGTGTTTGTGCTCTCGATCTTGTCTTGCAGCAACTAGTGTAGTCTGGGAACATGGAGGCCGTCAATCGAGACTGCCACGCTTCAAACGCGTATTGTTCAAGAGCCGGAGAAAAAAGAGGTCAAGTCGGAATGTTTAGTATTCTTTTTCACTTGTCCCGGAGGCTCCGAAGACGTTACTTTTCTGTCTACCCAGTCTCCTCGGTGGTGGGTGACTTCCAGCATTGATCAGATGTCAATGAATCCCACCTCGGAGACGTTTCGATCCCAGATACGTCTTCCGTGCGTCCGTGGCTTGACCCTAACTTCTCTTCGAGCTTCAGGGATAGGGCATTGGATGGCGCCCACCCTTGTCACTACCCTTCTCCTCCTCAAACACTAACCAAGCGTTTGGCATGGGTCGGTCTGAATATTCCGCCGCCCCTCCGCTCCTTCATGCTGCGACACGAGTTCCTGGCCGACTTCTCGCCGCCTCCGGAAGGACAACAGACACTTGCAACAGCTCCGTGCCTCGACATAGGCCTCATTATAAGTTGAACAGCACCCCGTCCCTGGTCTAATCGTGAATTGGATGATCAGAACCACTACTAAGGTCTATTGATCAACTGCACCGCATCCCAGGCGTCCCCCACAGCCACAGACTGCGATTGCTTTTGCCTCTGCATTCTGCAACACATAAATTACAAGCCCACCTGCTGTCCCTCCTCTTGGGCTGGCCGCAGCGACTGCCATCATGGCGCACCTCTCTGTTGTCGCAGCACTACTGCTCAGCGTGTCCTACGTCGTATTTCGAGTGCTCAACTACGTTGTTGAAGCTCGAGGGCGGGCGACGAAAGCCCGCGAACTCGGCTGCAAGGAACCGCCGTTTGAGAAGACTTATTTGCCGTTTGGAATAGACAAGGTTAGGACCGCCTTGAAGGTCGAGAAGACGAAATTGTTTCCAGAATGGGTGAAGGAGCGATCAGACGCAATAGGCGCCACGACTTGTAAGTTCAGAACGGATGAATCATCTATCCGCTTTTGCGGGCCTCAAGCGGGACAATGATTGCTCACTCTAAAGCGCCTTAATGGGTACTGACGTTTCATGCCGTATAGGGAAGCTGTCCGTCCTTGGGCAGACCAATATCATGACGACGGACCCAAAGAACATCCAGACAATACTGGCGACCAACTTTGGGACGTTTGACCTGGGACCACAGAGAGCAGGCATGTTCTGGCCAATGTTGGGCAATGGCATATTTACTCAAAGTGCCAAGGAATGGAAACACTCCCGTGAGCTTATGCGGCCGCAATTCACTCGGGACCAAGTCGGCGACCTGGAGCTCGAGGAACAGCACTTGCAAAACATGATGAGCGCGCTGCATGACAGATTACAACCTGACGGCTGGACAAACCTGGTCGACCTGCAGGTCCTGTTTTTCCGTCTCACACTCGACTCTGCTACTGAGTTCCTGCTTGGCGAATCCGCGGATTCCCAACTGCAGAATATCCCGGGGTACAGCAAGAAGCTCAACTCTGCAGAGGATATCCACAACATCGACTTCGCCTTCCACTTCGACAGGGGCCAAGCCGGACTTGCCACGCGCGCTCACTTCGGACCGCTGTATTGGGCCTACAGCCCGGCGCCTTTCCGCGAGTCGATCAGGCAATGCAACATGTTCATGGACCACTACGTCAAGCGGGCACTGAACAAGGAGCTGCGCGAGAAGAGTGCCGAGCAGGGAGGCAAGCCAAAATATGTCTTCCTGGATGCGCTGGCCGAGCAGACGCAGGACCCGATCGAGCTGCGCTCGCAGCTGATGCACATCCTGCTGGCGGGCCGCGACACTACGGCCTCGATGCTGGGATGGCTGTTCCACCTGCTAGCGCGCGACCCGGCCCGTTACAAGAAGCTGCGCGACGTCGTCATCGAAGAGTTTGGCACCTTCTCCCGCCCCAAGGAGATCACCTTTGCCCGCCTCAAGAGCTGCCAGTACCTGCAGCAGTGTAACAACGAGACCCTGCGCCTGTACCCGGTCGTCCCCATCAACAGCCGCTGGGCCTACAAGGACACGGTGCTGCCGACCGGCGGCGGGCCCAACGGCACCGACCCGGTCTTTGTGCCCAAGAACACAGCCGTTGACTACTCGGTCTACGTCATGCAGCGCCGCAAGGACATCTGGGGCCCGGACGCCGACGAGTTCAGGCCGGAGCGCTGGGAGGGCCGCAAGGTTGGCTGGGAGTTCCTGCCGTTCAACGGCGGCCCGAGGATCTGCCTCGGCCAGCAGTTCGCCCTGACTGAGTCCAGCTACGTGACCGTGCGGCTGCTTCAGCGGTTCGACGCGATTGAGAACCTCGACAAGGACCCTGTGACCCAAAACCTTACGCTCACGACTTGCAGCGGGAATGGTGTCAAGGTACGGATGCATGCGGCCGCCGAGTGATAAGTCCTCTGAGGTTGAGGTGAGCGATGAGCGATATTGAGGCGGTTGGGTGTTCACGTAGAGCATTGTTCTGGGCCGGCGTTCGGTGGGGTGTTCATATGTCTCCCTCAGAGTCTATAGGTAAACGGCGTTGTAAGGAACACGCTTGTAGTTTTGTAACTGAATCCATCTCTACTTTCGGGTATGTAAGCGACTTTTAGTGCAGTAATCGATGTTTGCAGTCTCGGGCCGGGTGTAGACGGAACTAAGTTCTGACTGTGTTCTGTTCTATTCTTAGTCTTTACTGCAACTCCATCTCTCAATGGCGAGCAACCTATACGCCGATTCCACTCTCGTGACGTGTAACGTGAGATACCAACACGCGTTGTCGGATCGCGAGGAAATAAGTTTTGCCGCAAATGTGTAGAAAACACCGTTCATGGCCTATGACAATCCTCCGTAGTGGAACATTACTCGAGGCTTCTCCTGATTATGGCGTGACGTCGTGGTGGGTATGGATAGACGATGGGCAATTCCTGGTCCACTTTCAATCAGATACGGCCTTTCCTCGGGCCTCATTCGACGCGAGAGGAACGCATAAAAGTCATAGATATGAATATAAAGCCAGTGTGTTTCCAGTAGGAGAACAAAGGGGACCACGCAGGTAGCTCAAGTCCAGCCCGTCCGTTGAGCACTAGTTATCACTACGTCACGACTCGTGGACTACGCCAACGTGATTTCAACAAGGCGCAAAAAATCCAACCTTCCTAGTCTGAATCGAACAGAAGGTCTCTTACACCAGAGGGCTACAGAAAATCAACCTCGTGCACACGCGAAGCTTCCAGAGGAACAGATCAGCCCCTGACAATGCCACTCCCCGAGTTCTTAACAAACACGCCCCTCCACCCGTCATTTGACCGGGACATCCGTGACACACACCTGATCTACGACTACGACGCCCAGGATGTGAACGGAAACCCCGAGAAGTGGCGGTACGAGATGTGGTTCTTCTCCGAGGACAAAATCAACTACGCCATTCATGGCGGACCCATGGCGGGCAGGATCAACTACCAGACGTGCCAGTACCAGTGCATCCGCCCAGGCGAGCTTTGGCAATGCTCGTGGCTAGAGTATGTCCACCCTGTGTCTGATTTAATCAGTCTACTTATGTCCAGGACCAATGCACAATATATGCCTTCGCGTGTGAGACTAACCTGTGAACTTCTTGACAGAGAAACTGGCACGGTATGCTCGCTGGTATACGACATCCCGAAGAAGAAGATCTCAACCCTGATATCCTTCTCAAAAGGCCACTGGGAGCATCCCCAGGAAGCACATGGCGACAAGCGGAAGCCGGAGGATTTTGAGCGCTGGAGGGGTCTTGCGAAACTAGGCCACCAAGCAGAAAGGTTTATGTTGTCTGAGCAAGCAGACATCAAGGAAATTTTTAAGGGTGCGGGAAGTCTGGTGCCTATAGATCGGGACGTTGTCACCATATGAGTTTGGTTTGTCACATAGATTTAAGTAGCCTTTATATTGGCGTTCTCAGGTATCAATTTCAAGACAGAAGGGATAATCTCCTGTGGGATAACCCTGTGGGATAATCTTCTGTAGAATAACCTCCGCTGGGATATAGCCTCCTGTGGGATAAGAGTGGCTTACCGAGAACATTGTGAAACTTGTAAATATAGACGAGGCTCATTAGCTAGTGCCGGCGGTGAGTGAGCTTGTGACATACTGATGCGGATGCCCGCCCTCAGCAGTATTTCTTGTTTTTGTTCTAGTCCCAATTACGCGGCTGTTCTTTCGATATTGAAAACTAGCAAATCGGTAAAACCGGGAGATCTGCATCCGACAATGTAGATTGAACGAGTCCCAATTCACATATACATACGAGACCGCTTCCGACCTTGGATTACAAGCCTTGATGAACTTCGAAACAAGATAAGTGAGAATCAAGTGTTCCCGTTAGAAGCCCAGTAAAATAAAGAATACATATTTCTACAAATAGATTTTGGTGTTTGCAGAGTCAAGTATCCACTCCTCTGGGATGGTAATTTCTGCTTTGATCTAAAGCGAGGTCCTGATGACATTTCTTCAGTCTCTTCACTTCGCAACGCAAGGCACTGATGTGTAGAACTGTAGTTTACTTCTAACTGGTCACGATAGTATCCGAACTAATTGAGAACATCTCACTGCGCTGCTTGTAGCTTTCTGATGTGGGTCGAGGTGTCAAAACGCTGACAGCCTTTGAATGGATGTGTTATTGTGTTATAAGTGTGGCTCGCGTAGGTATACTTAGACATCATCTCGCCTTATCGCATAAGATGAACCAGGTGCTTGTTGTCTACAAACACCGGCATTTAGGAAGTCCTCGAGCCAGTCATCCCATCCTTTGCCGATTTTCCCCGGGTCATTCATAGTCAAACAAAGAATGACTAGATCTTCTGCGTCCCAGTGGACTTGGAACTTGGCCAAGGCCAGTTCCGTTCCACCGATGCTTCCGAAGCCATGCCCGATGAAGGGACCACGCTGGCTATGGCCGATCTCTCTCATCACAAGTAGGGCCGGGCATTCAAATGTCGCAAACCAGCCAAACGCGTGCCCTCTTACCTCTATGACCCAGTCGCCTGGTCTCGTCCAGCTAGGCAGATAGACATCACGGTCTTCATTCCCCGGTGGGGTCCATATCGAGTACTCCGGGCGACTGCGATCAAGGTGTTCACTCAAGACACACCAGCCGGCTGCATACCTCGAGCTCGACAACAATGGAGCCTCAAGCCGCGTTTCTGCCTCTCTGGAAATTACCTCCTCCGGGTTGCTACGACGAGCTTTGAGCGCGTCGGACACACCACGTGACCAGTAATTGAGACCTAGATTGCCCGTGGTGAGGAAAGAAATGTCCTGAAGACAGATATCTTCCTTCGAAACCTCCTCAAGCTCCACAAGCGCACTAATAAAGTCAATAGCGATCCTAAACTCGTCCTGCGTATAGTCCGGTACCATTGCCGTAACGCTGCCCCAAGAGATGATGGAGAGGATCCCGTACACCTTGTCCCGCTTGTCAGCACACTCTAGACAGCTCGCAATGTCCAACAGCCTCCATGTGCTGTAAGCGTGTGCGTAGGCTTTGGTGATCTGGAGGGATTTGAAGACCTTCCCGCTTAGTTGCAGATACTCCAGGAAGGACCACGATAGAAACTGGTGCTGCGGTGCTATTCTCCGAAGAAACCAGAGTCTCGTCAAAAGTCGCCCAATAAATGTGCGAGAGCCTTCCCTTGCGCCGTACGGCATGACAGAGTGAAGGTCTGAAAGCATAAGCCGCACACCATCTTTCGGCAGCGCTTCCATGCCACATAAGAAGCTGACATCTCGAGCGTTATGTAGCTCCTGAAGGATCCATAACCGAGTGAAATATGGTCGCATGGCGAAGCGAGCTGCAGCAAGAAGAAGCCGGCGCGTCGTTGAAGATCTGTGTCCCAGGCGGAATCTCAGGGATAGTTGTCCCTTGCGCCGAAAAATCCACTTCTTTCTTTCTCCCACGGGCAAGAAATGTTTGAGTGTTTGATAGAAGAAGAGGCTGTCATCCGCATGGTCCCCAACACAAGCCAAGACGTGTTCGGCCTGTTTATAGATAGTACCCATCATCAAAACCTGCCTACTCTTTTCTTCGAGGTTCTCCTGGTCGATACAGACAGCATCTACCCAATAGTACTGGCTCTTCCCATGCCAGCGTGCTTGTTTCAGTACAAACTCGCAGTTTGTCCGCACTGTGAAGGGCTTTCCATTGATGAGTATAACAGTGTTGGATTCAGCTTCTCCCCATGTGTAGGAAATGGCGTGATAGGATGGCAGGCTGTCTGCTCGCCATTTTGTGAGCCTGCATGCAATTTGAGTTATCTGTGAATTATTGTTGTCTAGTATTTCAAGAAGTCTGATGTATTTGGCAGGGTCTGGAAGAGGGTCATGCTTGAATGGAAATTTCGGCGATGTGAAGTGATCGCCCATTGTGCAGATTGACGACATAGCTTGCGGGGTGAGTTGAACAGTGTACGAGTAGACACCACAGGTCAGCAACGTGCTGCCTTGGTGTATGTACCAAGCGGGGTCTAGGCGCTTACAGACCACTGGTTGGAATCAACGACACCCACAGTATGAATTTAATCACCGGGATTTATTGCCAGCGTTGATGATAAGTCCCAGAGAGAGAAGCTCATTGAATCGATGAGATGACGCCTGTAGGTAGAGCTCAAGAGAAAGAAGAGGCAACCTGGCTGCCTGAAATGTTCAATTTTGAGTTGAAATCTGTGACCCAGCGCCCAGCCGGAGCATGGGTTCGACATGGTCTGTTCCATTTGCTGTGCATTAGGTGGGTTACACAACATGAACAGGTAAAATGCAGAGTGCATCATATCGATTGATTGTTCACGAGGATTGACATGATTGGGAGCAATGATGTTGCATCACAGTAACCGCCCAAAGCACTAAGAGTGAGAGGGACAGCTCACTAGATTGTGTCAGTCTCGTACACAGTTAGCGATGCAGGTCTTGGAAATGATAGATGCAGCTTGGATAAAATGATACTAACGCCCTGAAACACTGTTTGAAATCAAAAGCTGCATTTTGACTGAACCGGACAAGTAGTCCGTGGCTCCCAAAAAATTCATTACATTATCAAATTGATCCCAGCTTTCCCGTATCCTGGCAGAGGCATCATGCGGTGGTGTGGCTGTGCCCTGTAGTTCCAAGTTAGGCACGGCACAGCCGGCGTTGCGTGCTATCCTTCCTTTTGGAGTGTACCACCGATGATAGTGGGCCATCCAATCCAAGCCAAAGCAACATAAAGGACGTACATCAAAGTCTGTGTCCCATGGTTGGGATAGGTTATGTGGGCCTCGATCCGGGAAAGGTGTGTTCTCCCCAGCATTCCTCCCACTGCTGCCTCAGCAGCTCCTCGCCATCCATGGCATCCAGCCTCCAAGCATCCCAGAAGACGAATCCCCACTCTCGTATCTCAGGAATGTAGTGACCGTACAGATTGATGTAGGTGCCACCCCAAATCAGTGTCCAGCCCAGGGGTGGGCCATCTGGCTCGCCGTCGCCACGGAAGGGCAGGGAGACTCGATCGGCTTCCATCCGGTCCCTCTCAGAGGGGTCGTATTGACGTCGGCGGTGCTGCATCTCGGGACCAAAGACTCCTTCATCGTCGTTGAGGGGTATCCAAGACTTGGTAATGTTCTCCCACATGGTGGAGACAAGAACCTGGTGGTCCTGGATATCGAACAGGACCTTACCCAATAGCGAGAGGCCGCGCAGCGATGTTCCCTCGTAGCACTGTTCGTCGTATTGTATGACATAATTGAGGTCAAGAGTTACTCCATGGGGTAGGAGGGAGTGCGGGTAGACGATAAAATCAGGGTTGTCTGGGTGTAGGTCCTTGCGGATGTCATCGAACACTTTTGCGTACGTCTTCCGTACAAATTCGAGGAAGCATTCAAGTTCCTCGACCTCCCACGGCTCCAAAACACGGAGTAGAGCCAACACGGCGTCTACTTTTGGTTTGTCGGATTTAGTACCTGGGCCAGTGAGTTGACAGAGCAGCTGGTAACGATACGTGGCTCGCGCCAGCCGAGTCCACTCAGTATTTGTCACGGAATCGACATCGGCATTGTTGGGGTCATAACGGATAGGTTCATCGCGAGCTCCTTGACACATGATCTCAAATTGATGAAGTCTCCAGGCCGCGAAATGATTGGCGATGGGTTCCACAGACTGGCGATAGAACGCCAACATGCTAGCAGCGTCGTCTCCAGTCATCTCACCAATTGGCAGGAAATACCTCTGGGAGAAGGGCTCTGAGTATGGGTGTAAGACATGATTGACGACTTGACGCGTGTTTCCTTGTTGGGGTCGACCTCGAGCTCTGGACACGTAGACAGCGTAGGCATTAACAGCGACACTGCCCAGTAGCTTTTCCAGGATCCTACAGAGGAAGAACTTGCGATCAAAGTGGTACTGCTCGTGGTAGGTCGGAGAAGCGCGTACCAGGGCCTTCAACCCAGGGAAGTCAAGAGTCGAAAGCAGATGTCGTCGAACCTCAGGTGGTAGGCCCTCCACGCTGAGGCGCTTGAGGCGAGCCCTCAAGGCTTGTTTCATGGCTGGGAATTGTTTTGATGGCTTAGAGCCTTCAATTGTTGGATTTGAAGTATTATATACCATGATAGCGGCGTTATTGCTGTCAAGCTTTATGGATGGAGGCTGGAACCCGTTGACTGGGCTGTTCTTTCTGGTGCATGGTACAAATTGAACTATCGTCACACGCGTCAGCATGGAGTCAGACGTCGCGTTCGGTCGCATTTCGACACCAGAGAGATCATTTTCAAGTTAGAATGGCATATATTTACCTCCATTGAATTCACAGACAACGCGCATTGCGTCAGTGTCGTGTCTCAGCTTGGGGACCTGGGCAGCAGCGTCAATTAGCAGTTTGGACATGTCTGCATTAATACTCACCAGACACAACACCATCGGCATGCTTGTTGCCTTCAGTGCTTAGATGAGACTGGTGTATGAGGAGATGATGAGAACCTCGTGGGGCAGGTTTCGTTGTCACCCGACTCGAAGGCCATGCTGGGAGGAAGGCTGGATGCTTTGCACCAAACTCATCATTAAATCGTGCGCTTCGGCAGGCAGCACGGGCGGCAGGCAAGTGAGCACGGTCTTCAATTAATTCAATTTGCTAGAGATGTATCCAGGTCTCCAGATCACTTCCCTTAGCAATGGTGGGATGGATGAGGCTCTTTATAGGTGATGTGGTGGGAGCTTTCAGAGTGCACTTGAGCATCATGAGCGCCAAAATGCACTAGGTACCTCAAGTACCTTGTACCCTGCGTCCCTTGCAGACAATGGGTGACTCACAGCATGGGTCATGCCTGAACCATCGCCTAGGCCACTGTCTATGGCAAGTGAAATGCAGCCCCCGCTGTCGTTTGAGCTGCGCGAAGTGCGCCATACAGATTCGCTAGCAATGCCAGTGAGTTACAAATATCCTCTATCTCATCAAGGACTACATCGCGTGCCATCGTCAACCACTACATATATATTTTGAGATTCTTCAAAGTAGCAAAATTGATTCCAAATTGTTGCATTTAAATTGAACGCATACACTTTGTGTTGTATCGATATTTGTGCGTTGCTGTTGTTGTTTGCAAATTTGTATGGCGCACACGGCACAGCTAGAACGACAGGGAGGGGCTGCATTTGGCCTGCCACAGACAGCAGCTGCCCCCACCCCCACCCTCTCCGCTATCATATCTTATCGATAGCTGCACTCTCTCTCTACTTGTGTGCTGTGATGTCAGGCCAAGTCATGTCTGATGTTGCTTCCACAATGCAACAATCAGCAAGTCCTTCCGAACTCGTTGAGCTGCCAGTTCCATTGAATGTGAATGGAGTTCATCAAACAGCGCATTCAGCCATACTTCTAATTAAATTTGAATCTGCTAGTTGAGTGCTTGATGCACTGAAAAACAAAGCTATGAGGTTGAGGGTCGACGTGGTGGGCGACGGCGTGGGGACAGAAAAGGCTCAGGCTGTACCAAATCGACAGCACTAGAAGGCAACTTGCCCAGCTGCCTTTCTATGTATCATCACTCCATCGTCCTCTTTCATTTGAATCTACTGCTACACCATAATTGAAGAAGATCCTCCCACAATCTCAACACCTACCGTTTCGACAGAGATCTCGCCCTGCACCGTCCCCAAGCATCGCCATGGCTCAATCATCCGACGATAAGAAACGGCCGCCGCATGTCCGACACTATCCTCTCGACATTCATTTACCCTTCGAAAACTACGAGCACCGCCGTCTTGTCGCCCGCGACATTCTCGTCAACCGTATCATTTCCAAGTTCCTCTTCCCGGGCAGCAAAGAACTGGCCGAAGCCTACGATGCTCATCGCAGCAAAGAGAATGGCCTCCACAACTTTGCTCCTATCAAGATTCACGACCGAGCTTTGGCAAGGGATCTTGAGCTACTTCGAAAGATGCTCACCACCTGCAGCATCACTGACGATCACTTCGAGCCTCTCTATGCCTTCAAGCACATTAAAGTGGTGTCTCATGGACGTGTACAAGGCGGCCTTACACGCAAAACTTGGCAAATCCCACTGGCACTTGAAGAGGAGGGAAAGGTCCGTGTGACCGTCGGAGAAGAAATACAGGACCTGGTGAGGAGGCACTATCTCGAGACAGACGACGCTTGCCTAAGGCTGTGGCTACAGGCCATCCAGACACCCAGACCGTCCTCATACGATACCCTGCCGAAAGGCCCACGAGAAGAGCAGAGTCACATTGCGTTGGCTCAGAAGCGCAAAAAGCGTGACGCCATACATATTGGAGATGATGGGAAAAAGTGGTACCCAGAAGACACTCAACACCTCGCAGCCCTCCAGGCGCAGCTACAGGCCACGCAACTAACCCCTTTGCATGATGGAGGTGCATCTATTCCCCGGTTGCGACAGCCTCTGCTTTCTTCGAGAGCGGCAAGGATCAAGTACCTGGCCACCAGCACTGATATGAACAGGGATATCCTGTCGCTTCACCACGAACACTTTCGAGACCGCATCATGGATATGGTATACCCGTGGCCCGAGGGGCAGGCACCAAGACGAGTCTTGCATGTCCCCTCATGGAACTGGCGTTTTAAGAAACAGTGGCTTCTGGACATGTCATCGTCGATTCCAGTCGATTTTACGAGTGGGATGACCGGACGGGGACTTGATCGCGACGGGATCTGGTCCACGTCCGCGTGCAGGGATGGCATCGTCGAAAGGGGCAGACAAGCTAGGCGTCCACATCGGCGAGCGACAAGTGAGCCGCCACATGGCATGTTCACCTCCGCCCATCTTCCGCGGTCGTTCAATCACTTGAGGGGCTTTTTGACGTTTCCGCGGATGGGACCCGTTACGATGTACCAGCGCAGCCGTCGAAGAAGCCTAAGCAGAACGCGGATCGCCGAGATGTTTGACTGGAACACCCGTACCAGACAGGACAGTGAACACGAAAAGCATCAGAATAATGCACGGAAGGATATCCAGAATAGTTCTGAGGAATTGTCGTCAGCCCAAGAGTACTCGGCACACTTGTATGCTCTCAGTCATCGTTTAGAAGATAATATGCTCTTCTACGGCATGGATATCGAAACGGTCGAATGGGCGGAGCTCAACAAGATGCTGCACAAAGTCTTTGACGAGAGCAATCGGTGCGAATTTGGGACACATCGGTGCCCAAATTGCGCAGTTCAGCATCTGGCTGACTGTCCAAAGCCATGCGGATTTTGCGGCGCACCAAGCCCTGACAGTACCTACGTTGTAAGTGAGCTTACCTTATCTCGACCGAAAGTGTTCGCCAAATTCATAGATGAAGAACATGGCCAAGAGGCGGGTGAGCATGGGAACTTTCACACGGCACCAAACTGCCCTGTCGCGAAGCACAATAGGTGTAAGTGCGGACCTTTCCCTCAGTATCACGTCGCGGCAAAGTGTGCTGTGCTCTGCTCGCGGGAGTGCGGCAACACGTACCCGCGTGGGCACTTTAAGCACAAGAACGCCATGACCTGCAAGGCGCGCTGCTGCATGTGTGGCATGAAGGGCCACAGCGGCTCGCAGTGCAAGCTGAAACGGTGTCGCTGTGGCGTCGCGCATCTGGGCCAGGACTGCACCTGGAAGGTCGAATGCCACGTCAAAGGCTGCTATAGATTTCTCTGTGGGCTTCACTGTGTGGAATGCGGCATGTCGAGAGAGAAATTAGAAGAGGGGATGAGGTTCGAGGGCCGGAAGTGTCCTGCCTGTCTGGAAAGCACTGGCTTAGCCGATGGTGTGGCCGCTCAGAGTACAGAGGACAGTGAGGGTGAGATTGAAGAGAATTCAAGCACGAGGCCAGTCCACAATGGGAGCCATCGGTCCAGACGAAGAAACTACAGGAAGAAGAGAGGTACCAAGCCTATCGTCAAAGAGGAGGAGGAGGCAGAGCTACCTTGGTACACCCCGCTGCAACCGCGCACCCGACCGATCGTTGTATCTAAGTCGGGCAAGAGGAACGTCTGGAAAGGGCCTGCCAATGTGTCCTAGAGCAAGTGGCGGGTGGTTGAACGGATTCTGTCGGACACAGTGACCGACCAGCTAGAGGCCGTCAGCTGTAGGTAGCTGGCGCATCTCTTGAAAGACGGCCAGGCAACCGAGCGCCCGTCGTTCATCAGGACGGGAGTGAGTGCTCACAGTTGAATCATTACAGTGTTAATTGGCAGGGATTCAAAGGCGCTACTGATTTTTAGAATTATCAAGGGACGGATGGCGTATTGGGAAGAGGTTGTCGGACACCAGGTTTGATCAGGACTACAGCACAAGCAGAGATACCAAGATACCCAATGAAATTCACATTGTATTTAAGCTGTTCAATTCCGACCCAACGTCCTCTTCTACAAAACTTGCTCTTGAGGTCTCATGGTTTCAATGTGTCTAGGATGGAAAGTGACCTTTCTCCGGGCCAAAGTACCCTCTCTCCGGAATTGGCCATATCCCAACACTGCTACCATCAACTCCTGCCGAGCTGACAGTGTTGCCCCACCATTTGAGGCTGACTGGACGGTAGGACACCGCAAAGAACATGACCAGCGCGCTAATGGCAACACCCGCCGTCAACGCGGCCGAGAGAACGTAGTTGTACTTCTCCCACCACGCTAGATGGCGCCGGGGGAGCCAGTACATGAAGATGAAGGATCTAGACAGAATTGTTAGCTCGAACTTGAGGTGAAAAGGACTTGAGATCAACATACAGAATCATGCCCGGCGTCTTATACGACAGATTGGACGGCGCCCAGTGCTGGATACCCTGGATGATAAGAATAGGGTTCAGCCACAAAAGGGACGCCACGAAAGGGAACAGCGATCGGTCGAGCAGCTCGAACGTGCGCGGGCTGAGCTTCGTCCTCAGCCTCTCCTTGACGCCCGGCAGGTAGATGGGGCCGTAGTACTGGGGGACGAGGAAGATGATAGAGACGGCGAAGCCGATGAGGAAGCACCACTTGAAGAGCGGGTACATGGAGTTGAACATGATGTTGGAGCCGAGGACGCCCCACATCAGGCTGTTGGCGTACATGGGCGCGCCGTCGTTGGCGCACGTGAACTTTTGCGGCTGCGACGACGTGCATATCCCCTCGACGTGGTTCATGATGAAGTCCTGCGTGCCCACCGCCACGAAGCACGTTATGATGATGGTGCCGATCTGGCTGCGGAACACGGCGCGCGGCGGGATCTTGCAGTAGTGCGCCATCTTTTGGTCCTGTTTGCCGTTGCTGTGAGCCAGAGGAGCGTCTGATTGCTGCTACATGTGTGTGTATGTTACGCGGTAACGGTATGGTCAGGTTTTGCTAGCCATTATAGCTGTTGGGGGCCACACGAGATGTAATTGACGACATGGTGGAACTCAAACGTGGTGAAGAAGCCGTCCAGAGATCTCAATCAAAGGAAGAAGAGGAACTGACCTGCACATAATTGTCACTGTACCCAGCCAGCGCCCACGATCCCAGTGTCTGTGCGTACAGGTAGGCATTATAGTTACCTGGCAAGACGAAGCCCGTGATGACCTGGATAAGCGAGCCAAGGCCCAGGTTCGTACCTGTGGTTGCGGACAGGAAGGACAATGGCACAGCGAAGATCAAGTTGATGCCGATCACGAGGAACGTCAGCCACACGGGCGTGGCGAGGTCGTAGATCTCAAGGAAGACGATGGAGAGCACGATGGCCAACACCAGAATTAGCAGAAACCACCAGTCCGGGACCTCGGGGTAGCGCGCCATCAGTCTAGAAGTCTGTCAGCACGCTGCTCCGCTGATGTAAAAAAAAGACGGGAGCAATGGACATGGTCATAAATAGGCTCGATCATTTCCCTCGAACTGGCCTAACAAGGAAGGCACGTCCTGCTAGGCACTTACCGGCTGTGGATGTCCATGGCACCCTCATAGTTACCCTTGCCACGCCTTATCCCTGCCCAGAAGTCCTTGTACGCGTTCGAGACGGTCGTCCACTGGTTAAAGGTGATGTAGAGGAAGTAAACCGGGTAGAAGGCGAAGTTGGCGCCAACAGTCAAGATGTATCCAGCAGTATAGAACGGCGGCGAGTACTGCTGGTACTTTTCCGGGTCGAGCCTGTTGTTGGTGATAACCTCTTGGACTTTGTACGCAGTGCCGTTATTGGTGAAGGCTGACGAGGAGTTGATAGGCAGATAGGCGGTGTTGTACATATTGCTGTAGTAAATTCCCAGGATGATGAAGCCGCCCAGAATGGTACTAATGTACATGGTGCAAGTGGCGAAGAAAGGCTGCGCCAGAGCGGCGTAGGAAGACGTCGCCACGTTCCAGTCGAAGGTGGTGATCGGGTTGAAGAGCCCAAGCCCCAGGCTCGAGCCCGTTAAGATGGCCAGCGTGATGTTCTGCGGCGCGATCCAGGTCATCCAGTTGAAAGTGCTCAGCGCTGTGAATAAAAACCCTGGGAACCAGTAGTACAAGAACATGGAGATGGTGCAGATGTAGAAGAATTTGTACCGCGACGCCGTCCAATTCCGCCCAAATGCGGGGATTGTCTCCTTGGGCTCCGTCCTCGTCAGCGCCCTGTTCATAGCTATGGTTGGCAGGATCGTTGGCCAAAGTGCTTTCACAGGGTAGACGCTGAAGCGGCGAAGGTAGCCAGCCAGACCCATACCCATGGTCTGAACGAAGAGTGTCAGCATGAATTGGTAGCCAAAGTTCACAAATTTCTCGCCGTAGAACATTGGCATCTTTTGGACCAGGATCATGGAATAGCTGTTTGTGGTGTAGATCGCGATATTATATGTAATCGTACTGAACATTTGTTCTTTAAAGGTCCAGGGACCGGGGTTGAGCGAGTGACGCGTCCCGAAGACTGTGATGCCCCAATCCGGCAGGGCATACTCAAGAACCTTTGCACAGGGGAAGAGCAGGATTTGGATGACAGCCCCGCCGAGGGAGATAGAAGGGAAGCGAGAATTAAAGAAGGTTGCCATAAATGTTCCGATAACCGCCTGTGGATTCTTGTCAGCTGCAAACATTAATCACGAACTTGCATGTTTGCTCACCCAACCTATACCAAGAAAGTACGCCCTGAACGTCTCGATCGGGATGTCGTCGTTCATCTCGAGCTCTTGCACAGCCCGAACCCCAGGATATGGAGAAGACCAGCGCATCATGGTGGCGTCGATCCTGAGATCGCGGTCGTAGAACTCGCCGTAGAGCTTCCTGCCCTGTAGCAGCCGGGTCATGCGCTCGCGCATATCGGTGGGGAAGTTCCAGTCGTCAGCGTGGAATCGCAGGCTCTCAGTGACAATCTCGACCGCTTCCTCCTCGCTCATGTTGTTGATCTTGTCGAGGATGTACTCGGTCTCGCCATTGGGGGCCAAGGTCTCGAGCATCTCGTGGGGGATCTGGTCCCCCCAGTTCTCGTCCTCGCCCACATGGTGAGGTGCCTTCTCTGGGTCGGCAGTCGAGATGCCCTCATTCGCGGTCTCAACCTTCTCAGCCATGGCGGTGGATGGGTCTCGCGAACCAGTGGAAGAGCAGGTGCTGATCAGACCGTGGCGGACACTTGGTCTCTGGGGGTGGATGGCCTGGGTGACAAACCGTCTTCAATCTCGAAACGATTTGAAAAAGACACCAACCATCGTAGGAGGGGACCGGCACAATTTCAATGTTTGTGGTTGTGACCCCAGTGAATCATGTCCCGCTCCGTATCACTGGATCCTGTGTAGTATTGCCCATCAATTCCCCTTCCATCGTGCCATTGATACCCCAGATCAACGGCTGATTGGGTACCCGAGGGGCGCACTGATAGCCCATGCATCGTCGTGCATGGGCATGGATGGAATGGGGATTCTCACCCGGAGGTAGTATCAGTTCCTCTCAGGGTCCCGCCTGGTACCCCACAATCCAACTGCATTCAGGAACTCCATATCAAATGATCCCCCGGCTATTAGAGCTGTTGGTTTGCGTTGGGTGTTATCGGTCCAGTCTAGACCGAATCATTCTGGTGTGGCTAGGAAACGATCATCCCCGCTCTTGGTCCCTGCATCACGAGGACGTATCCTTCTGGAAAGCCTTCCCCGCTTTATGCTCTGCTGGCCTGAACAATGTAACGTAGTACAGTACTGTGCACATAAAGCACTAGCTCTTGTCGCTTACTACCTGCCTGCAAAACGTGGTGTTCCCAAATTTTTGGCCCAGAACTAAGGATACAGCTCTGTCAAGCACGGATTGGCCATATCATAATATGAGCGTAAGGACGGGTATCCGCTTCCCAGCCACAGTATCTCTGGAATAAGGAAAAGGAAGTAGGAGAAGTACAGGATAACCTCCTATGGGATAACTTCTATGGGAATATCTTCTATAGGATAACCTTTTGGGGGATAATTTTTTTTCAAGATAATCAGCTATAGGATGCTTTCTCGTAGGATAAACTTGAACGGGGATGTAAGCCACAGGGGGCTCTGCAATGACGGGTTGTCATTTTCGAGAGTGTAGCAGTGATGTTCCAACAGGGTATGTGACACAGGGTTACAACCGAACAACTGACGCGTTCCTTTTGACAAACCTCGGGCAAAAATCCCAAGCACATCAAGCTGTTGCCATTCAGCCACCAACGAATGTGCCTTGGGGAGGGGAGGGGCCAGGAATAACGAGAAGAAATAAAAGTGAAAGAGCAACCATTAAGCTAGGGAAAGGCAGATGTGCTTACAGTAGCTATCACGACTGGTTCCTCTGGACTGTCAGCCACTGCGAGGATAGAGGCGGCGTTGTAGATCTGAGTATCCGGGCCTAGAATGACATATCAACACATTAGACTACCCACTGATCTTTGACCAAGGCATCGGACGGCTACTTGACAGGCCGGGAATCGGGCACAAGTTCATTCCTTTAACAAAGCCCGCTCGACATCATGGACGCAAGATCAGAGATACTGTGGATAGAACAGCATCGGAAAGAAGACACAGAAGCAATGTGATAGGGCGAACAACTGGGTCATCCAACGATCTAAGGCGCATGTGAAGAGCTCCATATGTACACGACGATGAACACCATCACATAGCAATTTCAAATCGTATCTATTCAGGTCCCAATGAAGATGATAAGTCAGGAAAAAAGGAAACAATGCATTCAGGATGCGGAACAATGTGTTGTGAAACCTGCAAATATGATAAGAGAACAAGTATTGTCTCGACATTGCATGCTCTGATTACTAGTTCGCGTCTTCAGTCCTCCCAAAGATGTAACCATTACTCTTGTCCGCTAAACCTTTTACCTTTCCGGAGAGTCAACAAAGCCATTGTCATACTACGAACAAATACTCCACGCTATTCGCATTTTCCCATCGAAGCTCAAATCAACAAGATCCAGGGTGCTGCTACGTACAATGCTTCATTACAAAAACGGGGTTTATCTCATTCCCACTGCGGAGCACTTGTGTCAGTTAAATGACATGCGTACGGCGCGAGGAAGGAGCTCGTTCTTTTCCGAGTTTGTTTCCTGAATCGTCCTATTCTTACCAAAGATCCTCCTTCTGCGGAGAGCTTTCGATGGACAAAGTGGATTATTGAATCCAACATAGATCCTTGACGTAGATCCAGTTCAGAACATTGACATGTCTACACTATATGACAGATTTTTCCTCATTTAGTCACTTCAAATCATTTCGATGAAATTGTAGTAAGCAGTTCGGTATAGTGTATCAAATTACCATCTATAGTCTATGTCTATTTCGAGAGTATTGTTAGCATGGTCAGATCTAGGCGCTATGTACATGGATAATTCAAGCAGTCCTCAAGCCACAGTGTCAAAATTAAGCACATAGGGTGCTGTTGCTGGCGCTGAGCCTGGACTCAGGGTAGAGCACAATGGGGTCAGCCTTCATCGTCACGGAGACTCCACCATCAGTGCCTGCAGTGTACTGCGTGCAGCTCAGCAGATCGACGTAAACCTGGCCAGCAATGTAGCCGGTGGAGCTGGCAGGCAGCGAGACAGCACCGACATTTCCGGCCTCTCCAACATTAGTGGTGATAGCTACGACGTCGGCCTTCTTCATCGCGACAGTGTGGTCATCACTCCAGATAGGGTTTGCCTGGTAGGCAATGTATGCGGTGGGATCCTGGGTGATGGCCAACGTGCGGGCGTTGTTCAGGGTCGAGATCCAGGTGTACAGCTCGGACGTGGTGTTGTAGCTTGAGGTCCACAGGGGCTCACGGTTGTAGGGGGCCTCGGCGCCAGTGAACTCCTGCCATTGCTCCTGACCTTGGTAGATGATTGGGATGCCGTCCATGAGCATGGAGAATGCGAGGGCGTTCTTGGCGAGAGTAATATCCTGTGTGAGCGACGCGAAGCGGGGGTTGTCGTGGTTCTCGAGGAAAGAGGAGAAAGTGCTGGTCTTCAGCAGCGACTTCATCTCGTTGATGCCGGTGACGAGCTCGCTCATGGTGGCCGAGCTGGATGCGAAAGCACGGGTGAGCCAGAAGTAGCTGTTACCATGTTAGTGGGTCACGGCCGTGGACAGCACAGGGGTATGGAGACAAAGACTTACGCAGGGTAGTTGACGAAGCCAGGAACATCGCCAACCCAGGACGGGAAGGTATTTGGGTCGCCGTTGAGGATCTCACCGGTACCGAACACACCGGCGGAGGCCAGGAACTCCTCCCAGAAGTCCTTCTCGACGTGCTTGGTGGTGTCGAGACGGAGGCCATCGATGTTGTACTTGGTGACAAGATCGGCAATCCAGCTCTTCCAGATCTCTCGGACGTTGGTGTCCTCAGTCCGCAGATCAGCCAGGGACACGCCGGTGGTGCCCTCCCAGCACTTAATCACGCTCTCTGCATCATCGTCGTTGATGACGCAAGGGTCGTGGTAGTAAGAGGCAGAGTTGAATGGGGTTGCCTGAGTATAGTCGCACGATGACATGTCGGCAGGGAAAGCCATATGGTTGGTGACCACGTCGATCATCAGGTACATGCCACGTTTGTGAATTTCCTCCGACAGGGCAAGGAGGTCATCCTCGGTGCCGAAGTGCTCGTTCAGGGAGTAAATGTCCTGGGCCCAGAAACCGTGGTAGGCGTCTCCAAGACTCGTGCCTCCCTCGATATTTTTCACAATCGGCGAGATCCAGACCGCGGTGAAGCCCATGTTCTGGATGTAATCCAGCTGGTTCTTGATACCGGCCCAGGTGCCACCGCAGAAGGTTCCGAGGTCGTTGCAGGCAGCATTGGAGTCACCATCAGGGAGAGCGAAGCGGTCCGTGATGACTTGGTAGATGGACTGAGCCTGCCATTCTTCCGTGCTCAGTCCCTGAACAAGACCGGCCGCGCCCAGAAAAGCAGCGACGGCAGCCTTTGAGGCGCCACGAATAGAGTTGACCATGATGATAGTAAATGAAATTTGAAAACAGCAAAGGAGTGACTGATTGTAAAAGGAATGTGATCGGCGCAAGGGCCGGGATAAGGGAATTCGAGATGATAGAGAGAGAAGGGATCTTCTCGGCAGGGACGCTCCATGCTGACTTTTGGGATGAGCTCGACGTTTAATAGTTTATTTTGGCCTTGGCGAGGTAGGGGGCGATTCCTAGGGGGAATTGAGCTGATCTCGTGAAGCTATAGGTCTAGACTGTTTACGGTCTACTCATCTCAAAAGCACCCGTCAACCATATCCACTATTCGGGCGGTTCCTGCAAGCGCGCGGCTTGACTCGCAGGCGAGATTGACAAGGGATCAGGGTCCCACAAGACACGATTTTGACAGCAGCTGAGCTCGATTGGCTCGGCGTATCCCCCGCATGGGATCTGCATGCGAGCTATTTGTGGTATGTTTCTCGGAATATTGGTTCAACCGACCAACCACACATCAAGCTATCTTCAGAGCTTGCCGCGATCAGCCACATCGTCTTCCTCATCATAGCACATACCTAGATCCTCCAAGATGTCAGCCCCACTCAAGCTCGCCGTCATCGGCACCAACTGGATCACCAACTCGTTTGTGCAGTCAGCCCACGAAAGCAAGAGGTTCCAACTTGTGGCAGTCTACTCCCGCAGCCTCGATACAGCAAGAAAGTTCATCTCAGAGACGCCATCGATCACCGATGCTTCTTCCGTCAAGTCCTACAATGACTTGGACTCGTTGCTCTCGGACGGCTCCGTCGGGGTTGAGGTGGTCTACATCGCCTCGCCTAACTCGCTCCACTATGAGCAAGGACTACAGGTGCTGAATGCCGGAAAGCACGTCATCATCGAGAAGCCGATCGCCTCAAATGTCAAGGAAATGACGGCTCTATACAGCCTCGCCGACTCAAAGGGGTTGTTCCTACTGGAGGCTTTCCGGCACATTCAGGAGCCCAACTTCCTCAAGCTACAGGCGTTGCTGGACAGCGAGACGAAGGAGGGTGGTAAATTTGGTCCCATTTACGGTGCCAGTGTCTCCATGGCCTCTTACTCTTCTCGGTACGCCAAGGTGCTCCTCGAAGGAGAGGAGCCGAACGTGCTTTCACCAAAGTTCTCTGGCGGATCCTTGTGGGACATGGGTTGCTATCCTGTTATGTTCTCAGTTGGTCTGTTTGGAAAGCCTGCAGCGCAGACTTACTATCCAGTTATCATCCGCACGGGTGTCGATGGCGGGGGACACATAATTCTGCAGTATAGCACAGAGTCATCCAGACACAAAGCCAAGTTCACCGTCCATGCTCACACGAGCAAGATATACACGTCGACCTCACCCACAGAAATATACTGCGAGAAGGGCACTATCAGGGTCAATGGTGCCACCGGGGTTACTGATATCAACACTATCGAGTTCTTCCCTCGCGGGTCAAAGGAAGCTGAGCAGCTAGGAGATACGAAGCCCGAGTATCAAGGCTTTCTGAACCTGACCTGGGAGGCCAAGGAGCTTGGACGTGTAATCCAAGAAAGCGACAAGAAGACAGAAGGCAGGCTGAGGGAGCTTACCACTGATGTGCTGACGGCGATGGAGGATATGAGAAAGCAGAACAACATTGTTTTCGAATCCGAGAAGTAGGATTGATTAGAATAACAATATCAGAAGCATCCATCAGCTTCTGACAATATCCCAAAGCGTGATTTAATACAGAGTATGTCCACAAACCGTTCTGGATCAAGGATGGCCCCCTCACACCTCATCCTCGGTTGTTTCCCTAGGCCGTACTGGATGGTGACCGGGACATCTGGTTCGTACGCGGTATGAAACGTGCCACAGAAAAAGCACTTAGTATACTCGCGGACCTACAGCAGCTACCAAATGTACTTCCACGACCTTCAACGCTCTATGAACCCTTACATGACCCATATTATCAACAAATGCCTGAAAGCCCGAAGGGATCTGAGCGCAGATACTTGTTGCAAGAACGCATGTTCTCAACGGTTCGCTTATCTGCAGGTCAGAACCATGGCTCATGTGGAACCATGTTTGACAAAAGGACAAGGTAGGTCATCAAAACGAAAGTCTGTCTATCCTTGATAAAAATACATATTTGCTTGCATTCGACCATTTGCTGTCCAGCGGCATCACGACAGCACCTAGTCGACTAGTCCAATTAGGTGATCTATATTTCTAGAACATGTGAATCCCCGAGGATGACATTGGCTGATACGCAGTGTGGCAACGGCCGGGTGATATCACACCTGCATATTCGCCGTCATGGTAGGCCTCCCGCAGATGCATCTGCGAGCCCCGCCGGAATAGCTGCCAACCCACCAACCATCAACGCATTTTTTTTTACTAACTAAGGACGAAAGAGAAAAGACTGGGATTTATGCGGAGCAAAATTTTGACACTTCGATAAATTCCGAGGATTTTGCCTTATGGGCAAAGGCTTTCTTTGAAGATTCTATCGCCACACTAATCGACATGGCTTCACATTCAGCTCTGCCACAGAATAATTCAAAAGTCAAGGTTAAAGTGGGAGAGGAGGAATGCCTCATCGATACCGAGAAGATCCCATACTTTGCAGCTTTCACCAGATTCCAGGACCTCTCTGGTCAAAGTGCAGCTTCGGTGCCCGTGCACGGCGATATTCCTTTCTTTACCATTATCAACCAATGCGTTGACATCGGCTACAGGAACTTCTTCCTCAAGCTGCCCCTGAACCTTCAGGACTATCACACAGTCTGCGAGACCCTGCACTTTCTTGCCATCGATCTTTTAAAGGGACAGAAACTTCGTGATGTCTTCGACGAAATGAAGAAGGGGAAGACGGACTTCGACGACTACGGAAAAGCGGTGAAAGGACACCGAAGGGCGGCACGGGACGCGGCATTCAAGCTACTGTACTTGTTCCTTGTCGACGAATTCGAGTCCGATATCAAGGACAGCAACATGGCATTCAACGCAACACTTTTCGTGGTGTCGCATCCAGGCATCTTCAAGGCTGCGGCTCGAAAGATGGTGCGAGCTGCGTTTGAAGAGCGCTTTGTCGTTTCGGACAAACAGCAAAAGGGCCTCAACAAATGGCCGATCACGGGCCCTGTTGGAGAGGAGTGGCGAGAGGATGACAGGACAACAGACGAGGAACCTGCTGACTTTTACTCGGACTGGTCGGACTTTTCTGATTGAATATTGCTTGTTGCTTCCTCTGTATCGTCGAGTCTAGAAAAGTGCTTCGGCTGGGATAACGGATGTTTCAGTGAGTATGATGCCAAAAGGTTGAGATACAAGTCCTTCGTAATCTTTCAGAGAAAAATTGATGGCTGCTATCCAAGTGATGGGCTCCGTTGGCCTGAATGCTTGCTTCATAAGATGCAGCTACATATGGGCATTTGGTCGCTATGCAAAAGTTTCAATGCCGTTGTGTCTCTACCAACAGATATCGACATATTTCCTGCCGAGGAAACTTTAGGAGAGATAATTTAGTCTTCACTCTACTCAGAGTACTTAATATATTTGATGTTGTCAGGCGACTCATTAAGGAACCTACGGTAGCGCTATGGCCTGAATCTATTTCCTTCTCTTTTTCGATTTCTTTTCTTTTTTCGTGAAAAAAGAGAGAAAGGGAAAACTTCTTGTTGTCATGTGACAGTCTTCATTCCTATACGGTATTCATAATCAAACGCACACTCAATGAAGAAGTAGAAACAACCCTAATTCGACAGCGCCAGCCAATTGAGCACCCAAGAAGCACGACGCGTCATAGTAGGGCTTCGTACCGCGGAGGCGACATGCAGGTCATCGACGATGATGCAAATCATTCACACCATACAATACACACAATGATCATGATATATGAATCCTGATTCTCATTCTGGCACGGCCTGCGAGTAACTGACCCACCGCCTGAAGAACGCATTCAACGCTCTCAATGTGGACAATAATCTCGGACAATCTGGGAATGTTGACCCTGATAGTCGCTTGGTTGAACATTTGAGGATACAACAAGGGGCAAAGAAGAAGATCGAGGTGCCCCCTGGGCCAAAATATTTGTAGAGGGAGCGTGAAGACGAGATGCTTTACAATGAGCGCAAACTGCTTAGAGAGCACATAGCTCTCCCAAGGCGCTGGGTACTCCTCCCGACATAGCTCCATGGAAAAAAGCCGAGTTCTTTCTTAAGACCGCCGCAAGTAGGACTAAGTGTCAGCTGCTGACTTGCGGAAGGTCCGTTGAACCCCAGGACTATTATCGGGCGGCTTTGAAGCCGGCGATGTCGTCAGGAAATTAGAGTAGAGGACTTTTAGACAGCCTCGGTATGATCCCTAGGCAACTGTTGTCTGCTCGAGGAACTTTGGTATGATGAAATATGCGATATTCGTGGCTGACAGTCTCGATCTTGTCCAGACCACTACTGTCTCAAACTCTTCAAGGAAATTGCCGATTTCACCCAGGCGGCCTTTGTCCAGTGCTTTCACCCCGTCACGAGGTCAACGCGTTGGCATCGCGGCCTGAACTGGGCAAAAGCATCTACTCACGTGGTCGATGCTGGCGCCGAGCGGCTCATTCTGTCGTGGATCAACACACGGAAACGCTTGATCTGTAGACGAGACGGCATCAAGACTTAGGACGTCGAGGATCTCAAGCCGGATTTCGCCGGAGTTCTATTTAATGCCGGTCTCCCCGGCTTCGTAGGCAAACAATAGTCGGGGGTGCGAGAGACCGAGTTCTTGTGGCTGTCGAAGGATCTAGCGCCCTATGAAAGCGATGGCCCTGGCGACGAGCAGTCATGGAATATCTTCAAGGGATGCCTTGACGACCGGCCTGAAAGTATTGAATAACGTAGACGAATTGAGCGATATGCTCACTCACTGGTAGGTAGATATGGTAAGCATGCCCGGAAACTCTCAAAGTAACAAGCCAGGACTGAAATAGATTTTGCAGGAGGCTGCCATGGCAAAGGTTGAGGGCGGAGATGACCGGAAGGTCTCGGACGAGCAACGTCTGGCGACCCGGCGGCGGAGGGATGAGCTGGGGCCGAAGGCTGTCCGCGCGCTTCAGAGAATGTCCGTCATTCCAATACCGAATCGTTAGGAAATATCCTTGTTTTGCTTTCCTGATTTGCAAGCGCTGTTTTCAAGCATGGTAGGTAATGATAGCGTGCAATGGTGACCAAGAACGACGATGCAGCGATGGGGGAAAATAAAGCCAGCTGTTGCACGAGGAGTTGGGAGGCGACGACCAGGTAGACTACGAGTTCGGCAAGGGTCGGCTGGGTCTCACCTGGCCTTGATCGAGACCCGAGCATTCTCCGTCAATAAAGCCAGCCCTAGGCTAGACAATCAGAGCAGTATCCACTACCACCAATGCAAGGCCAGAGCCAACCCTTGATGATAATCATGAGAGCTGCTTCCCCGTTTAATGATAGGCTTCAAAACACAATCGGGCCTCTGAGAGCAGGATGGAAGACCACCACGGACCAACTATCAGCGTGCACACATCACGATGTACTCTCCTTGAATGGCAGCAAAATCCGATGATGGAACGAAATGAAACACCAATGATCGACACACATCTGTACACTCGTATAGACCTCCCAGCGCTCAATTGCACACTCCCGTTGTGCGCTACCTGAAGAAAAGCGACGTAGCCCGTGCTGACTGTACCCGCGTCCTAGGGTGCAGGGCCAATCATGCCCTATCAAAAGCAACGACGAGATTTTTTTTGTAAGCATGTCCATAGGTGTATGATCATGTGCAAGATCGACTATCAAGGGGGCTATATGGGTCAACGCGGATTGTAATTAGGAGATCAACCTGCCTCCCATTGTTGATGACGGTATGCCTGAGAATTTTCGACAATATAATCGGAGTATGGCCTATCGAATCGATCGTCAACGGCCCAGCGATTCATCTGACTGACGGGAACTGACATGTCTTATAGATGTTCCTGCATATCTGCATGCCTGTGCTGTGCAGCACAGCAGGTGGAGACGGCCGGTTGTCAGTGTTTGATGCACGCACCCAAGTGCCATGATCTCACTCTGTCTGGCCAACCGCCAAGAAACCCCATGCCTTTGGGGCCCCAGATTGTCGGAACCCATTGGAACGCTAATTACGAAATGGCATGGGCGTTGATGCGCTATCAGCCACATAGATTGGGCTTGGGATTACTTCGGTGTCATGACTAAGTCGCCCCGGGCTAGACAAAGATGGTTCCCTCCTCTATTGCCCTCCTCCGGCCGCATCCATCATCGGGACACGCAGGCTTGCAGGTTTCTTATCGCCAGGTCCCCTGAGAAGTGGGCCTGCATTGGCTCTTCCTTGGTCAGGGCCGGTCTTCGGTCACCGTGAGCTTGCCTATCACCTACTGCATCGCGCATCTATCTCCCACCAGCTATCATCTATCACCTGTCATCTCCCGCTCCCCAGTCCCTTATCCGATCCTGGGACTCCTGGTTTCCCTCTCGTCCCATTCCATGCATTGATAACCCGGCTAGCCCGCTGCACATTGGCATATTAGCTCACGCACTGCAACCCACATGGCCTTGGCCTCTTGTTCTCTGCCCAGAACCCGGACCACAGCAGCAGAAATAGCCGCAGCCGCACGCGACACCACCCGACTGTCGGTCTCTGCCTCTGCCTCTGCTCCCGTCTTCGTCTCAACCGACGACAGCAGAATAGCACCACTTCCGTTGCAGCCATCACCGCCATGAGCAGACCTCCGACTTCGACATCGGCGTCCAGCGCCCGCCGGCACTCGGCCTCCGCCGGCCATGGAGGCGCGGCAGACGATGACCTCGCGCGCATGGGCTACAAGGCCGAGCTGCCCCGCTCGCTGTCGATGTTGTCGGTGCTGGGCCTCAGCTTCGCCATCATGGCCGTGCCCTACGGCCTGTCCACCACCTTCCTCTACTCGCTCGCCAACGGCCAGTCTGTCACCGTGCTGTGGGGTTGGGTCATGCTGTCGCTCATCAGCATCTGCATTGCCGCGTCCCTCGCAGAGATCTGCAGCGTGTACCCGACTGCCGGAGGCGTCTACTATTGGGCCGCTCTGCTGTCTACACCCGAATGGGCGCCTATAGCATCCTGGATCACTGGTACGTATAGACTCTCTTCTGTTATGGTCTCCTGTTCACTTCGATGTGAAATTTTACAAGTACGTAATTAACGCATGACAGGCTGGCTCACCCTGGTCGGAAACTGGACCGTAACACTCTCCATCAACTTCGGCGGCGCACAGCTCATCCTCAGCTGCATCACCCTCTGGCGCGAGGACTTTGTCGCCACTGCGTGGCAGACGGTCCTCATGTTCTGGGCCGTCATGCTGGTCACATACCTCGTCAACGTCTTCGGCAGCCGATATCTCGACCAGATCAACACATTGTGCATCTGGTGGACCGGCGCCTCGGTCATCATCATCCTCGTCGTGCTGCTGGCCATGGCCCGCGGCGGCCGGCGCAGCGGCGAGTTCGTCTTTGCCCACTTTGACGCCTCCGGCTCCGGCTGGGCCCCCGGATGGTCCTTCTTCGTCGGCCTGCTGCAGCCCGCGTATGTGCTGACCGGCTACGGCATGGTAGCCGCCATGTGCGAGGAGGTCCAGAGCCCCGAGCGCGAGGTCCCCAAGGCCATCGTGCTCTCCGTCGTCGCCGCCGGCGTCACCGGACTACTGTACCTCATCCCCGTGCTCTTCGTCCTGCCCGACGTCCAGGAGCTGCTCGCCGTCGCCAACGGCCAGCCGGTCGGCCTCATCTTCAAGACCGCTACCGGTAGCGCCGGCGGTGGCTTCGGCCTCCTGTTTCTCATCCTCGGCATCTGGTTGTTCGCCGGCATTGGTGCCCTCACCGCCTCCAGCAGGTGCACCTACGCCTTCGCCCGTGACGGTGCCATTCCCGGTTCTGGCCTGTGGAGCCGCATCGACAAGCGCTTCGACATTCCTCTCTGGGGCCTGACCCTGTCCTTCCTGGTTGACTGCTTGCTGGGTCTCATCTACTTTGGCTCCGCGGCTGCATTCAACAGCTTCACGGGCGTGGCTACCATCTGCCTCTGCGCATCCTATGCGCTGCCCATCCTTGTCTCTGTCATGAGGGGCCGCAAGGCCGTGGCATACGCATCGTACTCGCTCGGAAAGCTTGGCTACGCTATTAACATTGTCACACTGTGCTGGGTCGCGCTGTCTATTGTCATCTTCTGCATGCCATCCGTGCTCACTGACCTGACTGCCTCTACGATGAACTACGCCAGTGTTGTGTTTGCCGGGTTTGCTGCTATCAGTCTGGTGTGGTATTTCGTGTGGGGCAGGAAGCACTTTGCTGGCCCTCCGATCCTGAAGTCCGAACTGGCTGGCAATGGCGTGGGTGTTGTGGTGCATGGCCGGGATATTGAGACCGCTGCCAAGGGCGACCATAGTAAGCTAGATGACGCTGAGAAGTCTACTTAGATTTGAGGTACGATAGAAATGTATTGTAGAGAATTGGAACATATATGTTCAATTGTTCATATTGTATGACACTAGAATTGGAGGCTTCAGAAAGCCTGCAATTGTGCTTTGTACCCAAAGTCGGCCACTTAATTTAGACTTGGATGACCTTGAACATATTGCCTCTGGGGCATGAAGCTGGACTACTTCACGACTGATTGTTCCATATCGAGGTTACCCTTATGTCACCACCACACCTCCCACCCAAAAACAGCCATGACCTCCTTAGAATCCCTGCTTCTTGACCTGAGCCTGAGCAGCGGCGATAGTAGCAGCAGAGTTGGGGTCAACAAAGCCGCAGCCCTGCTTGCCGTTCTGGAACTGGGCGCCCTCGGCGGAGCAGATGCCGACACCGCTGGTGTTGATCTCGGCGCAGCACGCGCTGCGGCAGTCCGCGTCGGCGACGCAGCCGCCTGTGGTGAACTGCTGGGCCTGGCCGTTGCCGACATCCTTGGCACCGGCGTTGTTGGGAGCCAGAGCGAGGGCGGAGACGGCGACTGTTGATAGCACAAGGTTAGTACTTGTCCTTGAGGATGGTGGCAAGGTAGTGTAATGTGTGACTTGGGATGTAACTTACAAGCCAGGACGGTAGTGAGAGTGATGCGGACCATTTTGACTGGTGAAGTGAAATGTGGTATCAAACCGAAAGATTGTAATTAAATATGTGCGTTTAGAAAGTGAGCGACGACAACCAGGTCGTAAGTGAATGTAAATGTTAATGAGTGAGAAGTGTGTGGTGGATGAGAAGAGAACGGAAGACCAGACGTACTCTTGGCATCATTCACATCCTTATATACCCGCTCGCACTTCTGCTCAGTATGTGAATGTGCCGTGATCCGGCTGATCGAGCTGCACCAGGGCCATCTCATGATCATCGTCGAGTCTTGCCATTGACAGAATGTCAGCAGGGGCGGGTGGGCTATCGGATGAGTGGTTCGTCGCAGATCCGAGGATCTGGAGGTTATGAGTTGGGACGGGGCGTTTCAGGTACTGCGGTGGGCATCACCGAGGCGACTTTATCCTGCCTCAGCTTGGCCGGCTAATTGGCCGAAGCGGCCGGATTTGTGCTTGATGCTCAACTAACAAGCTTTTGACCGAGATCCGAGCCGCAGCCATCGCATGGACCGTACCGTTGAATTGATATCCATCACGTCGCCCCCTTGACCGGGGTAGTGCATGCCGGAGGTCCAACACAAGCCCGCAGACGTGACACTGTTCCGAGACGTGACGCCCCATGATCACGTCGAGTCGCGTTGCAGAGGAAAATTGTCAAGTTTGGAGTTCGGCGTCTGTCTAGAAAACTGGCCACCATCACACAACGGCCTTCGTTTCCTGGACTGGACCACAGCAGTAAGTCGTGGTCATGCACTTACTGCGTTTTGTCTCAAAGCAGTCACTGCCTGACCCTTTTGTTCGGTCATTAATAAGATCTTTAACTTTCCTTGCTGTCATCACAGTGGCTATAAAACTTCGTTATGGGGCTCGAGAGCCGGAGTTGAGGCCCGTCTATACCGAGGATGTACCAATTCTACCAAGCCTCTCAAATCTACTAGCAAGCAATCGGAATGATGCCAATGCCAATAATAGGAGTCCCGTTGGGCTCCGAGGATATAATCAGTCCACAAATGATATAGCTGGTTGGCATCCTCGCATGATCGAGTACGGTGACTTGACAAGAGTTGCGACACTCCAACGGGGCCGGCTGGAAGTTGTACATCATCCAGACTTCGGCGCCAGACCGGTCCTCGTCAAAATGGCAGGTCTACCAGGAGATATAAAGTCCATCTCACATGAGACTATAGTCTACCGGCACCTATACGGCCTACAAATTACACCGCTATTTTTGGGTCATGTCACGGAGTACGGTCGCATCATCGGATTCATCACCGAGTACGTGCAGCAGGCAGAGAAGAGGGCAGCGCAACATAGCCGTATGGAAGCCTGTCTCTCTGCCCTGAGGCGGATGCACAAAAGGGGGATTGCTCATGGAGATGCACACGCGGGGAACTGCTTGGCTAGAGAGGACGGGTCAGCGGCTCTCATTGACTTCGAGTTGGCGGTGGAGACTACGTCAAGGGTGGAACTCGAGAGGGACTTGTGGATTATGAGCCATACAGGTGACATTGAGACATGACCATTGATTTGAGATCCACCGATGTCAACTTCTTAGCACGTGAAGTTATTCCCATGAGGGTTATCAACTTTTGTGACCAACAAGATCTGACTGCCGTCATGCGCTTTCTGGGGATGGGCGGAGCAGCAGATGTCGGGCCTACCACGATTTACACCACTATTATCACAGTCCCTACTAAACAAGTCATCAGTCGAGAAACCACCCTGCTTTAGCACATTAACCCATCTGTCTATTGTGTCAAATATCACACAACGCGTTTGTGCTCTAGGCATCACCTATCAGACAATGTCAGAAGTATTCTTGATCCTGGCTTGCCCATCCGCTCATTTTACTGCCCAAGTCTTCAAGCACTTGCTGCACGATCCTGGTCAGTTGCAGTGGGCACAGCCATCCGGGGTGTGAGATGCCGTTGCGAGAGCATCCAATCATGTCCAGTTTTAGTTTGAGGAAGAAAGAAGAGTAAGAAGTATTATGCTTTCTAGGTGATGCTGAACCGCAAAGGTCCACCGGAACCATACGCTCAGGCCATGATTACAGGCTCTCTCCCTGTGCCAATAAAGACTATGATTGCTCGAAGGCCTTGCAAATCTCCTTCGATAGTGCCTGCTTTGTCACGGTCAACCCATCCATCCGTCCGACCGCCTTCAAAGTCGATAACCCACGCGTCCGCGGCGGTATCCACCAAGACATTGCTTGCCTTCGCATCGCCCCAGACGATGCCAGCCCTGTGGAGTGCTTCCACTGTATCCGTCACCTGTCTCTTCCACTTATCTTTCACATCGCTGCCGAGAGATCCTAGCTCAATAACCTTGTCGTACAATGTGTCGTCAACCTGGATATAGTGCAACAAGTGGCCGATGACATGCGATTTGTCGTCTTGGACGATGCCGTATAGATGTGATGTGCGCACCTCTTGCGGGTTGAAGCTTGCCTTTGATATCTTTTCGAGAGTTAGGACCTCATGAGCCCCAATGCTATCGTCTGGATCCTGGAAAGCCTTGAAAAACAGCTCTTTGCCCTGGACCCGAACCTTGGTCGGCTCGTCAACGAGGATATATGTTGGATCGTTTGAGAGGACTTCCACTTCTCTTGCTTGAAAGGTGGGGCATGCTGTCTTCCACAGAGTTCCTGCATTACCAAATACACTGTCCATATTGTCCCTCGTATGAATGACGCCTGGGTGTAAGATATCGTCAATGGCTTTCAGGCCGGCTTCAAAGTATTCGCCGCTGAAAAACTGCTGCAGGGTGATCGTTGCGGCGTCACTTGGTGGTGGGGCAAGCTCCTCCAACAACGGCAAAAAGGGCCTGATGGCCCACTCATAACAGCCATCCAGACTTAAGTCCAGCATCGGGCGTTGCATGGGAGATTCGCCGCCTCCGTGTACATCGTCATTTTCCTCCTCATCTGAAAGCCATTCTCCCTCCAAGTCTAATTGCAGCATCTCGAGGTACTGAGTGAATTCATCAAGTCTCGTGGGCGAGTTATGGAATTCCTCTGGGCACACATTGATGGTCAGGGTTCTGCCGTGCATCTTGACCTCAAGCATGAACCATCGCTTGTCTTCGTCTCGATTACAAGGTGTGTGTCCACATCGATGGTAATGCGGCCTCCGCGACATTGCTGCAAGAGATTCCATAGCCAAATGCAAAAATCCGACGTGCTGAGTTTTGGGCGACGAACAAAAAGAAGGCGGGAAAGAATATTCCAAAGTTGAGGTCTGAGGGACGAGCTGAGAGTCAAGCGATCAACCAACAACATATGACCAGCCTGCAGCAGCGGGCCTACGGCCATATATTCAGACGGTTATTATGGCACTGCTGCCTTGACGCTGTGCCTCCAACAGTCAGGGCTGGAACATGTTACTTAATGCTACGCTGATAGTGCTGACTATGCGTATCCACACACTCTCTTAACATTCACACCACAGCCGCCTTCCCGTCACTAACGTCGTGCTCACACATTCCCAACCCCGACCGTTGTGCTCAGACACGTCTACTGCAGGCTTTCTACATAATTCCAGTTGCTAATTATTGCTTCCCACTTCGGTGCCCACACTGAGACTCCTCAGTCTACACTGTACACACCGCTGCATCTACAGGTGCGTCCTTATCTAATTAACACTCTTGTTATTCAAGCTGCTGGGCTGCAAGCTGTTTACGCCCATCCGCCTTACTAGCTACTCTTTCCTTTGTCAAGAACAAGATGCCTTGTGACAAGATCAGCGACAGCAACACCAGAGAGACCCTAAATGAAACAACGAGCGGCCCTGTAGCTCCAAGCAACACCCCCGGGCCCTACGTCGAGGGAATGGTGTTGGATCTGACGATCAACTGGACACGTGATACGCCCTCCGAGGAGCGAGTGCACTTGACTGTCACCAAGGTCTTTGATGTCACCATGTCGCCTGCAATGGAGGTAAAGTGGGTGTCAAGCACCAGGGAGACACGGACAGCTGTCCTCAAGCTTTTCGATCGGCGCTATGGGGAGCAGTCTCGCGGGAGCTCGTCTGCATACCACAGCCCCAGCGTCGAGGCTTGTTGGCAGAGATACGTGCAGTCCGGGCAAGCACCTAGCCTCTTCAGGTACATTGAGGAAATGGACATGGAGGAGGGAGAGGGCGTATGGGATTTTTTCCCTTTCGAGGACGATGAGGACACCGCCGATACATGGGAGACGACCGCAAAGAAAGAGGGCAGGCTTCAGTACCGCGCCCTCCAGCGTTGGAGGTCTGAAATACGAGCATATGAGCACCTCGAGAAGCTCCAAGGGAAGTGCGTGCCACTTTTCTACGGAACGACATCTTTCTCCCTTGACCCATCGCGGTCAGACACCGACTTTTTCCGAGTCGGCGGCATCCTTGTTCAGCGCATCGATGGCTTCATACTGGACAGCCTGTTAGACATGACGGAGGCGTCACCCGATACTGATTGGCAAGGGCTGGTTCAAAGTGCGGTTGAGGTCGCCGAAGAGGTCAACAAATGCGGCGTTATGAACTGGGATTGCAAACCACGCAACATGATCGTCCAAATGCCCTCCCTGCAGCCATTTGAGATAGACTTCGCCCAGTGTTCCTTCAGGGAGGAGTACGCCAGCGAGGATGAGTACAATGAAGCTGTCAGGACGTGCGGCAACCCCGTGGGCTTCGGAGGCGTTGTGGCCACGAGACTGAACAGAGTTCTGAGACTTGGGATCAAGATCAAGTATGGTCCGTGGCTTGGAGATGTGATCGAGCATTGATCTTACCCACCCACATATCAGACTGACTTCAATATGTACGAAGCTGTAGTCAAGGGGTTTACAGTACATCCTGTGGGCGAAAATGATTCCCATCATGTAGAAAGCTTTGAAACACAGAGGTTGGGATCATCTCTGCCACAACATTCTCTTGTCTGAGACCATACAAACCTCACTCTCGTGGCAACACAATTTGACATGCCAAGAGCAGAGACAATAGGATCAAGGATCCGGGCCTATTCTCCTGATCAATGTCTGTTTGCCACTTTTGGTACGGTCTGATGTATAACGATCCCGATTGAGGATTAAGAAGGCATTCAGTTGTACTATAATTGCCATCTTACTTAGAACGTACAATTCGAAACAATGTGCATCCGTGAATCCAGAGAAAGGACTATCGGCTGCCATTTCAGTGGTGACTACAAGAAATACAGTCAAGCTCCGTTAGCCACCCGAACAGACCAAAGACCTATACAGTCAAGAGGATCACGCTAGCAACTAAAACGTTCAGGGGTCCGTCAGTCGCTACATATAAATAGAATGGACTTGTCTCACTTGAGCAGTGGAACTCTTACCGAACAGAGCTGCTATCGCTTGCTTGTATCAACCACATCCATGTGCACCCCATCTAACCTCACATTACGATGTCGACTACCACCGACTTTCCGCTATTCCCAAAGCTCCCTGCAGAACTTCGTCGACGCGTGTGGCAGCTGTGCATCCCGACCACCCGTACTGTCGAGATATCTATGCCACCCAATCCTGACATGGTTGACGATCGCTGCATATGCTACTGCCGCCCGGAGGACACAACAAGGCGCAACGCGGCAGCACCGTCCTTCACCCAGTCGTGCCGCGAGGCCTACGAGGTTGCACTCGAGGAGGGCGGCCGCCTCCTGCTGCCCTCAGAGCAGGACGTCAAGCGCCTCCCTAACCACCACGCCAGTGCTCTATTACAGAACCCTTGGTTTTGGCCGGCGCGCGATACCGTCCACCTGAACTCAGACCCGCAGGGCTTGGGGTGGTCCGAAAGGAATGAGCTGCCGCTTCCACTCCTCCTCCGAAGCGTCCAGGGTGCAGCAAGGTGCTCCTTGATGTCTCAGCTGCTCGGCTGGCCACCTCTTGACGACGTCGTCAACGAGGGCGGACGGCTGAGTGGGCGCTTCTGGATGAGGCGGGCTCTAGTCGAAGCACGCGTTCTTGGCCACCTTAGATACCAGAGCGCCTACTCAGTCTGCTTAATGACCGTCAAAATCCACGCGCGTAGCCACGTAGTGCAAGAATCCGGCTTGTTCGAAGGAGGTGCGAGTCCATTGCAGCTCGTCCCCACCTCAGATTTGCAGACCTTCTCCGCTATGCATCGTCTATGGGTAAGCAGTCATGACCCACAGAAGCGCGAAACCATAGATGAACAGACGACGCGCCAATTCCACATCCTTTTTGACCATGAGAAGCTCGCGCGCCGTGTGGCTGGGTGGCAGCAAGACTTGCGTGAGCGGTGGCTGCTCCAAAAGTACGAAGCACAGTGGAAGGCCGACGAGCTTCTCAACATCATCCGTGCAAGCGCAATCGTGCTCCGCGGTGAGCTCTCGGCCGATGCACGAGTCCTGAGCCCAGACGTTGTCGATTTGGAAGGATTCGAATTCGACCACTTTCATCCTTGGGTCAAGGCGATACTCGATACGATGCCCACTTTTCATCCGGTCATCATGTTTCGCCACTGCGCGCTGGAGTGCTATAGTAGAGCCATGTCTAGTGTTGGGGATGTAGCGTATCTCTAAGCCAGGGAAATTTTGGCCTTGCCGAGATCAATGTCTCCGTTTTTTAATGGTATGCCTAGCTAGGGACCTATCACGTAAAAGCACTCCTCCCTGACAGCTCTCGGTTGAATCCAGGCAATATATTCATCCCAGCGCCTCATCCTAATCGATCCGGGAAATTATATACCGATAGAACTAAACCGTATGTTGTACCTGTATATCAGTTTAATGAAAAAGGAATAAAGCCCACGAACGTCTGTGGCACGGACGTGATTTGGTCATAGTGGGTTCGATGGAAGAGGTAATACTTTGTGGTTTACTGGCATGAAGTTCCTCATCACACTACTACAGCATAACATCAAAAACGATAGTGATCTACAATACAACGATCAAAGCCGAATGGAGATCTTGTTCATAGACCAATGAGATAAACCCAAAATTCTGTAAAGGTAGGATGCCAACGCATTCGACGGAAATGTGATTGGTAAGCGGATTGAATCCGGCCGTCGGAGCAGATGGGTGTTTTCGCGGTGACCTGCTTCGCCGCCTCGCTTTTTAATAGACATCAATGTAACATGAGCTCCTCAATGCCGATGTTTTGGCGTTGTGGTACCATTGTTTGACTCGCGAGAGCGGAATGATTAGTATTCCAAAATTCTTAGCTCGAGTATACAACATCAATTAGGTTGAGTCGTGCCTGCGCGGCAAATTGTTAGCCCATGTCCGTCAGGGTGACAAGCTTTGCACGTGTGATGTTTCCGTCGGGCTGATGGAATAAAGTTTGCATCGTAGGGTGGTCGTCTTTGTGAACCCAATAATTCTCAGTGGATCTATCTTTTTCCAGCCTTCTGAGTTGCATATGATGTGTAAGCATACACCCAGGGCAGTCAACAACGGGAATTGAGCCAGGAAATCAATGACGAACCTCTCGAGCATTACACCGCATCGCCGACGCGGGTAAGTGTTCTACCAGATTGCGCTACAGTGCGGTATGAAATAAGATCCAATACTTTGAACAGTCTCTTCTCCATTCGGGCATATTTCGTCTGGTAGTATCGAATACGGAGGCAGCATTTGACTCCATTCGCATCATAGAGACCATCTCCACATGTCTTCAACGGCTATTGCACCAAAGTAATGTAGCTTAAACCACAGAGCAATATAAATTCAGCCGTTCGTCCCGAAGAGCTCCCTCGAATATGATCAACAACCTGTGCAGCCATCAGTCACCCCGTTGATATTTTTTCAGCTGTACCCAAATGGATGTCCTTGCTGAGATTAACGCTAAGTTTCACTATCAGACTGCCAACCTCAATGGGGTTCAGTATAATTATATCTACGCAGAACCGGCTGGAGAGGTGGCCGGCACCGTATTTCTCGTCCATGGGTGGCCCGACTTATCTCTGGGATGGGTCAACCATATTCCCTTCCTCCTCTCCAAGGGCTTGAGCGTCGTTGCCTTGGACATGATGGGGTACGGAGGCACGGACTCTCCCGAAGACATCAGCTTCTAGTATGCCCCAAGTTGCTTCGTGGGAACCTCGCCAAAATCAAAATCGGCTGACTTACTTCTTCAGCACTTTTAAGCGCGCCTCAGATGACATTGCCGCTCTTGCGAGAAGACTCGGTCTCTCGCGTATCATCCTCGGCGGGCACGACTGGGGTGGCGGTGTGGTCTATCGTGCGGCAATGTGGCATCCGGAGCTAATTGCTGCCTTTTACTGCATCAATACACCTTTTGTACCTCCTCAGGCTGCCTTTACAGACATGGCGCATTCCTGGTCCGGTTTCCACTACCAGTTGCAGTTCCGTACCCGCACTATCCAGGACTACCTTGGTCCGTTTGGCCAACAGGACGCTACTCGCGTACGGAAGCTGCTCAACACTATCTATGGGGTCACAGGCCCCACTGGTAAATTAGCCATCGATGTCACTGGTATAGGGCTTGATTTTGATCTCCTTGACGGTGTAACTGAGGACACCCCACTTCTCACCAAGAAGCAGATTGATTTCTATGTGGACAGTTTTACCAGAAAGCCGTTTGACAATACACTTAATTGGTATCGCACTAGTGAGCGGAACTGGGAGGAAGAGTTGCCGCTTGTTCCTGGCAACATCAAATATACTGGCAAGTTTTCACAGCCCGCGCTTTTTATTGCCGCGACCCTGGACCCGACCTTGCCTCCGGTTCTGTCAACAGGAATGGAAACCTACTTTGACAACTTGGCCAGGGGCGAGGTCAATGGAGGTCATTGGATGAGATGGGAAAAGCCTGACGAAGTTGATTCCTACGTGGGGAATTGGCTGTCCTCTTCGGTGTTGGGGGACAAATCTCTCGATTTGACACCAGGTATCAGGGCTCAAATTGCTTCATCTGAGCTTTGAAAATATTGATTTTGAGGATCTGTTGGTTATATTGAGGTGACTGCGAGTGAAGCTGAAGAAGTAAGCAACCTGACTTATGCTGGGTGGTGATTACTTGCAACTATCAGAATACAGACACATCTTCATGATATCATCCTGCTGCAACTGATCCGTCAAATTTGAGTGTGACAAATACCAAGTTGGGTGGTCAGATTGGTACGTCATGGAGGTTCGTGCGCTTTTGCGGAAGCATGGAAACGATCCCAAAAACTACAGCTGACAGATCAAAACTTCTCAGAAAATTTAAGCTGGGGCGCAAAATTACTATTGACCTAGACGTCTACATTGAGAGGGTAATGTCTGAAATTGTTGTGCATCAATTGTGTTAAAAGCAATGACACACTGCCGTCGTCCGTTTCTCTTACCAGCATCTTATAACCCCTAGCTACCGTAATAATCACCGAGCGTGCAACAGAGACATTGATATCATCTTGAATATAACCTTAACATATTCAATAATGGACAAAGCTCAGAGATTTTGTAGAACAAACGGCTACTATATCAGGATTTCTCTCACCGTCTCTTCAATACTCTCTGCGCTCAGACCCAGCCTCTTGTTCCAAATGCCACCCTCAACGATAGTATGGTCCTCAAGCCCTTCGCGACCTAGCACCAACGCCGAAATCACTAAAGCTCCCCCTCCCATGATATCGCCTTCACCCACTTTCTTAAATCCCTCTAGTCTAATATTCTCGGAGCTCTCCTCTTTGACTTCCCATTCCTTCCCAGTCGCTTTCTGCAAGGCCGCCAGAACCTCGAGCTGGGTTGTCGTGAAAGACTCAACAAAGACTAACTGGTTTTTAGTCTCGGAGGGATGCTTCAGGACTGAAATGATGGCACGTCCAATCTGCGCTACGGTGCTCGTCGTGAAGCGGGTGTTGCCACCGTCCACCAGGGTGGCGCTTTTGTTTGGCAAGTCGAAGCCCATCATACCCTGCTTCAAACCCTAGAGATAGTGTCAGGAGGACAAAGACCAACATGATATAGAGGGATTCCTAAGCTTACCCAGTCAAAGAAAGGGCCGGTGATAATGGCGGTCCAGCTGATGCGGTCTTCCTGGGTTGCTAACCAATCCAACTGAGCCTTCTTGGGCTGGAAGAATGGCACGGCTGCGATAACATCCCCAGACTTTGGGAAATTTCTGTCAGTGAGAATCATGATGCAAGGAAAATGCTGAAGTCTCCTACCGAAGAATCAGACCCATATTCGCTGGGGATGAATCTCTTGACTCCCGCCTTGACGGCAGCTTCGGCTACTTTTGCCTGCTCTCCAAGTGCAATGATCGGGAGCATGCTAACGACGGCATCTTGACCTTTCAGCGCCTGTACGAGTGACTCTTCGCTGAAATCGCTTTTGATAACCTTGGCTTCCTTTGGAAAAGTTGCAGGTGAGCCCTCACGACTGAGGACTGTGATGTCAAGTCCGGATTTCAGCAGGAGCGGGAGCACACCGGCCCCAATGTTACCACTGGCCTGTATTCATTCAATGTCAGTCAGCTAGTTTCACTTCGATGTGAGAGGACCAAGAGAGACCTACGCCAACCAGAACTACTTTGGTCAGTGACATCATGTAAAATTTGGAGGGAAGGCTACGCCGTCAATATCAAAGAATGGTGATTTTCTGTTCGAACTGCTTGGATCGAGCATATTAAATAGTTCTCTTGAGACTCATAATAAAACATTGGCTTTTCTTGCACAGCCATCTTAATCGATGTGACCCGGATTCAAAGTCTCTGTTCGGATTACCAAGCACGACTTGGAGTCACGTATCAACTCAAATGAGAGCCAGGAAGAGTGCCCTGAACTTACCTTGCGAGACCAAGACAAGGTGACCTTACCTACCTTGCCTTGACGAGCAATGAGTTCTCCGTCGGGTTGGAGACTATGAGGCAACCCGATCAAAGAGACCATATTCGGCCCTGGGCTAACTGTTGAGCCGAGTTCTCGATATGGATTCATGCGCGCCAACGCTTGGGTGCCATCAGCGTTGATTAGTGAACACCTTTCCTAGCCAAAGTCGGCCCACCTAGCTCATGCAATTTGGGCACGTACCTCTAGCTTTCCGCTTAACCAATCCTTCTACTTTCTATACGCGGAAAGCTCGAGTTGGGTTAGTGGTTAAAATTGCTGGGTAGGCTGACACTGGCCAACATTTTCCCGCGATTACCGGAATTGTCTACCTTGGTAACTTTGTTTCATTTTGGCATATGAATGAGCCAATGACGTGAAATTTGAAATCATCACGTTGGAATGACCTAGAATTGAAGATGATTTCAGTGGTAGCACGATACCACATTCCCATATCATCCTGCTGACGACCCGTCCGGACATTCAACCATCGATAGCCATAACTCACGTGCACCCTTTCATAACGTATGCCAAAGTCGTTGAGGCACACTATATTGACACTGCAATTTGAATCATAACTTCAACTTCAACTTCTAGATCGACCATGAAGGCCCTTGTGACGAATCGAACCATCGCGACCCGCATTTTCAACCTGTGCACCGGAAAGTCGGTTTCAAAGGCGCGAGTATCACGGAAGTACCAAAGCCCACAATCAGCGCCCAAGAGATTCTTGTCAAGGTGCACACCGTGGGTCTCAACCCGAGTGACTTCAAGCACATCGACGTCATCTCCCCCAGGGGCTGCATAGTCGGGTGTGACTACGCCGGGGAGGTTGTAGAGGTTGGCAAATCCGCCGCCGGATCTTGGAAGGTCGGGGATCGCATCGCTGGTGTTGTCCATGGCGGAATGTATCGGGACCGGGGTGCGTTTGCAGAATACGTCAAGACGGAGGGCGACCTGGCGTGGAAGATCCAGCCGGGCGTCAGCGATGAGGAGGCAGCGACGTATGGCGTCTCGGCTGTGACGGCCATGTTGGCGGCCAACGTCCATCTCGGTCTCCCCTGGCCGGGCGAAGCAGAAAAGAATCAAGATACAGCGGCATCGACACCACCCAATAAGACCATTTTCATCTACGCTGGTTCCACGAGCGTCGGTCTGTTCGCCATTCAGCTTGCTAAGCTGGCAGGATACACCGTCGTCACGACAGCATCGCCACACTCCCATGAGCTGGTCAAGCGCTATGGTGCGGACCATGTCTTCAACTACAAGTCGGATGGCTGGGTCCAAGAAGTCACCTCGGCTTTCCCGAACATCAGCCTTGCTATCGATTGCTTCTCCGAGGGAGGATCGGGACCGGCCACAGCCAACGTACTCAAGTCGCAGGGCGGCAAAATTGTGACCTTACTTGACCAGGGCGAGTCCAAGGTCCCCGCCGTCAAGTACGATATGATCATGCTTTACACCGTGTTTGGTCGCGAATTCGCTTGGCTGCCGCCAGTTGGTCCCAAGTTCCCTGTCGACTTGGAGCATCGCAAGGCTCTGGCACGGTTTTACTCCATGTTGCCGCAGATTCAAGACTTGATCAAGCCGCCTCCTATTAAGGCCATAGATGGCGGGATTGAGGTGCTGCTGGAGTCGTTGGACCCGCTGCGTCAAGGCAAGGTGTCGGGAAGCAAGCTGGTTGTCAAGTTCTGAATACGGAATGATTCTTGGTAGAATTTAATCTCCACACAAAGGGGAGCAAATGGTGGATCTTTATTTTGGGAGTCGTGACAGAGAGGTGTTTCTGATCAGTGCAACCCGAATATGCGTTCAGCGGCTCAGGGGCAGGTAGTTCATCATTGGGCGTATAAACGCACCATCGGCTGCGGTTTTCTTCTATGGCAATTAACAAATTCGGTCAAAGACCAATTTGGGTCTAGCCGAGGATTCACGTATCAGTGGGAAGCACATTGAAAGCGCCAGAAATTGACGCTTGATCAGTTGCTGCCAACAAATATATGAACATGATGTGGAGTTTGAGCCAGCACGTAGAACTTGGTGGGGCTAGCAAAGCTGAACTTGGCGTGACACGGCTTCTAGATTAGCTGACAAACTGCATAACACATATAAAGTCTTTGTGAGATCATTCAATCCGGTCGTCCAATTCAATCATATATATAACTTGAACCGCTAGTCACGCTCATGGATCTCCTCGCGATTGACATCAGCCTTTTCATGCCTAAGGCGAGCGCAACCAAAAGCACGGCAATCGCGAGACAAACCGTAACTGCGACCTTGGCCGTGGTAGCCAGCTTTGATGTCCACACAATTGATGGAACGACAACAACAATCAGGCTCAGGGTGATATACCCTAAGACTGGGATGAGACGAGGAGATACGAGGGCACTGCGAAATCCTCTATTGACACCATGGGCTGCCTGCTTGACGTCATTTATTCTCAATGCGAGTAGGACAAATGGGATGGCCAGAGTGAGGCTGATGCTTACTGGAGACATTGAAAACTTTAGTAGCTGGTAGAAGGTGGTTGGATAGTGACGGTAGACCACTTACGCATGTACTTCAGGATATAGCCGAACTCCAGCTTTCCGTCCTCATTAATTGGGAAAATGTCAATGTTTATGGCAAAGAATGCCGCCATGAATGACAAAGGTAGCTGTAAGCGAGTCAGTCAATCAGCTACAGGTCAACACCTTTGCCATAGCTGGCTTTCATGGAATGGAAAATTGTGATACATACGAAAATGATTGTGACAACAGTGAAGACCATCAACGTTTTCCCTTGTCGTGCAGTTTCCTCTGCTTGTTTACTGATCTCGTCGTTTTGCTTGATTTGAAGCTGTGTGTTTTTGGCTGTTTCTCTTGCCAACATGCGTGCCGAAATGGCTTCGGAGAAGTTGGCTTGCTTTTGCTTCAGGTCGATCAGGTGGTAAAGCTGTAACCATTTCAGCAACTTTCTAGACACTAAAATCTCCGACAACTTCTCGTAGTATCCGTCATTGAGACAAGCGTGACAGTGATTACTCACGGATTTGTGTGCCTTCTCAGCCAATTTCTCCATCTCGCCGATGCGAGACATATGATTTTCGATGCAGCTGATATTGATCATGGAATTAATCTCTTCGCCTTCGTGGGTGACAGCACCGGGTTTCTTTCTTCCCTGTAGTAAAATCTCATCGAGCTGTCGCATGGTTCTCTTTTGATCGCGCAAAACCACTTTCAATATGTGCAATTCGTCTTGTATATCTTCGATCTCAACCAGAAGATCTATCTCTGTCGTGATGTTGAGGTCATCGTATGTTGGCTCGTCGCCAAGCAAATCCTGTTCTTCGTGGCGGTTGTGGCTGAAACTTAGGCCCGACTTAAACTCGTGGAGGCTATGTGTTCCTTTTTCGATCTATAACCTGTCAGCGAAGTCAATCAATTGCATTTCATAAGATCACGCACTACACTGCCTATCGAGCTCTCGAAGAAATCCAAAAATTGCATGTCCTCGGGTATTTGGGTCTCATCAAACGCTGAGGCGCAGCAGGTGGCGATAAGAGCAGCCAGGTCATATACGGTATCGATGGGTGGCCGTGAAGTCTCTTTCAAATGGCGTAGGACTTTATGATGAACATTCATAGGATCATCTGCTGCATGACGCTTGATTCTTGATTGCCGAGGGGCTTTTGGTGGAGGAGGGACTCGAGGATAACGGTGTCCGATAGGCGGATCGTTTTCCTCAATATCCGGGATGGAGTCAACTCCGTCGAAGATCAAGCTCGGTTCTCCATGAATTCCATGAGCCGCAGTCATCAAAGGCTCATATATCGGGCTTGGCGGTTTTTGGTGCTCGATAGATGGGCCTCGGAGGAGGTCTTCCTCATCTATGGCGGTTGACAACCTAGTAGGAGCACTTCTGCTTCCTTCTCCCCACCGATTAGGAATGCAAGTAATTAGGGTGTCTGGAGTTGCTACGTCAGTAGGAGCTGTTGTTATCCTGTTGAGATTTCACAAACCTCCGTTAATGATCCACAACCACATCTGATCAACCATGAAGATCTTGCCCTCTTCATTTTTGGTGTAGCGATAGACTACTTGGTCTCTGTCACGGTGAGCGGTGTTGTCTAGGTGTGAGTAGAAGTACTGATCTAATGTCCTCCGTGGCTGGAATGGGACCTGACCGTTCTCCTCCGCGAGCCCATATCCCCGTATGAGAAGCGCATTGGGGTTCTCACTCCCAATTCCGCGATCCAATACGAGGCCTCCACTTTTCCTACTCTTCTTCTTGGTGGATTTGGATGATTTTCCACCCGCCAACCAAGCCAAGGTCCTTTTGTGAGCCGCTTTTGGTGGTCGAGACTGTGGAATAGGCGATGGCGGCCCCGATCCCCCTCGAATGTTCATATCAAGGGTCATAGTGGTTGGTGGTGCCATCGCAGCACTTGAGATTGGAGGTCGAGGATCAAAGGGAGGTGGAGGCGGCGGTGGTGGAGGAGGAAACATTGGTGGTAGACCAGAACGACTCGCTAGAAGCCCATGTAGGTTCCCGTGCGTACGATTAGGCCGAATGGCAAAGTTCACAGAGTTTCGGCCATTAATTCTGTTCAAGTGATCTGTCATCTCAATGTGGTTTGTGAACGTCTCATAATTGAGGAAGGGTATCTGATGTCATGTCAACCGCCATGATCAGCCGAACGTCATATCAAGGGGAGTTTGTTTCACACAAATGAGACAGCCTGCTCCGTCTTTCCACCGTCCCATGTCATAATCGATTCTGTCTGAATCTCAAATATTAGAATCCTCTGCGTGAAACATGATAGCATCACAAGACCAACCTTGAGAGACTTGGCAAATGGTCGCATATAAGAGAAGGACGGTGTTTTGAGTCGCGCGCCACGTCCCTTGACTAAATTCAGACCCAACTTTGATCGAAGGTTGTCGTCCGGCATTGCGGCCGTGGGCTTCCGTTCAGCAAGTAAGCGAAGTATTAAATCCTTACACAAATGTTTCAGTACGCTTTGGTCGCAGATTTTTATTACTCAGGAAGCTATACATTTACCCATATTATCTATCCATGAGTAAGCTTATAGCAAGAACTGAATTCACGGAATAAGGGAATAGGGAACCGTACGTTATTTGCTGGAATATGGTACCATGTGAAGGTTGGCTGCCCTTTTGCACCCCTGTCTTTTCGAGAGCCGATGGGTGAGCCGGGCGGCGGACTCATTGCTGGGGGATTGAATAGTGCATCGGGCCCTTTTCCGTATATGAGCTCATAAACGGACACTACGAGTGGCTGAGAACGCTCCTCGCGGCGGCCGATGAAAAACTGGACAACTTCTGCCTGTACGGCCTTACAAGCAGCCTTCTTATCATGGCTCTTTGGCTCGTCAGGAGCTCGGACATATCTGAACCGCAGCTCGGGATCGCTTTTCTTGGCTCCAATCTCAGGGCCTTGAAGTAGGTAATTCTGCCTGAGAATTTTGAGAAGGCCCTCATCGTCTTCGGCGAGGACCTCGGCCGTCTTTCCATCCTCCAACGTCACTCTCTTGTCTGCTCCATGCTGAAGCAAATATTTCACCAGGTTGTAGTTTCGAGATTTCACCGTGATGAGCAAAGGTGTGCAACCATCCTTGCCTTTGGCCTCGATATTGGCACCGCTCTCAATCAGAAATTTGACCACGGCATCATGTTCTTGCTCACATGCACGAATGAGGGCTGTTGAGTGATCCACCTCGTTGAAAGATTCGACTGAGGCGCTGCTCGCCAACAGCTCGACGATCTTCACGAATCCTTTCTCCGCAGCGATTAGTAAGGGCTTCCTTCCATCTTTAGCAGCGACTTCTAATAATTCTCCTTTCTCCATCAACTTGTTGACAAGTTCCCAGTCCCCATTTTCGACGGCAGCATGTAAAGGTGACCATCCATCGTCTTCTAGCTCTGTGGATTTGGGAACTCGTTCTGCGACCTCAGCTAAATTGGTCTGCTCTCGAGCAGCCTTTGACTCAAGATCAAGTCCTTGTTCCAATTCGATGGTTCTGAAAGTTGATCCTCCACCGAGTTGAATCAGCTCATCAGCTCGCTGGCTATCCGCTAGTTCTAAGCCCTGTGTCTGAAGAGCCAAGTCGATATCCCTCTCTGACACTGCAGCGTTAAAGTCTCTTGTAGACGAATCCAATTTGGACTCTCGGTCAATATCGATCCTCCCTTCGGTGGCAGGCTTGAGTGCATCCGCGCCGATCATTTCGACGGATCTTCGATCTTCTGGTGGTGGTGGCTCCAAAATGAAACTGATTTCGTTATCAACCAACAGTTGTTCCATCGTTCAATCCAGTGGTTCGAACCTATTCTTGCTCTCTTCATCTTCCGAGTTCCCAGCGCCTGAAGCCAAAGTCTCCCCTCTCTGGACTGATTCGTCGCTCTTGCCTATGCCGGCTTGTTCTGCAGAGGCAGCCGTCATATCTCCGATTTCGTCATCAGATCCGAGTCCCTCCGAAGTATGGCCCTGTCGATCCATTGCCTTGAGTTGTAGCTTGGGTTCGTGAGATCGGAAACTTTCAAAAGAACTAAGTGAAGTGGGGGACGCATAGTTGTATCTAATCAAGTGCATACAAATGAACACAAATTGAGACCAAATCGCAGGTCGAACGCAATTTTTAAAACGATGGCTGGTTTCTCCAGTGATCGCACTGCGGCTACCTCCACGTTGGGCTGTGAGGATAAGCGCTAGGCTTGATGAAGATCTCCGTCCTACCCTCCACCGCATACTTAAATTGCTCAGAGGATCAAGCTATCAGCTGCGAATTTCACTCTCCAGACATTCGTGGCCTTCTCCAGCAGCTATCACCCGAGCCTTGATATCGCATTAAAACTGCTGCCGTGGCAGCTATGGGACTGTTTGAATTTCTCCATTCCTTCTCACCTTTCTCAAGAAAGTCGAAGGAGAGCCCCGCGTCGCGGATCTCAAATGGGTCTCGCTCCGAGCGAGGCTCGCGGGGTACCCTTCCCTCAAACAGATCGAATGGATCTCAGCCCTCACGAAGATCAAATACTTCGCATCCGTCGCGCAGGTCAAATCGGGCCCGTCCTTCAGCACGATCGGACGCGTCAGCTTCAACCCATCTAATACGGAGGTCGTTCATGCGGCTTTTACCTTTCATCGGATATCATCATGTCTTAATGCTGTTGATCACCATTGGAATTGTCTTTTCTTGTGAGCTTTCCGAGTCTGCCGCAGCAGCAACTACTTTCCGAGACATGGAATGAGCCACTAAACACCATTCAGCTCTAATTCTATCTGGTTGTACAACGAATGGACTCCGAAATATTTATCTGCTCTCGTTGTCCTACAACAATCACAATGAGACGCCCAGTAGCAATGTGTCGGCTGTCCTTGCATCTGTCGTTGGTAACGGAACTAATTCTCTCGAAGTCCGTATTGGTTTTATTGGCACCTGTGTGAACTTGCGCTCGGAGTGGACCTGTTCGTCAAACATCAAAACAGTCGCCAGTAGAGTCTCTGAAGTAGCCAAGAGCAGCCATATGAATGCATCAGAGTCATACGACCCGCTTGGTCTAGTAAACGTTGCCAGGAGCTTCAGGGACGAGGTTGTCTTCGATGGACTTCTGTCAGTATTTCTCTACTACATAACACTCGTGTCTTTGGAAATCGCCTCCACTATCCTCAGATAAATCTAACCCCTCACTACTCAGGTTCGTGGCTGTATGCTGCAGTCTTATTGCCCTTTGCCTGTTGTCCAACTTTCCATCTTGGCACGAGGGTGGAAACGCACTGGAATCCAGTGAGCAGTCTTCCAATAGTGAAAGGACCGCTGGAAGGTTACAGATCTTTAAAAGCCAGTTTCGCGCACCCCTGTTACAGCAGGTAGTGCTGTGGTTTACCTTGGTTGCCGCCGTTATGTCATTGCTTTCGGTCTTCTGGCAGCACCTCGGAAGTGCAGGAGCGGCAACTATGGTCAGGGTTCTAACGGCCGGAACAATTAAGACACATCTTGGGTCTGTCATAATGGGACTGGGCTGGACAACAGTAGTCATTAATGTTGTGGTTTTTTTGGGGGTGCTTATAATGATACTCAGCATACGGGTCTTGTCGCAATTAGCAGATTGAGAAAGATGCATTCATTGTGGCGGACTCGCTTTTCTGCAGATAGTTTGAGGCTGGCACTATCAAGCAATACGATTATAAAGAACGTCTATAGGGTTCCAAGTCTTTAAACTGTAAAACAACATTGTCTGGTGTAGGCCTCATTATGAGACTATTTTGTCAGTGTAAAGTCTAGAAAAGACGATATCTACATGAGCAGAAAAGGTCTCACGAGTTCCTGTAGGGTGGCAGCGAAGCAAACCAATGGAAAAGCGCTAAGTGATGGTCGGAAATGCTGTCTTACCCACTGCGGGGGAAGGGGGGGGAAGGGCGGTGCGTACACTCCAAGGGTAAGCGCGACTTATCTAACGCATTATATTCAACAAATATCACCGTCGGGACCCTTCTCATCTGACGCCAGTAAGCAATGTTCACTGTATAACATTTCACCCCAATGCTACAGCATACCAAGACTATCACATTTATCCCATCAGACGATAGAGTGGCTTTTACTCTGCTCGGACCAAACCAAGTCATGCCTCACCATGATGCCCTCCATCGGGTAGGTCTCAGAGCTCATGTAGGTGGGACCGTTGTCACCCCGAGGGCTACTCACTTTGACGCGGTGGTTGTTAAGGTGCGTGCCCAGGGTCAGGGCATCTTCACTGTTATCAAGCCTCTCGAACGAGCCATCCACATTACCGAACTCCTTTTTGCGAGCGCTACTTCCACCCCTGAGAGGTGTGTCCCGCGAAATAGCATCCGTGTGGCTTTTGAGAGGGTCTCCATATCGTAGCTTGCGGTAGACAGGCACCAGTGTTGGCAGACTTGCGCCGATGATAGCCACGTAAATCTCCACTACTGTTGCAGTCCCCGAGACGACGAATTGCTCTGCTCCGGTTAGCGTATTTCCTTTGATTCACATGTCATCATCACAGCTTACTTGTGAAGTTAGTTATGCCCTCTTGCCAAATAAGAGCCGTGGAGACTGTGCGGACAAGGCTTGCCGCGAAAGCGCTGAGGAAGGTATGTTAGCATCAAACATCCCATAAAGTCGCAACGCGGAGACCCTACACGCTGCCCAGCAGGAAAACAATGCAAATATTGATTTTCCGCCGCGTTGTGGTCTGTAGCTTTACCACCTCGTGAATGGGTAGGGTGAGGGTAAAGAAGTCGATGATACAGTTGACTATCGAGTTTCCCAGGAAGCAGAGGATGGTGTCGAGACATTTTGTTGTCGACAGCGCCTGAAGCTCCACGAACCAAAAGGCTTTCAGGGGCTGGCATTGGGTGAGATTGATGATCATTACCGCAATGCACCACATGACACACATTGAACCGAGGATCTTGCAGCCCACTCGGACGGCTGTAGTTGGGAAGATGCGCCAATACAAGGCTAAGACAGACAGCTTCACCAATGGTGAGCTAAGGGTGTATGTAATTTCTGCGACAAAAAGGCCCTATTCTCCGCATATTAGCAGCCATATTGGGGAAAGAGCGTCATGAGTTCCGAACCTGGAATAGGATCACGACAGAATATGGATCCTCAGTTGATGTTATCCTCATATCTCGCCCAAGTCCTCCTTTCCTCACACAAACACACGAAGCCACCATTAGTGCATGGTGGGTAAGGAGTGCGGCCAGACATAGATAGTCGTCGGCTCCGATAGCCTGACGGGTCAGACTCCTGGCCCAAAATCGCAGGGTCACGACGATGGTAGTAATCAGTGCGAGAATATTAATAGTGATAAGTATGCCAAGACCACTGTCTGAGTAGTCGAGCGGTGGCTGTATCGTGGAAGTGTCCATTGAAGACATTTCAAGCCTGTGATCCGTAGTCACGATCTCACCAGCCGGACTTAATGGTGAGAGAAAAGAATGGGCGGGCGGCCATGCCGGGCCGTTGCGAGACCAAAGACAATTTAATGTGGGCTCACATGGGCGAAGGAGCACTTGAGGTCCCGTCAAGTCCAGATCCTTCCTGGATGCATCTCTTGAAAGTGCAGCCGTACCGTACCTAGCCAGTAATCTTGGGCTCGCTTAGCTGTAAAAATAGAGGATACTGAGAAGTCACATTCTTGATGGCATGATCTCAATTTTGGTGAGCGCTATCGTGAAATCGTCATGAGTAATCCAGACTCCTCATCGGCAAAATGTGGCGAGAGCGAACACTGCAAGGAGTTGTGATTGGTGGTGGCACAACATGAAGGAATAGGAGGATTCCGAGGCCCATTGTGCATGCATGAGCCACCCAGGGGACTCGTTACGGGCTTAATTGAGGCTCAGCTGCTCGACCATTAACGTTCAGTATCCTTCTTTCTACGGACATATTCTCATCCTGTTCACTTTGTATGCTCTCTACTCACACTGGCATCCACTTGTGGGCAGACTTCTTGACCGGCCGGGCACTCCTCCATTCAAGCCCCACACCACCCACCTACTCAGGTGCTAACAAGCATATTGGACACGTTCTTTGCCGGGAATGACTTGCTGACTTGCGTATAAGTCTTCCCAGAGCCGCCTGAAAACGCCGAGCCCACAACAATTAGAGGCGTCTAGTTGCCGAATGTCCCCAGCGCCGTCGTGACTTCAAAGACAGTCGCTCTTTAGGGCCTGTTAAGGTCGTAAACACCTCTCTTCGCGTGAACCATCCACTCCATTAGCTTTGACGGCAAGAGCCACAAGCTTAGATAGACCGAGCCTGCCATACCCCCGCGCCAGATCTGGCCACTGCGTCCGCTTATCGTGTCCTTGACCAAATTCCTCGCTGCAACCTCAGCCGACTCGTTGTTCAAGTTCAACTCTCCCCTGCTCTGTTTCGCGATTGTTTCTGCAATCGGCTCATATGGCGACCCCTCGGGCAGCTGGAAAGTTGGGGTGTTGGCATACATCTGCGTGCTGACCTGGCCCAACATGACTGTCAACACGCGCACTCCAAGAGGCTCCAGCTCGATACGCAGCGACTCAGAGAGGAATGATTCAGCTGCTTTGGAGCTGTTATAGACACCTAATGGCTCTCCAATCAGTCATCGATAATCTGGCTGATACTACTTAAGATAATAATGGACGGTCGAGCTCACCTTGCCACGCCACATTTGCTGCTCCCACGATGGAGCAAATGTTCACAATAGTGCCTTTGGACTTGAGCAGCAGCGGTGAGAAGACCTGGACCACGCTGAGTGTGCCCCAGACATTCACGTCGTACGTTGCTTTGGCCTGTTCTATCGGCGCGTGAAGCAACGGCATGGTGGTTCCGCTCCCGGCGTTGTTGACGAGCACGTCGAGTGTCCCACCTGTTTTGTTTTTCACCGTTTCGAAACAGGCGTCAATGGACTCTTTTGACGTAGTATCAAGGGGCAAGACTTCGATGTTCTCGTTCTCGCTGGCCAGAGAACCTGCTTTGGCAGGATTGCGCAAAGTGGCAAAGACGTGGTAGCCCTGCTCCTGGAAGGCTTTTGCAAGAGCAGCACCTAAGCCGCCTTCGCTGCAACCTGTGATCAGAACCGTTTTGAGGGCCATAATGAAAGTTCGATGATTGCAAGGAAGGTGAGGAATAGAAGGAACACAAACGTTGAGGCATGGAATTTGTAAGTAAAGCTAAAGACCTAAGCCATTGTAGTGGCTGGCTGATGAGCGGGGTATCCCGTTGGCCCAGGCCCTGTGCTGTCCATTCCTACTGTCACATAGTAACTGGGTACCTCGTGTTTAGTGGCGCACTGGCAAGTCTGGCTGCCCTGGACACAGGTCCCCTCTAGGGCCGAGGTCCTGTCAGTACAGTAGCAGTAGCAGCAAGGATCACCGCGTAAGACTCTAGTATGCTCACTTGGCTGATCCTACCGAGGTGCGTGCAGATCAGCAGCTCACACTTTCAAAAAGTTGTCAGTGAAAAATAAGAAGAAACACCATTCGAAGACTCGAGACTTGAGCACTACTTGAAGGCCAGGACTATGTATGTATATATATGCATATATATTACACACCAAACGACTACTCCAGGATAGTTACAAGCCTCTTTCCTGAGACTGAGCCGGACTTCAACAATCGCAAACCTTCCATAATGTCCTCTAAGCCATGGCCGGCCACCTCAGCCGGGTGTGGTTGGATCTTTCCATTGTCAAGTAAGTCCTGCATCACCCTGTACATATCTACGGCTAGGCGATGCATTTGCGCATTCGCCGGCCGCCCATAATCCCCACCAAGCTTGACCTCCTTTCCGAACGCCTCATGCATCATCACAAACTCGGCCTTGACGGCATCCCGCGTCCTCCATTCGGGCGGACAGCGCTCCAGGCTCGCGTAGCGTCCACCCGGCCGCCCGAGGGCGGCGTAGCAGCAGGTCACCGAGGCCTGGTCGGTGATGCAGTCGAGCGCGTGCCGCAGCCGCCCTTTCGTGTGTGCCCTGATCTTAGACCCGACCCCTTCCCGTGTGTAGTCGAACGCGGCGCTGGCGCCGAACGACTTGACCAGGTCGAAATTCCGGGGAGAGCACGTGGTGACGGGGTCGTAACCAGAGCTATACGTACATACCAGTCAGTCAAGGAGTAAGGGGGACTCACGAGGAAGGGACAGCCTTGAAAAACTCACAGCTTGAGCAACTGGATGGCCATGGTCCCGGTCGCCGTACTGCCGCCGTAGATCAGGACGGGGACAGGATCCGCGTCCTTCGCCGGACTAGCAGGCGATGCCTGGAGTTTCAGCGAGCCCCACAGCGCAAGGCAACTCGTGAGCAGTGGCGTCCCGAGGGTCGCGGCGCGGGCTGGGGCGATTCCGTCGGGGACACGGAGCACGAGGTCGGCCGGGGCGCGCACGTACTCGGCGAAGGAACCGGTGCCGGTGTCAGCTGGGTTTGAATCGTGCACCTGGCCGCAGACCAAGTCACCCACGCGCAAGCGCTGCCTCTTCGCCGTGCTTAGGTTACCATCATCATTATCATCACCGCCGTCGTCGCCTGCACCTGGCAATATGTCGACGACGCGCCCGGCGAAATCCCCGCCCACACTGGCGCCGGGACTGGGGAAAGCCGCACCCATCTTGTAGTCACTTGGCTTGAGTGCCACCGCCGTCGTCTTGACCAAGACATCGCCCGGCCTGAGTGCCGGCACGGGCGCGGCGGTTACTATGGTAGGCTTGCCTGTTGCGTCCTGGACGATGGCCCATTGCGTGGGCCCGACGGACGTCCGCGGTGGCGCTGACGACGACATGGTGCGTCTTCCAAGGTTTAGCACCGATGTTAAAGTTCGACGTCGCGTTTTTCCTACCAATTGCAAAGACAGATATTACCGCCCTGGTGTAAGGCGGAATCCTTCTCGTTCATGCAGCAATACGGCGGAACCGAGAAGTGCCGAAAATGATCGATGTGCTGACTGCATGTGCATTAAGTACTTGAATCCTTTGTACCTCACATATGCTACGTCGACTGTGTACATGAAGTACACCCGTACTTTTATCATGATAGATGGGACACGGCTTTTCAGTTGCGCTACTGTAGGGGCCTGCATTGCAACGTGGGGTCTGGAATACCCGCCACCAGGCACCCATATAATTAACCGAGCTTGTAGATCAGATGCTTGGCCTGATGTAACTTTGGTCGGTGCCGGGGACACCCTCTAAGCCCTAAACCGTCTTCAGCAGACATGCTCCACCAGATGTCACGGTCGTACAGCGACGTTGACATGGCATTTTCGTCAACCAAGTGAAACCTCACGTGAAAAAGCACTCGATTGATAAAATTGGCATCATGCTCATATGAGACCATGCTCGGAGCTGTGACTCGGTACGAGGCCACATCCACGAACAGTGCATATACTCGTCTCAGTTGCGAATTCGCAGTTATTGTTCCCCAGAAGTGCCATGGCCTCCTCCTCCTTGAGTAATTCGGGGCAGATGATGGAAGATGCCGTAAAAGACGGCGACACAGGGAAGACTGGAAAGACGGCAGAATCGACTATTCAGGCGCATGATGGCGCACCTGGATTTAAACTGAAGAATGACGACAGAAACGACGACAGCAGCATACAAGCCAAAGTAGTGATGTCCACCTTTGAGAACGGCCCCCGCTTCTGGGCTGTTATGACAAGCCTAGCCCTCACTTCATTCTTGGCTTCACTTGAAAATAGTGTCGTTGTTACGTCGGGCCCTGCCATCGTTGCTGACCTTGAGATGGGAGAGGAATATGTCTGGGTCGCGAATGCTTTCTTTGTGTGTTGGTAAGTTGTTCCCGAATCATAATCCGAGCAGCCGAGACACGATGAACGTACTGATGCTGTTTGTGATGCAGCGCTGCCGTCCAGCCCTTGCTCGGCCAGCTGTGCAACATCTTCGGGCGCCGATGGGTAATGATATGCGTCACGGCCTTGTTCACGCTGGGCTCCGGTATCTGCGGTGGGGCTACCAGCGGTGGCATGCTCATTGCTGGACGCGGCGTCCAGGGCGCTGGCTCAGGAGGCGTTGTCATGATTGCCCGTATGTTCCCAGATTTCATCGTCTCCTGTACTTAGTTATGACTTTTGTTGACACACGCCGACTGACAGATATCATCCTGGCCGATTTGGTGCCCCTACGTCAACGCGGGAACTATATTGCTATCCTGATGGCTGTGTATGGTATCGGTCTGACCATTGGCCCCCTTCTTGGCGGTGCTATTGTGGATTCGATCAGCTGGAGATGGGTGAGATGAACCCTTCAACCATTTTCTAGTACCTTTCAGCTAACAAAGATTGGCTCGTTAATTAGGTCTTCTACATCAATGTCCCCATCGGCGCCCTGGCGGTCGTCGTATTATACCTCCTCCTGCGCCTAAATCATAACAAAGCTACGACGCTGGGAGAGAAGATGAAACGCATCGACTGGGTCGGCAACAGCCTCCTCATAACGGGCACAATCGTCATGCTTTATGCCCTGACGTACGCCGGAGGCAAGTATACCTGGGCATCGTGGCACACACTGGTGCCCCTTCTCCTGGGTGTCTTCGTCGTCCTCCTTTTCGGCGTCTGGGAGGTGTATGGGCTCGCGTCCGAGCCAGTCATACCGCCACGGCTATTCCACCATCGCACGTCGCTCATTGTAGCGGTAAACACCTTCTTGTACTGGATGCTGGTTTACTGGGGCATGTATTTCCTCCCTCTGACTTTTCAGACCGTGTTCCTCTTCTCGGCCGAGCGCACGGGCGTGTCGCTGCTGCCCATGTCTCTCGTCTCCATCCCGGGCACCGCCCTGGCCGCCATGGCGCTGTCCCGCTGGGGAAAGTTCAAGCTGTTGCACCTCGTAGGCGAGGCTATCTTCACTTTAGGCCTGGGACTCTTTGCTTTGCAGTGGGAAGGGAGCACAACCGCCGAGTGGGCAACCTTTCAATGCGTTTGGGCTTTGGGCGCCGGTATGGTTATGGATACCCTGTTACCGGCCTTCCAGGCGCCAGTGCCTGAGTCGGATCAGGCTGCTGCTACAGCCACCTGGGCTTTCATCCGCACTGTTGGGGGTGTTTGGGGTATTGCTGTGCCCGCTACCATCTTCAACAACCGTGTTGATCAGCTGGCATATACCATCTCTGACCCGCACGCTCGCCAGCTGGTCTCCGCCGGTGGTGCATATCAGCACGCGTATGCTAGCTTCATTGAATCCTTCCCAGACCCTGTCAGTGGGGAGGTCCGGGCGGTCTACAGGGGGGCCTTGAAGCTCGTGTTTTTAGCTTCCGTTTGTTTTGGTGGGGTGGCTTTCCTACTTTTTACGTTGGAGAAAGAGCTGCCATTGAGGAAGTCCCTGGAAACGGAGTACGGTCTAGAAGACCCTCAGACGAAGGCAAGCGGCTCGGTCAACGCTGATATCGAAAAATGTCCAGAGTAGGGGGGTTTACAATTCCATAGTTCACAATAGCTGCATTAATAGACCATCTTTCATGCTCTCCGTATTTTTTGTTTTGTTAGTTTCCTAGTGTACCTTCTAATATAGCATTGCTGTTTCATTTCAGAATCCTCGATATCACGACTCAATGCTAGGCTCTGCATTTGCTGTTCGTGGTTGTCTAACTCAGAAAAGCGTTATACAGAGGAAAATTATCAGCCGTTCTTGTTCCTTGCTTAAGTGAACAAAATCACGGACATTTACTCAATTGCTAAACTCTGCTTTCTTTTCTAATTCAACTGTCATATAAGGCTACGTAAAGCAGTTCTATGAAGCCAAATATAATTCAACTATCACGGCAGGCTTTTCATGCGTGAGGGTGTTGCAAATCCCCAGATGTCTTCGGCAGCTCTTGAAGGCGCACAGGCCCAGCTAGTGATGGAATGTGCTAAACGTGCTCGTAAGTCTGCTCGATCTTGACAGTTCTCATCGGATATCCCATCGAGTCCTGTTGTGTGGCGTACAAACTATCGGGCTTCAGTGTCGAATTAGAGTTCCTCGCCCCACCAGATACCTCAATATCAACATAGCCTTGGCGACATTCTTGGCTCTTGTGTGAAGAAGCTTTGGTCTTGCTCCCACGACTTGAGAATCTAGAGGCCAGTCGGGAAAAGAACTCATTCTGCGTAAAGAGTGGCTTCAAGGTGATCGCACAACAGCAAATCACACTGCAGGCCTGTTGAACCGTGGACCATAGCCCCATCATTATTTGATTGTCTGGAAACAAACACTCCGAGGTTAGCCTTGTCCCGCTCGATAACATGGTGGGCATTGAGCTCTTACGGATGGTCACGTTGAATGCCAGGCCAATTTTGATGAAACCGACCGCTCCAGCACTATTCAAGATTAGTAAAGCTCTCGGCTGCGGGAGGAAGTGGTGATGAGGTTTGCAGCAAGGAGATCTTTCGAAAACTTACAAAGCTCCGAGAATGAAAATGAACGACAGACTCAATTTTGTGCGCGCACTCGTTTGAAGTCCACGAAGCATGAGAACGGCGAGGAGAGCCATGGAGAAGTCGATGACCGAGTTGATACTCTCGGCTCCAGCCAAAAATGCGCCGACGTTAATGCACCAACCATCGGTTAGGAGAATGTCCCAATACCTTTGAACTGGCCGACACTGGAATGCATTGACAATTATGACGGTGATCGAATAAGCCAATTGAACGAGGCCCAGAATCTGGATCCATATAGCATGAGATCGTTTGACGCGAAAAATACGATGATAAAAAAAGAGAATGCTGTATTTGGCCGTCAGCTGGTTTACTGGGAATATGAATCCCATAGCCCACACCATCTGCAGACTTGTTAGCACGCTTGGATTTATTTACTCGCTGAGCATAAAACTCAAAATGTTGTGTGCAGGTCTGTAAAGCAGGAAAGTGGTACGATCATACCTTGAGAGCCGACTTGGCCTCGTCGATGGGAAGCTGTATGAAGTCCGAACGCCCATTGAGATGCTTGAGTACTGCGTTGTTCATTAGCCTTACGAAAGAAACGAATACCAGATTTTGGAACATTCAGCGCACCGAAAGCAGAAGAGATGGCCCAGGCAAGGAAACAGAGCAGAGAGCCCAAAGCCATCCAGTCTTCAACAGCAACTTTCCTCCCCGTAAGCTGCGAAGCGCGAAACCGCAAACATGTGACCAGGATGCATATAGGCGTGAATACGATGAGTAGGAAGAAGACCGCAGTCTGTTCCTTGTTTTCAAAGATGTTAAAGGCCATCTTTAGTTTGCTTCCAGACAGTAGCTCGTGGAAGGATTGGACGCAATTAGCACGATCTTGCGTCGGCTGGGTGTGTATGTCTTTTGAAAAACTGTTGAACTCGAAGCCGCCTGTCTAGTTGAAGTCAGATGGGGGCCAGACTTTGATACTGACGGCCGCTCGAGTAATTATTTTCCCGCGGAATTGTACTAGACTGATCTGTCATGACTGCCTGATTCTACGTAGCAAGCGATCTACAATCATGAGTGTGTGCACCTCAGCTTCCCCCCACCTCCTCAATCTTGCCATTTCTGTGGACATTTTGTCCCTGCGAAGTTGAAGGATTTCACCCCGGGAATGCTACCACATAATCATGTAACTAGCTATACATAGGTAAGACCAGTCGCATGGCGACGTGACGAGAACCATCTGCCGCGTTGCGACCATCCTGCACACCATGTCAGATCCTTCGCGTTTAGGGTGCATCAAGTGGCTTACCATGGCTGAACGGCCCGATGATACTCTGTCGGACCTGCGCCCATTCAGCTAAGGCCACCTCATACGGGCACCCACTTTTTGCTGACATCGTCCTTTGCCTGTCAGACTTGCTGCAACATCTACGAAGTACTCTACATTTATCACTGCACTATAGTCTACCAGCCAGCACAGCCCTCTTCCAGCATACTTTGTGCTTCCACGTTTGAAAATGCATGGTTACGGTATCTTAAATGTTCTCGAACAGGGTGCCCGTCACCAATCGCCCCCCATCAAGTCACTCACATCAATAGATGGCAGCCTGCTATACGGCGCCACCCGCCGCTGGACAGGTGACAGATCTTAGGGCAGCTGGGATACCGATCCTTACCGCGACGCCACTACGCTACTACATGTCCCTAAATCCTGCGGCCGACTGACATTTTTCCGAGAGAATGCAATTGGCCAATTCATTCTCCCAGTATTGTATTTTTCCACTAAGAAGTCCAAGTGGGGAAACATACGTAAGGAAGAACAGCGAGACCGCTCTAGCTTTCTCGCAGACCTGTGGATTTTCCAGCCAGTTACTATGGGACAGGAAACTCCTTCCAAAAGCGTAACTTTATCGCCGATAAGTCGATCGTTGGATTCGAAACCTTGCAAACTATGGCCTGTGCCGAAATCTCCTGCAGTCGATCAGCTAGTCGACTATTGTTATAGCCACGAAAGGCGTGTCGATGGGTATGATCGTGAGCCGATGATCTCTACAAGAGTACTATGGAGGGTCCCCCCTTTTATTGACCCAGCTTGCCAATGAACCGCATTTAGGCCGCCGCTATTTTCTAGGTCCACATGTGATCTTGGACAAATTTTTGGCCCGCAACCAATCGACTTACCGCAATAAACGCGATGGTAACGGCTTTGCTACTTTCCGGGTTAAAGCTGAGCTGCCTAAACGCCAAACCATGTCCATTGATAGAACGTTTCCGATCACCCGGCCAGCCGGCATGGGGGGCTTGGTGGACGACCAGAAACCTTATCGGTGAGTTCGATCGGCGCTTCTACGTCGGCCAGACTTCTCGTCTGTGCTCTTACCTCAGCAGCTGAACAACCCTTAAACTTGACCCCTGAGCACTAGGTTTCTATGGTACTTTGCACATGTACCCATCTCAGTACATATCACACAAGTACTAGGAAATGCCATGGCATCAAGACGTAATCGGAAATGAGGTAACGGGAGTGGCACTGCTATCCAAATCAAGACAGGAGGTGGATCACACCTCGGCTGTCCTCGAGTTGAGATCTTTGAGAAAAACATCTAGACTAATATGCCCAATGCATCTTTTGTGTAGCCCATTGTGTTCGAATAATCGTTCCAGCCTCTCATGTCAAATTGGTTGACTCTCGGCAACTAGCCCTATGAATTTCCAACGAAGTCGCCATCATGAGCACCTCAGAACCAATCGCCATCATCGGCAGCGGTTGCAGATTTCCCGGCGATGTGACGACGCCCTCGAAACTGTGGGATGTGCTCCACGAGCCGCAAGACCTTCTCACTCCCATTCCCAGAGATAGGTTTAATGCGAAAGGTTTCTATCATCAAGCAGGAGACCATCATGGCCATACCAACGTCACCCAGGCCTATCTTTTATCCGGTTACCGCCGCTTTGATGCACAATTTTTCGGTATCAACCCGGCAGAGGCCAAAGTCATGGACCCTCAAATGCGGCTCTTGTTAGAAACAGTATATGAGGCTCTAGAAAGCGCCGGCCAGACCATTCACGATCTACATGGGTCCGATACTGCCGTATATTCTGGTGCAATGACAAACGATTACGAGCACAGCATGGGTCGTGACCAAGATTCTATAGGCACATATCATGTCACAGGAACAGCCCGCGCACTCTTGTCTAACAGAATATCCTATTTCTTTGACTGGCGCGGTCCTTCTGTAACACTCGACACGGCATGTAGCTCTAGTCTCTATGCTGTGCATTATGCTGTGCAACAGCTCCGGTCAGGGGCGTCTCGGGTGGCTGTTGCCACAGGCGCCAACCTTTTACTTGACCCAATGGGATTTATCAGCGAGAGCAAGTTGAAAATGCTTAGTCCAAATAGCAGGTCACGCATGTGGGATGCGGCTGCAGACGGCTACGCGCGCGGAGAAGGCGTCGCCGCTATCGTCTTGAAAACACTAAGCGCGGCTCAAGCTGATGGAGATGATATTGAGTGCATCATTCGGGAGACAGCCGTCAATCAAGACGGAAAAACGCGGGGAATCACGGTGTAAGCGAATCCTTCCGACTGGATCCATCCATCTATCTGTACCTAACATTGACATCTGCTAGGCCAAGTGCAGAGGCTCAGGCGAGCATGATCCAGGACTGCTACCGCCGCGCCGGGCTTGATATATCTAACGCGACCGATCGTCCTCAATATTTTGAGGCCCATGGGACTGGGACGCCGGCAGGAGACCCGGTTGAGGCCGAAGCTATCCACTCTGTTTTTGGGGGCCGACATGACAACAACAGCCTAGTGTCGCCGCATACAGAACGGGATCGCCATGCAACAAGCCCACTCTACGTTGGTGTACGTTCTCCCGCACGATCCTCTAATTGTAGTAAGCCGACATGTTTGCTGATACTCCTTATCGGAATGACAGAGCGTGAAGACAGTGATAGGCCACACTGAAGGCACGGCTGGTTTAGCTGGCCTTTTAAAGGCCTCGCTGGCAATCCAGCACGAGATCATCCCGCCAAACTTATTGTTTGAGCGTCTGAATCCTCGAATAAGACCTTTTTATCAGAATGTCTCCGTTCCCACATCGCCCATCTCTTGGCCGTCGGTGCCACACGGCCATCCCCGTAGGGCAAGTGTCAACAGGTAAGCTCCACTGATTGATTGATACCATATTGCCCAGATATTCTCCTGCCTTCACGTTAACGGCTCGTTGATGCTAAAACCCCCGCAGCTTCGGCTTTGGCGGTGCCAACGCCCATGCGATCCTCGAGAGCTATCCCCAACACCGGGAGGAGCAGCTGCCGGCTCAGCTGCCGGCTCACTCGGAGCCCATAGTCTTCCCGTTCATTTTCTCTGCGGCTTCCAGGGACTCATTGCTTGAATACCTGTCGTCCTTTGCCACCTATCTCTTGGATGACGGAGCAAGGGTCAGCATGCAAGACTTGGCTTACACGCTGAACTCGCGACGCACACGTTTTCCCTTTGTGGCCGCTTTCTCGGCAGCGACAAGGGAGCAGTTGGCAACGATGATCAACAGCAAGTTAGGCTCTGTAAAGCACGATGCGGAAGACGACTTTGTGGTTCGAGTGCAGCAAGCTCATCACAGCCCCAAGCCCCGTATTCTCGCCGTCTTTACAGGGCAGGGTGCTCAATGGCCTCGTATGGGCGCCGAGCTGGTCTCGACATCCGCCTCTGCACGCCGGGTGCTGAACAAGTTGGAAGCACGGCTAGCTCGTCTTCCTACACAGGATCGCCCTTCCTGGTCTCTAACCGAGGAGCTTCTGAAGCCAGCGCACTCTAGTAATATTGGCACAGCAGCCGTCTCGCAGCCCCTGTGTACGGCCATCCAGATTATCCTTGTGGATCTCCTACGAACTTCCGGAGTAGAGCTGAGCTCTGTGCTCGGTCATTCGTCTGGCGAGATCGCAGCAGTCTACGCCGCCGGTCTAATCTCAGCGGAGGACGCAATATGTATCGCCTACTACCGTGGATTGTGCACCGAATATGCACAGGGGCCCGAGGGACAGCCAGGCGCGATGATGGCAGTGGAAACATCTCCCGAAGATTTCCTAGAGCTTGTTCAAGAGCCCGAATACCGCGGTCGCGCGTGCATCGCAGCCATCAACGCTTCGTCTAGTATTACCGTATCCGGCGACGCAGACACAATCGACGAGCTAGGTGTCGTGTTAAAAGATGAAGGTAAATTCGCTCGACGCCTGAAGGTCGATAAGGCATATCATTCTCACCATATGAACCCATGCTCGGCAATATACCTCTCATCTTTGCGACAAACGGGTATCCAAGTTGCCGGAGCCCCGTCCTCTCAGTGCACTTGGTTTTCCTCGGTCTATGAGCATGGCATTATCAATTCGGCGAATTCCCTGCAGGGTCCGTACTGGGACGACAACATGCGGAACCCGGTGCTCTTCAAGCAGGCCGTCGAGCGTGCATGCGGTGATGCTGGCCCGTTCGATCTTGTCGTGGAAATTGGACCGCATCCAGCGTTGAAAAGACCTGTTCTCCAAACGACTGGCCCTGTTCCGTACACTGGGCTTCTCAAGCGGGGAGCAGGAGATCTCGAGTCTCTCGCGCATGGTGTTGGATACATCGCAGCGCACCTTGCAAAACATTTATTTGATCACCAAGCATACGAGATGTTTGTGTTCGGAACGTCTAGTGCAAAGTTGGTCAAAGAGCTCCCACCGTACTCGTGGAATCATGAACACGAGTACTGGCACGAATCTAGATATACAAGGGCTGTCCTGAACCGATCCCAACCTGTGCACGAACTGCTTGGGCATCTGTCCCCCGATTCCACGGGACACGATATGCGGTGGCGGAACTTGCTTCGGCCCCAAGAAGTCACTTGGCTGAAAGGCCATCAGCTTCAAGACCAGATTGTTTTCCCGGCTGCTGGCTATATTGTGACGGCGTTGGAGGCTTCTCGGACCCTGTTCAAAGAGTCTCCTGCATCTTTCATCGAACTTTCCGATGTTGAGATTAGTCGAGCATTGGTATTTGATTCTACAGAGTCGAGCGTGGAGATTGTGTTCTCTCTGAGCGACATCCAACGTCAAGACGACGAGGTGATTACAGCAAAATTCAACTACAGTGCATCCACGGGCAGAGAACGTGGCGATGCACTTGACTCGCTTGCCAGCGGCAATATTTACATATCCCTCGGCGACTTTTCGCCTATGGCTCTCCCAGCGAGGAGTCCTCGTTCTCCAAATCTCATTAGATTGAAAGAAGACGACTTTTACAGCTCACTTGGCAAATTGGGCTATCAGTATTCCGACTCGTTTCGTTCCTTGTCGGGCTTGAAGCGGAAGCTTGGTCGATCCACAGGATTGATTTCAGACGTCGAGGGGTCACAGTTACTTGTCCATCCAGCAGTGTTAGATGGAGCCTTCCAGTCCGTGCTCCTATCATCCGCTGCCCCAGATGATGGCACGCTCTGGTCAATGCATGTACCTGTCAGTGTTCGGCGTATTAGGGTAAATCCAGGATTATGCGCCGAGGAGATGTCTAGGGGGCAGTGTTTATCTTTCGATGCCTTCAGGCCGGATGGGGTAAATTCGATTTCAGGAGACGTGGATGTTTTCCCGACAAATTCCACACACGCATTGCTCCAGGTGGAAGGACTAGAATGCATTCCACTTTCACCGGCTACAGCAAAAGACGACAAAATCCTGTTTTCCTCGACAGTCTGGGGCCCTGCGTTTCCAGATGCCGGGAGATTTTGCTCCAACAACCTGGAAATGCAGCGCCAGTACGCATTCGCTCATCAGCTTGACCGTGTTGCCTGCTTCTACTTAAGGAACATGGAGCAGAGTGTGGCATCTGATCACCCGTCCAGGAGCGATGGTCCCTACAAATCATTTTTCAAGTTTGCCGCTCATACTATCGCTCGAACCAGAAGTGATGAATGGGCCTTTTGGAAGCCGGAATGGGAGAATGACACAACAGAAACGATTGCAGAAGCTTGTAGACCATACGCCAAGACCGTCGACGTTCGTCTGCTATGCGAACTGGGTCAAAGACTTCCAGACATAGTCACGGGAAAAGCTCCAGCTATTGAGATAGCTGTGAGGGACGGTATGTTGACCGAATACTACCAGAAGGCTCTTGGAGTGGACGAATATGCAACATTCCTTGCACAAACGGTGAAGCAGATTGCTTTCCGGTTTCCTCAACCCCGGTGTCTAGAGATAGGAGCAGGCACTGGAGGAGCCACCAGGGCTATATTCCGGGAGACAGGCCACGCCATCTCTTCATACACGTTCACCGACATCTCGTCCGGCTTCTTCGAGGCCATGCAAACCGAATCCGGAATCCACGCCAACCGCATGCTCTTCAAAGTACTTGATATAGGTAAAGATGTCTGTTCTCAAGGCTTTGAGAAGCACTCATACGACTTAATCGTGGCGTCTATGGTATTGCACGCCACGCCTTCCCTGGCCACCACGTTGAGTAACATTCGTTCTTTGATCAAGCCTGGTGGCTATCTTGTTGTTCTAGAAGTTCAAAACGTCGAGCGCGCGCCAGCTCGCTTGGGAACCGTCTTTGGCTCGTTTCCTGGATGGTGGGAAGGCTCCGACGAAGGGAGAGATTTGTCTCCTGCCGTCAGCCTAGCGGACTGGGACAACTTGCTGCGCAAAGCACGGTTTTCTGGCATTGACACTTCGACACCAGATCCAGCCCCTTTCGTTCAGCCAATGACACTTTTTGTTTCGCAGGCTTTGGATGAGAAAGTAGAGTTCCTTCGGGAGCCGCTTGCCCGTTCTACGGAGTCTTTTGGTCCAGACGCCATCATCCCAGACCTCGTCCTCCTTGGCGGCAGCAAGGTCGAGACTTCTGCACTGATAGCACAGCTGCAGGACATATTCCGCCAAAATTGTGGAACTGTCAAAACCGCTAGGACACTGGCAGACCTTCAGCTCACAAGCATATCTTCGAGCACGACCGTGCTTAGTCTCGCCGAGCTGGACGGACCAGTCTTCCTAGATCTGACAGAGTCAAAATGGAATGCCTTCAAATCTGTCTTTCAAGAGGCTGGTTCAGTCTTTTGGGTGACTAATGGACGCCGCATTGGAAATGCACATGCGAATATGACAGTTGGGCTCCTTCGGTCTGCTCTAAATGAGCTTCCGGGACTTGATGTTCAGTTCCTCGACTTTGAACTGCCCCATCTGTTGGATGCTAGCACTCTCGGAAAGGCCTTGCTTCGATTCAGGGCGGCGACTGTCTTAAAGAGAATTCATCCTGATGCATACTCACACGTCACTACCGAGCGGGAATTCGTCATCGAGAAGGACGGTCAGGTAGTCGTGCCTCGTCTGGTAGCAGAAAGCTCGATGAACAACCGTTACAACTCGTCTCGACGCTCAATCTCGAGAGAATGCAGCGCCCATGAGGGGCATATTAGCATTGAAACGGTCGGCAGTAGCTACTTCATCCGGCAAGATGTCAACGTAAAAGCCGGACTGAGGGGTACCGAGCGCAAAGGACGAATTACACACTCACTCTTAGAGCCCACGAAGCTCACCGGACGTTGTCGCCTATTCTTAGCTCTTGGAAAGCTTCTTGACTCTGAGGATCAGTTCCTATCCTTATCGACGAGCAATTCCTCGGCCATCTCACCAGAGACGCTATTGACACAGTCGGTTGATGTACCATCTGGCTCTGAAGCACGCTTTCTCCAGCTTGTGAGCCTGCTGAGTCTGTGCTGGGAGGTTGATCGAGGGTTGGAGGAAGGAGACCGTGTCTTGGTCCACGAACCAAGTCCCGACCTGATTCTGGTCATGAGGCATGTCGCCCGAGCCAGAGGCCTAGCTGTGACCTTTACGACAAGCCGCAACGACTATCTGCAGGACTGCTATAAGATACATCCCAACGCACCAGAGCGCATTTTCGGAACCTTCGCCCCGAGCTCATTAGCCGTATTCGTGGATTTCTCTTCAAGCACCAATATCGGGAAACGGATTCGCTCGCAGCTTCCCCACTCCTGCAAATGCGAGACCAGACAGACTCTGTTCAATAAGAGTACGTTGGCGCCTTCAGCGGCGCGATTAGAGAGGGTGCACTGCTTTTTGAGAGATATAGCTCGTGAAGCCAGCCGTGAGCTCGACACATTCTCGGGATTGGAGCCCCAAGTCGTGAGGCTCGATGATGTCTCCCAAAATGACTCCCTGCTCTCACCGCAGTCTGTCGTCGACTGGACTAGGAATGACAAGGTATCGATTGAAGTCCAGCCTGTCGATTCGCATCCAATTTTTTCAAGCTCGAAGACCTATTGGCTCGTTGGGTTGACTGGCAGTCTCGGGCTCTCCCTTTGCCAGTGGATGGTTCATAGGGGAGCGCGATACGTCGCGATATCGAGCCGACACCCCAATGTCGATGAGTCTTGGCTGAACGAAATGGCTTCTTTTGGAGCCGAAATCAAGGTCTATTCGAGGTATAGTTGCTTTCTCTCATTTTCGTCTTGTTTTGGAATGGATGACTGATGTGACGAATCTAGCGATGTCACAAGAAAAGACGACGTAGTCACACTACATCGAAAGATCTGTCAAACACTACCTCCCATCGCCGGAGTCGTTCAAGGCGCCAGTAAGATAAAGAAATTTGTTTTCCCTATCGCGCATACAGAACTGACAAATAATTGCCGTCAACTCAGTGGTCCTCAGTGATACCCATCTTAGCGACATGAGCCTCGACACACTGCTCCAGAATACTAGGCCGAAGGTAGAGGGGAGCATCTATCTGAACGAATTATTCCTAAAGGATGTCCTGGACTTTTTCGTGTTCTTGTCTTCGGCGTCTATAGCCAGTGGCACACCTGGACAATCCGCTTACGTAGCCGCAAACATGTTCATGGTCGGACTCGCCCAGCAACGGAGACGACTCGGCCTGGCGGCTTCCGTTATCAATATTGGCCCCATAGCCGGAGTTGGGTATCTGGCTCATCAGCAAGAGCACTCGTTCGCAGCTATGAAGGCCTCTATGGGATTTGAGTATCTATCCGAGCGAGACTTCCATCAGATGTTTGCTGAGGCTGTTTTGTCCGGCCGTCCTCAGTCCACCAGTTCTGTGGAGATCACGAGCGGCATCAGATTCGTAAGCTCAAACGAACAGTCCCCGCCGATATGGAGCTCAAATCCAATGATGAGTCACTTTCTTTTGAGAGAGGAGGCCCCGGTCAACGGTTCAAGTGGAATTAGGCCCAAGGCGCATCTGAAATCACAACTTCTCAGCGCACAGCATCGTGACGAGGTTGGTCGCATTGTCCAAGAGGCTTTTCTCGAAAAGATTGGTACATGGTTTCAATTTGACGCCAGTAACGTGAACCAATCGAGGCTCGACGCCACTCGTTTGGATGAAATCGGCATCGATTCACTCATAGCCATTGAGATCAGCTCCTGGTTGATGAAGAATCTCCAGTTCAACCTTCCGGTCCTCAAAATTCTGAGCGGCATATCCATTGGCGAGATCATAACGGCTGCTATCGAAGGCATTTCCACGGATTTAATCCCCAATGTACAACAACAAGCAATCCCAATTACTGTTGAAGAAGTCAAGGTTGCAGATTCAGAGTCGATACATGGTTCAGAATCTTCGTCCCCAAGCAGCGCCGGCATCTATGACTCCGATGGGGAGGCTCAAACCAGTGTAGACTTACCGGAACCAATTTCTGCAGTCGACATACCAGAGAGCGAGAGCTGGGGACCTATGCCTCTAACTTCAACGAAGTTATCTGCCGTTCAATCAATGTTCTGGGTGAATTCAACCCTGTTCGATAACAAAGCGTCTCAAAACTTTGCTGGGCTGGCGCGTATTACCGGGCCCGTTGATGTCAACCACCTCAAGAAAACAGTCTGGGCCCTTGGACAGCGACATGAGTCCCTGAGGACATGCTACTTCCTTAAAGAAGGGATCATGATGCAGGGTATCATGGAAAGTAGCGCTCTGCGACTGGACGCCCGCGAGATATCGGACGAGCGCGAGGTTATGCGGGAGACCCGAAGGGTTGAGGAACACAACTTCGATCTCCAGAGAGGCGACACTCTGCGACTCGTATTACTATCAATCTCGCCCACGCGTCACTTCCTCATTCTTGGCACAACCCATCTCGCAATGGACGGCTTTTCGTTCCAAGTCATCCTACGGGAACTACTGCCACGCAATAGCACGGAGCTCGAGATTCAAGAACCACTACAGTACCGCGAGTATTGCCAAGCTCAAGAACGTGACCTGGACTCTGGTAAACTTCGAGATGCACTTGCGTTCTGGAAAGCCCAATATCTCGATCTTCCACCACCACTACCTATCCTCCGTGTCTCGCGCGCCTCTGCGCGTCCCACGCTAGCTACATTCAGCGACGACAAGGTCGAGATCAGGATCGATGCCGAAGCCAAGTCGCGGATTGGAGCAATCTGTCGCGAGTTCAGAGCTACCCCATTTCACTTTTACCTCGCTTGTTACCGGGTCCTTTTGGCACGGTATGCTGATGCGGAAGATGTCGCGATCGGGATCGAGGATGCCAGTAGAAGGGATGTCCAAACATTGGGCGCTGTCGGAGTGTTCCTCAATGTTTTACCGCTCCGTTTCAAGACCAGTCTCTCTACAGGATTCGCGGATATGTTGCAGGAGACACGTTCGATGATGCACGCGGCGTTAGAAAACGCTCAAGTGCCGTTCCCTGTTCTTCTAAACGAGTAAGCATTGGACTTCTATACTTCGCCTGATGAAGATACTGACAAAGTAGGTTGGATCCTCCGAGATCAGCTACGTATACACCTATTGTTCAGACAACCGTCAACTATAGGTCGGGTCAGCGTCTGAAGGATACTTGGAGTGACTGCGAACTTGAATTTGAGCCTCTCAGGGTCTCTACGACTGGCTATGATCTGAACCTCGACATTATCGACGATCCTGACGGAGGCTGTCTGCTCAGTCTTATTTTCCGTGACGACTTATACCAAAAGTCGGAAGCGACGATATTGATGAAGAGTTACGAGAACCTTCTCAACGCTTTCAGCACCAAGCCACAAGCGGAACTGACCAAGCCCAGTCTGTTCGAAAGTCACGATGTGCGGAGAGCTTTGACACACGGTCATGGTGAGCCCCCTGCTTCTCGTCGTATAAACGCATGCATGCTAACAATGCGGCCAGGTCCACTACGCGCTTCAGATTGGCCTGAAACAGTAATTCACAGGATCCAAGACGTTTTTGAAGCGTGCCCCGACGATATTGCAATTAAGGGCGACTCGGGAAAGTCTACTACGTACCGCGAGCTGTCCAAGTTGTCTTCCTCCATTGCCATGGCGATGATTGGAGCTGGGGCGTCAAAAGGCTCCAAGATCGCGGTACTCCAGGAGCCAACCCCCCTTTGGATTGCGTCCATATTGGCAATCATCGGGATTGGAGCAGTCTATTTGCCACTCGATCTGTCCTTGCCCTGGACCCGGCTTGCTGCGATTGCAAAGGATTGCCAGCCTCAGCTTGTTTTGGTGGACGAGGTTACCACAGAGCACGCCCATGAGTTACAGCTGTATGACATTCCCTTGATTGACGTGTCGGTTGTGGATCTGAAAGAAGCAAAAACTCCAATTGCAGCGACAGCGACCGCCCCCGCTATGATTTTCTATACGAGTGGTTCCTCAGGAGTCCCAAAGGGCGTCATTCAGACTCATGAGGGTATTCGAAACCATATGGAGTTAACGGAGGAGACTTATCATGTGGGCTCCGAGGTCGTTCTACAACAAAGTGCGTGTAGCTTCGATCTATCTTGCGCGCAAATTTTCACAGCATTATGCTATGGCGGTAGCATCTACATCTTGCCAAGGCACCTCCGGAGCGATTCACGTACTATTGCCGACTTGATAGTCCAGGAAGGCATAACTTACACATACGGAACCCCTTCAGAGTATTCTAGTTGGCTTAGACATGGAAAGCTCGATTCTCTCCGACACTCATCTTGGCGGAGGGTTCTGTGTGGCGGAGAACCGGTCACCAACGATCTTTTGACGCAATTCAGAGATATGCAGAAGACCGACCTTCGATTTTTCAATTGCTACGGGCCTACAGAGACGACAATTGTAGCCGCCACCGTGGAACTCAATTACCAATATCAAGATCATCCCACCATTGCCAATGGTATTTCTGCCGGCTTTGCTTTACCCAACTATACACTCTACATCGTTGATTCGGATCTCAACCCTGTAGCCACGGGAGTACAAGGCGAAATCTATATCGGTGGAGCAGGTGTATCTCCAGGCTATCTTCATAACCCTGCGTTGAACACTGATGCATTCGTTCCGGACCCGTTTGCCCCGAGTGAATACAAGGCCAAAGGATGGACGACAATGCATCGCGTCGGAGATGTCGGCCGTTGGAAGGAAGACGGCTCCATCCTCGTCGAAGGCCGCATATCAGGCGACACACAAGTGAAGCTACGGGGCCTCCGAGTGGATTTGCGGGAAATCGAAAGCAACCTCCTGAAGGTAGCCGATGGCATCTTGTCTGAAGTCTCAGTGTCGGCCCGTCGCTCATCACCTGAGTCTCCGGAGTTTCTTGTAGCGCACACGGTTCTTGACCCGGCAAGGGCAAGCGAAGGACACGAAAGATTTTTGCGCTCTCTGCCTGGTTTACTTCCGTTACCCAGGTACATGTGTCCCGCCATGGTCATCCCTGTCGAGCAGATGCCCAGGACAAGTACCTCAAAGCTTGACCGCAGGGCCCTTGCCGCATTGCCATTGCCAGACCTTACTGCACACGAAGATGGAGACCACGCCGAATTGACACAGACAGAGGCTCAACTAAGGGAGATATGGCAGGAATCCATCCCGAAGCAAATTACTGCCATGCACGACATAACTCCCAGTACGGATTATTTCCACGTTGGTGGTACATCATTGCTTCTTCCTTACTTGCAGGCACAGATTCTGGCCAAGTTCGGTATCAGACCTCCCGTGATAAAACTGCTGCAATTCAGCACTCTTGGTGGCATGGCAAGCTTGGTCGAGAACCGCCCACGGATATCTAGGGAACCAACCGTCAACTGGGAAGCTGAGACTGCCCTATCTCCAGCCATATTACGATCACTCGACAAGGCGCAAGACGTACTAAGCAATTCCAGCGATCCCAGCATCGTAGTGCTCACTGGTAGCACAGGTTACCTGGGCCGCGCCATCCTGGACGCCCTCATCGCCGACGACGGAGTGGCTATGGTGCACTGTATAGGAGTGCGCAATGCAAGCAGTCGACACGACATGCTTAGCCTGCCCAAAACTCAGTTATATGATGGTGATCTCAAGCTCCCACGGCTTGGCCTGACAGAGGAAGACGCGGGAAGCATCTTCGCCCAAGCCAGCCACATCATACACAATGGTGCCGAGGTTTCTCACCTACAGTCGTATGGCTCCCTCCGACTCCCAAATCTGCAATCAACAAAGGAGCTAGTGGAAATGAGTCTACCGCGTCGGATCCCGGTGCACTTTGTGTCCTCGACGCAGGTAGGCCTGTACTACGCCACGGGCACAGGCCGCCGCGAGTTCCCCGAGGAGTCGGTGGCGGCCTACCCGCCCCCTGTGGATGGGAGCGCCGGCGGTTATCCAGCGACCAAGTGGGCGAGCGAGCGTTTTTTGGAACGGCTGGCAGATTCGTCCCCCAGCGGCTGGCCCATTTTCGTCCACCGACCCTCTACCATCTTGCGCCCGCCCGGCGACCTGGGACTGGACCTGCTTGCGAACCTCCGCCGCTGGTCGGCCCAGATCAACGCTGTGCCCGTGGCGCCCAACCTGCACGGTTACGTGGACACGGTCGAGCTGCAGCAGGTCGTCTCGGGCGTCGTGAGTGCGCTACATGGATCCCATGCTGGAGAGCCAGGTATTCGGTTTCACCAATATTTCGGCGCGATGGCTATCTCGTTGGATGATCCGAAGACGTTGTTGCTCGGCGTCGAAAGGGCCGGGGAGGGTCCGCCTGAGGAGCTAATGGCGTTGGAGTGGGCGGCGAGGGCGAGAGCGGAGGGCTTGGATCCGTGGCTGGAAGAATGGATTGAGGATGTCCTTCGGCAAGGAGAGCAGGTCATTCCGAAAGTCGTGAAGTAGATTTTCTCTGTCGTTTGTAGAGGTGATAAACCCAGAGGGCACCAGACGGTAGCTTTATATCACGAGCCATAATAGTTTCATGTAGATTCATTCTGTTAAACCAACAAGGTACAATTGTTTTTAGTTTAAGGTTTATCAAGATTTAATGAAGTATGGACTGACTTTTGAAGAATGTTCTTTCATGTGTCTCGGCTTTGGCTCATGCCAATCTTGACCACAGCATTGCATCTTACGCTTTTGAGCAGGCACATTATTATAGTAAATTGTACTATTCCTGAATCAGTGTAGAAAGTGTGGCCTATCAGACTGATAACAGGTTTTCTTTTCCTTGGAATTCATAGTTGTTCTCTTTTCACAGTTCATATTAGTAAAAGGCATCGTTATTGTTCTATGACTGCACTTCATTTCCAATTGCAAGATGCCTGCGCCCTAGCTGCTTGCATGTTGAGCAGAAGATACTACATTTGGAACTCTAGTTGCATCTAGATACATTTACTATAATGCATAGACTGCTACAGGACAGGACATTCTTAAACGTACTTTTGAACCAAAAAAAGTATCCATGTCCATTTCTTGGGGACCTTGGAAGTGCGAGCAAAGAACGAGCACCTGGCTAAGCACCCATGGCAAGCGTATTTCCCGTGTGGCCTAAACAAGCAAAGTTGGGGTATTTAACAATGCCTGCCCTGGTTGGTTCCTCGCACTCCACGTCGCTGACCGCCAGGAGGATTGCCTTAGGGTCGCGTCAAGTTTACGGCCTATACCCCATCGGTGCAATGCAACATTCGTGTCATCAATGTCCCTTCAGCCCTTTGGCTGTGTTCCATCGTTGTGGGTTTTAGATTTTCAGCTCTAATGCTGGTGCCTGACGCCTCCGGCGCCGCGATGCCTATCATTGGTCGCGCAGCGGAGAACTGCACGCTGATTGCTCCACTATCAGGAGAATTCATTACAGAGCACAGATCACACTCCCTTTGTATATATATGATTCTCGGGCGAATCGAATTTTCGATTTTCCGTCTCGTAGCAGGTCATCCATCTCCGAAATGAAAAACAGTCATTCGGTAGTCGGAGCGTGGGCGTGGGAGATCTTGTCCGTCCTCGGCTCCACCTTGTGTCTTGCAGCACTGGTAGGGATTCTGTTTGCCTACGACGGCAAACCGATCTTCACCTGGCACGGGGTCACACTGAATTCCATCGTTTCCGTTCTATCAACCGCTAGCAAGGCCGCGTTGCTCTTCGCTGTTGGGGAGCTGGTCAGCCAATGGAAATGGATCCTCTTCACGGACCGAGCGAGGCCATTGATAGATTTTGAACAGATCGATTCTGCCAGTCGGGGCTTGCTTGGCAGTTTGCAATTGATGTGGCAATGCAAGAATGCGTGAGTCTCTCCTGAAATTTTGGAGACTGCTCTTGCTGGATGACTTTGTTGCTGACCATACCAGTTGGATCCTTCGGCTAGGCGCTCTCGTTATCCTGCTTGATGTCGCTGTTGACCCCTTCTCGCAACAGCTAGTCCAATTGAGGCCGGATCTTGTTTACTACGAAGACCGCGAGACTGTCTTATCGAGTGCAGGCCGCTATTCTAAGGGAAGCTGGTTTCGTCAGCAGCTGGCACGCCTCGATCCTTGTAAGTCTCCAGCCTCCAAGAGCCTCATCTCACACGTGCAGCAATACACTGACATCGTATATTCTAGCCGAAATGGACCCCAACACGACCGAGGTCACAGCCGATGCAGACTTCTCGATACAGTCAGCTATACTTTTTGGGCTCGACCAACCCCTGAAGAATGTGATCCAGCAAGGCGCTTTCAACTGTCCCACTGGAAATTGCACATGGCCAGCGTATGAGTCTCTCGCCATTTGCAACAGCTGTGTCGATATCAGTGATAAGGTGGAGCGCCAAACCACAAATATTGGTTTATACGCGTACCTCGAGGATGACAATGGAGCAGCGGCTGTTAAGTACGGTGGTAACACGGCTTTCCGGCTGCCAAACGGTCTCTTCATCGAGAACGACAATGGCTGGGTATACAACGAGGACATAAACGAAGGAGCAAACGATGATATCTTCGGTGCCGTTATGATGACAACCTTCGGATCGGGTAACTCCAGCAAGACAGTCAGCATGCAGGGTATCGACACTCTGATCTGGGCAATGTCTATGATTCGAGTCACAGAGGATCCGAACAACTCATCCGCAGCCTGGCCAGACCTGCCACATGCTGCTATGGAGTGCGCACTCTATTACTGCGTCAACAGCTACAGCACGGTGGTGAAGGATGGACTCTTGCAGGATGATGTGACACAGGTCCGGGAGGCCCTTCGTTCCGCGGATTCATGGGAACCGGAAACGCTGTCAGGGCCTCTCAGGGAGGAGGTTCGTCAAAGCATAGAGTTCAGCGATTACTGGTCGGCGATCAAGCGTACGGACCTGAGCCTGGTATCGCCGGGGAACAGCAACACTCAATACAACATTTCGCAATCGGCAGTGAACGGCGTCGGGTCTTATTTCAGGAGCACGTTCGCCACCGACCTCCATCAATTCGTCATGCCCGACGACAACACAACTAAATGGCAGCTGAACGGGTTTTACATGACCACAGGCCAGGTGCAGTACAGCCCGAGCACGATGCAGGTGCTGTTCTCGACTGAAGACCTGAACGAGACCTTCACCAGCCTGGCCACGAGCATGAGCAACGCACTGCGCGACGGCTCCGACGCGAGCTTTAACGGGGCCAGCAGGGAGCTCGTCGGCGAGAAGGGCGTGCTCACGACGTTCTACGAGATCCAGTGGCCGTGGATCTCGCTGCACTGCGCAAGCCTCCTGCTGGGCGTCACGTTCTTCGTGCTCACGCTCGTGCGGAACCGGTCGGCTCCGGCGTGGAAGTCGAGCAGCTTGGCTGTGATGGCGCGGGGCCACCAGGTCCAGGATGTCGTGCATGGTGTGGAGTATGTCAAGCAGATGGAGGGGAGGGCCAAGACGATGCGGGTGACGCTGATTGAGAAGCCGATGAAGGATGATCAGGTCCAGTATGACCCCTTGCAAACTCCATATGGCGAGGTCACACATTTTCAACGCTGAATGAGTGATAATGATATTTTTGGGCACACTGCTAGCGAGCTTGGCGCTAGACTTTACGTATGTAATGCAGCGTCTCGTGCTGTTGCAAATAGACAGACATTTAGACTACAACTTTTGTTCGATCCACCAAGCTCTGAATCGTCGCCGGGGTCTTGCAAGATAGGGCGGTAAACGTGGGGTTAGCGAGGTGTTGGTGGGTGGCTGAAACCGGGGCAGCTTTGGCCGAGTGACCTCGGAGCGGACGTTGGTTCCAGTCCCGCGCAACAACGCTTGTGGAGAGCCAGGTTGCTTCCTTTCAACACTGGGATACACGCGGTAAACTTCGATCTTCGGTCCCCAGAGCAACCCACGCGCATTTTCAAGTTGATGTGCTGCGAGGACATGGCAGCTCCTCGCAAACCCTACGATCCGGCCGAGGCGATCGAGCCGCACGTCCTGGCCAAGCTGGACGCGGAGTTCGTCACGCGCTGGACGGAGTTGATGAACAGCATCCCGGACCCAACGCATGAGGTTACCATCGAAGAGATCCGCGCCGATCCAAGAGTGCTCGCTCCGCCATGCGCATTGGACACCAAAGGCCGCCCACGGACTGCCGAAAATGAGGTCACGTCGGAGGACGGCGCCAAGATACCGGTTCGTGTCTATTACCCGGATGAATCAAAGCATGGACCGGGCCCTTATCCGGTGCATCTCAATTTCCATGGGGGCGGGTTTGTGCTGGGAAACTTGTCCACCGAATCGACGCTGTGCCTGAGTATGTGCGAGGGCGCTGGTGTTGTCGTCGTCGATGTCAACTATCGCCATTGTCCAGAGACAGTCTGGGGCAAATGCTTCCAAGACGCCTGGGCAGCGCTGAAATGGGTCCAAAAGGAAGCAGGAACGCTCAATTCCAGGGCAGACTCGATCTCCTTGGGCGGAATCTCGGCCGGCGGACATATCAGCATCGTCCTTCAGCATCTCGCCCGCGACGCCGGCATTTCCCTCAAGCTTGTCATGGCTACCGTGCCGCCATCAGTGGACGGCTTGTTTTACAAGTACTATACCGACTCGCCTTACCCATCATTTCATGAGTTCTATCGCGGACCAATCCTGGCGTTCGCGCGCATAAAGTGGTTTGGCAACCTCGCCGTATCGGAGGACAAGAAGGAGGAGCTCAAGAAGATGTGGCCCGAATGGTGGTTTGCGCCGCTCAGGGCGCCGAATTTCAAGGGTCTCTGTCCCACACTTGTGCGGACAGCTGAGTGTGATCCGTTGCGGGATGAAGGCGAGGCATACGCCATGAAGCTTGTCGCTGGGGGGAACAAGGTCTCAATGAAGAGATACCTGGGCGCTCCTCACACATTTATGTACATGGATTTCATGAAACAGAAGCAACAGTACGACCTGGACTCGATTGATGCATTGAAGGAAGCACATGGGATTAAATAGCCGGTGTAAATATGATTCTCCTAGGACCAAATCAAATTTCCGTTATTCACAAGGTCATATTGTGTAAAGGTGCTGACAGTGCCAATGCAACCCTGAACTACCAATGAATTGTGTAGAGCATTGTCTTACGAAGGACTCCCTGATTCCCCCTCTGTACTTCTAAGTCAATGTGTTTCTGTTTCATACTTCGACCATTTGCACATTCAACTTGTTCCCTTTTCTCTTTTTCTTTTTTCTTACCCCATGATATAGAAAAGACTTCCGAGCATGTCGCTGATTAGGGGCAACATGTGCAAGTAAGCGTCTTTTCCTGGGAGTACCTAGGTGCTGTGTTTGTCGTCCTGATGTTTGGGTCCTTGTTTCGATAAGGCGACATTGAAACTAAACGAAGCAATGCTTTGTTTGAAACAATTCTGTAGTCTCCCATAGTTCGGTAACCCTGTCATGTCCACAGACCCAAGCTTAGACAACGGAAATTAAATACACAGTCCACAGGGATCCCAAGCATTTCGGCACAGCACTGCAGGCAAACCCTTCTGTGGGATACCTCGTGTCGGGCAATCCTTGGGATGGTATCTTAGCTCGATGTCTTGCCAGCAATGTTCTTTGTCTGGGTATTTCGGCCTGTATAAAATCATTAGCCTCATGAAACTGGACACAAATATGATGAAATACAGAAGAAGAGAATCAAGCCAGTACCAAATTTGTTAAGAATTGTTTAGTGATTTGGAGGGTGGGGTGAGGGGGAGGGGCGCAGTGTCCTAAATCAGGGTTAGGAGTCAAGTGCCCTCCCCGCCTCGGCAGTGACGCACTGACCAAGCACAAGCTGTGCTTCATTCGGACTGACCAGCCTGCCAGCTGGGGGGCCCAGACCTTTCGTCACCAGCCAGCCACTGGTGTCATAGCCAACTTTCCCAGCTTGGATCCCAGGACCTTCTCCCGCCTTCCACCACGCACAAGACCACGTCTTAAGCTTCCTTGCTTTGTTCCTGCGCCGACAAGCACTCTGGTGACAGCATCGACCACACTTCAACCACCACCCCTTGCGACATCGACTGACTGCGACATTGACTTACTGACTGAACTGCTTTATCGGTCGATTGATCCCAACCTCCCTCAAAATGGCTCCCCCACCTCCGGCGAGCATGCCTCTCCCACAGCGCCTGGCTGCTGTCGCCCAGACTCTGCAATGTACGTTGATCATTCGGGGAGGCCGCCCGTTCTGGCCAGCTCAATGACTACGACCGATACTGATTTTCTCGTGCTTCAATAGTTGCCTGGTTTGTTGGGTATGTCGTCTGTTCCACCTGAAGATTTTCTCCCTATTGCCTGTTGCCAGTTGGGAGAGCTTCGTCCCCGCCCCACGTCACTGCCGATATGGACAGCTGCCTCCCAGGCGAGACATAGGATGGTCTCGAGGGCAACTGCCGAGTCGTGAGGAGAAGGGCTCGAGTCTGAGACAGCTGCGACTGGTTTGAATGAGTCGGCTGCTAACCATGTATCTGCTATCACAGACATCTTACGCTGATCCTCTCCGTCCTGCGGTACTCGCTATCATGGATCCGCATGAATTATTACACCCGGATGGCCCAGTTCTCCTACCGCCTCGCCTTTGTCGCCGCCATGCTCACCTATGGCATCGTCGTCTACAAGACCCTGCGCGCTCGCGCAAAGGCTGGCATGAAGCTCTCACCCCAGGTTGCTGTCTCCCTGATCGCTGACGAGAACGTCCAATATTTCCGTGCGTCCTCCTAGGTCCCCTGGTCCATGCTCGCAGTGCCCTTGGCTTGATCAGGACATCCGGCTAACTCGCAAATCCCTCACAGTTCTGGCGCTTGTGTGGCTTTTCGCCCCTCAGTACCCAATCGCCCTGCTGCCCTACAGCGTCTACTCCATTTTCCACTTTGCAACCTACACGCGCTCCACCGTGATCCCGACCATCATCCCGCCCACTCAGGCTGCACCTGCCGCTGGTGCCTCTCCCAGCGCGAAGCCTCAGTACAACACCCACCCCATCGCCGATGCCATTGGCTCCTTCGTCAAGGAGTACTACGACACGTCCATGTCCATTGTCTCTGGCCTGGAGATTGCGCTGTGGGGCCGCCTCCTGCTCAGCGCCATCCTGTTCCAGCGTAGAAGCTGGATCCTCCTGGTCATCTACACAGCCTTCCTGCGGGCGCGCATTAACAACAGCACCCACGTGCAGGGCTCGTTCGCCAGACTCGAGGCCAGAGTGGACAACCTCGTGGGAGCCCAAGGCACCCCACCAGCTGCCCGACAGGTCTGGGATGGCGTCAAGGGAGGCGCCAGGTCATTCCACTCGGTCACTGATCTCAGCAAGTACACTAGCGGCGCTGCTGTTCCCAAGAAGACCTCGTAGATTGCATTGTTCACGGGTGTCGAAACACGCCAATACGTGCTGGGATAGTAAAGGCAGTAGCAGGATGTCAAGTGCTGGGCGCCTGCCAACGAGAGCGGCACGCTTAGACTCAATTGGATCAAATTAAGCCTAAGCTCTCAGCTCCCTGGACTACGACATCACGAGTATAGGCTTGAGAAGAAGTGCGAGGTTGGGGTGAGGGCTCACCCTCACCTCGGGTCGATGGAAATAAGAAACGAAGGACTGGGGAGTGTCAGGTCAGTGCGGATGGCTCCATTATAATGAAACGGCAGGAGGAGGAGGAGGCCACAGGTCTGCTGGTTCGCATGAGCGGGCATACTGGGGAGTTCATGGGTGACTGAGGCCTGCTCCGTGTTTTCTTTTACGGTAGACTTTTGTTGCTGTTTTTGTTTACGGTAGGACTTGGGGAGTATGGTCTTTCAGCTTTGGAAGCAACGCTTACTTAGAAAATGTTATGATCGACCGTGACCATCGAGATGCCTTTGTTTGGCGACGTGCTCCAAAACTCAACGTTGCGACGCATTGGATTTCATCTCTCGGAGCAGTTCGTGAGGCCCAGGCCAGACCCTGATCAGATCCCCCAGTCCCCCCAAGATCGGCGGCTAGCGACCCAGAAGGTGGGAAGCTCCGGTCGAGTCGAGCTCTAGGCCCCCACCGATTCCCACCAAATAAGACGTCAGGCAGGCCATGACGTAGCTGTCATTGTTCTCTCATGCACTCACGCCTTTGGGCTGCCTCTGCACACGACCACAGCGAAGCTTCTCCTGAACCAAGCTTTCACCCTACAGCCCGGCTGAACTCTCGCGTCAACCTTTCTGCAGGCCGTCCACCACCTCGACAGATTAAGTGGACTTTACCTCTCTGTGACTTGCCAAGGATCTGTCTTTTCTTGAACTGATCGTCTGTCGGCTGTTGCAGGCGTCTACTCTGAGTTCGCTCTTGAGGGACGCTGCAGGTCAACCCTACGCTCTCGTCTCATTACTTTCCTATTGTGACCTAAGGCATCATCCTGTTTTCCTCCTGCGAAATATCTCAGATCTCGTCACGGATCACGCACCACGTGGATTTAGTATATCCATAGAAATATGGCCTCTCTGTTGCGGCAGATCGTCGCAGGCCCTAGAGCCAAACACGCCGAGACGGGTTTGGACCTCTGCTACGTGACTGACGACATCATTGTAACGTGAGCTCTAACTTTCCCGCTGCTGGGCCTCGACGCATTGCTTCTGCAGCCGCATCATGAGATTCACACATACTGACAGCTGATTGCTTCCGAACAGATCTGGGCCGAGCCAGACATATCCCCAACGAGCCTACCGCAACCCCCTCGACCGCCTCGTCGCCTTTCTCGATGCCAAACATCCAGACAACTGGGCAATATGGGAGTTCCGCGCCGAAGGGACGGGATACCCTGATGAGGCAGTCTACGGTCGAATCCGTCACTACCCCTGGCCTGATCACCATCCGCCGCCGTTCAGGATGGTGCCAATGATCATGGCGAGTATGAGGAGCTGGTTGCACGAGGAGGATCTTGCATCATCTGATACCAAGCAGGGTGGAAAGGATGACAAGGGCAAAGAGGTGGGGAAAAGCACTGGCAAAGGCAAAAGGGTCGTTGTCGTGCACTGCAAAGCCGGCAAGGGGAGGTCGGGCAGCATGACCTGCTCGTACCTGATATCCGAGTGCGGCTGGAAGGCAGAGGACGCACTGGCGCGCTTCACCGAGAGACGAATGCGGCCAACATTTGGCGCCGGCGTGTCGATACCGTCCCAGCTCCGGTGGATCAGCTATGCTGACCGGTGGACAAAGGGCGGCAAGAAGTACGTCGACAGGGAGGTCGAGATTCTGGAAGTACATGTCTGGGGTCTTCGCCATGGAGTCAAGGTTAATGTCGAAGGCTTCGCGGACGAAGGCAAGAAGATCAAGGTGCTGCACACGTTCAAGAAAGAGGAGCGCTTTGTGGTACAGGGCGACGCCCCGGGTGGAGGCGGAATGATGGACCTTTTGGGAGATGCGTTCAGTCCTGTCAACGAGGACGACGAGAAGATCTACGAAGAGGCTGACTACAACGAGATCGTCGGAGGCGATGGCGATAAGAAGGGCACCGACTCTGCTAGCAGCAACAACGCCAGCAAGGATTCCTCGCCGTCGCGAAGCAAATCTAAGAAAGGCTCACGGAAAAGTCAGCTGCTCTCCGGCAGTCCCGCTCGCAACTCCAGCGTGAAGAAGATAAGCGCCAATGCTAAGAGCAAGACCATCAATCCTGCTGACTTTGCCAACGCTTCAGGCACTTCCTCTCCTTCCGGCTCCAGCCTTAACGTCCCCAACAACAACGCATCACAGCCATCTCTGTCTCACGCAGCCACATTTGCCGATACCAACGAGCCCGGAGGCATGGCTGTCATTTTCAAGCCCACGTCCCCGGTCCGCATCTCCAACTCGGACGTGAACATCTCTCTCGAGCGGCGTAACCGCGCCCCCGCGTCGCTGGGGCTGACGATGGTCACGGCGGTGGCGCACGTGTGGTTCAACGTCTTCTTCGAGGGCGGCGGGCCAGAAAAGGACGGCCGGGCCGACGAGTCGGGCGTGTTTGCTATAGACTGGGACAAGATGGACGGCATCAAGGGCTCGAGCCGGAAGGGCACCAGGGCAGCGGACCGCATCAGTGTGGTCTGGAGGGTCGTCGGCACCAGTGGGCCCCTTCTGGAAGTCAAGGAGCCAGGCGAGGGAAGCCCTGTGCCGGAGATGAGGCCTGCAGACTGGAAGGGCGCGCAAGGCGAAGACCCTGGTGCGGACCGGAAACTGGGTTTGAGGGCCGAGACCTCGGCGAGTGCGTCTGTTAGTAAGGCCAGCAGTGTGAAGAGCACGGAGGGTGAAGGCAGCAAGGGAACCGCTGGGAATGGCAAGGATAGTGACGAGGAGTCGCTGAGTGCTGTGAAGAGTAGTGATCCATCAGGCCAAGAGCTGAAGGACAGCGACTCGGCGAAGCTGCCCCCAACCCAGGCGAAGCCTCAGGAGAGCTCTGGCAACGCTTCCAGTGCAGAAGAGCTTTCGGAGCACGAAAAGAAGGTAGAGGCAACGAGAGGTCGCACGGCCAACCCTGACGAGGCCAGTGGGGCATCAGCGTCGGAGGAGCAGCTGCTTGAGGCTGCATATGCGCCTGTCCGGGAAGCCAGGGCCGGCAAGGCCAGTGAGTCTGCCATCCTGCAGAAGCAGGCTGAGGAGGAGGCTTCAAGCGCTAATCCGCCTGAACAGCACCAGGAGAAAGAAGGTGACGACGACAACGGCCACGATGGTGGTGAGCGCAAGCTCGGCTTCTTCAGGGCAGGGAAGAAGCTGTTACCACTGCACCCGAAGAAAGCTGACAAGGATGGTCAGGACCCTAGGCTAATGAACGTGAGTGTCAAGAAATAAAACGACAACCGCGTGGAGATGTGGGATAGTCGAGTTTCTGTTTGATGGCATCGGATAGCAGCAGCATTATGCGTATACGCGGACGGAGTCTTGTACGAGCAACAGCGTGCTTAACATAAACGTGTTCGACAATACCCCGAATAGACTGCATTTCTTTTCATCCTTCACGTGTGACCCACAACCGTTTTGCACGACACTCAGACGCGTCACCTCTGTAGGCATCTCCGACGATAGCAGCGTTGGAGTCGTCCAGCTGCTCGACCATTGGCCTTCGTCCTGTTACTCAGCAGGGCCGAACCGCGAGGATCGACTGCCGGAGAGGGTGGTCAGAGGCTGGCTCTCCCCGCATGAGCTACTGCCAGCGCCTGACTCCGCAGCATCTCTGTCCTTGGTCTGGGGTGGTCTGGGGTAGATCTGGCGGAGTAACCTCTTTAGATTTCGGCCTGCATGGGTCCCCCCGGCGTCGAAAGGAGCGAGTTCCAGGCGAGTTCACGCCGAGGCGCGGGGGGGCCGGCCCCGATGATATGCGGAGTCCGAAGAGGGCCGTATATCTTCCTTGTGACGGCATAATTAAGCTTTGCTGCTGCTGACGTGGTATTTATAGAGGATATTTGGAAGCATCTGTCACACCTCAAGGCATATATACATAAGCCAGGCTCGTCTCAGTCCGCCAGCCATCGAGCTGGAAGACATCGAGGACACAGCAAACAGCGAGACGAGACCCCAAAGACCTGACGACGACGACCATGTTCCTCCACCAGCTTCTTCCGGCTCTGCAAGAGCGCCTGGCCACGCACCCTATCCAGACGACCTTGGCCGCGTTCATCCTCACACTCATCTCCTACGTCGTAATTAATGAGGTTGTCCGCTACCAGGCTCGTGTCCCTGGGATGGCGGGCCCCCCCGGGCTGCCGCTCATCGGAAATTTATGGTCGATCCGCTCTAATGCCTCGGCACAGTACCGCGAGTGGTCCCGGAAGTACGGCGATGTGTACCAGGTGCAGATGGGGAATGTGCCTGTAGTAGTTGTCAACAGTGCCAAGGCGACCAAGTACCTGTGGGTGGGACAGAGCCAGGCGCTGAGCTCGAGGCCTGTCACTTATACGTTTCACAAGGTGGGTCACCTTACCTACTTGCCTACAGCAGATAGTGATATTCGACTTGAGCTTGAGCTGAACTGACATCTCCCAGGTGGCATCCAGCACTGCCGGCCTGACTATCGGCACATCGCCTTATGATGACTCCCTCAAACGCCGCAAGAAGGGCGTCGCTGTGGCAGTCAACAGGCCCGCCATCGCCAGCTACGTGCCATACCTGGACATCGAGTCGCGGACCTTTGTGCGAGACCTGCTCGAGTACGGGAAGGCCGGCTCGAAACCCATTGACCCCTTGCCCTTCATTCAACGGCTATCCCTAAGCCTCGCGGTGACCATCAACTGGGGCGTGCGCATTCCCAGCGTCGAGGACCCGATGTTCAGCGAGATCGTCGCGGTAGAGGAGGAGCTGAACCGCTTCCGCAGCACGACGGGCAACCTGCAGGACTACATCCCGCTGCTGCGGCTCAACCCGATCAACGCGACGAGCGCCAAGGCGCGCGAGATGCGCGACCGGCGCGACGCGTACCTGCACCGCTTCAACAGCGACCTCAAGGCCAAGGTCGACAAGGGCACCAACAAGCCCTGCATCCAGGCCAACGTCATCAAGTACAAGGAGGCCGCCCTCACCGAGGTCGAGCTCACCTCCATCAGCCTCAGCATGCTCGGCGGCGGCTTCGAGACCGTCAGCACCACCGTCCAGTGGAGCATGGGCTACTTTGCGCAGCACCCGGAGATCCAGGACAGGGCCTTTGCGGCCATCAGGGACTTCCAGGGCCTCGCGGGCGAGAAGGGCGAGGATGTTGACCCGCTGCCTGATGCGGCGGACGAGCAGAAGTGTGCGTATATCAATGCGCTGTCGCGGGAGGCGCTGCGATATTTCACTGTTATCCCGCTTAACTTGCCGCGGGAGAGCATTCGGGATGTCGAGTATGAGGGCATGAGGATACCGAAGGGAACAACGGTTTATATGAACGCTTGGGCATGTAACTACGGTGAGTATATCTATTTCTCCCACGTCCCCTACACTACAGTTGTCATCACAGCAGTATTCTAGATATCACCGACTAACCCATGAAAAACAGACAACGACCTCTGGGAAGACCCAGACGTTTTTCGGCCAGAACGCTGGCTCGAGAAGCCCGACGCGCCGCTCTTCACCTTCGGCCTGGGCTATCGGATGTGTGCAGGCCACCTCCTGGCTGCGAGAGAGGTATACCTGATCTTCATGCGGCTGCTGGCCAGCTTCCGGCTCGAACAGCCGCCCGGCGTGGCCGCCGCGGAAGTTGACCCAGCCCGCGGGTTTAAGAACCCGCGGGACCTGATCATGGCGCCGCACAATTACGAGGTTCTCTGTGTGCCGAGGAATGAGGCGAGACTTGAGAAATTGCTGGCGGAGGCTGAGGCGCAGGTTGGGGAGAAGGAGTGAAGGGAATAACAGGCTGGTGATTGACGCTGTAGATTGATGCTCCGCAATCATGCATAGATTGTCTAGACAAAGTGCTCTTCGCCAAATTCTAGCTCCGAGATTTGAACATTGTGCTTGTCTAAGTGAAAAGTTTTCCGGAGCAAAACTCGTGACAGATGGCGGAGATGACACTGAAAGTTATGGTCGTCGATGTGGCTGGGGATCTAGATTGCTCAGCGCATCTCTTCGACCCCTGGATTCATCTCGGTGCCGCATCTTGGATCTATATATACTCTCTAACATGTTTCCAGTTAGTTTGAATACTCATTTCCAATGACAATGCATTATTTGAAGCTGCCCTATAAGTCTGTCTTCGATAATTCGAAACCTACTTTCCAAACGCCGCATTATGAGCAACGTGGTGTACCATGATTATACCCATCTTTATTCTCAAAAGGCTTAACCATATGAAGTGGTAGGCCTATAGAAAATGGTCTTGGTTTCTCCCGAAATAGATCAGGTATGTCACTACGGCAAGATTTTATATGAGTAGTGGAAAACCGGAGCCAAGGAAAGAGCAAATCATATTTTTCGCACTTTCTAGCTACAGCTGTTCTCCAGTGCGATGGTGGCCTGGGAAGAGAACAGTTCTGGTGGGGCAGGGATGCATGTCAAGGCAGCCACTGTGCAGTACGATGAATCTATTCACGCCACATGCCCGAAAACTGTTGCTGGCCCTCATACCGCCCGTTGCCACAATTGATGGCAGGACGGCACCCCGCTAGCCTGCCTACAAGTGGCTGTTGTGAGCCCTGCAGGCGTACTCGCCGGCCGGGCAATTGGGGCCCCAAGCCTCGACGGTGCATTGGATTCTGGGGTCTCTATTGTTGCTGTTGTTGTAACAGCAGCAGGTGTTAAACGTGAGCCTGGCCTGGGCTGAGCCAGCGAGCAGCGCAGTTGCGATGATGACGAAGACCTTGGCGTGCATCGTGTCTGAGTTTTTGTTCGAAATGTTCTAAGGTGTATGGTTGGTCTGAATCGACTTCAGATGATTTGATGTATTGTGAATTGACTATGTTCGCATACAAGGCCAACAGGCTGCGCTTTCATATAGTGCGCGCTTCTTTGACCCGTCCGACCCGCTCATCCTCGGCGTACGTGACTTTTTGATAGACGTCTGAAACCTGGAACAGATCCGCCATAGACTTACAATGTCTGCCGTAGAAGATCAATGGGTTTACAATACTCTTGAACCACGTGGCGAGTGGTGGCAGCGCGTCCTTCTTTGAAATGGCTGCTATTCAGACTCGTATGGGGTTAGACCGGAAGGCTCGGAGCAACATATGGATGGGTTGTCGGCAGGGAATTGGCAAAAACATAGAAATAGGTACAAAAGCGAACGCGGAAGGCTTGAAAATATTTTCTAGGTGTGTAGAATCGCCCAATTAGATGCAAAGAAATCGTCCCCGTCCAAGTTAACATTTCGTTGGCGTGCGCTTGACGGTGTACTTGTCACGATCCCGGCTCAGGTAAGTGCCCACACCCAGCTGAATACACGAGATAACAACGTTATCATTTGTGCGGTATTATACGGAACGGTCTCGGGATGTTGCGGCATCCGGATTTGGCTGCCAATTTGTCTTGTATTTTTGTACCTTGTAGGGTTCATTCTTGTGAAAGAGAATCTCTACAACTCTGTATCAAATTGCACCCAATAACGGGCTGCTCATCAACATCACCAATGTTTAACAGAAGACCTCATGATATTAAGCGTAATTCAATCAAGGTACATATCTGATTTTAGTGTGATAGATTGTACAAGATTAATGGAATAAAAACCCCCGAAGCTGGTATAATTATGCTGATATCCCTCCGTGAGACCAATCATGCCAGTACAGGAGTTCATAGCCAACAGCGAATTAGATACTCGCGAAATTACAACCAGGCAGAGGTCATATTCGGGCCGCTCACATAGACGTTGATCTGCATAGCCTGGAGCTCGTCGTTGTAATACTGGAGCACTTCGAGGGTGTCACCAGTGCCGCCGAAGGGAGCCACCATTTTGATGGTACCAAGGGCTTTCATCGCCTCATAGTATTCCTCCTGCGCTTCCTGTGCCGCGGTCATCTTGTTTGGGATGAAGGCCGATACATTCTTAGCGTAGGGGAAGACCGTGCCCGGAATAACACCACTAGTCACAACAAAGCCTAACTCCTCGTCGACAACCAGAGCCACTCGAGCGTTCGCATCGGTGGGATGATCGTCCGGCCATGTGCAACCAAGTGGGTCGCTGGAGGCGTTCTCGTAAGTCCCGGTATCGATGACTTTCCAGCCTAGCTCGGTGAACTGGCAGTCGTCACTGACGGTGACTGCGAAGTCGCTGGACTCAGCAAAGAGGGATTCGCTCAGGGCGTATAAAGTTTCACGGCTCGCCTTGGTACGATTGGCAGGCGGGTTCATCAGCACCTCGTAGTTTGCCGGAAGTTCTTCAGCTGAGAAGGAGAAGCCGTGGTCGCCTCGATTGCGATTGATGAACAACTCAAGCTCGGTGATCTGCTGGTCGACCACCGCGATCCGGCCTCGCAGGACGGCTTCCGTCGCGTCATTGCCTTCGCTGATGTCCAGGGAGAAGTACGCCGTGCCATTCGTGGTGTCGATCGCCAGCAGGCTCGGTGCGCCGGCCTTGGTAATAGTACGCCACGAAGTCATCATGCTGAGCGCCGCCGGGTGCGAATTTTCAGTCGCCTTATAGATCGATGCCAGGGGCAAGCTATACGGGTCGTGGGACACCATGGAGTCTAGGATCTGGGTGACGATAGTTGTCATGCACTCGCGGGAGCAGTCTGTCGTGTTCGCCGCTGCCGCTCTGCTGTGGACCAAGGCGGCGGCAGCAGGCACCTGCTGAGACGCTCCACCCACCGCCAACATGGCAGCCGACAGGCCCAGGGATAGGTGAAGCATTCTGAGTAGACTTGGTGCGTACATTCTGGAATACTGACTAAAGGCAAAAGCGACGTTGCTGACTGATACCAGGTGAGGCTGTACAACCTTCTGGCAGAAAACTCCTAGTGGACGTTTTTGTCCGTGAAAAAGCACATACTTTATACCTCAACCTCCAAATCAGGCCGCGCGTACTGTTCATCATTCCGTACGTCACGCTACTACCCCATGAAGGCCAACATCGAAATATCTTCCCGCAGTATGAGAAAGGCATTACAGCCAATTTCACACTCCACATTCTCGAATCCGGGGTATTAGTGTCGGCTGCATTTTCGGCCCCGCACGCGGCCCCATCCGTGGCTTTCCCATCGGCCCCACCGTGCATACATGGTTGTATTACCCCAGGGGTTCGTCTGAACGCGTTTATCCATAAACAATGTTCGATGCTCTAGAACCAGACCACGTGTACAACCCCTCTGATCCTCTTTGGTATCCTTGTATTGTCGATCGAGCTGTATTGGCGGCACATGGTCATTCTTTTAGGAATAGGTTTGTCTCTGCGGCGACCGGTACTTTGCTGCGGCAATGCGTCGGTAGAGGCCTTGCATTTATCTATTGGTGACGAAAGTATACACTCAGATAGTCCTTTGAATTACAGTGAGCGTCTCATTCGCTTTGAAACTTTTCTAAATCACTAAAACGTCTATAAATCATTCCCAGCAAGCGAAAGGCTTCGTCTCGGTGCCTGAGCCTCCCTCAAAGGAAGGGCACCTTAACACTGCCCATACTTTGTTATTGCGAACCATTGGTATAGATATGTCGGCGACTTTGTGTATGTCTTGTCTTTTAACTTGACGCCTATGATTATGGGCTCTTGGATTATGAAATGTCAGTCCAGATGATTTCTGCATTTTCCCTCTTTTGCCATACTCGCGGACCCTTCAAGCCTGCAAGACATCGTTCCTTAGCATCTTCCTGTAGCCTATTTGATCCTGCCATGCTGTCCATGGTACAACTGCACTTTTGGTTCCCTTCAGTAACCGCCAGGGGCAGTGCTAGCTATTGGCTTAAAGTTGATAGTAGTTGGCTTGTCTGTGATACCTCTCGCGACAGCCTCCTTCATAATCGCCACCGTAGCGGTCGCACCAATCCGCGTAACTCCAAGCGACATTACGTGCAGCAGGTCATCGAGACTCCGGACGCCACCGGCAGCCTTGATCTGAACCTTGGGCTTGGAGTGTTTGCGCATGAGCTTAAGGTGCGGGACGGTAGCCCCAGCGTATGTGTACAGCCCGCTTGGCTGCTTGACGAAGCCGTAGCCCGTCGAGGTCTTGACGAAGGCGACGCCAATCTCGGAGCAGATCTCGCACAGGCGGACGATGTGCTGTTCCTCCAGGAAGTCGTTCTCAAAGATGACCTTGAGCGTGGCACCGTGGCGCACGACCGCGTCGTTGATCTGCTTGATCTCGTGGCCGACGTACGCCCAGTCGCCGCCCAGGGCCTTGCCGATGTTGATCACCATGTCAATCTCCTTTCCGCCCGCCTCCGCGGCCTTGGTCGCCTCGAAGACCTTGACTTCGGTCGTACTGTTACCGTGAGGGAAGCCAATCACAGGGCAGACAAGCACGTCGGTGCCCTCGAGAGCCTTTTTTGCGCGGGGGATGAGGTATGGCTTCACGCAGGCGGTGGCTACGCCGTATTCCTTTGCTATTGTGAGACCGGCATCGATGTCGGCATCGGTCATGGTCGGATGCAGGAGTGAGTGGTCAATCATCTTGGCGACCTGTTTCAGGGTCACAGTGATTGTGTTTGGTGAGTCGCTGTCGGCCATTTTGTTGGTATTCTGGTAGACCGCCAGCTCGAGAAGATAGATGGTTGACAATCTTTAGGTTAAAAAATGAGAATGATGGACGAACTTGGACTACTCACAGAATCAATTCGAAATCCGCGGCTCAAACGGCTTATATAGTCAAACTTCATCCAGCCTCGCTCAGCCTTGTCAAGCCAACAACACGCAGGCGTTCAACCCGGTGGAAGCTCATACCATATTGAGACTAGCGCGACCGGATTGATATGGCGGAAATTTTGACTTTGTCCTCCAACATTCTCAGTACCACGGGATCATCACACACCGAAATCTGTGTAAAGTCTTGCGGAACCAAGCCGAACCAATTGTCGCCACGTAGACATTCAGGTTCGCACGGCGTCGAGCTGAACAAATACACGAGGATGGCGACGACCCTGTATATCAAATCGAATACCTGATATTGATCAATTTCGACCTGATTGAGGCCTGTGAAATTATTTGTAGCAGAGTAGATTGACTATAGTTTTCGTTGCACCTCAACGGCGAAGCGCAGGCAAAAGCTTTTCGTCATTACATGTACCTTGCGCAACCTTTTCGACTTCAAAACCAAGCACCTGTTCGGTCGTGATATCCTGACAACTTTGACTTTGACACAACGTCAACGAAACCCGAATGAATATGTTTCAAAAGCATTTATAATGAGTTTGAAATTGTACGCAAGTATTTCTACATAGATGATCACAATCGCGGACCCCCATCCATAGCGTATTTAATTGCTATCGCTTGGAAGCTTTCAGACTTGTCTTCGCTTGACTTCTGCATCTCAACAGCTTCCCAGATTGCTCTGCGGGGTCTAAAATGATTCCAATGCGACTTTGAGGGTCGCCAGCTTAAAGAAACGCATTGAACCGATCCTTGATTTGCTTTTCGGTGTGCTTGTTCAGACCCAGTCCGGCCAGAGTGATCTCGCCATGTATTAATGCAGTTGTGTCAGCAGTGGACAATCTGAAAACTTCTATGATCTCCTTGATCAAATGTATGCGCCTTGAATACCGTGAATTCTGCCTGGATATTTCTATGGCAGAATCATTTGCGTTGGAGTATGCTATGTCAAGGTACAGATCATACGCTGACAATGATCGGGGCATGCAGGACTCCAGCAGCCAACATCTTGAGGGAAGCCGAATCTCTTGCACGAGCTCATCTTTCTTATGATCTGCTTTCCACTGATATTTTGCATGTCAATTAGTGGTGTTCAGCATCGATCAAAGGGCGAGAGCAATCACGTACAGAAAGAAACTCCTCCAGTGCCTCGCCGGTTCTCTTTGAATCTTCCGTCCTCTCTTTCGCGATTTGCTTGAGGTGCTCGTCATTTCTATCTTTGAAAATCTCCAGAAGCTGTTTTTGCAGGTCTTTCACCGGCTTCAAAGCCAAATCGCGCATTCCCTGATCAAGTATATTAATAAAATCGCTCTCTTCCTCGAGGATGTCGACTATATCCTCTTCGCCCATAGCTTTCGGGTATGTCTCGAACCTGGATTCCGAGGGAAATCCCAAGCCCCGGTGGCAACAGACATGAGTCATACCCAGCTCGTCGAACTTAATCCTGCGAATGAAGGACAACAGGAATCCCTTCACTGCGTCCTCCCCATGGACTTCTCGTAGGATCGATTGCCACTCAAAGGCACACAACAAATTCGCGTTTGGATTGTGCGCATACAGGGACCATTCTCGCTCGAAGTCGATTCCAAATACAGCGGATGATGAGCAACCTTGAGGGCTGCATGAGCATTTACAATCGTCAGAATAGCGATGATCTGCACCTCGCTCGAGACAGCATCGTATCTGTTGAAGTGTAACCGACTCTCTTGTACCGCAGTCTTGGAGACTTGATAACAAAACCAAGAGCAGTGTCCTACCCGTTGCGTCCACGTGGTTGATATCAGTTCCATGATCAACGAAAAAATTGAGCAACGCTTTGTTGTGCATCTTAGAATGCATCGCGAGCCTCCCGTCGCTGTTGGGCTGGTTGAACCCGTTAAAACCACGACACACGAGAGCTTCTGCCTCCTCGACTGTCTCGGCGTAGTGCATCAGGTTGTTGTCGGTCACAGATTGAGAAGAGTCGTTGAAACAGAAATTGACATCGTCGCAGAGCCGAATAATCTTTGACACATGCTGCCGTCTTGTGTCCTCCGTAACATCAAAGAGGCCTGATGTCATTGCTCGGAATACCACAAGTTTTACAAACACTTGATAGACTTTGTGTGGGTAAATGTCTTGTAAAGCCGAGAGCGTCTTATGAATCAAGTTCCAATGGCCGCGAATGATGGCATAATCCAAAAAGGTGCGGTTGAAACGGTGGTCTCGTAGGCCAGGATTTGCTCTCTTCAGAAGGAGATGGACGGCGACTTCCTCAAAGCCCATACCTGCGGCATACATCAAGGGTGTTATCCCCCACCTATCGGTCGAGTCCAAATCGTGGCCCAGGTCCAGCAGCATTGTTACGTTCTGTATGTTGCCAACCGCTAGATGCAACGAGGATTGCCCCAGAAAGTTTACCGTGAAAAGAGGCTCTCTTTGATTGTGAAGCCTTTGTTCTGGACTTGGATAAGCTGATTCGTCCAAGATGATTGCTTGCATCTCGGTAACTCCGGCAAATCCTGGCTCATGACGCACAATCAAGGCAAAGTAATCGATGAAGAAAGGATCAGGAGTGATCGACTCCCATCTCCAATTGGGACTGGATGGCTCTGGCCATTGATTCGTGGCTGGAGGATCGATAGAAACGGGTGCAAAGCCGTGGTTGAGGATAGTTTCGAGCAGATCCAGGTGCCAACCTTCGCCAATCCAGTTCGAGCAGTCGTTCAGAAGTCTGGAGTTTCGCTCATTTAGCCTCAGTTTTCTCCGGTACCCCATGACAAGGGCAGACTTACTTAGGATCTTCAGCAGCAAAGTCCATACCGAGCTCCGAAAGGAAGAAATCCAGCAATTCAAACTGGTTCTTTTGGACTTGCCATGGGGAACTGATGAGATGCTGCCAAAGTTTAGAATTGCTTCATAGGCATGCTCAAGGACATCAACTCACTCGAAGGTAGCTTTTTCCTGCCGGATTAACGTGACGCTTGAAGTGCACAGGATTGGACCGGTACACATCTCGGAGCCTCTGCTTGGTTTCTTCTACACTGATAAAGCAGTGCCTACACAGGAAGAGCGCCTCAAACCCCGGTGAAACGTTTTTGACAACATGTTGAATGGCCAGTGCCGGTTTGAGATCATATTGGCCGTTGTCGCGGATGAAAGCAAAGCCTACGGTCACGGCGTGGGGAATGTTGATCCATGTAAGAGCCAGCCGCAGCTTTGCGCTCCATTCGCATCTCGTACTGCAGCAAGTGCTGCATTTATGCCGGAGGCCCATAGAAGGGGTGAATTCCAGCCACCAGAACCGCCTTGAAACATAAGACAGCTGATTATGTGAACAGGCCTCGCCAATCCTAACATCAAGTCTCCTTCTGCGAACGGTCGGTCGGTTGTCAGGGCAAGGCGGATGCGCAACTGAAGCGTCACGAGTCTGCGTATGCTCTATGGTGGAGATAGTGCCAGCGGTCACATACGGAACCGGACCTATTCGCCCGACTTGACTGAGCTCGAGTTGGTTTAACAGAATGCTTGCCCTTGATTGGAAATAGATTTAGGTCCAAAGTCATCTGCAGCATCTAAACCGGGGAATGCACTACTAAACACTTACAAGAACAATTTTTCCATGATCTCTTGCACTTTCCTTCTTATATCCTTGACATTATCTTCAGCCTTGAGAGTCAGCTGCGTCGTCAAAGATTTTATTCGACTCGTTCGAGACTTGTTGTGTCCGAAAGCTTGCGCTAGTTTGTCTAGTTCGGTTTCAATCTCGGTGAACATCCGTTGACAGCTTTCGATTGCGAGGGCTACTAGAAGGTTGTACTGAGAGTCTTTCATGTCGTTAAGCACCTTCTGCAATATCTCAAGGTCTGCTGCGACGGATTCCAAGTCCACTGGAGCCTGATGGCGGTTGTAGCTCATCGCTCTTCGTATGGTTTTGATACCATTTCCGACTTGTAAGAGAAAAGATGCAATTCCCATGCCGGCAGATATGCCGCCCACAATTTCAGCCATCATTCCGTGCTAATTTCTCAAGGCGTGCAGAAATTGATGGAGCTGTTGGTGAGAGGGAAATCCAAAGGCGGACTGAAGACAGACCACGCTGTTTATTCATCGAAGGCTCGTCTTCGGAACAAGAGCACAACTGTGCCCACCGGTGGGCAGGGATAGATTGAGCGAGGTGGCTCATTGGTATGCAGGTGTTGCACAGCCACTCATCCTGCATATAACACTAGCACAGGAATGTCTCCTCTATAGTCTTCGGGCAACATGAAAGTGAAAATGAAACTGTAAGACATCTGGAAGCTTTGTTGCTTACCCTCTTCCAAGCTGACGCGTGCACTGAAACGTGACAGTATAATTACCTACCGATTTCCGACGTGTACTATTACCTGTGCCAGGATGATACAGGCCTGTATAAAGTCACTCGTGTCAAACAATTGATAGTCTCTAGACATGTACAAACTTTTTACCCAGGGGACCATCGAGTAGGCTCTTTTCAATCACATTAAGCATTTATCGAGAGAAATGATTCGAGTCCCATATCCAGCTTTGGTCCTGAATGCTAAAGCAACTGCTGGTGGAATACTCAGCATCCGCAAGCGATAACGTCCCAGCCGTCGGTTCATCGGGCAAGCAAATAATAGCTGTGCATCATCAAATTAGATAAGCCAAGGTTATTTCTATCAAGGGTAAAGAGAGCTTCGCACAGAGAGAGGGAGACAGGGGAAGGGGGAGATGAGGCGTACCTTGCTCAAAGTCCAAGAGCGCTTGGGTTATAGTCGGATCCTCGTAGAAGTTGAAGCCCGGAGTCACAATGTCGCCGGAATCAGCTACTGGCATGGCCATGGCGGCAGCATCCGAAGGAACCGAATTGTGAGGTTGGCCCTGGGAGTGCGACCGCGTCTGGTAGGACTCGTCTTGCGTCCCAGCTTGGCGCTCGACACCGGATGCCTGCTCCTTCGGATCATCCCGAGGCACTCCATCGATGTGATCATCACCGCCTCTCTCGACCGCTACTACCGCTGGAACAGCCCCGTCACCAGAGCGGGGGAACTCAAGCATCTCCTTCATCTCCTTTGTCAGCACCAGAGACATGAGCTTCTTGAGGATGCCCAGCCCCTGCTCAGCAACAATAGACCTGGCCTTCAAGCGTGACTGCATTTCCATCAGCCGCCGAATACCCATTTTACAATCATGCGACTCCTGTGTGAGGGGCGTCAGCGTTGTTAGGATCGACAGCACAATCGCGGCTGTAAGCAGGTGCAGGGACACGAAGGAGACGGCGTAGGTGTCGGCGACGCCCTGGAAGACAGGCAAGGAGCCGATGTTGGATATCTCCAGAGCGGCCTCGCGGCAGACCTGTATCGAGGACTGCCACGTATCCGCGGTTGCTGAGATGGTCGATGTGGCGGTGTTGTTATTTTTTGTTGGCGAGACCACCATTCGATACGAGAGGAGTCGTCTGTGGATCAAGATTTTGGCATTTTCGAAGGCTACCTTGAGAGCGAGCGCTTGAAGCTGAAAGAGATGATGTTGATGCGCCCTTTCAGACAACTTATCGGAGCCATTAAGATTCGGAAATGGCTCGAGGCACGCTTCTTTAGCATCAGTGAGGATGGACGGGCGCAGCTGCAACGGGAGTCTCGCATGCCACTCGCGGAGCCTCCTGTCAAGACTGGTCACACTTGTCATCAAACCTTGCAAACGTTGCCTGTCGGCCGCGCCAGAGTTGCTGCTTGTAGGTACACGGCGCCGCCGCAGCCCATACAGATCCGTCAACACCGCCTTAACGATGATGGCCAGCTGGGCCATGGCGTGTTTGTACGAGAGGAGCGTTGCTTGTCCTGTTTCTTGCCTTACAGCAGAATCCCACGAAGCATCACCCGACCTCAGCGGATAGGGATTGAGAAGCTGGACATCACAGTCATCGTCATTGATACTCAGCGGAAAGCCGTAGAGCATTGAACAGGTCGTCTCAATCTCGTATACGGCCCACCAGCACCTCTTGCGCGTCTCCTCGGCGCGCTGCCCCGGGTCATCAAGGTCGGGCGGGCCAGTGCCACCAACCTGGGGCCGCCGCCTGTGCAAGTTCAGCGCCTGTGCGATGCGCAAACCACACCCGCAGATCGGCCAAGCCAGCTCCGGCTCGCCGTGGTACAGATGGAAGCTTCCCAGCAGGACACAAACCTGCACCGCCTCAATGCACCCTCGCGAAACGATCTCGAGGAGCCGTAGCCGAAGCGTCGTCAGCAGCTGTTGCTGCAGGACGTCTGGCTGGATGCCGCACTCAATGAGCCTAGCCCTCTGCCGGCCGTTGATATACCGCAGACTGACGACGCAGACGGCCGTAAAGACAGCCACAGAGCCTAGGCCAACACTGGTGGGCTGCGGCCGACGGTGCTCGTCGAGTTCCCTATACAGACATCGGAATAGCTCTCTGAAATCACTCTGATGGAAGACTAGCATAAACCAGTGCACTCTGTCAAAATAGTTGTCCACCAATAGAGCGGCGGGAGCGAGTGAAGGCAGCAAGGCCACGAGTTCAGCCTCTGCAGGACTAGGCCTGGCTCTTTTGACCTGCTGTCCTGTAGTGCTCTGACTAGGGTTGTGACGATCCTTCTGCATCTGTTCAGCCGGTAAATCAGGGAATACATCATCAGATGCTTGCACAGTGCCACCAGTGTCAGCGGGTGTATTGTGTTCTTTTGTCCAGTGGCTGGCGGAAAAGGCCGAAGTCTCTGGCCCGCCTGGCGAAGTGGTTTCGTGTTGGTGAAATGCCTAAAACAGAGTTCATGTAAGAAAACTATGCACGGAGAGCTCACACCCCACTTGGAATTATCAAGTGTGCGCTGTGGCGTAAGGTTGCGCTGCACTGCTTACCTCTTCCATGAACTGCACGGCCGCGGAACTTGAAACCCAAGGTGATGAGCCTGTCGCTTGAGGCGAAGACGGCGATGGCGATGGTTCCTCGGATACCTCTCGCCTGTCCTGTGTGCTGATGCCTACGGAGCTGTTTCGCTCAGGCAGCAGGACCATTGGAGACACTGTAGATGGAGCAGTGTGCTCGACATTGGAAGCAGGGCGTGGCCGTTTTGCTGCCGGCTGTTCTGCCGGACTTTCACGTTCGGCGCGACTTGACTTTGGACTTTGACCTGGTTGATGAGTCTTCCACACGGTTGGTCTTATGGCTGCAGAGCAGGTTGCACCGGCTCTCAAGCAGAGCGTGCATGGGCGCTGGACGTCGCACTACGCTTGACCCACGTGGTCAGTCAAGATCCCCTCTCGCCCTCCTGTCACGGAAAGGACTTGCCGGACTGGAAGATGGGGCTAAGACTGAACGGAAGTATGCTTGCCTTGAGCTTTTGCTGTCTGCAGCGCTGGCATGCGCTCGGCACCCTCTTCTTTTGAAAGGATCCTGCCAGTGGTGAACCGGATGCGAATACGGGTCCCAAAGGAGCCGGTGGCTGCGAGTCTGCCTTGGATGGACCCATTCCTTTCTGAGCAGTCTGCTAACGGCAAATATAGAGAAAATGATGCAATACACAGGGAGACGAAATGAATGACCGGAGCCGGGCGGGAAGAGTAATGGAAGACCTCGATCTTCGATGCTCTGCGTTTGTTCCGGGCGGGACTAGAAAGGGCAATTCTGATCCGAGACACGGCAGTCGAGCTAAACTGTAATCGGAAGTAACGTTCCGCCGGAACTGTATACAATTAGTGTAGTGGCCTCTTGACGCATCCCTGTTGACAACGACTCAATGTTCAGTAACTCATATTTTTGAAGGTCGAATCTGTAATAACGTATTGTTGAATTAGTTCAGAATTGAAGATAATTATGCATCACGACTCCCTTGATTTCTGTATCCGTCAGCGTACGAAGAGATCACTGCACGGCCCAAAGGCTGATCACAACAAAAGTCACTCTCAAGCATGCGTCAATACCTTCTGCAGTTCACAATTCCATGTATGGTGGCGACGCTGTGCAACGTCTTGAAACCCACAATAAATTTAGGCATCGGCCTCAAATTCTGAGCACATCAGCCCGTTCATGCATCGAAGAAATAGGGAGGCCGCCCCTGCATCTTCCTGACCGGCTGCACGTTGCATATCCCAGCCTTATGCTGCGACCAGTATCGGGGCGATTGATTGATCTGGTTCACGGGCTCCTAAGCAGTAGACAGCTCGGCCTCGTCGACCGCTCCCCGCCCCCAATTGCCTCTCTTTCCAGGGTCTGTTGATGGACGAGCTCTGACTACTCCTTGGCCTTCACGTTGTGCTTGCGGTGATATAGATGCCGAGAGGTAGCTTTCTCTCGTGGCGATCCCGGAAGATACGGTAGGCAAGTCATCTCGTCACATGGGCTCTTCATATTCGCAATCTTCTTGAAGGTGCGGTGACAGGGAAACGAATTCCTTGCCTTGACAATTACAAGCACATCTGAGCCCTAGCAACCATTTTTCATGCCATTTGTTTCGCCGTCTCGGAACTGTGTGTACATCATGTTACCATCGGCTTGTCATTTGAGTGAATGAATTAACAATATCCTTAGGACGATGATGGATTCACACAAACCATGGTGTCACTATATTGAGTTCCATCTTAGTCCCAAGTTCTCGTTTAAACATATCTTGGCCCTGAATCATATCCTATCGCCTACTTGGTAACTAAATTGACTGATGTTACCTCAGAGGAGCCCAGCAATGGCTCCAGAGCTTAATGTCCTGGGAGGATACTGGATCAAGTCAGCAAGATTAGGCACAAATACAAAATTATAAACAGGGTGTATGGATAAAGGGCCAGCAACATACAAGTCCGTAAGTATCTTTTAAACAACCAGCAACTTCTCTTGCCAACTCTTCTTATTTTTTCATGGACTCATCTTCGGTCAAAACTTCCATTATTTCTTGGTGGATCAGAAAGCGATACCCCTGAGCCGGGTACCCGTGCTGCCTGGCGTATTCCAGGCAGACTTGGGCGTTTTGTCGGCGGGTCGATTTTATTTCTTCCTTGATCTGCTTTTCCACCATATCAATATAGAACTACAACATTTTGCTGTCGGCCTTTATGGCGCCAGCAACCGTGGCTGGAGACGACTCGGCTCCGCTCTTAGTGACTTTTTCTTTCGGTGTAGGGACAAGCTGGTTTTGAGATTTCGTCGGGTCGGTTGGCATTATGACCTCAGCGATCGAATGGAGATGACTTGGGTTTTGAGGCAGGCAGGCCGAATTGCAGATCAAAGTGATCAAAGTGATCAAGGATTAGGCAACATGGCAATCATATACAGAATTGAGGTTGACCCTGTAAACGTTGAATGATAGATGGGGCCTGTTGGGTCTGAGGACGGGAAAATGCAAAGGCTTTATAACAGGATGAATCCCATCGTGATTAGATAAGCCATCAATTGCAACGATCCACACCATGTGATAGCATGGTATCGCCTGCCTCTGCTTTGCAATAATATCTTGCCAAAAACATCCCTGTACTTGGCTAAAAATTTCCATAGATACCTCAGTCTATTTGAGAATAGGTGGATGATAGAGACAAGGCTGCATCATCTGAAATAAGCGTGATGTGCTTCAACCGGCGAGTAAGTTTGCATACATTTCCGACTGCTCGGGAACATCGCATGGAATTATATTGAAAGGTGATAGAAGACCCTTAACTACTTTTGACTTCTAGAAGTATGAAACAACGTACACGTGTAGATCATACGTAGCGGAAGTCTGAGCGTAGATAAAAACGTTGTTGTTCTGGCTAAGTTCTCTTCCGCTGTGGGCGAGCCCTCGGCACTCAATTTATAGGGGATCTGCCGAGTGCGCACTCCCCTGCCGTAGTGCCCGGCAGCTCGCGCGTATGCCCAATTCGCGACAAGAGGGGTTGCGGGATCACTGCAAGACCGACTGCCCGTTTTCTTCCCACGTCTGTTGATTGTACTGCAGACATGATTGGATCAGTTCAGATCGTTAGGTCATCATATCCCCACTTCCGAAAGGCGGAAAACAACAGTTTATTTGAGCCAGCTGTTTTTGCCTCGTTGTTCGGCTCAATCGAAATCGAATGAATGTCCGAGAATCCGAACCTAGAGAATAGCAAGGAAGTGTTGAGAACGGATTCATCTTAAAGATGGCCTTCGAAGTACGAAGAGAAGCTGCGAGCTCTCTTGGAATCACAACATCATCACATGGCCTCTAGCCTTGCAAGATTGTTCATCGCATGTCATTCGCAGCTTGAATTTCCTCCTCGATAAACTTGCATTTTCAAGAATTCACTCAAGCGACCCGAAGTCCGACGCCATGGAACGTCTTCCCGACTCAGGCCTCTCGGTTCTGGTTGTTGGCGCTGGAATCGCTGGTTTGGCCTTCTCCATCGAAGCTTACCGCCAGGGTCATACTGTCAAAGTCTTGGAGAAGCGTGCCGCGCCGGGAGACTACGGTAAGTATCGAAAGTGTTTGGCGGCTAAGAAATAAGGCCTAATAAATTAACTATCTGATTTCCAGGCGAGATATTCTTCATTCAATCACCTGGGCTGCATACGCCATCCAAATGGCCTGGTTTCATGGACAGATTGAAGAAAGTTGCTATCTCGGCCGAGTTCCAGTTTTTCAAGTTCAGCGGTCAGAAGCTGTTCGGAACCAAGCTCGGCTCCCAAGACGTACCCACGGTATCGGTCAGCCGTAGGGAATTCTACGAACTGCTCCTGAACTACGCAACCGAGGTTGGCATCCCGATCGAAACGGGGCAAGAGGTTGAGGAGTTCTTTGAGACAGAATAGTTCGGTGGTGTCGTCCTTTCTGATGGGCGCAGGCTCACTTCTGACGTTGTTGTGGCGGCGGATGGCGTTGGTTCAAGGTCAGGGAGCCTTGTGACCGGTACCAAGGAAAAGCCCATCAGCTCTGGTTTTGCACTATACAGAACTAGCTACCCTACTCAAAAGGCGTTGGAGACGCCTGCTCTTGCAGAGTTTCTTCAAGGCAAGACAGAATGGACGTCTCTGCATATCGGTCCCGGAGCACATTTCTTCATCGGTTTGTCGCCCACGGAATTCAGCTGGGGCTTGACGCATAGGGACGAAGATTATGCTGTCGAGGATTGGAACCGTGTCGTGGACTCCAGAGGAGCGCTCCGGTATGTCCAGGGATGGGCACCCATTGTCCATGAGGTTATCAAGTCTACGCCCAACAGTGAGGCCACTGACTGGAAGTTGCGCTTCCGTGACCCCCAGCCAAAGTGGGTTTCTGATGGAGGCCGGGTGGTACAATGTGGCGATTCTGCACACTCGTTCCTGCCCTCATCCGGCTTCGGTGCCACAACCGCGCTTGAGGATGCCTTCTCTCTTGCAGCCTGCCTTAAGATGGGCGGCAAGGAGTCTGCCCCAATCGCCACCAAGGTTCACAACCATCTCCGGTGAGTCAATTCCACTGGGAGCTAATGACAATTCCTCTATCTGAGTCGCTTTTGCTAATTATTAAACCACAATGTCTCAGCTTTGAACGAACAGCTTGTGCTCAGAAGATAGGCTTCAAGTCGAGGGAGGCTTTCCATCGCACCAACTGGGATGAGGCGGCCACGAACCCTCGGAGCATTGCCAAATTCACAGGGGCATGGCTGCTGAAGCATGATCCTGAGCTTTATGCCTATGAGAACTACGAGGCTTGCGCAGCCCATTTGCTTCATAGAAAGGAATTCAAGAACACGAACACGGTTCCAGGCTTTCCTTTCAAGCTTTGGACCGTTCAGGAATTGCTGGACAAGTCTGATAGAGGGGAGTCGATTGACGATGACGAGGGCGATTGGTACTCCTGATTGCACCACAGTGTGAATCTGGGACTGCGTTAGTATAATTCTTTACATCCTATATATCGGGAATTCATTGCTCTCATGCTTGCATTAGTGATAGGGTCTCCGATGTTCACGATGATCCCACGCAGATCATCGACTCTGGCCATCGAACATAGTCTACTCTGATCTCATACCTGCTTGATCAAAGCAAAACTATTCAGAGACTTGGGTGTCCGTGTGGAATTGCTTGGGTAAAATATTTGCGCTGTCTGAACACGTTCAAGTTGACAACCAGCCAGCATGCAAGAACGTCAACTGGTCAAGCGACGACTTGCCTGCTTTAGCGACGTATTATACTCTAGAAGTACTCATATTCAATTCGATTCATGCCAAAGTGCACCTCAAACCCATGATCAGCAGCGCAGGGTGGCCCAAAGAGCCTCTCAAAATCTCGAGAACCCGGAGAGTACCAAAGTGGCATAAGTCTTCGAGAGTTCGAGACTTATACTTGGTCTCATCGATGTCATCATACTTTCAGGTTCAAAGAGTGAAGTGAAAGGCTCAAAAGTCACACATCTCACAAAATTAGAGGCTGAATATGGCAGAAATATAGAGTTGATTGACGAGTTGTGCAAACTACCCCTGATCGTCCTCCCTGGGTTTTCTTATTCATAAGTCACAGTTGCTGAAGTGCTCAACATCAGTCCGCCATTCCAACGTGCCGTTCGTCTCCTTGTAGCAACAAATCCTTCATCCTAAACCTGCACGATGACGATGCGGAAGCTGTCTCCCACGCGCTGCACCTCAACAAACTTGGAAGTGGTTCCGGCCGGGACAGTCTCGGATGCCAGGACCCCGTCACCCGCGTAGACGGTGTACTTGAAGCTCAGTCCTGCCAGAGAGGCGCTGTTGTAAAAGGTGATCTTGAAGTTGCCGTTGCTCAGGGGCTCTGCCTTGTACTGGAAGCTTTGCCCGCCGCCAATTACTGCCGTAGTGGGCCAGGGGACAACTCGCTCGAAATCTTCCCTAGCGGCAAGGACTGCGGCCCCCATCGCATCTTCAATGGCTGCGGCGGTGCGTACGGTAACCAAGGAGTCGTCACGAACGGCGAGGTTGGAGGGCTCGACCGGGGACTGCGGCCGGTAGGGCGGCCGCAAGGGATAGGAAGCCGAGGACGGTAGAGAAGTGCATGGTGGTAGTGTTTAAGTGTGGGGCAAAGTCTGCTCAGGAGTAGCTGTTGTAGGAGGAAGTGATGAAGGTTTGAGGATGAGATAAACTCACCTCGTTCATCGATCTTGAGACACACCGGCCTTTTGTAGTTGAAGCAAACAAAGTCAGCACAACCTCATTTCCCTGCAGCATCGCGTCATCTCGTGCAAAAGGCAGGAGGTGAATCGGTGATTTGTGTGTACATGCAACTGCTACCGTCGCAATTGCGTCCCTGTTCAGCTGCTCCGTGGTATCGCGAGTCGGCTTGGACATGTCCACCGCTACGTGGCCTGACTTTACGGCTGCTGACAGTAACAGTGGCTACCTAGGCATCCTGCTAGGCCAATCTATGGTACTCCGGAAAGATGCAAATCCAGACAAAGTGGCTTGCATATCCCACTTTCTATTATGGCGCCACTAAATGGGGGCTCTCCTGAAAACCAAGACGGATGCGCCCATGCGTTTTGGGATTACGGCCGAGGACGGTGGGATGTTGGCTCGGATCAATGTCTATTCCTAGAAGGCGCAAAAGCGAAGAATATGCGTGTGGACCGGTATGGCGATAGAGCCCAATTAAAGTGGCTTCTACGTGGTCATCTCTCACCACAGCATGAGAGTTTGATTGCTGCTGACTTACGACTGATCAGGTAAACTGGTCGCAACGGGGCGATTCATAAGCGATTGCTAAGTAACTTGTCCAACTTGTCCCATGGGACGAGGCCTTGAACCAGTTCACCACCCTCTCAATTGTTTGAAAAATGTGAGTTGTTATACGGAATCCTCCGCGGAACCTTAGGACCGTTCCGTTACGCGCGCAGAAGGTCGCACGAAACGGTTACTCAGGCTTCAAAGCCCTTCTGAGCCTATAGACATTTCTTACAGCTGAAAAAGGGCACGCTGAGGATTTCTCTTACAAAGTCTTCGATTTGATAAATTTACAAGGCCTGCATACATTATTCGCAAATTTAAAGTACCAAGTATAAGATTAGTTACAGAATACTTATTATCCTGCCTTGGATAAAGCTTAGGTCGAAAAGAATTCTCTTTTTAGCCTTAGAAGTTACTTTTAATTAACAAAAGATGGGAATTAAGATAAATCATTAAAAGCCTTTTATTATAAACCTGATTGTAGATTACGGTTCCCAGTTCTCAATTTCCTACCTGTAATCCCGCGGGAGAAACCCAACGCATAGCCGTTGGTGTAAGGGCGTCCGAATCTGGATCACAATGCTAGTGAAAAAAAGGGTGTACCCACTCCCAAGGAAAGCTCAGTGGCCTTATATGATAGACGGATTGAAAACTCAGCTTATGTAGAAGGTATGTCGGCGTCATCATGTCATCTCGAGGACTCCCTGCACTGCCTTGATCCTGTCTTCTAATGAGGCGATGGTGGCTTTGGCAGAACCATGAGACAGGTCCACCATGACCGTCTGCAGTAATCCACTTAGCTCCACATCCTGCCGTGAGAATAAAGCAGCAGACTGGATCTTGTCGACTGCAGCATGACTGCGACGAAGAACACAATACTCAAGCGGGAGGCCCAAAAGGACCTCCACGTTTTCAACCTGATGCTTGATCACATGTGATCGTCAGGTCCCCTGGCATCAGACTCATCCCTGCAACACCAGATATTCCTACGGGACCTTGAAAGGCCATGATAGCATCCAGTGGCATCTCTTGCAAAGTGTCGCGGACGTGACCAAACAGCTTGTCATAGAGCTCGACCAGCTGCAGCCAGGTGGCCTGTATCAGCAATTCCTCATTCATGCCCAGAGAATTTTCATATTCCGCGGCGATATACACCCTTTCCGCATCCCTGTGCCTAAGGTATGGGGGGACATCTTGGAAAAGATGAAGGCTAAGAGACTCAACCCTGTATCTTTTATTATCACTGGGGCTACCATCAGCCGTCGCCAACCTAGATAGATTTCATTAATGGCACTCACAATCTTAATCGTCTGCTTGAAATCGACACCGAGAATGGTCTGTATGCGACTCCACACCCGGGGCCTTACACCAACGGAGAGTTGAATGCTGCTGGCTTCCCCTTTAGACAACCACCGGTAAGTACAACTCACTGCAATCAAAGGCATCAACTTCACTGGAGCCTGAGAGCCATACATGTCTGGCGTTGGAGAGATCGTTGCAAAGCATCAGATTCACAGAGCCCGCACGGTCATCAATTATCAGCTTGAGAACGAATTAAGGCAATAAAAATATGAAAATGACAAAATTCCAAACGCGCCCGTCATCAATCATATGGGGAAACTGAGACCTAATGCTCGAGCTTCCGGTATCGACATTCCCCTTGTACGTCACACTATCGAGCGGTGCTTCGTGAAAATTGGACCCAAAGTTCGTTTCGAAGCGCATCCCTGGCACGAGCCAACCCTTAATAAGGTTCACGGTTATAATCTAAGACAGCCAGGGTATCTCTTGGCATACATGTATTGAGGATATGAGATAGACCTGCGAAGTGGCAACCATACTTTTGGGGTTGATAAAGTTTGTCGGCCAAGCATTCTTTAATAAAACAATGTAACACAGATGGACTGGGCAAGCGAGAGCGAACAGCGAAGCCGAGGAGCAGCTCTTCATCCCGTATTCGCTCCTCCACAGAAATATAAATGTCTCTTTGTTCAAAGGGCTGTCACTGCGCCTCTCACAACAACTCCCAGTCATCCCGAGGTTCTGTTGTTGATCTACTGAAACACGCTGGTAACGCCGAAGATGTCACTTTCAATTCTTGAAACGAAAACATTCATCCCCGAGCTAGGGTTTCACGACAAGCCATACGGCCCCTCGAAACGAGACCCACTGACGGTCTTCGAGAACAATGTCGCGGCCGTTAATGAATTTGTGAAGAAGAACTTACCAGTACGTTTGAATGGGACTTGATTGCCTCAGCGCACTTCCTTGTCCATCTTCTGGGGCTGACTCGACATCTGCCTCCAGTCATTTAACGGCCTAGGTGATCTCGTGGAGCTGCGGCTTGGAGATGCTTCTAAGCACACTAGCTTGCCAATCTTGATTGATTCTCGGGCGGCTGAAGCCAAGTTGCTCGACTCGATTCCTGAAGGTGTCGAGCCGGGCACCAAAGTGACCATCATGCCCGAATACGTGCTGGATGTAATCGAGGGTCGGCAGCATCCGTTCAGCGCATTCGCCAAGTACGGTCGATACATTGGCGAGCTTAGTTCCTGCTTTGCGCCCATGGGCCGCGCTGTACCTGCAACGACTGCTGATCGGTTGGATCCGGAGAGGCTACCCAAGCCCACCGAGGATGTGCGACAGATAAAGCGTGATATCCTGGAGTGGGGTTACGCGTTTGTAGCCAACGCCCTCTCGCCGGAGCAGGTAAAGATCGTGAAGACGGCCTTAGACCAGCAGGCCGCAGGCGAGCGCAAGGCAGGCATCGCTCACATCGATCCCACGTCCCAGATGAAGCCGGGCTTTAAGCCCAATCAAAGAGTTTGGTGAGGTTTTTTCTTTAGCCTGTCCTTACCTACTCCGAAGACGGGTTAGATGGGCCGAGAGGTCTCCATGTCGGTCGGAAGCTAACGATTTGGGTGCAGGAATCTGGTCAACAAAGGCGACGAGTTCCTCGATCTGCTTAATCATCCACTGATTGATGAGATCATCCCATGGTACCTCGGCAATGCTGCCCATGTCTCATCCTTCAACGCCAATATCTCCCAGCCAGGCAGTAATGCGATGGTCATGCACAGAGACCAGATGAACAAGCACCCAGAGACAATAGCCTTCTCCTACGGGTTATCCTTCATGTGGTACATGATAGACACCACTGAGGAAAGGGGCGCCACTCGCGTGTATCCCGGGTCTCACAACAAGAACGTGATGCCTGCTATCAACACTGTGGTACGTTGAAGCACGTATCTCCAGCTACAACTGTTCCCAATTGAAGTTGCAGCCCCTTTCTGATCGTAGAGGTGTGTTAAGGAGTTGCTAATCCTGGCTGACGTTGCCTGACTAAAAGGAAGGATCCATCGCCGCCGAGGCCAAGGCTGGCACGGTCATGCTCTTCGACAATCGGGTGTGGCACGCCACGGGCATTAACACATCGCAATGTCCCCGGCCGGTCCTTCTGCTCGACTTCGCCCGGTCCTATGTACGGCCTTTCGAGTCTTTTGAGACTATTCTCAGTGATGAAGTCAAGGGCAAGTTAACGGCGCGACTTAAGGAGCTTTTAAGGGTAGAAGTCCAGTCAGACAAGGTTTCCTATACGGGTTACACGTCTACTCGACCAGGAACTACTGCAGGCAGATTGCGTGTTTTGCCCGAGAATGCGCCATTGGTGGTGTAAATGGGATCAATGGCGCGGTTGTTGGTCTCTGATCTCTACTGCTTCTGAATTCTCAGCAATCTTTCGCGAACTAGAAAAAAATGTAGTAGAGATAGCGCGGTCCGCGAGGCTGAAGCTTTTCCAAGGTGAGCATCTCGGGGGATGTCGAAAGATCTTTGTATCTATGCATCACCCACTAGCCCATGCGAGTGTCAAAATCGGAAGTGGTCATGAAATTAACCTCCTTTCGCTTTCTCTGACGCTAGAGACGGTATGTTGGTATAAATTGTCCTCCAAAGATCTAATACCTCAATACCTTTTCTATAATAGACCGTGACAGTCGGATTTCAAATCCTGCTTCGTTTGCCTACCCTCTACGTGGTCATGGAAGCCCATTATGACCGACAGTTGACGACAGTCCTCTACTGTATGATGACTTGCCGAGAATTGTGTGACCCGCTCAGGGGTAGGGCTAGTATCGACAGGATGGATGACGGTCCGCAGCTGCTGCCAGCGGTCTCAGCGGACCGCACCAACAAATCCACGCCGATCTCAAAAGGGGACTGAATGAATTTGAAGAAGCTCTTGATAAGGGTTCAGGAGACACAACAAAACGTAAGGGGAATGCAGTCTACACGCATCTTTAGTCGCAATAGCCGATGGGGTATTCTATCTCTGGGTGACAATTGTTGAGCATCGTCTATATGGCTGCCGCAGACTGCGGTCCGGAGCTTGGGAGCAGCCGAGATTGGAAGGGGGGGGGGGCAAGTCGAATCAATGTATGCATGTGATGCCGACGTTGGCAAACAAAATCACAACGCGGCGTACGTGTTAAGCTTCAATTGTTTAGAATGATGGAATTAAGCTGTATTTAGTCGTCGCACTTGCGTTGCTTGCAAATTCTTGAATTCATGGGGTTTTACACTACAAATTATCCTCCCAGGGACAAAAAATGTGTTTCAATCCTCAACGTACCGTCCTCACCAGCATCGCCCTCTGACCTGTATGAAGGACAAGGGAGCGATGTGTGAAGCGTCCTAGGAGACATGATGTGCTGCAAGAGCAGGTAGGATCAGAATCCAGCACAACCAAGCCATCGCCTTCAGATACTGCAAAGACAAGGCAGGTAACAACTTTTCTCCTTCCAATCTTTTGGTGCAGGGAACTCATTTATGATTTAAAATCACTTTGCTCGACCCCATGAATTTGACCTTATTACCATCTATCTAAATGTCTGATCCATTGGCCCACCGCCTAGACCATGTTGTACCGCCGATTTGTGATCTTCTCAGCGAGCCTGCTCCAAGCCTCCTCGACCTCCGTCGGTATATCGACGTGGACAATAGAGTGGTTGCCGTTCGGCCCGTACCCATTCTTGTCGTCTCTCAGTCGCGGAATCTCGCCCATGACCAGATCAAGAAAACGGCCAACACCCCACATCAACTCTGGGGCTATATTCGGCGCCGTGTAGACGAGCTTGTCATCGACGTCCGACCCGACCAGCGGAACGAAGACAGGACAGCCGAAGAACTCTGGCGGGTTGAGGAGGTCCTCGTAGACCCTCTCAAAACAGGCAACTGTTCTTCGGACCATGGTGGGATCCTGAACGACGACGATCGACGAAGGCGTGGGCACTCCGGTTGCCTCGAGCAGCTTGCGAGTCTCAACGGCGTTGGTGGCGCAGGTGGTGGAACGGTCTTCGAGCAAGATCCGCGGAGGCGGCTGCTCTTCCGTGAACTTCGGAGCAAAGAAGCGGTTGAATATGGCCCTGAGCACTTGGGCCTCTGGCAGGCCCTGGATCTCGGGGGCAATCTCCTTGAACTTGGGGTGGCGGGCGACGGCTTCGTAAATGTACGTGGTGGAGTGTCCGATGCCGCCACACAGGACGAGTGATTTTGTGATGTTGGGTCGTTCACGAATGATCTTGAGGACAGTTTCTGAGCTCAACAGGACTGAACACACGCACAAGACGATTGTGTCGACTGGCTTGATCTTGCGCAAGTCAGGAATATCCTCCTGTGAGATGAACCTCGAGACAGTGTTCACGTCCTCGAAATAGCTCATTTTGACTGATTCTAATGGAAATCAGACTTAGGTGATAAATCTGGAGTGGAACTTTCCGTTTTTTCGTTTCGGTAGTAAAATGATCAGAGCATAGCGGTATTTGGAGGTCAGGTCAATATGTAGAGTACGTCCGCAGACGCCAGCAGTGTCGGATGTCGGATAGCATTGCTGAATACGGACTAGGCCGAATCTGACTTGTGGGACACCCCACCAGCATCCGGAGACATTCGCCTACGTCGCTGCAGATGCACGCGGTTCCGGTGGATATTCTATTATCTGTGTGTGTACATGCGGCTTGATTATCCGACCGGACTTGATTTCTCGCCGATCGATACAACTCCATTGCTACAGCAGATGCTACAGAAAATGCTACAAGACTGATTTATGCTTTGGTTCAATCGACACCTACATTTTACAGCCAAACCCACCATGAAATGGCCATATTCTCAATCAAACCATCCACCCCGTTGATTCATCGACGTAGGATTGCGGAATTCGGTGAAGCTAGCCTAGATGTGGCTGCGGCTGCGGCTGTGGCTGTGACTGCGACTACCTTCTGATTTGGTTTAGTGAATGCTGTATAAGTCAATCGAAGTCGATGATATGCGATCCCAACTGACAGCAAAAAGTTGTATGTGCGATTCACTTTCGTGTACTAACATTTGACAGGAAGTCTCTGTGCCAGTCCTTGCCACACCTGGGCAAACTGTGTACGAGAAATCACGTCGCCCTGTACTGTATGTACTGTGCGTTCTGTGCAAGGAGACCATTACTACCTGGGTAGTCACCCCTATATTGGCTCCGATCACGTTCTGAATGGGTTATCAGCATCCTATCTTCAATTCTTACACACCTTACCCGCGCTCAGGAACGCTCACTGTCTATTTTACGCCAACCACACCTCTTTACCCAACTCCATTCAAATTGTCGGCTCATCCTTCCTCAAAATCAGTCAGATTTACGTGACTGAGACCATGACCATGAGCCAGGACTCTGTCCCTGCCCTCAGAGAGAGCGTGTTCGGGCGGGATAAAGGGCCTGGTTTCTGGCACCCCCTTGCCTAACACCCGGAAGCCTGTTCCCTGGCTGTAAAAAGTATTGTCGCTGCGGGCCTGATACCGTCTTAGTCGGCTTAAATTGCTAAATAAAGTGGGAAGGCTTTTGGCGGCATTCTGAAGAGCCAACGCTAGAAATATCCAGCTCCTTAATCGATGCAAGATTCGCGATATGTCAAGACAACTCTTTTCGTGGATCGCATGAGTGCAACAATTGCCGGAATGTAACCATACTGCGCCACCCTTCATCACCCTACGCATCTGTCTGAATGCATTCAGCTGAACATTTGGACTTCGACTTTTCTTCTAAATCCATGCATCCACAAATCCATTGCTTGAAGCATCCCCAAATCGTGTTGTTGTAAAGATGGAAACAGTAGCCATGGCAGAGGGGCTTTATCAATACGACACCCTGCCCAGAGATGGCTGGTTTCGAATTCTCAAACTCCTCCCTGGTCGTTTCGATGATCCCCTAGTTTGCGAAATGGCCAGCACAGCTCTTGATGCAGCCACTCCCTACAGGGCGATTTCCTACGTGTGGGGAGACCATGGAAAGGTTGAATCCATCACTTGCTCAGGCTTCCGGAGAAAAATCACAGCGAATTTGTTTGAGGGACTTCGGCGCATAAGAAGCGCAGACGATGTGGTGATTGCCTGGGCCGATGCAATCTGCATCAATCAAACCGACAAAAAGGAAAGGTCATCTCAAGTGAACCAGATGGGTCAAATATACGACAGAGCTGCAGAAGTCGTTGTCTGGCTAGGCGACGATGATGACGGCGTAGCTGAGATTGCTTTCAATGGGCTACTTCAGGTCAACAAGTCAATTCGAGATGGTGCGGATACGGCCTGGTCCTCAATGCCGAGCGAAGGACATTCAGTTGAATGGAGTTCTGTTGTATCATCCGGGTCGACGATGATCCTTCGGAGCACACTACCTGCTATACTCATTTCGAGTGTCGCGAACGCCATTAAGAATCTCTTCCAGCTTGCATGGTTCTCAAGAGTTTGGATTTTGCAAGAAGTCGGTCTGGCTACAATTGCCACAGCATGCTGGGGCTCATCACAAATCAAATTCCACGAGATTGGAGAGTTCATCCACCATGCAATGGTGCACGGCAACCTAAACACAGTTCTTCGTCAGGACATCAAGGATGTTATAGCTGGCTCACCATACTATGCCCTCCACAACGTGTGGTATACCTACGACAAGCAGAACTCTTGGGTCAGCCGAAGTCCTGTTTTGTCGTCACGCTTTAAGTGGATGACCGAAGTTTTCAAGATTGACATCGTACTTGTTCTGGAAGCTCCCAGAATGATGAATGCTACGGATCCTCTGGATCACGTATTCGCGTTTCTGGGACATCCAAAGGCATTGCAGCCTGGTACGAAGGAAACTCTAATTCAGGCAAACTACAACACCGACCTGAAAACACTTCATCATTCGCTGGCCTCCAAAATTGCAGAAACATCGCTAAATTTTCTCGTTCAGGTTCAGAATATGGCCGAGGACATCGAGCTGACAAACGAGAAGCCCTCGTGGATTCCGCAATGGCACATCAACAATCCCGGAGCGCCGACTGCTTTTTGGGAAGCTTTCGATGCCAGCCTTGTTAAATCAACGCCCCTAACAGGGCAGACGGTTGCGAGCGTGTCCCAAAACACACTAGTAGCCTCTGCCTTGCTGTTTGATACAATCGAGGCTCACACGCCAACTATGAAGAAACCCCGGTTTGAGGACCCTCAATACGAATGTGCAGCTTTGATAGAGGAATGTTGGGACCTCGCTGCGCAATCCCACAACGCCTACGGCGAGCTTCCTCTATTCGCGTTTGCAGCAACCCTCAAGTGCTACCACAAAAGCAAAACAACGACCGAGTTGGAATACCGCGAGGTGGTGAAAGACCTGACGCAGTATTGTACGCTCAGGAGACCCGGAATGCTGGAGAGCAAATTAGGTACGACTGCGTCAATGTATAACGACAAGCAGCTATTGGCATCATCTCGAACACGTAACTACGGCTTCTACTTCAAGACATACGGGACCAACAGGAGGTTTTTTACTAGTGTTGGGGGTTACTTTGGACTTGGTCCTAGTTGCACGGAGCAAGGAGACGTCTGCGCCATTTTGTTTGTTGCCGATGTACCTTTTATTCTCAGACCTACAGCAATACGCGGGAGATTTAGATTAGTAGGACAGGTCTACATGCATGGTGCGATGTATGGCGAGGTGGTCAAGAAATGGGATGAGCGTGTGGCAGCATACGGAAAGACTGAGGTCTGTATTGTTTGAAATGAATGATTGAACTTCTCTGGAACGAAGGGAAGCTCCAATCACTTGTCATGCTTGATTGTGTTCGCCTTGCCACAGATCGCCACTGTCTGATATTGGGTGCAGAAAAGGAAGGGGGTAGTCAATGTCCTGCCAGAAGCGAGACTCTCGTGTGTCGAGCAAGATGCATTATATGGTCCACGTATTGTCCCGCTAAACCAGTTTGAACTTGCACATATCTTGGACTAAATTCAGAAGTACGGCTAAAGGCGGACGACGGCGACCCAGCTAGATGCATAGATGCGTAACTCACACTCGGTGGGTCATTGGGGGTTAGAGAAAGCTATTACCATATCATAGTCTGTGGACTTCTCACATTCTGTAAATTGGTTCGGGAAGGCTTAGATATCTCAAAGACTAAAGCTCATTTTAGAGTGACCCCTTCCTCACTTTGACACAATTACACTCTGACCTCACGACGATTCCAGACTCGGGGGGGGGGGGGCAGCTCAGTAAGAGGGGTGACTACACAGGTGGTCAAAGCTTCACAGATCGCATCGGTCAGACAAGTGGCCCCACAACAGTCCACAGGGTGAAGCTATGTAAGCGAGCGACCTGGAATCCCACCTCAGAAACTTGCCCCAGCTTCCTTGCTCCTTGCAGCCAAGACATGACAACACCAACGAATGAACTCGCCTTTGCACCACGACCAGCCTGGAATCAAGGACAGATCATCTTCCACGAACAGATCCATGGTTCTCTCCCCGATGTCGTCGAAACACAAGGCCAACATCTTGCAGCCCAACCGCATACGCCCGTGTTTCCTCCCACCAGATCCGAGACCGACGCGTTTGCTACTGAGCTCGAGGACTCGCTGAGTGCGCTCATCACGCGCCAGAGCCGTCGCCGCCTAGGATATGGAGTGGAAGCTGCAGAAGAATGGCCTATTGACCGAACGCCGCCCAGAATTCGGCGCGCCCACAAAGAAAGACTGAGGGCAAGACTCCGTGCCTCGCTTGAAGAAGACTCCGAGTCGGACATCGAAGCTACCCTCGATACTTATTACCCGCTCTCGCCTACACCGCCCGAATCGCAAGATCCCCCCTCTCCCCCGCCTCCCACCATCGAGTTCAACTCCGCCACCAAACCACCGGGTACTGAAGCCGACCCTGAAAGCAGTATTGATAGAAATAAAAGGAAACTCGCGCAAACAGATGAGACGATCAGCCACGAGAAGAACTGCCAACAAAGAAAAAACAGGAGGGGCCTCGAGCATGAGCGTATGGACAAGGATCCTGAGGGACTGGGGATGGGCAACATAAAAGAGCAAGAGCTATCAACAGAAATGGGAGATGGCTCAAATTCACAATCGGGGATTTCGAGGCATCTCCTGGCCACCGATGAGCTCCATGACGCAGTCAGCAGTCCCCTTCCTCATGCCGGGAGGAATCCCGATCTTGGTGCGAGGGAACCTCTGCACGCAAATTGCACTGCAGTAAAAGATACGTTTGGGTCAATTTAAGATGACAAAATGATGCAGATCCACCTCAAGCCACGAGACCTGAGCTACTGGCAGCCGACGAGCCACAGGAGCGTCCTTGATTACGGAGGAAGTCTGAGCGGGGCATAAAGAAAAGCTACTTACTAAGGGCTGAGATAGGTAAGGCAAAACAGGTCATCAAACTCCATGAACATGGCAGTGGTGAGAGACATAGGCAAGAGCCGCTGATACTGAATGGTCAGCAAACAGGAAATACACCCTCAGTTCTCGAAGACGACAGAACTATTTAAGGAGGCTAATGACGTTGCTTCGAAACACCAGGAGCAGGATAGAGTGGCTGCCCAGAAAAGGAAGCACAAGAAGCAAGCCCCTTTGCCAAACGGGCAAGGTCTACGTTCAGGTGAGAGGCTAAGGCGGAAACAGGACACCACCAGACCTCCTGGTTGAGGAATCGCGGGGCAGTCATTGTCAAGCCATGTCACTCGCGATGAAACTCACTGCACGTGCGGTTAGACCATTCTGGTGATTGACCACCCCACACCTTATGTAAATGCGGCATGGACGTAGACGCCCCAAGGGCCAACAAGCGAGAGAAGGATATGACTTGCAAGCTCTATGGCATGGAGCCTGGATTTCGTTCGTACCTATCAATGCATGCCTGACTTCCAGGTGGGTTGCGAGTGCTCAGCGTAGAGATGATTGACAATCAGGATCACTGGCTATGTTGCATAGTTTCATTATTGCCTGCTAATCCTTAATCTGTATCTCACTTCGAGATATCTCGTAACTAGGCATGCACACGGTTTTTAATTGCCCCTTGCATGCGTTTGATACTGGCTCAGGCATGAAACATTCTTGACCTCGATTTGCTTGCCTAAATTGTAGAGCATTCTGAATATATATAATTCATATAAGGTAGCTTGGAAGGGGCAAATGCAAAGTGAATGATGTGTAAAAATCCTTCGGATATCCTGCGGTCGTTTCTCATGAAGTAACAACAATGAAGATGTCGTTTAGGACTCAATGCAGTGCAGCAGACTCGCACGCGCTCATCACCCAACAGAGTTTCACTGCCTTGAACGACCCCACTACCAACGGGTGCGCGGGGTCAATTTTGCTGTCCGATGTTGACTCAGCCAACTGTCATGTCTGCCTGGGCGATCTGACCGTCTGCTCGCCTTTATATACGGCCGGAAGTCGAGCCAGGGCACCAGAGCCGAAACACCACATCAGAATTCGAACTCTCCCTCAAGATGTCACCCAAAAAGATCCGCATCCTGTTCCTAGGCGCATCACTAGTAGCCGGGTACTCCTCCATGGGGGCGGTCTACCATCCGTTCTCACACAATGTTGTCAAGATGCTCAGCACCATCATGCCAGATACAGAGATCGAGACCGTCGTCGACGGGGTCCCTGGGGATCTTGTGACAAGAGGAAAGTTTCTGGAACGCATGCGGAGCCAATGTAGGTTTCACTGGAAGTAGTCAAAGTCCATGTCACCAACTGACGTTCGTATGCCAGTTCTGAAGGGCAGGGAACCTTTCGATTGGACTATTGTGCTTGGTGCAACGAAGTAGGCCGACCGTCTTGCATGTTCTCAAATGCCCAACCATTTGCGTCTAACAAGAGATCTTAGTGACATAGCATTCAACATTAGCCCCGAAGAGATCATGACTGCCTTCAAGGAGATTTGGAACATTCTGATCTTACATGGAAGCAAGGTCCTCGCGCTTACGGTCCCCAGAGCCACGATCGACAGCAGAAATGCCGGTCTCGTGGAAAGGCGGAATACTCTGAACAAGATGATCCAAGAACACAAAGCAGACAATTTGTACGCTATTCTACCGGCGACATGTCTGGGTTTGAAGTAGCTCCATGGTCCAACGCTAACACATTCATCCAGCTACACCTTTGATCTTAACGACGCTCTGCCGTACGACCCGGATCATGCCAAGTATTGGGATGATGCTATTCACTTTAAGCCTGAAGGATACAATTTCATCGGTGACAAGGTCGGAGTCGCTTTGATGGGCATTATTGTGGCGGAGAGGACGAAGGCTTCATAGAGATTGGTCTGTCTGGTGGCTTGGCGTATGGGGGTCTGCACTCGAATATCCGCATCATCCTACAATTAGAATCAAGAGTAAATGAGAGGGAGGTGTGGTCCTTGTATGTCGATCTGAGGGCCCTTTAGCGTGACAGATCGTCAGAAGGTTACTTTAAGCATGATCTGCTAGGGCGATACTACCTATGCTCACATCTACAGATCCTCAAGTCGTCACTGAGACCTGACTCGTATTTTCACTATCTATTACAAGCAAAATAAGCCCCCCCCCCTATCGCTTAAGTTAGTCCTGCACTAATCACCAAAATTTGCAAACAAGCTTAAATACTTACTAACACCTTCTCTACAAAATCACCGTTATTATCAACTACTATAAACTATTGCTAACCTTTAATTAAGCATATTTTTTTTATAGTTTAAAATAGTAAAATTAGATTTTACTTATTATATAAAAGTATATAGCTTTTACTTACTTTAATAAAAAATAATATTTACCTACTTAAATTTACTATTAATATATTTTAATTAACCCTTAAAATAGTAATTAAGTACTTATTGCTATAAAAAACTCGCTTATAGCACTATACTATATAATTTATTAATAATTATATAATAGTGCTTAAACAGATATATATATATAATATCACAAACATAACAGGAATAGAATTAGGGGAGCACTATTAGTTCCTTAAAGGCGTAAATAAACCCTATAGGCTAATAGGGTAGGCTTGGAAGGATTTATTATATAATAAAAGCAGGTTATATAATAGAGTAAAAGGATAATTAAAATAATTAGAGTAATGCTTTACTTTAGATAATTTAAATAATTTAATATTCTTGCTGCTTTAAATAAGTAACGCTTTAAGTAAGCCGCTAAAAGTAACGCTTTTATTACTTTAGCTAAAAAAATAAATTATATAGATTATACTTATTATTAGTAAATAATATTAGTTTAGAATAGCTTTTTAATAATTAATTTAAGTATTTATTTAAAATAGCTATAAAGCTTTTAATTTATTATTATTATATATTATTTAGAATATTATTATTTTAAATATTTTTTAAATATAAACTTGCTTATTAGGTTTATTAGCTAGAAATTAGTTATAATTGTTATATTTTAACTATTTTTATTTAAATGTTTTATATAAACCCTAAGCAATAACTTATATAATTATTATTTTTATTTTAATATATTTTTTAGCTGTATTTAAAAGAATTTTTAGTAAAAGCTGGATAATAATAACTTTAAACTTTTATAAGCTTAGTATTTTAAAATAGTTAAGGAAATTAAAAAACTTTATACCTATATTTAGGAATAGGCTAGTTAAAATAATAAAGTAGAAAAATTTAAAGCTAAAGTTAAAATACTTTAAAGCGCTGCTAATATTATTAATACCTTAATTAAATTTAAAAAATTTATTAAGCTTGCTAACCTAATTCCTTATAATAGTTTTTTAGGATAGTTATAGGCCTACTTTACCTAGATTAGGGCTTACTAGCGCTTTTATAGCTTTAATAATTAGTCTAATAGAGAATAAGTTATATATATAGCCTCCTTTTTAAAAAAATAAGCTTTAATATAATTTAAACTTTATTTTATAAACTTTTTTAAAAAAAACAAGTTTAAATAATATAAATAAAAAATTTAAGATATTTTTAGTAACTTTAAAAACTATAAGCTTGCCTTTAAGTTATTCTTTTAGGATTTAGATAAAAAATAATAAGTAAAAAGGGAACTTATAAAATTATATTAAAAAAAACCTGCTATAATTTATATTATAAAGTTCTGCTAAATCTATACTAAAGTTAACTATATTAATACTATAAAAATCTTTATATTTTATAATAGGTTAAAAAATAAAGTAAAAAATAAACTATTTAAATTAAACTAACTAGATAATTTTATTTAATATATAGAATTAGCTATTTAAATTAATAATTAAATTTATAAGTATAAACTTAAGAAAAAGGAGCAAAACCTAATATATCCTTTCCGCTAGTAAAATAAGCTAAGCTTTAAAAAATAGTACTAGTTATAAATAATAGCTAGTAAGCAGTATTTAGGCTTAATAAAATTTAATACTGCTTAAAAAAAACTTAAAAAGGATATTAAATGCTATAATTATAGTAAAAAAGGACACTTTATATAAGATTGCTAAAGTAAGAAGAAGGATAACTGGAAATTAGTACTAAAGTAAATAATAAGCTAATTTAGCTATTAAAAAACCTATAAAAAACTATATATTTATAAGCTAGATAGTATACTATAATAATAACTATAATATATACCTTTTAAATAAAAAAGTATTAGGATAGTTCTTAAAAGCGCTTAAAGGCTAGAAAACTCTTATAGTAGTAGAATAAAAGCTATTTATAATTATAGTTAGTATTAACTAGGTAGTACTTTTAGATCTAAAGGACTGGAACCCCTATAAGCAAATAGGTAAGGCACTTTTTATAGTACTTAATACTAGTATTACCTGAATTATAATCCTAAAATAGGATAGAAGTATAATAATATTAGTAGTTCGCAAAGGACTCCCTATGCTATTATTAGCGCATTTTCCTAATAATAATCTTTAAATATATTATTAGCATCTAAACTATAAGGAAATCTTATAAGCTTTATATATTTTTAACAGGTATAGGATATATTATATAAGTAAAATTAAAAAGGATTTTTTTTTTAAATAGCTAAATATAATAAAAATAGTAAGGCTTTATAAGTAAAAGAAACTGCAATATTAAAGCATTTAACAATACTTTTTAGGCTAAGGATATATAATTTTTAAACTTTAAATAAACTACCCTTTATACTACTTATAAAACCCTAAATTATAAAGGTATTGTTTATAAACTAATTATTAAATATACTTTAAATTAAAACTCTAAAATTAGTATTAATACTATTAACTTAATATAATTTTATTATTTAATAAAGAAGATATAATGCTAAAAAACCTTACTATTATAGTACAAGCGTTAAAGGCAGTAAAAGGGCTTATATAAAGAGCTATCCAATAAATTAAGAAAATTCTAATAAAAAACTAAATAATAAAAAATAATTAAAGCTAAATCTAAACAAGCTTTAACCAGCTTTAACTAATATAAAAAGGTCTTTCTATATAATAAATATTAGAAAATGCAAGTATATAAAAATTATACTGTAAATTAAATAATAATCCTTTATAATACTTCTAAATAGTAAAGTATAAGAAAACTTTATATTACTAGTAATAGTAAATTAATATAAAATACTATAGCAATAAAAAATAAAACCCTATATATTTAGTACTATTAATAAATAAAAAGTATTTTATAGAAATAGGATTATTAATATAAAAACTAATTATTTACTAGTTATTTTTAATAATTATAAGGAAATTATCTAATTTAATATTATAAATATAGCGAAATACAAAATTATACTAGGGATTTTATAGCTTAAAAAGAGTAACCTTTAAATTAATTAAACTATTAGCTAAATTTATTAAAACTAACCAATAAATAGGAAAATTAAAAATAAAAAAATAAATTTAGTCCCTAAAAATAGCTGTAACGCTAGTACTTATACAAATTCACACAGCAAACCTTTTTAAAAATAAAAAAAAGACTTAGTTACTAAAGCAAAAATAGCTAACCCCCTAAATAAATTAAATAAATAGCAACAGTACCTTAATCCACTACAAACCAAAAAAAAAATAAAGTAGCTAGCTTAAGTAGTATAGTAGTAGATATAGGAAATCTAAACAATACTTAAATAAATACGCTACTTACTAGAAATCCTAGGGATTATAGTTATATCCTTAAAAAGAACTTTATAATAAATATAAAAATAATAACATCTAGCATACTATAAGATAGTACAACCGCTACTTAAAAAGTTCATCTATTTTATACAATAATAAAAAAAAATAAATAATTTAAAATAAATTCTAAAAAAGTACTGGAAATATTTAAAGCTATTTTAAGTAATATTTAATATTAGACTATTTAAGTATAATTAGTAAAATTATAAGATATCCTTAAAGGAAAAAAGTTACTTTAAGTTTTATAAAATTTATAACTTTAATAAAGAATAGTTTAAAATATTGTAAAAATATTTTAATAATAATTTAAAAAAGAAATATATCTAACTATTTATATTACTTATAAGCTACCTTATTCTTTTTATACCTAAAAAAAACAAAAAGCTATACTTTTATATAAACTATTAACAGCTTAATAAAATCATAATTAAAAATTAGTATTTCCTTTTGTTTATTAAAAAATTATATAATAGATTTTAAAAAGCATAATAATTTATAGTATTAAATTTTAAAAATGCTTATAACCTTATTAAAATAAAATATAGAGAAAAATAAAAAACTATTTTTAAAATAAGGTATAATTATTTTAAATACTTAATTATACTTTTTAGCCTTACTAATATACCTGCTTTTTTTTAAGTAATAATTAATAATATTTTATAGGAATACTTTAACTATTTTGTAATAGTTTATTTAAATAATATTTTAATTTTTTTAAAAATGCTTAAGTAATATAAATAGTATATATATTAAATTTTTTAAACTTTTTAAAATGTTAAACTTTTAGTAAAATTAGAAAAAAGTTACTTTTATATATAAGAAGTTGATTTCCTTAAATATATAATTTAACTAAAAGAAATTAGAATATAGGCTTTTAAAATTATAGTAATTAAAAATTAGCTAACCTTAATTAATATTAAGAAAGTTAAAAGTTTTTAAAATTATATTAACTTTTACTAATAATATATTAAAAATTATAAAAAGTTATTTATATTATTAATTAATCTTATTAAAAAGAATTAATCTTTTAAATAGGGAAAAGAAAAATAAAATGTATTTAATAAAATTAAAAAATAAGTTTTTTTAAAACCTATATTTATAAAAGTAAACCTTAAAAAGGTTTATAATATAAGTATTAATGCCTTAAACTTTATTATTAAAGGAAAATTAAGATAATATAATAAATAAA